GCTAATTTTCATTCTTTGGAGAGATCACGGGGCGTGACAACTTTTCTGACATCAACTTGTCATCGAAACTATAAGAAATGCGTGCAGATTGAAACGATGGAACCTGGGCTCGGCAACTTGTTCTTGACTTGCATCTTATCTTTGGACATCAGGGACCCTGATTCAGGGTGATCATACTTTCCTCGAAGAATGGTCGATGAAATCAGGACCCTGAGACTCAGGGCCTGAGTCAAGTCAAAAGACAGGTTGCCGAGGGGAAACGGTCGGTTACAATACCAATTGGTATTCCAATACCAATTTTGGTATTCCAATACCAAAGTCGGCAGAAAATGCCAATTTTTCAAAATTAAAAGTCGGGTGTGCGCTTCGCGCCTGTATTATACAATATTTTAGAAGTGTTTTTAATAATTTCTCGGGCAAAAAATCCAAATTGTCTAAAAAATTTGGTATTGGAATACCAAATTTTGGTATTGGAATACAAAAAAAGCTTTGGTATTGTAACCGACCGTTCCCGGTTGCCGAGCCCAGTATGGACTACTGCGGGCACCTTATGAAGCAATGTCATGAAACGCAGGAATTCATTCTTCCAGGGCCCGTTTCGAAAATAGACCGCAACGAAACATCGCCGATGGAATTCACAAAGGATGAAAATAATGTGAATCGTCGCCGATGCAAAAAGAAGAAGTTTTACGACCAAAAAGTGTGTCGCCATCTTTGTTCGCGAACATTGGTTTTGAAATCATGGAGGAAAAATGCGATCTCGCCTTGTGAGTCAATTTGCTTTGAGCTTACTCGATCATCTGACGCTGCCGGGGAAGTTTGCCCAGGAGAAAAATACTGCACGTCCGGATGTCCTTGTCCTTTTTACGAGTGTGAAAAGCTGGACTCTCGTCAAAAATTGATTCCCGTTTTCGATCTGGCAGGCGAAGCCTCGAATTTCTCGTCGAGTGAATTGTCTGAAAACGAAACAAACTCGTTTTCTTCCGACGAGGAAAAGAAAAGGTTTTCGATAATTCTTTCAGACTTTACTGAGAGCGCAAATGATGTAAAAGTACAAAACTCGGATTCTTTGTTCTCTTATGAACGTTTTTTAAATGATTTTTGAAAAAATAATTGAATATTTTTATGAATTTTCAATAAAAAAGACACAAAAGTCAATCGGTTCTACTTTTCTGAACGGCGCCCACTACTTGGTCGATGCAATGGGCAATCTCATGAAACTCGCAGAAACCGGGTCAGAGTCTTCGTTTTTCATTCAAAGCAGAAATTTCAAAAGGTTTCGTCAATTTCGTCCCGTATTTTTACAAGAAACTAAAATTAAGCACGGGGCTCTTCATTTTTCATTACGGATCTTCTATTTCAACGCACTCGATCGAAATACGAAGAAAAGACCAGGGCAAAAACATCTTCCCTGTCGTCGTTATTTGTTTTTGGTCAAAAAATTTCTTGAGTCAAGATTCTTGAAAGCAGTTTTTCGATCATTTTTTGACCAGCTGAAGCTCTCCTCTAAAAAGAAATGACAAGTGTTATTATTACGCTCCCGACTACAATTTGAATCGATTTGAAACAGCGCAGGGTACGTTCTTTTTTTCGCTCTTTTTAGTTGAATAAAATTGAGGATACATCGCAAGCAATCATTTTAACGCAAAAACATCTTCAATCAGCTTTCGCGGCATTTTTTATCTAATGAGCATGCGACTCGGCGACGGTTGGATAAAGATATCAAGGACGATTGCCTTGAATCAAATAAGAAAAAGCGAAGAGCTAGAAAAAGGATGGCGCAAGGACGAAATCGCCCTGCCGATTGAGTTCAGAGATTTGGAGCCGGTGCATGTTGTTCCTTTGTTAAGGGGGTAGACATCAAGAATCGGATTTCCTGTCAGTGTTTTCTCAAATTTTTAACTTAGTGACCCCCTTATTTTTTCTGCTCAAAATTTATTTCAGGCAATTATCTCTTTCCTATGGAAGCCGAAAATTTCGATTTCTGGAGCTTTCGGGGTGCTACAATGCAAATTCTGGCACCTCCGATTGTCGCCAAAATGGCCATTTTAGGAAAGTTAGCAATCTTTGACGAAAAATTTTGTTGAAAATTTCTTTGAAATTCGAATTTTTGGCTTCCATGGGAAATAGAGAAAGGTCTTAAGTTTTTGTTTCCAAAGAAAATAAGGGTGTTACTATTTTAACTTTGGGAGAAAAGTCTGACGGAAAATGGCGATTCTTGATATCTACCTCCTTAATGGTTCAAGAACCTTTTTGTCTGACGCTCGAAAATAGAGATTATTTTCATGAACCGAATAAAGATCGATCTTGGGCAGCTTTTACTCGTTCTTGTTACCAGAAGCATTACATTGTCAAACACTCAGTACTCATTGCTGCTTGAGAAAGAGGGAAAGTTCTTGACTCTCGGAAGCGAATGGATGGGCTCATTGATCAAGTACGAGCAGGAATCTTTTTGCATCTCTGGTTTAATTGCACCAACAGACCTCGCGTACACAAACCAGTTCGGAACTAACAACGACGAGTGCGAATACTTTATAAATGCAATGGTCAATAATGACAGGATTTATCATCAGAGTCTTGTTTTCGACGCGACTTTTGAAATTTACTTTGACTTAGGAAAGGATGAATAACTTGTAATCGAGCGAAAAAAATGGATTTATTCAACCCGAGAAGATTTAATCGAGATCGACTTTCGCCAACAACAAGCGCGTAAGAAAATGCTTGTAACGAGCAATCCCTTTTTTCATTTCCACGAGGATGTTTTTCCTGGCTTTGCCAAAAACTCTGCTTCGCAGCCGATGTTTCCTCGATCAGCCGAGGCTCTCAACTACTAGTGTTTCTTTCTAAAAATTTTACTGCAAGAATTGAAGAGCCCTTTATGAAGCAAGTAGTTTGGTAGCTCCGTATCCTTTGGCAATCGTTCCTGATTCCTCCTTTCTTTCACTTGACGAGTTTGATCACATTTCTTCTTTTCAAATGGATTTTAGTCGACCAAGAAAATTAACACTTGACATGAAGGACAGTCTCATGAAATTCAATTTATATCAGTTATTGTAAATTTTCGTGATTCTCGAATAAGAAAGCGGGTACAGAGAACTCTCCCTCAAAAATTCTTGCGTTTAAATATTACGATGAAACGACGATTATTGAGCTGAATCTCTTGAAAAATGCCTCGATTTCATTGAAATCAGATTTCTTCGGCGAACAAATTAATGCTCAAGGATCCCTGGACCAGTTGACATGGATGACGCTTGAATTGAAATTTATTCTTGAAGAAGATTCTTCTCATTCATTTCAATTATGGCAAAAGAAAGAAATTATTGCATCGAATAAGATGAGGGAACTTGGCAAAACTAGCGACAAACGAACAAAAGTATTGAAATTCGACGAGCAAACAGAAATCAGAAACGTTTTCTTTTTCGTGAATCCTCCAAGCCAAATCAATGTGATTTACCCTGAGCTTGTCTACAAAACGCCATTTGCTCTCTACGGAGATGGATCTACAAATGTGCTGAAGATTACTCCTTCGCAGTCGACAAAAACGGTCTCCGACGGGACACTTGGATATTACATTGACTTCTGCACTTATGCGCTTGTTAATGATCAGCTGCATATTTTCGGAGGAATTCAAGACAATTATAAGGTAATAATCCTTCGGAATAAAATAAGCAACTTTTCTTTGTAGATTGCTCGACTGGACGGCTGTTCATTCACTGAAATATCTGCTCGTTTGATCGAAAATCATCGTTATGGTCATGCCGCTCTTTCGATCAAAAACGGCAGTAGAGGTAGAGTGAGAAAGAAGGAAAATTAAATAAAGACTAATTTTAAGCAATTGTTTGTTTCGATTATTACAAGAAAACAGGTTGCGAGGATTTTGATGGGCTAAATGTAGCGAAAACGCATGAAACAAAACTGGGGCATTACTACGCTGGGTTGAGCTTTTACAATGGTCTTCCCACGGTGGTTGGAGGGTACTACGCTGATGGTGCGGTTGAGACTCTCACAGACAAAGGCTGGATTTTCCTTACGCCACATCCAAGGTAAGAAACCAACGAAAATCTAAATGCGCTACCATTTTAGGTGGTTCAAATTTGTCCCCGCAGTCGGTCTACCTTCGGGAGCGTTGTGGACTATCGGAGGACTGGACGAAAAGACAAACAAACGATTGGACGAACTTTGGCGATTGAAGAATAACGAGTGGGTTTTCATGGGCCATCTTTCTAAGGTAAGATTATTTTGTTTGGTCGCAAACAATATTCCTATGATCTTCAGGCTGTAACTTCTGCGTCAGTTGTCCTGGTCGAAGATACAATGTTCGCCTTTCCCGGTTTTATGTACGGATTCGAGTCGCCAATTCAAAAAATAAAGCTTGGTAAATCAATTATTGATGTACCAGATTCTCGATTAGTTTTTTAGATTCCGATGAAAATCTCGCTTCAACTCATGTTTTTGCCGACCAAGGAGCTCAAGACTACTTTCCGGTTGTGTTCGTCACTTCAGCTAATTTCTGCATCGACTAAGATTTCTGTTTTTTTCCTAGCTGAAAAATCTTTCTTTCCGTAAAATCTACGATCTAGGTCAAATAAAAATACTAGAAAAGAAATTTAAAAAAAATTGTATCTCGAAGGCATGTCAATTTCAAGCTCAATCATCATCCCTTTTTTCGCTTGATTTCAGGTTGGGTGATTATCAAGAACACGGCAAAAATTAAGCCCAATTATTGAGAGAAAGGATTCGCTCTGTCGCCCTTTCAGCTTCTTTTTTTCTGTTTCTTCCTTGAATCACAAAACGGTCGATGAGTCACGTGTGTGCTTTTCAAACGCCCAAGAACGGCCTTGAGACGGCGACGTAGTAAACGAAAAAAAACGAGCAAAATAAAGAGAACAACGAAAAGTTACGATTACGGCGCCTGAAAAAAAAACAAAGAGATTTTTGCGAGTGATGCTGTTCTGAATAAATAAGAAGAAAAAGATCTTGGCTATTGAGAGAGTACTCGCATGGGAAGATCAAGATATTCGAGGTAAATTTCAGACCGTTAGATTGAACAACTTATCGTTTTACGATCTCATGTTTTTCGACTGATTCTAGCTGTCTAAATTGACGTTGATTAATAATACAGTGAAAACCCATTTTAAGGCCACTTTTTGGATGACACGGAATTTCAAAAGTGGCCTTAAAATGGATATTTTTTGCAGTGCGTCGGATGACAACAGATGTTCCCATATTTTTGGGACAAAAGTGAATCATAAGGGTTTTTAGGGGAAGGCCCGAGTCTACCGCATGTTTCTATCGCCCGAACCAAGTATGATTCCAAATATGTTCTTTAAATTGGACTCTTGGTGATTCTTTCTTTCAAAAATATTTTTCCGCCAACATGTCAGAGAAAATGATCAAAAATCTCCATCAAAATCTTCATGCACTTGAACCAAGCAATCTTTAAGCGATCATGGATCAAAACAGGGCTACTTCTAAGGATTATTTTCGAGAAGAAATCGAGCAGTTTGAAGATCTCGATGTTGCAGAAAATGTTCTGGACAAACAAGAAGAAGAATTGGAGCATTTTCTGGCGCTTAAAATTGATGAAACACGTCCTGGGACTCTAATGGAGATTGAAGAAGTCCCTCAAGTTCAAGTGACAGACAATGCCGACACTGAAAAGCCATCGACTTCAAAATGGCCGAAGACACTGTCGAAGATAACCAGCTTTTTCAACCGAAACTGTAATTTTCGGATTTTGAAAAAAAAGTGGCCTTAAAGTGGATTTTTTTAGGATGACAGATTTTTGGGATTTTCCGAAAAAGTGGCCTTAAAAGGGTGGGCCTTAAAATGGGTTTTCACTGTAATAAGTTGAAAATAGGGGTTATATTTTCAAGTCAAAAAAAAAATGTCGGATATCTCGAATTGAAGAGACTCTCCTCTTGATTAGCTAAAAATTGTTTTTCATTGATTGACGATCATCCTCATAAATGTCCTATTTAGTGGGTATACTGGTTACACAAGATCCGGATATGGTCGATCCTCCCGATACGTTCGCGCTCCAGAGGGAGCTCCCCAACCTAATCGAGTCGTTAGAATCTCCTCTGGAAGAGACTACGGTAGGCAACGAAGATACAAGGACGTTTATCACAATCTTGAGGTAGGAGTTGCCCCGCTATTTTAAATCATTTTGTTTCAGCTTTCAATGAGGGATCTTTATTACGGCGTCACATGTCCTGTCGTTATGTCAATAAGAACTTACAGAAGAAGCGGGCGTTTTGAAAACGTCGATCGCGAATTCCTCGTCAATGTTCAAGCAGGATCTGACGATGGGGACCAAATCATTTTCGAACACGATGGCGACGAAAAATATCGTTATGCTCCTGGCCACGTGATTTTCGCCATACGAGCACTTCCTGCTACTTCTTGGACGAGGACGGGAGATCAATTAGAAGTCAACATTCTGATTGATAGAAATTGGGCTCGATTCGGACAGCCTTTTGAATACAGACATTTGACAGGAACGCGCTAGACATTCAAGATATTCTAGCATTCTCCCCGAAAATATGCACCTAAAATAGCACAAAAAAGGTCAAATTCAGATCTTCGAATTCAAGCCTGAAGCTGGTTCTGTCGAGACTTTTGGAACCATCACCCTTCCAGAATGGGGAATGCCTCGCTACTCCGAACCAGGTCACTTTGGCCCCCTTGTCATACACTACTACCTCGTCAAAGCCAACGCGCCCATTCATGATCCAATTTATCAAAATGCGCTTCGTTGCCGCCCGTATTTTCCACCCCCGAGACGGTAAGAATTGAAACTGTGCTTGCCTCGAGTATGTTTTTCAGAAGGAGAAGAAAGAAGAATAATGACTGCGTTCTGATGTAAATTTAGTACAATCAAAGATCTAAAAAACTATGCCTGTTCACGGTTCATCCTAAACAACATTCCTCTTGATAAACTTTGCAAATTCAGAATATTTGTTTTATATATTTCTTGACAGAGTTTAAAATTCACAGAATTAAAAATCGAATTGGTTGAAGCGAACGAATTGAGGATAGCAGGATTCCTTTTCAGCTCCCTTTCTTGTTGCGGTTTCTCGTTTTTCCAAGTGCTCAAGATAATCGCTCAGGTAGTCGTCCAAATAGGCTACGAAATCTTGCGTACCTTCGTTGTCGTATTGCGTATTGATAAACTATACTTCAAGAGCTTCTGTATTTCTCAAAATCAAACACTTTCCTAAATCGTAATCGATGAGTTCTGCGAGAGTAGCGTAAATGTCCACTGTCGACACTGGCACTTTTGGGTCATCAAGAGTCTTTGGCGCAAAACGTCTTGGATAGCGCCACAAGAATGGTGTCCGGTGACCCGCTTCAGCTTGAGTGTTTTTCTTTCCTTTTAGTTGAACTGTTCTAGTGCCGCCTTCCCAATAATTAGGCAGATCAACTTGTCGCTGATTGTGATCATATTTGGAAACGAAATCTTGTGTAAAAGACGCTGGACCGTTGTCGCTCATGAACATCACTAGAGTATCATCGGCGATTCCATGCTCTTCCAATCTGTTGAGAATTTTTCCAATGATTTCATCCGTCTCCATGATCATTTCGCCCAAGCTTCCAACTTCCGTCTTGTTTCTGAAACGTAGAGGAGTGTTGAAAGGCCCGTGTCCAGATCGCATGCCATAGTAGACAAAAAACGCGTCCTCGTGATTATCGTCAATGAATTTCTCCAGTCTAGGGATGGTCATCTCTTCCGCATTTCGAGTGTCGAAGGATTTCATCACCAGTTGTTGTCTAGGAAAGTTGCAGAAGTAAATTGGGAGATCTTCCGTTTCTTCATCGAATTTCTCGGGTTGTCCAGGACCGCCCATGTAACCTGAGACGCCATTGAAGGTGCAGCCACCCCATTCCGGATTGAAAGAGCTTGCCTCTCTTGGAGTGTGTTCTGGGAATGGGCGCTGCTTGACCCAGGTGTCAACTGGTTCGATTCCCTTTCCATTCTCATAGAAACCTCCTGGCTGACAGCAAATGAAGCTATTAGTAAAAGAGTAATCATAATGGTGATCTTGAGGACCGATTTTCATTTCGTAAATTCCGGGAAAATCGTTGGCTGTGCGCAATTTCGGGTAGCGCTTGCCTAGCTCGTTCATCTTCTCTTTGAACTCGTTATCTAGGCGTTCGGTTTCTTTTCTATCCTCGGCAGTTGCGATGCGATTGACAAGCCAGTAGTTCAGTGGCTGCTCTTTTCCAAAGAGGCCGGTTTTGTATCCTCATTGGTGGTTAAAATTAATTGTGCTCATCCAAGATAAAAAGATGAAGAGAAAGCAGTAAATCTAAGAAAGGATTTCTGTAGCAAAGAAAGGGTTACTTATGAGTCATTGATTTTGAACAACCGCCTGATTTTTTGAACATCTCCGCGAGATGTGGCTCACCAGGCAGAATTTGTCGATATTCATTGTCCTCCATATTGTACCGTCCGGTCATGATCCGTTCCTACTTGGTGCACATCGACTTGAAGCACTGTGTCCATCAAGAAACTTGATTCCCTCCTTTCCGAGCCTGTCTATATTCGGCGTTGGTACTTTCGCTGCCTTGTTGTAGATCTGAAAGTCGCCGATTCCGAAGTCGTCGCAATTTATGAGGATCACATTCGGCCGCCTTGCTCTATTCTCTACAATCAGAAAGCCTATCAAATTCGAAAAAAATTTCATTTTTCCTTTCTGAAAAGATGAAATGAAAAGTGATCGGGGGCGGTTTACTAAATGCATTTTGAAACGTGAACATGTTTAGGATAAAAACAAAGTATAAACTGCGAGTACCGTATTTATGAGTCATATCATATGAGGCAACTCATGAAAAATTAACGACCTGATAAACATCATTTTTATGAATTGGTGAATGTGCCTCGGGTAAAAGGTGCTTCTGACAGAGCGACAAAATTGACTTCAAGACTAAGTTGCTCCTACTCTTTTCAAAAATAAAACAGTCCAGTTAGATATTTCTTGTTTATTATTTTACAGACAGTTAAATTAAATAGCCCACTGGTTGAAACGAACAAATTGGGGATAACAGGACTCCTTCTCAGCGCCCTTTCTTGTTGCGATTTCTCGCTTTTCCAAGTGGTCAAGATAATCGCTCAAGTAGTCGTCCAGGTAGGCAACAAAATCTTGCGTGCCTTCGTTGTCAATAAGATTCTAAAATAATTTTTTATAGATTTGCTTACATTATTGAACTTACATTTTTCTCTTCAGGGTCGTATTTGATGTTGTAGAGTTCTCGCGATCCGGGAATGTATTTGAAATTCTCTTTTCTCAGAGACGCGTTTAGTCCTCGAATGTTTGCATGAGTCAAGACTGGCTTTTTGATGAGTTCTAAATTGGCTTCGCCAGTTTCCATGTAGTTGACTAGACTTCTACTATCAGGGGCCTCGTTGCAATCTTGATTGGTGTTTTAAATATTCAGATCAAAGATTTTCTCGATTATCGATAGGTTTTGGCAACTTTTGTCTAAGTAAAACACTTTCCTAAATCGTAATCGATCAGTTCTGCAAGGGTAGCGTAAATGTCAACTGTCGACACTGGAACTTTTGGGTCATCGAGAGTCTTTGGTGAAAAACGTCTCGGGTATCGCCACAAGAACGGCGTGCGGTGGCCAGCTTCTCCTTGGCTATTTTTGGTTCCAGAGAGCTCAACTGTTCGGATACCACCGTCCCAATAGTTGGGCAGGTCAATTCGTCGCTGATTGTGACCAAAGGTGGCTTGAATTTCTTGCGCGGAAACTGCTGGTCCGTTGTCGCTCATGAACATGACTAGAGTATCATCACCGATTCCATGTGCATCGAGTCTGTTGAGAATTTTTCCGATGATTTCGTCCGTCTCCATGATCATTTCTCCCAAATTTCCGACCTCCGTCAAGTTTCGGAAGCGCAAAGGGGTGTTGAATGGTCCGTGTCCAGATCGCATGCCGTAGTAGACAAAGAACTCGTCCTCGTGGTTATCATCGATGAATTTTTCCAGCCTTGGGATGGTCATTTCTTCGGCATTTCTCGTATCGAAGGATTTCATAACCAGCTGCTGTCGGGGAAAATTGCAGAAGTAAATTGGGAGATCATCCGTTTCCTCATCGAATTTCTCGGACTGCCCGGGACCGCCCATGTAACCTGTGACGGGGAAAGTGCTGCAGCCACCCCATTCAGGATTGAAAGGACTGACGTCTTTTGGAGTATGTTCTGGGTAGGGGTGCTGCTTGACCCAGGTGTCGACTGGTTCGATTCCCTTTCCATTCTCGTAGAAGCCGCCAGGCTGGCAACACATGAAGCTATGCGTGAAGGAGTAATCGTACTGGTGATCTTGGGGGCCGATTTCCATCTCGTAAATCCCGGGAACTCTGTTGGCTGTACGCAACCTGGGGAAACCTCTTCCAAGTTCGGCCATTTTCTCCTTGAACTCATTGTCAAGTCGTCTGGTTTCTCTGTAGTCTTCCGCAGTAGCGTTGCGATTTTTCAGATTGAAGCTTAGCGGTTGTTCCTTCCCGAAGATTCCTGTTTTGTATCCTTTCTTTTTGAACATCTTCGCGAGCTGCGGCTCATTTGGAAGAATTTTTCGGAATTCACTGTCCTCCATATTGTACCTTCCGGTCATGAGCCCGTACCTACTTGGTGCACATCGACTTGAAGCACTGTGTCCATCAAGAAACTTGATTCCCTCTTTTCCCAGTCTGTCTATATTCGGCGTTGGTACTTTCGCCGCCTTGTTATAGATCTGGAAGTCGCCGATTCCGAAGTCGTCGCAATTTATCAGGATCACATTCGGCCGCCTTGCTTTATTCTCTGCGATCAAAAATCCGATCAAATTTGAAAAAAGCTTCATTTTTGCTTTTTGAAAAAATGTAATGAAAAGTGATCAGAACCGTTCCATTAAATGCACTTTCAAACGTGAGCATATTTTGAGTAAAAATAAATCTCGAAACGTGGGTCTCGTACTTACTCTAATAAACCATTCGTTGAACAAGATATCATTAATGGAGCTTCGTTTTGATCCAAAATAAACGTTCGATTTTAGCGTTTTCTTCTGACTCAAAAAAGTAAGCAGCTCATCATGCTTCGTTTTATTTTTATGAAATTAATTCACTAACATATTTGAAGTATGTGGAAAAACTTGACCTCCGAGTAATGCCATTACTGTAATGGTCAAGGACTTGAGTCAGTATGTAGGTCACTTGACCGTCAAGTTCTTGACTTGACCGTCGCTTGTGCTTCAATTTATTGACTCTTCTAAAAAATAAGCCATTACATATTCAAGAGACAGACGGAAAGCTCAAGTTGACCATCCACACGTTCCTTTTTTGAACTCAACAAATAAAAGATCTCTGAAGAAGTTAATTCGTCAGCTCGATAGTAAACCAATCTTCCTTCCAAACATCCCCTTCATCTGATTACCTTTCGCGTTTATTTCGTTTATTAAAAAGCTTAGCCTCAGAGCAAACTAACCCTTGGGTGAATCAATTTTTCCAATTCGCCGCCGAGTGATTGAGTGTTTTCAGCTCCAGTTGATTGCAAATTCAGAATAAGAAGCAAACAGTAAGCAAGTAAAATTAACTGAAGAAGAGCTCGACAAAGCGGAAAGCGATTTTGGCGGTGCAAAACGGCGTAAAAAAGCGCCTCCAGCCAGGGCTTTATTTTCGTCGTCATCGGCATTGTAAAAAGATTCCTTTTGAATGAAAATGGTCGTGAGTCACGCCGCGAGCACTCGATTTTAGAGAGAAAGAGAGACGGGCACACAGAAGCAGAACTCATCAATTTTCAAGAGAGAAAGAAATCTGGTGGTCGTCGCCTCTTAGGGCGTGATGAAGATTCTAGCGGCGATAGTTGGGCTGGTCGCCGCTCAGCAAAGTAGGATTTTTATTCAAGAACATTTTTTAAAATTATATTGAAGACAGTTTTTGTGGAAAGCCAATATGCAAGGAGCTAGAAAAAGGGGCTGCCACGATAACGAGAGCGGACGAAATGTCTATTGCATGTCAAGTGCCAAGAGATTTTAATCCAACAGAGGTTTTTGTAGGAACGCGTCAAAAACGTTTAGCACTTTTTCAAGATTCTTTTCTCTGTCAAAGACATTAGTAATCAGGGACAGGCTTATTTTCGACGCGAGAAAAGGCTACTTTATTGTAACTGATGGAAAAGCCGAAGCGGTGGAGAAGAAGATCGACTATCATCGGATATCCGGAACTAACACCGGCGTTTTTGCTTTCACGGATGAAAACTTCAAAGAAAGAAAAGACGACGCTGAGATCTTCGCAGATTCACGAGATTGCAAGATTGGAGATGTGCGCGTTGTGAACTTGAACAACTTCGAGCTTTACAAATTTCGAACTGAAGGATCGAAATATAGCATCGAAAAGAACGGCGATTTGATAATTACAAAGCAGTTAAATCGAGACCTAGATCAAGATAACTTTGATGCCTGGGAAAAAACGATGAAGCATTGGATGGATCATTTCGTCTTCAACTTGAGCAACGTGGATGACAATAAAGACAAGAAAAACGAGTACTACTTTTCGCAAACCTATAAGAATTTCTACTGCATTAACGAAAAATACAAGGAGAACGAAATATGCAGAAATGGGAAAGTCTTAGCAAACACTGACTTGAAAACTACCAGCTACGAACAAGCGAAAGAACTATTCTACCAAATAAAAATCCCTGACAGTGGAAAACGAGCCCCTTCGATGCAATTTTCGATGTTGTTTGGTCCTCCTTACAACCATGATAGCAAGTTTGTGGACACACCTTCCACGATTTCATTCTACTGGCCACTGCATACAAAAATTCTCATCGGCGCCTTGGTCCTCATTTTTGTCGCTGGTGGAGTTCTAGCGATCATTTTTATCAAACGATACATGAATAAAGAAATCGAAAAGGGGATCAACAAGGCTGAAAGGATGAAGCTTTTGTCTGATGATCGACCACAAGAAGCATTCGAGCACATTATGAGTTGCATGCCGGATCCTCAGAAGAAAATTCTCAAGAAAATCTACATCGACCCAAGGTACAATCATTCGCTCATTAAAGTCACTAAGCAATTCATTAAGCAAAATAAAGCGCGACGGTCGTGAGTTGGGCAAAGGCGCTTTTGGTACAACCCGCGCGGGTACATTACAAAATGACGCGGGAGTTACGATTCATAAAATAGCCATTAAAACGATGAAAACAGCGATCAGTAATGGAATTAATGGGCCTGGTTATGCAACCTACCAGGGAAGCGGCAGTGGTTATCCAGGAACAGGAAGCGCCGGCGAATATTTTGACGGCGAACATGCAAAAGCGATCTTTGACGAAGCCATCCAAATGAGCAATTTCGAGCATAACAATGTCATGAAACTTATTGGTGTTTCTTTCAACCGCTGTGCTGAGCCGGAAATGATCCTGCCTCTCATGGATTGTGGCGATCTAAGAAACTATGTCAAAAATGACGAGAACGAGCTTCTCATTCGTGATGTAAGAGCTAAACGCTAAATTAAGTGAATAATTTTTCTTCTCTAGTGTCTGAAATTCTGTCAACAAGCGGCTGAAGGAATGAATTATCTCGTCCGTCAAGGCGTTATTCATCGAGATCTCGCCGCTAGAAACTGCCTCTTAGAAAGCATGGACAACAACAGGATCAACTTGAGAATAGCCGATTTTGGCTTGTCAAAGACTTTCGAAAATCTTTACCAGGAAGAATATGTGTAAGTAGTAAATAGAAAATTATCAATCTAAATGAGCTGCTTCAGTGCTCAAAGCCAAACAAAGCTCCCCTTGAAGTGGTTGGCCATTGAAGTTCTCGAGCAGCGTATGTTCTCGGAAAAGTCTGACGTCTGGGCATTTGGCATTCTCACTTGGGAAATCTTCACGAGAGGAGCAATGCCATACGGAGCTCTCAGCGACTGGGCCGGTAAGCGAAAATCCCTCCTTTGCTATTTTCCATGACGGCTTTTTCAGGTCTGAAGGCTTATTTGCTCAATGGGGAGCGGTTAGAAATGCCAAATGATTGCACTCCTGAGTTGTACGAGCTAATGATGGAGTGTTGGCACGATGAGACTGAAAAAAGACCGACTTTTGCTAATTTAGTGAGTCGATTCGACCAATTCGTCAAAGGTCACCGTGAGGTAATGAAACTGACCCAGTTTTCACTTTTGATTCATTCTCTCTTTCAGTCTGAGACGAAAAAGGGAAGAAAATCTAGCCTTCCAAGAAGAGGAAATATTTCCTTCAAGCGAGATCATTTTTCGAGAACCAAAGCCGGCTACAAATCAAACCGTGGTAAAAAGATGTCGCCTCCAGTTCCTGCGCCTAGAAAACCGCTACCCGCTGTTCCAGTGAGGGAAACGTCGCTAAGCCCAACTCATGCTGAAGAATTGGTGTAACGCAAACGCTTCTAAAAGCCTATTATTTGTTTTAACAGAGATTTACTGTAAATTAGCACTGTACCATGCAATCGTCCATTCCTAACCTCAACAAATCAAAATTCCAACCATGCCAAAAATAATGTAAAACGTTCAATAAATTCATGAATCTATAAGTTGAAAGTTGAAATCGAAAAATCCAGAAAGCAGAGCTGCAAGCTTTCTAAGCTGAAAATCCATTTGAACTGAAGACAATCCGACCTATCAGTTAATTTTTTAATAAGCGACAGCCTGGAAAGCAAGGCTGTGCTTCATATGATATGAATTATATCGAGGTAAGGAAAAAGTTCGGAAAATTCAACTGTTTTGCGCCATGGATTCCTTCTGAACTTGACGCTGTTCAAAAGAAAACTGATCGCTAAACTTTACTCCTATTTCTCGTCCAAGATTTCACGTTTTGTGGCCTTTTCTGTGACCATGGACACCAGCGGCGTATATAATCAATCGTCGATCGAAAGTTGATCAAGTTTATCTCATAATAATATGAAGCTTTTCAAATATTTTGCCGTTCTAACGAGCTGCATTTATGCTGTGTCTCCCCTGAATAGATGTGTAACTTGTGAATACGTCGGAGTTGCGGATACCGAAGTAGATGCGCTTGCTCAGCTAAGAGGTGATTTAGACGAAGGAATAGCCGCTATTCCATGTAGTGAGCCTCTGAGGACCAAGAACTCTGAGGGCTACACTGTTAGCGACTCATCTGATGCTGATAAATACTGCGTTGCTATATTCTTCATGTTTGAAGTAAAAGATATTGGCAACAAGTAAGTTTATAACTATTATTACTTTCTACGTTCCATCTTAATTTAAATTTATTGAATCGTATTTGGTGTCAAACGATACGTCTCCGATTCGAATGTCTCTCTTTCGCGAGTGAATGTTGATGGATATGAGGATGTCAAGGGTATTGCAAACTCAGTTCAGCAAAAAAACCTCGATGGCGTCTCCGTGCTAAGCAGCTTCGTCGAACGAGGTCGAAATGGTGCTTTTTTATGGGAGATGGTCGAGAAGACCCATTCACAAGCGGTGATATCTCAAAAGTCGATATACAAACCGTCGACTCAATCCAATGTGTGGTATGCAATGATGCCGAAATATTCGGAAGTGCTCCTCTTCAGTCGTCTCGAATCACAATGCCATGTTGGAACCCATCCAAAGAAGTGCCTCCCAGGACTATTTGCACCGTGGATGGATCATGCAAAGAGGTTGTACGAAATCCATTTACATATTGCAGTCCGCATAATGGTCTTTGCATGACCAAAACATGGCAATACAAAACACAAAATGAAGCAAAGGTTGAAACAAGTCACTGGGTTGTTATTTCTCGTGGCTGCGCATCTTCTACCGATAAAGCCACAGTCCAAACAAATGGAATTCCTGTAAGCCCAAACAACAGAAATCTTGTTGCAAACATGTACGTTCGATTCTATGCTGCGACAAATACTGTCTCGAAGGCTAGGGACAATGCCAAATTTCCGGATGCTGATGTTTCGACGCGCATTGACTATTCCAACGACGGACTCGCTGCAGCGCATGCAGACATCAATATTCGACCACTCACACCACAATATATGTCATCTGACGGTTCTGGAGCCCCTGATGTCCCTCCAGTATCTGGCTCTACGGATGAACTCGAATGTCTTGCATGTGCATCTCCCGTTGCAAACACTGACAAACACGATCACTGTGTGAACGCTAAGACTGGAGGCCGAGTCAAATGCATGACACTTGCATGTGCCGCAATTACTGCGAACTTTAGGCTGGGAAAAGAAGCAACTGAAACTTACTATTACGCAAAACGAGGCTGCGCTCCTAATCCTGATGATGGAGTTCTTTTGGAACAGGAACACGCTGATGACTACATTGTCCCAGACGGATGGACTAATATCAAGCAGTACAATCACCGATCAATATCTAAGATTGGTAACACTGGAATTTCCCGCTCTATCTCTATTGCCCAAGTATTTGACTGCTACTCTTGCGAATCCTCCTTTTCAATCACTGTTGATCTAGCCAACCCAGCTGAAATCGATTACGACTCTGTCAAAGAGAAGGACACTTCTTTCTGCTGGCAAACAGTCAAGCCCGTCGCTGACCTCAACTCCTCAACTACCGGAAAATCCGGCTTCTGCACTGGCAAATGCTTCGTCTCTGCTTATAAATACAAAGAATCCACTGGCACAATGAAATCTCCAGCTACAACCTTCCACTGGTACATTAAACGCGGGTGTGACACCCAGATGGCCGTAAATAATAACGAGACTCCTGTTCCTGATCTCTATGGGATTTCTCAGATCAACCGAGTTTGCGACTACACCAACGGCACTCTCTGCAACGGCTTTGTCGAAGGAGACGATATAACCCTCGAGATCGCAACTCAGTCATCCCGTCTTCTCCGGTGTTACTATTGCGAGACTCCAGTTGGAAATACTGACCCTGAAAGTAGATAATTGCCATAAAAACCCAGCAATAAACATTATTCTAGGCCCTTGCTACACTATCCCATCTTCCGCTAAGGCAGTCGAGTGCCCTGATCTGTCCTACACCTCCTGCTCCACCACCGAGACCGCTTACACTTTGAACGGACAGAACTACTACGGCATCAAACGAGATTGCAACAAGGGTGATCATGAAGACTCTTCTAAGTACGTACTAATCTACTTGCTCTTTTTGTGAATTCGAAATTCAGACCCGTTGCTGGATTTGAAAACGTTAATTCTGAGACCACACACTGCATTTACCCTTCATGTAACAGGACCAATGGCAAAACAGCGAACCTCGTCGCCGCTGTAGAAAATACTTTGGGAGCTGATAATCAAACTGAACAATCCGCCATCACTACGGAATCTTCTCTTCAGCCTGGAACTGACAACGTCACCGAAGTAGTCATCGCGCCTACTGAATCATTAACTGGATCTGCATCTGATAACGATACTGAAGAATCGAGCACTACTGCTCAATCTTCCCCTGGTTCTGGAACTGACAATGTAAACGAAGAATCTGGCGCCGATGCCGCTATTATCTCCGCACTCATAGGCGTCAGTTTGGTTTTCTTCCACTAAACTCATATTAATAGCGTTTATTCGCTATTATATCGTAGTCAGGTTACTACTTTTGATTGAAACTTTTTTTAGTTGTCGTCTCGAAACTACTTGCTAATTTTGTATGCAAGATTTTTCGCCTTTGAGAACACATCTTTATATTTGTCAAATAAACTCATTAATTAAAATTTTTCATTGATTTTTTGCTCCTTCTATATGAATCATACCAATTGCATCTCTTTCCTAAAGCATTCTCAATAATTTATTGAGCTAATAATATTGACAATAAATCTTAGAGTGGAAAGTCGAAGAAAAGTTCAAAAGAGCAAAATGATTTTTATTACCGCAACTCGTGATCTTTTTTTTCTAGTCATAATCAATGATTATTAATCATCCAAGTTGTAACTTTTCACAATAACTAATTAGTATAAAATTCTTCTTGGATGAGAATCCTCATGATGAACGCCGTAAAGAACGATTTTTATAGTAGTTAACTTAGATGTGAGTTCTGAGAGAGCAGGACAGAAAGAGAAAACATGAATTTTTGAAAAAAAGCAAAATCTGAAAATTGCATTTTCTTTGGGCTTGATGAGGATTCTATGGGTGATAATTGGGCTTGTTGTTGCGCGCCAAAGTAAGATAGATTATAAATTATAAAGTTATAAGTTATAATTGTAAGTTATAATTTATAAGGTATATAAAATCATATAAGATAAATAATAAAACTCACTTATAAAATTAAAATCTAAGCATGTCAAAATCCAATATGCAAACAACTGGAAAGGGGAAATACAACGATAACGAGAGAAAATGAAATGACCATTGCATGCGAAGTTCCAGAAGACTTTCACCCTCAAGAAGTTTTCATAGAAACGAGTCAAAATTGAATTTTAGCTGAATTTATTTTGGTCTATCTTGTCAGATATCCTCTTATTCTAGGACTGAGAGAGTTTTTGACTCAGAAAAAGGCTATAAAAGACTTAAAAATGATGAAACGACTGAATTCGTTAGGATACAGATTGACTATAATTATCATCGAAAAAGTGGAACGAATACCGGAGTTTTTGCGTTTTTCGAGGAAACCGATGACGAGAAATTTCGACAAATTCAAGAGGAAGTGGGGATTTACGCAAATACAAAAGATTCAAAAGATTGCAAGATTGGAGAAGTTCGGGTCGTAGACTTGGACGACCTTAAGTTCTATGGCTTTTTTCAAAGAGCAGGATCTTATTATAAAATCGATAAGAACGGTGATTTGATAATTACGAAGCAGCTAAATCGAAACCTCGAAGGAGATAAATTGGCTGCTTGGAATAAAACGATGGAACATTGGATGGACCATTTTGTATTTTATTTGAGCGACAAAAGACATGATGAAAAAGACCATAAAGAACACAGCGAAGATCAAGAACATGATGAAGAACATGATGGAGAACATGATGGAGAGCATAATTACCATGACAAACATAACGATGATGAGAAAAACGAATACTATTTTTCAGAAAATTACAAGAAGTTCTACTGTGATGACAAATACAAAAAGTCGGAAATTTGCAATAATGGAAAAGTTTTGTCTAAAGAACACTTGAAAACGAACGAAGACGGTGGTAAGCTATTCTATCGAATAACGATTCCTGACAGCGGAAAACGAGCTCCTTCCATGTATTTCTCGATGTTGTTCGGTCCTCCAACGGGCCATAAAGGCCACAAACACAAAACAACATATATTGTTTCTTCATCTGAAATTTTGTTCCGCTGGCCACTGCGTACAATACTTTTGATTGTCATCCTTGTCCTCATTTTCCTTTCTGGGGGAGTTCTTGTTGCAATTTTCATCAAGCGGTTCTTGAACAAAGAAATCGAAAAGGGGATCCACAAGGCTGAAAGGATGAAGCTTTTGTCTGATGACCGACCACAAGAAGCATTCGAACATATAATGAGTTGCATGCAAGATCCTAAGAAGGAGATTCTCAAGAAGATCTACATCAATCCAAGGTACACTCATGAGCTAATAAAACTTAAAAGCCGCTAAAAACAACAAACCTACCAATTAAATTAGTAAAATCGAGCGCGACGGCAATGAATTGGGAAAAGGAGCCTTCGGTACCACTCATGCGGGTAGATTAAAAAACGACACGGGAGTTACTATTCATAAAATTGCTATAAAGACGATGAAAAGTGCGGTTAGCAATGGAGTCAAGGGTCCTGGATATTCAGACAAGTCGACATCCCTGGGAAGCAATAAATATGCCAGTGGCGATTCAGGAATAGAAAGTTGCGAGTATTTCGACGCAGAACATGCAAAAGCGATCTTTGACGAGGCAATTCAAATGAACAATTTCGAACATAACAATGTCATGAAACTCATCGGAGTTTCTTTCAACGACTTCGCTGAGCCAGAAATGATTCTCCCTTTGATGGACTGTGGGGATCTTAGAAACTATGTTAAAAATGACGAAAACGTGCTTCTCATTAGTGACGTAAGTACTTTAAAATAGAACGATTGATTTTTTTTTCTTTGAAAGTGTCTCAAATTTTGTCAACAAGCTGCTGAAGGAATGAATTATCTCGTCCACCAAGGAGTCATTCATCGAGATCTCGCCGCTAGAAACTGTCTCTTAGAAAGCATGGACAATAACAGGATCAACTTGAGAATTGCAGATTTTGGTCTTTCGAAAACATTCGAAAAACTGTATCAGGAAGAATACGTGTAAGTTGAAAAATCAAATAGAAACAGTACGAACCTTCTTCAGTTCTCGAAGCCAAACAAAGCTCCCTTTGAAATGGCTGGCCATAGAAGTTCTTCAGCGGCGTATGTTCTCAGAAAAGTCTGATGTGTGGGCATTTGGCATTCTTACTTGGGAAATATTCACGAGAGGAGCAGTTCCGTACGGACCTCTAGGCGACTGGGCTGGTAAATGAGAAAGTCCCTATATCAATGTATTATATATCGTCCGTATATTGAACATACTTTTTTCATTTACACCTTTTCAAGGTCTGAAAGATTATTTGCTAAAAGGGGATCGATTGGAAATGCCGAGTGATTGTTCTCTTGAACTTTGCGAGTTAATGATGGAGTGCTGGCACGATGAACCTGAAAAAAGACCGACTTTTGCCATTTTAGTTGGTCGAATTGACCAATTCGTCAAAGGAAATCGTGAGGTATAAAATAAACTACAATCTTTAATATTTGTTTTCGGTTGATTCATAGTATGAGTTTCATACATTGTATTTTCAGGCTGAAACGAAAAAGGGAAGAAAATCGAACCTTCCGAGGAAAGAAAGCATTTCCTTCAAACCCGATCATTTTTCCAGAGCCAAAGCCGACTATAAATCAAATCGCGGTAGAAAGATGTCCCCTCCGATCCCTGCACCTAGAAAACCCCTTCCAGCTGTTCCGCCGAGAGACACATCTCTGAGTCCAACTTTTGCTGAAGATTTAGTGTAAACTTTACACACTAAACTTTGTGTGATTTGTCCTGACGAACATTTACTGTCAATTCGCACTGTACCATACAATCGTCTTCTCCTAACCTCAACAAATCACAAAGTCCAACCTTGCCAAAAATATTGTAAAATGTTCAATAAAATTTATGACTTTTGAAAATATAATCGAAAACAGAATATTCAAAAGTATAAATGGAACATAGACACGAATGAATAATGTCAAAGAACTTAAGTCAAGTACAGGGTGTCATTTACTTGCCTGCAACTTGCAGGCCAACCAGCTGGTCAAAATCGATACCAAAAAAAGAGGCGCGCATGCAAAATTAGGGCTTGAATTTAGCTTTATAAAGAGATCTTTCTTTTCACGACTGAGCGATTCCATCAGTCACGGTTCCGTAACTTCAGTGAGAAAAAAAGGCACTAGATTTCAGATAATGTCAGCATAAATAGCTCAAGGGCGGGTAAAAGTCCGCACTAAACGTTGAACAGCATCGGATCCGTTCGTAAAGACATTAAAACAAAGAGACAATGAAAATGGGCGAATAAAGAAAAAGGAAGTTGAAAGGCTTTTATTATGAATTCCGTTGAGCTACAACCGACTGGGCAAAATGGAGAGATAAATGGTGCGGCGGAAGAAAATGTTATTTATTCAAGAGAAGAAAATGTAGTTGTGACGACGATAAGAGAAGATAATGGTCCTGGAGACAGGAAATATTTAATAAAATTGACCCTATTCACTGTTTTAGGAAACGGTCTCTTTTTTATTTTTGTAACAAGGAAAAACAAAAAATAAGACCGTAAAAAGGCGGCTTCTTATTCGGCTATGATACTGGAGTCATCAGTAGTGCCCTTCTTCTGATAGAGAAAGACTACCACTTTACGACAATTCAAAAAGAACTTATAGTCACCATCACGCTAGCATGCGCGGGTGTATTTTCCCTGCTCGCTGGGCCGATCAATAAAATTTTCGGAAGACGAAAAGCTATCATTGGCTCTGCAATTCTCTTTGGAGTCGGTTCTCTAATTCTTCTCGCAGCTAAAGGATTAAGTGAGCTGTTGATTGGAAGAGGCGTCGTTGGAATCGGCCTTGGAATTTCTTCAATGGCTGTTCCCGTGTATCTGTCAGAATGTGCCCCACCAAGTGTCCGAGGAAAGTTGAATACGGCGAATCAAATCAGCATTACATTTGGAGAATGGGTTGCTGCTCTGCTTGGAGGAATGGTGGCAAAGATCTCGTTTGGTTGGAGAATATTGCTTGGTGCTGCTGTTCTGCCTGCTTGCATTCAACTTTTCGGATTCCTCTGCTCTCTGCCTGAGAGCCCAAGGTATCTGCTCGAACAGGGGAGACGTGATGAAGCAGCTAAAGTTTTGAAAATGATTCGGAGAGCAGAATGCACTCAGGAGCTGAACGAAATGGCGGCTGCGATAGATTCGGAACGAAGAGACAAGAATCAGTCGGTTTTCATCGGAGTCGGAAGAAAAGCATTGATTCTAGCGTGTGGGCTTCAGCTGGTCGCACAACTGAGCGGAGTGAATACAATTATGTACTACGCGGGATCGATTGTTTTCAGCTCTGGAATTGTGCAAGAAAGGTCTTCAGCCATTTGGATCGTTCTTGGCATAATTTCTGTTCATTTCGCGACTTCTTTCATTGGCTTCATTACTATCGACAGATATGGAAGGCGACCGTAGGGAGTTAAGTTTTTGATAAGTGATTAAAAAATTTTTAGACTCATTCTGATATCACTTGGATTCACTATCCTGGCTCTTTGGATTCTCTCTCTCGGAACGCATCTGAATAACAGATTCGAATCGCCAGTTGACTTCAACAGCTCAACATGCCAAAACCTCGAAAATGCAGAAACCTTCCTCGAGCCAACAACATGTAGTGATTGCTCAAAACTGTACGGCAATACTTGTGGATTTTGCGAAACAGAGGACTCAGGATATTGCACGACAAATTGCACAACAGGCGAGCTTTGGATCGACTACTGCCCTGCTAATAAAGCGTCAATTCTGCCAGTAATTGGAATGCTTCTTTATTTAATAAGCTTCAGCCCTGGTCTTGGCCCGGTTCCTTGGGCAGTCGGATCCGAGATTTTCCCCAATCAATCCGAGATACCGGTAAGTTACAAACCTGAGAATTAGTTCCAAAAAATTCTAGGAATGGGACTCGCTGTATTTGCCCATTGGGCTGGCAACACAATTATTTCCGTTTCATTTCTAAGTCTGGTTGAAGCAATAGGCCAGCCAAGTTGTTTCTTCATTTATTCTGTGATTGCGCTAGTCTCCTTTATCCTGCTTTACTATTTTCTGCCAGAAACGAAGGGCCTGCCGCTAGAACAAGTTCCAAAATTGCTCAGTGGACCCTGGCGCCGTCAGAACAAAGGCAAGTACACACAATTTGAATAGATTCCTGCTACTTCTAGTTTATGATATTTTCTGTACAAAAATAAACCTGTCACAAAATACACAAAATATAAATTATTCTTCGGCTTTCTGGCATTCGCTCGAATCCGGAACATTCTTTGTAGTCGTCGGGAAAATCTCCGACTCGAGCAATTCCCGACGAGGCCTATCCAGAATTTCATGGCATCTTGAATGGTAGCGCTTCAATGTCAAAGGCAATTGCAAGAAAAATGGCTGAAATACTTTTGCTGGACTCACAATTAAAAGTTCTTACAAGAATAGTCAAGACAAAGCCAGCAACAATTGTGTAGTTAAACCAATCCAGCTTCCCAGAATATTTTCGGCGATCGATGATCGGCTTTACAGCAAAACTGAGCAATCCTCCGACAATCTCAATAAAAGCATACGCGACTCCCATTGTAGAATACGGAAAACACATCTCAATGCTTAAGGGGGTACACACCGCAAACCGGATCAACTACGACAAAATAAGCGAGGGCCAATCAAATGTCCCGAAATATTTAGTGGTGGCGCTTCTCGGGATTAGAGAAAAACATCGGTAAGCGGTTTACCCCCTTAAGAGATATTTTCAATCTTATTCAAGGATTCTATCGAAATACATGTAGTTAGTTCTGTAGTTGACCTTGTCGTTATCTCATTTTATTGGTTCTATCATTATATTTATTCTATCAAAATGTTACAAAAAATATCAGAATATTACATTTTTACATTATACTTTTTTTGAACTTTATTGTTATCCCTAATCTGCCACATAAGCAAATATGAAACCGCTAAACACATTTTGACAAGGATAAGAGAAAAGCCTTGTCAGGGGGTCCTAAACATGGCAAGGGTATCGTTGTCAGTATATTATGCGACCGCATGAAGTCAGTACTTCGTCCCGACCCGGTCTCGAAATGGAACACGGAACGAGGCATTTGCTCCAGCTCTGTTTAAGACCCCAGGCCTTGTCCAATAAATTTTCCGGTAAATCCTCTTAGCAAGAAAACAGTGATTCCGCAAAATGCAGCCGCGTAGATCATGATCTCCGAGATCTTGGCGTTTTGTGAGGGACAATTCTCTATTTCATCTTGCAAACAGTCATGTCTGTAGTAGCCTTCTTTCTTGTACATTGATGTAAGAGCGCTCCATCCAAAGATCAAGTAGGAGTGAAGTAATGCATCGAATAAACCCAAGCAATATGCAATGCATTTTTGTAACAAATTCATAGTTTCTCTTTTACTTATTGCGCTTGTTCATCCAAATTTAAGCCTTGTTATAAATAGGCATTTGGACGCCCTCATAAGATCTAGGTTAATTATGCTCCCGGAATAACCCTGTTATTTTGATAAGTGGCTGCTCTGCAGGAGTCCCAGGTCGTCTGATCTCTACTCTAGCTGATAGCCTGCTTGCTGATCCAATATAGCTGATGGAATGACTGTCTGTCGATGCGGTCGCGAGACGTATACAAATGGGCTCACAAAGAGCTTTCTTTATATATTTTATTTCAAATCATAATAAGTTAGTCAGTCCAGATCTCTCGCTAACCTAGCTATTTATGGTCAGTAGTGATAGCGCCTAATAAGGGCGCTCTCACTTACTTCCTTCACTAACATTCTTCCCCTCCTCGGGGGGGGGGTTCATAAGACTCAGTTAATGAGAGATACGGTAGAAAAATAACCAAAAATTGATAATGAGAATGGCTAATGTAGAAAAGAACTCAGAACTGATGACAAGGAGAGCTTAAGGAAAAGGTTGAGAGTAGAGACAGAAGAGAATGAATTTTTTTTTTTTTTTTAACAGAGTGAGAAGGTTGTTCATAAACAAATCATTGATCTTTTTTAAGTATGTCATTCGAAAAGGTCGTAATCTTTGAACGTGATCAAGCCCCGGCTGTCGTGGATTGAGCAATACACTCGTCAATGTATTGTCGTTAATCCATATCGTAAAGATTGGCGAATACACGAGATCGGTAGCCTAGCACTTCAAATTGAGTACCACTCCATCGATTATTTTTTTGACCAGAGAATGTTTTTGAACCAGCATCGTCCAGTAACCCTTTTTCGTTGCTCCCAGTGCGTTTTTCTTAGCGATGTCCGCAAGACGGTGCAAAACCATGCCCGGAGCCAGCATCCGGCTGACGGAGGTCAACCAAGGGAGGAGCACGTGACGGAGGTCGGCCGCGTCGTTTTAAGATTCAAGCGGTTGCTTCACAACTCGGCTCTTGGTCTGCATTCCCAGGCAGAGTTACTGTCGCATTATAGTGGCGAGAATGACCAAAATTTTTCGCTGCTCCACTCTGCCCGTTCCGTTGGACTAAAAGATTCGCTTTCCTGTCCGGCATTTCGCACATTTTTCTTAAGCGTCTGGGAAAACTACAAAGATCGTGCCGGATTCCAGGAGCCAGTACGTGCTCTTCACGCACTGTTTCACTTACAGGTTGGATCTTCGGCAACTCTGACGCCTGGACGAATATTGCCCTCACGAGCCCCACCTTCCTGGCAACAGAACCTTTGCCGAGAACATCCCGAGCAAGCGCAACAAATTTGTTGCGTAACTTACGCCGCAGTTTTTGAGCACGCTCCTTGTTGGGATCAGGTTGGCCAGCTCGGATATGTTTGTGGCTCTGGAAACCACTATCTATCCTTGTCTGCTGCGAATTCGATCTGGCGGACTCGACATGGTGAAGGTTTGATTGTTATTTTGTCATATTCACTCATCTGTTCTTAGGAGGAATTGCTCCTGAAGACGAGAGACCATTGGAGATTTCGGTTGAGCCAGAACTTCTGAAGAAAACGGTTCCTTGTGTTTGTCGTGACCTGGTCCTACAACTCCAAAAGTCGTCACATTATGGCCCAAATCAAGAAAACGAGACCATCATCCGTCTTTTGTCTTGCCCTGCGTGTTACGCATGTATCCTATTTCCAAAAGAATAAATCAGTTGACACTTTGGCGTCTTGTTGTTTTCAGACTTCCCAGTACGGTGGGCATTTTTACGACGGTCCAACGCGGCATTTTTAAGGGTATCCCCTCGTTAAAAACAAGATAAGTGTTAACGACGTAAGGGTATGTCGCAACATCGCTTTGTCCAGCTTTTTTTTACGAGGTATCGAAGCCACCACCACTTAAGGGTATCTTTCGTAGAGTGCCAAGTTTGACATCGCGCCGCTAAAGATTTCTCAGGTCTCCAAGTCATCGCCAAATAGGACTTGCAAAGGAAGTTAAGGATTGAATTTTCTGATTAGAGTTTGATTGTTTTGAGGTGTTTTGATGATTCGTTAGTTCTGAGAATTGGGCTTGTCAGAGCTTGTAGATTCAGCTTTCTCACTCAACATCCATAAGCGTTTGTTCATTTCCATGATGAACTTCCTTTTTGATTCTTCCTTCTCATGTTGTTGGCGCGTTTTGGGCCCGTACTGTTGTGTCATTGTTCTTTGTTTCTTGTAGTCGAATCCAAGAAATTGGATTTTTACCCCATGTTCCTGACTAAGTCGTTGACACGCTCGATGAAGGGATTTTTCCATTTCTGCTTTTTCCTTGTCTTGCGACTTGTCGAGCGCTTGTTTCTTCTGAGGCGAATCTCCTTCTTTTTGTGATCGCGTTTTTCTCTTTCCGTGGCCACTCATTTTGGATAAACTCGAAGAATGAAGTTGCTGACCAAGCAGAGGGGTGGAGTCTTCTTATGAGGGGCGTTTTCCAGTTTTATACTGACCGCTCAAAATGAGATTTCAATAGCATCAATACATTCCGGGGAAAATTGACGTTGACGGGCGCGCATGTGCATGTACCAATACATAAGTTTATGTACTTGGTTAGCGCTCACTCGGCTGTCATGAAGCTGTTGCAATTTAACGACCGCTCACCCTGGCGTTCGGTCCTTGTGAGTAGGATCGTAAACCGGCAGCGCCAGCGGATCACACCATTTTTCAATGGAAACAGGATAGTTAGAACGCACGCTGGTTTGAAATTGACGTAGAAGCAGCTTGTCGCAATACTCTGGACACATCATTTTGTTAAAACGCAACGAAGTGTATTGGCGTCACTTGGCGTTTCACGAATTCACAAGTCCACCTCCACTCTGATTGACCGGCTGCGCGCTCAAGGTATCGTTAGCTCACCTAGCTTCCGTGACAGGTCTTGATGGCATTTGGGCGGGTCGCCAGATCTGCGGTTTCTCAGAGTCAACCTTTGACCTTTGTGGTCTTTCAGGAGCCTTTGATCATACCGGCAATTCTGACTTTCTCAGAGTGGGCTTGACCTTTTGTGGTTCCGATAGCTTTTGATGTTTTCACCGGTGTTATGGTCTTCTCAGTGTAATTATCATTTTGTAGCCTCTCTTTGATCTTTTTGCTGAGTTCGGTCATCTTTATCTCCAATTATTTTTCCTCTTTTCCTCATGATTTGTAATTCTACGTTACACTGGACTTTCCAGGGCCTTTAAATCTTATCTTCTTATATTAGTTTTTACTCTTCGCTGCATTCTTGAGCAGGGATATCGTCCTTTTGTCTTCTCACGATAAAGTTAGTTTCATTTTCGCTGAGCCAGGGGCTACAAGAACCTTCTTGGGCGAACCCTACTGTATTTTTCGGGATTAACCATCCTCTGGCGAATAATGTCCATTTGTCCCTGTCGTTGCTTTGTGAAAAACTTTCTTTTTAGTTGAGAAGAAAATAAGGGCGATGTTTCATTAAATTCTTGGATAAATGCGGTGCGGCTCTCTTAACCGCCGGAGATGACGCTCCCAGTTTTCGGCGCGGCTCTTCTTACCGCGAGGAAGTTTTGATAGGACTATCTTCCTCCAAATTTTTGATACGGCACGGCTCTAATAGCCGTCGAACTGGTCCAAGTTCCAATCGTAATTTAAGCGGCGCGGCTCAAAGATACAGGTTGTCAATCTCTATCTGTCCGCCGAGGTGTCTCTGTTCCTCCGAGGTACGCGTTGTTCTTTACCAACGTAAGTCACCAAATGTTATTTGGATAAGTGGCTGCTCTGCAGGTAGTCCCAGGTCGTCTGATCTCTACTCTAGCTGATAGCCTGCTTGCTGATCCAATATAGCTGATGGAATGACTGTCTGTCGATGCGGTCGCGAGACGTATACAAAGGGGCTCACAAAGAGCTTTCTTTATATATTTTATTTCAAATCATAATAAGTTAGTCAGTCCAGATCTCTCGCTAACCTAGCTATTTATGGTCAGTAGTGATAGCGCCTAATAAGGGCGCTCTCACTTACTTCCTTCACTAACAACCCTCTAAAATTTAGACTCTTAACAGCACTGAATATAATTATACTCTTCAAAAGATTCCTTTCCAAAAAGCCTGTCTATTGACGACTTCGATATATTTCTGTAGCTTTATGTAGATGCAATGACAGTTTTTTCGTTCTTTCAATTATCATATAAGTGTAATTATATGCCATATTAGACTTTTACGAGACTCAAAAGTAGACAGCTAATCAGAAGAAACAATTTTTATGTATTATGTACTTGAAGTAACTCTCCAGAAACATCCTGCTTCACTTCTTTTTACTAAAAGAATGCTCGCTGCGAATTTGAAACAAAGATATGAATATACAAATTATTTATTTAGTGGAATCCCATGAATCTATCAATCAAATAAGAAAACGCAGCAAAGCCTAGTCCTCCATAAAGACCAGGTTTGACTCCAACTCGTAGTCCCATTACTCCACCGACGATAAACCCAGTCGTTGGGGATGAGGTCCAGTCATGCCATCCTCGATAGCCATCTAAGTTAAATTCAAAGTCTGAAAAATAAAATGTGCGTACCAAGAAGGCATTCAGTTCCAGCAAACATGCCACCAATGAGGCCAAAGTTTTTGCCCGATCGATGCATTGCACCCTTCATCATTCGCCACTCGGCTCTCAAACCCTTCGGCTGTTCTCCCACAGTTCCAGTTGCCATGTTCATATCAGCCTGTCCACCGTAAAGGAAGAGACCCATCACGCAACCGAGCAAGTATCCCATTCCTCCGGCGATACCAGCTTTGACCCCGCAATGCTCGGTCATGTAATATCTAAATATCATAATTCTTCGTCGTCTTCAAGGCTTTCCTACCTCATTATCGGTCCCATAGGATCGTTTAGATAAGATTGTGCTTGAGGAAGAATCGGTGGTTGAAAATCTGGGTACATTTTGTTGTGCCATTTGTAATTGAGCCAGGTTATGACTTCGGACTTTCGGAGAGCTGGGTCGTGGAAATTCGGCGTTTTGAAAACATCTGGAGGTATTTTACTGGCAGTGTGCGAGTCATCATCCGACATTCTAGATGGAAATAAGGGCTGAGAGGATTGAAGGAATTAGAGATCCTCGCGGATCCAATTATTTTCGTAAACTTGGTCCTTAGGTATTTGATCTACAAAGTCTCTTCTCTCAAGAATAACTAGTGCTTCTTTGAACTGTATTGCGGGTGGCAGCGGCTCTAGAAAATCGTTGAATCGTGATAGAGATTCGATTCTTACCTATTCGTATGTGACTGTATTGAGCAACGACGCCAATATTTCTGTAGCTCTCAGTAAACGCCATGACGGTTTCCTCGTTGTTTTCCATTATTAGATGAGTGAAATTTCTTCGCATAATTTCCTCGTTTGATAAATCTTCCGACTTGTCATATTGCCAATTCTCGCAAAGTTGGCCAAATCTGGAGACACCTACGTAAAAATTTATTGAGATATATTTGTAATTTTGAAAAATTACCAGACTGAAGCGCTAAATTTGTTAAATGAACATTCACGTCGAATTGACAAGGAACATTGTTGTGCAGCTTTTCAAAGGCATGTCCGCCTGGATAATTGATTGCAGAAATAGCGGCAAAAAGCGTGGTGCCCAAAAATTAACAACAATTGTTCCGAATACACCAGTCCACACAAGACGCCAGAAAAACCCTCCACTCGCTTTTCTTCTTTGAAAGAATTCAAGTCCACAGGCGGAGGTGATGTTCAGCAGCGGAAAGACGTAAAAGATGAAGCGCAACTCCTTGTGAGGATTGAATGAATATGCGAAGATGAAAAAGAGCGAAGGTAACAAAAGTCGGTTACAGTGCCCAGGTCGCTGGAGGAATCCAAAAGGGATGAAAAGAAGGGACGTGAGACAAGCTCTTGGCAGTGCAGATTTGAAGTACCAGAGGAAAGGCATCACTCCCCAGGCAGAACTTTTCCCTTCGATCGCGTTGAAAATAAAGACTTGTCCTTCTGGCCAAATCCACTCGCCCCAGAACCATGAGTCAAAAGGGACTGTGGTAGCTAGAAAATGAATTAAAAATTGAAGAACGAAAGGATTCGCACCTAAAGAAACAATCGTTGAAAAAGTGCCAACAACAAGGAGTCGTCCAATCGAAATTTCTCTTGTCAAAAGTCCCATTATCAAGAATGATCCCATGAGCAAAGCAAGTTCGCATCGAATTGTCAGAATAGAAAAAGCGGAAAGAGCGATGAACTTGGCCAGCTCATTCCCAAGTGGCCAGCAGGAAAATGCGTAGAGAACGATGGGTAGCGAAATTGAGTTCGGTAGCGTTCTAGAGGCGTAAAACATCAAGTGCGGTTGAGAAACTGTCGTCAGGAGAAATAGAAAAGCAGCGGCGGAGGAGACCTTTTTCGGATGATTTTGGTGATTTTCGAAAGGGAAAAAGAGGTACACAGGCCAAGGAGAAGTCGCAGTAGAATCTGCATTGACGGCTTGTCGAGAAAGAACTTCATTGGGCGGATGATCGAGGAAAGAATGAAAATTGGCGCAGCTGTTCTTGGAACGACGCCGGGAAACTTTCGATGGTCGAAAGAATCAATCGAGTCTTCGTAAATGAAATCATGCGCGGCTTGGAGATAAAAGGACTCTTCTACTTTTGTGAAAGGCGCGATGAAGACATGGGCGGAAATAATAAGCTGGTAAATGACGATGGACCATTCCATTATCTGAAAGGTGGAGATTAAAAAAATGCATCGTTTTTCAAGTGTATTTTTGTGGTAACGAGATGTAGAAGAATGTTTTTGAAGAACTTTGAAGAAAGAAAGACATGCAACAGAAAGAAGAACAAAATGAAGAAATAACATTGAAGTTAAATTAAGAAATTTATCAGAAGACATAGGCCGGCCATGCATCTTCCACACGTCTGTCAGAAATGCCGTGAATGTAGTCGTTGTCCCACGCAGCAATAGTGGCGAATCCGATCGGCCGATGATCAGGCATCGTTTCCAAATGCACGGCGCCATGCGTTTTCAGCGTCGCGAACATTTCCGGAAATTGCTTCGGCATTCCCCCTTCAACGAGGACTTTTCCGGCGCTGCCGATTGTGACTCGCTCAGAGAACTCGCCGAAAAACAAGCCAGAGTGCTTGAGAAGCTCAGATCCAGAATTGACTATCGCATCAGGAGTTCCTGTACAAATTTAGTTGCGAGAAATTCAGAGTTTTTTTACCAGAAAGAGAAGTATACCGCCCACAAACGCCACAGTTTGGTCTAAAAATAATCGGAGAAGGGAAAATAGAATCAGCAACGAGCGGCTTTCCATAGCTAGAGAAGCAAATCATCAATCCGTTGATGTTCTGGCAATTTCCATTTTTTCTTGTTCCGACAGTTAGGGTTAGAGAAATCACTTCCGCATCGTCTCCAATCACTAAAAGTGTAGATAATTTTTTCAGGAATAATTCCTTCGTACCATTAACGAAAGCAGCGTGGTAGGGATTTTTCCAAGGCGAAGCGAGAGGTTTCATTCCTTGCATAATTTTCTCCTCGTCGTAGAGAATTTCTTTGTAGATTTCATTGATCGCGCGGGTGATGTTTTCCATGATGTAGTTGTAGCCTACTGTTGAAGCGCGAAACATGGCGTTTGCTACTGTTGTTGGAAACATAGCATCTGATCGTTTGTAGGGACTGAAAAGAGGATAAATTCTGGATATCAGAAAGTGGAATAAATTTGACTAGAATTGTCAGAAGTTCTGACTCAGAACTAACCTTTTATCCGGGTACCCTCCCAATCCCTGGGCAAAATCGAAAATCCAGGGATTCGGAGGGTCAAATCCAAAATGTTCTAGAAATGTCTTTTAGCTATTTTACATCGGGTTCATTGATAAGTTTTTCTAATAATTCGTTAGGGTTGAAATCAAAACATCTTTAGCGAACTTATTTTCATGCGTAAATGCAATATTATTTTGCATGCATTAAAATGTAAGCCTCAAAATCGTAATTAATATCGTCTGATAATTATACTGATAAAAATGTCGGTTGGAAAATTACTTTTTGCTTCTATTCGATTTCCTCCTTTAAGGGTTAGTGTTGAATCAAACATGACATTCAAGCTATCTTGTAAAACCCTTAAATTTTTGATATATTTTGAAAAATGATGAATAAAAGATGTTTTTTGATCACTTGTAGGGGTGTTCTAGAACATCACCCTCCGAATCCCTGGACTTTCCCCAAAAACCCAGGGATTCGGAGGGTGCCCAGGGATTCGGAGGGTCACCCCTTTTATCGATCAATCCAAGCGCAAACAAAATCCTGGCTGAGTCAGGATGAGCCTCAATCCTGCCATTCGTGATATTCAAATGAATCGAATTGACTGGTCTGATCTTCTTGTCGAAGTCGAGAAGCGCGTGATAGCTCTGGTTGTTCCCGTTGTTGGACAAAGTCGCCCACAAATCTCCTTTTTCCAAGTCAGAATCGCCCTTGTCATAAAAACTCCTGGGATTCTTCGAAAGAAGTTTGAGACTTTTGAGAAGACTGGCAGATGGATTCAGGGGCATTTTGACAGGATCGTCGAGGGGTCGTTCAATGAAATCGATCGCCTTCAGGATGAGGTCTTCTAGTTTTGTGTCGATGATCGGCAGTTTTGAATGAGTATAAGCAAAGGATGGGATTCGGTCGAAGCCGTTATCGTAGCTTGCCATTTTGCGGTTTGATTTTTGCTTGAAAGGGTTGGTTTCTAAGCTTTAGAAAATGAAAAATGATTTTCTGATGAATTGTTTTTAATTCTATTCACTAGAAAATGTTTTTCATTGATTTTAAATTATTTTCATTCATCCTGAAAACCGGTTCACATCCTAAAGCGATTCGATAGCCTGCCGGTCAGAGGTCTGACAATTCTAGTCTTCGAATAGATCAACCAAAAAGACAACCCGGTCCTTCAGATAAAGCATGCCAGCCATAAAACCAGGAATCGCCTTGTCCTCTCCTCTTCCCGTAAAATCAAGATATTCGGTTGGTCGAGAAGAGTTGATGAAAAGCATGGACGCCATTCCACCGCCACCGAGAGAAACTTGCTCCGGATTCGTCGCCAAAAGACACAAACTCGTCAAAATCGCAGCGTCGTAACTATTCCTGGTGAATTTCAAATGATCGCTTCCGAATTTCGAACAAGCAGAATTCGAGCTGGCTACGACTCCGTGTTGCTTGATCGGACCTTTTCCCAGATTTGCCTCAAAAATCATCGCGATCGTCAAAACAAAGGAAGAAAACGCGAAGCAAAGACAAAGGCCTCGAAAATCATCGCTCCTTAGCCAGCGGATGAATTTACGAAGAGGATTTTCGAAGGGATCTTCTGAGACTTCGCGGAATTCGGAATTCGACATGAGTCAAATTTACGATTTTCTCTTAAAATAAAGAGTTTTGATTATTTTTTGAGATCATGAACTTTTAACATTTTCACTCTTTTTCAGCAACGGATCATAAACGTCAATGTTCACAGAAAAAGAAGAAGACTCATTTTCGAGCTCCGGCAATTTGAAACGGTGATTTTTTAGAATTGTGAAAAAGTTGACTTGGCGGAATTTTCGCTTCTTTCTTTCGACTTTGTGTTGTCCCATTGACTTGATCAGTTTCGCGGATAAACCATCGATTCCGATGATGTTGGCGAATCCAGCTAATGCGTCTTGGATGCACTTTGGGACTTCTTCAATTAGGCTCGGATTAAATTCAAAAATTCAATAAAGAAAACTTAAAAAAAGACGATTCCTGATATTAGGATAAACAATTTAGGATATAAAACAAGCCGAAAATTTAGGTGAATGCGTTAAAAATGGGAGCCCGAATCTGTGTCGACCAAAACAACCTTCGCATTTTTCTTCCTGATCGCATTCATCGCCGATTTTCTTCCCAGACAAAAACCATTCTTCTTTGCCTTCTCCAACGTGTATTCCTTACAGTCATCTTGTGCAATTCGTATCAGCTCGTGAACTTGTTCTTTTGAAAACCGTCGTCTGGTGGGAGGAAGAAGCGAGGCTTTGATTTGAATGTGTTTCTTTCCCGCGCTTTTCTGCCCTAGAAATTTGTAAAAGAATATTCGATGAAGATGACCACCTTTTTGCGTCTTTGTTTGGGTCATTTTGCGCAATCTCCCGGATACAAGCAGCCGTCCCTTCTTTTCTTCGATTTCAATCAAGAGAGCCCTCAGGCTGAGAGAAAATGTGATTAGTAAATTGTGGACTATCGGTGGTAGAATTGATGGAGTGGAAATTCCATACAAGCAGGTTTGAAGAAATTTTTTAAATATTTTAGTCTATATTTACCAATCAAACAGGAAAATTAAAATACACGGACTAAAAATTTAGAAACCTATTTGTGGTTTTCAGAAATCGAGAAAATTCAGATTTTCTCTTTCGCCTGAAAAAGTCGATAAATCAAAACCTTTCTGAAAAAAGGGTTGAACAATCGGCGCTCTTCCAGGAGTTTCCTCTATCGATTAGATTACGTCAGCGCGGCTCAGCCAATCAGCAACTTCAAACTCCGCGAGACGTGGCCCGGGCTCTGCCGAATTTTTCGGATCATCCACTTTTTCAACAAGAAAGAAAATGAAGAATTGAGAGATTCGAAGAAAATTTACGAATAAATGAAGATCGCTATCAACTCACGCTAGAGACAACTAGAAAAATTCAAATAATTAAATTGTTAAAATGCTTCATGACAGATATTTCGCTCAACTTCCCTCCATATATTCGAAAATCATTATTTTTAGAAATTAAAATTAAAAAACTATTTGCTTTTATGAAGTATCAACATCTTTGTATCATTATTGATTAAAATTTTTAGATTGGGTCGGTGATCGGAGCTACCTAGAAAAAACGGTAAATAAAAGCTCGAAAAAAATCTCTTGTTTTCACGAAGCTACGATTCTGAAAAAAAAATGTGTCTCCCCTTCTCCAAGATCTCAGTGTTAAACCTTGACCAAAAGAAATTTCTTATCCTTTTACTAAAAATTCATACTCAAGGTTTTTTGCTCTAGAAAACTTGCTTCGTCGAAAGCTGCTGATAAAGAGTTAATTTTGCGATACCGTTATTGTTTCGCAAAATTCAATTTCTTTAAAATTTATTTTTTTGAAAAGTTTCGCTAATTCAGTGGAGACCCTTATTGTTCCACTGAATTGAGCCAAACAAAAACGGTCAAATTTATTTCTGGTCACCAAAGTCACCAGAAGGTGGTTTTTCAATCTCATTTCACCTTCTGCTGGCTCTGGTCGGCATCTCCCCTTTTTCATGAATTTCAATGAGACTTCTTTTTCAAAGATTTTTTCCCAAAAAAGAGAATCTTTGAAAAGCTTTCTTATTAAAATTCATGCTTTTTTGGACTATCCTCCTGTTTCTGGTTTCTCGATTTTGATCCAGGTCAATGTGGGAAATCAGTAGCTTCTCAATTACTAAATTAACCCTTTCTTCATTATTATTTATCGTTTAATATTTTATGTTTCGTAAAGAACGTTCAAATTTGGATTTCCCTTTTTAAAATTGTTGTTTTCATAAAGAGCCATGGCGGATCTTGACGATGCACTTGTCTCTTACTTGAGCGACAAATACAACGGAGAAGGAAATGGAGACAACGACGCAATTATGAATGAAATTGACGATCTTCCTGACAGGTAAAAATAGGCCCCTTCTTTTCTGGTTGAAATCAAGGAAGAGTAACTCCAAGAAATCCTCCCTAATTTTCTATTCTAGCGCGTCTATGGCCGGTTCTGACCGAAGTTCTTCCTCTGACTCTGATTCTGGCTCATCTTCTGATGCTGATACTGTGCTTGATGATAAACGAGCTACTGATGAAAAAGACAGGCTTCGCAGAAAGAAAAGACGAGAAGAAAAGCGCGAACGGTAAGCCTTCCCCTAAGATGAGTTCTTACATTACATGTATTTTCCAGAAAGCGCGCGAAGGAGGAAAAGAAACGAGCAAAGAAAGCGAAAAAGGAGCGCAAACGAAAACGAGAAAAAGAACGAGAGTCAAAGGACAAGAAGCGAAGGCGGGACAGAGACTCCCGAGATCGCTCCGAATCCCGAAGCCGAGATTCCCGAAGCTCGAGTCGCAGAAGAGACGATCGCTCGAGCTCTCGTTCGCGACGCTCGCCATCGACCGACTCGGTCCGATCATTCCGGTCCGTCCACGCTGATTTTCGATATGGAGACAAGGAGCGCTCCCGATCATATTCAAGAGCTCGCTCGCGTTCTCCAGGTTCTCGATCGACTCGTTCCGAACGTCCTTATCGACGAGATTCGAGTTCTTCTGATCGTGATCGTCGACGATCTCGCTCGCGCTCTCCTGACCGAAAGAGCCGCAAAGGCATCAAGGAATACGGCAGCGCTGGAATGAAGACCATCCCGCCGCCACAAGATCTCTATTCTAATCGAGAGCACCCCGAAGAAAAGAAACACTCGGACGATGACGAAGATGATAAATATGCCGGAACCGGGTTGACAAAAGAGGACAAAATGAAACTCCTCGAGATCGCCAAGAAAAACGCACTCAATGTTCACGGTGGTTTGAACAAAAACGAGTCTATTGCCATGAGAGCTGGTGGTTTGACGATCGAGCAGTTGACTGCAAAAGCGGCGCGAATTCAGTCCGGAAAGGACGATCCAATTAGTGAGGATATTCCAGATGATATGTTGAACCATCCGTTCGCTGTTGAAGAGAAAGCGCCGGAGCAGCTTACTTTTAGGCCAGGGTTCAAGATAAAAATTCATATCAACATGGAATCTAGTGATTTCTTTTGATGATAACATATCATTCATAAGAACTTTATTGAACCTTGTTTCAGACCAATCTTCCTCAAGCCCAAGCAAACCGATCCCCTTGCCCTCCCAGCTGATGCTTCCATGGCGCAATTAACAAAATCCTTCCCCGTCTCTGCCGGTATCCAGCATCGAGAAGTCATCACCGACTACAACGAAGACGACGGTGTTGGTGAGTGGACAGAAGGCGACGTGGGCGGTGATGAAAACGAAGAAATGGCCGTGGACGAACAAAACGGAGAGAAAAAACTGAACATGGGCGATATTCAAAGTGCCATCGCCGATCGGGTTAATGCGATGCGCAAGCTTCAAGAAAATCCCGAAGACACAGAGGCTCAGAATCAAATGGCAGCAGCGCAGGAGCTTCTTTCTAAGTGGAAAGGAAGCGACCTTCCGGAAGAGAACAAAATCATGCCGATGTCATGGGCTGAGCTCAACACTGGAAATCCAGCCTGGGCAAAGCAGGAGCAATTCCACGTAGCAAGAAAAGTCACTGGACTTGGTCGAAAGCTGCTGGAAAAGATGGGCTGGCAGGAAGGCATGGGCTTGGGCAAAAATGCCCAAGGAAACGCTGAACCACTGGTCTTAGACTTTAAGATCAACAGAGAAGGTCTTTCTGCAGCTGAAGACAACAAAGAGTCACAATCGTTCATGGGCAGAAAGGTTGAAAGATCAGGGGGAGGATTGAATTACAGATATTTTTAGGGTTTTGCTGGTGGAATTGTAAAAGATCTGTCTGGTAAGCACCCTGTATCCGCTCTTATGGAAGTTTGCTCGAAACGACGATGGGGTCAGCCAGAATTCACTCTTGTTACGGATACCAGCGCAGGGAATAATCGCTCCTTTTTATACAAAGTAAGTCACATGCTCCCCCGACCAGTTCTTTTATTTATTCAGGTCCGCGTGTACGATACAGAGTACCAGCCAGCAACACCTTCGCTCAACAAAAAGACCGGCAAAGCTGCGGCAGCCACGGTCGCACTCCAAGCTCTCGGTCTTGTCCCACGCGCCGCTTCATAAAAAAAGTCTATCGTCTTTACTTTCTTCTTTTTTCGTTTGAAACTCACTTGCGCCGCTTTAATTATTCCTGCCGAGAGTCGCCTCTTAAAAACCACTAGTTGAATTCATGTTAAAAAGCCTGATTGTATAAAACTATCGGTTCAGAAATGGATGAACCACCAGCAGAGCCACCAGTTGGTGGAGAAGAAGTCAACCCAGCTCCTCCGGGGGTTCCATTAATCACACAAAGTAAGATAATCCCTCTCATTATCAACTAAAACCTCCACTCATCTAGCCTTTGGGAATATAAGCGGATTCTTCGCTGCTTACGGCTGGTACATCGTTGCCGGATTCGTCATCTTCAGCTTCGTCTGGAAGAACCTAGAAGAGAAGATCGCGCGATTCCAAAGATCCATCGAAGACGGTCGCATCAAAAAAGATCCAGACACGGTAAACAGAATGGAAGAAGAACGATTCAACCGACTTGAGCGGCTTCAAAAAGAATTCGATGAGGTAGTGATCCTTCATTTTATCGAGATTAATTTTTTCTTAGAAAGCGATTATAAGAAAAGCTCGAGAAGACGAAATCGCCGCTGAGAAAGCTGAGCGTGAAAAACTCCGACAAACCCTGAAGTTGCCCGATATGAGGAGGAGAAAGCTACAAAGGCTGGCAATTCCTCTTCTTCTGGAGCGCAAAAGAGCACTTCCGGTGCCAAGCAACGTGGAAGCACTTTTAAACGAGGCGAATACAACCCGTTGACTGGTGCTGGCGGAGGAAGCAGTAGATTCAACCCAGGTACAATATTTTTTCTCAAGAGAAACGACAATAATGGAACATTCTTCAGCTCGACGAGGCCCTTCCCGAGGCGGATGAGGATAATTCCTGCTGGTTGTAATTAAATAGCAACCAGCGTGCCGCTTGAAGCTGAGATTCACTCAACTTTCTTGAGCCAATGAAGCCTGTGAATCAAACGGCTACGGTCGCCTTCACTAGCTGACAACAATCTCAAATAGCTTCAAGAAGTAAATTCTCTATTCTGAAGTGTGCAATTCAAGTGAATTTCTTTGATTTCTTTTTCTGTCATCCTGATTTCATTAAACTGATAACTTATTATTACTAACCTGTTTTGATAGTTTGTTCAAAATACATTTATTCATAGATCTACTCCTAGAACTTTGTCTTTTTGAATATGGGTCGCGGAGGTCGAGGATTCGGTGGTTTCGGTGGCCGAGGAGGTTCTCCATCTCGAGCTCCTCCAGCAGCCGCACCTCGAGCTGCTCCTGCTCCTCCAGCAGCTGCACCTGCTGCAGGTTAGCATGCTTTTCCGTAGAGTGCGTTGTATCTTATTCTAGCTCCACGGGCTCCTGGTCTTATGGGACAAATGGCAGCCACGGCTGGTGGTGTTGCTATTGGATCCGTCGTTGGTCACGGTCTTTCTAACGTAAGAAATTGTCGCTGATATTCGAGAAGCGGCAAGCGACAACATGAACTCTTTGTTAAACTCGTTTGTAGGCTATCTTCGGCGGTGGAAGCCAGGGTGGTGCTGCTCCAGCTCAGGGGGCCCCAGCTGCTGCCCCTGCCGCCGCTGGCGGAGCTTACGGCGAGCAGCAAGCTCAGCCCACTCCTTGCGAAGGCGAAATGGGTCAATTCGTTCAGTGCTCGCTCAACGCTGGGGACATTCAGGATTGCATCGGATATTTGGACATGCTGAAGAACTGCCGAGACCGAGTGATGGCTCAGTACCAGTAAATCCCCTGTATCTGATTATTTATTGAAAAGAAACTTGTACCAGAAAGAAAAATGATTAAATTAGTTCAAGGAAAATAATTCGCACAGTAGTCTATTGAAATTTGGCAATAATTTATTGCAGTATCTGACAAAGCATTTGAGCTCGAGCAAGACACAATCATAGCAGCAAAGCTGATCTATCACTATTTTTGTTCAGAAATTTGATCTGAAAAGAAATGAATTCGGAAAAGAGTCTGACAGAGCTCATAAAATCAATGCAAATCGCTAAGAAGCATGTAGAACCGTCAAATATCAACAGGTACCTTTTCCTCCGTAGTGCAGGTGATTACAGTTTTATTCAGTGTATGCGTTTCATTTGATGGTGAATCGATTGTTACTGCTTCTGATGGCGATACAGTCACGTTGTACTCATGTGCCGATGGAGGGATGAAAAGATTACTTCATTCGAAGAAATATGGGTGCGAGAATGTCAAGTTTACGCATCACGAAAGCCAGATCTTGTACAGTTCCTCTAGAGGAAATGATCATGCGATTCGTTATCACTCGCTTCATACCAACCAATACATTCGTCATTTCCAAGGTAAATTTCCCACAACTTGCATAAATACTTATTATTTCAAATTAGGACATACTGATCGAGTGAGATGTCTGGCAATGTCCCCGACAGATGACTACTTCATGTCTTGTGGTGAAGACAACACTTTGAGATTTTGGGATTTGCGGTCCCCAAATTGCTGCGGAATGATGGAAACAAAAGGTGTTCCGATTGGAACATTTGATCCTGAAGGGTTAATCTTCGCCGTGGGAATCGACTCCCATCTCATTAGACTTTATGATCTTAAATCGTATCATCAGGGTCCATTTTCGACATTCCAACAAGTGTAAGTCTTCTATTATTATTCCTTCCCTCAGTTTAATTATTGTTCAATAGGCCAGATACGAGTCTAAATTGGATAGGACTAGAATTCTCGCTCGAAGGAAGCAAAATCCTCATTTCAACAAACGGCCAGCACATGAAAATAATCGACGCATACGATGGCAAAACAAAAGCGCTTTTAGGCAATTATCAGAATACTGCTCAACTACCGCTCAACGCTGTTTTCTCGCCTGATGGAGCTACAGTAGCTTGTGGAACAGAAGATGGATTTATTCACCTTTGGGAGTCAGAGGTATTTTGTTATCTCTTCGTAGTTTTCTCCGAAATTATCCGGGCGTTCTTTTGAGGACAAAAAGTGGGAGTTCAGTTTTTCTCAAAAAAAATGTTAATTTCATCATAATAAAATTTTTATTCCTTTATACTATCAGTCATTTTCTAGCAAGACCTTATTGAATAAATATTCATCTTGAAGTTTCATTTTACAAAAAAAAAAAACATTATTATTCTGCAGCCAGCTGATCAAAACCTGTGTAATCTTGAAGTTTCATTTTTGCTCGTACTTACGGCCAGCAGTCGCTCTATTTTATTGGGAATTTCTTCCAAAAGAGGGCGTACAGTAATTACCGTTGCGCTCTCACTTTTGCGGCGGTGAAAAATCTCGATCTGAAGCCCCATCAGATCGAGATTTAGCGCGAGGCGTGTATTTTCTGAGACGTACAACACCTACCACACTCCCCGCAGATCAGAGACGCGCTTTTTTTAAGGTTGGGCAAGTTATTTCACCCACTTCTTGATTTTAAACCCTTGAACACCATACATATTTGGAATCAGCAGGAAATTTTAAGAACTTTGACCGTTTTAGTTTCCAAAATTTCCACTTCCGGTCCGATTCTAGAGCCGGAAGTTGACGAAATTTTGAGTTTGGCCAACTTGTGACCTATCAAATTGATTCTCAGAAGATTTCCTATCATCTGAGAGAAAATCAATGCCGACCGCGGTCAAATCAACCGCTAAAAACTGAAAGAAAAATCAGAAATTTATGCCTTTTTTCCTATTTTTGCCGGTCGGTTTGACTGCGGTTGGGACGGTTTCTTTGAATGATTTTAAGATGAGTTTACTCAAAATTTTCTGAGCATCAATTTGATAGGTCACAAGTTGGCCAAACTCAAAATTTCGTCCACTTCCGGCTCTAGAATCGGACCGGAAGTGGAAATTTTGGAAACTAAAACGGTCAAAGTTCTTAAAATTTCCTGCTGATTCCAAATATGTATGGTGTTCCAGGATTTAAAATCAAGAAGTGGGTGAAATAACTTGCCCAACCTTAAAAAATGCGCGTCAGAGCTTTCCCGAGCGCGCACCAATCAGAGCGCGGCGTGAAATAAGCGCCCTCACTCGGAAATAAAATCAAGAATGAAGGTTAATTAAAATAAACGGTTTTTTGACAGGATTAATGAATTGAAAACTTATTTTTTTCTTTAAGGACCCCCCCATCAAGATGAATTTGGTCAAAATTATCTGTATTTTTTGGTCATTTTGGGTTCTTTGGACAACGAGGAGAAACTTTTATGTTGAAAATTTTTCGCTGCTATAGAAATTTTTGACGAAAATTGGCTTTAAAAAGTGGAAATTTGCATTATATTTTTATGAAAATCCTTGGTTTGCTATATTTTCTTTATAATTAAGGGTATACCCATCTTAAAATGCATCTCCATCACAAAAACAGTTAGAAAAACATAATCGAAGGCAGTTTTTTAAAGAAAACTTAAAATTGAAATCTGTAAATTTTTCTTATATTCGACTTATAAATTTTTAAAGGGTGTGTCCTCCTAAAGTTCGTTGACCAAAAACTCTCAAAAGAGAAACGGTCGTAGCTTAGGGCCTTAACTATATCCTGTAAAAAAATTAAGGGTATACCTCAACTAAAATCCTTAAAAAAACTTTCACTAAGCAACTTTACCTTTAAGGGCCTGTATACCCTTAAATTTGTAATCGAGAGATTATCATAAGGGTAACGGTTGCAGCCGAGGGTTGAATCTAAAGGTAGCAAGTGAAAGTAAGGATCTACCTAAGATAGTTTCTGAGAAAAACTTTCACTAAAATGGCTCATTTTCACGATTCTTGATGGGGGGGTCCTTAAAAGGCGGTTATTTTATAATAATCTTTTAATAATATAATATCATAATAATAATATAGGTACATATAATGTAGTTTAAATAAATTAATCGATTATTAAACTAAATATTATTGGCTTTTCCACACTCAATCCCGGCTTCACCAACTTTAATCTTTGCTTCAACAACTTCGATCCTAGCTTTACAGACGTCAATCCTGGTCGCTCCAGCGTCAATCCCGGCTTCTTAAGATCCGATCCGGGCGTCACTTTCTTCAATCCGAGCTTCTCAGATGCCAGTCCCGGCTTTAAAATTTTCTTTTATTGCTTCTTGAATAATAATCAATAAAATTGACGTTGGAAAAGGCCGAGAAAGGCCGTCAAGCCCCTTAAATTAAAAAATCAAGAATCGGGGCTGAGACGGCCCGAAGGGCCGTCAAGCCCCTTAAATTAAAAATCAAGAATCGGGGCTGAGACGGCCCGAAGGGCCGTCAAGCCACTTAAATTAAAAATCAAGAATCGGGGCTGAGACGGCCCGAAGGGCCGTCAAGCCCCTTAAATTAAAAAATCAAGAATCGGGGCTGAGACGGCCCGAAGGGCCGTCAAGCCCCTTAAATTAAAAAATCAAGAATCGAAGAATCCTAGAATTAGGATTTTAGTTTGTGACGCTAGGATCGGCATTAAGAAGCCGAAATCGACGCTGGAGATGCCACAATGGACGTTCGAGTCACCAGGATTGACGTCTGAAAAGCTAGGATCGAAGTTGTTGAAGCTGGGATTGAAGTTGATGAAGCCGGGACTGACTGTGGACAATCTTAATCAATTCACATCGCATTTTACCCAACTTGGGGAAACAGCGACTTTGGCAAACGGAGACCACTCGATTATTTTGTTTATAATAAGATGTTAAAAGACATATCAGTTGAGCCAGTAAGAATATGCAGAAAAAACTGCACAAGAAAATGTCTTAATTACTTTTATAATTATATTAAAGAAGAGTTTCTAATTAGCAAAGGAAGATTTTTCCTCTTCTTAGAGCGCGCTGCTCCTTAGCGCCCCCACAAGGCCGACCCTCAAGTCAATTTTTCCCCTGCTTCGAGAATGTTACGTCATTCCGGGTAATAACCACACCGCAGGCCCAAGCGCAAGTGCGCCTGGATTTTTAGCGCACCGCCTCGCGAGTGAAATCGCAACGGTAATCCCCTCTCAGCGGGTGGTGATCGAATTTCGATCATCGATCTTGATTCTTATCGTTCTTTCTCTTCCTGGACCAGGAATCCTGGTAACTTATGTTCGAAAATCGAACCAATTATTTTGTTCGCATATGGGCCCACCAAGTGTAGGAGAAAAGTTTGAAGACAAGTCACTTGTCGCAAATTTTGTTAATTTCTACGTCCGAAAAGTCGAGGTTTCGAAATTGAGTTAAATCTTCAGAAAGGCGAACACATCGGGAAACTCGACGGTCGTCATCCAAATGCTGTTTGTGCCGTCACATTCAACCAGTCATCAGATATGTTCATTTCCGCTTGTTCTCAACTGTGTTTTTGGCTACCCGACGAGAAATATGACTAACTATCTGTTCTGCTGTCTGCCTACAGTTACAATAATTGTACTACTGCCAAATGCTTCATCAAAAATCTTCTTGAGCTTCGGGTTTTCAGACTCTTTTATCGTGAAAACAGAGACCTTCGAAATTGACCCTCTTTCTCGCGAATGAATGATGAGATAACCTCTGGAAGGACTGTGGAAGTAGAAGAGTACTATTCAGATGAGGAGGACTACGAGGATCCAAATCCACCGCAACAGTCGATCTTCCAACTTTACGACCACGACGACTACTTTTCCGACGACGATGGTGGCCCTATCTTCCGCCAGGTCACCGAGCAGATCATAGACACGAGCGGTCAGCGGCGGAAGAATTACAAAGTTCTTTATGGCTGGCTATTTGGAAATTTACTGGGCGAAGGGAGCTATGCCAAGGTTAAAGAAGTCCTTCACACAGAAACGCTCCAGCGAGCCGCCGTCAAAATCATCAAAAAGCAAAGGCTGAGGAGAATACCTAATGGAGACTCCAATGTAAAAAAAGTACTGTAGCATAACTGGAGGTATTCTGCTTACAGCGATTTTTAGGAGCTGAAAATACTCAGAAACCTCAAACATTCAAATATCATTCACCTCATCGACTTCCAATACAACCCCCAGAAGGAAAAAATCTATTTCTGTATGTTTTGCCTTTTTAGTACCATTTCAACAGTTATCTTTTCAGTCATGGAATATTGCGTAATTACACTTCAAAATCTACTCGACCTTGCGCCTGACAAGAAATTGCCTATCCACCAAACTCATCGTTATTTTGTACAAGTTTGGTAGCCATTACCATCCTTCAATTTCAGCTAATATTTTTAGCTAATCAATGGCCTTGAATACCTTCACAGCATACGCGTAATTCATAAAGACATCAAACCTGGAAACCTTTTACTCAATGCCGAACAAACCCTCAAAATCACCGACTTCGGCGTAGCCGAGCAGCTAGAATTGTTCCAAGATCACATGACCTGCACAATTGCAAATGGAACGCCCCAGTTCCAGGTATTAATAAACTATATTTTCCCCAGCCCTAATTTTCTCCTAGCCACCGGAAATAGCCGCTGGAGAATCGGAATTCAACGGTCCGGCAGTTGATGTTTGGGCAGCGGGCGTGACCCTATTCAACTGCTGTACGGGCTCATATCCTTTCACAGGTAAAGTCTGGCAATGAGATACCGTCTCGAACTCATTCAGGCGAAAATGTTTACAATCTCTACGAAAAAATCGAAGAATGTGTTCTTATACTGCCAAAACTGGTAATTTTCCGTTCAATCCTTCAAGATCGTAGGCTCTTTTTAGACAAACGATATTCTTGCAAAAGACTGGGATACTATAATGCATGGCATGCTCGCAAAAGACTACAGACAACGTTTTACAACGGCTCAAATCCGAAAATCGATCTGGTTCCAGAGGCATCGGCCGGCGCTGGAGCCCGATTTCTTTGAGAAAGTCCCGGCTATTCAAAAAGAACTGAAGCAAAACTCATCATCTTGTTATGCTGCGCTTTGTAGAATGCATGATATTCCCATGTAAGTCGTTTTATCAAGCTTGATTACTGCGTACTTCTCTATGATTTCAAGAAGTTTAATGTTTATTCTTAGTGGGGAGGATTTGCTGCCAGAATCACCAACAATCAACATAATGGAAGCAATAAATCAAATATCGGTAACAGACGGGGAAATCTACCACTCGGAACCGATGATGCTCGGTCACGGGCGGACTGCTAGTCTTCCTTACAGAGCTGTCATGGCCACCTCTAATGTTGAGGTAGCTGATACAACGTCGCTCGCCAGTCGTCGTCAATCAAGTGAGTTTCCTACTCATTTGCGAGTTCTAACTCGTTTATAAGAATCATCAAAGTCAAAGCCAGGTCGCTGCAAGCCCAGCTAAACGAGTTCCAATTCATAAGCCAAAGAATGATTCCTCAAAGTCCAAATCAAAAACAGAATGAAAAAATCCATATCAACAACGGTGTCCGTTCTCGCAAGTCAATGTTCTACTTCTACTATCTTCTACCAGTTATCTCTTGTTCTACTATTCATTTGCTTTGCTGCTATAAACTTAATAAAGTGCTTCTTTGATACATTGGAAATAACTCGAAGAAATATTCATGCTGCATGAATCATGCATATTATATCCATGATATTTTTCAAAGAGGAAAGATGAATGCAGGTTTATATTTTTATTAAAATATATTTCATACAGTTATGCTCGATAACTTATACAGGTCCTGATATTTTATACCGAACATATGGTCGTATTCTTCAGAGGTACAGGTAATTTAGTTTTCATTTTATAGTTTGATTAAAAACAGTCCCGCGTATGAAAGTGATATTTTGCCAGCAGCAACGAGTGAAAACATTATTCATTTTAAATTTTTTTCCATAATAATTTTACATGTGTAGTTAACCAGTCTTCCCCTTCAATTTATGCCGAAGTCATTCCAAAAGAGGGCGCTACAGAATGGTGGATAAGACGTCAGATGGCAATCTAAGATACCCTTACTCTCAGCAGGAGAACGAAGGGGACTAAAATCAGGATGGTTATCTAAGGTAATATTTCAGGTGAAAAAATTTCCTCCAAAAAAAATCAACAGAGTGGAGATAAAATACATTGAGCATCATAGGCGTCATTTTCCTAGACATATATCTTTCCTAGCGAATTTTAAGTGTTTCACTAAGTCCCTAAAACAGACAAAACAAACTACCCGCGTCTGCCATGCAATTAGAAATTGCACAAGTCCTGGAGTTTAATCTGCTTATAAACAAACAGCGACAGTAGTTAGGTTGAGTGATAAGTGTCGTAGCTAGATAATCGCAGCAGTGGCCAAGTCAGCTGCAGCTCTTTTATTCAAATAAGTGAGTACTATGATCGTCACCTTGCCAAGTGCGACTAAAAATGTTTTTCCAAGGCTCGCATGCTCAGATTTAATTTAATCTGAACTTTTAATCCGCGCTCAATGATTTCGCCGCTAGTTTTGCTTTTTGCCTCGTGTTGCGCACAATATTACTGTAAGAGAGACAACTCCTAGAAGACGAATGAAACTGACAATGATTTATAGATCCTCCTTATCCGCCCATACTCGCCTACCCGCAGCAATACCCGTTAGGCTATGCACAGTCATTTCAATACCCAAGGCCGGGACCGCAGGTTTATTGCGCTAGAATTTACTCCATCAATGACAATCGCGGTATTTAATCATAAAATTATCAACAAAAGTTAAACGAACCTCCTTATTTTTGACATAAATTGAATAAATAGAGCGATTTAAATTAAGATATTTGCCCCAAAATATAAAAAAAATAATTTTCTTGCTTAGAATTTCATGAAAAAATATTATCTTATCAGTCTATCAGATTAAATTAAACCGGAAAGATGAAACGTTCTATAGGAATTTTATTTTATTCTGGTTTCCGAAAATTCTACGTCTTTTTGTTTCAGCTGAAAATATTTTCTTTCAGGACAAAAATGCGGGTTCAATGGACGCAGAAAGTTATTTTGCCTTTAAAGATGACGAAAAGAAGGAAACTGTTGGCCAAATGCTTGTCATGCTGATTGATACTATAAACAAGAAGATTGAGGTACTGTTTATATGCGCCCAATTATCACATTACCCGTATCAGTAGTAATAAAAGCGCTTAAAATTAATTCAGGTTCAAAATGAAAAGTCAGAAGACTTGGAAAGCCTCATTCAAGAAATCGCACTAGGTACTCTTTTTACAAAAGGTTTGATTATTCTAGAGGCGTGTTTCGTTAACAGTGCTGATAGATTGATACTTTTAAAGATTTACAGCGCGAATAGTACCTTTTGAACCCTTGTTTTAGAAACTGAAAAAGGGTCAACCAACGAAGATATGGAAAAGTTCATCGAGCAGAAATTCTCGCTGCTGAATGCGAATTTGGAGCTTCAAATTGAAAAGCGGGTGGAAGACCGGCTCAAGTTGTTATCCACTCGTATGTTTAAAAAAGGATGTTTCCAATGTAGGAATTAAAATTTTAAGAAATGAGTGCCCAATTGTCGGAACTAATGAAGGCCCGAGAGGCTAAGCTGATTGAAGAACTCAGTCCTCATCCGGGCGCAGAGAGAGGAAACTCCCGGAAACAAAACAAAGGCCGCAAGAAAAATGGAGGCCATCATTCTAGGAATAAACAAACGGAAAAGGCAGAAGCCACGCCCGGCAATATTCCAAAATCGACAAATGAGCAACAACAAGAATCTGCTTTTAGGATCAACAAGAATCCCGAAGAATCCAAAAATAGAGCGGACAAAGTCGAAACAACGACAGAGGGTTCGCAGAACATGAATTATGACGAAAATAGAAAATTGCAAAAACAAAACCCCAAAACACAGCAGCAATTTATCATTCCGACTATTATTCCAATTACCTCAACATCGGGAAGAACAACACAGACGCCGATTACACAGCAGCTGACTTTAACGCCGCTGTCAATCGGTAAAGCAACGATCAAATCAACAACAACAACTAGAAAGACAGCACCTCGACCAACCACAAAAGCGATCACATCTACCATGAGACCCCAGAAAATGCAAAAACCATCCGTTCAAATCCGATTTCCAAATACAACTGAATCATCGACGACAACGTCAGCAACAACTACAACCACGACAACTAGAACCACAACAACGACCAGCACAACAACGTCAACAACAACGTCAACGAAGACTTCAACCACAACTTCAACGACGACTTCAACAACCACTACGACATTAACGACAACGACGACGACAACTACTACTACAATGAAAGCAATGCCAACAACACCTCTCCCGGCCTTCGAAACTGAAATTTCTCCCCAAGAACTGCTATCAAAGTCAGAGAAAAAAAACTCGCTTACTAGTCTTAGAGGACTTTCCGCGAGCTCGTCCAATTTTGCTAGCCATTCTGACGACATCTGGGCTTTCTCAAACTACCTCACCGCCAATTTGGTAACAGAACCTCCCGAAAAAGACCTCGAATTAACAACAGCGGTGACAGTTAATTACACAACAGACTCAACAACATCAACGACTACCACGACCACAACTACGACTTCTACTACCACGACAACGACGCCGTATCTATACGATTTCGCCGATTTCGAGCCTATTTTCGAAAGGTCGTCAAGAAGTATCAATTGTAGTCAAGGTTTTTAACACTGGTAATTATTCATGTTCGAACAAAGAATGTTCAGCTTGCTCTGGCCATAGCGCGCGTTGCAGCTACTACAACGACGAAATAACATGCGAAGTGTTGGGATCAGATAATTACCAGTAGCGTTGTTGAAAATGACTAGGAATCGTAAGCATTTTCGACATGATGTAAACACATGGTCTTCTACCTCGTAGAGGCTCGTATAATGATCCTATGTGAGGTTGTCTACATAACACAGTCGGCCGCTTGTGCAATCGATGTTCCCAAAACTTCTACGCTGATGAGAATCAACACAAAAGCAGCTTGAGCTATTGTCAGCCCGTAAGTTTATACCAGCTAATTATTGCCAATCTAGCAACTTCTTGTTGATAAGTTGAGTAATCTCGTCAACTTGAGGTGGGAATCGTTTTGATTCAATCGTACTTAATTTAATTTGCTCCACGTACTATTGCAAAAATGGGGATGCAATTCAAAAACATTGAACAAATTCTTAAAATACAATTGTCATTTTCAAAGTGTTGGCAACTTCCCCTTTCCGTCGATTGTCTATTTTACCCTTTTTACAACAAAGGAAAATCCATTCAAAATTTATTTACTAGTGCTTTATATTCAATCATTTGCATTTTTCATCCAGCATAATTCTCCAAATTTCACCGTAAAAAGCACTTGATGAAACTCTGAAAAACAAAGAATCGCTAAGATATCCAAAATTCAACGAAAACCCCACTATGCAAGCACTACTTACAACTTGAGTTAAATAGTGCCCCTTGGTACAAGGAATTACAAATTTGCGCCTTGTTTTTTGTTTTGCCATCCTGAAGCAATTTGTGACTAAGTGGCTTAGGTCTATTTCTTTTCTCCTTTTTTTAGTGCGATTGCGACATGCTTGGAGCTATTGATACAAGATTTGGGTTTCAAACGATCTTCTCTCTTTTCTCTAGCATATTTGATAATATTATTGGCAAAAATGGAACACCGATGCGGATATTGCGATGCACATTGGTTCATATTTGATTTCGAGCAAAATATTCGTATTTTAAGCGGCCAGTTTGTTTTGACAACGAAAGTAATGTTAGAGTTCCGCAATATCAAAGAGCAACAAAAACCACTGTTCACGTAAGAACCTGTTTTTGAATCCAGAAAAAGATGTGGCAAGGGCGGACAATGTTCCTGCAGAAAAATAATTCCGCTTATAGGAAGCGTTTTTTTCTTTTGAAATTTAAAATTGACAACTAATTTCATAAATTTGATTATTTATTTTTCTTTCAAAAACGCTCGAAAAGACGCCCAGCCCTCATCAAAACGTCAGAACTTGCCGATTCTCGTCGGTTTTCGAGGAAGAAGATGCGATGAATGTAATCTGTCGCCCTCGGACGATCCATCTCCAGGAGCCTGGGTTCGACAAAAGGTCTGTTGAGCATCAAAAGGAGCCGTTAACGTTAACTGCGCACGATTTAGCACGGGTGTCGATATCTTTTGTGCGAGAAAACGACGAATCCCTGCCTCAATGGAGGCGAGTGTGTCTCCTACGATGCACCTGCTATTCAGCTTCGCGGTGGAAAAAGATTTGAGACCACCACGAAGCAGAAGAAATGCGTTTGTCAAGATGGCTTTATTGGACAAAAATGCGAAATAGGAACGGATTTTTTATTGAACCCACTTCTTCAGAAGTACCTCCTAAATTTGCCATATCACTAATCAAATCCACTTTACAGAAGTTCCAAAAACTAGCAGTACGAATGCTCCGAGTCTATTTTTTGCATCACTGTTTTCACTTTCAATTGTGCTGCTCATGTAACTGGATGCTCGATGCTCTCGCAAGTTATCATCAAAAACTGCCATGAACAAAAATAAAAAAGAACCACTCCCAATCAATCCACATTTGCTCACTTTTAATGTAATATATTTACAGTTAAAGCATAATTAATATGTACACAAAACAATTTTTAGTTGAAACAGTTTTGAATATTATGAATAGGGGCGTTTTAGCACCACAGAAATCGATCTTTCGAATTTTTTATCGAAAAAGCTTTTTGGCACCGGAATTTCCGAAATCAAAAAACCGCGAAATTACAGTATATTTTAAATTAGTTTTTTCTTTTACATTTTCGCGTATGCAGCTTGGCTCTGGTTTCGAATGATGGTCGAGACGGAAAACGCCGGTTGGGTGTAGTTCATCGAGTTCTGGACGGCATTGTAGATCGGCCCAACGGTTGTCAGGGTTTGGAAGTCTTTGGCGCTAGAGTATGGCACTTGATGGCTCGATTGCTCGATCTTCGGCGACTGACGGAGATGCTGGGATGAAGGAGACGCGCTGGGCGATGGTGTCTTCCCGACGAGGCAAGTTATCGGTGCTTCTTGAGAAAGAGGCGGGGAAGAAGCGGTTGTTGTTGCTTGAGCATTCGGAAGCATGGAGACATTGTATTCTTGGTTGTAAATTTCTGACTTTGGAAGATGATCGGGACCATCAACTGCTGGTGGCGGGTAGTGCTCGATCGCAGAGGTGTAGTGCGAAGTAGGAGGAAGATGGGGCGCCGGCGTTGATGGTGGAGGCGGGAGACTGCCGACAGGAGATGTTCGGGATTGAGGATAACGCGAGCCGTCGAAGTAGGAACGCTCCGTTTTCGTGATCACAGATTCATGCGACACTAGAAAATAAGATAAAGATTTCATATCATATATAGAAAATTCATTAAATAAAATGATGATATCTTTAGATGAAGGGCTTTTATGAACACTAAAATGTATTTGCATAATTTCACTAGTGTTACCTTGCTCATAATCCGGAGAAGCTTTGGGCTGCTGGATGGCCTGCCTTTGATAATCGTCTGATCCCTGGTCGAGTTCCGTTTTTGTAGTATTGTCCCGTCGCTTCCGCTTTCGCCTAAATATTCGCGTATTAAATTTGCTGTTCCAAAAGTCGTCGCGCCCGCATAATAGAGCTGGCCAGATAATTATCTTCGCGGAAGTAATTTTGATACAAACTAGCAAATTTCGGGACCGCCGCGACTACTAGAACATTTGGACGAAAATTCATGTATGCCAAAAAATCGAAACACAAAAAGCCGTGTGTCGGGTGACCACAAAAAGGGAAATTATTTCTAAAAATTTTCAATTTCGAAAATTTTTTTTTCTCGTTCTGTCGAACTCTAGCTCTCTTTTGAATGGATTAAGATTTCTTTGGTCACTCTCGATTTCAAAAGCCTTCCAATTCGGCTGTTTAATATCTCGGTTATAAATATTATTATGACCTGAAAATTTCCATCTTGTTAAAAAATCTGAAAGCAGCGCCGCCCAAAACGATTTTTTTTTCATAATTTTGCTTCTAAATAAAGAAACGGGCGAATATTTAATTACCCAAAATGAAATAAAAAGCTGCAAAATTGAGGGAGAGGAAAGATTGTAATTCGGGCTTTGACCTATTTGGAATGGCAGCAAATAGGCCTCGACCCCGGCAAATTATCCCAAAATACGAGGGGGGCCTGGCTTGCTCCGACAAAATGAGATTTAATTAATTAAAGATTGAATTGCCTAAAGGACCAAAACGAGGACTGCGCCAGCGAGCGTTGTTGTCACTACATTTGTTCCTTGATTAAATCTTGAACTACCTCTTCTACCCGCCGCCTCGGAAACTATCAACACACGGAACAGATTATTTCCATTACTGCTTCTTCTGATGTTTTGTTTTGGGAAACAAGGAGGACTTTGATTCCATTTTCAAGAAAAAGTTTTTAAAAAACAGTTTTTTTCGTCAAATTTTTTTTTAGAAATTTACCTGAAATTGCCATTGTCGAACATTTTCTCGCAATTAGGATCGAGCGTCCAGTAGTTTCCCTTGCCCGGGTCATCTTCATCTCGTGGCATCTGAAATTTCAGAATAAATAAGCGTAAGAAAATGCCCCGCTTCCATGTGGCCAGCTACTCATTTTTATTTGATTTGGTGTTCATAATCCTGAGTTGACGGTGAAATTAGCGGATACTTTTACGCAGGTTGACGCTCGCGGAAGTCGATACCCACGTTCGCCGAGACAATATCACGACAGTATTCACAATAATATACCGAAAACGTGAACGAGCTTTTGAAAATTAGTGTCTCAAATGGCTCTGAATCACTCTTATGAATGTTCCATACAAGTAGGTTTCTCTAAGCCTAAGAGTCTAAGGACCCAATTTTTAATTTTCTTTGTACCCTACAAAATAGCTAATTAAGCTCTTGGTGAAATAAATAAGGGAAGGTGTCTGGAACCGACAAAAAAATTTCGACAAATTTTGCGTGGAAATTTTCAGCCAATCAGAATCCTGGATTTGGCAAACCGGCCAATCAGCAGCTGAGTAGCCGCCCACGCAAAATTTGTCGAAATTTTTTGTCGGTTTCAGACACCACCCCATAAATAAGGGTGTCACAATACAAACTTCAAAAAGCAAAAGAAAAATCTTTTTTCATGATACCTGCCTTCGAGTTTCAAAATCACCTTATTCTCATTTACCCCTTGGTATGGATATAGAGACAGCCTTGTTTATCGAATAAGAAAGCCTCTGAAATTTGAAATTTCAAATTTCGAAGAAGGTATTTTGAAATTCTAGGGCAAAATCAGCAACCAAAAGCAAAACCACCCGCGACCCTGTTCAGCTTTTGAAACCAATTTGTAATCTCTATATCAGTAGAGCGTAATTTAGTTCGTAATTTGATCGACCTTCGTAAATTTAATCAAGTGCTTCTAGTACCCTTTTCTTGTTTGTTGCCGGTCGAAGGAGAGCCCGCGATGAGTTTTTATTTATTTCCCAATATAAACTCGAGTGGCTTATTTTTCCGAAGAACAATTAGTAAAATTAAGGCGCAGATGGGTTTTAGGCTCAGCACATGCTTTTGCAGGTACTTTGGATAATAGGCTTTGTAAATAGCGAAAGACAAAGTAATGACTTGTTGAACCGCATGTAAGAATTTTGACACTTGAGTTTTGATCTCATTTTTCTACCTTTTTGAAGCAGTCGTTGAGCGACAAATTGTGACGAATGGAATTTTGCCATCCCGCCCTGGACTTCTTGTAAAACGGGAAATTTTCAGCCACATATTGATAAATCTGAAATTTTACATTGAAATCACGCGTTAATTTAGAATGAAATTAGGGCTGTTGATGTTCAAGAGCCGCTAAATGATAAACCAAAAATACGAGAATATTTTGGTTTTTAACGGAAAAGTATTTTTACCTGGGACAAGGTGAGTTTCTTTTCTGGGGCGTTTTGGATCGCCATTGCGATCAGGGCGGAATAGGAGTATGGAGGTCGGACGAGTTTGAAGAGATCGGTTTGGCTGTGGATTCCGAACCAGCTTTTCAAGGTTCATTAATTGAAATATATGATAATACTTCTTGATTTTTGTCTCGTGATTTCGGGTCTATACTGGCCTCTGATTGGCTAAAAACCCCATATAAACCCATATTCGATATGGATTTGAAATTACTACCGTAGAGGATCTATTTTTATATTGTGAGTATATTATGAACTTTGCCTAAGATCCCCGCCGGGAAAAGGTGGCGGAAACATTCGCTGCGAGTTGGTATATCCGGCTGCCTGCATGTATGCGTTGTTGTAGCTTCCTGACTGACTCGCTCCTAAAAATGGAAAACATGACCATCTTCGTTCGCTGTGTAGAAAACTTACCGCCAAGCCACCCCAAATACGCGCTGTTTCCGCTTCCTGCTGACGACTGGCTGAAAATTTTTTTAGTGTTATGAAATAATCAGAACGCTCTTTTTTGGGAAATATTGTTAAGGGTATCAACAAGAAAGAAAAAAAGCCGGAAATGGTTATTTTTCCTATAAAACTGTTTCTTTTATTTTGGATTTTTATGAGTTTGACTGAAAAAGAACGGCTGTTTTAAGCACTAGAATTTGGCTGTCTCAATTTTTATGCATGTTTAATTATTCCGGTGCGTCTAACCCAGAAATGTAATTAAGATATCTGAAGCCAGATTGGCAGATTCTTGCACTCTCCTTGAAGCCGATTTCTAAGTTATTTAGGCCAGGTTCTAGTCGTGGTTGACAACGTTCCAATAAGCGATAAGGTTTTAACTCAAATCCGGCCAAAGATGCTTGCTGTTACACCACCACATCCGTTAACGTGCTTGTTTACCCTATCAACTATGCCACACGCTCAATAAGACGCCCAGCCAGATCATCAAACAATCCCTGAGCTGTATACCAAAACACAACAAATTATGAAACAATCTCTTTAACCTTCACTATGCTAAAAATTTTTTTTCGGAAGAAAAATTTCAAGAAGATGGATCATTTCGAAAAAAGTTTAGGTCAAGGTGAATTTAATGCTATGTAAATCAAATTCTGATTTTTAGCTATACATTATCGAGATACCCTTAACTTAGAAATCTTCGAATTTAATGTAATGGAAATTTAGTTATAGATGTCCCCATAAAATAAGGAGATACCCTTTGATAGTTTTCAAAGTTTTATCTTAACATTATTTAGGATATCTTTCAGCCGTTATTCTAGAGTACTTACGCAGTCTGAGGAGTAGAACTGTAGTCAAATCCTGTTGAAGTATGAGCAGAGTGGGATGGTGTCCCAATCGCTCCGTTGTAAATGTTTCCAAGCATGCTAGCCGCCATTGAAGCTCCTGAAACAACTCACTAGAATTCCCAAATTTCATATTTCTCTCTCTTACCTTCGATCATTTGCGCAGTACTGGGTCCTGCGTAGCTTCCCGTAGCGCCAGGAAGAATCGTCGGTTTCAGTGGCGGGGCCAAACTTGCTGCGTCATTCTCGTTTACCATTTTTTTATTTTTATTTTTGGTATTTCGGTCTCTTTGTTTCTTGTGAAAGCTCTGATATTTTTCTCACAAATATTCAGATCTATCTCGCCTTGTGATGATATAAAATGATAACTGGTGGTGGAGTAAATTAGTATCCGATCAAGCGCAGCGTTAAAGCGTTACGGCGCTATTCGATACCGCCTCGTGTCCCCTTAGCGCCACCGCTTGCCAAGGAAATTCTCGATTCTCGCAGCGCCGCCACTAAGAAACGATCGAATAACCAACAGAGATTTTTACGTACTAGATAATGCTTATCCGACCCCTACAACTAACCACCATATGTAGAGCTTCCTAAAAGTAAAATACTGATTGACGCTAACTAATACACAAATCCGTGGCGGCCATTTGGGGCCAATTGGTTAGGCTTTGATAGCAAGATTCAACCAAAATTGGTCTGAAAGAAGGATCAGATGTCATGGGAATATTTTCTGACGTGCTCGGCGGCGAATCATGACGAGCTACAGTTATATAACGGTGAATCGTCGTAAAAGTTCGAGAAAACACTCATCTTTGAAATGAATACTAATCGGTACAGTCATCTACTGATCACGAGGGCACCAAATGAATCGACCTGTTTAATTTTAACCTTTTCCTACTTTTTGAGTCTTCTTTATTCAACATATTCTGCATTTTAACCTGGCAAAGTCAGTGTAGCGCACAAGGTGTGAGCGAGAAGGTGCTTAACATAAGAGTTTTTATTAGGAAGACTGATCCCGTCAAAAGTTGTTGACACAATTGCGGCTCAGGAATTTGGGCTCAAGCTCCACTCGGACTGCTGGATAATCTCTGTAATGCATGAACAGGTTAACAAATCTCTTTCTGAAGATTTGCCAGATCCTCCTGCCGAGATTGTTGTGCTTATAGATGTCTTGTAGTACGGTAAAGAACAGATTTAACCTTTTTAATCTTTCTAGCTGATTTTCAAACGCCGAAAATAAAAGTTCAAAAAGGAGAGGTTTTTCTGTATTCTGGGATTTTCGGACTCGTATTTCGGTCTGAGATAAGCTAATTTACGTTACGTCGTCATTATTATTAGTCAAATCTCGCGCATTATTATAATCGACAACAAATAACGTGAACAGCGACTTGTCCATTATTTTCAAGAGTATCACTGATATCATTGCTACATGAAACAGATACAGAGGCGCTCTTTTATCCTGTTTATACTGAGACGAAGGAGCATGTTTTCAGATTAATATAACGATTTTATTTCCATGTTTAATAAATTTAGACGACGAGAATGAAAAAAGAAGAAATCTGATCATTTTTTCTGAACTCTTTCTTCGAAATTTTGCAACAGTAAACTGATATTCTTTTAAAGCCAAACACGAATTGGCTTCTAATCAAGTCTGAACGGAAGTTGTGAATTTTTATCAGTGTCGCGGATGGTCACGCGAGCTTGTTTGCTGTTATCAATTACGCTCTGGATGCTTTTGATAGTACCTAAGAAGAGATAGACAATGAAAAGGCCAAAAGAGAAACTTCCCACCAGTGAGTCGCTATCTCCTTCCGTTTTATCCCATTTAGAAGCGATAACTCCCTAAGTCCATTGAACCGAAAGTACACAATTGTCAATTCTCCTTCACTAAATTTTCAGATACCAAAGATTCCTGAAAGGCCTCTTTTTGCTACTGATAATCAATAATATTGATAAGAAGAAGGAAAAAGCTGTAAACATAACTGATTTTCCTCCACCAATGTCGCCTCATTTCCTCCGGTCCTGTACTCAACCGCAGCGGGTAGAATCGGCCCCAGAACAACTGCGTTCCAGAAGTAAACGTAGAAAGTTTCCGCTCGAGCTGGCAGCAAACAGTGTGGCAAATTCACTCGGTAATTTTCTTTTCAAGACAATGATAGATTCACCTTGAATGCGGAAATCTGTTTTGAGTATAAACTCCGCCAGGGCGATTTTGTTTTTGTTTCAGCAAAAATGGCCGAGATCCAAATTCTTTAATAATTATAATTTCATTTTGTAATTTTACTTTTGGAGGTTTTTCAAGAACAACTACAACTAATAAACACAATTTCGAATCATAGATGGCGCTGTTTTATCACGGCCAATCAGAACGCCAGGAAAGAAATTAGCCTTTTTTGATTGGTCGAAGATTTTTTCACGGAATTCTCTAGCGCTGGTATTTTCGTGCTAGAATTTCTAGCGAATTATTAGATGATTTTTTTATTTTTAGATTTTTTGGATCTTGAGAAGCGTTAATTTTAATTTGAGCTCAAATAAATTATCTAAGAATAGAGCGCTAAATCAACCTCTTTTTAGAAATTTGATCGTTATATTCTATTTCGCTTAGCAACGTAAAAATTTAATTAATGATATCCCAGCAAGACTGCATTATCCTAGATTCGAACGTTTACAGTTTCCATATCTGAGTCCCTTAACTGAGGGCTTTTTGTAAGAAATTTTTTACCAAATGAATTCCGGTCCAAGCCCCGGAAAGAAACATTTGTCGGGCCCTTTTAGTCGGAGGGATTTGGACCTCCGATCCTCTCTGGGCGGAAGACTTTGCTCGTTTGTTGTCATTCAAACTTGCGAATGAAATAGAAAACAGTAGATTTATCAAACGCTCGCAAGAATAAATTGCTTGAGTCAAAATGGAACGTTTCTTCAGTAATTCAATAAATCAAAAATGGTTACTTTGCAAAGTGGGAGGAGCCTTAGAGGATCTTGTGTAATCGAGGAAATCCGTCGAGTTTTGAGGGACAACCTCAATTACAAGCGCGATTGTTTTGGTACGACATAACTAATGACGATCATTATTCACTGGTGTTGTAGATGAAAACATCAGGGCCGAGAAAGCAAAACCTGCCGACGCTTTTTCTCTTTTTATTGCTGTGTTTTGAGAAACTCAACTGATCTTGGCCGAACAAATTTAATATTCAAATACGACTTTGGATTACTTTGGTACATTAAGTTTTGTTGCGATTGAAAACTGACTGACGCAATCAACAAAGAACAGGCACTGTCTGTCAGCCACTGTAGCTGCATTTGATCTAGCAATTCCAAGCTCCAATTCTTGCTCTATATTTTAACAGAAAATACGAGTTTATACATAAACTTTCAAAAAGGAATCGATTCGAGTCATGAGATAATTACAGAATCAGGCGATATTATTATGTTGTTAAAATTTCTTCAGGGATTGTGTTTCTGGCGTGATGAGTAGAGTTTCCGACGTTTGACGCACCTTGCTGCGGAAAGTGTAAACCGATCGTTCCGAACGATGCGTCTGCGACAGCTCGTCAATCGACAACGCTCGGTCGATGAACTGCGGAGCTTGGTTCGCGGCGAACGCTGAGTTCTTTGACAAAGTTGGGTACGCAGTTGGATAAGGAGGAAGTGGCTCTTCTTTTGAGGGACAGCAGCGGTTTCCAGCGACGCGGGAATAAACAATACAAGCTAAAATACAGTAAAGAAGAATGTTTCTGACTGCACTTACAAAGAAAAACGGCGACGAGGGTAATAATCATGACAATAATTAAAATCGTATCAGTTTCAATATTCAAATCTAGCTGGATGTCGGTCTTTACGTTGTCCACTCTCAGAATTCCGGCTGGTCCAAGCTGATAATCGTCTTTTCATGATAAAAAAATTGAAAGTGAAAAAAATTCTCCGTGTCGGGGAATCGAACCCCGGTCGCCCGCGTGACAGGCGGGAATACTCACCACTATACTAACACGGATGGGAGAAGGACTATGTAATAGAATATATACAATAATCAATTTGCTGCCGTTGGGTTTGCATAAGAAGCTTTAGTTATATACCGGTGAAAGCAGACTCAAATCCGGGGTTACGCCGCCAGTAAGGCCCTCCAAGCTTGTGATTGGTCGATGGAAAAAAGATGTCTACAGGGGTGGAGACATGTTTGAAATCCCTGGTAAAGGCTTGCTTTCACCGGTATTATCATAACTTATGATTCATAGGTTATAGGAGCGTTAAAAGTCTTGACCAGCCCATATTTTATCATTAAAAACTCCTCTTTATTGAATACTAACGACCTATTCCAGATTGCTCTGTTTTGGAACCATGTTTGCAGCTTATAATTGATGTGATGTATAACCAAAACTACATAACATACATATAGAATTTGATGTTGGTGCATCAACTGCTTGATCTTGTTGTCAATTAAAATTAATATTATGTTGTGCTCTCAAACTTGCATGCTTCATTCTCCCGATCATTTAAACTAATCCAAGAATAAATTGACCACTTGATCTTACCGTAGATATTTCTGGAGAAAAAAAGCACAAAGATTGTTTATCATTTCCTGAAGCGCCAAAGTCAGCGTCTATTCTTGTGTTCATCGTCATTTTTCCGTCCAACATGTCTTTGCTTTCTTGGTATCCGTCGTTTCGGACTCCGTATCTCCCAGTAGGTCCGAAAGAATAATGATTTTGGCACATTTTAACTCGATTTTCTTCCTTTTTTCTTGTTGTTAATTTCTCAAATTGTTCAATTGAAAAAGTCAGGTTCTACTACAATCGTCAAGTAATCGTAAAAACTGTCGAGAAAGAAGAAAAAATAAACGTGATTAATTTTCTGCCGTGGTCTGGTGAGTCGTAATAGGTACTTGGCTGATAAAAAAAATTGGGACCATTGTTTCGCCAAATCACTTTCTTGGCTGAGGTCAACGGCGAAATGGATAAACAATTCATCGAAATTTGGCATTTACAAATTTATTTTCAATGGTTGGTTTATTTGAGACAGTTATTTTTTGAAGATATACGTAATAGTGGAGACTACGAACCAACCGTTGTAATGTAATTTATAATCTTGACGCAAAAAATAATTTTCTACAAATATTCAATTTATGAACATTTATAGAAATTTTTTCTTCACAACTGTTTCATTTCAAAAAAGTGATATCCTCCCAACCCAAATTGGTCTCTTATACCGTCAAAAATATCCAGCTGATTGGTAAAACCAGAAGGCCGCAGATCGTCGGTCGACTATTTGTGATCTGCCAGCTTTTCCGAAGCAGATTTTACAAATTGACGGTTTCATCGTCTTTTATCTTCAGAAATTTACTCGATTCTGCGGTAGATGAAAAATTTGATAAAAAATTAATCCGAAGAATAATTGTTTATGATAGTAAAATATTTTTATGAAGACTATGAAGAGAACGTAAAAACGCCCAAGATTTTAACACTTTTTACAGCCTTGTCGCCAATAACGAGCTAATATCTCTCGTAAACCAAGAAGATATGTTACTTCAAGGGATAGAACTGACTCATGAAAGGACAAAAATTGCACTTAGAAGCGCATGGAGGTGCTTGGTGGAGCCGATTTACGTCAGCGGGCGGCGTTAAACCGCCAATTTGAGAAATGAAACGGCGCGTTAACGACACCCTTTCGACATAACTTCCACCTCATCCTTCGCGTATTTAACCTCGGCGGCCGCTAGAATCGATTTAGATTTTCAATGTTGAGATTTTCCCCTTTTTTTGTATTTTTGCCAGTCTTTTCTTCAGAGAGAGTTTTTCACTGCGACTTTGAAGCTGACTGGTGCGGGGCAGAAGACATTCCCGGCGACTTCCTCCTGTCGGAAAGCAATACAGACACTCCAACCCACGGCACTGGCCCTCAATTCGGCGATCACACATCCGGAAATGGCTACTTTATTTTTGCAGAGTGTTCCTGGCCGCGCAAAGAGGGCGACAAGGCTGGAATCGTCGTAAGAAACTTATTGTGCTCAACGGGATTAGGAAATGTACAAGGCTATCTAAGCAGAAAAGGAAGTGATGCCTCGGCCTTCCGTGTAACAAAGAGGGCTAGTAGTTACGGTAATTTCTCAATTTGGAACGATGATGAAACGCTGGGACAAATTGATGTCAACAGATCGGTCAAAGAAGATTGGGAGTTTTTCGATTTCGATTTCGAAAATGACCCGGATGAAAAATTTGAAATAGGGAATGGGCCCAAAGATTTTTTTCTAGGAACGAAAGTGGATTTTCTAAGTCACGTGACATTTTTCCGCCAATTTGTAATTGCTGTTTATACCTTCTGTTGCAACATAATTGGGGCCAAAAAAGTGTTCGAGTTTACATGTAATGGACATCTGGGCGACATCGCTCTGGACGACATAGCTGTAAATTGTGTTGACGAAAACAAAGATACTTTTAAGGACGAGGAACATAGTCGTTTACCGGCAAGACAAATTAAGGAATACAAGGATGGCTCAGAAGAAGCCTCTTCTTGTCAAAATGAGCAGACAAGGTCGCTGAGTTGCAATTTCGACGATGAACTTCTGGATTCAGACGAGTGCGGTTGGCGAGTCACTGGCCTAACCCGCTGGGAGGGAGAGACTTTTACGCCTGGGACGGGGCCAAGTGCCGCGCAAACTGGATCTCATTACGTTTACTTGGAGTCGTCGGACCTCTCTCAAGGGAGCCTGGAGTCTTTTAGCTTACAAAGTGGGGCATCCATTTGTCTTACTTTTGCATATCACATAAGGGCTCATAAGAAATCGTCGTTGGAAGTGACAGCGAATGATGAAGTCATCTGGCGATCTTCAGGAATCTGGAACGAAGAAACCAATAAATGGAAGAAGGCCCAACTAGACATTTATATGAAGAAAACCGGGAAGATTAAAATAAGTGCTGTCGCGAAAAGCGTCCAGTCTGATATTGCAATAGACAGTATAAAAGTTTCAGGGTGCCCGTGCAATTATGATGAGGACAAGCAATCTGTTTTGAACTGCAATTTCGAGGAAGAAAAGTCAACTTGTGGATTCACTCCATCAAGTTTCATTAAACTACGTAAAGGAATTCTCGTTAACCCTTTTGGCAAACTAACTTCGGCGAAAAACGAAGACTCTGGTTGCTTGAGCATCGTGTACAGAAGCACCCAGGATAAAATGAAGCTTGCTGCTTATGACAACAGCTCGAGAAAGAACCGGCTTGTCTGGGAGACGACGCAGAATACACGAGGCGCCTGGGTCAAGGAATCTTTCAACGTTGGCAAACATGGACTGACGTTTAAAAATGAGCCATTAGATCTTTCCAATCTCTTTGGAACTGGCTACGAAATACAATCGACGAGTTTCAACTTTCTCCCTTGTCCTGAAAAAGCCGAATGCAACTTTGAATCCGACTTTTGCAATTTAGAATACTCGGAAGCGGAAGACAAAGAACTGATGCAAATTGATTTTTATGGCAAAACAAAGAAAGGGGTGCACTTGGAATACGGAGAAAGCATTGAGGGGAAGAATCATTGGCGAGTCGGATGCCTCAAAGTTTGGAACTCGGCGAGAGGCGTTATTTATATTCACTCTCAAGGAAGGGTTCATTTTTGACAGAAAAATATAAGAAGCTACAGAAATAGGGCGAACTAAAAATTCTAGCATAAAACCCTAACCTTTGATTGACCCAGTTTTTCTAAGTAGACCCGCTCAAAAGGCCGACGTCACAAATCAACTCCGTCATTTTCGCGTCCTTGGCAGCTCATTCAAACGACATTGTATGCCGGATCGTATCAGATAAAAGCAGAGGATTACTCGCTCATTAGCTCCGTGAGCTTGCATTCTGGCCCGTGTCTTCCTTGCTGTCAGAATGACGGAATCGGACAGCTGTGGTCTAAGTGTCGCAACGGACAATGCATCGCTTCTGATGACCTCTGTGACGGCTTCGACGACTGCGGCGACGGATCAGACGAAGCAGACGACATTTGTGACAGGAGTAAAAATCAATGCGGCGTTTCTGAACTGATACTGGATCAAATGTCCTCTTCATCTGCTAAAAGCTGGGAAGAGCTGCTCAATTTGCCTGGATTAGGAGGAGAAGAAGGACCTCGGCTAAAGTTGGCGGGAGGGCATATCGGGCGAAAATCGCAGTTTCCTTGGCTGGCACTGATTTATATTTGTATGACTTTTAGTTGATTGCGAATGAAAGCAGCAGATATTTCAAAGAATACTTTTAGTTTATAAAGGAGAGCAAAAAGTCTGCGGCGGTGGAATTCTTGACAATAAGTGGATAATAACAGCTGCTCATTGCGTTCAAAAATACGACTCGATGGAAATCGTTCTTGGAGAACACGACCGGCTCCAAGACGGAAGAAACGAGCAAAAGTTCCAGCAAGATATCGTCGTCACCCACGAGTACTACGAGCACAGATCTGGGCGATCTCCCAAGAACGATATTGCGCTGATAAGGTTAAATGACGACATCATCTTTGACGAAAATGTTCTTCCAATTTGCTGGGACACGTGAGTTCTTACTGATTTACTGTCGTTGATGGTGTTCTTTTTAAAGAGGGTTCAATGTCGGATTTACCGGCGACGATTGCGCAATTGCCGGCTGGGGTTACACTGAGAATACCATCGATAATTCGGGTATAAAATCGCGCTTTTTCGATCTTTTGAATTATTGATAGTTATTCAACGATATGGTGCGATGCAAATTCTTGAAAAAACCGACTGCCAAGAAAGATGGAACGGGACGGAAATCCCCGAAAATACAATCTGCGCTGGGGAACGATATCAAGTCTCTGCTTGCCGAGGAGATTCAGGCGGGCCACTGGTTTGCAAAGGCCCTGACGAGCGATGGCATCTTCGAGGAATCGTCAGCTTTGGCAGGGGAAAATGCTCGACTAGAAGTCCTCTGCCGACTGTTTTCACCGACATTCCTAAGTTTAAAAGGTGGATTTCTCAAAGCATCCGAGACAACGCATCCTGTTGAAAGCCCATTAAATCTTGTTAATTTGTACACAACTGTAAAATCAGTAACAGCTGATTATTTGATTTTTATAACTGTTACCAACAGAAATATAAAAGACTTAGCACCTTTTGACTACCTTGGCCATGCCATGTTTATGACGCATTTGAGGAGAGCAATAGAGAAACAGTGGTAAATAAATCTAGGACAGGGCGTCTTAAACACTTTTTATAAGGATCTTATAAAAAGCGAGCGACTCGGGCAAGATGATGAATATAATGGGAGACGTCAGCCCTTTCTTAGAGCTCATCATTTGGTGCGTTGCGCTGCTTGTTGTCATCTGCACCGTCACAGGTTGTTATTAAAATGTTTAAATTTATGAACTTGCTATTCAGGCATCGGGCTTGTTCTTACTTTTATTGGAGGAGTCTTGACTGAGAAGGTTTTAAGGAAAGGTACCGTGATTCTTCAATGAAGGATTTCCTTTGAATTAAAAAAAACTCAATTTGAAAAATTGAAATTATTTTTCAAGGTTTCGTCATAAATTGACCGGCTAAAAAACCCGCATTTTATGAATTGAAAGATATTCAAAGAAATCGAAATATTCAAAATTTTGAATATTTTATTGGTTCTTTGTTGAAATTATTAGCTGGAGATAATTTCAAGTACCTTTAAAAAGCAGCTACGAGCCTGTACCACTGACGCATCGGTATCCGACGAGTCAGTTTTGAAAAGTCAAACTGCGCAATCGCTGTTTTACCGTGGAGCAAACCGTTTGGTAGTACCAAAACATAGCCCCTTCGAACCCTACGCGCTTGTTCATCGATACCCTACTGAAGCTTGGAACCCTTGAGAGGGTGTCAGAGTTTAATATCGAGAATTTGTTCTTTTCTCTTCCATACTGCCGTGCATTTATTGAATAAAATATGAAAAATTAGAAGGACAGCTGTCAGGAACTACTTGTATAAAAAGAGGGGAGGATTATACTTAGAACTGATCAGAAATCCTTAGTTGGAAATGAATATTCTTGTTGTTTTGTTTTGTGCAACAAATGCCGGGAAATTTGCAGGAATCGGTAAGAACACAGCAATAAGAGATAGAATTTTAAAATCGACTCAAAATTTAGGATCGTACATGAATCGTCGTGGGATTCCAGCAAAAGAAATTTCGGTCTCGGGACCTTTTTATCTCCTTTGTACGATGATGTGTACACAGTGGACACATTGGACCCAACTAACTTAGAATACGACCAACCGACCCACAAGCGCGGAGGAGGCGATTTCAGCGCTCGAAGCGGACCTCTTGTTGCCTGGTTCAAATGAGATTTTTCACCTTTTTTCGATTCTCCATTTTATTTTTTAACTGTTTGGTGTCTTTCTTTCATGTCGAAGCTTTTTTCCGATAAATGAATCTTAGAACAAATTTGTCTTTCACGGTAATTTACTAGCAACATTTCTTGTTGTCCTTTATTTTCAAGCAATTTTTAACGAGAAATTCGAATTGAACAGTTGCGGAAACAGAAAATAATGTGCAAATTTGAACTTATAAGGAGCTTTCGGATGCTTTAAGACTTCCTATTCCCGACTCTTCCCAGGATTGACTCTTGTCATTTGATTTGTCTAATGAGGTTTATGTTAATTTGTGATTGATGGTAATCAGGTTGCTTGCCTTTATTAGCCGAGTCGTGACGTTCCAGATGATTATTAGATATTTGGGCAAGGCCGATTGTTCTGGGCAGTTGAGTGTCCGAGCTAAACGGATTATATTTTTGTCTGGACGACTACGAATCGGGAGCAAACCTTCTTGGCAGTCGCTGGGTGACTGGAAAGCAAATTTGTTGAAGCCGTGATCTCCAAGTTTCGGATCCCAAGTTGTTTGGGGACTTCCAGCAACTGAAATATGCTTGAAAAATGCTACAAAATAGATGCCTTGTAGACAATTTTAGGCAGGTCATCTATTGTAATTAGAAAATCATCTTGTTCATCATCAAAGATGCATAATCTGGACCTTCAACGATGATCATTGACATTTACTGCTCTACACTGACATATATCCATTTCTCCGCCACTGTATATTCAGTATACGATGCCGGTTTCACGAGTTAATATATGCGACCATACGGTTTTTTGTTTCTGTTTTTCGCTTCTGTAAAAACAAAATGCGAACCTCCACCAGTCGCGTTGACTCTTCTCCGGCGTTGCAGGAATTGTTAGCTGAAAATATATCTTTAGTTTGTGCGTCACAAGCTCTGTCTGTCAGATTAACTGACGTTAATAAGAGGTCCAAAGGGGGTAAATTAAATGTATCAACGTCCATATAAGACAATTCAAATAAATTCAAGAGAAATGAGGGCAATATTTGGTTGGCCTTTTTGTAGTAGCATCTGAAACTGACCGTTCTTTCATTTCTTGATCCAGCAAATTCCCGGACAGCGCGGCGCAGGGACCGTTGGAACTCGTCATTAACAAATGCATAAATCACAGGATTCAGAACAGAGTTAATGTAGCCCAAATAGATCTAAAATCAATTATTCTTTGCATCGGATTTTTTGATGCTCCTTCATCAAATTATCGAAAAACTAAGAAAATCGAAAAAATAGACATGACAAGATGAGTGTCTAATTTGAACTTTTGATTCTCCGGAGAAAATAATGAACTCACTGATAAAATGTAGATCTCCTCGAAAAGGCCTTCAGTTGCTTTGATATTCGCCAAAAAGCAGCAAATGTAATAAGGCGACCAGCTTAAAATGCAAAATTAATAAAAGCCCCTCTTAAAAGCATCCTACCAAATGCAGTAAGTTCCGATGACAATGAGAACTCTAAATGTAACCCTTCTTTCGTACATTTGCATATTTGCTCGTTGAGATCTTCTGCCAGATCTTCTGACGCGTCTTACGATCAGGCCATACATAATGATCACGGAAAATAATGGCATCAGGAAATTGACCGTCACCATCAAGATAAAGTACTCTGTCTTTTCGCCCCACTTGTTGAAACAAACTTCGAGGCTTTCGATAACGTCCGTTTGCATGTATGTTGGCACTGTTAGAATGTAGCTTTTCAAGGTTCGATTGACACTTTCAATGTTAACATAACACGGGTTTACGGTTGAGAAACTTAAAAATACCTTTCGAACCTTTCCTTACGAGCCAAATAACAGCGCAGACAAACCAGGCTTGATTAGACGTGAGGGGTCTATTGCAATGAATCTAATCCACGGTTCAAATTCGAATACAAAAACAAGCTTCAGTTGCTGATCTGTAATTTGGTTGTTGACATGTATTGGAACCGTGTCAGGACTGCTCGATCAATCGAAACGGCAATTAAACAGAGTGCAGATGTAAGCTGGTGGCATTGATCAAACTTCAATTTAAATCAAAAGAATACCGATATATTAAATATCATATAAGTTTATGGAGCAATCATGAAGCAATTATCCGATCCATGATCACGAGTATTAATATACAAAAACTTGAAAAAAATCCTCTATAAGGTGATTTAATTCCTTTCCGAGACAGTCATCTTGCAGAGGGTCTTTCCAAAAGTCCACTTTTTATCCACATGAAGAAAAGAAATAAATGGCGAATCAAAGAGCAAAAGAAAATCTGCCACAGCTATAAAATTTTTTTAAGAAATGAAAGATTTATGAAAATTATTTGTAAGAAAAGCGTTCAAAGATTTACATGCAGCTTACCCAAATTGAATAGATATATGTTGGTAGGCTTCTTCAAACGAGTGTGCTTAACGAGGATAAAAAACACCAACGCATTTCCCAAGAGACCGATGCCTATCAATCTGTTTGAGAAGACAAGTTTGGGACGCAAACGAGTTCACCTGATATTGAAAGAAAAATGCCAATAACGAATCGTTTAATAAGAAAGTTCTCTGGCTCGTCATAAGAAGGAGAAGCATCTACGCTCTCAATAAAACAGACAAGTTCTTCGCGGGACGGACAATCCAAGTTTGTTATCTTGAATACAGATTTATTTCAATTCTTTTCGGATCAAGAAATTATATCTAGGGAGCTGGCGAAAAGCGACAAACAAAAGCGAAGAAAGCCACAGTAATTGGTGCGACAATTTTCAACCAATCAAAATGTTGCATTCACCTTGAGTGCCAATCAGATTTCAGGGAAAAAATGTCGCAAAAATACTTTTTTTACCGCAAGTTTTTGTCGCTCCCCACCTCTATCCGATTTATCCAATTGACCCATCAAAATTGATCGGACTAACAAACCTTTAAATTTGTACAATCAGTCGTATTCGGAATACTCTTTTCGGGATAACAAACTTTCCACATACAGTTCATAATATCTGGATGTTCCACTTTGAACGCATCCGGAAACAAATAATTTTCACAAGGGTCATCAAGGCTTAAAAAAGTTTCATTCATCTCCATTTTAAAAACAATATTTTGATATCTTATTATTATGAAAATAGCGGCGGTATTTCGGTGCATTCCGCGCTAAGCGTTTTTTCGGCGAAAATAGTATTGGCTCTTGAGCGCCTTCTTCTGAGCAATTTCGACGAAAATCAGAAGAAGGCTCTCCTCTATGTCATCAATTACTGTCAGCTAAAATCAAATTATACCAGTTCTTGCGATGAAAAATGCTTAGCAAGTATTTCAAGAGTATATTTATCTTGTAACATTTACTTTTAGTTTCTCCCTAAAACCTAACCCTAACCTGGGGGCTTCGCCCGGGACCCCTCTTAAATAAAAGTACTTAGTTCCTACCCCTAATTAACCATACAAGATTCTGCTAATTTTTTGAATAAATATTATTTTTAAGTAATCCACAATTAATTCTAATTCCGACCGCATACACTGTCATACAAGGCCAAATGCTTCCCTGCAGGCATGTCGAATCTATCAATTGCCGGATAAATCGCCGGTGAAGTTCTAATTTACACTGTAGCTCAACGATTGGCGCATTTCCAGAAACAGGTTCTATTTGCTTTTGTAAAGGACTTAGGGTTAGTTTGATGTTTCCTCATCTGAGGGAAAGCACTTAAAGATTCATTGAATGAGCTCATCAACTTTGATGTTCTGGTTGTAAATTATTCACCGCTTGGTGTGAATTTCTTAGCAAAAATGGTCGAGAAATCCCGGGCCCGAGGATCGAAACTTTCACTTCAAAAAAGAGCGAGTTGTATTTTGAACCATAATTGAAGCGTAAAAATGATGTGGCGTTCTCGGGCTCGGAGCTGTGTTTGGAGCGAGGCCACCAATCGCGATTCTTAGTTTTTGAATTTGCTCTGTTTTCCGCTCAGCCCCTAGCAGCTCAACCAAGCCAAATAAAAGAGCAAAGATTTGAAAATTTTAGTGAAAAGAGATGATCCGCCACAGTTAGAAGAAAGAAATTCTTAAGGAAAATGAAGGTTGTTCAACTCAGGTAGGAACAAACCCGGATACAATAGAACCGTTAAATGCGATTAGGCTTGTTTTTATAAGGTGATAAAAAGACCCCGTGGAAAGAACAATTGGTTTTTATTGCTTTTTGAAAAGAAAAGTTTTTAAATCTTATAGTTAGTATAGTTCGTATACTTATAGTCTTATAGTTAGTATAGTTATTGTCCAATTTCAAAAAACACAAATATTTTCAAGGCGCAGTAAAACACGTGTTCTAAGTTTTTAAAATAATATTTTTACAACAACAAAATGCCTAATAACATTCTTTTTTAGGGTCCGGACCGTTGCATTTGCCGTATTTTGCTTCCTCGTCTGCGTAATATTTTGGCATGTGAAGCAAGAATACCCCAAAACAGTAAAACTGAAGCACAGATCTGATGAAAACCAGTCCCTTGGTCACAAATACGCCGAAGTCGTCAAAAAGTCCGACTCGCATCATTCCCCAATCGTACTAAAACGACCAGATGAAATGCCTCCACTCCTGCCGAGACCGCTCGGAGATGCGATAACAGAAGGACAAATGGGCAAATCTGTGAAACTCACTGAAGAGCAAAAGAAAAGTGATGAATACAAAAAGATCGTCGATAGATTTATGGTCAATCATCTGGCTTCAGAAAGAATATCGCTGCATAGAACAGTTGGAGAGCACAGACACAAGCACTGCGTGGCCTTGGCTAATAAGGGCTACAGGTGAGATTAAACTTTTATCGTAATTTAGGTGACCGCAAGTTCGCGCGGCGAATCAAGGACCTATTTTCTTATCAGCGATTCTGAGAATTTAATGAAACGTTAGTTAAAAAATACGGCGAATTTCAGCCTAGTTTCTATAACTTTAAATTGCTCATATCGACCAAAGACTTTTGAAAATATCTTCAGATATGACCAGCTTCCAACAACGTCCGTAATCGTCACATTCTACAACGAAGGGTGGACTACTCTTCTCCGAACCATCTATTCCATCCTCCACACCTCTCCCGAAGTACTCCTAAAAGAAATCATTCTTATCGACGACGACTCGGACAAAGTCGAATTCCCACGCCTTGGCCAAGAACTAGAGGACATCGTCGCTACGATGCCACGAGTTAGACTAATCCGCACGAAGCAACGTGAAGGTTTAGTTCGAGCGCGGTTGCTTGGCGCTGAACTTGCAACTGGAGAAGTCTTGACATTCCTCGATTGCCATATTGAATGTAACGATGGCTGGCTTGAGCCGTTGCTTCAGAGGATCGCTGAAAACGATTCAGTCGTTGCCGTGCCGATCATATCGACAATCAGCTGGCAGGATTTCGGTTTTCATCACAGCTCTGGAAGGTAAAAATTATTCACGAAGATATCCGTTAGATTCTTGAATTTATTTCGACAATGAGGGCCTTAACACTCAAACGTTTATCATCTATGTTTGGTCAACAATACCGTTATTTAGGGGACAAACTAAGGGAAGGAGTTCTGTTTATATTGATATGGTATCCCATATATGATATGTTATCAATAAAACTTCAGAAAAAAAATAAATAAAATATTCAGTATTGAGCCCCAAATCGGCGGTTTTGACTGGCGCTTAACATTTCAATGGCACTCAATTCCTGAAGAAATCCGGGCGAAAAGAATAGCGGATACTGATCCGGTTCCAACGCCGACCATGGCTGGCGGTCTTTTTGCTGTATCCCGACAGTATTTTAGGTAAAAAATTTATCTGATGAAACATTGTCGACATGCTTTGGATGTTTATTGGCCCCTTTCAGGTCCATCGGGTCTTATGATACTGGAATGGAAGTTTGGGGCGGTGAGAATCTCGAAATGTCCTTCCGCGTTTGGATGTGCGGCGGATCACTGGAAATCATCCCGTGTTCTATCGTAGGTCACGTGTTTCCAAAGACAGCCCCTTACGAGCGAAAATCCTTCACGCCAAATACAGTTAGAGCTGTCGAAGTCTGGCTGGACGATTACAAGCGACATTTCTACGCTAGAAATCCCCCTTCGAAGCTTGAAAAATATGGCGATATTTCTGAGCGCGTCAAACTGAGAAATGGTCTTCAATGCAGATCTTTCCAGTGGTATTTGGAGAACATCTACCCAGATCTTCCAGTACCAGAGGATCTTCCTGGCCAATACGGAGCGCTGCATAACAAAGGAACTCCTAGTCGATGTTTAGACTACAATCCGCCGGAGAATGATTTAACACAGTACGTTTATTGAATTAAATTGTTACCAAGAACGATGTAAAACTTAATTTAGCGGCACGGTGGGGACTTTCGGCTGCCACGGTCAAGGAGGAAACCAATTCTTCGAATTTAACTCCAAGGGTCATTTGCGATACACGTCCCAGTTTGAACTCTGCATAGCAAAGAAGGTAATTCTGGAACAATTTAAATTACTTTTTGATTAAAAATTAAATCCAGGACGATAACTCTGGAGAAATTGCGGCAGTAATGTGCAATGGGAAAAATGTGAACCCTCCGGCTCGCGCGATTTGGATCAAAATCCCTCAGGATGATGGAAAAACATTCCAGCTCAAGAACAAGTCAAACGGACTCTGCATCGCCACGGAGAAAACTGGTGGCAACCCAAAAGTCGTCTTTGAAGCGTGCAAAAGTACGAGCAGATATCAACAGTGGTACTTCCAAGAATAGTGAAATTTCGACGAAAAAGCGAAAGTACAAGTGCAATAGAATGTTTAAAACTGTAATTCATGAATTTATTCTTCAAATGCTAAGATTATTTTATATTTAAATAAAATTCTTTACATAAAAATCTTTCTTATCAATCATTTTTTCACAGAGGCGCTTCGTTTTATTGAGTGTAAAAATGAATATCTTTCATATCGAAAAAGCGGCACGGGTGGTTTTTCTGTTGATGTAAGTACTCATGTCGTCTTCGGATGTACTAAAAATAAAAAATACGCCAAAATAACTTTATCCGCAATACATACATCTTGCATGGCGCTGCTTCTTTGACGTTTTCGAACAAGGTGGTTTCTTATGTAGGCTTCCATGGCTGCACTTTGAAAATTAGTCCCCTCCGGCACTCTTCTTCTTAGCATCCTATTCTCAGCATTACTTTCGTTTATGAAAAATATAGCGAGAATTATTTTTCTAAGTTGCATTTTCAAGTCGACGGTTTCTAACGAAAATACTTCTTTGGCCCTTTTATAGTGAGGTGGTTTTAATGAGCAATACATTTGACATGCAAATGTCACTTTCTGGTCTTTTAAAAATACTCTTTAAGTGTATTTAGTTGTTAGATTTTTACATAGACACTTGTCCTGTCACCAATGCTCCTAAATATATTTAATAAATGATTGTTTGATGTGCTTTCAACAGAAGAATCAGCTATCTTCAATACAGCATTATTTGTTTTTAGACAAAGTGTTCATAATTGTCATCTTTTTACTTAAATTTTCGAAAATATAACCGTTTTTTTCATTTCATTGGTGATGCTGATCGCAGATAAACATCAAACCTCGCGCAAGCAAGGATTCGAACTTGCATTTGCACAAAAAACGGATTTTTTTTCCACCAGCGAACAAAAAATGGAAGAGAAAACTGCTCAATTAAATACGCGAGCATTTGGTAATTCGATGTTTCGTGAAAACATAAAACCGAAGACAGCGAAGAAGAGTTGGTTCGCAAAATACGACGAGCAAAAGTCGAAAGGTTTTTTAGAAACAGCTTCAGCTGTGTATTTGAATGAATTTAGACATGCTTGTTAACGATAGCATTGTTGAGACTTCGCTGCTTGATCTTGAAGAGAAAGAGAATGATGCTCCAGACCGAGGCTCTCAGAAAGGTTATAAGCCAACCATCACTCAATTAGGGGATCCTCTCAAGATCAAACCAAAGAAGAAGAAGAAGAAGAAGTACCTTGGATTCGGAGAAATAAACTCGGTAAAAATTTCTATCCTGAATGATTTATGAACGTATTAAGTGTCCCTGTCAGCAGTCTTGCGACTGCGAATATGAAACGTCCTCGGATGAATTCGTTCCTCAGACTTGGGACGAATTTGAGCCAAGCCCTCAAAAAACTTCGAAGAAAGTAACGTTTGCTGAATATCTTCCCGCTATCACTAAATCTGGCGATTCTTTCAACGCAAAAAGAAGAAATGTGAAAAAGTACCGCGGATTCGGCAAACCGGTTTCCACGGTAAAAAAATAATATTCTGACTTATTTATAAACAACTTTAGTGTCCACGAAAATCAGGCGATATCGAATCTGACACTCCCTCTGAAGAGTATGTCCCTCAGACTTGGGATGAATTCGAGTAAGAGAAAGTTTGCTGCGGATTTTATGTGCTCAATAAAATAGAAATGATTATAAAAATGTGTTTATTTTTGCGAAATTGATCTGTCAGAGAGCAGGCAGAAGTTTCGATAGAGATGAAACTTAGTCTTCCAAGTTGTGGAGCTTGAGGATGTTGAGCTGAAGACGATCGCGTCCAAGTTGCACGAGAATCAGCTCACTTTCGTCGCCGAACGAGTTCAGAAAGAAGAGAACAAGCAACAAGAAATTCCGATCGAGATCGTCGATACTCCTGCTCTTGACTGAGATAGTCGATCTTCGTTCAGTCCTTTCTTACCTGATTTTACGGAAAACACATAGATACAGTATCAACCTGCAATAAACATAATTCTGATTCGAAAATTTGCTATTTATTCCGGATAGAACCAGACTCCATCGCTTAGCGTCATACCGCGTAGAATAAACCAGTTCTCGTCCGATCACTGAAGTCAAACTACGACGGGCGGGGTTAGTACTTACATGGGTGACCGGTTGGGAATACCTCGTGCGCTAAGCATTTTTGATTTTTTTTAATGGATCCTTTTTACGCTGAGGACGCTTTCGCATCGTATTTTTGATAAATCAAGTCATCAGCCATCGAATAAAATCCAAATGTATGAGTAAAGCAAGCATTGAGCGTTCAGCTTGCCTGGCGGGCGCTTTTCTGAAAAGAGGCCGAAAATAGGAGCGTGCAGCGACAAAACGACCTCGAAATCAAGCACCCTCTCTCTTTACTCATCCCATTTTTGAGTCCGATTTCGATTGTCTAACAGGTAAGAATCGTCTCTATGCCCTCTCTCTCCTACCCCTCTCGCCTCTTACATACGAAAACTCTACTCAAAGAAATTCCCATCTGGGTCGTGACCCTTTTTATAAGGTGGGCCAAGTTTTTCACCCGCTTTTGATTTTAAACCCTGCAACACCATACATATTTGGAATCAGCGGGAAAAATCTAGAAACTTGACCGTTTTTGTTTATAAAAATCACTTCCGGTTGCGATTCTACAACCGGCAGTTGTTGAAATTAACAATGAATGCATGTGACATATCAAATTGAAGCTTAGAACATTTCAAGTCATCATTCAAAACGAATCCAACCGAACCGCTGAGACTGTTTTTTCTACTGAATTAATTATGAAGTGACTCAGAATTTTCTGGGCTTCAATTTGAGAGATAACACTTAATCAAAACTGCTATATTTCAACAACTGCCGGTTGTAGAATCGCAACCGGAAGTGATTTTTTATAAACAAAAACGGTCAAGTTTCTAGATTTTTCCCGCTGATTCCAAATATGTATGGTGTTGCAGGGTTTAAAATCAAAAAGCGGGTGAAAAAACTTGGCCCACCTTATAAAAAGCGGGTCACGACCCAGATGGGAATTTCTTTGAGTAGAGTTTTCGTATGTAAGAGGCGAGAGGGGTAGGAGAGAGAGGGCATAGAGACGATTCTTACCTGTTAGACAATCGAAATCGGACTCAAAAATGGGATGAGTAAAGAGAGAGGGTGCTTGATTTCGAGGTCGTTTTGTCGCTGCACGCTCCTATTTTCGGCCTCTTTTCAGAAAAGCGCGCGGCAGAGGGCGCTTTTTCTCAAGTGCCACGCCGCCCGCCAGGCAAGCTGAACGCTCAATGCTTGCTTTGACGTGCTTTTTTTAAGGTGGTCCAATTTATTTCTCCCATTTTTTCCTTTTTTGACACAGAACACCATACAGATTTGGAATCAGTGGAGAAAATCTAGAAACTTGACCGTTTTAGTTTTTCGGAATTCACTTCCGGTTACGATTCTAGAGCCGGAAGTAGGCAAAATTTTGGAGTAATGGTAAAGTGTGACCTATCATATTGATGCGCAGAAGATTCTTAGTCATCTCATCATCAATTAATTAGATGAAACAGTCCCAACCGCGGTAAAACTATCATGCTTTAATGAGAAAATTTTCAATTTTTACCGGTCGTTTACCGGCGGTTTTTGACCGGAGTTGGATTCGGTTCCGATAATTAATGACTGGATTTGTTGTAAGCTTCAATTTGATAGTTCATAAGCATGCTTTTCTTGTAAATTTCGTGAACTTCCGGCTCTAGAATCGTAACCGGAAGTGAATTTCAAAAACTAAAACGGTCAAGTTTCTAGATTTTCTCCACTGATTCCAAATCTGTATGGTGTACTGGGTCAAAAAAGGAAAAATGGGAGAAATAAATTGGACCACCTTAGAAAAAGCACGTCTTTACTCATACATTTGGATTTTATTCGATGGCTGATGACTTGATTTATCAAAAATACGATGCGAAAGCGTCCTCAGCGTAAAAAGGATCCATTAAAAAAAATCAAAAATGCTTAGCGCACGAGGTATTCCCAACCGGTCACCCATGTAAGTACTAACCCCGCCCGTCGTAGTTTGACTTCAGTGATCGGACGAGAACTGGTTTATTCTACGCGGTATGACGCTAAGCGATGGAGTCTGGTTCTATCCGGAATAAATAGCAAATTTTCGAATCAGAATTATGTTTATTGCAGGTTGATACTGTATCTATGTGTTTTCCGTAAAATCAGGTAAGAAAGGACTGAACGAAGATCGACTATCTCAGTCAAGAGCAGGAGTATCGACGATCTCGATCGGAATTTCTTGTTGCTTGTCCTCTTCTTTCTGAACTCGTTCGGCGACGAAAGTGAGCTGATTCTCGTGCAACTTGGACGCGATCGTCTTCAGCTCCACATCCTCTGGAATTCGAATTTCTTTTGTCCAGACGTGGGTTGAGAAGATCTTCAATCCGTCTCGTCGAGTAGACTCCGTTTCAGTCACGGTCAGAGTGCGGCTCTTCTCGTCCACCTTCACGTGCAGTTCCTCGGCCTTGGTGGGGATGGAAGAAAGGTTGATGCAGCTGCACCACTTGCTTGATTTCTCAGCAGTTTGGCAGCATCCTCCACGCTTGTTGGCGGAATGGGCAAACTCAGAAAACAACTGGTTCATCAGGGGTTCGAAGTGTTCGTTAGAAAAAGTAAGCATTTTCGTTCGTTTTTGTATCTATGGTGTGATGAGAAAACCATCTCTCGTTCGGTATTTATAGCCACTGATGATTGTCGCCGTTTCTTCCAGAAGGTTTTATTTCCAGTGTAGAATGTTCTGGAATCTTCTTTCTGAAGAATCTACAGTGAAGATACGAGTCTTCTGGAATGTTCGATTTCTTCGGGAATTTTCTACCATGAAGTTTAACTCTTTTGGGAGAAAGCCTCTGGCCCCCTTCCCCGTATCCCGCGCAAGTCACTGTCGGGGAAGTCTAGAAAAACTCTTTAACGCTTGCTTGGCAGCTTAGAAGAATTTCGAGATTCTGAAGAACAGAATCTTGAAAGTCCGAGCCAATGAGAGAGCCGACAAGACTTTGCGCGGCTTCTCCCCAAATTAGGCGCGCAAAGAATGAGCTACTGAAAAAGTCAGTGCATTTTTCAGTAGCTCAGATTCTCCATCTCCCTTTAGAGCTCAACTCCATGGTATTATATTCTGGAATATTCTACACTTGATTTCACGAATGTTCTCGAAGTTTTCAGCTGTATAAAATGGGCTTGTTTCAGCAAAAGCACATTCAAACTGAAGAATCTTTCCAAGAGATTCAAAAAGCAAAAGATGATAAAAATCGCCGCATTTCCTTTTTCTCCCGAATTCGACCGTCCGATACAGCGCAAATGCCGTTCTCGTCGCTTCCAGCCCTACTCCATTTCGCAAGAAATGATCACTCCTACAACCTGGTCAGCAACAGTCGATCTTACTTCGCTTCCAACGCAGAAAGAAGACCTCAAAATCACCAAAGACGAGTTAAAGAGAGCTGCAAATCTCTGGCTCATCAAAAATATCTGAAATCATCGAAGGAGTGAAGATCGAGTCATCACACAACTGGAAGAGAACCCTTTCTGTGCCAAAAACAGTTGCCTTTGAGTCACTCTCCTCCAAATTCAATGGCAAAAACCTTTTATTCACTGCTGATAGACAGTTTGGTACTAACGTTCCAATCAGTTTTGTCCAAAAACGAATAAATGACATCCACTAGAAGACGTTTCTTTCACTAGGAATTCTGTTTCTAAGAGGCGAGAGGAAAGGAGAGAGAGGGCATGGAGACGATTCTTACCTGTTAGACAATCGAAATCGGACTCAAAAATGGGATGAGTAAAGAGAGAGGGTGCTTGATTTCGAGGTCGTTTTGTAGCTGCACGCTCCTATTTTCGACCTCTTTTCAGAAAAGCGCGCGTTAGAGGGCGCTTTTTCACAAATGCCACGCCGCCCGCCAGCGAGACTCAGCGCTCAACGCTTGCTGAGCGCAAACTTTTTTCAATTACTGTTGAATTGATTCAACAATTGTCTTCTTGTTATCTATGATGCAAAAGTGTCCCGCAGGAAAAAGGATAGATGATTTCAAAAAACTTTTTGTGGGGCCGGGAATCGTAAAAAATCTGTAAGTGCAGTTTTCTTCAGCTCGTCGAGACGAGTCAAATGATGGATGATTTCAAAAAACTTTTTGCCCGGCCGGAAATCATGAAAAAAGTGCTAGTGCAGTGTTGTCAGGCTCGTCGAGACGAGTCGATTGGTATAGGTCACTCTTGAAAATTTTAAGGATTTACCGGTTAACCGGCTGATTACCGAAAATCACGTTGTCAGCTCCCGTTTTTGTTCTAGTCGTCGGATTTTCATGTTTGAAGCGTCAAAATGATCCTTATGATCAGGGCTTCTGTAGCCTCCGAGATGAGCCCCATATCTCAACTCCTGCCGAGCTTATCACTAAAAGTTTGATTTTTACGCACTTTTTGCACTTTGAAAGTTCCTAACGTAAAATTTTTACGGTAAATACTAATAAATCTTCTGCGGTTTTGATAGACAATTGAAAATTCATAATACCCACCGTTCAAAACCTTGTAACCAGCCGGTAAAAAAGCGCTGAATCAAAATTATGCCCTCAAAAACCACTTTTTTTGATTATATTTAATTTTAGCCTGAATTTTTATTATAATTGAACTTAAACCCATACAAAGCTTCTTACAATCGTAGCTGAGCTATCTTGCGTCGGCAATGAGCCAATCATAAATTTAGTCTAAGACCAAGTTGGGCTTGTCCTCTTCGGGCGTTCCGATATCATATCGGCGATATGGAGCACTTCTTGGGCTTCAGGAGGGCACTGTGACATGTTTTATAACTTGCCACAGAGCTAGCGGAGTCTTCTGACGCATTAGGGTTCATAAAATCGTGCATTTAAGATTCAACATGTGCAAACATGATTTTTGTCAACGAAACATGACAGAAAAGGACTGAGAACATGAGATGCATTCAATTGTCTACCAACTCGTCCGAGCTGAAAGCGAAGAGAAGAATTCGAAATTAACTGGAGTTTCCTCAAAGCCGAGTTTTCCAAGAAGAGATTTGCTCATCCGGGGGCTCGACAAAACATCTTAAATGTCCTAGAAGGCATCAAATGTCTACTAGAATCAAACTTGGTCAACCTGAGAAAAAAGCGAGTGGAAAAGGTGATAAAAGAAGTTCCAGTTATGGAATCCAAAATTAAAAAAGACCCCTTTATTCTCCGAAAAATCCTCTTTCAAAAGAAATAGCATTGATTTTGCGCAAAAAGGTCCAGCTTCTAGTTCCGATCTAACTCCTGATAACTGTCAGGATTTACCGGTTTACCGGCTGGTTACCGGAAAATACGTTGTCACCCGCCGTTTTTGTTCTAGATGTGGTAAACAGATGATCGACCCAGGAAATTGTTCCTTATAGTCGGTTCTACTCTAGGCTCAAAGATGAGGCTCGTATCAATACTCTGAAGAGAGTTATCACAAAAACAGTAAATTTCACATGCATTTTGTTGTTGCTGCACGTTCCTGATTTTTTGTCCCATTTCTGCCATAAATAGTATTTTAGTGATAACTCTCTTCAGAGTATTGATACGAGCCTCATCTTTGAGCCTAGAGTAGAACCGACTATAAGGAACAATTTCCTGGGTCGATCATCTGTTTACCACATCTAGAACAAAAACGGCGGGTGACAACGTATTTTCCGGTAACCAGCCGGTAAACCGGTAAATCCTGACAGTTATCAGGAGTTAGACCCATCATTTGACTCGTCTCGACGAGCTGAAGAAAACTGCACTTACAGATTTTTTACGATTCCCGGCCCCACAAAAAGTTTTTTGAAATCATCATACTTCTCATTTGCAAAAAGTCAAAATGCTTAGCGCACGAGGTATTCCCAACCGGTCACCCATGTAAGTACTAACCCCGCCCGTCGTAGTTTGACTTCAGTGATCGGACGAGAACTGGTTTATTCTACGCGGTATGACGCTAAGCGGAGGAGGCCCGTTCTAGCCACGTTATATAGCAAGTTATTGGATTAGATTTTTGTTTAGTTCATACTTATTCTGTATTTTCCGTGAGATCAACCAAGAAAATATGGACAATGATTTACTAACTCAGCGAAGAGCAGGGGCATCGGCGATCTCGATAGGAATTTCTTGTCTTCTTCTTTCTTCACTCGTTCGGAGACGAAAATGAGCTGATTCTCGTGCAAATTGGACGCGATTGTCTTCAGCTTCACATCCTCCAGAATTCTAATTTAATTGTATTTGTCCATACGTGCGTTGAGGAGATCTTCAATCCGTCTTGTCGAGAAGACTCCGTTTCAGGCTCTCAAGACACGGTCAGATTACTTCTCGTCTAGGTTGACGATCTACCTTCACGTGCAGTTCCTTGGCCTTGGTGGGAAATAAAGTTCTTTGACTTCTGAGCGGGTTGGCAGCATTCTCCACGCTTGTTGGCGGAATCTGCGAAAAAGATCTGGATCATCAGCGGCTCGAAGTTTTCTGCGAAAAAGTAAACATTTTCGGTGTTTTTGTCTAGTGTTTTATTTAGCATTTATTCGTTGATACAGTATAAAAATGATTATAAAAGTGAATATTTACAGTTTCGAATCAATCCAATCAGACACAAGCTGCTCATTTATGTCACCATAGATAGCAGGGAAGTTTTCAATGTGGCAAGTCTCTACAAGTGACCCAACTCCAACGAGTGCAGCTTTTCCGTCCTCATTACAAAAATCGGCGTTCCTGGAATCAGATCCCTGGAGATCGCGTCTGTCATGCCGTTGTTGTTTAGATCGGGAAAGCCGTAGCAAAGCTCTGATGGAGCGAGCTTGACTACTGATTTAGCACTACAGTAGTCTTCGCCAAGGTGATTGATTGGTTGAGCGGAACCATCTTCGGCGTATGTCCAGCAAGTTTTTCCTGGGCTGGGTTTTGAAGATCTCACACAAGCTTTCTTTTTTGTTCAACTCAATTTTTAAGCATGAAATTTTCAGAGATAGTATAAAAGCTTTTCCTGCATGGAACTGCGAGTCCATGATCATCAAATCGAACCAAGCAAAAGTCAAAGTTCCTCATGGTTCCATCAGCAATGTCCCCATAAAAGCCGTTCACGTGAACATCTGAAGCAGCTGCGCCACTTGGCATTGTTACGGACTCTGCGTTGAGGCAGCAGGTAGCTGCGGTGATCAGCCACTTATCGTTGATCGCAGTGGCTCTACACTTGCGGTCGGAGTCGATCGTAAGTTCGGTGACCCAGGGCATCTTCGAGGAGTTTGTACTTTCGCGGATGCCGTTGCAGTTTCTCAAAAGCGGCATTGGGCTGAGCGGTGAGAACACGACCTCTTCAGCTGGCTCGCATCTTACATTCTCGTCACCTTGAAAATATCATTTATAATATGAAAAAATCCATCATTATTCAATCATATCAATGCCTTACCTTTAAGATAAGAGAGATTAGTCTTGAAGCATCTAATCCTCACATCGGCTGTTAAATTTTCATCAGAGCAGACAGCTCGACAAACTGATGCTTTAGTAGTTCCATCACAAGTCCACTGGCCGGCTCCAAGAGGACGGTTCGCGTTCAAGAACGCAACATCTTTACAGTGATTTGGTTTCTTCTTCCCACCGCCGGCCGATCCTCCTTTATTTAATTTGTAATTTTAAATATCTACTTCTACCTTCTCACCTCCAGGACAGGCTTTTTGAGCATTAGAGCCTTTGGTAAATTTCCACTTTTTGGGATGACCGTTCGGCTTGACCTCGTCGCATTTTGCTCGAATTTTGGATTTTCCTTTTCCGTCGCAGAAGATGTTGTACTCTGTCGTGGCACCTCTAGTTTTTAAAAATTTCAAAGACCCATTTGTAATGGTGATTAGGTTGTCTTCGCATTTGTCTCTTCTGCTTGTTATGAATCGAGCTTCTTCATCACTAAAAAATGTTCGTTTTGCGGGATCATCATCAGACAAGCAACAATAGCCGGTATTTCACGATACTAACCTTATGATAGAAGGACAATCCACATATCCACCGACTCTCAGAACCGGTCCGGCAAATCTACACATGACTTTGACCAGCCCGCTTACTTTGCCATCAACATGGCAGCGATTCACGCACTGATATTCTGTGCTAGGCTGGTAAAGATCGTCGCATTCCCAAGTTCCCTCAGTTTGATTTTCGTCCAAAAACGTCTTCAATTTTGCAATACAAAGGTGATCAAGACGGGGCTGATTCTGGTTTCTCTCGTTGTGCTTTTCTTGGATAGCTTCCCAGCGATCTCTCCAACTGCATTCTGCCAGTTTCAATAAAATTGAAGATTTGAGTAATTTCATTTTATTTTTTAAAAAGTAAAAGAATTTTCAGTGGGAAACAGACACGAGACCCGGGAGAGATGGCGCACGCGAGCGCGATAAGAGCGTTCATGAGGATTACTTAGACTTCAATTTTTTTGTTTTGGCCATTGTTCGATAACGGACCTCCGCCGGATTGTTATTACAAGCAGAGAAGTACACCAGAACTGTCGTTAGTTTTGACGATAAACTGTATAATAGGACGGCAATGGAACTTGATACTCAAGATACAAATGGGGTAAAGTTACAAAGCGCAAACATTACTTCAGCAAATACCAAGAATTCAAGAGAACAATTGCTCTTCTCAGAAAGGGATGTCTCCTCTTAATTTTTTGAAATTTATAAATTAGAAAAATAAATAAATATCCTCATGTCAATTTCAATCATAAGGCAAACAACATCCTTTTTTCTCAGAAATGGACGTAATTGATTTCGTAAAAATGCAAGGTCTCGGCAACGGAAAGGGAATTTATTCAACTATTACCTTAAAAAAACTCTCGCCCGGTTGAATAATAAACGCAGATTATATATTCATTGACACGATTTCCAACGAGCTGAGTGTAACACAACTTGAGCAGCTGCAGCAACCAGCGAAAATTGCCGCTCTTTGCGATAGAAATTTCGGTGTTGGAGGTGACGGACTTGTGTTTATTTCCTTGGAAGAAACTGGTGGGGAAACGGGGGATGTTTTTGGAATGAAAATGTTCAATGCAGATGGATCAGAAGGGAGGACATGTGGGAACGCTCTCAGGTGTATAGGTAGGAGTACCTTAAAGATTGATCGATTAGATAAGCTCCACTGGAGTCTCTAGCGATCAGATTATTGTGCTACACCTGCTGTAAAATCATAAAATGGGTAAACCTGCCTTATTTGACTGTAACTTAAAAATGAAGCCCGAAATCCAAAGTAAATTGTAAATCCATTAGGGTATTGATACAACCTTATATTTAAAAAATGAGGCGTTATCATTTTCAAAAGCTTTTGTTATTGATATGACTTATTAATTTCAGGACATTATCTGCAAAAATCTCAAATCGCTGAAACAAAATATATGAAAATAAAGGTCTGATCAATGTCAAATTCAAATTTTAACGTCGTAATTATAGACCGCATCTGGCACGGTAAATTTGATAGCGCACGAAGGCGATCAAATAGAAGTCAACATGGGTTCGGTGGAGCTTATGTCATCCCCCGAGCCGTTGCTTTTAGAAGATGTCAAGGAACCGTGCAAAGAAAATAAGCGAAAACTTGCGCTCGTCAATCTTTTTACGGAATATAAAAATACCCAATTTTCAATTTCAACGTGGTCTTAAAATAAGCACGTCGTGCAGATCCCGTTTGCGGATATTGGCAATCAACATGCTGTTGTTTTGAAAAGGGTTTTCTTATTCAACTGAACACTTTTATTTTTGCTAAAAACAGAGCTGGTGCAGACACCAAAGTCATCTTGTTTGCATCATAAACCCTTTCTGAGATGGAGAGCAAGAATTTTTGGTTGGAGGATTTTGGCGATATGGTTGCGAAAATCAACAAGTTTGCGGAGGCAAACTTCGTAACCACCGTCAATGTTAATTTCGTACGTGTTCAACCAGATTGTGTTGATATTAGGTAACGTCAAATTACAGAAAAGTCTCTTCATCTTAATTTGAAAAAGAACGGTAGAACGTGGTTCTGGAGAAACTCTAGCTTGTGGATCTGGTTGCTGCGCCTCCTTTTTTGAAACGGGTTATTCAATAGTTATTGACAATTACGAGTTATTGTTCTGGATTAGTACATAAAAACGAGTTTCGACAAAAATGAAGATTTCAATACCTCGTTATCAATATTTAATAAACTCAAGATCGAATTAAACCATCGTTCAATTCGTACATGCTAATGTTCCGAGGCATAACAATACAATAATTAAATTACCAATGAAACTAAGTGTTGCTTTAATTTCCCTGCTCTCCAATTAGCAATTTCTTCTAATCCGGGAAGAGTCCTCAATCAATGCGGAAAGTTACCGAACTCGGAAAAAGTGAAATTCAAATGCAAAGGTGGAGAAATGCTATTGTCGCTCGACAAAACGACCGTGAAAATGATCGGGCCCGCAAAAATTTCATTTACTGGAAAATTTACGCTTTGAAATTGAATAAAAAAAATAAAATAAACAAGAATTATTTCTGATAGATTTTGGGCGTAATAGTTCTTGAGGGTTAGAAAAGATAACGCTGGGACATAATGAGCGCTAGAACCGAGAGGGCTTGATAACTCGTTATCGCTGATGATACGGAAGCCGCTTACCTGTAGATGAGAAAACGCGAACAAGCGATGAGCGAGGCCGTTGCTTTGCAACAACGTGAACATATTTCCATCAATCAAAAATTGTATTTTCAACCTGCTGAAAATCGACGGCCAGTATTAAAAAAATAAGCTGATAACTCTCAAATTTTTCTTCTAATCTTCCATTTTTCCACTTGAGTATAAGGGCCCTGAGAAGCTCAAGAAAGGGATGAAATTAAAAGCCAACATCCTTTATTTTTGATGATCCCGAAGAAAGGAGCTCCAAAAAGATCGTTTGAAATTTCAAATAAGTATTTTCGTGAATTTTATTTTCAGGTAATCAAGGTAAAATAAATAGAGCAAACAAACAATTTATGTTTCAGAGGAACAAAATAAACAATCTCCCATATTAATATCCATTTTCGTTAGTTTTTTTAGTACAAGATGGCTTCGGCTTCTTCTTCTGAAATTGGCCTGGAAAAAATTGTAAGAAAGGGGAAGAAAAGATATGAAAATTACTTTCTCTTCATGTATTGAATTCCTGCTCGCACGACTTCGATTCGGTCTGGCTCACCAACAACGGCCCAAATAGATGGATCTCGTGGTGCAATGAGTGGCTGGGCGGCCTGGCTAGCCTTGGCAGCAGCAGCAGCGATCTGTTTAATGTTTTCTGGGATGACGGGCCAGTCGGGAACTAGAAAAAATCAATTTGAATAGAAAGAAAATAAGGGTGTCGCCTTACTTTTAGGCGTCCAAGGAGCACGCTTGGGAAACGCAATTCCACGGATATGAGCGGCTACTTTTGGAATATTGCTCATTCTAGACAGAAATGCGATAAAATAGGGAAAAGACGAAAGTCGATAAGAGTTATCTTTTATTGCTATGTATTGGGTTAGTAAGTAAGGAATATTTACAGTAAAACATGTGTCAATAGAAATTATTCTTTTTGTTTTTGGTTTTTGAAGGAGAATGAAAATATGAAGAGAATGAATTTGAGTTTTATCGAGTGCAGATTTGTTCTGTGCTGGAGTTATCTACGGAGGTTGTTCAAACGAGCTTCTAGGTCGGCGTCCAGGTCAGCTGATGGTTCCTGAAAATAAGGGTTAAGAGAGAAAAGGGGGACACTTCTGGAAGGAGAAGGCGTTTTCTGGTAGGCCTACTCCCGTAGGGGGAAGATGCGTCTTGCTCATTGTTACCTCTGATTGAGCTGGAGTAGGCTCTCCAACGGCTGAGGGAATAGCTCCAACTTCCACCATATTCTCAAGTCCGAGTTCGTCGAGGACCTTGTTGACCAAGTTCTCAGTTTCTTCCTCGTCGTCTGATCCGCCCATCGCGTCGTCCATAACGTCGTTCATCATTTCTTCTTTCATGTCCATGATTTCTGATTGCTTCTCGAACTCTTGCATAATTTTCTGGATTTGGGGCAGCTTCATCGTCTTGTTCATTCGGCCCATTGCTTTTGTGACGCCTTTCATTGCTTCGGACATGGCGTGTTGCGATTTTATTGTGGAAATTTTCAACGAGACGGCCTTAAAATAGTTATTAATTAATTGCCTAATCTTTAAAATGTTCAGGAATCTATCTCTGCTAAGGTAGGGTTTCAATTTAATTGCCTCGGCCAAACATTTCGACACCCTTAGACATCCAAATATTGCCGGAAATGAGTCCATTTTGACTTTGTTTGTGGCTTTATAACTAAATTGAGCTCTTAAAATGATTTTATACAAGGTACTACAGTACTTTTTTGATAGTTACAAAGTATGAAAAACCGGTAAAAATCCGATATAAACCGGAAATTGGAAAATCCGCTATGATAACGCACTAGAGCTCGATGAGACGATTCTAAAAATATATGGTTGTATGGGGTGAATGTGTAAACTGTAAGAGCTAGACCAGAAGTAAGTTGAGGCAATTAAATTGAAACCCCACCTAAGTAAGACTAAAGCCACAAATGTCAATTGATCTTTAGGCAATATGCAATTTATCACAATTGGTTCGATTTATCAGTCAAAAAAATGGCTACAGAGGCAATATATTATAGCGAATCTTTCTATCCCGCCCTCTCATTTGTAATTCCGTTCATTACCTGAATATTCGCACGCATGAGCATGAACTTCTTGCAAGTATTTCTCGTACGAACAAGATCCTTTGCCATAATCTTCACCGTGGCCATTTCGTTCTTCTTGGCCATCTTTTTGATATCGGCAATGATCTGTTTCTCCTGTTTCTCCATGTTCATCCTCTCTCGATCAAGATCGCGCATCGCTCGCTGAAGAAGTCTCTGGTTCTCGCGAAGCATTTGTGCCGGCGTTTTCTTTTTGCCGAACAAGAAACTCATTTTTCTGAAAAATATAACTTTGACCTTTTGGTAAATTAGAAAGCTGAAGAAAACGACGACAACGCAAATATTGAAAGACGCCTTTGTCCTGATACGTAGGAATGAATAGGCATGTTTCCCTTACTCATTGAGGCGTAAATCGTACTTACGAGTCTCTTGTGGAAAGAAAAAAAAAACTCATCTTCAATAAGAATCTTTCCAGGGTTTCAAGGTGCACATTGCCTCAAAAAATAGGGTCACCTGTTGGCAATCGTTAAAACATCTGCACCATAAGAACATATAAGTAGCAATCTATGGTTCGAAGATATAAGAAATAAGATGAAATCACGATTACCTTCGACTATTTGCTCTAACAGGTCTTTTTAATTCGATGAATTAATCTGATGAATGAATTCATGACATGAAAAACGACCTGCATAATAAAAAATAATGAAATGAGAATCGTGGGAGTTTTTGACATTTATTTTTCGAAACTTAAAAACTACGGGCAGTCCAGAAAGTCTTACAATAAATATAGTAATTGAGGCTTGAGAGCGAAACTTGGTGGGTAGGACTTCCCGAACTGGACCCGAGGTACACACATTTTGTAAATTCTAGAGGAGGAGAAGGAGGTTGGAGATTATGGGGAGCGAAAAAGAGCAGTAGGTGAAGATAACAATCTTTTCAGTTTTTTGTTGATTTCAATGACTCTTATTGCAGGGATTCGATGAAGGCGATCAGGTTCTTTCTGTCTCCCTTCTTCTTCAATCCGGCGAAGACCATCTTAGTGCCTAAAAATGCTTTTTAGCGGCCAGTTTCTAAAGCTTTCTTACCTGGAATCATCTTCTTGGGGTCCTTGAGGTACTCGTCGAGGCTTTCGGCGTTCCAGGTGATGCCAGAGTCTAAAACGGAATTTATAGAGACATCAAGGCAATGGTGAGCTTACTCTTGTTGGCATCAGTGTAGGAGTAGTTCTCAGCCTGGCCAGATTGTCGTCCCCAGAGGCCCCAAAGGTTGGGTCCCTGGCCGTGCTTGCCGCCCTCGGCGTACGAGTGGCACTGCTGGCATTTCTGGACGAAGACTTTCTTTCCCTTGGCAACGGACATTCTAGCAAAAGAAATATTTAATAAAATTGATATATAACAAGAAAAAAAGGGCTAAATGAGAGTTGACCGCTTGGGAAAATGACGGTATTCGATTTTGACCTTCGAAATAGACGTGTTTTCCTTGAAAAAGACATGATTTTATCCTTGTGAATCTGCAAATCTATGAAAAATCGCTTTTATTAAGTAAAAATTCAAATTCTCTTGTGCTTTATTAATCATTTTTTCAGATTTGGGTCAATGCAATAATGTCTAGTTTCACAGAAACACGCCTCTTTCCAAGGTCAAAATCTAAGTAGAGTTGCTAAATCTCTGAAAAAGGGTGTGAACTCAGAAGAGTACTCTCTCGATCTTCGTTTTTCAGTTTAGATCCAGCTTGTGCTTTGGCGAGGTGGTGGTTGCCTCCAGCCTACGATAAAACGACGGTTTGCGCCAATGGGCGATCGAAACTAGCGCATTCTCGATGATCAAGGTCTCTCATTACGTAACCATTTCTGTCTGATGAAAGTCCGCGCCTCCAAGTCAGAGGATTTGAACAAATAGATTCAGTCATAAAAACAAGCAAAAGACTTTCTTATTTTAAATTTTACAAAAATAGTTTTTTTATCTTTGATAGAAATTTAGTACAGTTATTTTTGTTTTGGGAAATGAAGAAAAATCATTGTTACAAGAACTTATTCACATGCATAAAAGTTGGAGTTTGTCATATTTTTACGAATTTCAACAATTTTGATAAAAAGAATTGAATTGAAACAAAGAAATCGCATATTTTCGTAAAGCGGGATTTGTGTATCTACTTGGAATTGAGCCTGGACGCTAGAAAAGCGTCGAATTCAGAAGGGCCGGATTGTGAAGGTTGTTCTTGGTTGAGCCAGTATTCTGAATTGCCCGCTGCGTTCGGGAGAGGAGGCAATCTTCCTCCTGGAGGCGGCGGAAGAGGGGCATTCGAAGCTGGAGGAGGAGTTGAGTCTCCAAAATCTATCAGCACTCCCTCTGCAGGGCCAGATGTTTCTTGGGGACTCGATGCAGCTTCGTTAGCGGCTACAGTTTGCGGACGGGAGCGGCAGAAGCGCTCGTAGCGGAGGAAAATATTGTTTAATTCGTCGTTGACTCTCAGAGCGTCCATGAAGATTTCACCGTGGACGTCTGGGTCCAAATTTCTGAAGGTGGAAATCAAGGAAGAGTATAATTATCTTGCATCAGACGAGGAAGAGTTCAAGTGGCGAACGATCAAATATTAATAATTTTAATTATAATTAATATAATTTGACTACGGAATACTTACGATAGCAACTGAGAAAGCCTGTCTTGCATTTCGTGGCAGCTTTTGTCTAGTTTTGGAAGGAGAGCCGCATCGTTTGCGTTTTCTGTTCCAGGGACGGGCGTTTCTGTGATGATGTCCGAGAATACTTTGATGTTTTGTTCAACTATTCCGAGATCGAGCTTCAGGCGCTGGATTTCCTGGGCCGCCATTTTGTGTGTATTACAGTCTTAAAAAAGGTTGAAAAGGGAGGTGAATTAACTTTGATTAGATTGGGAGAACCAGGAATGATTCAGGCAGAATGAGGCCAACGGGCGCTCGTTAACTGGAACAAAGATGGAAGAAAGAAGGTCCTAAATAAGACGATCAAAAAGACGATAAATGCCAATTCTTTTCTTACAGTAAGATTGGGCGAAAACAATTCGTGGTCGAATATCTGAGACGAATCAGTTGCGGAGGCAATTTGAAATAAGGCAGCGAGAGGTTCGAAATTTTTGAAAGGCGGCTTGAGCGTGAGCATCTCAAGAATGGTGCAGCCAGCTGACCATATATCGCTACGGCGGCCACAGCCATGGCCGCGGACAACTTCTGGGGCCATCCAGTACGGGGTTCCTACGATGTCGCCCTTTTTGCTCCTTTGGTCGTAGCGCGATTTGTCGATGAAGTTGAGCTTCTTGGCGGCGCCGAAGTCGGCGAGTTTGACGAGTGAGAGGGTTGCGTCGAGGAGAATATTTGATCCTAAACGAGTGTCTTACCGAATTTCCCCGGATCAATCTTGCCTTTTACATCACGATGAGCAATTTGTAGCGAGTGGAGATATTCTAGCCCACACAAGACCTGCTTGGTGTACATTTTCGCTAGAACTTCGTCCATCACTCCGTATTTCTTCAAATACGTATGAATCGTTCCCTAAACAAATGATCATCCTCTTTGAATCTTCATCTATACGTTACCCCCTCCATCAGCTCCATAAATACATAAACAGTATTTTCATCCTTTCCACACGAAATGTACTGAATGATATTTCTGTGACTCAGCTGTCTAAGCGTTTCAATCTCTTCAAAAATATGCTGTATCTCGGTATCATCTTCTTTGTCAGTATCGACGACTTTTACAGCTAGTCGTTTGTTCGTCTCTTGGCAGATTGCAGCATAAACTCGTCCAAATCCACCTCTGCCCAAGAGCTCTGAGAAAGCTTTTTCAGAATATTCCTATGATTCAAAACGACCTTCAAGTCTTGAGCAAATGTAATAAAACAAACTGAAAATGTTGAAAAAACTGCCTTGAAGATCCCACTCGCTGTCTTCTATTGACACATCATTCTCTGACGCAGCATCTGATGGCTCTTGGATGAACCTATCGGACTCATGAGACGAAAGGGGAGAGCGTTTAGTAGCTACTGGCGCTAAAATTGGATCATCGACATCTTCAGGGATGAAATAGCCGTTGCGTTGCGAAAGAAATTCGTTCTCGAAACGATATGGAAGGGAAATGTTGTTTCTGGCAGTTGATTGAGTTGGAGGACTCGTCTCATCGACAGTGATTTTGATTAGAACAGCGTCAGAATCGGATGAGTCATCCCAGTGAATGCGAAAATTGATGAGGGTTTCAAAATCTACGCAGCTTATCGGTCGAAAGACATTGTCAAAGTGTTCGTAGTGCAGGATCAATCGGGTACATTCGTCAAGTTTGAACCTCTTTTGGCTCTCTCTGTAGAACTCCTGGTAAATTACAGGATACAATAGTGAAAACTTTTCAACTCGCCCATTATGTTCCACAATAAAACTTAGCTCGCTAACTTCATTGTCTCTTGTCATCGACTATTCAAACATCTAAATTGCCAACTCAAAATCAACAAAATTGAATACTAATAGTGTGTGGCTGTATTCTTGCACATGAACAGAAACATGTAAAATTGCTACGAGAAGTAGTAACTGTGAAGGGAGATTTCGATGATTTAGTGGTAGAACTCGTGCTCCATTTCGTCCTTGTTTTTGAGCTGGTTCTTGTAGGCTTTTTCGAAGTCCTTGGCAAGAACGACGTATCGGTTCTCTCTGAAATCGACGATGAAATCAACGAAGAAAATAGCCGTTTTACCTGACAGCAATCATACCAGCTTCTTGGCAGATTGAGTGGATATCAGCACCCGAGATCTTGTCCGGTCGAGCAACGAAGTCTTCTAGGTCAACATCGTCGGAAAGGTTCATTTTACCAGTGATGGTTGTGAAAACAAGTCGCTAGATTGATGTTATTCCGGAAAAAATGGTAATTTTACCTTTTGTCGTCGATCGGGAAGAGGGAATTCGATCTTTCGATCAAGTCGACCAGGTCGGAGAAGAGCGGGATCAAGAGTGTCCTGTCTGTTTGTAGCCATGATGACTTTAACATTGACGGTCTGATCAAAACCGTCCATTTGGTTCAGCAACTCGAGGAGAATTCGCTGCACTTCTCGATCGGCACCAGTTTGGGCATCGAATCGCTTGGTCGCAATAGCATCGATTTCGTCAATGAAGATGATTGCTGGGGAGTTTTCTTTGGCAAGGCGGAAGACGTCGCGGACCATTCGTGGACCTTCACCGAGGTATTTTTGGACGAATTCGGAGCCGACGACGCGGATGAAGGAGGCAGTTGTATGATGCGCCACAGCCTTAAGATTTTGTTTAGAAATATAATGTAAAATCGTTGATTACCTTGGCGAGCATAGTTTTACCACAACCAGGAGGTCCGTACATCAAGACACCTCGAGGAGGATCAATACCAATTTGCTTGTAAAGCTCAAAGTGCGTGAGTGGAAGTTCAACCGCCTCCCGGACTTCTTGTTTCTGTGTGTCAAGACCACCAATGTCGCTGTAGCTGATGTCTGGTTTCTCATCGGCGCCGAGCATGGTGATGGAAGAGTCAGCCTCTGGTGGAAGAACATCGACCAAAGCGTTTGAATGCTTGTGGAGAGCTACCGAAGCGGATGGCTTGAGCAACTCACGGTCGATTGTAGAAAGAATTCTGAAGGTTGATTAAGATTAGAGCAACAGCTGATTTTGGGTACCTGACGTAGTAGTTACTGCCAGTGGTACTTCCAACAATTGCGGAGTTCTGATCAATTGCTTCCAAAAACTGGCCAATGACGAGAGGAATCGATTGGATTCGCTTTACTTCCTCCTGAGCGTGAAGGTATTCCTAAAATGTATTTACCAAACGAAGTCTAAAGAAAAACTGAAGAACCTTTCGAAGGTTGCGCATTTCATCTTTGATGTATTCCTCCTGAACATCCAAGAACTCAATCTGCTTCTTGAGCTTGACGTAACGAGTATACAAGTCAACATCAGCAGGATCAGCTTGCTGCTTGGCTGGTGCTTCAAAAGTTTCGGTCTTTACTGGCTCGATACCCAGAGGATCCATTTTATTTCAAAATCTCTTTCTAAATAAGGATTTTAAGAAGATAATTTTTGAAGAAGTGAGGCTTTTTATTTTTTGCAGAATAATCAAAATACATGTTATGCTTGAGCATTTCTTGCGATAAAAAGGAATTATTTTTGAACTTTTGGGCCAAAAGTTTTGGCAATGAAAGAAGGCAGACTTTAATCTCTAAGGCGAATTATTCGAATCAGGGGATAAAAGTTTGTTTGTAAGATGTTTTTTTTCAATCGGTACACAGTGATCGACTAGTAGGATTGGTAGGGTTTCATTATATCTCCGTACATTTTTGCAAATGTTCAGCAAATGTATTCTCGCGTGGCTTGAACGTAAGCAGGACTTGGTATGCTTCATCTGAGAAGAAATTTTAAGGCTTGTACTAGAAATTTTGTTTTACCGATTGTCAATGTTCTGAACATTCTAGCGATAGATTCTAACGTCGAAGAGAGGGGATTATCTTCGTATGAGCATTCTTTGTCGAAAGAAAAGAACTGCAGCGGTCTGGAAGCTAGCGCGGCAGCAATTAATTGAATTGCGAACTGGAAGAAAATTGGTCATGAATAGGCAAAAAATAAACGAGCTTGCTTACTTTGAACTGGACATTTCCTCCAAACGCACCACATCCCCATTTTCCAGTCGCAATCGTGGCTGGAACGCAGCCTTTGAATCCAATGAATGCTTTGAGAATATCCCTTCGAATGCTTTCTTCGTCGAATTGAGATCTTCCGTGATCGCCGTATCCGTAGTTGACAGCGTCGATCGCGAGAATCTGCGTCCCTTTTCTTCCGTAACCATCTCTCGGCTGAGTGTCCACAAAATTGCCGCGAAAACGGAACGATTGAGAGTAACCAGAATATCTTGAAAAGCGTTCGGAGCCGGTAATGATGATCGCTTCTGAATCAGACATTCTCTCGAAAAAAAGCTGCGCCACAGTCAGTTCTGGTGAGATCAAGAAGCGAATTTCTTCCTGAAGCGTGTCCCATCGAAGAGTTAGTCCGCCGATGAATTCATCGGCGAAATCAAGCTGGATGTTGTTTCGGCCTTTTTACGGATTAGATTTGGACTGATTAGGGCCTAGAAAGATATCATTAGATAAAGTATATAAATTGTGTGAGGAATTTGCCTAAAAGATGCCCCTTGAGAGGAGCTTTTTCGTCAGTTTAAATTCTGATAGAGCAGATATTATCTGCGGCAAATAATCAAAAGCTAGGCGATTTTGGGAAAATGCATCTGCTTGTTTTATTTTCTAAAATTGAGAAATTGTGCAATAGTCAAAATATTATGGTTTGAAATCAGCCCGTTCCTTTATCCTCAATTAATCCATCTGGCACAAAACAGACTTCTTGCCATTTAATATTCGGATTCTTCAAGTCAGGAAATGAAGAAGCGCAAATTCTCTTGAAAGAAATGACTCCCACTGGCATTTCGTCCGTAACGCGTTTAAAATAATGCAAGAAACACTGAAGACGAGGGAAGATTTGCCCGTGGTAATTTGAGGAGTATTGGAAAATGTGATCGAAGTTGATGTGATTATAAGTAGCGTTTTGGCTTTTATACATTCGAATTGAGCTTTCTGGCCAGCAACAGAAAAACGACAGAACCAAGGCAGTAACGCATTGCTCCTGCGTCATCCAAATAGATTTGTTCATCCCTGTTTTGAGGAGACAAGGCGCTTCGGTGAGAATATTCGGTGCCTTTCGCACGATTTTCTGCATTTTCGGAAGAAGCGATTCGAAGAAAAAAGACTGCTCGTCGGGAAATGTTTTGAAAAAAAGCATTGAGGCATTTGAGAGATCTGACGGATTTATTGTAAGAAGTGATTGCAGTTTCGAGTTGGGAGAGGTTCTCAAATTGCGCGTCGCAAATTTTAGTTTTGATGGTTTGCCAATAAGAATGATCAGAGAACGGCATGTCGACAAAGTCATCCTTGGAGTATTCTCCGTTGAAAGTCTTCTTTGATGGAAGAATACGATCTTTTCCAACAGAAGTTACATCGAAAAGAACTTGATCAGTTTCAAGAACCTTTTCCCAATCAGATGTCTTGGGACAGGCGTCATAATAAGTTGGGAAAGGGATGATACTCATTGTCTGAAATCAAAACTATGAGACGGCAAAATTATTAAATATACATGTTAAATTAGAGAAGAATTGAATCAGAATCGGTTAATCAAGGCAGTGCGATGAAAGAGATTTAAACATAGTCAGTTCCTGGGGTCGGCTCAGGATCGTTCTTTTTCAGGTACTCGGAGAACTTCTCTCGTCCAGGTTCGAACTCAGTTAGAAGCTCGAAAACATAAGCTGAAATGGTGATAAGTAGATGAAGGAATTCCTAGTCATTTCTTACGGATAGATTTCTTCTCAATGCTGCACTTGATTTCCGCGAGCGTTGATGATAGTTTCGCATCACTGCGAGTCATAAGATCGTCGAAGCAAAAGTACCATAGAGGTCGCTGGGCAAACGCAGCGGCAATCATTTGAATCACAAACTGAAGGATATAAGGAAATATAATTTTCATAGTTATTTACCTTGAGCTCCGGGTCTCCTCCAAAGGCGCCACATCCCCAGTTGCCTGTAGCGATTGTAGCTGGAGTGCAGCCTTTGAAAGCCGAGTACGCTTTGAGAATGTCTCTCTTGATGCTCGTTGCAGAGAACTGGTCATGAGGTGTGTCTCCGCGATAGGGATACACATAGTTGACAGCGTCGATAGCAAAAACTTCAGTTGGAATTCGTCCGTAGCAATCTCGTTTGTAGCTTACAGCAAGAGGATCATTATAACTGCCTTCGAATCTGAAGGAATCAGCGTAGCCCGAGTAGTTTGAGAATCGTTGGACGCCAGTGACGATGATCGCCTCTTCTTTTTGCATTTCTTCGCAGAGTAATTGAGTGATGATGAGTTCAGGACAGATCATGAACCTGATTTCTTCCTGAACACAGCCCCGGCCGAGTGTTCCACCGCCGATAAACTTGTTCGCGAAGTCAGCTTGGATGAATTTATCTCCTTCATCTTCGATCAACCCTTTTCCTTTAATATGGCAAGGCATCCACTTAGCGTCAGCAAACTCTATGTCTGGGTCGTCCAAGTTTGGAATTTGTTCCTCATATGTTCGTTTGAAGCTGATCACTCCTTTAGGCATCTCCTTTGTCACAGAATTGAAGTACTCAATGATACACTCGAGCTTTGCGAAGCAAGATGGACTCGGTTGTAGACTAAAAAAGCGAGTAAAGTTGATCTCGTTGAAACGATCATATTCATCTTCTTTGTTTCTAGCAGATCTTTTTCCACTTCGCTTCGGCCAGCAACAGAAAAAGGAAAGAACAAGCAAATGAGCACATTGCTCTTGAGTCATCCAAATTGTACGTTCTCCCTGAGTATGGAGTTTTTTCAGCAGTTGAGGAGCTTGAGTCAACACTTTGTCGGCATTAGCAACCATTTTGCGCATTTTAGGAAGAATCCTATTGAAAAATCTTGGCTTCTTTTCGGGGTTTTGTCGGAAATAGCTTTCGAGGAGTGTGACATCTTTCACTTGAGGATTATACTTTTGAATATTTTTCAATAAATCATCCGCTGAAAAAATTGCAACACGGTCAAATCCTTCCAGATTGCCAATTCCATCTAGCACCTCTGTCCATCGCCCTTTTTGAACAGGCTCAGGTTTGGGCTCGGGTGAACCTTTTTCATATCCAACAAGCCTCTTTACTCCGTCGACTATTTGCGTTTTAAACCCTGGGCCAGATGAACTTGCGCCTTTCTTTTTGAGAATATTGCTCGGTGAGAAAGGCATTCTTACATGATCGGAGTCCCATTTATCACTGAATATCAAAGGATAGGGAGGAAGAGAATGAGGTGCATTGATGTCAAACAAGAATTGATGATTCTTCTTCGTCTTCAGCTCATCCCAATTCGCGTGCTTCCTAACTGCCTCCGTAAATGTCGGAAACTGGCATCTCTCATCATCGCTTTCAGAATTGTAAGCGCCCTGCATGCTCTCTTCTACGCAGGGTTTTTCGTCTCTATCAATTCAGGCGACCATTTCCTTTTTCGAAAAAATTGAGTTATCTGCTGCTTTTGCTGCTGCACGCTCTCCGATTTCTCATCGTTCATATCTGTAAATATTGACTCGTGAGATTTACACACTTTCCCTCTTAAAGAGCCCTGAAACGCAGCCTCTGTAGAACAATTAGAAATTTGAATTTCAGATCTATTTATTATCAAACATTCCGTGATGGTTATTCAGATCATATAAATAATTAATTTGTCGCAGTTTTGGTTTAATAGGTTGTCTCTCCATTCTTCGCGGGTATTTGGGCTCTTTCGGGTACCAAGATTTGATGACGGGCATTTCGATACCGCTGGGTAAGCCTGCGGGCCTGGAAAGTGGGAATTCCTCCCGCGCTTCGTAAGCGAATTTTGGCTCCGGCATTTCGAGGATTTTTGAAAAGGTTTCGCTCACGCTTGAATCCCATTGAACTAAAAATAAGCATCAATATTTTGAGCAGATGCTCAAAATTACCTTGTGAGAAGCGGAAAGCAGCAGGAGTCAGAATTTCTTCGTTATCTTTTAAAAACTGCGCTGAAGAAAATTGACGATTGGAAATTAATGATCCGTCGATAGCTGGGATCTCTAATCTCTCTGTATGATGGTAAACGGTACACACAAGTCGATGGTAGCCAGAGCCTTTCGCCGGAATGGGAGGGAGGTAATCGCAAAGAACATCGCCAGAAGTGGATTCATTGACGTTTGAAACGGCGTAGTGAAGGATTTCTGGCGTAGAACCATCGTTTTCGATAAAGTTACTAAGAAACGTCATCAGAGAAGCAAGACACAAACTAACTCTACCTGTCTAACGAAGAAATAACGACAGTGTAAAGAGATCCCTCAGCATGCTTGAGCTTGAACTCTGGTGCTTCCTTCATGTCTTCAGCTGGGATTTCATTGCCCCAAAAGCTCACCATCTTTCCCCAAGAAACTTCAAAAGGAACCACGGAGCAAAATCGACCATTTCCAAATTGATCCTTATTTTCAAATTAGAAGCCATTTTATTGAGAAAATCTACCTGAAGAATGTTATAATGTTCCTGTGCCGTATCGATAGCTCCGATTAGATTTTCCGTCGTCATATTAGTAAAATTATCGAAAAACGCCGAGTTGATTTTTCCCTCGTCGACTTTTAGCTGCCCAAGAAGAATGTCCTTTTTCATCGCGATTCTTTTCTCCTTGGAAGGCTCTTCAACTTCGACAGGATTGGGTTCAGGAAGATAAAATCCAATGTTAACTTTTTCAACTTCGCTTTTTGGGAATATCTGCCAAGACTGTTTGTCAGCAGCGCCTTCTTCCTCTAGCTTTTCCATGCCAAACCAAGTGATTCGGTGGTCATAATCAAAGTCCCAGTCAGCTGGATGGTAGCTTTCGAGTTCTTCTTCTCTTGCATCAAGCGCTGCTCTAGAATTAACTTGTCATTCGGTTCGATGAAAGATGGATTACCTGTAGTATTCTTCGTGACTTTCCCACTTGACCGGATTGACCAAGAATTTAAACTTGTCATTCGGCAGCACTCTGGATCCGTAAGGCACGACTTGTTCAAAATGGTACAACTCTGGTTTCGCTTTTCTCAAAGTCGCAATGTCCGTAGCATCCTGAAACTCCTCCTCGCTCGCGAAAGAATTCACATCTTTCTTTTGCAAATATGGAAGCTCTCTATTTTTCCGATTCCAAACTATCGCTGCTTTTCGCAGTCGTAGCATTCTAAATCAGATGAATTCGAAAAACGTACTCAGAATAAGTGAGTGATGTTTATTTCGATGCTTTTTGCTTGAGCATCTCATCTAAGAAATCAATAAGAATAGTTTTCGCCTCCGCTGCCGCTGGAATCAAATGTCCCTTATCGTGAGTAGCAACTTTAGTTTTGTCAGGATCAAAGATGGAGAGCAAATCGTGGCTCATTTCTGGCGGGATGACTCCGTCAGTTTCGCCGATTGTATGTACAGTTGGAATTGTCACCTTGACGTCCTAAAAGAGAGAGCTTTAGAATTTGTCGAGATGAGTTTTTATTACTTCGTAATATTTAGCGTGTTGAGATTGTCTCGATTTGTACCCAGCACCGATTATTGCAAAGTCAAAGCCTTGGAATCGCTCGTCTCCCTTTTCCTTCAAGCAGCAGAGAATCGCTGCGAGACAAGCTCCTTGTGAAAAAGACAAAATTCCATCAAACGGCCCCTGCTCTTTGAAGACCTTGGCCATGTACTCAATACTCGCATCAAACCCTTCGTCAAAATCTGTGTACGCGATCGCATCGTATTTACCAAGGTGGCTGAACCACCAACCGAAATCTTCAGAATCCGGGACAGCATGTGGTGCGTCAAACCAAATGTATTCGCATCGTTTCTTTATCTTTTTGCGAATGCCGCCTACTTTTACGCGATAACTTGCTGCTGACTGATGGTATCCATGCATCATTAGCATTTTTAAAGGCTTGGGATCTGACATTCTAGTAGTTATATTTCTGTTCAGAACATGCAATTTTCATTATACAAAGGGTATATTTTCAGGCAGTATTGCACACAAAAACCACTACATTTGCAAGCTTGAAATAAAATTAAAGAAAGAATCTTGAATATAATTGAACTCATGTTTAAAGAACTGGGATGCAGCAAAAGTAAATGTAAATGAATAGTTTTAGGTGAAGAACATTTGAAACTTAAAAATGAATAGTACAGAAAAAGGTCAGTGTTGTAAGTTGGTCGTAGTTTTGATAATGCTTGGTGAACTTTTATCGTGAAGAGGTCTTTGGTGAAGTTGAATTGGCTCTAGAAAGTTTCATCATCGTCATCGTCCCAAGCAGGGGCTGTGTTTTTGACGGTGTAGTTATCTCCAGCGTCGTTCTAGAGAAGTTATGGTTGGAATCAACGAAGAGAGCGAGTAGCGCACCTGGGTTGGGCAGTCCTCTGTTTCGTGCTTGTCAAATTCCTCACAAATATCGCAGTACGATCTTGTAGGTTTCTTTGTCAGAGAGGATACGGTGGTGTCAAAGAATAGGGTCGAATCGTGTCCTAGAGTGAAATTAAGGCTGGGTAAACGGGTCGGTTGGCTAAAGAAGGATAAAAAGATTGTCAAGAAAGAAGGGATAGTCAGGTAGAAAAGAGATAGAAAGAAAAGAAGGAAATAGATAGAGATAGGAAAGATAGAGAGGTAAACTTAAGGCTCTAGGTGTTTGTTTAAAAAGTGTCTTCATCCCATAGATTTTCGGTCGTCTCGTAATACATTTGAATTCGACCACCTTGCCGATTCATATAAAGAGTTTCGAATGGCTCCTGATTCGAGGTTTGAAAAATTTCTTCCATAATTTTGAATATTTCTATCTTGTCAAACCTGCCTCAGGATCGAGGTCTCTATGATTGCCACCAATACCCATGGGAAGATTGGGCATGAGCTGATTGCCTGAGAGAAGAAATGAAGAGAAAGGAAAGAAGGAAGTGAAAGAGGAAAGAAAAGAAAGACACGCAAGACTCAAGAGCAGCGCGGAGTCACCCGTATTCCGGCTATGAAAAGCAGCAATACAATAAGCCAAAAGAGCATAACCGGGATTGGAATGATGAGAGTACCTGGAGGAGGGGAGGGCGCAGGATCATCCACCAACATCGCTTCGAGCTCTTGAATTCGCTCGTGAAGCTTAGAGATGTCTTTTTGTTGCCCTGAGTGGATTAGAACGCTGTTTTGCATTAATAAAACACTTGGATCAGTATTCGTTTTCGACTAGATGACAAAACTTTCCCAAAAGTCGTCATGCTCCCACTAATGCTCAATTAATTTGAAATGAGCGGCTAGGAAGAGAGAATCTAATCCAATTCCTGCAATGATTGAGTTCAAGAATTCAGTTTGCACGGCTGAATTATCTGAAAAGTCAAAATATGAGAATTATCGCAAATGGTTTTTTTTGAAAATTTACCGTCTCCAGATCCGTTGACATTTGTGATGCTAACGACTCCGTTTGATATCGGGCTTTTTTCAAGCTCTGAAATACGCATTTGAAGCGTCTGATTCTCTAACTCCAAAGTGTCTGCCAAATCAGCTCGCTTTCGCTTTTTCGCTGAAAGAATTTCATCACTCAAAAGCGTTCACTAAGGTCATCCTACCGAGTTTCTCGTTAACTTCTAGCACCTCAGATTCTTTTTCCAAAATCTCATTTTGTAATGACGATATTTGGACAGTAAACTCTTGAAGCTTGACATTTTTCTCCTTAATTTCCTCCTCCATCTTGAGATTGAGCTCTTTGACAGCCTCGGCCTTGGACTTTTCGTCTGATAGGGTTGCTTTTAGGTCTTCGTATTTTTGCATAGTTTTTTCTTGCGCTTTGATAGCTTGGTCTTTTGAATGAATTTCGGCGTCAATTTTTTCGGACATTTCCGTAATGCACTTATTTTTTTCTACAAGGATGTCGTCTAGCTCGGCCGATTTACTGCTCTGCGAACTTCTTAGCGTTTCGATCTCCTTGTCCTTTTCAATGAGGAATCTTTCCAGCTGTTCGATTTGGCTGGATAGTTCAGAGATGTTTTTTCCATATTGGCTGACTTTTTCGGCGTTTTCTTTTGAAATCTGCTCGTTTGATTGTTTCAATGAAGCGATTTCGTCGTCCTTGGACTTGATCTCTTCGATTTTCGAATTGAGATCCTCCAAGGCTTTGTTTTTCTCCTTCGATAGGAGCTTATTCGTTTCGTTGGTTTCTTCGCCGAACTTTACCTTTTTTGGGTCTCCACAATATTCCCCAGATGAGAATCTTTAATTATCAACAATTATTTTGGAAAATGACTCCTAGAAACATCCTATGAGTAAAGGTGCTTGGAATCGTGACTTGATCAAACAAACCATTTCCATGATATTGCCTGGCGTCAATTATGATTTTACTTCGACCGCATGAGTTTTAATGTGCGACTCATCAAATTTCCAACGACCTTCAGTTTGTTGCTAAGATCCACATTATTTTTATAGGAAATTTTACGCAACTCGCAAGTATTAAAGGAGAAGGTGCAGGGCTTCCTCATTCAGATTGAAAATCGACCACAAAAAAAAGCAAAACCAAAAACTCAAAAATGTTAAAGTTCAAAAATATGATGACCAACAAGCTTATGCAAGACGATAAGAAGCTCCTGATCAACAAGACCAGCCCGAGATCAAGTCCGCGAGTCATGAAAGCGAATAAAAAACTCAAAATGCAACGCGAAAAGAAATCCGACGAAATTCCCCTGGTCTTTTACGATTCTGAGTCCCCGCTTTCTCACTCGCCAAAAGCAGTACGATTCGCCTTTGAAGTGAAAGTCCACCACAAAAAATATTCCTCCTTTTAGTTTCTTTTAATTTCTGCATAAAATAAATTTCGAGACCCGTTCCTGAAGATCACTGAGTTCCTTTGACAAATTATAAATCGTTTCGGATGCTTCTTTGTGCTGACTGTCTTTTTCGACATTTTCAGCTTTTGCATCGGCGAGCTCGCGATTGAGAGCTTCAGTCTTTTCCTTCAACATTTCGATTTCTTTCACAGAAGCCGCCATGATTTCAGATCCTTCGCTGATTTCAACTTGCGTCGATTTCAGCTGTTCCTCAAGCTCCGCGCGTTTTGAAGCCTCTTCTTGCTTTTCCGAGGTCAGAGTCGCAATTTGAGACAGAAGTTCTGCGGTTTTTGCTTCAAGCTCACCAGATGATTTTGAAGACATTTCTTTGAGCTCTGACAGTTGTTTCTCAAGAGAAACGATTTTGTCCGAAGAAACATCGAGCTCTTGATTCGCAGTAGTGAGTTTTTCAGTTTCAGAAAGAAGCTCGGATTGTTTTTCTTCCAACAGTTTCTCATTGCTTGCTTTCTCAGCGACCATTTTCTGATGATCGGCTTCAAGGGCGGCAAATTTCTCTGTTTGTTCGCTCAACTCCGTTCTCAGTTTCTCCAGCTCCTTATGTTTTTCTTCCGAAGAACCAGTAGCGCTGGATAGTTCGGTTTTCAATGCTTCAAGCTCTTTTCGAACAGTTTCAAGCTCAGTCGACAATTGTTCTTTATCAACTTCAGTTGTTGATAGCAAGGACGATTTTTCCTCGAGATCTTTTGAAGCAGTTTGGTACTTTGAAGACATAGAAGAGAGCTCTTTTTCGGCATTTTCGGCTTTGTCTTCGGCTTGCTTCAATTTCTCTACAAGAGTCTTCATTTCTTCGGAAGCATCAGCCGAAGATTTTTCGGAAAGCTCCTTTAGTGAAATTATCTCAGCTTCGAGTTTTTTGCAGCTTTCTTCGGCAATAATCGCTTGTTGGGTCTTTTCATTGAGAGATTTCGCCATTTCGATCGCGTTCCCTTCTGACTCTTTCAAAAGCACACGCTCTTTTTCGATTTCTTCGGAGAGGGACGAAACTTCGTTAGTCTTCTTCTCCAGATCGTTTGATCTTTGTCGGAGCTCCTCGGAGAGACTTTGAACTTGAACTTCTAGTTCGGTGGACGATTTCGATGATGATTCCTTGATATCGTTGAGTTGGCTTTCCCACTCCTTGGCTCTGTCAAGCGCAGTTTGAATCTCGGAGGTTTTCTCGGACAAGGTGCATTCAAGAGAAGAGATCTTCGAGTCGCGCTCAGAAATTTCATCATCTCTTTTCTTGAGCTCTTCTGTAAGAGCTTCATTTTGTGATGACAATTGCTGCAGAGAACCTGAGTGTTTTTCAAGCTCTTCTGTCAGATTTTTGATAGACTCGTCCTTTTCTCTTTGCGCCGATTCTGAGGACTCTCGAAGCTCAGCAAGCTGTTTTTCAGCGCCCAAATGATCATTTGTGACCTTTTCTAGCTCGGCAGATCTATTCACAATGGACTTTTTCGCCTCTTCAAGATCCTTCTCAACAGACTCAAATTTCTGCTGAAGCTCGGATCTTTCTGACTCAAGTTTGCCGATTTTCTCTAAAATGATTGTAAACAAAGTGGAACGCGAATGAACTGGCATGCCTGATAATGACTGTATTTCTGTTGATTTTTCATTATTTTCAGACGAGATGATGTCAAAAGAGCTGATTAACTCGTTCAGCTTCGTTTCACTTTCAGACAAGGACTTCGTTAGAGCAGCTTTTTCTTCAGCGAGAGAACTGGCACTGGAGTTTCCTAGAGCTTCAATTTCCGCTGCGCGTTTCTTTTCAGCAGCAAGGTCACTGAAAAACGAGTTCGCTTTTGATTAAAAAACACCCAGCACCAGGACACCGACATAAAAAATGAAGGTGAACGTACCATATGATGGGTTGTAAACTACATACCATGCAAGCACTTCGTTTTGAGAGACGATCTCGGCGAGCTCTTTTTGGATGTTCTCAAGGGCAGTTTTCGATGTTTTCTCTGCCTCGGAGGTTGAATTTTTGAACTCGGCTGAATCGACAATAAGTTGAAATTGGAAGAATTGCTCTTACAGAATTGTTTCTCCGTCGCATTCTTTTCTCCCTCCAATCGAGCGGCCTCATCTTTGGAAGCTTCATTCTCTTCCCTCAGCGTGGAAATCTGCTCATGTGCAAGCTCCAGCTGTCGCTCCGCATTTTCCGCTTTTTCCTTCGCAAGTTTGAGCTCTCCTTGAATCTGGCCCGCGGATTCCTCGCTTTTCTTGCCCAGTTCTTCTTTCGCCGACTGGAGCGCTCCACACTCATCCACCATTTTCTCCAGCCTTGTTGCCAAATCGGCCGCAGTCTTTTTGCTCTCGTCCAGTTCATTTTTCGCCTTTGAGAGCTCCTCGGACAGAGTGAGCTTCTCAGACTCGTATCGCTGTGTTGCATCGGTTATCTGGGTCGAAAGAGTTTTGACGGATAACTTTGCCTCTTCAAGTTGAAACTCGAGATCTTCAACTTGTTCTTTCTTTTCATCGCTAAAATTGAGGCTTTACTAAGTTGTTCTCAAGGCGAAATAGGTTGGAAATGGAACAGAAGACAAAATATGGCACTTTTTACGAACGAGGTAACTTTTGAATCAGACAAACATGCCAGTACCTGATTTGGTGAAAGAACCGAAATGTTAGTTTAAAAAGTTCCAACTCTATAGAAAAAGAAACGCGGGAGGTACTTACAGTTGAGCGAGTGTTTGCGTGACTTCTTCGCTCTGGCCTTCTGCAGAGCTTTGAATCTTGCCCTTCAAATCCTCTATGTTGCTGTCAAGCTCTTGGATTTTCACGACGAACTCTTCTTTCTCCAACTCTGTTGTTTGTCGAAGCTCTTTTTCTTCATCAAGCTCGGCTTCGAGTTGTTCCACTGCTTTTGTTTTCACTTCAAGTTTGGCTTTGAGCTCTTCGCAGAGGGATTTAATGTCGTCAAGACCAGCCTTAAAAATATCCTGATTAGAGGGCATATGATTTTTAAGGCTTTTCACGACCCGAAATAGCATCAAAAGAGTCCTCAAATGGATGAAAAATGTCACATTATTAATGTGGCTGTACCTGACTACTGTTTGAATTTTCCGCCAGTTGCTTTTGAAGTTTCTCATTCTTCTCCTGCTCTGCCGCTAGGATTCCCTCCCATTCGTGCTTCGAGAACTCTCGCTCTTCTTCAAGATCCTGAAGCTGCTGCTTCAGGTCTTCTATTTCTCCGAGAAGCATCTCATTTCCGCCTTCAGCATCATCGCCAAAGTCTTCCAGATCGTCATCATCCGTTTTCGATGTGCTTTTTCGCTTCGATTCGGATTCAACAAGCTGTTGGCGAGTCGATTCAAGCTCTGCGCGGGTGGCTTCCAGCTGATTTGTAAGATCTGAAAATTAAGTCAAGGATCTCTCTTGATAGTTAAAGTAGAAAAATAAGGTTTTATCAACATCCCGCATCGATAGAAATGTCTCGGGATTTTTATAGGTGGCGCCCTTTCCTGGCCTTTTAAAAGTGGCATGCCGCATGTAATATAAAAAATCAAGGTTAAATAAAACTTATATTCAACAAAATGATCCAAAATTGAAGGAGACGTCTACATACGTCCTTGCTGTATGAAACAAAAGTTCTTTTCGTTCAAATCAATAAAGAAAACATAATGCTGTACCTAAAACTTGTCCGGAGATCTTGACAATTTCATCTCTGTCCAATTCCCGCTCCTGAAGCATGCTCGCAACTTGTTTCTCTTTTTCGTCCATGATCGCTTTGAACTCCTTGGAATTGCACTGTAGAGCTCTGGCCCTCATTCTCTCTTCGTAAGCTGCTTCCGATCGAGCCATAGCCACGGAGTTGGTTGAAGCGACGGAGCCGAAGGAGGATACTGACCCTGCAGGAGATCGAGCTTTAGTAGAAAATGTTGAGTTAGTCTATTCTAATCCCATAACCAATAAAAAAATAGATTCTTACCTCTTACAGATCGGTTTGCCACAGATCCTGGTCCTTTTGCTCGACCACCCTTTAGCTTTGTTACTTTGTGGGGAGGAGCAAAAAGTCCAAATTTCGGAGGGCATTTAAAGTAGCTCACTCCTTGCACGCTTCCGTCATTTTTGCCGCTTGGTTCGTTGAGCTCGATTCCAACCCAAATGCCTTCTTTGAATTCGGTTCTGCCCATGAAACGGACAGTACCGGACTTTCCGCTGTATAAAATAAGATCGCCGACTTTCAGCGCTTCTGCTTCTGATGGAGATTCGGCGGAGACCCGCGGCTTGAGCTTTGGAGAAGGGGTGGCGGGAGTGGTTGGCGTGGCTGTTCGAGACTTGTCCATTTCGAGTTTTTCTGGACGGATAAAGATTCCGCGGTTTTCGCTCGTTTGGAAGTAGCGCTTGCCTTTGATCGAGCCATCATTTTTGCCTTGAATAATGATTTTTATTCACTTTCAATATTATTCATTGTTGGATTGCTGTAAAAATATTGATCGTAAAAATATTGATAAATAAGTAACTTACCAATGGGTTCATCAAGCACAACTCCTGCCCAAACTCCCGACGCAAATTCCGTCTCTCCAATGAACGCAACAATTCCAGGCTTGCCGCCCGCTATTACTCTCACACCGACGGCGACTTTCGGTGGCCTAATTTTCGATGGGGGCTTTATTCCCGACATTCTAAAAAGCCGAAAGAAAGTTTTTTGTTTCAATGAAGAGCTTTGGCGAGAAAAGATGAGGACGGCACTTGAAGCTATTAAAAAAAGTAGAGATAACCCGGATAGCCCAGCTTGTAGCAATTACATGGTCGGCAACCTACATGGGGTTGGTGGTTTGATTGGCCCAAAGCTGGAAGCAACGACCGGTCTCTAGGGCCAACAACATACCGTAAATCCGCTACCCTGCCCATTTAGTACAAAACTCGTTTTTAATCTGCAGCCTATTGTTTAATATCTGCTTTAAAAATAAAGTAATCTCTCTTTGGCGGTCGCTCTCTCATAAACAGAAAAATAAACGGAATGGCGTATGTTCGAATGAAGAAACAAAACTGCCGAATTCATCTTGATAAAGAGAAATGGGGCCATGTTGAAAATAATGCTCAAAAACAACGATTTGATATCCTCCATCAGATATCAAAATAACGGATTTCTGGGCACTTTGAAAGATCTCTCTTATTTCTAAAACAGCTTATTCTCTCTTTTGAAATTTGCTCCTAGGAAAATGTACCGTTAATTAGGTACCGAAAAAAGAATCGATCAAGTCCCTCGAGAGGCCACAGAATGTGCAAAGACGAGTCCCTCTTACCCCTGCAAAATCTCGGTCAGGCGAAAAATTAAGGCGTTGTATTAATTTATTCTACAGATTCCTAATCAGCCAATACAGTACAGTACTATTTCTGTAAATCAAACACGCTGGTCGTCGAGGAACTTCAAAATAGCAGCCTTGGGGTCTCCTTTGGTAGGAATAATGTGTCCATCCGGGTGGCGAACGATGGTCGTTTTTTCTTCGTCGAAATAGGTGGCTAATTCATCGCTCATTTCGCGGCAGATGACTTGGTCTGTTTCACCGATGATGTGAAGAGTCGGGAACGAGACTTTCACGTCCTACGAAGTTCTCAGACAGTTCCATTATTTTTATAATTCACCTTGAAAAACTGCTGATGCTGTTCTGTCCTCGATCTGTACCCAGCCGCGATAATCGCAAAATTAAAGTTTTGAAACCTCGCATCTCCTTTTTCTTTCAAACAGCACAAGATCGCCGCAAAACAAGCTCCTTGCGAGAAACTCAAAATTCCATCAAACGGACCTTGTTCTTCAAAAACCTTGGCGACAGAATCTAAACTAGGGCTCGCCATAAAATTTTGAAGTCGCGAACGAGTATGTTTTTCTGATTCCCCATGTCCTAAAACCCAAAACTCCCCATATAACCACACCCTGAAACCCAGCCAAAAAAATTTTAGAGCGAATTTTCGATAAAAATGGCCCTTTTTCGGGGTCTGATCGCTTAACCGAAAAAGCTAACAAGTCAAACCTCTCAAAACTATTTATATTTGATATTAACATAAAGCTGAGAGTCTGAGCTTTAATATGCAGTGTTGGTTTTGGTTCTATCTAAGAATTTTTATTGAAAAAAATGGCGTTTTTTGAGAAAAAATCGAAAATTGACGTACTTTTTTCCCAATAATTCATTTTTTTTCGATAGTTTGCTTCGATTCTCCCCAGATCTGAGACAAAACTCTTATAGAATAGAGCGTTGCGCTTCTTTGCTTTGCCGGGTCGGGAAAACTTGGGGAACTCGAGATATCCAAGGTTTTCTGGTTAAAATTAGGCCGAAAAACTGTGAATTTGAGGGATTTTTAGTAGGATTTTATTGGGATTTCTGGACAAAATCTTGATCCCACCTTCGTAAGTAGCTTATTCAAAAGAGCATAAAAAGTTATGCTCGAAAAATTCAAAAAATATTGAAATTTCTGGAGAAATGACGTCATGGCACGTGATCGAAGTCCCAAAAACAGGATTTTGGGCCTAGCTCTAGAATTTTTTCCCCAAGACTTACGCCTGACAGAGACATATCATTCGAATCAGGAAAGAACGGGGATCATTTTTAGGTGCGATTCGTAGGGGAGAATTGACATCGACTTTTTTTTGGCGAGCCCTAATCTAAACTCTCGCCAAAGCCATTATCTTCTTTAGTCGTCGCACAAGCGTCGTATGACTGTCCCTGGCTGAACCACCAGCCGAGATCTTCCGAATCCGGAATTTTGTGAGGAGCGTCAATCCAAACGTACTCGCAGCGTTTTTTCATCACTTTTCGGATTGCGCCAGTTTTTGTTCGAAAGCCTTGGCCCGATTGACGGTAGCCGTGAAGACACAGCATTTTCAAAGGCTTCTTTTCCGCCATTCTTGACAAATGATAATTTAATAATATTATAAAAGTATTTTTTTTTAGAATTGTTATATTTTTTTATTGCACAGGTCATAAGTTTCAAAGAAAAATGTATTATTGAAGAGAAAAGAGGTAAAATTAAGATTTTCAATGCGAGATGTTTGATAAAAAATAATCGTTTCTTTTGCAAAGCTTGTTACTGAAACATTTGTGTAACATGAGTTTTAATCAGTAGGTCATCGTAGAAGTTCATATTCGGAAAAAGGATTAGAGCTCGAGATTGAAAAGAGATATCGACTTGTTTCGGTTGATTGTCGCTACGCGTCGCATACTGTGGTCCACTTCGATATTCAAACACTAAAATTTAAGATTCAGAAAAGTCGCTTTTGTTGGAATCGAAACCTGTCGATTCAGCGCTGCGTGTTTGGCAAGAGGGGTTTTATCGGCGTCGGATACTGAATCGTGGCATTCTTTACAAACTCTGACTGGGACAAACTCGAAACCGAGTTTTGGCATGACAGTTTGGTTGCTAGCGCATTTTGCGCAAAGCGCTTTTCCGCATTTTCTACAGTGGTGCTGTCGTTTGCCCATTGTTTTTTCCTCCCACATTTGTTTGAAATTCCAGAAGAAGGGGCCTTTGCAGATCTGAAAAAAGAAATAACTGATGGTTAATTTCTATCGCTTGAATTTACTTCACAAGAGTCGGATTCCGTCCACTCAGGCGGAGGACTCCTTTGTTTCGTCATGTCCCAGCGGACGATTCCTCCATTGCTACCGATTGAGTACAGTGACATGTCTTTGAAACTTAAATTGATAGGTATGTCTTGATGTCCTTGAAGTCGCAAGAAAAGGCCCTTCTTTCCACCAATGTCCCAGCACATGATCGTTTTGTCCGTCGAACAGGAGAAGAGGAAATTCGTATTTGGCTCCCAAAGAATTGAAGTTATCTCTGAACTAAATTACCGCTGAAATGAGCGAAGAGAGGTTTAACTTTACGTGTGTCCCTGTAGCTTATTGACTTCGCTACATACTCCGTCGGAAGAAATGCGAACGAGGATGATAGAGCCTTCAGATGTACCGCAAAACAAAACTCCACTATCTGCGTCGATCTTGAAATTTACTCGAATTTAAGACAGGCTACAAAACACTTCTTACATCAATATTTTTCGGCACAATTGTACAACTGAAGTCGCTAACTTTGACTCCGGAACCGATCTCTGAAATGCTGATGGTTCCATCCGCACCGCCGGAAATTATCCAGTTTTTCTTCTTGCACAAAACCAGGTCATTTACTGGAACATTGTGTGCGTTGAATACTCGTTTCGAAGCGAGGACATTTAGGTCTTCCGAGAGTTCGAACATTTGGACTGTCCCGCTTTCTTGTCCGATGAACACCAGGCGAGATTCATGATCGACTAAATTTTATGCTTGAATTTATAATACGATGATAATAGATATTTTTTATATAAGGAGATTTTATTAACTCTTTAACTTTCGGCCAGCGCTTGTAAGAAAATGACATACAGAAGGCCAGTACTGCCCATTTGATCTCTTGAGCCAGACACGGACTGAATTATCGCTGCTCACAGTGATAATCCCGTCATCATCTCGGATAATAGCCGTTGCTTTTACCATCCCCATTGATGGGTCTGCTACTTCGCCAACAGCCGACATGCTCAAAATGTCACTCTGAAAATGTTTTTCCAATTAACACTTGAGTGAATCCTTATTGTGATAATCAGCTGATCGAAAAATGTTGTTTTGAAAAAAACTTCAAATTAGTACCAATTTTCATTTCATTTTGAAAAAAATGCTCTTGTTTTTCCTCTTTTTGGTCTCTCAGAGCTTTGGATTATCGTCAATTAATGCGCTAAAGAAATCAAACTGCACTTGGGCTGACGTTGAGAATCGAGTGTCCTGGAAAGAGACAGGGCGGGTGAATCATTGCCAAACATGCAGATGCATTGATATTCAGGATTCGATTTATTTAGATTGCCAGAGGTAACACAATTATTTCCAAGGGCTGGAGAGCGAATCCGAGGCAAATAAACCTGTCTCTTTTTAGACAGATCAATTCAATAGGGTCAAAAAAAATCGGTCACTATTGAAATGACGAATTCTCCAAGACTACTATATTTTTTAAGAAATTTCTAAACAAATTCTGTTTTAGTGCCCTACGACCTACTGCCTGGCCTGCTGAGTGCGTGCCTAAACAAAAAGGATGCAGAACAATTCTCGTAGAACGAAAGAACCCAAAAAAACGCTGCCCTGTGTTGGCCTACACCTCTTACCGCCATCTTCTCTGGGTTGCTGATCGGCCTGAACGTACCTGGCCCTTCCTTGATTTCACTTTTCAAAATATAATTTTAGCGGACTACACTTACGAACAGAACGATTTTGAAGGAAGCGCAACAGAAGTTGTTTTTTGAATTGTTTTTATTTCTCTATTATTTTGATTTCGAATAAATAACATACAGATGCAGAAAAATGATGTTTTACCAGATCTGTGCTCGGCCCATGAGGTTACCTTCCTGGTGGAAGCCTCGTGGTCGGAGCCAGATTCGCTGATTCCAGACTTCTTCGGGCTGACCGTTGGCGTCGAAAAGTTCTCTGTGGATAGTCTGGTCTCGGACGATCTAAAATTCAAGATGTTTAGAGTATTTCATCAATTTGCGCATGAAAATTGATCATTATTGAAAGGTACTTACATCGCCAAGAATCAAAAGAGTACCCACAGTAGCGGCAAAGATTTCAAAAACGGAAACTTCAACAGTAGGTCGGTTTGCGAGACGATGAACGTTCTTTCCATAGTTGTCCGCGATGTATTTCGAAAAAGATCGGGTAGAAAGCCGAGCACCAACGCGAGACAACATTCTAAAACGAAAAGATGTCCTATTTAATTTCCAATCACAAACTTTTTGAACAATAAACAGAACGGCAAGGAAAGAAGAAGGATAAATACAGTAAGAGGTCAGTTTCGCCCGGATCGCTCAAGTTCATTGTTGACCAAAGTATACGCTGGTTTAACGATCACTTTTCCAGTGGCGTCCTTGGAAACGAGGTCTGGATTTGGAAATGTTTTCGATTTCGGGCCAATGGAACTGTATCCGCGGTCGTAAAGAATACAGTAAGGAACGTAAAGTTTACGAAGAAAGCCCCAAATATCTGTATAATCCCAAGTTAGAATCGGATTCACTCGCATGTATTCAGGCCAACCTTGAAAACTATTAATTGTCAAGAATACGGATTTTTTGATACCTTTATCTGTGTCTGTTGGTGAAAAATCTTGAAGATATTTTCCATGCGGATCATCGAAACGAGTACCCATTAGAATAGCTTTGATTTCAGGGTGAGATTCTTTGATTTTGACTAAATGCACATAAAAACTCACATCTATCTATTGTAACTTACACAAGGCTTCCTTGATTCCACCGTTGGTTCGTATCACATCGATGCCATATCTTTTGTGCGAAATCTCCAAAAACTCGTCCATCTCCTCGAACATTTCCGCCTTGTCGGATTCGATGTAAATCGACTTTATCCTCGTCGTCGATTTGTTTTTCTTCAACGCGGCAAAGTATAAATGAAGAAGAACTGTACAATCCTTGCCGCCGTTGAAAGCCAAACTCAATCCATCGCCATATTTTTCCATGGCGCTCTCAATCACTTCCATCGCCTTTCTTACTTTCCCGCCGAGAGCAGAATCTTCCTCTAGAAGTTTCAGCACATCGGCTCCCTCGAGGGTCCAAGGCTCGCAGTTAATGTTTTCGTCGACCATTTTTCCCGACTCTATTCGCTCTTTTAGATAGTTCTGGCAATCTTGGACTCTTTCCAAATTATCGCTATCGATTGTTATCAGCACTTTTTCGTAGTTATTTGTCCAGCTCGGATAGGAGCCGATATTTACATCTGAAAACAACTTTGAAGCGTCTGTAAGAACATCGGCCACTTCTGTCTCGTGACACTTCAGTCGGATTGTTTTCTTATGAAGAGTTATATCTTGAGCCCAGTATCCGACGATGTTGGATATTGCGCGCTCGAAAAGAGATGGAATGCCGGGCAGTACGTAGACATTATTGACAGTCACGATAGGGTAGCGAAAAGGAGTCCCATCGGGCCCTTTGAATAGCAATTTAGAGGACTGCGGAATTGTGCACAATTTCATGTGGGGTGAATCGTCCTCTACGTTGCCAAAAATCTTCCTAACAATCTTTGCTAATTCAGAATCGACCTCTACGTCCTCATCAAAGGCCGCAGCGACAGATTCGAAGGTAATATCATCATGGGTTGGACCAATGCCGCCAGAAGTAATTACCACGTCGAATTTACGCGAAAAAAGTGCTACTTGCTCGGCAATGAGGTTTTTATCGTCTGGAAGGACCGCGATTTGGCTCAATTTGATTCCGTTTTTGAAAAGGGTTGACGCCAGGAAGGCTGTATTTGTGTCTTGTATGTATCCCTGAAAACCCCAATGATTCATGAACTTGCTTTTTGAAATTCACCTTTAGAATTTCATCGCCAATGACGATGCTCCCGACTGAAAGATGTCTACATCGCGAGAGAACAGAACCCCTGGACCGAAGCATCAGTAAACCATCAAAACGCATAAAAGAAGACGTTGTGTCTAGAAGGGTTTATTCACGACTTTACTGTATTCACTGTAGAAATAAAAAGGTACACATGTTTGAAAATGTAGAAAGAATGAGCGAGATTATCATAACAAATTAAATTTTTCGTCGATAGAGATCGTGGCAGCATGGAGCAAGTAGATAGGAAGAGAGATAATTTAAAATTAAAGATAGGATTAAATTATGAAACTGAAGTGGGTTTATTGTCTGGACTTCCCATTTGAGTAAGTACACGATCCAGCCACTGCAATGGACCATTTAGGTGGATTTCAATCCAGCAAGGCGTCGATGTCACTTCCTGTCGGTGGTAGTCCGCGCCCCAGCCTTTTACAAACGACATCCGTATCGTGCACATTTTCTGCAGCTCGAAAACCTTCGCATATCCCTCGTTGACTCTCTGGGCTAATAACGTAGCGAAAACCTGAATGAAAATTGTTTAATTAGAGATGGAGTTAGGGTTTAACTTTGTATTTGGGCAAGGGAAACGGTTGAGTATACTCAACTTGAGATGAGGATAAGGCGCTATTTGAAGATCTAACCTGGTTATTGAAGATTTTTAATGAGTTTCCAGGGGGTATCTTGCAAACAGTAGTCGGATGAAAACTGTGCGTGTGATTGCAATTCTGGCTTTGAACGAATATTGCTGCATCAGAAAGACATTCGGCGAACACTTCGCCGCCGGTATAATACAGATGGACTCCTTTTCCAATGTGCCGCCTCGTATTTTCTGATTTGAGCTCGTTATTTGAAATTTAGAGGGATATATAATACCTATCGTAGAATTCCGGTTGACATTAGAGAGCAATCCAAGGCAGAATCGATTGGCTCCAGATGACGGATCCGTAAAGCCATCTACAGTAATGGCTTTACTCTCACAGTCGAACGGAACGCCGACTCGATGATTTAATTCGTAATAAGTGATCTGGCACCAGCACTTAGGCTCGGCATAGTGAACTGGCGAAACGTCCTGAGTAGAGATTGTGCTGTTCACCCGGGGTTTCGGCTGAGGCGAGTTAGCCGACATTGATTCGTCCGAACCAGGAGAGCTTGGAGATGGAGAATCCGGCTGAGTTTTGATGAAAGGCGCGATGTTAGGTCGTTGAACGGGGCTCTGGGGAGAAGAAGGCTGGAACGGAGAGTTGAAACTAGAGCTCTGACTGAGTGGAGATTGGGAATGGAGAGGAGATGATGAATGAATGGGGCCGGTTGTCGGGGGCGGGGAAACAGCTCCAGGAGATTGTCCGAACGGTCCAAGAGATTGCGGCGATGATTGAGAATGAGGAGGCACCATCGATTGGGGATGGAACTGTCGTGGTGAGGGAGAATGCGGCGAATGTGCGTAAAGCGGATTTCCATTTGGAAACGAAGGTCTTAAACGGTAAAATTAAATTTCATTTCAACGTAACGTTGGCTACCTAGGTTGGAACTGGTTGTGTTGCAGATAGGAGCCGCTATGCGATGGTGGTAAGGTCTGATGAACGGAAGAAGGCGTAGAAGGTGATGGCAAATTCGATGGAGGGATTGGTTGGCTGAAAATTGATTGAGAGTTTTTACAGGGAATTTTGTTATACCTTCTAGGAGGCGAGTGAAAGTTGTATTGCGGAGGCTGACCCTGGGGATTAGGACTTCTGGGTGGCCCTCCATGACCAAAGTGAGGCGAGTTTGTTGGTCCTCCAGGATATTGGGGATAGTTTGGAAATTGTCCTGTTTGATGAAAGTTGTTGTTCGAATTGTTCAGAGGTTGGACAGGCAGTCGATGCTGTTGATTGCCGTGAAGCATGCTGTATCCAGGCACGCCAAAGTGGTTCTCACGGGGGACCAAGACCGGCGGCAGCATGGGAGTCTCAACGCGCGTGTAGTGATAAGGGTTGATGCAGACGTCTTTTTGATGCTTCGTGTCGTAGGGAAACTTGCAGTGTGGCGTTGCTTTCAACTCATGGTGGCTCTAAATATCAATTTTAAAGAAAAGCAGAGCTGTAGGTACCACCTGTAAATCCGGCCAGCGCCAAACTCGACAATAAATCACATGCGGTAGTCCCTTTCGATGATTAATCTGCAATCTGCCGTCCAGACTCCGTTGTATTGTTATGCATTCTGTGTAAACTTGTGGATCTTTCCCGCTTAGAAAAATGTTGGTACCATCTGTTCAAACAAAAAATTTCAATTCTCTTACTGTTTGAGTGCCTTTTCTAGCGCCTCTATGGCACCTTTCTTCTTTCGGAGCTTTTTGACGAGCGTTTGAATGGCGCATTCGGCCCATTTCTCTTCCTCATCGCCTTGCTTCCAGCCGAGAAGGTTTTTGACGGCCGAAGGGGTCGAGTGAAAAAACGAACTCATCAAAAACTAGCTCGATTCGTTTTGGTTCTTCATGGTCGAGGATCGGCGCTCTAAATACAAATAAAAGGTAAACAAACCACCGACTTCCGAGCGGAATACTTATGTACAGTACGACAGTAGTACGGCATACAGAAAGGTTAAGAACATAAATAAAACGTCTAAAGGCCGGCTGGAATCGCGGTCGGGTCGTCTTCGTTTTCTTCTTTGTTTTCTTCCGTACTTTCCGGGGCAGTGGTGTCGTATTGGCGAGCGATCGCTTCCAGAGATGGAATTCCAAGGATTTTGTTGAGAGAGTTGAAAGCCATCAGTCTCAGAGCATGTTGAGCGCTAGAATTTTTATTTATGAAAAATGTTTTACTTACGAAAAATTTTAAAATTCATTTTTTATTTTTTTCTCTACCTCGAAGTAATATCTTCTCTGTCCTGATCTGATAAGTCTTTCATGGCGTCGACTGGCTCTCTTTCGCAGGGGTCGATTATTCCTTCGCCGCCTGATTAAATTTATCCATCTGAATCTACTGCTGTTCGTTTTTCACTGACCTTTGATAATAAGACCACCGGCGAGGACAGAAAAGATTCGTTGAACGCCGTCTGAGATCGGAAGTGCCTTTCCAGCTGACTCAAGCCCTTTCTGTACTAAAAGCTGAATATTCCAATCCGATAGAATGTTCCACGTGGGCACACGCAGCGTCATGTCACGAATAATGCGAGCGACGGCCGTGCAGTTCTGTACTTTTTGGGCACACACGTGATACCATTTCGCGCGACGAAGCTCGGCCAGGGCACGGAGACATTGATCGTTGGGGATGTATTCTACTGTGGGGTCTTCAGGCTCCGCTAAATTTCAAGTAAATAGAGGGAATTTGTGAATTCGTATTTTGTACCGCGATTGGCAGTCCTGACTGACTGATTTTTGAAAGATGCACATTGACGTTACAATTCTCCATGCTAAAAACATAGGAGATTTGTAACGTAGATTGCGTAGGCGTCACTGGTTTGACGGAACTCTCAAAGAAGAGACACTAGAGTCAAATTTTAATTGGTTGATTAGCTATTTCACTCGAAAATCAGAATCAGTCAGTCAGAAATGCCAATCGCGGTATTATCAAAGAAATCTCTCATCGAAGAATTCGCAAAATATCTCTGAAAAAATGAAAACTTTAGCATCTCTTACATTTTACTTCTTCGGTCAAATTCAGTGGCGGTCTGCATTTGGGCGAGGCCACCGACATCAGAATCGTTACCCGCGGCTCGGCCAATCTGAATAGCTCGAGACCCCCAAGCTCTCTGGAAACAATCACTACAAATAGATTGTGTTATCGTTTTCCCACAGTTCAGCGGTAATGAGAAGGTTGCTCACCTTTGTAGTTCTCATGATAGGTTTGGCTCATATGTTCCGATATCTTATGCGCTAGTTTCTCAAGCAGCGCAAAAGTTGGCTTATTTTTCGTCATCAAAACTGCTAGGAATTCCGTCTCGCCTTTCAAATTGATCTGCCCGGCTAGCGCCCCGACTTGCATGACTCCAAGAATTTCCCTCAAAGCTTCCACGCTTTTTATTTCCCCACTTTTCAGCTTTGTCTGGGTGTCTGGATTGTCCCGTTCTTCTTGTAAGAATCTATCGGAAACTTCTTTTAGCGTCTTTTGAATGTGATCCATGAAAAGGGAAGTCGCGGTGTTGAAGTTGTTGATTGGCATGATCGATTCTAGCTTGACTTTGCAGGCGTATTCATCGCGCTCTCGCTTGTCCATATTTTTGATAGGTTTTGGTGGCTTGAGTTTTTCCGGAGGATCATTGTTTATTGCTGCGGCTCGTCTAGGATTGATCCAAATTCCTGAGAGAAACTGTTACTTCCTAATAAAAAAGTTTCATATCAACCGAGAGAATAAAATCAATCTTTAGTGACACTCGGCTTGATATCATCCCCCACCGAGAACAATATTGGAAATAAGGTCGACCCCATTTTACGATTTCATCGAAATCAAGCTGGGTCACAGTGTGATTTTGAGATACTATCTCTATTAGAGCGCCCTCAAGAAGAGATTTATAAACGATTATAACGATTCTACTGCGGAAAGTATTATAAATATAAAAAATGTAAACAGTTACTGGAATAAGTTATTTCAAATAACACGAATCGACGTGCAAGAAAATTTTTTTTGTTCCTGATAAAATGATTGTATCAGAATAATAATCCTTTTGTTTCATTTAATCATTGAGAGACTCAAAAAATGAGATGATGTTATCTTTATTTTTCCCTGCTAAAATGATACTGTAAAATTTACATTATGTAAATAGTTTGGTTTCATTTTATAAAAATTGTATGCCCGAAAAAGGCCGAAGTCAATTTTTTCCCTGCAAAAAGTTTTTTAATTTCATCTTACAATAAATGAGATGATGTGAGTTTATGTTCTTTATTTACCTGGTCCGGCAACATTAGCACCAATTTTGCCATCTCTGAATAGACGCATGCATAATTCAAGCGCAGTTTTCTTCTGCGCAGCTTTTTTATTAGCAGCTGAGTCTGCATACGCGTATTGTTTTCCATCGATCGTGAAATCAAGCTTGGCAATGTAAATTCTATGACTTGGCATTCCCTTTTCCTCCATAATGTATTCTAGCGCGATTTTGCGTTTCGCCAAGAATTCATGGAGCTTTTGTCGTGCTGTATCAAGCGTCCAGTCACCAGTGGCTTCGTCGATTGTTTCTAGCGTCGTTTTCTTCCCTCCCTGATTTTTTATATCGTTCGGTCGTCGAAGCCGCGATCCGCATTCTTCGATCATCTTTGCCAAATAGAGTTGCTTGACGATCGACCAGGAAACAAGAGCATTCGCTGTTTTCTTCGTTCGCGCTTGTTCTTTCGCATAAAATTCTTTTCCATATTTCTTCAGGGTCAGTCGAAGCTCGGCGATTTGGATTTTTGCGTGGTCAGGTCCCATCGAAGAGTTTTGAATTTCGCACGAGACTTTTTCCGTACTGCAAAATGTCTGTAATCGCTTCTGACAACTGTCTGGTGTCCAGCCGCCCGCTTCCTCGATGTGTTCATTCGTGACGATTTGATGCCAGTCTTGTGGAATGCTTCCTGCAGCGTTCGTCGCGACCTTTTCTTTCTTCGGGAAGTCTTCTTTGTCCATGAAGCCAAGTTCCGCGAGTTTATTGCAATATTCCCAAGTTGCTTCGTTTTGCGCTTCTTTCTTGCTTCTCGCTTCTTTGATTGAAATAAAATCGAGTCCGCTTATTTGAATCGAGCAGCTAAAGAGTTTCTTGTGTCGATTTCCCAGTTCTTTGTAGTTAAATTCTGGTGTGACTCTTCGTTGATTGCACCAAATGTGCAAGTAGCCCTTTATATCATTCGCCTAAAAAATCTTGCTTAGTCCTTTGAAACTCGGTCGGGCTTACTTTGATCCGAGAGCTTTTCTGGCCATTTTGAACTTTCCAGTTAAATCTGCGGATGTTATCCATCAGATCTTTCTTGTGTTTTTGGCCCATGTAATTTTGAGCAGCGGAAAAGAGTTTTCTGATAGTCTTCATCGTGGATCATGTCCATTTTACTGAAATACAGGTTTAAAAACTTGTATCTAGCCCTCTTAACCTTTTCTTAGCATCGGGTCCCTCATCAACCCTTTCTTCAGTGTAGTGGCTTTTCGTAACAACTTGTTCCTGGACGCCACCTTCCACATTTGATTTTTGAACTCCTCCTTTTACAAATAACCCTTGTCTATTTCCCTGTGAACTATCAGAACCACCCAGCCCTGATCTATATTTACTGCGGTAGTCATCCATTGCTAGAAAATCAAAGAGACGTTAGCCGATTGGCCCTAAATGACGACAATCGAGAAAATTGAATAAAAATTATTGAACAGGAGTAGGTTCCAATATATCGAATAAATCAATGATGGAATCAATAATTTTAACGATAATTCAATATTTGGATCCTACTCAGTCGACATTTGTGGTCAATCAGAGAGATAAAAAATAGAGTCAGATAAGTTTATCGAAAACATATCAGAAACTATTGAAAGAGTAGCAAAAGGTTTTTTTATTTGTCACTGTCTGTTTTAACAAAAGCAACTGAAGAGGGACGAGGCCCAAATAAATAGTTTGAACACATAGAATTCCATTGAAGAAGTCCGATAGATTTGCATGTGCTTGAGATTGATTTTAACTTGTTGATGTTGTATTTTAGACAGCAAGGAATAATTGTAATAACTTAGTTTCTCAGTCGAGCGCAGATGGCCTCAGTGAATTCAGTGCACTAGAAAAATATTTAAATGGGAGTTATTTGAGGATATTGAATACCTTGGCGGTTCCTCCAAGATCACCAGTCTTGGTTCCAGAGGCGATGGTATCGAAGCAGGCGGTCTCGATGGCGGAGGCGATCTCCATGTAGTTCAAGTGTCTCAACATCATGACGGCGGAGAGGAGAAGAGCAGTTGGGTTGGCCTTGTCCTGACCAGCGATGTCTGGGGCAGAGCCGTGGACCTAGATTTTTAAGTAGAAGAAAGAATTGGTAGGTCTGAGCATACAGATTCAAAGAGGGCGACACCGTCAGCACCGATGTTTCCAGATGGAGTAAGACCGAGACCACCGATGAGACCAGCTCCAAGATCGGAGAGGATATCACCGTAAAGGTTGGGCATGACGAGCATGTCGTACTGAGAGGGATCCTGGACGATCTAAAAGAAACTATTGCGCTTTGATTAAGAGGAGTCTCTCTTACTCGGAGGCAGACAGTGTCGAGGTAAGCATCTTCGAACTTGATGTCAGGGTATTCTTCGGCGATTTCTCGAGCGACTCGGAGGAAAGTACCGTCAGCCTTTCGCATGATGTTGGCCTAAAAGATATGAATTCAACATGGAGCCAAAGAGGATTCGCCAACCTTGTGGACGCAGGTGATTCGGTCCCGACCGTTCTGTCGAGCGTATTCGAAAGCGTGTCGGCAGACGTTTCGGGTAGCGGTGTCAGTGATAAGCTTGATGGACTGGACGACGCCGGGGACGATTTCGTGCTCGATGCCAGAGTATTCACCTTCAGTGTTTTCTCGAATGGTGACGATGTCGACATCTTCGTACTTGGTCTGGTGGCCGACGATAGACTGGGAAAGAGGTAAGAAGATAGATTGAGATGGTTTTTGTTACCTTGCATGGTCGGACGTTGGCGTAAAGACCGAAAGTCTTTCGGAGCATGAGATTCATGGAGGGATGACCAGCGCCAATAGGAGTAGCAAGGGGACCCTTAAGACCGACCTTGTTCTTGTTGATGGATTCCCGAGCGGGCTCGGGGAGGACCCAGCTGCCATCTGGCTCCTGGATAGCGTAAACGTCTCTCTCTTCCCAATCGATTGGAGCCCCAGCGGCGTCGAAGATCTTGGCAACAGCAGCAGAGATCTCTGGGCCAATACCATCGCCAGGAATCAAGGTGCAAGTGTGCTTGGATCGAGCAGACACCATTCGGGTAACATTTCGCAAAAGCTTCGACATTTTTGGTACTCTGAATTGAACATTCTCTTAGCACTAGAATTTTAATGAATTATTGAATGTGCATAAAGGAAGGCGAGCAAAAAAGAAGAATTGAAAGAGAATGGCAGCTGATTGGAGCAGAGTTGGGATTAGCGCACAGAGAAAAAGCGCTCTACATGATAAATAAAAGAGGATGAATTTTTTCAATACACATGGACTATTCTAGAGACTGGGCTCGAACTGAAGTTTATGATTTGTGTTGATCCAGGGCTTCCAAAAGCCGTCATTTTGGTCCGGCAAACCCGCTGGATCCGGCTTTGGCCAGCGGCATGGAACTGCGTTGGAGTTATAGGCAGAGAGCATGTTTAGCATTTGCTCGACGATGTCTTTATTTTCGTTTGAAATTTCAAAGTCTTCCAGTGGATCGTTTTCGATATCGTACAATCGTACGTTTAGGTCAGAAATAGCATCGAAATTATTCGTGTTGTCATTTTTACGATCAGTTTTCGGCCATTCAGGAGGATAAATATGCCCAGTTGGATACCCATCACTCGACGGCTGTCCGGTCAGCAACTTCCACTGCTTCCACCTCAATCCGGACTGTACTCTCACGTCATAGTCAGAATTCCATGTTCGATTATCTGGCGATTTCTTGTTCAAACGAAGCGGGTCAATGTTGATTAGGAACGAGTCATTCTGTGACTCATCATTTTCAACGAGCATTTTGGCTTGGGACTTGCCATCGAATTTCACTTTTCGGGTGTTTGCGCATTGTGTGAGATCGAGAAGAGTTGGGAAGACATCAACCACGTGCATCAGCTGGTTTCGTTTGTCGGCGGAGACTCCCGGGATCTTGATTGATCCGATTCCTCTTATACCGCCTTCCCAAAGAGTGTTCTTCAGTCCTCTTAGTGGCCAGTTGTTACCGCCGTAGAGGGTGCTTCCTCCATTGTCCGTGGTAAAGTAGACAATGGTATCTTCCCAGAGGCCTTTGTTCTTGAAACTGTCGATGATTCGACCTACTGTATCGTCCATACTCTTCGTCATTGCCGCGTAAATGCGTCGATCTCGATCCTCAATCCATGAGTACATGTCAACGTATTTCTGCGGCGCTTCCAATGGGTAATGAACATTCTGAAGACCAACATACATGTAAAAAGATTCCTCTGGGTCATGAGCTTCGACAAGCTTTTCCACTCGATCAGCAAAGATTTCTGCGCCATATTGACCCCAGCTAGAATTCGTTGACTTGCCCCCGTCGCGAAAGTCCACTCCACTTTGACCTTGAATAAACTGCGAGTGATTGTAATGTCCCTCTGCCCCGATTAGATATCCGTAGTGACTTTCGAACCCACGATTTTCGGGGACCATCCTCTCATCGTAAAAACCAAGGTGCCACTTGCCCACCATGTGAGTTCGATAGCCGCAATCTTTGAACAATTCCGGCTGGACAGGGTCGCTGAGGGTAGGCCATTAGGCTGAGCACCGAGAATAACCGCGTGCTGGAGACCAGTGTGAATTTGATAACGACCGCTATTGATAATGACGATTATAAAGATAGGGATGGGTTGGTTTAGGTTACCTCATCAGAACAGATCTAGTGGGAGTGCAAATAGGATTGACATAGTAAGACTGAAGATGTAGAGATTCTTGAATGAGGCCATCGACATTAGGAGTCGAAAGAAATGAGTTATGTAGGGAAATATCATTCCATCCCAAATCATCAGCTACGATTATCAAAACATTTGGTTTCTTCACCCCTTTGCACGAAACCTGGGGAGCTAGAATCAACCCCAGAACTGAAATCAATTGCATTCTACAAAGACATCAAGAGTTTTTGCTTTCCTTCTGTAGTATATTCTGACAACTACTGTAACTAAAAGTAAAGAGAAGATAGTAAAGAAGAATGTGTCGGATAAGTAGCATGAGTTGGACTCGAAATTTTAAGCATAAGTTGAACTTTATAACAAAATTAAAGACAGTGACTTGTTTGATGGCGAATGAAAGTTGCTACAGAGAAATTGACCATTACTCTGATCAATTCAATTTAAAAGAAGGGTCGGTTTTCATTTTAGCAAAAATTTGGTTTGGAAACATCCGCATTAATTGAAATCCGACTCATACCGATTTCCAACAGATTCGTCTTTCGAAATCACAGTCATGAACTTTCGAACAGAAGGGACAAGTAGTAAGAGCGTGTGCTGATTCTCTCATGATTCCGAAGTAGGAATCAGAACGATCAGGGAGACTCTTTATTCATTCAAACTGCCAGTGTGGGATGATCCCTCACCAGCGGCTTCCATTTTATCAGCTGCTTGGCAGAAGTAGTCAGCGAAGGCGCCGAAATACTTCTCCGGAACTAGAAAATCAGTGAGGAGGAAGCTCTCAAACAAGTCTTACTTGTAATAGCCTGACGATAATAGCGAGTCTGCTCGGTGATTCTCAAGAAGACTCCTCGCTGATTTTGACCAGCGTCAAGGAAAAACTAAAAAACACATATCAAATAATCTTCCGTTTTGATAAATACTTAAAATATAAAATAAATATATTTTTAAATAATTTATTAGAAAAAACAACATTTGGAACCTGCTTGTTTCGCTTATCGCCAATCACATGAGGCTTTGGTAATTCAAACTGATCTTCTTCGATCTGTCCGTACTCGTCAATCAATCCAGTCAGGGTGTCTCGGAATTCAATCATCCCTTCACGCATACATTAATTACAAGCTCAATTTCAAGTGTAAATTATACCTTGGGCTGGGAGAACAATCTGGGGTGGCGGGCCTTGGTTCTGGACCTGGCCCTGTCCGTTGTAGGCAGTTTGCTGTCGGATACGAAGGTATCTGAAAGGGCTTTGAGCTTGGACTCGATGAAGAGAAATTTACCGTCCGCGATTGTTCTCTTTCAGATCCAAAAGTATCGTCGGCTCTCTCGGTGAAGACGCTCCGTCTTCAGTGGCTTCTGTCTTTCTTCTGCTGGCTGAGCAGGATCCGAAGGACCGAGCTGTGCGTAATGCTCGATGAAATCGCCTTAATTTTATTGTAAAATATTTATTATTGGATCAATGATTCATTACCCAACAAGTCGCGGAATTCGGCTGCAGTAGCCATCGAAAGCGTCAATCGGGACTTGTTGCCCCCTGGGGACACTTCCGCTACTTTAACAAACCTAAAACAGCAGTCAAAAGACAAATTTTAGGATTGATTCTTACATTCCGCGGTCGTTCTTTTTGACATCAAGGTAAAATCGCTTGTTCTGAATGAGGACCATCTTGGAAGCGAGTTCCTTGGTGTCCCCATTGCCCTGCTCTAGCTGATCGTTATCCATCGATCCAAACCTAGAATTATTTTATTTTTTACAAGCTTCGTTTTGAAAACATGTTTTGAATCGACAAAAACAGAGCTTCGACAGTTGGCAGTACAAATTTTAATAAATCATCTTCTACGGTGTCGATCTCTGTCTCGATCGCGCGATCTTGAGCGGGATCGCCTATCGCTTCTTCTAGAGCTTCTGTCTCTCGATCTGTCGCGGTCTCTGGAGCGATCTCTGTCTCTTGATCGGTCTCGTGAGCGGCGCCGCGAGCGGCTTCTGTCACTACCACCTCGGTCATCGTCTCTCCGACGGCGCTCTGATCTGTCTCTATCCCGATCTCGGTCACGATCGCGGTCTCTATCCCTGTCCCGATCGCGGTCTCGTCCTCGATCGGATCGTTCAAAGTTTCGTCGGTCGCGGTAATCCTCGCGATCGCTTCTTCTCCCATCATGTCTTTCTTGTTTTACATCTGACAAAAGTATTAAAAGTGGCCTAGAATCGAAACTCTACCTGGGTTGAAGCCTGGAGGAAAGCCAGGAGGCATTCCGGGAGGCATGCCAGGCATACCCGGCCGCGGGGGAAAGCCAAAAGGCGGCATTCCAGGCGGCATCGCCGGCATTCCTGGCATCCCTGGTCGCGGAGGCATACCAGGTGGCATGCCGAATCGAGGCGGCATGAGGTGCGGCGGTGGGCCACTGTCCTTGTCTGATTTGATATCTAGAATTATGACGTAAATTTGCTTGCTTACTGGCGTACTGTCTACCTGGTGGTCCTCTGCGGTCACCCATGCTGGCATTTACTGGTAAACTGCCGTTGGAACTGATAACTGGAGGCGGGTTAGATCTGTTGAAGTTTTCAGATTTGATAGGCGATGGTCCCATTGGAAGGAACGGCATTCCAGGTGGCGCAAATTGAGCTATGTTCGTCCTTGTCCGTAGCAGGAGCAAAGCTCGATCTCTGAGCGTTCTCTGCTTCTCCGAGTACTTTCTCCATGAGGTTTCTTCAAATCTGAATGAATAAATTATGAATGGATTGAGAATTTATATTTTATATACCCGTAATTAAAATAATCTGATAAGTCAGCGCCAGGCTTTTGCCACGGCTTATCCGTGAGTGCATCTATTTCAGGATTTGGGATCAATTTTCCGCTTGAAGAAGTAATGAGCACTTCTGCTTGCTGAGGCGTCTTGTCTTTTTGTCTTCGCTGTTTGCATCTTTCTGGAAAAAATCAATTCAGGGTCGGAAATCAAGGAAGAGAACGTACTGGGTTTATGTTTATAACAGCTTCGCCGTCGATATCTCCGATCATAATATTTACATCGTCGTCCGAATCATCGTCTGAGTCGATTTCTTCTGCTTCTGATTCCTCTAAAATCAATTTGACGGAACTCAAAAGGAAGTGCGATTTTACCTTCGTCGGGTCCTTCCTCTTTCTTTTCTATTGGCAACGCGGTAACTGAAGAATCTGTCTTCTCAGGCGTTGCTTCCTGACCATTTTCGACTTCTGTTGTCATTCTTTGATAATCAAGTTTGGATATTTTCAATAGACCGTAAAATTTTGAAGGTAGTGGATTTGTGAACAGGGAATACAGACAATTTCTTGTGGGAAAAGTTAATACGACATCTTTTTTCTTGGATCCTCATTGGAGGGGGCAGGGGCAGGCTGTTTCATCCACGGTGCGTTCTGGAGATCGATTTTGCCATCTTTGCTTCCTGCGAGGACGGCCATCGAGGCCTGAGCAGCTGCTTGAGCCCAGTAAGAAACATCAGCTTGGACTCGTTTTTCGTTGAATCTCTTATCCTCTTTTTCGAGGAACTGTTTTCGGGTGTCTGTGATGTCCTCGTATTTGTGATGTTGTCTGAATTGATCTTGAGTAATTTTTTTGGAGAGGAAAAATAAACCTGTTGTAGAATTTCATTTCCTTTCGTTTGATCGCCCATTTGGTTGCGAAATCCTCCCATTTCTAGAATCATTACTGAATGAAACGAAAAGGGATTGTGATTTCTTACGTATTTTTGCTCGAAGTCTTGATCCCAATTATCGTACGCTGATTTTCTGTATTTGCTGGCTCCCTGCCCGTGCGTCTGATCGTAAGATAGATCTTTCCACTGATCACGTGCCATTTCAGATTCACGGTAACCCCCATATCCATACGAGTCCGAAATGAATTTATTTACGCCGCCAGATCCCACTTTCAGATCCGGTTCCGCCTGAGTAAAGAGATTAGAGTAATTTTAAATCTTGGTTTTACCTTGTGATCGTAGTCCCAGTGGATTTCCTGACGACGTCGGGATCGTGAATTTTCCTCGCCAGGCTCGACACCCATTCCTCGATACATCGTTTCCGCGGCGAGCTTGGCAGTGGTGATTTCTTCTTCTTTTTCGCGGATTTCTTCTTCGAGTTTCGCCTGTTTCGCCAGACGAGCTGCTTCTTGTTCTTCGGCAGTCATTGGCATAGGCTTAAAATGCGTGAACATGGAATCAAAGAAAGCCTTACTTTTGGCTGATCTGGATTTTTAAGATCATCGTCAGTATCTTCAGCTTCTTCTGCCGCGATTTGGGCTTCAATTTCGGACATCGGCGTTGGATCGCAAATCGTGTCTCTCGGGTCGAGCTGAGAACCGCCTCCGTACATCACTGACACTTTGATATACGTTTTGCCGCTAAACTCGACTCGTCCGTTGGTGACCTTCATGTACTCCTCAGGCTCCTCGTCGCGCTCCATCCAGCCGCTGGGGAGTTCGAGCAACTCTTCGTCATCGGAGTCTTGTTCCCACTGCTTCATTTCGAGCCAGGCAAGCTGGTCCTTCGATGGCAGCTTTTTCTCAAATCCAAAACCACCTTTTCTGCCAAACATGTAATTTCGATGAAAGCAGGAAAGGAAGTGATCCCAAAGCTCCGACTCCATCATCTCCGCGAATTTACCAGTTTTGCATCGTCGCATCCAGGTAAGATTTGCGTGTACGTTTTCGGGCTTGAGGCCACCCAGAAGGCGCAAGAATTTTTCAGCTTTTTGATCGGTTCGGAATTCCTCCCGAACTTTTCGCGGCATATCGTCCACTGTAAGGACTCGCCCTCGCTTCTTCTTCTTTCGACGCTTTTTTACTGGAGGCTCAGCGCTAGAAAATGCCTGTATGAATATTTTCTTTACTGCCTAACACACCTTTCTACAAGATCTCTTTTGCCAAGTCCTGGTAGTTCCTCATTATCAGATTCATGGTCCGACATGTTTTTGATTTCGCTGAATGGATGTTTTCATATATTTGAACTCATAGAAATTTAGCGGGAATTTTCAAGCGGTCGCCTTTTTTAATTGAACTACAGAAATGAACTTGCGACAGTAAGGTTTTGCTTTAGCTAGTAGTAATAGAATCAAGTTGAATTCACAGTAGGTATTGCACTAAATGGTAAATGGACAGCAGTTTTTAAACTTTAATAAATTCAGAAAAAATCTAACTAATTTTGGATAAGATTTTGAACTTGATTGTATGCAAGAAGGCCGAGCTCGTAGATGTCGTTGCCAAGGCGGGCGATTTGGCTCTAAAATTAGCTTAAGGGTAGAACATGAAATCGGCGCGCGGCGCCTCACTCGCCCAGCGCCCCGCCGTGCCCTACTTTTCAGAATGCCCTAAAATCGGAACGGATAAAGCTTTTTCAAAAATTTTTTCGGATTTAAGATTATCAAAGCCTTTACTTTTCACAGATCAAAAATGAGCAGAATCGTCAAAGAAAAAGTCGGAGAAAATGACATGAGTTGGTTAAACTCTATCTCCTCTCGCAATTCTTATCCGATTTTTTCAAATTTAGATAGGTCGAAAGTGCTCCGTTAGACCTAAAATTTCGTAGTCTTAGAATTAATTTTGAAGCTTCCTAACGTTCAACACGGCTTCTCAAAACAAGTGCTTTCACGCCGCGCCGCTTTTTCTCTCACGCTGCGCGCCTCACGACGGCGCAGCTCTCATTTCAAAAGCTCATATAAAATTCCAAAAAGCTTTAAAATTAATTCTGAGACTACGAAATTTTAGGTCTAACGGAGCACTTTCGACCTATCTAAATTTGAAAAAATCGGATAAGAATTGCGAGAGGAGATAGAGTTTAACCAACTCATGTCATTTTCTCCGACTTTTTCTTTGACGATTCTGCTCATTTTTGATCTGTGAAAAGTAAAGGCTTTGATAATCTTAAATCCGAAAAAATTTTTGAAAAAGCTTTATCCGTTCCGATTTTAGGGCATTCTGAAAAGTAGGGCACGGCGGGGCGCTGGGCGAGTGAGGCGCCGCGCGCCGATTTCATGTTCTACCCTTAAACCGAGGGAGAAAACCAACTTGCAAACCTGGGCGCAGCAGAATCTTCCAGCAGCGACTTTTCCAATGAGATCTCCTGTCCAGACGATTGATCGACCGATACCCTCGAAGATGTTGGAGAAGATCTTGTCGATGTTGTACTCGAGCAGGAACTCGTGAATGATTGGAAGCTGTTTTTGGATGATAGCAATAGTTGTTTCAACTCTTTCATATACAATAGATTGAACTTCAGCAAACTTGACGGATGCTTGTTGTCGATACTCCTCTATGATTTCAATAAGGAAAGAGTACAAGAAGAGAACTGACCGGTATTGACAAGAGCAGCATTAGCGTATTCTTTACTAGCGCGTTGAACTTTAGCAAGTCCCTTGAGCGTCTCATCACGAGCAAGGGCACTGTACTTGTCGATTTGAACTCGCATGTCAGCGATTCCTTGTTCGCAAACTACACCCCAGTTTTCCGCGAGAACATTTGCCTAGAAAAGGTTAAAAAGAGCCTTTCCTCCTGATTTTACTTGTTCTCGAAGTTGCTTGACCAAGACTGTTCCATTTTTGACAGCGTTGTTGAAAAATGGCTCGAGTTCCTTTTGAACATTTTGGACAGTTGGCACGACATGAGTTTGGACTTGCTCATTCAGACTCGTGATCGTTTTATCGACGTGGTCTTTCAAATGAGTATCGTAGAGCTTTATTAGCTTTTCAAGTTGAGGTTGGCCGTGAGCAGCGTAGAGCTTCTGGAGCTGAGCAATTTGTGGCTCTCCGTATTGTTTATACGCAGGGATGACGAATTCTTGTACATGTGGGTCGACGTATTCGTCGTATTTTGGAATGACGTAGGCGTCGTAATATTGCTGCAAAAGAGTGTTTTTCACTGAGAAATCAACGACCTTACCTTGAAGTGTTGATTATAAATAGGCCGAGTACACTCAAACTGTGAGCTTAGACTTGTGAAAAGAAGGAAATACATAATGTAGGTAGGTAATCGGAGGAGGAAGCAAGACGAGCTCTCGGCTTTTCCGCAGATAGCGCCGCTTTTCTTCAGCGATTTAGGACCAGCTGACTTTGTTTTTGACTTAGGAGGTGTCGCTGTGACTGGTTCGTCAAGGGACTTTTCGATGATGGCTCTATTTTTTGCGCTGAGAGTGGTTTCAGGAACGGATTCTAGGACGTATTGACAGTTTTTTTTTTAAGGGGGCCCGGAGAACTTTTTGAAAAAAAGGTTCTTCCCATGATCGTAGAGGAATGAATGAGGGCTTGGCTGAAAGAGCAGCCCGAGTTCTGTTTAAAAAAAATTCAGCGAAGATTTTGATAGAGTAGTTTAGCTGTAAATGCCTGTTGAAAATGCACTAAATAACAATAGATTTGGAAATGCGGCGCGCTGATTGGCTGAGGCGCTGCTATTGTTGAAAAATGGGCGCCGTGGCGGCGCGCAAGGACCGACTCGCCGACAGAAAACCGGCTGATACAGCACTCCTGCTGATCCAATTTTTTCGTCGAATTTTTTTTAAACAGTTCGATAAATGGGCTATCAGATGAGCCTTTATTCATCCCCGTACGATGTCGGGAAGTACCTTTTTTAAAAGTTCTCCGGGCCCCCTTAAAAAAACTGTCATTGGACTTGGAGCCTAAAATGATGGTAATGTTTGAAGGTGGAGGGAGTTTTCGTACCTATAGGTAGATGCTAATGATTTTAGCTTCTGAGTACACTGAGCTGGTCGATTTTCAATTCCTTGCAAAAGAATTGGAAGCGCATTTCCTTGTCGACCAGTGCCAATATGCGATAAAAGATCCTCGACCCAGTTCTCATCAGGCTTTGTAAATAGACGTGCTCGGACGGAGAGTTGCTCCAGCTCGGTCTAATTGCAAATGAAGCTATGATTATTAGAGATGATGATCTACCTGGACGTTTTTGTTGAGTTTGGAGTCCGAAGCTGCAGTGATAAGAGCGGAGTAGTTTTCGGAGTGACAGAAATCTTTGTCGAATTGGTACGATGCGTTTCCGTCAATGCGTTTTTGATCTTTTTCGAAAGCTAGATGAGGGGTAAAATGACGATTGGAGGTGTCAACTTTACCTTTGGCAAGACTTCCGCAACTTTTTCATGTTGAGTCTCGAGTAAACAAGAGTTTCTAGCACCGCAAAAAGGGCTGTAGGTTCAGTGGATTCAAACAACATGAAAATAATGGACAGAACTGCTCCGGGGTGAGTTTCAGTGCCAAGAATATCCTCGGAGATATTGGCTACTTTTGGATACTTTCGGACGAGCATTTGGCCGACGCAGCGCCATCCCCAGGCATTTTCAGCGCGACGAGAGGAATTGATCAAATTCGTCATAATATGAACCAGGCAGGGGTCTAAATATCAGCCGAAATCCTAGTGCGAAAGCGAAGCGAAAGCGAACCATTTTCAAATTTTTGCGAAGCGAAAGCGAAGCGAATTTTTCGCCCATGTGCGAAGCGAAAGCGAAGCGAAATATCATTGAAAATTGCGAAAAAAAGCGCAAATTTTTTTCGCTTGAATTGAAACGCATTCTCTGGCAAGAATCTTTAGCAATCAGACACTCAAAACTTTTGAGTCAAAAGCGAAGATGATTTCAAAAACCTATTTTTGGGGCAGAAAATTACAAAAAAATCTGTTACTGTATTTTTTCAGCTCGTCAATATAAGCCGAATGGTGGGTCTAACTGTTGATTATTCCAAGTTAGTAATAAACTCGATATCAGGGGTGACCGTTCGGACATCGGGAAGTCGGGGAAAACGGACAATTTTCGGTCAAAATGTGTTCGGCCGGGCATTTGGACGGCTCAGCCCCTTAAATTTGGCCGGGCAAAAGCGGGCATTTCGGGCATTTGGGCAAGTTCGGCACTTTCGGGGAATTCAGCGCTTTCGGGCGGTTGGTCAAGCCCGCGCCGAGGAAAATTCTTAAATTTCGCATTCTTTACAACTATTTTTGCTCTCTTGCTCCTCTAACTGAATCAAAAGCCTCTCGAAACTTATTTTTCTAGCCCTTATCTATTGAAAATCCCATCACCAGCTCGACCGGGCATTCGGACGGTGCGACTCTTGGCCCTTGATTTCGGCCGGGCATTCGGATGCTCAATCGACGATTTCTTGCCCGAATGGTCACCCTTTCTCGATAGGAGATGAGATCATCTTCGTAGATAAGCCCTGTTCATAAAGATCATTCAAAAAATATTCTAGCATACTTACAATAAAAAAGGCTGGTGGCAACGTGTTTTCCGGGGTAGGACCAGCTTGATAACCAGTCAATCCTTGGATTTATTGAGAGTTAGACCCACCATTAGACTCGTCTTGACAAGACTGAGAAAACTTGAATTTATAACGGCATCAATAATGCCCCTCTCCAACTCTTTGATAAAGAATCTTCCGAATAGCAAAGTCGCTTGCTGTGCGAAAATTTATGCGAAAATTTGGGAATTTTTGCGAAGCGAAAGCGAAGCGAATTCTGCTCTCCAGTGCGAAGCGAAGCGAAAGCGAATTCGCTTCGCTTCGCATCGCTTCGCAATAAAGCGAATTCGCACTGCGAATTTAGACCCCTGAACCAGGAGCTGAAGTGATCAAATTCAAAATGAAGAATAGAGGTTATTTTACTCACGCTTTTTTGATCTTCGACTTTGTTGAGTCGCCCAAAAAGTTTGTCAAAGGTATCCTTGACCGGCTTTGTCAGCTTGTTCATTGGGAAATCCTCATGGCTGTATGGCGGAATACTTTCGGGTGCCATAAGAGAGCTTCCGAGTAAATTGGAGGCATCGAAGATTGAAGTCGATTTCAAGAGCTCCTGGGTTGTTTCTGGCGAGAGCTCAAATGGCTGTCGCTTTGGTGGGCCCTTCTTGACGGGCTAAAATGACTTAGCTTCGAGGAATCATGATTTAGATATGGACCTTCTTGGTAGCTGTCGCCTTCGATTTCTGACTGTCCCCAGCGCCAGTATTGTTCGTCTTCAGGACGCTGACTTTCTTGACCTCTGGCGAACCTTTGGCCGCTGGCTTCTTTTTGGAGTCTTTGACGACTTCCCAATCGGATTTAGCCATTCTAACAATTTTTCTCTGTTTTTCAAGCGATAAAATTTCAATAGTCTTAGATTTAGAAAAGCAAAATGGCAGGATGACAGATATCGACACGAAAAAATAATGAACGGTTGGAAAAAGCGAAAAGGTATCGTGTTATGAGATCTCTCTCTTATCTTTCTTCTTATCTTTTTTGTCTTTTTTCTCCTTCTTTTTCTTCGGGTCTGAAAATGACGTTGAAAGCATAGAGGAAAATAAAGCGCACACCTTTTGATTTGTCTTTACTCGATTTGTCTTTTTTCCGCTTTCTTCTAGGGGCTGTGTGAAGTTCTTCTACTAGTTTTTCAGGCAGTGCAGTTGCACCCACATTCGACCTTGAAAAGTTGAAACAAATTGATCGAAGTGCATTTTTTACGATTGGAGACGAAAGCTTTCCATTTGATTAGCAGTTAGATATTCAAGTGGCTTTGCGATGGGCTGAGGTCCTTCTATCAATGCTCTGATGCCAGTTCCACTCTCTGCAGGGGTGTTTTGAACACCAGGAAGATCAGGGAGGAAATCCGAAAGCGTCTCTTTCAGCTTCTTTTGGCAAAATTTATGATACGCGTGTTTCAATCCTTAAAAATCTTTGAATATAAGAGCTAGGAACGATTTTTAACCTCTAGCGACAATGAGATTATTTGCGCCAGTCTCTTGCGTTACTGCTGGAATGTGACGATCTTTGAGTAAGTACACGGGCTCGATTCCGAGGTCATCCATGTTCTAAAGCGAAGAAGTAAGAAACGAGGTTGATCGAGTGAGTCTACTGTAATTGAAGAATGTGGGAGGCGCAGGAGGTGAATCAAAATCTCCTGGTAATCAGTGATTTTAGTGAGGAGGTTGTAGGAATCGTGGAAGAGTCAGGATCATTAAAAATGCGTTTTTTCTTTGAAAAATGATTGAGTTCGCATGAGGCAAAAAAGGTGTAACGGGAAGTCAAAATAGTCTAAAACTGTGAAGGAAAAAGACACTACAAGTTTTTCACGAGAATTTTTACTGGGTCTTCTTTTTCTCCGGATTCGCCTTCGCGTTCAAGTAAAATCCTAAATTGTGGAAGACACCTGCGATGACAAAAACAGCAGGGAAAAATATCACAAGATGAGTAAACTTCATCACGTTCAAAAATGGATAAACCCATTTGCCAGTTTTCTCATGAATATGAATCAAAAGAGCTCCGTAGAAGCAAGCGTAAGAGGAAAGCCAGAAAGATGAAGATTTCTTCGAGAAATTAGGTCGTTCGAGTGAAAAGATGTTCATCAAAACGATTGGGAGGATCCAGAAGTGCTCGTTCAAATTCATCCACATCGGGTAGTAAGGATCGAGGGCCCTAGGGAAGATAAGCTCCCGATCAAGAAACCAGATCGCCCAGAACATCGAAAAAACGATAGAGTTTGCAGCGAAAGAGACTCCGAACAACAGCCGTTTTCCCAGATAATGACCTAAAAACAATCATTTAATGTTATTGTACGAGAGACTATTTACATTTTGACGAAAACTGGCCGAGAAAGAGAAGAGCATTCGTAAGCGTCAAAATCTGAAAGTTCTGATACGTCAAGAATCGCCAAAGACCAAGATATGCTCTTGCCCCGTCTAAGTGGACAGGAATATCGAGGTTGTTTCGACAGTATGTCTCGTAAAACATGTAGAAAATGACGAAAAAGCGCACCAGATTTATCATTCTAAAATTATATCCTGATGATTTAACAGCTTTTAAGATCAGCTATCAGCTTCTATTAAGTTTTCTAATTCTTCAGAATCAGACTTTTTAGGCCTCCTGCTTCTTTTCGTCCGTATTTTAACGAGTCCTGAAACCCCGATGAGAATGCTTTCGGCTTCATTTTTCTCGATTTCGTATGGAAGATCGTCGCATTTGAGCCGTTTTACGACGGTGGCGAGCTCGCTCATGTTCATATCTTGTATCGACGTGTTCAAAGTCGAGTAAATACAGGTCCAGGCGGGCTGTGGAACTTTTGAAGAAACAAGGGTAGTTAGAAGATGAGGTTGCTCGTCTACTGGCGTTTCTGCTATTTTATCGAAGGCGTAGGAGATGATCCTGCGTTGGTTGAGATGCAAGTCTTCATATCTAACTGCAAGCCTAAAATATGACAGATGATCAAAAAGCAGATAAAATAATTTTGGACTCACTTTGGTTGTTTCGCGTCTGTCAATGATTTCAAGGCGCATTCGTATTCCAACGCGCGAAAAAATGCTTCAAAGCGCGTGACCCGGATTTCATAGTGCTTGATCAGCTCCGTCCTCAATGTCAGCCATCTCTTTGTTGTCCGACCTTTTCCTTGAGCAAAAGTGTTAGCTTGAACTTTGAATAGGTAAAAATGCTACCTTTTGAACTGTTAAATTGGTGAATGAGCTCTGTGAGAATTAATTCGTTGAGGGAGAAAAGCTCGGTGCAGGAGATTAAGTTGTGCCCTTTTCGGAACCAAGCAAGTAGATATTTTAAAAAGTACCAGTATGCTCGCTCATCGATTGACAACGTATCGAACCTTGAAAATGTCTTCAGCCATGCCCAAAATGCCCTGATAACAAGATTTACTTACGCATTGATTGCCTCTGTTTCATTCAGCCCTTGATCCACATAAAATCGATAGGCAAGTTGCTGCCCATTTCTCGTATAAATCGGGAATTTGATCTTTGCCGTTCTTTGAAAATTCTCGATTGATATCTCCGAAGTCGCCACTTTCTCTTGGAGCAAAGAATGAACATCTAAATGCGTCATTTCAGGCTCGCAAAGATATAGTTTCTTCTGCTGCGGAGTAAGTTGTATTTTCCTGTCGGAATACGAGCTTTTTAATCGCTCAGTAAGTGCTCTGGAAGCTGTTTTCAGGTAGAACTGTCCAAAGAAATTTCTCAGGTACCATCTTCTATGCATTTCTTTCGTGTCACTGACTCCTTCTTGAATTATCGAGTCTAATGCTTCGTCTTCTATTTCTCCCACGTGACTTCCGTCTTCCAGGACGACGAATCCGCTGTATATTTTTTCATCGTTCACCAGTATGCTTTTCGATATCTCCAGCGCGAATTCCTCTGCTCTTTCGTACATCGCTTCATATTCCTCATAATCGTGGGTGCATAATCTCATGTACATAAACATCTTTCTCAATGCTTCATTCTCACTACTGTCCAATAATCCCATAATTTCATCTGCTCTCTGATTCTCGATTTTCATGATGTCGACGAAAAACTCCCTGAAGCCATCTTCGAATGGAAGTTGGGACATTGGGACGATTCGAGGGGGCGCAGGTTTCAACTGTATTTTGTACTTGAATACTGAAGATAGAGCTCGCCGAGGGCCGTGTTTTAGTAAACTCATGATCTCTCTGAACTGAGTTTTCTGTTCATCATAAGTTCAAGATGATTCATAACTTCAAGGCTACAGGAGATGCTTTCATACCAAAAAGAATAACCTACAAATAACTTGTTCAACAAAAAAACTTTATTTTTATATTATTTTTATTAACCTATTACGATAACGGTTCGTTGTTTGAAAAGATAAAGGAGGCAACAGTTGGACGAAAGAGAGTAATAAAGACTTGCTTGTCAGGGCAGAATGCATCTTGGTATACAAGTAGAATGATTAGTTTTTTCATCTACGGCAAACAATGGCTTGAAGAAAAGTCAGAATTATTGGTTTCTAGCTATTAGTCGTTTTTAACGGAACACTGCTTCTCGGCGGAGTCGGGCAAGATGTAAAACGAGATCGCGGAGAGTAACTTCGCCAGGCAAAGAGCGATAAAGCAGACGAGAAAGTAAAGTGGAATCAGGACACCCATCGCTTTGTAGAGTCCCAGACGCTCGAGGAATCCATATGGCCAGTAGCCGGTCGACAGGTTGTAGGAAATACATACGACGCAGTAGAACTAACACGGGGATTCAAAATATAATTTAAAGGAGAACAGTTTTCTCTGCATTAGAGGGGGCCAATCGGGTGCTGGTCTTTAGGAGATAGAATAGACTTCAGAATCCCTTGACGATAGAAAAACAAGGGCATCTTTCATCGATCGTCTTATCGAAATTTTGTGGCGCCCCATGATCAGCTCGTTTACCATTGCGGGAAAAATAGCTGTATGAAGAAGGAAATCCAAGCGCTCAGGAATGTACTGAAAAGTCAAGGAATAGTGTCAGATGAAATTAAAAAACTTCACTTGAGGCAAATTTTCGTAAAAAAACTTTTTCGTGCCCAGAAGAAAGAGCAGAAAAGCTGAGTCGAATGGACTAGATTTGACCAAAAAATTTAGACTTTATGACGTCACAAATTACGAAATAAAGTCCAAATTTGTGCATTTTGAGTAAATTTTGGGGCCACTTTTATGGGGGTTTCTGTTAGATTTATTCGACGTTCTATAGCTCAAAAAAATCGTCGTAAAAAACTGAGGGGGGGTTTTTAAGGGTTTTGAAAAAACTCAAGAAAAAATTTTTGACCACTTTTCGACCGGTCGGTTTGAAGGTGTTTCTCTTAGAATTTCTCGAAATCCGCGGAGACCCCCCCTCAATTTTTGATGACGATTCTTACGAGCCCAAGAACGCCGAAAAATTCAATCGGAAACCCCTTCAAAATCGGCCCCAAAGTTTTTTGAGGAAAATTAGTCATTATGACGTCATTCCAAAAAATTATAGAGCCGGAAGAAGACCAATCGACTCAGAATTTTCCATTCTTTTATATGAGGCCATAAAATATTTTTGAAAAATTTTGCCTCAAATAAAGTTTTTTAATTTCATGATGATTTCAAAAAACTTTTTGTGCGGCCGGAAATCGTAAAAAATCTGTCAGTGCAGTTTTCTTCAGCTCGTCGAGACGAGTCGTATGATGGGTCTTACTCCTGATAACTGTCAGGATTTACCGGTTTACCGGCTGGTTACCGGAAAATACGTTGTCACCCGCCGTTTTTGTTCTAGAAGTGGTTAACAGATGATCGACCCAGGAAATTGTTCCTTATATTCGGTTCTACTCTAGGCTCAAAGATGAGGCTCGTATCACTACTCTGAAGAGAGTTATCACAAAAACAGTAAATTTTACATGCATTTTGTTGTTGCTGCACGTTCCTGATTTTTAGTCCCATTTCTGCCATAAATAGTATTTTAGTGATAACTCTCTTCAGAGTAGTGATAGGAGCCTCATCTTTGAGCCTAGAGTAGAACCGACTATAAGGAACAATTTCCTGGGTCGATCATCTGTTTACCACTTCTAGAACAAAAACGGCGGGTGACAACGTATTTTCCGGTAACCAGCCGGTAAACCGGTATATTCTGACAGTTATCAGGAGTTAGACCCATCATTCGACTCGTCTCGACGAGCTGAAGAAAACTGCACTCATAGATTTTTTACGATTTCCGGCCCCACAAAGAGTTTTTTGAAATCATCCATCTCAGTTATTCATACGACTCCTACTTCTACTGTTTTGGGATTGCGCACGAGCGAGGGATCCTTCATGTACATTGCCCAGTAAATAACAAAAGTTGTAGTCGTTTGAGGTATCACGTAACTTTGGAACAACATCGAAGCCATTCTCCAACGGACAAGACCGAGATCAGCACAAAACAGCGCAAGAAAAGCGATCTTGTGGGACATTTGATTCAAGTGCGTGAGAAAAATGTAGCGACCGATTGTGTGCTTTTTGACAAGGTTGAACTCGTCGGGGACGATTTCGTTGACAGTTTTCTGATCGAACCACATTTTGATGAGGAGGCACAGCCAGCCCAGGCGAAAGGAATTAGTGAGCAAAAGATAGATCCATCGGAAAAACGAAATTCGTTGCATCTAAACAGCAGAATTTATCGTTGAAAATGAATTGAAGTTAATCGGAACCGTTTGATGGGTAGATTCGGAAAATATGAAATAGGTAATAACCGTTATAAACAAATACAGAAGCTGAAATACAAAATACAGTATACACACACAGGAAGAAACTTAAATTGATGGGTTGACAAAGTTTGAAGCAGGCACGCTCGACCATTTATCATCGACGGCCATAGAGAACTCCTGCTCTACCAGAGCGAGTCGCTCTGGGTGCTTTTTTGAACGTTTGGATAGGATGAAGTACGAAATGAAGATAGCCCAGGAGAGGGCTAAAAGAACAGCGAGGACGTTGGATTTTGTTTGGACGGCGGCAAAGTGCTCTGGGCTTGGATCCATGTGGTGACACTCCGCGTCCCAATTCTAGAGAAAGAGTAAGTTACAGGTGATTCTTGAGCTTCTACCAGGGGGATAACGGGAAGCCAAGCTAACTCCAGCTGGTCTAAGGGGCAAGGACTTTCACCACATGTTTCAGCAGTTAAATCGGTGAACTCATCGTCGTTTTTGTACCAGATTTCCACACTGTGCGTTTTGGAAGCCTCATCAAAATATCGCTCGAAAAGAAGGGCTAAAACAAAGATACAGAAGCCCCAGAGCGTTTGAACTTACCAGAAGCGTAAAATGGCTGTTTAAAATTTTCTTGTTGCGCGTTCATGGCTACTAGAGCTGCTGCAAGAGTCGTGTCGTGCGCAGAATAGACCAAGTACTTGACTGGGTCGTCAAAATCATATTGTTGCAACGGACTTCGAAGTCTACAAATGTCAAGCTTAAAAGCTTTAAAACTAATACTGGTACTGACTGTTCCAGAATATCTCCAAGAAGGACGCCTCCTTGCATTCTTGAAAGCTCAATTCTTCGATTTCCCTCAACATCAGTAAAGAGAGTTTGCATGGCGAGTCCTGCTGCCGCCGATAATCGATCATAGAGTGGCCCGGATAGTAGTTCAGCCGGAACAGTGTCTGAGAGTTCAATAAAAAAGAATGAAAAGTAGAACGAGCTAACCTGTGAAGTTATTGTATTTGTGGCAGTCGACGTTGTCAAAAATCGTCCACATGTTATTCAAGTCATATTCTTTTGTATCGTTCAAAAGTTCGGACATTTTTTTGAAGTCATCTGCGTATTTTTCGTTCAAAGCCTTGTATCCTGCAGTTTCCTGGATTTCTAAAACCATTTCGTCACCCAAGAGACCAGTAAATTTTCGAACCTTTGTTCTTTAAAATGTCCGCAAATCGTTTACAATTCATATTCGGATAGCGCAGAAGATTATCATTTTCCGTCGGCATTGTATGAACTGGAAACGGGACCATTCCGGGCGTGGAGACATTCAGGAAAGCGCCCAAATTCGCCACAGCAGATAGCAAGGTTCTATCTCTATCAGTAGATCGAACATAAATGTCTTTTCTTCTATAGTCTTCGTCGAAAGGATAAAAGTCCTTGTATCGATTTCTCAGGAACCTCCCAAGCTGTCGATGCATTTCCTTTCCATTTTCCGTGAGTTGTCCAGTCCCGTCCGGCCAAATTTCGAAATTGTCGCCGATCGAAGAGGTTTTTGAAAATTCCATGGGCGATCGCGCGCCATGCCGCCACAGGGCCAGAACGAAGTCGAGTTTCTTCTCAGCCATCGTTAAATTTAGAGAACATAACGAGATGACGATTCCGACGATGAAGCGGCTCATCAGTCTATAGAAAGGAAAAATTTAATAAAAACTAATAAGAAGTATTGTGAATCATCGAATCATGAATAAATATTAAAGAAAAAGAGAGTTTGTGAATTAAATATCAGCCTCGGCCGCTTGCATTATCCTCTGGCACTCGACTGCGTAGCTCCCATGATCGCCATATCGATTCTTCATGCTTCTATATTTCTTGAGCTGGTACAGCGCCAAAATTTCTTTTTCGACGAATTCTGCGTGAAAGATCAGTTTTTCGATTTTCTCCGGGTTTTCTTCTTGGCTGTTTTTTCGGAAAGCGTTCGACAGGGACCTAGTAAACTGGGCCTGGCCTTGGTGCCAATCTCGGCCAAGCCAGAGCATTCTTTTGTACAGATCAAGTACTCGCACTCTAAAAATAAATTGTTATATCACTCTGAGGGCGGAAAGCCTGCATCTGATAGGCTAGAAATCAATTTTGGGCATTTTGATTTGTTAAAAATCGAATTTCGAAAAATCTTTCTCCTCGATCTTTGGCAAAAATAATAGTTACCTTGTGGCCATTTTTTGACGGACCCCGATTTAGAGAAAGATCTTCTTTTAGAACCGGATAATCTCTTTCCTCTTCACGAAGATCCTCCGCGCGCCTCGGTGGCAACTGGCGCTGATTGGCGCCGAGCTTCTTTTCGTTCAGGAGCCAATTGAAAGGAAAACAAATTTTCCGCGCGGAGGAAAAGGGTTGAATTTGAACGCGGTATACGATTGGCCTTAGAATTAGCAAACTCTTTATTGTGTCCATGAAATCTGATTTTATAAAGATAGTTTCTAGACCAATTTTGCTTTCATTATTCAACTCTATCTATTCTTATTTCTCTTGCAAAAGAAAGAGAAAATGATTTATTTGATTGTTGCATTTTTGATACAGTCGTTCTTTGCAGCCGATATTACATGGATTGGGACAGATCCTTTGTCGATTAGCCTCAGTGACTATTCCTTTTTCGGGCTAAATGGTGATCCAATTTATGAGTTTGACGGAAGCTCCGTTTCTAAGGTTTCTTGACAAATCAGTTCTTCTTTTTTATGACGTTTTAGCTCAGTGACGGTACTTCAGACACCACTGCTATCAATGTTAAATTTCAATCGGAGTCTTTTATCAAGTGTGGAAGCAAAATGTGTCCAGCGATTGTTCTACTCGGTGAAAACGTTAGTACCACGATTTCCTTCTTAGTAAAGGCTTTTGTAGAAGGGAATTTCATTGAAATTGACAAATGCGACACTGGAAAAAGACGTCTTCGCATTAGAGCCCGGAAGCTGGCCAGATGCAGGCTTCGACGACGTCAAGAAGATTCTGACGTATCCAAGAAAAGTTCGCGAAGAGTTTGAACACTACAATTTTCTCTCAATCTTGACCTCGGAAAATGGCATTGATTACTCAGTTTACACAGGCAGGGGTCATCTTTTTAATCAATCTTTCAAGGAAAAAAATTGACTCTTTATCAGCAAAAATCATGGAGGAGAATGATGCTCTCTCGATGCAGGGTTTGATGAACTATGCGGTCAATACGACGTTTACTTCGACAAGTAAGCTTGTTCTTTAGACCTCGATGGTAACAGATTATTCAGCCTACAAAGATGCAGGCCTGAGCATGGTTAGAGCAGCAGTTTGCGTTCATTATTCGACCAATTCTGGCTCAAACACAGTCTTGTTCAACTCATCTTTTCCAGGTTGAAACGGACAGTTTTCGATTTTCGACCATTTCTTAGAACCTGGTGATGCGATATCCGAAATCACTTTGACGGGCGCAACAGATTTGAAGATCCAGTTGTCAGAAGCATCGACTGGAGGAATGTTCCTCTGGAACGTCAACAGCTTATTTTACTCATCCTTTGAGGGATATCTTCCGATGCGATTGAAATTCGTAAGCACTATATTGCGATGAAATTTTAATTTTTCTAGTCTGGAAGCAATTTCCCACCGAGTGGAGAAACTATACTTTCATTTGTTAGCGGCGAGTTGGGGGATTTCATGGTGATAACAGACACTGGAAATCCTGCGCCAAATAATCGAAAGATTTACTACGGCAAAGAGGGGTATTTCCGAGTTAATATCGAAGAAATCCCTTCTTTTGGAGGTTCCAATACGGACACTACGAAGTTTGCTTTACAGGTAGGCTTTACTTTTACGAAAAGATAGTCAATATAATCATAAAATTTAGTCGATGAGCAAAATCATCAAACTCCCATCTGACGAAGCTTCTTTCCACTCTGCCTCTGATATCTACGAGCTCAGTACTCTCACAACGACCCAATCCGCCTCCAAACCATGCGTGATTCAAAAGAACTCATTGGAAAACAGCACTCTCATCCTTGATTCCAAAGAGAGCGTCAAGCCCGTTGCGACTCTTCGCGGAACAAGTCCGGTAGCAGTTGTGGTCACGACTTCAGTGCCGAATGAAATGGTTCTTTCTTACGAAACTGATGATTCTCGTGATCAGAACGAGATTTATACGAAGAAAATTAGTACTTTGGTAAATCCGAAAGAAACTTCAAGGTGAAATTCGAATCAAAAATCTTCTATTCATCAAAATTATTTAAGAGATGAACCCGGTACACGAATCGTTCCCTTCGTCTCCTGGTACATAACAGACACAGTAATGAGTTGCACAGAGCCTTCCTTTTCCGTCTCCTTGCTTCACTACGGAACTTGCCCGACTGAGACTCGATTAATTGAGCCCGATGACAATGTCGCAGCCGGAAAATGGGTCTATGAAGGATTACACTCCATGACTCACTTTTTTCTTTCAAATATATTTCAATTTCACGTCGATGAAAATGGAAAGCTGACGAAAAGTAGCGAGACGAAGACATATTTGGAATCACAAGTTGGTTTTACGAATTCTGAGCACAAAAGAGGCAGTGGAAAGTGTACCAAAGTCAACTGTCCTTTCCAGGAAAAGATATTTCATTTTTGGCGATCCGATTTTATTGTGAAAAAAATAGAAAATTTTTCACCTTTTTTGGTCAGTATCTTTTTCAAGCGATATTATTACATGCCTAGTTTTATGATCGAAGCAAACGTTGGAAAACCATTCTTTCCAGAATTCAAAATTGTCGACGAAAACAAGCAGGAATACGACTTTGGTTACAAAGAGCACACACTTGTTGTTCTTGGCGAAATAACCGGAGGTTCTGGCTTCATGGGCACCAATGAAGAAAGAAAGACGTTTAACTTGGTCAAGAATACGATGGAGCTGATGAATTCTCAGTCCAGATCGTATGCGCCGCTGGCGAAAGGGATCTTAGAAATGAACGATATCAATTCCAATACTTCTGTCTATCAATACACTTTCAATGGCCAAATGGCCGGCTGCACCGGTGCTCACCAATCATACATCGGCCAGCTAGATAAGATCCTCCTCGCTCTCGGAAAGTCACGTGATTCCGTCTTCTCCGAAAACGATTTCGACTTCAGAGATGTCTGGAATCGACAAAATTTCGTCTCTTGTCGCGACAATCCAAATGCTACAATTCCGGACGAGACATTTTCCGAACTAAATTCAAGGCTCAAAGTTCCAGTTGAAACATTGGTTCAAAATCGAGAGAGCATCAACAAGCGAATAAGAGATTCTGTGATTGAAGGGCTCTTGGATGAAAATGGAGAGTACGAAGAATCTGTCCTGGACAATTTGCTTGAGGTTGTCTTTGAGTTGATAAGATTTTGGATTCTGATGGAATAAATTTAGATCCCAGAAAACGCAGAAAATTTCACTGGCTATGCGCCCCTACTGTGCTCATCAGAAGGAATCACTGATGGTGGTTGTACCAATCAGTTCATCTTCACCAAGCCTGGTCGATACGTCATGAGCGCAATCCTCCTCGACCAAAATGCCAGTGGATGCGATCTTCGGGTCTCATTCATCGTCAAAGTTAATGGTAAATAATCCTCGATTCAAATGCTTGCTTGCTGACTGGATTTAAGCCCTGCCCGATATCTCGCTTTCTGCCAACAAGCAAATGTTTCTGAGCACCGCTGCGATCACAGTGCTCGTATTCCTTTGGTATTTTGTTGAACCTTGCTTCTCGAGACAAAAAGATAAGCTTCAAAGCAGAGTGTCTCAGAAAATAAGTATTTCCTACGATCAAGATTACTGAAGCCTTTTGTTCATTATTATTGATAAATACTGCCGTTATTTCAAAAATAAATCCTTTACTTCAAGTCGTTTCTTTCGAGTATACATTTTGATATTTTCTGGGAAATTTTTTTCTGAAATTTGATTGGTTCACCGGTCAAATGGGGAAATCTGATTGGTTCGAAATTCTGTTAAAAATCATGGGTCGTAATTTACGACTCGTAAACAGTCCATCAGTGTCGCATAACCTTGTTTTGGCAATGAGGTAAAGGCTTTCATTAAAAGCACACTAATCGAAGCTGTAAAAATAGTGGAAGTTCGGAGTCGAGAAAGCTGGAGGGAAGATAAATAGCGCCCACGCGCGGACTCCGATTGGCCATTTCGACTGTAAAATTTCCTCCCGAGAGACAGATCCGCATCCTTTACTTACTGGAACATCGATGATCCTCCCTGATCGTAAAACGATTCTTCTTCCTAAGACTTGAAAAGAAATGATTTCTCGAGAACGAAATTGAAAATTGCTCCTTTTTTGAGAAATTCTTTCGAGAACATATTGATTTTTACCATTTGCCGGTCGATACAGCCTTTATTTTCAGCGAGAAAAGAGATCTTTGAATAAGTAACTTTTTAATTTTTGATTTAGAATGGAAAACCCCTCGGCAGACGTCGAGATGGACCAATTCGAAACGGTTTCTGAACTTCCAGCTGACGAAAACGGAGCTGGGAAGGAAAACGTCGAAAAAATGGAGACGGACGAAAACAAAGCGCCAAAAGAAGGAGAGGTCAAAAAGAGGGCACAAGCACCACCAATCGTCGTCAAAAAAGAACTTCCGGTTGAAGATGCTGACTGGGAAATTGTAAGTCTGAAAGAAAGTATTTCTGATTCGAACAATTCTAGGGGTTCGAAGACGAAGCTGAAGTCGACCAAGCTCAAGCGAAAGTGGTCATCCCTAACTTCAAAGAAAACCTGATCGCCAACATGACCAAGGTGAAGGCGGACAAGGACACTTGCGACGTCATCCTCCGCGTCAAAAAAGGCAACTTCTACTGGGCTTCCTTCTGGGCTCATCGCTCCGTCCTCATCGCCAATTCTCCCGTTTTCGCCGAAGCGCTCGAGAAATTCACCACATAGTAAGTTTCCCCGCTTGGTGGAAATAGCTCTCTTTTACGCGCCAAATTTAAAGCCGCCTTTTTGGCGGAATAAAAACTTTTTTATTTCTTTTACAATTTGAAACTTGAGATTTAAAATTTTATGAAAATCTAGTGGCCTGCCGGGCGTTGAAACGGTCTGTCGACCAAACTTAGTCCTCCCTCGGAAAATTCACGGCGCCGCTTTGGCTGCCCTTATTGACTGGATGTACACTGGAAAACTTTGCATCCAAAATCAGAAAGCGCTCGGACACCTTCCGCTCGTCGCGTATTACCTGAAGGTATCTTTTACAAAAAATCTTCACAAAAAGAAAGAGTTTCGACGAGTGCTTTTCTTTAAAAAATGGAGAGGCCTTAAAATTGCCTGTAATCGAAATCGAATGGATCAGTATATCACTGTACGCGACAGTAAAGCTACAGTAATAAGTAAAACAGCAATTGAACAACCGACTTTTGACGGATTCGGTAGTAGCGAAAAAACAGCCCCCTTGCTTCATTTATCATTTTTTCTAACCATTTTTAGCTGAAGGATCAACTTGGAACTGGATCTGCGCAAAAACCCCTGTCCATCTCAAATCGACATGGACAGAAGCATGAGCAATGTTTAGGTTTAGTCCTTAAAACCGGTACTTTTTCCGTTAGCCTAGCATTGATAAAAAACACCATCCCTTTCGCGCCGCAAAATCCGTCAAATTTCGCACTCTGGCTTTTCCAGCTCCAACTTTTTTTGGAACTGACACTCATTGAAAAGTCGCTCACCACTGGCTCTCAACTTTCCAGTTTGGCTAGAGCGACAGCTTTAGAAATTTCTTTCTTTCTTCATTCAGAAAACAGCGAATTCTCTTTTGAGATAGTCGCTAAGAAGTTCTTTGATAGAACTGTTAATGGATACAGCATTTGTTAATTGAGTTTTATCCAGGTGCAACCATTGATTGACGAGCTGGATAATATTTTCGGAAAATTTTCGAGTGCCGGTTGCAAACTCATTGATGAAGAGGTCGCCGATGCCGAGGCTGTTGGAACGGAAAATGACGACAATGAAGGTAAGATCGTCCCAGGGACGCTGTCCCTCTTACCCTTTTCTCATTTCATCTTTTCTTGCAGATGAAAAGAAAGAAGAGAAGAAACGCTCGCAAAAAGACAACAAGTCGTCGGAAGAAGCTAAAGCGACCGAAGAAGCTGCTGGCGAAGAAATGAAGGAAGAAAACGCCGACGCTGAAGCTAAACCTGAAGAGGAAAAGAAAGAAGACGAGAACAAACCAAAAGATTGGATCGTCAACAAATGGCTCAAGCGCAAATGGGCGGCTGAACTTCCAGCAATCAAACCCATCCCGGGCTTCTGTAAGTCGTTCTCATCCATGTCTCCAATCAACTGATCTGTTTAGACATCATGTTGCAAGCTGATTCGCACCGCGTAAAATCATCCAAGGGAAAGAAAGGCGAAGATCCCTTCGACCCTCCTCCATCTGTGCTCGACACCAACTGGCTCGCAGCTTACAATCAGTTCAAGGCCAAGGCGCTGTTAAAGAAGAACAACCACCAGAATAACCGTGGTCGGGGCCGTGGCAATCGAGGCAACCACCGAGGCTTCGGAAACAACCGCGGTGGAAACAACTGGCGCGGAAATGGTGGACCGAGAGGTGGATACCGAGGAGGATGGAATGGACCTCCACAAGGTTGGAACGGACCCCCTCATGGTGGATACAACCACGGAGGATGGGGAGGACCACCAGGTATGAATTAGGAAAAAATTCTCGTACGTCAATTCTTTTCCTAGCCTACCATCAGCAAGGACCAGGATACGGCGGACCAAGAGGTGGTTATGGAGGTCCAAGAGGCGGCTACGGCGGACCTAGAGGTGGATACCACAACGGCGGCGGCGGATACAACAACCACGGCGGCGGATATCACAATGGTGGAGGCTATGGCCAAGGATATGGCGGTGGAAGGGGCCGTGCTGGAGTTCGTGGACGCGGCCGTCCATATTAATGATTTTCGTAAGCAAAGGACACGGGCTTGATCATCACTCATGTTGGTTTTTAGATTCTTTCTCCGATCGTTCCTTCATGTTTATAGCCCCAGTTTGTGCGACTCAGATGAGCGGATCCTCCCACACTTATCATCACCTTTCAACATAACTTTCAACTGACTCCATTTATTTCCTTATTCCCTGTTTCTTTAATTCGAACTGCCATGTCAGAGTTCTCCCTCCTTTGCAACACCTTGCATCGGACCTAGACCAATACAAAAAAAACAAAACGAAAAACAAAATAAAACTCACACAGAATTCACTCTCAACCTCGTTTACAAATACAATCGCTTCAGATGTTTGGCCTCGGGACCTTGCTCGAAGCTTGTTTGTTATTTGTGAATGCAGTCGCGGTTTTGCATGAAGAAAGATTCTTGAAAAAATACGGATTGTTACGGGTTCAAAATAAGCTTGAATCAGACACCAAATGCAGATCTTGGTGGAATTTAAATTTGAACCTGAATAAAGGTAGAAGACTCGGCAAACAGTTTCGGTCCTCCTGGCATAAAAGTCCAAGTTATCCGCCTCATCAACGCTGTACGAACTGTCATGAGAGGTAGGATCTTTGATTTTCCTCCCTAATTCAGACACTTTTTAGTGCCCTTAATCGCAATAAACATGTTCGCAATTGTGTATCTCCTGCTCCTCGGATGAACGGATTAGAGATAGCGCCAACTTCGTAGTGCAATTCACCTTTTTAAAAACTAAAAACTTGCAGCCTTTTCTTCTCACACATGTTACTATGATAGCCGATTAAATTCTGTACTAATCGAAACAATAATTCGAAAGCCTTCCCTTTCATGTCCTTTTTGACAGGAGCTAAGCTTCAGTCAGCTGTTCAGGCTTGTATGTTCGCGCTTTTTCGGCGCTTCCGCTTTTCGAGGGATGAACAAGAAGCTCTAGAATGATCAGTGCAAATCGAATCGTGCGCGTTCTCCGTCGCCATGGCGCTGCAAAAACAAACCAAACAGGTTTTGGCCGCGAGCGCGAGGCTCGCAAAGCCCAAATGTCATCCGCTACGACGAAATGACCAAAGACGCGCAGTACACCATTAACTATGAAAATCCTTCGCTGCCAACGTACGCTGCGAAGGAGTATTTCGATGATTTACTGGGCGAGCGATTTGAGAATGATTGGAAAAGCGTCAGATGTGCTCTCTTGTCGCCTGCAAAAAAGTGTGCGTTTGTGACGGATCCGAATGAACAACTCATTGAAACGCTTGAATCTATTGGCGCTCAAAACATCATGGGAACTTTCTCCAGCCGCGCAGAAACCGTTCTACAAAAAGAACAAGAAAATCTCTTAGAACTGAAAACTGAGGGTCCCGGAGAAGGGATGACAGAAGCAGAGCATTACAATAAACTCATCAGAACGCGCCTTCTCGTCGAGCAAATGGAATCATCAATAGAGGCTTCTAGACAACTGGTTATTTACGCAACGCCTTTAGGAAATTTCAATCAGCTTCCGAGACCTCTAGCGATTAATAACGGACTCAAAGACTTCATCAAAACTGACTTGGCGGATGTCTTCGTTGCTCTGGCTCACGCTCCGCGAGCTTCTGAAAATTGCTTGTTGCTAAATTCAGAAGCTGAAATTGTTCCTCTTCTTCTGCGAGCTGCACCTTACTGTATGTTTTGTCTCAACAACGGAGAGTACAACGCAGCGAGAAACGTCATCGCGAGTGTAAAAGAATACCTCGATCCAGACAACACTGAAGAAAGAATTCATGCAAAAAGTGATAAGACATTGAAATATGGCGAAAACTTGGCCGATGATATTAGCGAGCATTACATAAGGGAAGGCGTATTTTCGTCAATTTTACTTGACGCTGAGAGCACGAATGATCGAGTTTCCATGAACGAGAATTCTTCCTTGAACCTTTTTCATCCTAGCCACACGCACATTCGTCAATCGTTGCCGATTTCGCAGAAAAATCAGTTGAAAAAGGAAGGGATACGTATCAGCAATTGTAATTCCCTAAAGTAAGAACTTTGCTTTGCCAATTTGAACAAAAAGCGATCCTAAAATAGGCTCTTCAATTATGCCGTCCCGGCGGTCATATAACCTACGTCAGCAATACTCTCAGTCATTTACAGAACGAGTACGTCGTCCAAGCCGCTGTCAAAGAGGTCTACATCGAGCATTCCATAACAGTGCGCTCTGTTCCGCTTCATTTCATACCTTATTGCTTGCCTGAGCTTAACTTTTACTCTGAATCAAGATTGGGTCAAATGGTAGTGCCAGATATGGGCAAAAACTATGGCCCGAAATATGTTTGCAAGCTATATCTCGAGTAGCTTCAAACTTAAATACAAAACGAGATGAAACTGTACAAACTTGAAAGAAAACTTGTCACCTTTGATCATGATGCTTGTCTCAAAAGAGGATGAACCTTGACGGTGACCTTTGACCCTTGTTTCTGTATGACATCAGCGCTGCTTCACAAATCGTATTCAGATTCGGGCGAAAATCGTGCAGAAAAATCTGAGAAAAAATAACGAAACTCTTCGAGACTATTTTGTTGGGATACTTTTTTTGGAAGAAGAGTTGACCTCAGAATAAGATAGAAGCGTCGGTGCTCGAATGTTCCGTAAGAGATCGTTTCTAGCAGTGTATTTGATACTTACTTTTGCACCTAGAGAAATAATTGAAAGAAGGCTGAGAAGGAAGAATGAGCGAGAAACAGAATAACTTTGTGAAAATATGGGCTGTTGTGGCGCCATTGGCGGCTCTAGCGGGGCTTTATTACGTTCACTCGAGAAGAAGGCGAACTGGTGAGATATTGATTCATGAGCTTCGGGTCATATCTACTTTAGATGCTGAGTATGTAGCACCAAGTATCAAAGAAGTTGCGAAACGAGTTGATCCACCACAAAGCTCGAAAAAGGCTAAAGCAGCTAGCAAGACAGGTGATCACATAATCACCTCCCATCGCTTTCCCTAACCATATTTCTTATATAAGCCGCTCTATCTTCCGAAGAAAAGGAAAAAGTTCCTGAGAAGGCACAGGAAGATGTTAGTAGACCAAGGGTTGACTCGGGTATTTCTACCATGGATTCAAGCAATAGTCAAGCTCCAGAGCTAGTAGCACCTGAAACGATAGAGGAATGCTCTACTGCTCAGCTTGAAGCTGAAACTCCCCAGGTAGAAACGAATACGAAAAAGGAAGATCCATCAGAAGATGAGGAAGAGGAAGAACTTATTACTGTTTCGAAAGAAGTTGTTTGTGTAAACTCTGCTCCTGCCGTCCTTATGGACAGTCCAGAGCCAGAAGCAGAGGCACAAGAAGACACGGAAGAGATTGTTGAAGAAATCGTGACAGAAGAGAAAGTCGAAGTTGAAGCTGTAAATGGCCGATGTTCTTCGGAAAAGTCCTATGAGATCATCGAATGCGCGGAAGTTAACGGAGAAGAAGACTCACGGGAGTCACTCGAATTCGAGATTGACACAAAAGAGCCACTGACAAATGTGACTGAGATTGTTGAAGAGGAGTCTACTTCTACCTCTGCTTCTTTAACGACGGGCGCTTCAGGCGCTACCGCAGCATTGCCAAAGCACATGGCGCTGGATCGTCGGACAAGAACGGAATCTGAAAATCGAGACTGGGACAATTGGGCTGATTCTCCCACGATGAAGGTGAAGAACACCCCCGTTGTGAAGGAAAATGGAAGCTCAAAGAGCTCCAAGTCGAATGGAAAGGCAAAGGAAAATGGAAACACTCCAAATTCGAGAAATTCCGAGAGAAAATCCAAGAACGGTAGCTCCAATGGACTTTCTAAAAAGGAAAGGTTCTAGATCACTTTTCACCTCTAGATTCACCCCTTTGAAATCCCTTGGAGATTGAATTTGAACCACACAAAGGCTAAGAACTTGAAGAAGGTGATGGAGGCTTCGAACGAAAACGATAACAGAGATTCGACGACTCCTGACTCTGCCAAAGAATCGGACGCCTCAAAGACGAAGTCGAAGAAGCGCAGAAACGGAAAGAAGAAGAAGTCCTCGAGCACTTCCACATCCAAGTCGTCAGTGAAAGCTCCATCGAGCGATTCAGGAACGGCGACTGATGACAATATCGAGCGATATATGGAGATTTCCGGCTTCCCAGCGGTAAGATCTTTTAAGAAAGACTCTTCTTTAGTTTTATCTTTTAGTCAATGGTTGGTGCGCTCATTGGTCGAAGCGGCAAGAACATCAAGACCATCCAAGAGCAGTCAAAGTGCAAGGTCCTCGTGAAGGAATACCCAGTCGAAGGAGGCGGACAATACATTGCTATTGAAGGTATACTTGCTATGAATTCGCTCCCATGCTCATTTGAAACCCAAAGGTACGAGCAAAAACATCCTCAAGGCAGTCAAAATCCTGAAAGAACGCTTCCCAGACGTCAACTTCTCACAAGAACTGCTAGAGGAGACCCTTTCTAATTCGCCTCTTGTCCCACAGGTAGGAGTTTCCAAACTGAAATGACATCTTCTTATTTGCATCTGTAGGAGCCTGCTGGTACCGGCTACGAGGACTACTACTTTGACTACAGCGCGACTTACGAAGGCCCTACTAACAACGAGGTCATTTTAAAATTGTTATCTCGTGGAATGAACTCAAAATCTAGGGACAAGTCGAGCTCGTCCGAGGTGTCCCAGTTGAGGTGCGAGTCACCTCTCTTGGACCAGACTTCAACGATGTCTGGCTTCAGCCCTATACCCACCCATCGCACGACAAGTTCTACTCCTTCGAGTCTAGGTAATATTTTATCACCTCTTATGAGGTTTTTAGCCCGCAATTTAGCATGTGCGAGTTTTACAACGCCGACGAGTCCATCTCCATCATTCCTCCGTCCCAATACCTGCCCTTCGGCTCTTACGCGGCTGTCCTTCATCATACAACTGATGAAATTACTGGAAAGGAAGTCGGAAAGTGGTACAGAGTTCAGGTAATTGAATGCAGTGACTTCTTCCCTTTTATTCTTAGATCTACCAATACACCGACGATTACAACGCAATGGTGCTCTATCTGGACTTTGGAAACTACGCTTCCGTCCCTACTGAAATGATCCGACAACTCATGTAGCTACTTCCATCATTCTTCCAGAATAATTGACTGAATTTAGGCCTGAATTCCATCCCCATGAGTGTGGCATTCCTTTCCAGGTTGTTCACGCCCAACTTGAAGGTGTCGAAAACCCGACTGATAATGTTATGGGACCAGTAGTCTACGATATTATCCGCAAATCTCCGCAAAGCTCGCTTGTGGTGAGTTTTATTTTGGGAAGACATGAAATAATAAAAAATTAAGGCGGAGGTAACTGGCTATGATGAGCTAGCAAAGCCAGTCGTAAAGTTGATGTATTATACTGGAGGACAGAAGGTGCTTATTAACGATATTGTGAACGAGACGGTGACAGCTCTCAAACGAAAGCAAAGTAAATCTGCAGAAAGTATAAAGCCATGGTTTGACAACTTCTTTCAACAACTACAATTTCTCAATCAAATTGAAAATTGAGTTAAAAACCCATGCTAAGATTGTTCCAGACACGAAAAATTCGACAGTTGCAGCTAGTAGTTAAAAACAAGCCCCAGTTGTGTATTTATTCCTAATATATATTAATATTATTATCAAAACTGATACACTTGATGTCAGCACTTGAAATATGGCGTTGCCACATTTTAACATTTTTATTTATGTCCATATTTCTTTCCATTTAACATATCTTCACAATTTTGTTTTGGAGGATCTCGATTACATTATTGACTTACTGGAAAATTGCGCGTTTGTTTGAGCGATTCCTGGAAATCTGAAATATCCTGACTCCCATTTTAGACTTTTAAAAGTTTCTTGCTTCTTCAAAGAGCTCGTTTTTTGGCTCTTCAAGAGCTGGCTGGATATGATTAATTTAGAATCAATTTTAAATATGCATATGCTCCATAATCGTGTGCCCATATCGTAACACTGACATTCGTAAACAATTGCAAGTCAATCATATTTATTACTTTTTTTTCCATCTGACATCAAAAACAAACCCAGTTATCTGCGATAACAGAAAAGACAAAAAAAGTTTCGTGATCCTTTCTTGACGCTTCCCGCATTTTATTTCTGACATTACTGACTACTGTGTACTGCTAAATATTTTTACTACGCTGCAGTGAGCCAAGTGCTGCGAATTTGGTTCAATGATTGATCTTTGAGAAGGTTTTTATTTGTGAATAAAGCGATGAGCATTTATGAAAAAATTATCAAAGCAACAGTTCTTATTGTTGTTCCATTGTGTCTAATTGTTGAAGGCAATTTTTGAAGCAATTGATGATCTGATAGACGCTTTTATCAAATAATTTATGATTTCACGACAAGCATTTTCAGCAGAAAATATTGCAAGAAAATGGCCTCCAATTTTGAAACTAAGGCCTAGTTAATCGTCTGAATGACTGGGTAGTACCCAGTGGGTACTAGCAGTGACATTTAAAAGTGCGCGCGTGAGAGCGTACTGTTCTCGTATTTTCTTGGTGAGGAGGAGCAATAAAAAGTCTCTTTGAAACTTGTTTCGCAGCTTATCTTCGGTAAAGCAGTTGCTAGAGACCGTTCGCTATGGTAATAGAAGAAGAAACGGAAGAAAAGAGTGTCAAACAGAATGACCAGACCAAAGTTCAGGTATCATTTCCGAAATCATAGTTTGAATCAAGTTTTAAAAGTGTTTGGATTGTCTCTGTACTGGCACTCTCAAGCAAACGGATGATAAGGTTTACTTATTTCCCGAAGGAGGTTTTTCCCTACAGTATCAATCCACAGTTTCAACACCTGATTTGGGGAAACGAACTTTCAAGCAAAAATGCATAAAGAAGTTCTCCCTAGCGGGTCATGGAAACGCAACAGCGAAACAAAAGGCAGCATACTTGACAAATGCTTTTCTTTTCTGGTTAGGAATCATACTTATAGGTGAGCATTAGAGTTGACTTGCATTTTTGTAAGTTTTTAGCGAATAATTTGTCCTTGGAAAAGATCTCTGGAATCTCTAGTTTTTCAATTTGCCACCGCGATTACAAGAAATGCATCCAAACTGAAAAAATGGATCTCTGCGGTCATTCGATGAAGCAATGCTTTCAAACCAAAGAATTCATCTTCCCAGAGCCTGTTGCAGAAATCAGACAAATCGAAAGTGAGCCTCTTGTCTTCACCGAAGAAGAAAATCAAATAAATCTCCGTCGTTGTCAGAAGAAAAAGTTTTACCACGCGAAGGAATGCCGTTACCTTTGCTCGACAACAATTGTTTTAGAATCAACAAGATTTAAGCCTTACTCCCCATGTGAATCAATCTGCTTCGAGCTGACTGAATCTTCGCTTTCTGCTGGCGAAATCTGTCCATGGGAAATTCGCTGCGAAACTGGATGCCCTTGTCCTTTTTACAAATGCGAGAAAATAACCAAATCAATTCAGAAGTTGACTCCTTCTTTTAACCTAAAAAAATCAGAATCGGTCGATAGTTACAGTTTCAGTCACTACAGCTACTGGTATCTAGGATTAATAACACGTCGCTGGAGTGATCGATGGAACACTGAGATGCGAAAATTTCCAATTATTCTTTCGGATTTAACGGGAAAGGAAGACCAAGTAAAAGTCAAAGCAGACTATCTTCTTCCTTATGAATGTTTTGAAATAATATTTTTCATGCTTTATTGACTGCGTTTTTATGAATATATTATTAAAACAAAAAGTCAACGGGCGCCACTTTTCTCGATGGCGAGCACTATTTAGTCGATGCAATGGGTAATATGATGGTGATCGGGGAGACTGGCGATTCATTTTTTATTCCAAGTCACCAAAGATATATGTAAGTAGAATTCTCGCTTTTTAGCACTCAAAAACTGAAATTCATAGAGGGTTCTTTCTTTTCCACTTTGCTTCATCTATCGGAACCCATCAAATTGAAATTCGGTTGAGAGAAGATGATAGAAAGAAATTTCCCGTCGTTGTCATCTGAAAAGGTCGAAAAAGGGACTTGATTTCTGATAGATATTTTTCTTTTTGACCGCATAAAGTTCTCCCACTGGAAGGTCGGATAAGTGCTTCTACTATGCGCCGGATTACAACTTGAACCGTTTTGAAGTAGCGCACGGCTTCATTGCCAGTAACCACTTTAACGCGAAATTATCTTCTTACAGTTATAAAGGCTATTTCAATCTAATTAGTATCAGGCTCGGTACTTATTGGATTCAGGTTTCAAAAACTCAAGCATCTGGGCTCGACATTCTGACTCGGACTAAGTTCAGTTGAACAGAATCAATTCTGTTAACTTGTTCATCAAGCAGGTACCTCAGATAGGTCGTTACTCAGGTCTTCTGAGTAAATCAATAACTCGTGTCAGAGGTGCGAGCCCAGTGTTGCTCTGAATAGAATAAGAAGGAGTGAAGAACTGGAAAAAGGGTGGCGAAAAGATGAAATCCCCCTTCCATGGGTGCTCATGGATTTAGACCCCGTGCATGTGATTCCACTGACAAGGATTTAACCATTTTCTCAATCGTCTAAGTTTCTAGCTTAAAACCTACTAAAGATCGATGTCGGGCGTTTGTTGCTTATTTTGGTTTCTCGAAGCATTGAACTTTCGAATACAATGTACTCTGTCCTGATGGAAGGACCGGGGAAGGGAGATAGAAAGTTTCTACTTCTTGGAAGCGAATGGATTGGTTCTCTTGTCAAATATGAAGACAAAGTTATCTGTTATTCAAAGCTGTTTGCTTCAGATGATCCTTATTACACGGATCAAAGCGGGATCAACAATGATGAATGCGAATATTTTATAAATGGAATCGAGAACAACGAAAATTTTTTCATTCAGAATTTTGTGTTTGATAGTTTATTCGAAATCGAGTTTGATTTCGGAGAGGATTTCAGATATTTTCCCATTACAGAGCTAGTATTCTCCTTTATTAATCCTCCAAAAAGATCACCTAGAAGTCAACTTCATTCAACAAAAATCAAAAAAGAAAATGCACGTAACAAGCAATCCGTACTTTTCATTTCACGACGACGTCTTTCCAGCGTTTTCCAAAAATTCAGTTGCTCAGCCTCGATTCCCTCGTTCTGGTGGCCCCATGTCTAAAACAATCATTCCGGATTCTTACTTCTCCTCGCTGCGAGCATTGAAACACATTTCAACCGTCGAACTGAGTTTAAATGAAACAGAGAGCTTTCAACTAGAAATGAACTTCGGGGTAGTAAATTATCATTAGATTTATTTTTAACCGAGCTAATCAGAGAGTGTCGGAAACAAGGAAGATTTTCGAACTCCAGTTCTTCGATGGAAGAGATCTTTTGAACGTTGGAGTTTTTCAAAACTCCTCTATTTGGATCAAGTCTGATTTCTTTAAAAAGCCTGTTACTCTGAATTCAAAGGCGCTAAAATTGACTGATGCTTGGGAATTCAGGCTTCGCTCAAATGACGTGTCGGAGTCATCAGTCTTTGAAATCGTGCAGGAAAAGTTAGCGTTTCGTTTTTTTTTCTTGAATTTAGTTGAGACTTTTCCGCAGAAGAGAAAAAAATCTGAGATAACAAAGTCAAGTGGTCCCTTGAATGGATTAGAGGATATCGACGACAAAAAAATACGGATTTTCAAGTTTGATCGAGAGACTGAGATAAAGAACTTTTTTCTTTCTGGCGATGAATCAAAGCAGATAACTGTTATACTACCAGATTGGTACGAAAACCATCCATCTTACGCTTTACTCGAGGATGGCTCAAAACTGGCATTGTCTATAAGGGCTTCATCTTCATATGAGAGCCTTTCTGATGATATAGTTTACTCAAGATGTGCAGTTGTAAAGGATGAACCTCACATATTCGGGGGATATTCAGATCCAAAAAGAGTAATTTTATCATTTCAAAATTTGAAATTCAAATAGTAATATATTTTGATAGATTGCCCGCTTAGATGGGTGCGCATTCACAGAGTTGTCAATTCGACTAAGTAAAAATTATCGATCTGGACATGACGTGTTATCACTTGAAGAGGGTACTAAAGGTGACTTGTCAAATCGTGAACTCTGAACGATTTTATATTTAGCACTTATTTGTATGGATTACGACAGCGAAAGAGCTTGCCAGATATTCGACGGAGTATATGTCATGACTACGTTTGGATTATCTAAAAGGCACTATGGTGGTGCTATGGCTTCTTTCAACGGCCGTCCTACCGTTGTGGGTGGACACAACGCGCAAGGCGCTGTAGAGAAAATGACTGATGCTGGCTGGACTTCTCTTTCATCGCACCCTAGGTCTGAGAGTAATCAAAAATAAGGGGGGGCGGGCGGCCACGGTACAAAAGTGAAATTTGTACCGCGGGTACAAATTTTGCACCGCCGGTACAAAAAATGATAATTTTTTTGACAATAAATACCGATTTTTACCCAAAATAATACTCATTTTTGGACAGAACTCCACCTCATCTATACCAGTAAAGAGTTTCCTTCAATTCTAGCGTGAAGCGCACACTTTTTCTCGGATTTTGTTTTTGGCTTGTACCGCCGGTACAAATTTGTACCGTGGCCGCCCTACAACCAAAATAAGAAGGGTCAACTTTCAGATCGCTATATTTTCATTCTGGAATTGGACTATCTTCAGGAGTTTTGCTGACCATCGGTGGACGTGATTATAGAAGCTACAGCACACTAAATGAAATTTGGACATTGCAAATAGGAAACAGATGGTCATTAATTGGTTCTCTTGCACATGTAAATATTTAAAAAAAATATTTAGTTCTTCCATTTTTATTCAAATATTGTTAAATAATTAGTTATATAAAAATTCTTATTTCAGGCGGTTTATTCTTCATCAGCAATATTAATCGACAGAAAAATTTTTGTCTTCCCTGGTCAAATGTATTCATCTCCATCTTCAATTCAGCAAATAATTTTAGGTCAAGGATTCGAAATCTTTAGTTTACTTTTTCATCGGTAATGCATTTTAATTGTTAATTCGAACCACTAAAGACAACACCGATGATTACATAATTTCAACTCAAATAATTGCAGATCAAGGCGTCCCAAGAATCACTTCTCCGATTGTATTCACAGCTCCTGTTGGCTCCTGCGCTGTTTGAGAAATAATAAAACTTAGTAGTTATCGATTGTTCTTAAAATCTTTCAAATTTTATTTTCATTCTAGCAGCACCGTTTACTTTTAGGTTCAGGCAGCTCTAAATCTATCGTCGTCATTTCTCCTTTAGGAGTCAGCTGGCCCAGTTTCCTTGCCAGCCCTTTCAAGAGTCCTTCAGTTCCGATTCCCAACTTTGAAGAGTGCTTTGAAAAGGTAGCGTTAAATCTATCTGCCAGTAAGATTCCTTCTTCATCGGGAATTACTTGCGGAATGTCGGTTTTGTTGCAGACAATCACTAAAAATCTCATTGACGAAGTAAACAGTGGCTCTTACCGACAGCAATGGAATCCCCACGGCTCTCAGAGACAAGATCAGCCCAGCGAGTAGCTTCCTCAAAGCTAGAACGCTCCGTGCAGTCGTAAAAAATCATCACTCCATCGGCATTTCGAAAATATTGCTTCGTTATCGCATGAAATCTTTCTTGACCGGCAGTATCCCAAAGTTGCAAATGCATCTAAAACACGATTATCAAAAGAAAATGGCATGTTTAGCAATAACCTTGTACGCAAACTCTTCGGTTTCAAGCTCCAAAACAGAATAATCGACTCCGATTGTACTTGAAGCGATGGTATCAAAATCTCCTGACGTTACTCTTCTGATGAAAGATGTTTTGCCAGCGCTGAAAATGCTCTCGGAAATAGTCGCTAACAAAGCTTACCCTGCCGAGCCGATCATAACGACTTTGAACTTTCTCACATCAACTTCAGGCAGAGCATCCTGGATTCCTACAAGTTCTTTTACGGAAAAACGCCGGCCTTTTTTGTCCTAAATATATTTTGCTCTCCCAATTCAATAATAGAAAATTGACCTTTTTTGGACTCTCGGGAACTAAGGGAGAAAGATCTATGTTGACTGAATTCGCCTTCTTTCGATTTTCGAAGGGCAAAATTGGCTCTGATTGTCGACGAATTCTATTCATTAAAAATTTCTCACAAAAATGCCTCTAAAAGTGTGATAATAAAACTCTAACAACAAATCCTCGAGCGGCCTCTTGAAAACATTGAATCCGGTCTCACTGAAATCGAGTTTTAGTTACTGACCGTTCGCAGAAATGTTGAGTAGGGTGCCCTTTTTATTGAATCATGAATTTGAGAAATTTATTTTGTAAAAATATACAGTATCAATTTGCCTGAATGTAATTTTTGCGTAAAATTTCTTCAGGGTGCACAGAAGCCAAGTGGAGAGGTGAAAACAATCGGGAAATAAACTCTCGATTGTCCAGTTTCTTGTCTTGCTCCAAAACTGGTCGACAGCACATTCTCTTCCGGGTCTTATTCAATGGTTCAAAAATATATTGTGAGGACTTTCAATAGTTTCACGGTGGAACTTCCACCGCTTTTATTCAATTTTGTCTGAAACATTGGCCTAAATTTACTTTTTGGATATACGGAGGGCTTGCGTCTCCGGGAAAAACATAAATAATGCGGTCGCTCATAAAAACGGATGCAAAGGAAATAGGCTGAAATAGATATTTTAACTATTTCAAAAAATTGATAAACTAATACGTGTAAAAGATCGCCGATTATGTCCCATTTATTGTTCATCAGTCGCCAGATTTCTTTAATGTTAACTTGTCCACCCCATCCCCAAGTTTCGAATCCTCCGAGGGTCAGCATATTTCCAGACGGAAGTCCAATTATCGAACAAGCTTCTATCGATCTAATGAAAAAAACAATGCCTATTTTATCAAAGCTTTTTTTACCTTGGATGTGGTTTTAATGGGATCCACTCCGCGTCCATTTGCGTCTCAAATTCATCTCTTATGTTGAGACTCTCAACTTTTCCGGAGTCAACCCAAGATCCTCCGACAGCAGTTGGGTAACCATTATAGAAGCCAAATCCACCATACCAGTGTCGATAATTTGGTTCGGAGATTTTCTTCACTGTTTTTCCATTAAATAACTCACAAGCTTTCCCCTCGTAATAATCGAAGCAAACTATTACTAGAAAAACTTTTATTATCATATTTTTTAAAAATCTCAACATACCTTTACTGCCTTCCTCAACGGTTAACGCTGCATGTTCAGCTTTATACTGCTCAATGAATCTCGCAGTCAACTCTGTGAATTTGCATCCTTCTAGCCGAGCAATCTAAAAATTCGCTTATTTCTCAAAGAAAAAATCTTATTATTACTTTGTGTGGATCATGATATCCTCCGAAAATATGGACCTGGCCATTGAGAAGTGCTGACTTTGAGTCGTGAGCATATTCGGAAACAGGATTATTATCGTACTTAGGATGATACTCAGTTGGAGCGTGGAGAGACAAGTCGTTGGTAATCGATCCATCACTCAGTAAAGAGTAAGGTTGGTAAGATCCGAATTTGTTGGTCATTACGACATTGATTTGGGTCGACTCAAAGACAGAGTAGATAAAGTTTTTGATTTTTGTATCGCGATCGTGCTTGAAAATCCGTATTTTTTTGCTGCTGATATCTTCAAGACCACTTAAAATTCCATTTGTTCTTGTCTCTTTGTTGTTATCAGAAATCAGTTCACAGAATGATGATCCTAATGAGGAATTCGTATTGAGCCGAATTTCAAGTTCTGCTAGATCCGATGTATTCGTTTGCAATATAACCGGTTGGTTTAAATAATCGGAATCAATCCAGAGCCGCCCATTATCAAAGATTTCAAAGCTCAAAAATGTCTTCCCATTGAAAAACTGGAGTTCGAAAATTTTGGCTGTCCCTGTAACTTCCTAATTTTTTTGTTAGTGTTATTCAAAGATTATTTGCTTTACCTGGAAGTCAATCTCTAATTGAAATGTCTCTCTTTCATTCAGCTGAATTATAAGAGTCGAAATATGCTTAAATTCTTCAAGTGAGGAGAAATAATTGTCCGGGATGATTGTCTCGAAGGAAGCGCTAGATGAATAGAATGGTGGCTGATAGACGGTGTTTTTAGCGAAAGCGGGAAAGACATCATCATGAAAGGCGAATATAGGATTGCTTGTCACATGCATTTTCTTAACGGCTTTTTGTTGGACGAATTCAAGCTCGATTTTATCTTTATAGAGGTTCTCAAATTTTCTTGTGCGTATTCTTTTTATAATAGTTTTTTGGGGCCTCTCCGAAATCGAATTCCACTTCAAATAGAGTTTCAAAAACATAACTTTGGAAAAATATCTTTTCATTGTTGATGATTCCATTGCCAAAGTACTCGCATTCATCGTTGTTTTTTCCAAGAATATCCGTGTAGAAAGCGTCATTTGAAGCAAATATTCTCGATAAACAGATTGATCTTTCTTCGTATTGAATAAGAGACCCAATCCATTCGCTGCCAAGAGTCAAGAACTTTCCGTCCGCTTCTAACAAAACCGAGTAGAGCGTGTTAGACAGCTTTATGCTTCTTGTGACTAAGATCAGCATCAGCCGACCTACATCAATCAGAGGTATAACATGAACAGGATCCAAATCTCTAAACTCTGACGGCAAGTTGATTTCATTTTTGCGCCACCCTTTCTCGAACTCCTCGCTTTTTCTTATTCTGTTGAGAGCAAAAGTTGTTGAAAGCTTGATTCGTCGATCACCGAGTTGAACACTCATTAGATAGAATACTCCTTTGAAGCTGATAGAAGATGTTTTCGCGTTGAAATGGTTGCTGGCGATGAAGCCTTGTGATTCTTCGAATCGATTCAAATTGTAGTCAGGAGCATAGTAGAAACATTTTTCTGATCTTCCAGTCGGAGAGCTTTATTCACGGTCAAGAATATAATATCGAAAATAATGACATAAAAATTAATCGACCCTTAACAAACAACAACGGCAGGAAAAACGTTTATTCCGTCTTCTTTTCGACGAATTTCAATTTGATGAGTTCCGATCGAAGAACCAAAGTGGAAGACAAAGAATCCACTATCATGATTTTAAATTAGTACCCATCATTACTATGGTGTAAGGGAAGAAAACATTACTTACATTCCTTTATGAGAATTCGGTATGAAACTTGAAGACTCGCCAGTTTCTTTGAGCCTCATCAGATTACCCTTTGCATCGACCAAGTAATGCTCCCCATTGAGAAAAGTAGCGCCCATAGACTTTCAAGTTTTTGACTTGTTTCATACGCGTAATGAAAAACTCATGAATTTATATAATAACATGTAAAAACGTTCATAAGGCAGAAGACTGTCTGTTGCATTAATACTCACCCCTTTCCCACTTTCGATCAAATCGGAAAGAACAAAAGGAAATCTCCTAATCGAAGGTACCCGGTTATCCCATCTGCCAGTTATCCATTCGAAAGGCGAGTGCTCGTTGATCATATTTTCTGTATCGATTTTAAATTTTCCGAAATATAAGAAAAAACTAAAATTTGAAACATTCCTTTGATTTGAGAGGGATTGACAGTTTCTGATTCTCGAAGATCAAAAGCAGGAATCAGTTTCTGAGGAGAGTCGTCCAATTTTTCACACTTGTAGTAAGGACAGGGACATCCATTTATGCAGTATTTTTCACCAGGGCAAACATCACCAGCAGAGTCAAAAGATCGAGTGAGTTCAAAGCAAATCGACTCACAGGGCGAAATCGCGTTAGTCCTCGTTGATTCCAAGACGAGCGAATTGGAACAAATGTGACGACATATCTTGGCATCGTAAAATTTTTTCTTTTGACAGCGGATGAGATTAACTTCATTTTCTTCGTCAGTGAAGACAAGCGCTACGGGCTGGTTTTCTTCGATTTTAGAAACCGGTTCTGGAAGGATGAATTCTTTGGTTTGATGGCACTGCTTCATTAGGTGCCCGCAGTAGTCCATGTCTGAGATTTGAACGCATTTCTTGTAATTTCGATGACAGGTCGAAGTAAGAAAGGTTGTTACCCCACGTGATTTCTCCAAAGAGTAATAGTTTGCTTAAAAACTTTAGAAAACCGACTCTTTCAAAAGGTTTACTTATAAGCATGATCGTAATCCAGAAAAGAGAGCTTGTCCAGAGAAAATGCTTTTTCTGCTCCATTGTTGAAAATCCATGCTTTGAGAGTGAAGGTAGACGGAAGGTGCTCTTTTTCTTGTGGGTCGAGTTTTTCAAGTCGTGTTTTTGTGTACGAATACTCCGAGAAGTTAAAATTTCTTCAGAGAATAAGTACACATTGTTGTCATCATTGCCACTCTGCTTGAGAATTCCGATGCAATGACACTCCAAGCACTGAGGAAGTTAAAGGATGATCAATCATAAAACATTATTAATAATAATAATAATAATAATAATTTAATAATATTTAATAATATTTAATTTAATATAATATAATAATATTATATTTAATTTAATAATAATTTATTATCTATTTACTAGTGTACCTCAACTCTGCGCCCCTTTATCTGATTGGCATCTACATTTATCTCTTCGTCTTTTACCATAACTACCAGAGGGGTATATATTCACTTAAAATGATAAGCTTTTTTTAGGAACCCTCGGTGAGATGAGAATGAAAATGATTCTAGTTGGTGAGAAACACCGAGGCTTTTTGCCCTGTGTTTTGACAGCTGGATAGCTTTGTCTGGGACAAGTTGTCACTAACGAATTTAAAGAGAAATGTCAGTCTATCAGTTAAGAAAATTTAAAATGTTTAGTACCGATTCCCAATGATGACGATTGCTCCTTTGTCGGCAAAAAAATAAGATTTTCCGAATGAACCACTTTCTTATTTATTTTAATTTTTCTACCCATTCAAAATCCCCACTTATATTTGCTCGACATTTCAAAAACACAGTTCCGTTCCAATTACGGTTCATGCTCCACTTGTTTTGGGCTGCGTGGAAACGGACTTTTTCAGAATACAGAAACCCTTTTTACCCGCTTTTTATCGAATATTGTTTCAATTTGAATTATTGTAAGAGATTGTAGCCGATGTCACAACCAATCCAGAACTCTCCATCAAGTAATAGCGAGCTTCCGCCAACTCCAACTGATTTTGTTCCTCCATCCTTCCTGACAGCGCCGGAACAATTCGATCTTCAAGAAAAAGAACCACAAACAGGTTAGGGTGAGGGTTTAATAGATACTAGTTTATTCTAGTTTCCAAAGCTGAGTTTGAAGAAAAAGTTAATCTTCTATGGAAGGCCCTTGGTGACTCCCAAAGAGAGAAATACGAAATGAGGGCGAAGATGGAGAAAATGACTCTGCAAATGATGCAAATGGACAGGCGAATGCAGGAAAAAGAACAAAGAGATGCGGAGTTCAATAAAAGTCTACGAAAAACGCTCACAAGAATGAATAGAAAAAAAGAAGAACAACTGCAAAAGATGGATGCTGAAATAAAAAAAGAGTTCTTCATGATCCAGAAAAAACTAGACGAAAAGGCTGACAAAGGTAAGTTGTAAATTAAAAGATTTCGTCCATTTTTTCGATAGTTCTCAGTCCTCCTCTAGGATCCCATCGTTTCGAGTCCTTACCCTGATACCCACACCCACACAACTTGAACATCATTATCAAACCAGCTTTTACAAGGCATACAAGATTTCCCTGAACTGCCGAATCCACTAGGCTAGTCAGCCACTATCAATTGACTCTGTAATAAACTCACAACATGCACCCCTGTGATTTGTCAAAAAGATTGTTTATTTTCTCACAATACAAAGCAGAAAAAATAATTTACTTATTTTTACAGTAGAATCTATAAGATATCGCATTGAGCGAGTGTGCGTTCGTACTTGTCCATGCAGTAAGGAATCTGTCCAAGTTTCTCCATTGCTCCTCGGTAATCACCGTCGACTGTTTTGGGGGTGACGCAGAGGTCAGGGAATAGCATTTCGTTCATGGCACAGTAACTCATACAGGCGCGCATTGCAAACATTGTGGCGGAAGTTTCACAGTCCTTGAAAATGGTTATTCTTCAAGATCATTTGGAAAATATTCATTTGAAGAATGTTTTGAGCTTTTTGTAGACCTCTTTGATTTTAAAAATCAATTAAAGAAAACATTTTATCAAAGAAATATTCTCTTTTCAAACAATTTAAAAACATACCGCTTTAGCTGCTCGTCTCATCATCGCATGAGGAATATCATAAGCTGCCGCAATAGAAAGCATTATTAAATTTAAAACTCTCATTTTATCTTCTTCGTCTTTCGAAAGTAGGTCTAATTATTGAGTACGCTCCTTTCTCGCGTGGTGCTTTTAATAAATGGGATATCCGTCCTCTGCTGCCACCGGCTGGCCTATCTGCAATTGTGCGATTCATCCCTTTCGTAGGATAAATATTAAGTTTGCGCTCTTTTTCGAAGTTGGATCGTCTTCCGTTCAATGATTTTTTATTCATTAGAGGTATACTATTCATTGGTGCTTCATTAAAATTTAGTTTGTTGAGTGCTCAAATCTAGGTTGCTATCAACTTTCTTGCTGAAAAACTAAGACACGAGTAGATACAGTGATAATAAATGTATTTTGTTCAAGTTTGAGCAGAAAATACTGAAGCAGATATAGAAATAAATAAAGCACCGACTGGCTATGAAGTTTAAAAATTGACCTCGACCTCGTCGGTTCTGCTGACCTTTTGACCTCGACGCAGCACTTGGCAGGCAGTTTTCAATCGCTATGTCTGGAAAGGGTCAGGCAGGGTAGGAGTTGACGAGACGCGACCAACATAACTCCATAGGAAACTCGGATATCCAGCTTATATTTTCTCCAAAAGCTCATCTTCAAAAGTCTTTTTATTGAAAAATAAAATGATTTAGTATACCTTGGAAAACGTCAAATTGAAAAAGATTATGTACAAGTACAGGAGAGTCGTTAATATTTACAGAACTAGCTATAATATTATACATCGTCGTTGTTGAAAATTCTGAAATTTCATCTATCTAAGCCTCTTCATCATATTCCTCCTCTTCAGATTCTTCTGGTTCTTGAGATTCGTATGACTCATAATCAAGCGCCAGCTTTTCATCTGGAAGTTCTTGCCAACATGAAAGGTCGTTGACTTCATGTCCGACATGGTGAAGGGTCATTCCCTTAGAAAAGTCAACATTTTAAACAATCCAGTATTTTCATACAGGCGAAACGGAGAGTTTGGAATAGTTTACTTAGAATTAGATCAAACTAAAACTTTCATAGTTGTCCATTTTGTCTGTAATTTATCCGACATTCAATTAATCATTGAAGAAAAGCATGATGGAATGCTAGTTTGATCGACTTTTTCCTTGACAAGTGACTTGAGGAATTTCTTCTTCAAGTTTCTCAATTTGAAAGTGAAGCCAATATCCTTATTGGGCGCGACCTTGAGGTCTGGATTGTGACTGTTGTCCAGATCGCCAGCGAGAAGCAGTTGATTTCTACTCATTTGAAGCATCTTCGCGGTGGGACCACCGTAACGAGCTCCTTCCGGAATATCCGTGCTAAAATTGAGTAAATGCGGGGCAAGAGTAAACCGCGCGGTTAGGAATTTCCATTTCATGCTTCTCGGTTAGCTTCGGACGAAAAAGGCGGATATTCTGAGGTGAATATTCGAACACTTATTTTGAAGTGTAATAATAGAAGAAATTTGAACCTGTCGAATGAATTTTAGATAATGGAATAATAAGCCTCATATGAAGAAGTTATTTACCCAAAGGTCACCAGGAGCCGCCATTCTTCTGGGATTTGAGATGGTGATCGAAACTTGACCTTGAATTTTATCTGATTCAATTTACTGTCGCGCTCATCTTCCCAGTGCTTCAGTTTTGAGATTTTGCCTAAGAACGATTATCATTTTCAGTTGGCATAAAACACTCTTATTCACCTGGATGAAGAAATGGGCATCCAGTTTGGCAGGTAAAGGAAGGCATAGTTTTCCAGGAGCATTTGGTGTCAGTACAGCTGCAGTTGAGTTTGTAAGTAGCTTGAATAAAAAAGTAAATTACTGAAGCTTAATAATTTCAATATAAGAAAAAGGACGTACTCATCTGAAGATCCATGCCATGCGCGGGAAAGATAGATGATCCAGCTTTGCATCCAGCTGGATAGATACCGCCCTTATTTTTCGGCTTAGCATCTTTCTGCGAAATAATCATGTTCTTTGGCAAACTATCTTCGGAACACATCTTTGAGCACACTTGACCGTCGCCAAAGAAGCCCTCATCACAAGTGCATTGAAAACTTCCTCCTGTATTCTTGCAAAGCGCGTTGGTACCACAAGTATGCGTGCCTAGATGAATAATTGAAGCACTTTCTTACAAAAATTTTCGAGGAGCCGTGTACTCGGTCATGTTATGCCCAAAGAAAATCTGCTAGTTTAATAATTTACCTTCTTCGCATTCATCGATATCCTTGCAAGATTTGCCATCGCCGCTGTATCCATCCTTACAAGTACAATTAACCCTACCTCCTTTTATGCTGCATTCAGCATTCTTATGACACGTCTCAGTTTCGCACGTTGTTCGGAGAAGCTAAACCAGGCTATAGAAAATAAATTCAATTATATCTATCATGTTAAATGATTCAAATATTATCCGGTATCATATAGAATCTGTCCGTTCAAGCCTTGTCCTTTGATCCAGCCTGTCGTTTGTAGATCATCCTCGATCGGCAGGCTTCTCCTTCTCCATCGATTCGTTTCTTTGACTGACACTTTTTCTTCCACCAAGCAAATTTGAAACAACGTTCCATGTCTGTTGGGTCGCTGCAATCTGCCCAATCTGGCACAAAAGCCTTTGCATCCATTTCAGCCAGCAAATGTATATCCGCATTGCCCTTATCAATAATTAGAAACAAAATCAGACAGTGTTAAATACCTGATGGATAGAAAGTCGCTGGAGGCATAAGTTCTGCCAATTTTCTTGTAACACTTTTATCTTCGTAATATGTCTGATATTCATATTTTCGTAATAATTAAACGTCGTGGGGAATTCCAACGAAGGCACTTGGTAGTTTATTGCTTGTTGCCACTCGTTGCCACTGTCTTCCATCCAAATATTGATGAGCATTGACTCAGAGGGCTTATTTGATGCCTGCTTCAGGGCCTTTTGAAGAGCTTTCTTATTTTCATCCTGGCAGAGTTGGACTTGAAGAGTAAATTGCGCTGAGCAGTCCTGTCCGTCTCCCCTACAATATGTTTAACACTTTTCAATAGGTACAGTTCCGAGATGTCAAATACGATGATCTGAATCGACTTTCTTGGGACAAAGAAAACTCGATTGAACCTCAAACTACTTTTGACAAGAATCGGCAGTTGCCAATGAAAATCTTACCTGAATCCGGGTCGACAAACACACTGATGTTCTCCAACTGTAGTGGTTAGACATTCTGCGTTTTTATGACATTCTTGCTTGCATAGGGAAGTTCCGGAATCGGCGTTTCCGTAAGCAATTAAACTTGAAAATATGATTGTTTCTTTGAGCTTCTTGAACATTATTTTCTTTTTCACTACTGCGTTTTGCTAATACTGGATCAAAATTTTATTAAGTTTAATTATAAGCAATTATTTAACTCGTGCCGGTATTTAATCTAGCAAAATATACGCGAGATTCTCAGAAGAACAAATTGTGGCAGGCACAAATGCTTCAAATTAAAATTTCAACGATATCTATTCAACGGGATTATCTGATGATCCAATCTTGTAACTTCCATTCAACTCTCTGCGCTCGTTTTCTGTCACGTGATGCGTACTCTTCTTGAGTCTCTCTATCAAATTCAGACGGGAAAGATTATAAAAACTTGAAAAAGTGATAAGTAACTACTGATAAGACAGCCGGACACGTGGGGCATCTTCCCGATCTGTCGGACATGACAGCTCCACCATGTGGAGACCGCGGCGGAAAATTGCATCATGATCGCGAGGAGACCACCAAGCGAGGATCAAAATCATTGAATTTCTGACTTTCAAAAGAATGCAAAGTTCAAGCCCAATACAGCTGAGATATCCGTATCATGGGTACGATTTTTCATGCTGATAAAAGTCTGAGCAGAACTATCAAAATGAAGTCCACACCCTTGAAAAGGCTGAACTCTGTCATTCATATAAACTTAGTGAAACGGATAAATCGAGGAATCTTTAACATTATGTTAGCTTTTTAAGACTTTTTATTGCTTTGATCAATTGAAAGATTTTCAAAATATAACATGATACTAAGTTTAGATTTATGATCTCTGGAATATATTATAATGAAATGATTCTGATGTATGATTTGTGGCTAGTGGTCTCGAGAATAATCTTTGAAGATTTAATTCTCTTAAATTTCAAACTCAGCGATTCTTGGGACGCCGTTATCTGGCCTGCAATTTCCATAAGCGACCGCCTGCTTTGAATAAAAATTATCAAATTAGTCTCAGCGTAGAAATCATTCAAACAAGCACTTCGGATTGAAATTACTCTTATTTCAATAATTTATTATCTGCAATTTTCTGATGCAGATTTCATTATAGAACTGCTTTTTCGACGGCTCTTGATAAGATGCCAATCAAGGAAATTTAGGTTTATTATTAGGGAGCGCTTCAGTAGTCGTTTTGTTGGCAGAATTGGACCATATGATTTTTGGCAGTGGAGAAGTTATCGTAATTGGTGAGGCGAGTTTTGATCCAGTCAGGAAGATGGTCTTTTACTCGGGACTCGTTGTACCGACCATCGCAGAAGATGATCAAGGAGGAATCGTCTCGATGTCGAATTGCTCGGCCGACGCACTAAGAATTTGATACTTTTCCAAAATTAACTTTCTTTCCAATATAATTAGTGTCTGAGTTCATCGTCAGATTGACGCTGGTTACCGCCCCGTTACAGCAGCATTTGGCGATTAGCGGTCAATTTGGCCGCGCGTAATGATTGAATTTCCTTTACCAAATAATATATCAATTCGCTCAAGCCAAATTACCCTTGCTTACTAGGAATTGTCATTGAGAGGAAATACCTGATTAACAGCGCGCATGCATAAGCCTGTGTATAACATCTGTCCGCCGCCAGGTCGTTTAGCATTTAATGTGTCCATCCTTAGCTTGATTTCGGCCGATTTTATATCTATCGAAATAGAGTTAATCATTTGTTGCCGACAAAAAACGCTTATAAACCTGGATAAGGGACACCAACCATGACAACAGCGCGACAAAGACCATCTGAGAAGTTGATCCCTTCTGATACTTTTCCTCCAACAACAGCGAACAGTATTGCCCCTCGGACACGTACAGACATTTCGTATTTCTCCAGTAAGGGTGCTACGCCTGATGTTTCTTTTGGCTCACGGAAAAGGGTTTTCACGCTTTCTTAGAAAGGTTCAAGTTCATTGACTATAAATTAATCCTGTTGATTCTACTAGTCAGCAGATTATTTTAAAAATAAATGTTTCGCTTTCCTCTAATGACCTTCTTTATTAATAGAAATTGTTAAAAGTTAACGAACCATGCCTATTTGCTTGAGAAAAGACGACTTCTTGAACATCTCGTAGAACATGGCTTCCTGCTTATAGCTGGCGAAGAAAACCACCACACCAGACGGAACAGTTTTAACAATGTCAACTTGATTTGGGGGCATGGTTTCTCCCTTTCCACCTTGCGAATGACTAATTAATTTTCGTTAGCAATTTATGCTTCCTAATCAACTGACAATGGCCCATGAAATTGAAATATCTTCCTTATACTTCTTTGCTTTTCTTGTGAGAAAAAGGAAGTACTGCTCAAAAGACTGTATTTTTAAATATTCATCACATTCAAGAACAGAAGTTACGCGAAGAATAATCCACGTGTTATAATCATGTCAGTCCTTGATTAAACCTAAAGAAGAAATCGCCCTGGTCTAAGAAACAGGAAACTGTGAAATTTAAATTCATCTCCCCATTCCCTAGCGCTTTTCCTAGATCTTGTTTCATGGCGAAGTTATCCTTGTTGCTGTGGTTGAAGATGAACCGCTCATTTGTAGGGCCCCGCTGGAGGACTAATGCGTTCATTTGAGAGTCTGAAATCACGTGCTCGCAGTTAAACCAGCTCTGTTTGTCGGAAGGCACTTCGGCAAAGAGCTGATCCTTCAGTGTCTGGTACGGTTTCATCGTACCTCCAGCTTTTTAAGTGGTATGAAAGATTAAAAATCTTTGCTTATTTTAAGTTTGAACCACTTTCCTAAAAGAACAGCTCGGGCATCTTTGCTGATCTCGGAGAAAATACTCGCTGGGTTGAGAAGAAAAACCTTCATTTCCGCCTTGCCATCATTAGCATTTTTAATGATGCGTAAATCCGCTCCTGGGGTGATTAGAACTGCAAGGAAGATTTCAACTTGAACAAGTGCTCCAAGCTGAAAATTGGGGATTTTCTTCTTCGCCTCAACTTCGGGCTCGGGTTGCGGCTCGACTTTCGATTTGCCTTTGTTTTCCGCCTTCTTGAGCATTTCTTTCAAGAAGATCAGAATATGTGATCGCCTATTGATGTTGAATGTTGAACTAAGTTCAGTAATAAATTTATAAAACTTCCGACCTAGCTTTGAGAGCATTTTCCTTTGGCTTGACAACAACTTTAGGAGTGTTCGCGACTTTGTCCGCAAAGCCCTTCACCTTGTGGGCGATTAAACTTTTACTCATGTATTTCAGAAGGTCGAATAAATTAATGTTGTCCAACTTGGCATCGAACAGTATTTCCCTGACAGTAACTATTTTCTGGTCTTCAGTGTTGTTGATTCTTTTGAGATCTTTTCCAAGGCCAATAAGGACTGCTAGCAGCTGTTTGACATACATCAGATTTTCAGGGTTTAGTCGAGCGCTGAATTTCGTCCTATAGGCGCTATAAATAGGCGATCAGATAAGCAAAATCGGATTGAATAATAATCAGAGCATAAGATTTATGCCATAAATTCAAAACGGATATAATCTAGGGTTCATTGAAACTCAGGATAAATTTTGAGAAAATGAAGCACTAGGATCTCATCGAAACTTTTTTAATAGCAAACGCAATTCAATAAATACAAACCTAAGTTGCTTGTACGCTTCTGTCAATGCATTGAGAGTAACACCAACAGAGTAGCAAGATTCAATCGCTCCGGCAAGATTATGAGCCTCGTCGATGATAACAACCGAGTTCTTCAAATTGATCCCACAGCTTTCACGAGCAGACGGGACAACAAGCAAGTTATATGGCAGCACGCATACATCCACTGTAGGTAGAGCTTCCCTCGCGCCATAAAATGGGCAGCATTTATTTTCGTTTCCAAATTTTACTGTGTCTTCTATGTCCATTAACGTGTTGTTCATTCGATGGCTGAGAAGGCTCAGGCCCTTTTTTGTTTTGAACTCGCAGCCTTGATTCTTGTTCAGCTGCTTGCAAGATTCATTCATTTGAGAGACGGTGGAGAGTTTCTTGACTTTTGGGTTGACACAAAGAGTTGCTCGAGAGGCGATGGGAGCTACAGTAACAGATTCTTTGAATGGTGATTTCCTTATTTCTTTGACAAACTACAAAAGTCAAAGAAGATTTGTTCTCGATGGACGAAAACCTGTGAAAGTTGCGAATGGGTTCTTGAAGCATAGTAAATTTTCTCGATAAACTTCTGTCCCTCTCCGTCATCGTCGTCGTAATCTGAGTCAAGGTCTGCGAGTAAAAACTCTGCCTCTGCTTCATTTTCCTTTGCATCAGGATTCTGAGACAACTTCATCAATTTTCGAATTTCCGCATTGACATCGTCGGTATCATCTCGTTTCCGCTTTTTTCGGAATTTCTTGACTTTCTCAACTTCTGTCATAGGATAAGATAAAGCTTTCTAAAACCGTTACTACAGTGATTTATTATCTACAGCACATAATATGGTCTAAAAACAGCCCTAGCCTATCAAATAGTATTATGAATTGGTGAGCCACAAGCGCGGCGAAAACTAACATAACGCGAGCTTATATTTTTTAGAAGGTCTTAACCTAGTGTATCCAATAAATTTTCCACCAGCGGACCGCGAGGCCTGAACTTACTGCGAACTCTTACGGAAGGCAGAGCGCCAAATTGCTTTTTAATTAGCCGATCCTTGTGTCTTTTTTTCAGCAGATTTCTTTTGCTTCCATTCTGTTATCTTAGCTTTGTGTTCCAAAAAAGAACAAACACTGCTGATAAGAGTTCAATTAAACTATCCTACATTGATTATCATTATTGGAACACAAAGCCAGTCAAGCTCCCCGTCATCCTCCTTGTCTTCTTTTGGTTGTTGCTGAACAAGTTGGGCACGATTGCGGTGATCCTTTAGCCACTTTATAGCGCTGCATATAATTGACAAACCTAAAAATGAATTTGAATCTGACACCCGCAGTAACAGTCTGTGAAATCGAAACACGTTATTTTGGGGATTCTTTTATAGAGTCATTTCTAAAGACGGGGACATTTCGAAAACGAGTATCAACGTGGGCCAATATTAAAGACAAGTTGTCTTAGACAACTGTGGAATTTGTCCTAGAGGATGCAAAATTTGATGCAGTAGAAATTTCTGCGTATCCTGAGTCAGTTTACGCAATTGTGACTCCCACTCCCGCCCCCGTCGGCCAATAACGCCCCCTTTTCTTTTTCCCGGCTCAAATTGGCCCTTCAAAATTTCAAAATAATGGAAGAGAACAAAGAGAAAACAAAAAGCCTTGAAAAACCGGCAAAACTCAAGCCAGGACGAGTACCCGACGCCGTCAAGTCCCAAATAGTGTCATGGTCGTCTTTGATGACCAACAAGAAGTTTTCTATTCACCAAAAGAAGGAAATCGTTCAGTTACATTTGGAGAACCCTGAACTTGGATACAAAAAGCTGGTTAAAATAATCCCTGAGAAACTTGGCTACACAATTTCTCGATCCTCGCTCCGCCTTATTCTCAAGAACAAGCAACTGCTGTTGGAAACAGTAACATCAGAAAGGTCAACGAGAAGCAATTTCATCAGCCCAATTATGAATTTGTTCCGAAAGACCGTCGTGGCGAAGATAAATGCCTTAGATACAATTGCGACAAATTCTGAAATAAAGAGCATCTGCCTTGAAACCGCGAAAGAAGAGGAGTTCAAAGATGATGCTAAATTACGGAAAATGACATTTTGCGATGACTGGGTTGGCAGTTTGAAGAAGGACTTCAATCTCAAATCAGCAACTGGACAGTTTGGAAAACTACGTAAATAGTCCTGTATTTAGAAGAATAAATTATTTTATTGATAGTATCAAAAAAGTTTGTTGATTGAATGGCAAGTGCAGGGGTCGCCTCAAAATTAGCCACTGGTGTGAGTTGAGCTGAGTGATTTGCGGCTTGCTCGGTAACAATTTCGCCATTTTTGGCTTTTGGAAATTTGCGGCTAAGGAAATTATGACAGAGTGGAGTGATAGTCTCCTATTGAAGTGCGATATTGTTTATGCCACAGCAACCACACAGACGTTTCGGCCCGCCGTCGCCCGTGAAATTTAATTTTAACCAGTTTAATATTCGACCAAAATATGCAAGCCTATTTTGCATCACAATGACATTCATTACGACCCCCATTTGTCTTGTTTTGCTGCTTCTAGTGGAGGCCGAAAATCGAAGAGATGAAAAATTCAATTTGTCAGTAGCTGTCCGCCGATAAATTTCCACAAAAGAAACGGGCGGTTAATTTTCAGCGTTGTTCGCAAATCGCGCCAGTCAAGCGGTAGAAAATTCATTTCCGGTGGAAAATTCGATCATTATTAAAAGAAACACCACTTAACGTGATTACTGGCCGGGAAAGCATACAGCTTTATTGTATAATTAGAAGTTGCCTGAGCTGCGAAAACTAACTGTAATTACTGACTACTTACTTTTGCCAGTTCCAGTCGGGCTCTCAAAAATACCAATTTTTCGATCTTCAATAGCCGTGTAAATTGCCTTCATCAAGTCTTCTTGAATTTTATACGGCTTTTCCACGAGATTCAAATCAGTCAATCAAATTATAACAATTTGTAAAACATGAGTTGAGAACATCATAATTTAGCGCAAATTCAAATTGTGATAACCTCGATTCCTGAAAAGGAAACTCAAACTCATCAGGACACTTGAGCCGGGCTTCCGACATCGTCTGAACTAATGAGCAGAGTCAGCTTCCGCAATAAATTATCGATGAACGATTATCAAGGTCAACTCAATTTGAGGCCACATTAGTGACGTTTTGACCAATTTCCATCATTTGTGCATACCGGTGAAAGCAGACTCAAATCCGGGGTTACGCCGCCACTAAGGCCCTCCAAGCTTGTGATTGGTCGATGGAAAAAAGATGTCACAGGGGGTAGAGACATGTTTTAAATCCCGGGTAAAGGCTTGCTTTCACCGGTATATTCACCGTAATCTAGTCTTTTAGAATTGTCTCTTGATGATCGAACTTTTGATTATGTCAGATTTTTTTATTGAAAAAATACAGTTGAAGAAGAAGCGGTTATTTTTTAATAAATACTTTCTGCCAGTCAAAAAAACAGTTTCGACTAGCGATAAAGATCCGAGAACGGTCTCTTTTCAACGAGCTGATTCCACTCAAGTTCGTCCTTTGTCGAATAGACGCTTTTGATGATTTCTGTCGATACAGTTCTCTCGAGATCATGAATAGCAAGGTCCAATGTCTTCGCTCTGTATAGACCAGGTTTGGTTGGGTGAAGCAGCTTCAGTTTCTTGAGATTTTCGATGGCGGTAAATTCGTCGAAATCATGCGTTTTCAGCTTGGAAAATTCTTTGACCCAACGTTCAATTTTCTCGTCGATCTTCTCTAACATGAATTCACGAAAATGGCTATCAAAAATATTCTTACCGATGGAATAGCCGTCAAAATCAGGTCTTCCTCTTGCCACAGTGTCTTCGTGGATCAATGCACAATAAAGAAGAATTGAGCTCATGAATCTTTCGTTCTCCGCTTGATCGATGATTTCATGAACAACACCGATGTTGTTTGAAAGGTTGTTGTTGTACAAAAGATGAGCGATGGTCGCATCGTATCGTTTTCGACGATAATCGTAATTGTACCAGAATCGATAAAGAACAATTGTTATCGGCACAAGATATTCTTTCACCAGCGCTGTCTACAACTGGATCTTTACAAGGCATTTTTGATATTAAACTACCTCGGTCAGATACTGCCAAAGAATCGTACTAAAAGAACCAGCTACCGTCGAGTACATTATCAACGAGTTCAGCGAGCCCATACGCTTGACATTATCAGGGAAGAGCACTTGTAACGAGCCACGAGGGACGAATTTAAAGCTTTTCAGCACTAGTTTCTTGGATTTTTTGGGCCTCAAAATGATGACGACTTTTTTGAAGAAGAAATCCTCATGAATTGGGGTGGATTTGAAGAAATGTGCAACGAGAGCTTGGATGCGACGAGTGATTTGGATTCGCAAATTATCCATTGAATCGTAGTATCTTCACTTTCGTTAGTATTGAAATGAGCAAAAGAAGACTCACTGGGATTCAATAAACTTCCAAATAGAATCATGAGGCTCTCTCGTCGCGAATCGAGCTCTATCTCCAAAGAGTTCTCCCTTGTACCACATTTCCACAAGTTCATAATCGGCCAGCTTAATTTTCACTTGAAGCCCTCGTTCGGGTACTTCAACGTATTCTGCCATCGAGTCCACGATTTCTTGGGGAACTCGATTATATTTTGCTTTTCGGAGAGTTGGTCTAAGATGGCCCAGAAAGGTGGATTTGTACTGTTCGATTGAAATATTCTGACGGGTTTGGACAGTATCTTTGTCTGGATTTAGCGGATCGTAGAGATCTTTCAACACGAGAGTATATGCTCTTGATTTGCCGATAATCGTAGCATCGATGAGGCTAAAAAGCTCTTTTGCGCGGTTGAAATCAAGGAAGAGAGCAAAAATTAAGAGCTCCGGATTAAGAGTCCAATGATCAACCGTTTTCTAAGATTTTTGGCTGGTCGAATTCGGGAAATTTCGTAATGAGGCTCCTGACCAGCGAACGTCTTAGAGGAATTGAACAAATTCGCTCTTTTAATTTCAATTTCCCCTAATAATTGCTGTTGTTTAACTATGAGTGCGGAGTTAATGAGGCTCCTGAAAAACTTGTTCAATTTCATAGCCTGATAGCCTAGAAATCGGGACATGCTCCCTGCACACAAAATGCCCGCGTTCGAGGCGATGCACATTGTAGACGTGGTTCCTTACTCTCTGCTTTAATGCACTCCACCATTTTGACATTCTAGCAAGAAAAATGTCAGTAGGTCTTATGCCTGTATATGCATTTAGAAGTCAACGATGATGAAATTTTAGAAGAAATTTCACTATTTTGTTTCCGGTATAAATACTCGTATTTATTATAAATTATGGGTTAAGTTTTTTTTCTATTGAATGAAGACAGAAGGTTTGGAAGAAATAAAAATTATAAATATCACCAGAATTATTTGTTCAGAAAGCGATCGGAAAAAATAAATATATTGCAGCTAGCGAAGGGGTTCGGGATTTGTAGTAAATTCTGAAGAGCGTAGTAGGAATCTGACAGGACATTTCTGTCGGACGATTAGCTTGATCTGATCTCTTCAGTGATGACTTTGTGGATCGCGATCAGCGCTGTTTTCGGAAGAAGGGTAAGGTCGAATTGGAGATCAGCTTCGTTTTCACAGTATCTAAAAAAGGCTGTCACCAAATGCGACTTATAACGATTATTTTACCTGTCGGAAGACTTGTAGTGCGACTCGTAATGGGCGAAAACAATGTTCATAATTTTTCTCAGCTTTTCGTCATAGACTTCTGTCTCGTCCTCAGCGAATTTGATGAATTTCTATAAAATGATAGTTTATAATAGCTAAAAAGGGAGTCTACCTTTTGGATGAAATCCATGTCGACATCATCAGACTCGTCAGATGAGCTTGATTCGATCAGGGAGTCGCTGTCTGACGAGTTGGAGTCTGACAATTCACCGTCATCGGAAGGAAGATTCTCTATAAAGAAAATTAAGCATGAGAAAAATTGGAAATATGAATACCTAAGGTACTCGCGCCCAAAGGAACCTTGGGAAGTTCTTGCTGTTCTGTGTGACTGAGAACACTTGCTGGGGAGCGATGCTTGGGCGCGTCAGTAGCAGGAGAACGACCGTAGGAGTGGGCAGATGAAATTGGCGTCTGGGGCATTGAATTGGCAGGAGAAGATGCAATCGAAGTTTTGTCACTAGAAGATGTGTATAAGCAATCTGCTTCGGAAATGCGAGTAGATTCCATTTTTTGATAATTTGATTTTTTGGCTTTTTGAGTTTTAGGGGATGTTTTGAGAAAAAGGAGATGAGGGAGGGTTTATATATCCGAGCAGCTGGAGCATTCATGACCCGCTGCGGATTGCGAGATTGCTATCGAAACATAGCGTGTGATCTCAGGCAGCTTTCCGGGCGATTATGGAACTTCTCAAAAGACTAATCTATATTTATAGATTGCCATCGCTTCCTGCTGCGCCCCATTTCACTTATTTTTCTAATAATTCCTACCTTAGCTCGGAAATATCTTTATTCGCTATTCTTGACGTGTGCTTGAAATCCGACTTTGGCTCTTCTTTGACTTTTACTTCTTTCTTTACTCGTTCCGTTTTCCGGCTTGAGATATCCGCTCGATATTCTGACGCTCTGTATTCAGAGCTATTTCTGGGCTCACGTTTGATTGAAATCTTCGGGATTGGTGGGTACTCTGGAGATATTTTTTCCTCTTTTATCTTTTGCTCCTTTATAAACTGCTTTGAAAGCGGACTGAGCTTTTCTGAACTTCGCCCACTTTCTCGTTCCTTGCGACGCTTTTTATCTTTTCTCCTCCTAAACCGATATAATATTAATTGATTTATAACATCAGCTGATATGACGCGTGGATAAACTACATCAAATTTATACGATTGCGAGATTCGAACCTTTCTGACTCGTCCAGTTTCTCATGTAAGCTTGTATCATGTTTTTCTTTCTTCTTCTTTGTCGGTGGCTCCTGAAGTCGATATTTAAAAATAAGTCTTTCTCTTGTTGGGTCGCTCATAATTGGTAACAATTTTGGATGAAGAAGGCGTTTTCGAACTTTACATAAGTCAATGAAGATGAATCTATGCGATCTAAGAAGACGATACATCCGTATCAAACGGTGCTTCATTTTATGGAAGAGACTATCGATCGATAAAAAATACCAGCTTGAATAAAATGTACCTCAGACGGTTGTTCCTCTGTAGATTTTCTCTTCTTTTCGATCGATGGACGATCCTTGTCTCGTATTCTTGATCAGGGAAATAAAATTTGACTCGCACCAGAATAATCTCTTTTTAGCGAAATTTAATTGTTTCCCTTCCTATGAGATTCCTTTCCATCCGATGTTGCGATCGTCTCTCTTTTCTTCTTCTTTTCTTTTTTCTTTTCCTCCAAATTAAGCCCTTCGGAGCGTCTCAGCTTCTCCCTTTCTTTTCTCCTCTCTTCTTTTTCTTTCAGCCGCAATTTTTCGCGATCAAGGTTGACACTGCTGCTATCGCTTTCGATATTAGAAAGTCGTTCTTTGTCCTTGTCCTTTCTCTTCTTTTCTTTTCGATCAGAAGAGGATTTTTCGGACAAACGATCGCGAATTTTCTCCTCTCGGCTCTGGAATTCCTGTCAACTGAAGAAAAGAAAACTTTGTCTCACCGATTTTGAAGAGTGCGTTTTCTCCGATCTAGCGGCTTTTTCTTCGAGACGATCTTTGTCTCTTGATCTTTTCTTTTCATCCTTTTCTCTTCTCTCTTTCTTCATGGATTTTCTCTCGCTTTTATCCGATTTGGAAGGCTTGGTTTTCGATCCCAAAGTAGGAGGGCTCTTTGGCGGGGCTTTTCTTCTTGAATAGCAACCTCCTGCTATTAAAATCTTGCGAAACTTGACGTCTGGATTTTGAAAGGATATCTGCTCTGTTCTGAAGCTCAGGCTAAACAATGTTTCTAGTGCCAATAATGGATTAGTAGGGGGCAAGCGTGAGCGCAGGTCACTAACTGACCCTGGCGATCGCTATCAAAAAACCTGGCGAGAAAAATTCTAGCTACAGATTTTGATCTATTGGCTAAATCTGAGAATCAGAAACCGTAGCTATCGAATTTGATATCTTTGCCGTGACAATAATATTTACGCTATAGAAGTAAATATAAAGTTTTCTTTTTTAAACTTTAATAATAGAACAAAGGATTTGCTACGTAAATCGATCATGATAAAGTGATTGCAAGCACGTGATTTTTTCAAAAAATAGCAAATAGACTCTTTCAATTATAGAATGTTGCTTTGCCAGTCCTTTTAGCAGCACAATCGCGTCCAGTTAACAACTGAAGCTCGTATTTCAACTCAGTAGTCAGTCCGTTGCGAAAGACTATCTCGATTGGGACCAAGAAGCCGGCATAGCCATTCTCGGTGATTTGAAACGGAACGCTCTCTAACAAGCGATGGGGATTAGGAAAGGTCTCGTGGAGTTTGAATGTGACGCTCTTGATGTACTTTTCGATCTTGCCGCCTTCTTTGCCTCGGAGATAGATGGTCCATCGGTGGGTCAGGCCAGGGTCAATAGGCTGCTCAAGCCATTGTGCTGGAAGAAAAATTAGTGACTGATTCTTATAGATTCAAATACCATCGTGTCCGATATCGATTTCGGCGACAACTTCATTATCACTGTCCGACATCTTGTCTTAGATTTTCAGTTTGAAGAGGAATTTAGTGTTCTTGCGATTTACTGTATTTTTGGCATCATAATGAACTCGATAACAGGGGACTGCAGAAGGAAAAAGGGGCAAAATATATTCGGAATTGCGGATACGGGATTTTTGAAAATATGAATTACAGAAAAAGATGAAGAGAAGCGTATTTAATAAGGTTGAAAAACAGATATACACATAGAAGCAACTAGAGCTTGAAACTAAGAAAATAACCTTGTTATAAATTCTTTATTTTGGTTATTTTAGAACTAGAAAGACTGAACTTTTCACCAGGAAAGAAAGCTAAAAGCAAAGGCCAATAATTTATTCGGATTTATACAGAAAATGAGGTAAAATTTCAATTTCGTGTGGCTTTGAGTAAACATTAAAAACGTACAAATTCGAATAAAACGAAACAATTTAGCGGGCTTCATTTTTAAGTATTTTTTGTTGCGAGTTGTACAAATATATTTAGCAAATATATTATAAATAAAATGTAACAAAATATGTATCTAGCTACATAAACTAATTAAATTAGTTTGGTTTATATCTTAATCTTTTCAAGAAAAGACATATCAATATCAAGGGCATTTTTCGGGTACTCAAGGCACATAAGAATATCTCGAAGGTCGCCCCATCCTCCATTTCTGGTGATGGAACTTGATTTTTTCTTCGCCAGACTGGCTACAGTGAGACTTTGGGGAAACATTTTCCCAGAATTCATCAGGACGGCTTGGTCTTTTTCGAACATGGATTTGATGTTTTCGAAGTTGCAGCCACCTTTGGCAATTTTGATTTAGATAATTAACAAGGGCTCCTCTACCTTTTGTAAAGTGAACTCCACAGCCAGTAATTCCCAGATGCTGTGACCTAGGCAAAATAGGAACCATGACTTTCCAAGGCTGTTTTCCTGGTTGTTGTGTTAGAATCTCTCTTGACAGGTGAAGAAGCGTCCAGTCCCAGTTATAGTCATCATAGGCACTTTCAAAAATATTAACTCTGTATCTGTAGACAAATCTCACCAGAAGTCGTAGGCCATGGCGATGACATCATCAACCCATCGTTTTGAAACTGCCATCGCCATGTTGTAAGCGCCAGAGAACCACTCTTCCACTTTAACTTGCTCTGGAGGTGTTTTTGATAGCTAACGCAATGAAATATGTATATGATGAATTTGATAGGTAGTTACCTTCGTCCCAAGTTTTAAATTGTTCGTGTAGTGTCCAAGGGCGATCAAGTCAGCTCCTACAAATCAGATAAACGTCGGCATAATTTAAAACAGTGAATTACCCTTCTCAACTCTGATGTCTTTCATGAGATCGAGAACGTGAAGAGCATCTTCAGATAACGCATGATCTTCTTCGACAAGGATCAAATAACCAAATTTAAAGTATTGGTTCACGAAATTCAATTTCCACCACCAATGATGTTTGATATTAACAATATGAGGCTCTCTATATTCTATTTGGTTTTAGCGTCGTAAAAATACTACTACCTGTAGTTATCGAAAGTGTCAAACCACTCTCGATTTTGGCATTTTGCCTCTTGCGCTCCATCGTAGCCGATTTTTACTGGACAATCCTCAGGTGAAGAGGCAGGGAATTCATTTTTGTAGAAGAGAACGGATTTAGGAAAGAAGATGTTTACAAATGGAATGTCCAGTCCAGAGTCAGCGATGTTTTGGGTCAGGAAGTTCATGTCCTCGCGCCAGATATCATGGGAAATCACTGAAAGGGGCTTAAAAATTGAAGATATTCGGGGCTTTACCGATGAGATTCTTGGATTTTGAAAGATTCGGCTGCTTCGAAACAGTTTCCAAAAAGAATTTAGTGAAATCAGTACGAGAATGCACTTGAATCAGGAATATGTTATCATAGTATTCCCCAGCGTCCTAAAACTGATTAGCAAAAGACATCAAGAAGTCAACTTGCCTTTGAGTACGGCCCATGAGCTGCCTGATCGTTTATCAGTTGGATTTGTTCTCTTACTTTTGTTAAATCATCATCAGTCAGGGGGTTCTGCGTCGTCGTCGTTGGAGGCCCAGGAGTTGGAGTGGGTCGGTCGGTGATCGTCCATTCACGCTTTTGGGGATCGAATTTCGCCCCAGCTGCTGGTGGCTTAAATTTTCTGTTGAAGAAGGAGCCTTTTATTTAAAAGTACCTTCGCCGGTTTGTAGCTTTCATCTACTTTTCTATTTTCGAGCAAGACCTTGTATCTCTGATCAGCAGCGACCCTGGCTTTGTTTTTCATACCCTGGAAATTCTTTTCCTCAATCTTTTCTCGCTCGGCGTACATGAAACGTCTCTTGTCATTGAATAGCTTCATGAACTTGGCGTCATCCTCGATCGACGATGTGACAGGCCGGAATGGGTTCATGGAAGGCTTCGGGACAAGTTTCTCCGCTTCTTCGCGCATTTTGAGCTGTTCAGGTGATGGTGTTGTTTTCTGGGGAGGTCCTCTTTGAGCGACAGCGGGAACGGCGGGCACAGCAGGGACTTGGGCAACGGCAGCTCCTATAGGAGGAAATCCTATACAAGATTTTCAGGGTTTTTCAACAAATGATGGTTTACTAATAGGCTATTAGTAGTAGGGTATTAGCGAAATTTACCGGCTTTATCAACAGGTGAATTGATAGTAGGTGCTTTCGTGCTTTTCGTGGTAGTAGTAGTGGTAGTTGTCGTCGATGTTTTTGACCACAAAAGTTTACTCGTTCTCACTTTTGATTTAATCGCTTCTGCTCTATGTGGGTCAATCTTGTGCTGTTCTTGAGCGTTACTTATCAGTTTTAGCATAGCATCAAAGTGGTGCGTTTTGAGTGCCTCTGAATTTCAGCATTTGAAACGATTCGGATTCAGATAAAGCTTCGTTAGTGCAAGTAAAGTGTTAATACAACAGCTTGTCTTACCGAGTTCGATGACCTGGTCTAACATTTCATTGATCCTGAAGCTGAGATCGTGCTCCTTTTCAATTCGATCGTCGAAGTCAGAAGTTTCCTCGCTTCTGTGGCCGAGACGCACGAGAGTATCATCATACGACGATGAAGACCTCTTGGTCAGCCCAAGCTCGTCATTTGCGTGGAACAAGTGTACAGCGCCAAGAATGGCGACTGCGCCGACCACGAGGTAGACGGCAGACATCAAATGACACCTCATAACATTCTAAAGACGCGAGCGTTAGAAAACAACCGTCGTTGTAAATATATATTTTAAATAAATACGATGAAGTTGAGGTAGTTTTTTAGGAAGTCGTCATTTTAAAATTCTATAATTCTTCAAAAATCCTATTCTTCAATTCTCAGCGCTTTGCTTTCATCCAATTCTTCATTCTTCAAAACATGAAAGAAGAGAGAATCAACAGTAACGGATATCAATAATACAGAAATAAATCCAACAAAGCTCAAGAACAGGAAAGGTATCCCCGTCTTCACTCCAAAAACAGGCAAGTATCCGAGAGTAGCAGTGAGCAAAAGACTGAATATTGTGCCGATCTGAGCAGAAACCTTCCGGTGTTTGCTGAAGAAAGCGACGGTATAAAGGCCGAGAATGGGGCCGCCACAAACGCCAAAATTGGTCATTGCTAGTTTGATGACAGAATCCCCGCTGTGTGCGATTCCCAATGCTCATAAAATTTTAGAAAATTGGAAAAAATGTAAGGCTTACCTATCAGATAACAGACGAGGCCAGTTATCACTGATATCCCCCTTCCTCCAATTTCAAAATCCAGTGCGATTTTTCGCGACTTTCTCTCTAACAGATCTACATGGATGGTCGATGAAATAACAGCGATTATCGAAGAAGCAGTCGACAAAGCAGCAGAAATCATACAGCCGACAAAAAGGCCCCGGAAGAGTCCATTCCCGTAGTTTTCGAAAATGTAAAAAATCATCAACTGGTCCCGTCGCGTGATAGCTGCTGGCAGACCGGAAAAATTAGGGTATTTTATCTCAATCAATGCTCCGAAGCCGACACCAATTAGCAGAACAAGAAGCAAGGCCAACATCGTAAATATGATTGATTTCTTTGCAGAGGGTCTCTAACTAGCAGAAAATTATCTAATAGAATTGTAGAATTGTCTATTTTTCGAAATGAGAATCACCTCTAGTAGAGGGTCATCTGATATCCACTGCGAATTAATTTAAACTCATAGAATATTCAATGACTGCGCCATTCGGTCAATTTGCATCAACAAAATGTTTCTTTATTGGCGAAAAACAACGGTTACAGACCCATTCCTTGGCATCAGAAACAGAAGAAGCACTCAAATATCTTTGGATGGAAGCTTGATTGACGCCGTACAGATACAAGCACATAAAGAAACCGCCAATTCCAGAATCCCAAATAGAATAAAGCTTGAATTTGTGGACATCGTATTCGTACTCCGGAAATTTAAAAACAGTTCCATTTGAAAACGCTTCTTGAAATCCAGAAAGAAGAATCCACGACTGTCCAAAAATCATCACAAAGCCAAAGAAAAGATCACTAAGGAGCACCGCTTTCATCCCCCCAAGAGCAGTGGTGACGATGCATACGAGAAATAAAACGGAAAGGATTGTCTTCAGACCGGCAGAGGGGAAAATGACAGCGAGGGCCTGGGCAGGAGTAAAAAGCGTGACGCCAAGGTAAATGGTGCATTGAAAAAGATAAATACTGATGGCGAGTTTTGATGTAGATTTGTTGAAACGCTTCGTTAAAACCTTTTCCCAGGTTTTCAGGGATGTAAGAAAATTACTTTTTGATAAAGAAGAATCTCTTTTGAAAACCATGCCTCAAATGAAGATTCAAAATTATGTCCGCAAAAACGCGGGATAAAATATTTACAAACAACGAGCGCAACGGGTAAATATGTCAGCCCAATAATGCAATAACGGGGACCAAATTTCCAGTATTCGGATGGGACGCCCATCATCGCGATAGAACTACTGAAGGTAACGACGATTGAAACAGTGATTGTCAATAAAGACGCTTTCGCTTTTCCTGCATTTTCGCCGCTGGCTCTGTTTGCGATGCCGATGATCACGGTTATCGCTAGAATCGTACATATGATGACGATTTCGACTGCTGCCAGTTCTGACATTATCTAAACCAGAAATTCACTTCTCTCTTTTATACTGAAGACTGAATAAATTGAAGAATGAATAAAGGAAAAAAACGGCGAAGAGGGAAAGAGAGAAAATTATTTGCTTGTTGAAGAGTTTAGGAATGAAAGTGCCCAGTTTGTCCAGCTTCTTTGTCTTTTGGAGAGGTCTGCTTCCGACTTCTTAGAAGACTCTGGATACAGCTCGCGACGCAGACTCTCAAGCTAATAAAAATAGTCATCTCTTGATTTCCTTTTTGATCATTTACGGCTTTTTACTACGATGCTTTTTACTCAAGCGCTCGTTGAAATAATTTAGAAATTAACATAATGGAGTACTCCTGTAATTATGGGAAAGAACAAACCTTGTGCTTTTTAATCAGAATATCGAGCTGCGCCTTTTCCATTTCCAAAAGCTGCAGCCTGATTGAAGCAGTGGTGTAAATTGTAATTACGATAGTTGAAATCAAGCCGGCAATGACTCCATATTTGAGCAAATTCTTCTGATAATGGACACTTTCTTTCATATTCTGCCACTTGACGCCGATCTGCGTAAGCGGCTCATTTTTGATCTTCTGATCGAGTTTTGCATTTGAAAACAATTCGGACGGACAAGAAGTTTTTTCATTTTTTATTTTTTTTTCTGAACGTTTATTGGTTGAAAAAAGGGCTGAAAGCAGTTTTTAGGTAAATGAATATATGTCTCGGAACTTTGAAATAACAAAAAAAAACAACAGAAGTTGACAATTTAAGGTCAGGGTAGCTTTTACTTTGTATGTTGCTTTATAAATTTTCTATGGCTTGGCAAGTTAGAGAAGCTTTTCTTCGGAAAGAAGGGCGTAGACAGAAGAAAAGTCCTTGTCGGCGAAGCGAGGATCAGAGGACATGACTCGGTAGATTTGGTGAGCAAGGGATCCAAGTGGGATTGGTGATTGGGTGTTTGTGGCAGCGTCTTGAGCGAGGCCAAGATCCTAAGAAACAGATGAGAGTCGAAAGATCATCGGAGGATCTACCTTGGCCATAAGAGTAGTACCAAAACCACCGGCGTATCCATTTGAGCTAGGGACGCCTTCAATAACGCCTGGGACGGGATTGTAAGTGTCCGACGCCCAGCATCGTCCAGAAGCGGCGTTGACGATAGATGCGAGAATCTTGGGATCAAGGCCGAGTCGCTTGCCAAGATTGTAAGTTTCGGAAACGCCGACCATCGAGATTCCAAGCATCATATTGTTGCAAATTTTTGCAGCTGAAAAGAAGCATAAAATAGTTGTCGGTTTTGTCGGTGATCGAACCCTGGCCAGTTCCAACATCTCCACACGCGACGATTTTTGCCCCCATGTGCTGCAAGATGGACTGTCCAGCTTCAAACTCGGCGGCGGGTCCTCCAACCATGAAGGTCAAAGTGCCAGCAGCAGCAGCTCCGACACCACCAGAGACAGGTGCATCCATGAAGACTAGAATAATCACAAGCGTTAAATATTTGCGGAGAGCATTTGCCTTGACAGACCTGTTTCCTTCTCAAGACACATTTTGGCGACCTGAATGGAAATGAATGCATGTTTTTTTAAACAAATAGCTGATTTAGTTGAAATGGCAAACGCTTACTGTCTGTGCGGCGGCGGGGTCAATGGTCGAACAATCGAGAAAGAGAGTGCCAGCTTTGGCTGTGGAGAGCAAGCCTTGCTCCCCACCAAAAGTGGACATAACGTGAGGAGAGTTGGGAAGCATGGTGACAATTCTGTCGCAATTTTCCGCAATTTCAGCTGGAGCCGATGCCGCTTTGGCGCCGGCCTTGACGGCTTTGTCGACTGAGTCTGCGCTAAAATGGTTGATGCGTTCATTTATTTCGTTGAAATCGAGAATCGTACTTGACATCGTAGACCCAGAGATCTCCCTTTGCCTTGTTGAGGAGATTCATGGCCATGGGACCACCCATGTTTCCGAGACCGATAAATCCCAAAGAAGACGCATTTCGGACGCAGACGAGGCGAACACCTTTTGAAAGCATTCTATAATCATTCGTCATTTATTCGTAAATTCTAGTCGGAAAAAAACCTTTTTCGTTCAACGATTCCTGCGTAAAACAAAGCTTGGTTTATATTTGGTTAATTTATTTTTGGAATGTGGGGTAAAAATGATCAGCAAAGCAAGGTTAGTTATCTTTCGGTTAGACGTAAAGGATTGGAACTTACATGGACAATTGTACAGAAGAGTGATTGTTTCTCTAACTCTACTACGGAACTTTTCAACTCTCCAACTTAGGACAAACAGACACGCCTTAATCGAGGGATTAACACTTTTCTTCAGAACAGGCGTGTTTTGTATTGAGCGAAAGAGGGCTTTAGCCTGCAGAAGAGTAACTTTTTTTACGAACGATGTAACAGGACATATAAACAGAGCGAATAGATTAACTGTTAAATTAACTGCGACGAAAAAAGGCGAGCGCGCCGACGACTCCAGCGATGACTCCAAGGGCGCTGACGATGACTCCAGGATCATTCGGGTCTGGCTGTTGATAGTTGACCACGTGATCGCGGTACTTTCTGAGTCCTTCCCAATCGCCATTACTTTCAATATAACGGCTAAAAAAATATTTTAATTGAGTTTTTGACAGTGAAAACTTACCGAAAACGCCTTTCAATAAATTTTTCCGAGACATTCTTCAGTCTCGATTTGAGTTCATTTGTCTGTTGGACGGATAAATCATCTTTACACGCTTGTAAAACGATGTATGAGCAGTTCAATGTGTTCAAAAGTGATCGCCAGGTTGGATTGTCGACGACTTTGTCGATTAAGTCCTCGAATGTAAGTTGAAACCAATCGATGTTGCTAAGATTGTTTGAGCCGCGATCTTTGAACGCTCTTTTCAGTTTTTCACTGAAGTTTTTGAAGTGCGTCGGGTTCTCGTTTCTCATGATTTCTACTAATTGAGAGGCTAAAAAGATCAGTTATGCTACTGAAAAGGTTGTTTTTTGACTTACCGATATCTGAAATTTCTTTTTCTCTGCCGGTTACTGCGTGAGTTGATGGAGACTGAAAGACCATGCGGTGGCAAATTTCGCCGAGTGTTCTTTTGAAGCCGTCGGATTGAGATCGATTTGATGAGGAGGAAGAGGAAATGGTTGAAGATGATGTTGCTGGTTGTACAGGGAGATTTGGAGGAGGGATGGTTGGATCTTGATCGTTTCCAACTGTATTTGATTGGGTGCTGTGGAGCATCGCCATATCCGGATCGATTGAATTGGCGTGGCTGTTAAACACGTCGTTGGCGACGTCAGCGTTGGAATTATAACTTCTGTTAGACGAAGGCAAAGAAACAAGGTTGGATTCCAAATTGGAAGATTCCGTTTCTATGCCACTTTCATCACTCGATGAGTCGGAGCTAGAGCTTGTCTCTGATCCGGAGCTAGAGCTCGAACTCTCACTGTCCGAGCGGTTGATTAATTGGTTATTCTGAGAGTATCTCTGTGCGTTGCTGTTCTGATGTGGATTCATAAGTCGATGAGGAGAATTGTCTTCGTTAAACTGTGGCGCAATCATTTTTTCCCTTTGGGAAAACCTTAAATAATTATTGAGCTCACGTGATTATTCCCGAGTAAAAGGTAAAAATGTTGAGTCTGGTGATATCTTCCAGACAAAGTCGTAAAAATCGCATTGTAAGGCACTTTCTTTACTATCTATTTTCGTCCTTACAATTCAAGGTCTGGCAGTAAAGTCACTGAGGCAACAAAATGAAGTCTTGATGTGCGAAAAATGTGAAAGGGAAGCAAAATGTTTGATTCGCAATTCAAATTCAAGACTCTGGAAAGCCCTCTTTTCGCTTGAGAGGTTCAAGAGGATTCAGATGGCTGGTTAGCAATGACTCAGAAAGTTGATCTCATTAATTTTCATGGCGAATAGTTTCTTATTATCCAAAATTAAACTCTCGTAAAAAAAAGCCTCTGATTTACCATTTTCGTCTTTATGCCTGACTTCTTTTAGTTTCTCTGAGAACATGGCCCTTTTAAATGGCGCGTCGCTAAATCCCGCGCATTACCTTGATGAATGGCAGATGTTGAAAATACAAAAAAAAATGTCAAAAACCAACACTCAGCCAGAATGTTGTTTGAAAATTTCGTGGTTGAAATTGGCCTCTTATGAATCTAATTGCTGTGAAATTTCATTCTCACATGAGGGCAAACAAATTTCGTAAATTCAAACAAGACAGATGTATCCTTGGCAGATTGGGTACGATGAATTCGTTCTCAAGGTGAAATAGAAAAAAAGAACGTACCTCTCGGTTGGTAAAGAATTTCTTGGAAGGTGTCAAAAATCATAATTCAAGTCATTCGTCTATCCATCAAGATTGAAAAATGTGCAAAGAAATCACAGAATAGACTAGTCACAAAGTGAACAAGGTCGTCCTGGAGACAAAGAGGAGTGCAAATTTGATTGAGAGCTAATAAAGCCTTCAATGGAAAAAGCTCCAATCTAAGCAGTTAAAAAACGATGGGAAGATTCAATAAAATGGCATCCGTAAAGAGTCGTAAAAGCGGTTTACTAAGATCAAAATATCCCCATCACGAGACCTTAAATTTAAGGCGCAAGTCAACACTCTTTGTTGATTTCAGAATTTTTCTTTGGCAATTCCGTTTTGTTTGTTTGATGGCCTTCAAAATTGAAGGGCTAGAAGTCAAATTTTCGTTTACTTTAACTGCTAATAACGCATAATGCGATCTTTTCAGTAGCCATAAAGACAATTGGACGTTAATCATCAAAAACATGAATAGAACCTAAGAATATTAAGCTTGTTAAAATTTAACGAGCGAGGATATTCATCGATGGAAACATTTTTACAGAATACGTCTGCATTCCAAGACATTTAACGATACAGCTCCTACGTCATTTTTGAATGAGATTCTGAAGAAGTACACAAGTTGAAGTTCAACGTACTCAATTCAAATTTGCTCTAGAATTGACATCACAAAGAAGACAGATTGAGAAATCCCACAGTCGAGAATTTGAACTCAACAAAGTTGGAGCTTGTACCCTCAAAGTACAAAAGTCCTGTTTGAACAAGCAGTAGTAAAGAAAAGAATCAGGATATGAATAAGTTAGGGAAAAGCTGATTTTCTACATTGTACTCGTTAATGACATTTATGCCCTTGTAAACCTTGGTGAATAATTCATCAAAAATCGTAATTATTGTAGCAAATTTGCACCAATGGCACCGTGCCCAAGGAAAATATGTGCGAAGACAACAACATAAGTGACATCGCCGCAGATGTCAAATGTTTAGAAATGAGTAAGCTTGAAAGACAAGGTGACGAAGAAAGGGATGAGGGCGCTGCACTGGATGATTCATTCCTTTAGAGAGAGAGGAAGGGCTCCTCGATTCTAGTGATTGAAAGTTTCCCAGTTCTCATAAGATTAGCTTCGAAGAAGTTACAGTAAGATTTGGATCCAAAGAAGCACATAAAGTTCGATAAGAGCCGTTACAAAATTACCGGGGCAATCTTACTTTTGCTCTAGCTCCGAGGGGTTACATGGTAGCCCCAGACATCTATATATGAATCGGCGTAGAATTTGAAGCTCTATGCCTGTATCATATCAGATTTCCGATATCTCCGAAATTGCCGGTTTTTTTATCGGTTTTTCATTGAAATTATCGGTTTTATATGTTATTCTGATTCATTTTCGACGAAGAATCTATCTGTAAAAAAATAACGCCGATATAACAAGAAAAAACCGGTAAAAATATCGGTTTTCCTAGTAAATTATCGGTTTTTCATGTAATTTCGATGCGTTTTCTTCTGCAAGCTTACCTGTTTATCCTCAAGAATAAATATATCGGATAATTACCGGTTTCAAAGCTATAATATGATCTAAAAATCGGTTTTCCGGCTTTAATTCTAGTGCGGTCATGATTTTCTCACTTACACTTATACTGAAGTATATTCTAAGCTTTCGAAAGACCCCATATTTGTCTATTTTCAATAAATCGCCGATTGCCAGGAGATTATCTTTGGTAAGGTTGGTGTGAATGTCCTCTAGAGCTCGTTCTCTGCCTTTCCCCGGTTCTAGAGGCAATTTTCATCTATTTCGAGTGCATTTTGAGTAAAAAAAGGCAAGGGAGGCTTTTTAGACCGACGGTTATTGGCCGAAAAGGCAAGAAAAACCTGACGAAATTCCGACAAAATCCGACAAAACCCGATCCTACGTCGGGTTTTGAAGGGTGAAACCTAGGAAGTAGGGTGATTTACAAACCAACCGGGGACTAGGATCGTGGGGACAGGGTTCGCGACGAGAATGGGGATTTCCGCCATTTTTGCCCGAGTCACCGTTTACCCAACATCGCCGTTTGCCAAACTTGAGGAAACGGGGACTTTCCACAGTCAATCCTCGCTTCTTATCCCTCCCAGTTTCGAAAAAATGGTCAAAACTAAGATGAGCGAGTGAACGCGAGCAGAGCCTCCCAAAATTTTTCCGTGAGTGAGCGAGCGCGAGAAAAGGCTCCAAAATTTTTTCATGAGTGAGCGAGCAAGAGATTGGCATAATAATAGGCTGTGAGCGAGCGCGAGCAGAGATCTCGCATTTTTAAGGTGGGTGAGTGAGCGCGAGCAGTGGCCTTGAAGTTTCACCTGAGTGAGTGAGAATGAGCCCTCGCTCGCCGCTCGCGGTCATCATTTTTTCAAACATTGGTCTCTCCCTACTTTACCAACTTCAATCACGGGTTCAACAACTTCGATCCTGGCTTTTAAGACGTCAATCCCGACATATCGATCGTCAATTCCGACTTCTTTACGCCGATCAGGACGTCACTAACTCCAATCCTTGCTTCTCAGACGTCAGCCACGGCATCTCAGTTGTCAATTCTGGTTTCTCAAATGTCCCAAGATTTGGTTGAAATTGATGAAATTGATGAAGCCGGGATTGATGTTCGAGAAGTCGAGATTGACGTCGAAGAACCCGGAATTGACATTGAAGAAGGCATATTGAAATCGGTGACGCCAGGATTGAAGATATAGAAATCAGAATTGTCGTTGGAGAAGCCATGATTGATATAATATAAATGATATTGGAGAAGGCATGATTGAAGTTGGTAACGTCAGGATTGGCTTTGAAGAAGCCAGGATTGATGTTTGAGAAGCCAAAGAATGTTTAATGATCTACCAATATAGATTTATTAACATCGCTGTTTGCCCAAGATTACCGTTTCTCCAAGTTGGGCAAACGGCAATTTCGGGAAACGGCGACTTGGGCAAACTCGAATTCTTTGGTGATACCAATTGTCAACAATGTTGGAAACAGAACCTGCGCTACAAGCTGAGCACAAAAAATATTGAGGTCCCGATTTTTCTCCGCAAAAGTCATTTTCATCTATCTTTACAGGTGCATAGGAGAGTTTAAAAAATTAAGCGGCGGAAAGCAGAAAAAAATTTTGCGGCTATGAAGGCAGGATTGAGGGCCTTGAAGCCAGAATTGACCTATTTTTTTAATGATCTTGACCGATACTTTGACCGAAAAGCCCAAAAACCGATTATAATTAAAGTTACATATTTTGTATAAGATGAAATTAAATAACTTCACTTGAGGCAAATTTTCGTAAAAATTTTTTTCGTGCTCAGAAGAAAGAGCAGAAAATTCTGAGTCGAATTGGCTAGATTTGACCAAAAAATTTTGAATTTATGACGTCAAAAATTACGAAATAAAGTCAAAATTTGGGCATTTTAGTTAAATTTTGGGGCCACTTTTAAGGGGGTTTCTGTTGGATTTATTCGACGTTCTATAGCTCAAAAGAATCGCCGTCGAAAACCGAGGGGGGGTTTTTAAGGGTTTTGAAAAAACTCAAGAAAAAATTTTTGACCATTTTTCGACCGGTCGGTTTGAAGGTGTTTCTCTTAGAATTTCTCAAAATCCGCGAAAACCCCCCTTCAATTTTTGATGACGATTCTTATGAACCTAAGAACGCCGAAAAATTCAATCGAAAATCCTTTCAAAATCGGCCCCAAAGTTTTTTGGGGAAAATGAGTCATTATGACGTCATTCCAAAAAATTATAGAGCCGGAAGTAGACCAATCGACTCAGAATTTTCCATTCTTTCATATGAGGCCAAAAAATTTTTTTGAAAAATTTTGCGTCAAACGAAGTTTTTTAATTTCATCTTAAGCAAAAATTGAATTAAGAAGGAAAATGCATCCGAAAAGCTTTGAGAACCGACTTTTTTATAAAGAGTTAAAAGGAAAACCGATATTTTTACCGGTTTTTCTTGTTATATCGGCGTAATTTGTTTACAGATAGATTCTTCGTCAAAAATGAATCAGAATATCATATAACGCCGATAATTTACTAGGAAAACCGATATTTTTACCGGTTTTTTCTTGTTATATCGGCGTTATTTTTTTACAGATAGATTCTTCGTCGAAAATGAATCAGAATAACATATAAAACCGATAATTTCAATGAAAAACCGATAAAAAAACCGGCGATTTCGGAGATATCGGAAATCTGATATGATACAGGCATAGAGCTTCAAATTCTACGCCGATTCATATATAGATGTCTGGGGCTACCATGTAACCCCTCGGAGCTAGAGCAAAAGTAAGATTGCCCCGGTAATTTTGTAACGGCTCTAAGTAAATACGGGAAGACGTAAAAGAATGCTCAACTCTGCAAATACAAAATCTACTCATTATAGACTCAACAAATTATCATGTGACTCTGAATATCTCCATCATCAAAGAAACTACACGACTCAAAATGTGCATTATTCAAAAAGAAAAAAACGAAATTTGAACGTAAAACTGTACCTTGTTACCCCAGAAGCCCTCCAGGAAACGTTTTCTTCTGTAAAATCTCTTTTCAACAAAGGAAAAAACAAGGTTTTACTTTTTTTGGTTATTTTTCTTTTTTTTTTTCTTCTCCGCTGAAGGCTCACGCGAGCTGCCTCAGTCTCATGATCTCGTGAAAAAGCATTTTCAAGGTCCACTACACCAAGCTACCACACCTCCCTGAATCGCCAATAATTCCCAGCAGCGCAGCCAAAATGGCTCATCGATGAGTCAGCTGGCGCGCGCCCTGATTGGCCTCTTCTTCTGGCCCTTTCTCGCTCATTGCTCGCGTGAGCGGCATTTCTTCTCAAACTGGAGTCTCATTTGCCCAGTTTGAGTTTGAAAACGGCCGAATTTGAGCTTTCCAGTTCAAAATAAGGCCCAGGAGCGTTCAGAACGCCCCGAAAAACCTCAAAAAACTCCAAAATTACTCGAAAAAAACTCTGAAAACGGGCCAGATAGTCGAAAAAGTGCGTTTTTGCACCGGAAAATAGCGTTATTCTGGCAGAAATTTGCGTGAGATGAGCTCCTCGGACGAGTCAGATGATGAGCCACGACGGAACCTTCAGGCGGAGGATTCCGCTTCAGATTCGGATCAGGATACGGGACGACCTCAAGCCAGGATCAACGACTCTGCATCGAGGTAGACGAGAGTTGATAGCGTTTTTAATCGAATTTAGTGTTTTCGAGTCGAAAACTTATGCTAGTTTTAAATTTCTTTCATTTTTGCCTTTCAAGCTTCGTGTTTTCGAGTCGAAGAATTATACTGAAGGACTTTATTTGCTGGGTGTACTTACATTGTCACTTATCAGCTTTTATAAAGTTGGAACGAGAACCTTTTTCAACTTCTTTGTTTGCTATTTACATTATCGAAGAACTTGTTTGCAGCTGTTCGGAAACCGAAATTCTATTTTCTAGCGACGAGGATGAAGCACCCCGAGCGCGCAATAACCTCGATTCGTCTGATGACAGTGACGACGAGCCAGTGAGTCGAAAACCAAGACAAGCTGATTCGGCTTCTGATGATTCTGACGGAGAAAAGTCCACGAAAGAGCAGTCGGATGATGCAATGTCCGGCTCCGATGATGAGAATCCAAAGGAAAGAGTTTTTCTCAACTCATTATTCTTTGAAATTTTCGTAGTTTTCTCAACTAATGAATTCCCCTTTTACTTAATTGAAACTCTCGAAAGGGTCATAAACGACCAGCAGACAGCGATGACGGAGATAGCGACGATTCCGCCGACGAGAAACCGAAGAAAAAGAAAAAGTGGAATCCGGCTGATTTTGAAGACAAAATGGCGGAAGAAAGTGAGAATGAAGATGAGGAGCTTTTGAGAAACCCCAAAAAGTCGAAGAAATATAAGAAGATGAAAGTTCTCGAGGACTCTGACGATGACGAGGACGATTCGGAAGAAGATGGAGATCTCGAGGATCTGATCGACGACGGAGAGGTCGAGGAAGAAGCTTCTGGCGAGAGACGTCGAAAAAAGAAGAAAAAGAAGCGAAGAGATGGCGATGATGCGCTGCGAGATGACAAGCTCGACGATGACGATTTTGATTTGATCAATGAGAACTTGGGCATCAATGTCAACAGGTAAATAGAGAAAATTTTTTCACAAAGTTGTAACTTTTCATCCCTAGGCGTCAAAAGCTCAACCGAGTTGTGATGGACTCCGACGATGAAGAAGACGCGAATGAAGATCTAGACGATCGAGATCGAATCCAGCGTGACATTTTCGACGAAACACTCGGCTCCGATGACGACCAGCCTATGGAACCGCGCCGTGCTCGACGAGAAAAGGACAACTTTGACTCTGACTCCGGTTCCGACGACGAGAACAACTTCATCGTCGATGATCAGGGCAATCCTATTTATACGAACAAGAAGTCCAAAGGCGGAAATGTTTACGTCGACGAGAATCTTCGCGAAGCAGCGAATATCTTCGACATTGATCCGACTCAGCTTGGGGAAATGTTTGAAGATTTCGAAAACGAATATGGAGAATACGACGAAGACGAGCCGCGGCCTGTGAAGCAGAAGAAATCGAAGAAAGCGCTTACAGATCTTTATGAACCGGACGAACTTGAGCGACGAGGCTACAATGACGAAGCCACCGCGATCATCGACGAAGATCGTCCTGAGCGCTTTCAAACTCGAGGAGATGGTCAATGCCCGGTCAAGTATATCGAGATTTCAGACGTTCAAACAGACGCAGATGCGATCGAGAACGAACTTGAGCTGGAAGCTCGATGGATCTTGGAGAACGCTTTCAACTCTTCCATTTCCAATCAAGAATTTGAAGATCCAATGTTTCGCCAGGAAGTCAAGCAATTGCCTGAATTCAAGAAGAGGCCAAGAGAGGGTGAAGAGCCTGAACCAGAGCCAGAAAAGATGCCGACTGTTTATGCAAGCCCTTATCCCAAGAAGAGAATCGACGACGCTGCTAAAGTGTTTTTGAAATACAAAGACTATGAGCCGTTGCGAAATCACGAAGACCGCGAACAAAGACTAAAGTACATCATGGAATACGGCAGAAAACACAACACATTCCTCTTCAAGATTTACAAGGCGCTTTACAACTTCCGAGTCGGAGAAGGCATTTCAAACGGTCTTACTGTACTTGAACCGGCGTTTATTTACAAATATAGGCAAGAGCAAATTCTCCACTGGGATCTGATCGGAAAATACATCAAGGATGAATTCGGTGTGCCACTTAAAGATTTCATGAGCGAACGAGAAAGTGATTTTCCAAGAGAAAATGGCTCTATGGCTGGCAATGACGGCTGGGGTAGTAGCACCGGTGATGGCGATTGGGGTAACCCCGAGATGGCTCGAAAACCCGGCGGATGGGGCGACGCACCCGCGAGTCCCGTCGGTGGCGGTTGGGGCAACACATCTAATGATGCTGACAAACCAAACTCTGGTTGGGAAAATAATGATACCTCAGAAAAGTCATCTGCATCTCCATGGACTGCTTCCGAGTCAAACAAGGAAAATATTGGTGAGAGCCCATGGGCAAACACAGCAAGCAGCAGCTGGGGCGGCGCCGGTAGCACGGGCCAACCTATGGATACTTCAATGAGCATGAATGGGCCGCGTCTTGGTCGTATCAACCGCAAAATGAAAATCGGTGATCATGAAGGCAGAACTCAGTTTCTAAACGAAGAGGAGCTTCAGAGAGTGAACAAGGAACGTCGCGAACTTGGTGATGCCGATATCACCTTCGACGAGCTCCTTTGGTATCGAAAAGAGAAGAAAGGCGAAGAGGGAGATGACCGAGAGCGAATTCCAGAGTGCGAGTTCCCGAATGAAATTTTCGAAACCGACTTGCCTAATGTCAACGAGTCGCGACTCAACTACATCGATACTGAGCAAAGTCTTGACTTTTTCGATCTCCACCGAATCCTTCGATATGATGAGCACTACATGAAATTCTCTCAAAAGAAGATCAAGCTCCACAAGCTCTTCCAGAACATGCTTAATTTCCAGTACGACGAAAGTCAATCTGAAGACTTCAAAGTTTACCGATCCCTTGAGCCTTCATACGTCAGTAAAGTCGAAGAATGCAACACTCAAAACGAACTCGATGATTACTTTCAGTTCTTCCAGCTTCATTTTGGCCGGGATGTCCAAAAAATGAATCAGAAAAATCGAAATGAGGACGAAGAATACAATTCTGGAGACACAAAGAACATGAAGCAGGCCCAGCGAAACTCGAACTACAACTTATGCCTGAAAAACAACCTTGGCGAAGTTGCTAAGAAATTCGGTCTGACACCGGAAGAATTCGCTGATCACGTCAAATGCGACTTCCAGAACCACGAAGTCAATCAATGCGACGAGCAGCCAGAGGAATTCGCATCATTGTATGTGACAGATCAGTTCGATTCCGCCGAGAAAGTTCTCCGCGGTGCCCGTTTTGTCGCCGCTCAGCAAATGGCTGTTGAACCCGAAGTTCGAAAGGTTGTTCGAAAGCAATTCTTCGAAAAGGCATGCATTTCCACCACGCTGACGAAAAAGGGCGAGCGTGCTATTGACGAGGACCACCCCCTTTATCGACTTCGATTTTTGAGCAACAAGCCCATAAAGGATCTAAAAGGCGCCGAATTTATTCACTTGAAAAATGGAGCCGATGATAAGCTCATTGAGATGGAAATCGGCCTTGAAAAACGACCTAGTCACCGATTCACTGACCCAGACGGAAATGGCATGATTCTTGACGACATCGAAGAAGACCTCTTTGATCTTTACAACAAGGATCTCAATGATGATCTCACTGTCAAGTGGAACACGCAGCGTCAGATGCTAATTCAGGAGATGCTCAATCAAATGCTCTATCCCGCCTTTATCCAAAAACTCAAGCTCAAGTTGATTGAAGAAGCAGAAGAAGGAATATACGAGTTTGCTCGGCGAAAGTTCCGTGCCATCGCCTCTGCCGGTCCGTGCATTCCGATCAATAATCCCCTCGAAGATGAAGACTACGAGCAAGAAGATTTGCTTCTCTGTCTCCACGCCAGTGACCGAATTGAAGTGCCAACCTTTGGAGTCATGCTCAAGCAAGACGGTGAAATCCACATGTATCGAAAATTTAACCGAATCATGGCTCCTGCAATGAGAGAAAGTCACCCTCATCATCAGTCGATGAAACGCGACATTGACCAGCTGAAGCAGATTCTTTCTCGATACCGACCCTACGCTATCATTTTGGCTGCCACTTCGATGAAATCTCGAAACCTTATGACCATGGTCAATCGAGTAATCGAGGAACTCCACATCGAAGACGGCTATCCCAAGCCTGTAGTTGAATTCAGAGATCCAATGGTCTCTCGTGTCTACTCTGTCGCCAAATTCGCCCAAGAAGCTTATCCTGATTATCCAGAAGAACTTCGTCTCGCCATTTCATTAGGTAAAATATTTCTCTATCACTAAAGCTAATGCTTTTCTAGGACGATTTGCTCTTGACCCTGCAATCGAAATCTCCCAGCTCTTCAACCCAGATGATGACATTCTTTGCCTCAATCTTTCGCCAAATCAGTATCTTCTCAAAGATCGTCGAACTAAAGATCTCCTTCGCAAAGCACTTGAGGAAGAAATGCAGAAAATAGTTTGCGACATCGGAGTCGACATTAATCAGGCTATCGCTCTTGATCATCACAGTCAACTTCTTCAATTCTTACCAGGTATTTACAATTGACTGAACCTCTTCTTATATTTACAGGTCTTGGAAGAAGAAAAGCCGATGCTTTCCTGAAGGATTATCGTCGCCAAAATATCCGAATCGAGCATCGACAAAAGATCCTTGGCGTCAACGATGATCAAGTCCGTTCGATTGGTCCAACCGTCTTCGTCAATTGTGTCGGTTTCATCCGGTTGAACACTTCCGAACTCGGCGACGCTGAAGAATACGTCGATGTTTTCGACAGTACTCGTATTCATCCAGAAAGTTTCGAATATGGACGAAAAATGTGCAAGGATTTGGCTTGTCAAGTCGCTCCAGATGAAATGGAGGAGGACGAGTACGAAAATGAGGAGTATCGAGCTGTCAACAAGGTAATTTATGACGTTAAAACTGTTTGTCATCGAATCTTAGGTCATGGGAAAGCCGGAGTACCTGCAAGGCCTGGATCTCGAAGCATTCAATGCTGATCTGATTACACTCAATCACAATGAGGGCAATTTCAACATCTTCAACAAGATCTGCACGCTCTATCAGTTGAAAAAAGAGATCGGTTCTCCATTTAGAGACAACCGCAAGCCTCCCAGACAAATTCATTCTGACGAGCTCTTCTATCTCCTTACTGGTGAAACAGCGGACACTATTTATCCGCAAAAGATGGTAACTGGAACCGTTCAAAGGTACACAAATAAGTGTTTATGATGTTTATCAAATCTTAGGTTCATGTACTCGGCGACTAAGAAGGATGAAAACGGACAAATGAGCGAGGAAAATCTAAAAGATCCCAAGCGAGTGGAAGGAACAGACTGCTGGATGTGCCCCTGGTGCAAACGAAAAGATTTCACGGAACTCAGTCAAGTCTGGACTCACTTTGACACCCTTGACAATTGTAGGATTTTTAAAAATGATCATCTTGTTAAATCAATGATTTAGATGATAAGTGTCCAGGAGAACTTTGGGCGGTTTCCATCAAGCTCGACAACGGCCTTTCGGCCCTTGTTGATAGAAATAGCATCTCCAGTCGAGACGATGGGTACGTCGAGGATCCAACGACAAGAATGAAGCTCGATCAGGTCGTTCGAGGACGCATCAAGTCCATCAACTTCGAAAAGTTCCAGTTGCGATTGACTACGAAGAGTACCGATCTACAGAACGATAATTTCGGAGCCAATCACAAAGAGCAAGACAGGCATCTGGATAAGACCAAGATGGACATGGTCCTCGCTCAATTTCAGAATAAGAAGAAAAAGGCTCAAAATCAGTCTCAATACACCAAGGTACCCTATGAAATAATTCGGTATTTTCATAAGTTTTCTAGCGCGTCATTGCTCATGATAATTTCATGAACATCTCCTACGGCGATGCGATCCTCAGACTGCAGTCCATGGATCAAGGCGAGTGCATCATCCGACCAAGTTCAAAAGGATCTGATTTCATCAGCGCCACTTGGAAAGTCCACGACAACATTTACTCGCAAATCACGATTCACGAAAGAAACAAAATCAACAGCTACACACTTGGTGAAAAGCTCATCATCAACGGCGAAGAGTATGAAGATCTCGATGAGGTTATCGCACGATACGTTCAGCCGATGGCTTCGAATGCACGCGATTTGATCGAGCACAAGTACTTCAGAGATATCGGGGGTGCTCGTAAGGAAGCAGAGGCTCTTTGTAAGGAAGCTAAAAGAGCTGATGCGAAGAAGATTCCCTACTTTATCTCCTGCTGCCGCAAGGACACTTGCGGCCCAGCCGAAGTTGAAGGTGATCTAATTTCTCTTCAATTGTTTGATAAACTTTATTTTCAGGGAAATTTATGCTCTCCTTCCTCCCTTCATCGAACAGCTCTGTGAAGCACGAATACATAACAGCACTGCCAGACGGATTCCGCTACCGTCAAATTGTTCACTCAACTACAGCGACTCTCTTCCAGTACTTCAAAGAGCATTACCTCGAGCGTCCTCCAGCTCCTGTCCGTCGCGATCCAAAACAAGGCCTGGCAGAAATCGTGAATTCTCTCAATCGACAACAACTCAAGGAGCTCAAAGGTGGTGCTTACACTCCTTCGGATCCATTCGAAGAATCACCGCGCAAACCAACACTCCAAAGAGTTGATGATGATGGATTCAAGAAGCCTTCTCTTCTTAGAAGAGTCGATGATGATGACGGCGGCTGGGGCAGATCATCTGGTAGATCCGGTGGTGACCGTCCAGGAAGAGACGATAGAAATTCTTGGGGCGGTGGCCGAGGCGGCGATAGAGGTGGCGACAGAGGATGGGACCGTGGAGGAGATAGACGCGGAGGCCGAGGCGGTGGACGCGGCCGAGGACGTGGTCGTGGCGACTTTGGTGGACGAAGAGACGGAGGAGATAGACGAGATCGAGATGGCGGTAGCTATAGGGGAAGAGACAGAGGAGATCGTGGCTCTTCTTTCAGCAGAGATGATCGACAGCCATCCTGGAATAGTTCAAATGATAGAGACAGGTAAGAATCGTGCATTTTGTCTGCATCTCACAATTTGTATAGTAGAGAGCCATCACCATGGGGCGGAAAAGGAGGTCCATCAGCCGAGAGAAGTCCATGGGGAGGCAGCGATACAAGTGGTAGAGACCGAGATGACGGTGGAAAATCACCATGGGCTGCAAGGGACGCTGCTGGCGGTGGTAAGTCACCATGGGCCGGTGGTGATGCTCGACGAGAAGGATCTAGCAGCTGGGGAGCCCCAAGAACGCCAAGAGCTGACGAAGGTTCTTGGGCTGGAAGCCGCACTCCAAGGGGCGGTAAAACTCCACGCGGCGATATGACTCCACGGGGCGATCGAACTCCAAACCACTCTTGGGGTAGCAATCCAAATTCACAGTCGAACTCCAGCGGCTGGGGAACGAAGAGCGGCTCGAGAACGCCTTCGAGCCCGTGGGGCAACAAGAGCAGCAGCGGTGGTGGAAACGCATGGGGTGGAAAGAGCCCCGCTCGAGATGGCGGTGGAAGTAGCTGGGGAAATAAGAGTCCAGCTCGAAGCTCTGGTGGATGGGGCACCAAAAGCCCAAAGAAAAAGAATTCCGACGCGTGGAGTGATGCCGCTACGATGGGCAATCGATCACCCGATGGAAACACCGGTTAGAAAACTTTTAATGAATGAAATTAATCATAAATACTTCTAGGCTGGTAATAAGTTCAAACTACCACTCCGCTTTGTTCAAAAATGCAAAAAATACAAACGTCCAATTGGAAAATAAGGTCTACAAACCACAACTGTACAAAGATTTCTAGATAAATAAATTGACTGCCCAAAACAAGACAACCTTTATAGACCAATTATTAAACCCCTTCAATCTTGCTGATACCTGCAAATAAATATCGCTTGATTTAAATCATTGCGTGAGTTTTCTTTTTTGTGATGACTGTGTGTTAGTTTGTGTAAGGGTCAAAGAGGGTTCAGAGATGAGGTTGAGTGACTAACAGACGGCTTGAATTCAGAATGGCTTTTTCAGACATTGGAGCGACGAGAAAATGAGTGCGGTCATGCCAAGAACGGAATCTGTATTTGAGGAGTTCTCCGACGCCAAGCGGAAGATTCAGGAGGTCTTCGAGCAGATTAAAGAGCAAATAGAAGCAGTACAGGAAATGGCTCAAATTTTTACGTCTCTATAAATTATTTCAGCAAATTTTAGCCATCATTATAGACATTCATTGAGACAGTGGTTACGACTGACACCGACCATGTTCTTTCATCAGACACGATTGCAGAGCTCAATGAGCTTGTCGTCAAAGTAACAGGCGTCCACGAGATCCTTTCTCGAGATCAGATGAAGGTTGCCTTCTTCGGGCGCACCTCAAATGGAAAATCAACATGCATCAACGCCATGTTATGGGACAAAGTTCTACCTTCCGGGATCGGCCACACAACTTCCTGCTTCCTGGCTGTTGAGGGATCGGGAAAGCCCAATCCGTATATCATTACTGAAGATGGAGAAGAACAGGCGGTAGAAAAAGTTCAAAAGCTAGCTCATGCACTTTCTGGCGCCGCGGAAAAATTGACAGAAGACAGTTTGATCAAGATTTGCTGGCCGAAAAACAAATGTAGACTTCTCAACGCTGAAGTGTGCATTGTAGACAGCCCTGGCGTGGATGTGACGCCCGATTTGGACCTGTGGATTGATAAGCACTGCTTGGACGCGGATGTATTCATTCTCGTGGCGAATGCAGAATCGACAATGATGCAGGCGGAGAAAAACTTTTTCCACAAAGTTTCTGAGTGCTTCTCAAAGCCGAATATCTTCATTTTGCACAATCGATGGGATGCTTCTGCTCAGGAGCCTGATATGATGGATGAAGGTTAGATTTTCTTCGTTTTTATTAATCTTAATATTTATTAGTTCGAGCTCAGCATCTTGAACGAGCAGAAGCTTTTCTCACCGACGAGTTGAAAATTTACAACTCCTCTGAAGCCCAAAACCGTGTGTTCTTTATCTCAGCTCGGGAAATGCTCAATACAAGAATCTCAAGGACTAAAGGTAAGAAGACTATTCGCTTGAGATAATTAACGATGGATTTTAAGGCATTCCGGAGAACCCAAACAACTTCCCAGATGGCTTCAAAAGTCGTCAGCTCGAGTTCGAAGAGTTTGAGAAGAAGTTTGAAGAGTGCATCACTCGTTCAGCGATCGCAACGAAGTTTTCTCAGCATGTATCTGGTGGAGAGAATATCGTCAAACACTTGTCAAAAATCCTGGCCGATTTGAATGCTGCCGCACTTGTCGTAAGAAATATCTCTAACGACGAAGCGGATACACAAAAGATGAGGAAAAACTTCAACAAGGATCAAATGGAGAAAGTCACGAAGAAAGTACATGACCAGATTAGCCACATAACAGTAAGTAAAGTCACTCCAATCTAACCTAAAAGATTCGATAGGACAATGTATCAAACCAAGTAGCTGCGGCACTAGACATCGAGCTTGGAAAAGTTTCTGAGTTGGTTGAAAATTTCGAGTTCGAAAAATTCCACCCCTCAAAATTTGTCATTGACGCTTATCGAAAAAAGCTCATTGAACATGTCGAAAATGGAGTACGCCAAAACCTCGTCTCCCTTTGTTCAGCATCTCTTACTGAAGAAGTCAGTCGGGCAAAGATGGAAATGATCGAAGGACTAACAAATGTCATCAAGGTAAATGGAAGAAAATTATCTCATTCTATCGGTATTTCAGGATAAAGAAAAGTGCAAAACCGAAGCTAACCGACCATTTTCACTGCAATACGAGATCAATTTCTTTGCTCTGAATGATTTCAAAGAAGACCTGAGCTTCAAGTTCTCCGCTTCTCCCACGCGGTAAGACAATTCTAGCTCTTCCCATTAATCAAATCATTATCAAGCCTTCTGGAAAAAGTTCCTTATCTCGGAAAAGCCGTTACTTCTTACAGTGTCTTATCCTTCATTCAAAATATGACTGTCGGAGCCTGTTCTAATTTGCCATCGCAGATAGAGAGCATCACAAGTAAGCCCCCATTCAAAAATTCCCCTTTCATAGTTGAAATTAGACGGAACAATTCGAGCTCAAGATGTCGAAACTGCAGAGCGATTCCTTCCCTCTGGTGTTGTTGCTACAGCAGCTTGGAAATTCTGGAATAAATCTGGACTCTCAACTATTGGAAATCGAATAATAATCGGGGGAATCTTTGCTTATGCAGGATACTACGCTTTTGAAAGGATTCGATGGACGCCTGCGAGACAAGGACAAGAGTTTAGAAAGCAGTTTGCTGATCATGCATCAGAGAAATTGCGCCATTCTGTTGAATACACCGCTTCGAAGTGTTCCAATCAGGTTTTTATAAGAGAAAGTTATTAACACTGTTATTAACATCTTATCAGGTTGAATCTGAGCTGAAGGAGACATTTACTCGGTTAGAAATGACCGCCAAAGAAGTCACCAACGATCTCACGGATGAAATTAATCTCTTGGAAGGTATTGAAATCAAAAATTATGATCGGCTCTAAAATCGATTTAAGAAAAATCCCAAACCTATGACGGTATCGCGGAGATGGCGAAAAAGTGGAAAAACAAATTCGACTGGTTAGAAATCGAGCTACGCAATTATCGAAACGACTTCATTCCCAAGCTACCCTCTCGTTTGTCCTCGCAGAAACTTGACATTTAGCCAAACTACTCACTTCTATTTTTATTTCTTTCCGTATTTTTACTCACAAAAGTACTGTACCTGTTACTACCTTCAACACTTGTCCAGCTTAAACTTGTCATAACAATCTTGAAAGTTCTTCAATTATTTATTTGTAAATTAAAAACTAAGCTACTACTCGGAAAGAATGAAATGAAAAAAGTATTCTTGCTGACGGATATTTTATTCATTGTTTTCTATGCCTCTAAAGTTGCAGCAAACATTCTCCTACTAGTGAAATTTGCAGACTTATTGAAAAGGATAGATTCTATCCGATAGATATTCTATCTATGCATTTGGATCTGTAGGAGTTTTCCAGAATTTCTTATTTTCGAAGACACACTGGGTCATGTGTCCTGGGTAGTCTCCAGCTGGCATAAGGGCGTTCGCGAGGGTGAGGAGGCACCAGTCCATTCCGAAGGCGTCGAGGAAGTTAACCTTATCGAGTCCGGTGAGGAAGATTTGAACATCGTCAGAGCCCATGTTTTTGGTTGGAACACCTGAATATGTTTGAAATAGAAGATCGAAAGAACAGTACCTGATTTGAAAGCCCAGGGAGTATCCTTAGTGACAACCTGAGTAGACTCAAACGAAAAGCCTCCCAACGAGTACTTTCCGTCGTTTTTGAAGTAGACGTAGTTCAAATCGTAAACATCCTCGGTATCGACAAGCTCGACTCCAACCTCTCCAGATCGCATTTTCTTCAAGAAATCGTTACCGCAGACATCCTTGGTCCAAACGATGAATCCTTGGTAAAGATCTGTTCGAGGGTTGACTGGGGCGTTCTTCACGCGGAATTTGGCAGAAATAAGAGCCGACTTCTCGTTTTTGTAAATGTATTTGGCTGTTTTGCGCTGAATTTTTTGCTTTCATTTCATGCTCAAATAAAAAAATGAACTTACCCCCTTCCACTGTGGTGTCCACGAATCATCGCAAACATCTTCTCCAGGTTCACATCGGAAGTTCCCATTTGTGTTGACACACTGCTCGAATTCATGACAGTGATGCGCTCCAGTGAGGCACTCATCGTGATCGACACATTCTCCATTGTCACAGACGAATCCAGATTCACATGCTGGCTCACAGCTGCAAACCGATGGAGGTTCAGTTGGTGGCTCGGTTGGTGGTTCAGTTGGGGGCTCGGTTGGTGGTTCCTCAGTTGTTGTTGATTCACAGTTACTAGCATCTCGACAGATGCATTCGTAGCCCATTTCCGAAGCTGCATCGTTGGAGCAGTATCGATCATCGGGACAGTTATGGCTTGCGCAAGGCATAGGAGTAGCTGGACCATCACCTGGCTGGCAAGAAAGGAGCAAATTGTATCCATTCCATGGATAGTCAGCCGAGAATTCGCCATGTCCACCTATGCATGTAGCATCATGATCGGGGTTTCCGGTAGCAAAATATCCCCATGCGCCAGGTGAACCAGCATAATACCAACCGCTCCCTGGTTCCCATCTGAGCTCTCGATTGTCGGGCTGACAAAGGTACTTGTCTCTGTCATTATGGACACCATTAGGAGTGCAAACAGCACCGCTCCAATTCACGTTGATGTGTGTGCAACAGCCGAGGTCAGTTTTGGGGCCTTCATCACAGGTCGCGAGGCGGCCATCTTCGTCCTCGCCATCCAAGCAATCGTTGAAGCCATTGCAGAATTTGTGTTCAAAAACGGGTCGGATGACTCCAACTTCATCTCCGAAGAGACATTTTGACTTGGGCTCCATTGGATGAGTTGTAGCTTTCGAGTCTTTGCAGTAGAGATCCCAACCTTGTTCCGCGTCGGTTGTTGTCAAAAGTGGGTGAGAGGCGTAGCTTTTTCCTGAGAGAAGAGTAAACCCACTGTACATGACGTTCGAGGCAGGCTCGAAGGGATGACCAGTATCGATCCATTGAGCAGGGTCGATGTCTCCTGCATCATCGCGAGGCTCGATCCAATCAGCATAATCAGGTCGATCCTGTTCGTGAAGGTATCCAACCGCATGAAGGAACTCGTGATGAACTCCACCGATGGTGACGCACCAGTTTGGAAGACGAAGTGCTTGCCAACCTTCTGGAATATGCGGTCGTTCACCTCGACCACAGTTGGAGCATTGGCCAACATAAGACCAGCATCCATCACCTAATGATGTTTCTCCTTCGATCCAAACACCGTTAGCATAGGTCGCATCCTGATCATGAATGAACTTCAGACAGCTCATGGCCTTTGAGAAATCAACAAGCTCGTCGTGAATCTGTTGATGATGTTCAGCAGGGACCGTGTCGCCAATGGCATAGGGTACGAGGTATGTTCCGTCGGCGGGATCAATCTGACCTTGCCAGAGATTAGCCCAGGTAACAAGGCCTCTTCCGGTTGGACTCACGCTTGGAGCATCGTAGTCGATGTTCAACTTCTCTTCAAGATAGCCAAGAGCTACCAAGCTTGGCACCTGCCATGGCTGGACACGAAGATCACCATACTCTCCGTTATGCCAGTCAGCGACCTCTGGGTGAAGCTGGTAAGGAGTCCCAGCGAGCACCTATGTTAATTTTATATAAAGCAATCAAAAAAATCTCTTTTTATTACCGTCGATGCTGTGACTGCAAAAAGCTTCATCTCTCTTTATGCAGAATGAGAAATGGAGTGTCTGCAGCGTTAATTTATGCCTTTTCGAACTGATTTAGAAGCAGTCGGAGAATCTCCGATGCATTTATCGCCGATATCTTATCGAGTGCATATCCCTACGATAGAAGCTATCTCTTTATATTTTAAAGCAAGTAGCGTCTTTTAGAAATATCATCGAAAAAACACTTTTACCTTTCGAATATAGCCTTTCACTTCCTCTACTCTAGCTTGACCTGTTTGAGCAACACTGCTCAAAACAAAAATAGGTTTCATTTCAAATAAGACTGTTAGAAGAGTATTTCTCCTTAAGTTTGATATGATGCAGGTTTTGGGAGGCTTATATACACGTTTACAAGAGATCAAATTTTAGAGTTCTGAGATTCTAATCGGCTAAGCTTGTTTCCAATAAGAACTCTCAAGTGCCGAATATCAAGTTTTCTAATTTTCTTATGAAACCTTGTCGAGTTTCGAAAACTTATGCGCTATAAATTGATCGAGTTTACAATTCATATTTAAATTTCTATAAGATTTATTCGGGAATTATGCTTTTGAAATGTGAAGTAGCCCATCAAGAGATCAAAAGAAGGTTTTCCAGCGCTCCTCTTCCGCCTTGAACGATTCGAACGTTAGGCCACGTGTCGTAGTAGCAATCTAGATTTGCCCTGAGTCGCGGCGAATAGCGCGTCGCCGGTGCCACTGACGTGGCGATTTACCCCAGTCCGCGTTCCTACTGGCTTTGCTCGTTTAGTCAAGAGATTCAGCCCCGACTACTGAACGACTCATGAAGGTTTTTCTTGGACTACTTGCCCTTTTGGGTCTTGCCCATGCTGAAGAGAAGAAGGGACCACTTGTTACTGATAAGGTGAGCTTTTTTTAGAGCGAATTCTCAAAAAAAAAATGGTTCAATGCTAACCGAGAACTTTTTATTCAATTCCACCGTAGGTCTTCTTCGAAATGACCATGGGAGGCGAAGACATCGGTACCATCGAGATCGGCCTCTTCGGCAAGACCGTCCCCAAGACCGTCGAGAATTTCTACACCCTCGCCGCTGGCACCAAGGGATTTGGCTACGCTGGCTCCAAGTTCCACCGAGTTATCAAAGACTTTATGATCCAAGGTAAAGACTTTTATGAAACTGATTTTGAATGGATTGACAAACTCGTAAAGATATTACAATTCAGTTCAATACGAATACCGTATTCTGAATACGTTATTTGATTTTTCGATCTTATTGATATTTGAGATTTAGGTCACTTGCGTTCAAAATGTGAACTTGATTATTTGTCTTGCGTTAACTCATGTTTTCAAGGTGGTGATTTCACTCGAGGAGATGGAACAGGCGGCAAATCTATTTATGGAGAAAAATTCGCTGACGAGAACTTCAAGCTCAAGCACTACGGCGCTGGCTGGCTCTCAATGGCCAACGCTGGAAAGGACACCAACGGCTCCCAGTTCTTCCTCACCACCGTCAAGACCCCATGGCTCGATGGACGACACGTTGTCTTTGGCAAGATCCTTAGTGGAATGGTAAGCCAGCATTCTCAATTTCCCTTACTAACAAAAAACTCTAGGATGTTGTCCGAAAGATCGAAGGAACCAAGACCGGCGCGCAGGACCGACCCGTCAAGGACTGCGTCATCAAGGCCTCCCGACACGAAGCTGTCGCCGAGCCCTTCGCCGTCTCCAAGGAGCCCGTCAAAGAATAAACTCCCCCTTCTCCAGTGCCCTGCCAAAACTGATAGAAAAAAGTGCCCCCAACTTCAAATTCGCCAGTTTTCTCCAGTCGATGAAAACGCAACCGCAAACCTACTATTAGACAAAATTATTAACTGTCCAAATGACTCAAGTGCAATTCTATTAAAAGGTCCAATACAATTAATATGATAACATAATTTTGTTTACATCGTTTTTATTTTATGCAGCGTCACTTTATTTATTCAATGGATAATTATGTCAGAATCACTGTCAGAGTTAATAGCTGTTCAAAGAAACGAAGTTGATCAGAAACCCTGAATCTCTTCTGCCTTTTCGGATGAGGGCTCCTCACGAACAGTGACAACGGTAAGAGGCGCATCCTGAACGACAACCGGAGCGATTGCCACAGAGTTCGATGGATCCTTGTGATGAGATCTTATTTATGATAAAATTTCATTTCTGTACCTGGCAACAGCATGTGCATCCAAAGTAATTTGCAAGGACGAAGGAGACAGACATAATAATCGTCATAAGGAACCATTCAATAACCAGCATAGAGAGATAAGCCCATTTCATAGCTGAATTTTCTTATAATCTGAAATTTTCTTTTAAACTTACGATGTGACATTCCAAACCAATATCTAGATCCACCCCAGGTTGACAGACTATAAGCGACAGCTCCCAAATATGTCGCGAAAAGCAAAAAGCCAACAACCGCGACAGATCCAGCAAAATTTCCCTGAAAAATGAACATAAATGAACATACACAGTGATCAACTTACCACGCAGGCAACCGTTTTGAAGCTGATGTAGAAATCAGGCCCTTGCTCTTTTTTAGCCTGCGTTATTCCCAGCCATCCAGCTATGCCAGGCACTATCGAAATCGCTATTCCACTGAGAAACACTTCCAATGCAAAGTAAACTCCGTACTTGACGCCGACGCTGATGGAGAAAATCTGCGTGACAAGGAGAAGACATGAGCATGAAAAGAGGAGCTTGCTGATTTTGTCGATTTGGGTGTTCAAAAAATTATACATTTTCGTCGGTTTTAGTGAGCTTTTTCTGTGTTTCAAATAGAGAAAGACATACGATTATATACGGCGCGGATCATTTGTTCGGTAATTAAAATTTACTGCGTAGGACTCAGAGGAAAGTCTGACCTGGAATTCTGTTCTCAGAAGAATGAATCATCATTCTGAATGATCGACGTTCTTTTACTGACGTCATATTTATGGAATATTTAACGCTGAAGAAATTTCTATTTTATCGTCTAAGATTCTGAAATTAAAAACTACGGAATCTTTATTGATTAACGAATAATTAGTTTATTTATTGAGAACGTTAAGAAAAACAGTTATAGTCCATCAGTTATGGGTTGCTGATAATGAGGTCGAAAATTCCAATAGTCGAAGCATCGTTATCAGAGACATTACCAACGAAGACAATCTCGATATTCTGGTCGTAAAACCCGCGGTTTATTTCTTGTTGCCCGCAAATTTTTTGTCCTGAAAGTTTAATGGGATAATAAAGATCGATAAAAGATAAATTGAACCTTGAATTTTCGCATAAACTTCCTCGCAATCGTATCCTGCAAAGTCTACACTTCCCTTGACTTTTTACACGATCAAATTATGTTTTTGTTTGGATTTATCGAAGGTATAGTAAAAACAGCTTGATCTATTCCTGTAATTTGACCATGAGTACGAAACATCACATCAATTGAACATTCAAGCTCGTTCGACACTTGGGGGTTGAACTCAGCATAATATCTGCCGCCAAAGAAAGTAACATCGTTACCTCCTGGAAGAAGTACCAATTCGTCAAGCGGGGCTTGATTTTCTTCCGTTGTCGTGCCACACCAAGCTTTGTCAGTTGCCATCATTGACTTTGGATCCAGTGCTATGTAAAGGACAAGGATAATCACGATAAAGACGATCAATCCTTTCAATCTATTATTTTCTTTTTCTTCTCTATAATAAATAATTTATTTATTACCGCCTTCAAACAGTGTTCAATATGAATTTGTTATATCAGTTCACTATAACTTTTCGATAGATCATCTGTTGGGAACACCGTCTCTTGGGCGTATTATTAACGGGACCCGGGATAATCTGCTGATCTACAGTAACTGCGACTGGAGATGGCAGAGGCGAAGTTTGCGATTGACGAGGTGATGGTGGATATGGAGCTTGGTTCGTTAGAGGAAATTGGGACGCTTGAGGATATGGAGTTGATTGAGCTGGAAAACAATAACTTGGAACATTTGATCCGTACGACATTTTTACAACTGTTTATTTAAATAATCGTAAGGCATCAACCCGTTTGTTATTCTAGAATTATGGGACAGAAGAAGATCAGCTAATTTCTCACAGTGCATTGCCAATAAGACTTTATTTAGAAATCACAGAAGTAATCCAGGAAGACAAGTCTTCATAAAACTTTTCAGCCGTTTCCGGGAGTTCGTTTGTAAGTGCATGAGCTGCACCTTCGTAGGTATATAATTTCGAACCTTCGATGTTCTTCTCAGCGAAGTAACACCCTTCAGGTGTGCAAATTTCGTCCTTCGTTCCGGTAAAAAGAACAACTGGAAGTTCTTTTGGGAAATTTCTCGCTTCAATCCAAGCTTGAATCTTTTCTTGGGCTTTGAGCATTCGAAGAGCGAATCCGCAGTCGTAGCCTCCATTGTCTCCGTATTCTTCGATATCTTTTTTTATCCACTCAGCGTGTTCCTTGTAAACATTGGCATTTATGCACAAAAAAAAGTCTAACCTTATTTCTGGTAATCAAATCGAGATCCAATGGAAGAGGGCTCTTCATGCTCGGGTAAATGAAACCAATAACTCGACCAAGAGCTCGAAGCCAAGCTGGTGCTGATTTTTTGTCAATCTACGTTGAATCGTAAGCAAAATTTTTTTTTAGATTTTACCTGGATTGCTGGAGCTAAAAGCATGAGCCCATCAATATCTGGTTTTTCGTTCATCACTGCTACAAAACTTATCAAGCCGCCCATAGAACAACCGAGCAGAAGACATGGAAGGGCTGGGTATTCTTCTCTTGCGATTTTGATTCTAGCGCAGAGATCGCTCGCAGTTTCATCGAAACTCTTAAGGATATACCCGATAAAATTGAACTTTCATAGCGTCGAAATGCGACGTAGGATCATTTATATTTCAAAAGCAATTCTACGTTAAAATGCACGTAGAACTCATATTTGGTACTTATTTATATTTTCTCATTTGAATTTTTCTCTTTAGAGCGATTTCAAATCTTACTCTCTCGATTACTCGAAATTTTTGGACTAAATCGGTCGAGATTTTTCGATAGATAAGTTCTTTAGACCTTTATCTACAATTTTGATGGTTTACTTTTCGTTAATTCCGAAGGAAACCGATTCTAGAGCCATTTCATTGAGGGCTACTCAGCGCGTGAAAGCTCTACAAAGCGGCGCGCTGGGAGCTCGCTCACTCGAGTCCTCTTTTCCGAGAGAAAGTGCGTGGTTGAGCGCACCGCTCTGATTGGTAGCACGCGAAAAAACGCGTAGAGAAGAAAACAAGGGTAGAAAAGAAGAGAACACTAGAATGAAAAATTCGATCGAGTTTAAGAATTTGATCCCATCAATTTTGTAGCTTAGCATCATTGCAATACAGAATACGGTTCAGTTTTAGCGATTTAGTGGAAAAATTTCGAGAAATCGAGAGAGTTCGTTTTCAAATCGCTCGAGAGAGGAAAATTCTTATGAAAATTTCTAAAAAAGTACCAGAATTTAATTTAAAGCACAATTTTAAGTAGGATTGCTTTTGAAATAAAAATGATCCGACCTCGTATTTAGGCGCTATGAAAGTTCAATTTTATCGGGTATATCCTTAATTTGACATCGATCGCGGTGGGTTCTTTCAAAAGGACCAGATTTTCCGTGAGCATAGTGATCATGACTGAAGACAACGGCGCCAAGTTCAAGAAGCTTAGGCAGAAATTCCCGCGTATAACCGTGGTTTCCAGCCCATTCGCCATAGCCATGACAGAGGTAGAAAACGAACTGAATATTTTTAAACACGTAAATTCTCAATAAACATACTTTTGGCGTTCCTTCGGGCTTCCATTTGTAAGTTTCTAGTTCGTAGCCAAATTTACTCTTGAATCTTCCGTTCTCCATTTGAGTTTTCGTATTTTTCTTGTTAAAAAGACTTGGTGTGCTTCTTCAAAATTTTTATGGTCGTGGACAATAGAACCAAGCAAAATTAATTTTGCTCCGAATTTGAAAAGCTTTTTTGAAAAGATGACGCCCCTAGGCTTCTTATTGACTCATCGAAACAAGCACGCTATAATCAAATGCAGTAGGCTGCATGCTGTACGTAAAGTTTCTATGATATAAGAAATGACTAAGTATTCTTGTTTTCTTGCAGCGGTTAGAGACTCTTCTGATGCATTTGAAATCGCAAAGGAAAAGTATAGGAAATCGCTTCTATTTAATGTTCTGCAAATACAGCATGAAATTAGCCGCTCTTTATAAAATACATGCTGAGAAAAGCACCTCATTACCAGTATCAAAAAACTAAGAGATGCAAGACATTCTACCCGCATACAGCTCTTTCAACTTCTGCCAAGACTACGACATTCATGTTGCCTTCATCACTGCCTGCTTTTGGATCAGCTACAATGTCGTCATAATGGGAGTTTCTTCGTACTACGGAAGCAGTGTTACGCATAGAAGCTTGTCTGGTGATTACTACTTTCTCTGGTTTCTTTTCGTCCTCAACTTCACATCCGCAGCGCTTCTCATGAACATCTATTCAAAAGAAGATCCGAATTTAAAAGTCCTTGATGCTTGCATCGGCCTATCTTCAATAGGTACACCTCGTTTCTATCTTCGCCCGTTTTCATCAAACTTCCTAGCCATTGGTGTTTCAACTCTCATTATTCTCAAAACTGTTTGCAGAATATGCACAGTGAGGATCGAAATCCAAGAAAATGATTTGGAAAAATCAAAACCAATCAGTCCGGAAAATCAAGTAAAATCAAGCGAGGAGCGTCTTCAAACCTTCTACATTGTCCAGATTTTATGTAAGGATTTCGTTTGCTTTCGCGTTTTTACTTATTTAATTCTAGTGATGCTGGTGAATAATATTTACGCTGGCGTTATCGTTGGATTCATTATACATTTTCTCAACGCCTGCTAGTAACTGTACAAAAAGAACTGTAAATATATGAATCTGAAGAACAGAAATTTTCTCCCTCAATCAGAATCATTGTTATGACAAAATTTGACAGTAACTCACAATGGTAGCATTATTCTTGGCAGCAGTTATGGTCCTAGAGAGATAGAACCTGTCAATTTTAATCCTAACTCAAACGCCGCTCAGCATTCTATTTTTTGATAGCTAGATTTGCTTTGCCTCCGAAATTTCGTCAGAGATTCCCAAACTACTGTCATTGAAGGTCAAAAAGCTGCGCTTGCATGTTAATTTTCTTTGCAGAATCTGAAGACCTTGAAACTTTCAAGCATATAAACAAGGCTCGAACAATTTTCGACGTTTTGCAGTTGTCCATGTCAAAATACTGGACAGCACGCTCTTTCAACTGTCTACAAAATTCGTTTGCATCCCAGAATTTCTCTTCTTTGTTTTCGAAGAAAAATCGACAAATAGCGAAGATTCTCTAGAACATTGCTCCAACAGAAAAAGTTTTGAAAACACCAAATCAGTTTAAAATTTGCACCTCCGCGAGATGATCAATCCAGTCCAATTGTCTCAGCTGAAGAATAATGTCGTGTATCTTTGGATTTTGAAGACGACTGCTGCTCTTGTCACTATGATCCCTGTAACTGCTGGGTAAGCTTTGTTTCTGCTTTTTCGATTATTTACATATTTTAGGCGAACCGCAGTGATCTATGCTAAGCAAATCATTGCATTCCTTCCAAGCTTGTTTATGGTCGCAATTACAGTACTTACTATGCTTTACCAGTCTTGGACGCATTCTTTGGCGAAAAAGAAAGGTAAATAAAACAGTAACTTTACAAATATTTTAACTTCCTTTTCAGAAGTCAAAATTACAGAGCTCGAGGAGAAACTGAAAGAGGAGAAGAAAGAGCGAAAGATGCTCCAGCGATCATCTGAACTCCTCCTTGATTGCGTCAAGGGACTTCAGAAGAAGCTCGACTCCGAAGTCATCTGCCGAAAGAACTTCGAAAGAAAGCAGCTCAAAAAGCAGGAAGAATACAAACATGAAGCTGACAAGTAAGTTCTTGAGAACACGCTTTAAATTCACCCTTTATTTAGCCATAAAGAACAACTGAACTCACTAAAGAACGTCTTGAAGGAAACCATCTTGGGCATGGAAGATGAGATAAAATCAACTAACAAGTTTAACTCTCTCCGCACTTCGGGAAGTTCTGGCGACGCTATTCGGGCTCATTAAATACTGTACGAAACGATCAAGATCAGTTAAAGCTTCAGATTATTCATAAGTGTGCGCATTTTCTTGTAAATATTGTATATATTTAATAAAGCAAACCTTTTTTATAAAATTTACCTTCGTTTTTATTTGCGGTTATTGAGGAGTTTTTACTGTAGATTTTGAGTGAGTTTTCTATCGAATCGTATTAAAATATAGACTTTTACGTTAACGAGGATTACTGTAAGAAGGATTTGTTATTGCTCAGCTTGAAATAACACGTGTTCTAGAAAAGAGCTTCTTTTCTGATTTTATTGAAATAAAAATAAAACGACGGGCGACCAGACAATATAAAAGACAAGATCCAAAAACAAAATCTGCAGATTTGTACACAGTATTAAAACCCGGATATTAGAGGTCTTTGTTGAACGTGTGGAAGGTGATTTTACCGTAAGTCTTTGCAAACTCGTATCGCGATCCTTAATGCATTTATTTGTGAAGGGTTATTTTTCTTGATCTTGGTTGGATCATCCATATCTTGACAGAATACGACAGAGATTCTTTGATTCTAACCTGGAATATAACCGGTATAGCCTGGCTTCATTCCCATTCCTCGCGTGAGACGCGAGTCAGTTTGTGGCCGCTCATGTGGTTTCAATCCTTGTCGAGGGAAGGGACAATACCGTCCTGTCTGTAGTTCGGAGTCCATTCGCGAAAGAGCTGAAAGACAAAATCAAGATCATCGACATTTAAATCCAATAAGCTCAATTTAAGAGTCAATTTCCTCAACTTCCGAAGCTATTTATGGAGCTGCGATTCGGCCAAACACTTAGCAGCTGAGTATTTATTCAACTACTGTACCTGATGTGCTGACGGTTGATAGACCGGCGGCGTAGAAATCTCGTGATCTCGGCAGATATCCTGTATAGCCAGATTTATGATATCGCTCGGGATTATCTTGGTTCATAAAGTAGCTTTTTGGAGGATTTGAAGGTGGCTGAGGAGCATTTAGATGAGGATGTGACATTGGATGGGCGGAAGAAGATCTTTCCGTGGTTAATATAAGGGTCAGTAATTGATTGTTTAATATTCCTAAAGGAAACTTTTTAACCTTGACCTTGATATTTTATTCGGCTCATTTGTCAGTCGCTAAATAAAGGAATGATGGTAAGAGTTTCCTGAACAAATGACGTTCTCGAGGAAGCGATCCTTCAATCACCGATTTTGATATTTGACAGTAAATGTCGATCAGATGTTTAGTAAGACTTGTCAATATCCGGCGCGGTCCTCCTGTTTGACCTTTTAAAGTCTTACCTGCTGAAGTTGTTGAATTTCGGCCGCTCGGATGTTCGTCATTTTGTGGGCAGTCCTCTTATTGTGCGTGTCTTTCGGCAGAGTTCAAAAGCAAGTTAAAAGTAAAACTGGCCGAGGAATAGTGGTTACCCAACTGAAGATTCTGCGGCACAGGAAACTCCCCATAGGAAGCTTGTATTTGATTAAATAAGGAGAGAAAAATGGGGAGAAAACACGGGATAGAACTTGTCCTTGACTACGAAAACCGTTGAGCGCACGGACAGCGTATCGCTCACCAATACCTTCGTTTCCATGACTCTTCGGCACATATCCTTAATAATCAGTCAAGAAATAATCAGATTACAGTATTTATCAGAGCTGAGGGTGAGAAGTGTCAAATACAATTGAAAGTTTGATCGCTAAAAATCCAATTTCGAGGAAAAAATCAGAAAACGAATAATAAAAAACCGGGCGGACATCCTTTCTTATCAAGATAATGCAGACGAACAGGAACTGCTCAGAAGGACATAGCTGTGTTTGATGATAAATATCGATGTCAAAATTTTTTGACTGGAGATTTATGACAGGAAGAGGTCAATAAAGCAAAGTGTACCTGTATATCCGGCTGGGGGCGTATTCGGGATAATCGAGCTTTGCGGTCGTCCATTTTCGGATTTGAAACTGCTCTGCCATGAACAAAAAGCTCCATTTTCGGCGACTAAAATTACTATTCTCAAGAACATCTTCCGGTCACTCACTTCTTTTCTACGGGATTCAAGAGATGTATGGGATCTCTTGCCAAGCGAGCCGCCAATGTAATAATTTCTCTTTTCCAGGTAGCCAGTGTATCTATATTTGATTAATTCTTCCGATTCTTTGCTGTGTAAAAATTTAAATTACCCTGGCTTGAAATGCGGCTCCGGAGCCATAAGAGTTTCGACTGTCATCTTTCGCCTTCTCTCTAAAAGGAAATCTCTTCTATGTCTTCAGTTGTGTTTTTTCAATGAAAGAAATGACGTTTGAAGAACGTGAGAAAAAGACTTTTTACGCGGGGAACTCTCAACTCTTGCGCTTTCAAAACATCATGAATTTGGGGTCGCCCGGGCGTAGTTGTTCAAAGTGCCACCAGCTTGCTTGCGACTTGATTTCCCGTTACTGCTGGTTACCAGCAGCTTCCATAAATATCAACAGAAAATAAAACTAGCAGGAAGTGGACCCCCAGTTCGTTGACTTGCCTATCTCTTCTCAAGAGAGTCTACTGTCAATAAATCTATCGACTACAAAATGATTGCTTGTTGATTTCATATTGCATGTTCCGATAAGTCCAAGCTAGAGCTCGAAATGCTGATCACTTTGATTTTCCTATACTGACTGAAAATCGAAAATCTGAGCTAAATTTTTAAATAAATTTTGTATTTTATTACAATTTCAAGATTTATTTCTATTTTGGAAATGTTGTCCAAAACAAGAAAACTCCTAGAAAACGCAGATGCTGCTCCTATCAGCCATCAAAACTGTCATTAAAGTTTCACATGCGTTCAAAACCTGTCGTAAAGCTCTTAGGGAATTAAGCCTATCATCGATAAGACGTAAAACATGCAGTGTTCAGCTTAAGGGACCCGGGCGAGTAACGCGAAGTCCAATTTCACGCGCTCGCCATTAATCTTTTTGAAAAGCTTTTTTGAAATTTCTTTTTGTTAAACATATCTTCATTCCCTCAGCTTTCACCTCCAATTTTCAGATTTTTTATATCATTATTATTTCTTGAGCTAGGATGAATAAAAGAAGCGCAACTTCAAAAGGATTCAGCTCCTGCAAACTTCATTTTATTTTCATGAAACCAGCACCATTGAAAAGCCCATTAAATTCTGAACAGATTCCACTTAATGCGCAAAGCTGAAACTGTACTTATTTGCGATAAAGGTTAGAAAAACAAGATAACTTAGCGCGCGCCCAGCGGGAATCATGTCCCGGGAGCCCAAAATAACTCAAAATAGCCCGATCGGAGCGTCCTGCCGAGCTTCGAGCGCTAACTTCTTTTGTTTATCAGCGCGTGAAGGGCAATAAGTACAGTTTCAGCTTAGCGCATTAAGTGGAATCTGTTCAGAATTTAATGGGCTTTTCAATGGTGCTGGTTTCATGAAAATAAAATGAAGTTTGCAGGAGTTGAATCCTTTTGAAGTTGGACTTCTTTAATTTACTCTAGCTCAAGAACTAATTATGATATAAAATATCTGAAAATGGGACGTGAAAGCTGAGGGAATGAAGATATGTTTAGCAAAAAGAAATTTCAGAAAAACTTCTTTAAAAGATCAATGGCGAGCGCGTGAAGTTGGACTTCGCGTTACTCGCCCGGGTCCCTTAAAGCTATCAGCGGATTTCTAGCAGATTTTGCTTGTCATTTCTGATGCGGACACAAATAGCGTTCAAAAGCTGCGGTAAATAGAAAGAAAAATTTTCTTTCAGAAGAGCGAACATGATACTGGACATAAAGGAACAGCACGCGTTTTGGCTACATCAAAGATGCATTCATTGACATTGAGTTCAAAGTAAAGCCAGGCCGACGGAACGTCACTGTGAAAGTTATATTTGCATATACGATTTCAGAAGGCATTTTTCATGCTGAAAGAAGTCAATAAGTTTTGATCTACTAAATCACGATTTATTCTTGAGATCAAATCTTGCATGTTCAAATTTCAGATTTCGATCAAAATTTCATCTCCTATCTTCAGATGCGCTAGCTCGCCCGGAAATGATTCCAACGAGTAAGTATACATTGACCATTGCTCGGCATGCTATCGACGCGGCTTGGCAGATTTTGACATTTGCCAACAGATCGGCCAAAACATACGCCTTTCTTTACCCCAAATCTCTTCGTTTAAGAGATGGATGGTTGTTTGTTGAGGATTTTATTTATCGGTAAATGTCCCGAATCAGAGCTGCTCTGACGTTTGAACATCTGCAGATACTCTTGCTCGGCGCCCGTTCCAATTTCGAAAGTCTCTTCTGTAATCGTCTCTAGAATGTTCAAGTCCCCTTTGTTGACCGACGGTTTCGCAGTCAGATAACCTGCAGATCCGGTTTCAGCGAAAGAAAATCACAAAATGGGCTGGCAAAAGATACGAGAGAGCTTTTCCGGGAAACAAATAAAACAAAGAGTTTCGGCAGTCGCTAGAAATACGAAGATATCAGTGCTTGATGCTCCAATACGCACAGAATTCGAGCCAGATATACTTGCAAGACTTCCAAAATTAACGTAAGATTCGGATTCTTTTCTGCTATTAACAAACGATTTAGCCATGTTCACCCGATGGAGCAGATCAGTTTATTCCGTGCAAAAATTAAGTATTGCTCCGAATTCTACTCATTCACGAGCAAGGACGAGACGGTGAGACGATACCGAGAACATAAATCGCAAACCTTCATCGAGTTCGCCGAGCAGGCGAAATCTTCACAACTTATTATGAACGAGTCCATACGAGAGGATTTTGTCACAATGCTGCATAAAAATATTGTTCCGCCGATTCCAGACTATGACGATGAGTTATCAGAAGAAGAGTTTAAGGTACGTTCCATTTCATTTTCGTTTATTATTTCTTTCTAGGATCCACAATTTGAGCACATCGGCTTCGCCCTAAACATATTCGCGCTGATCCTGAACAACCGTCATTTCAAAGCGTCGAAAATGAAGAACATAATCACCCAGAGTCTTATATCAGATTTATTCCAGCAAATGAGCCATCCAGACGAGCGAATCCGCGAAAGCCTAAAAACAGTTATCCACCAGCTTTACACGAATTTCATCGCGCAACGAACATTTATCCGACGAGAAATGAACAATTTACTCTTGGAATTTATATACGAAGACGACTCGTATAGAGGGGTCCCGCAGATACTCCAGATTCAGGGGAGCATAATCAGTGGACTGAGCACGCCAATCAAGTCGGAACACAAAGTTGTTCTCGTCAAAATTTTGCTGCCTCTTCATTGCTCAAGGAAGAGTTCGTTATTCTTGAAAGCTCAATTTGTAAATGTGCGGATATCGAACTCAACGAAAGAAAATACATGGCGTTTTCAGCTGGCCTTTCATTTATAATGATTCAGTTTATGCGGAAGGAACCATCACTAACAAATACGATCGTCGACGGAATAATACGAGTTTGGCCTGTTCAAAGTGCAACTAAAGGCAAGTCTCTCAATTTTACCGTTCATATTTTTTAAGTAGAAATCGAACTGCTCGACGAAATAGAAGAAATTCTATCCTGTATTGAGCCAGACGAGTTCGAAATGTGCTGCGCAAGCTTGTTTAGATGTTTGTCGAAATGCATGTCAAGCTCGCATTATCAGGTAATTCAGTGAATGTCAAACTCTGATCTTTGATTGAAAGCTTTGCTAGTTCCATAATTCCTAGCTCAGTTGACTTCGTCATGGAAAAAGATTCATTGACATCATCAAAAATAAATTATTGCCAAAGAAATTCCTTGATTTGTAGGATTAAAAATTTTAATAACATATTTTCAGGTTGCTGAAAGAAGTCTATATTTCCTAAACAAACCGTATATCATCGAATTGATCGAAAGCAATTTGAATCGAATCATGCCACAAATCTTGCCAGAGCTTATTGTCGCCGCAGAAGGCCACTGGAACTCATCGATAGTTCATCTTGTCTGCAACATTCTTCGCTCGTTGATGGAGCTCGACGAGGATCTCTTCTCGAGGCTGGTCGATGAAATCATGAAGACAAACGAAGACGAATGTCCAAGAAGATCGACAGCGAGAAATACCATCGCCCGAGCAAGTCAAAGAGCTTCTGAAATGGAAAGGAGGCAAACAATAGCTATGGAAGCCCAGCCAAATGCCAATTATTGACTCGTTTCTTTTGATTTTTATGCATTTTTCTGTACAATACGAATACAAATCACATTTTCAAAATCCGTTGAAGCTTACTGATTGATGCAATTTGTAGGATTCAAAAGAAATCTGCGAAACAAATATTAAGCCAGTGAAAATACTTTTAATAGAAGAATTAAAAATAGGTAGCACAAGTTTCATTTTCTAACTTTTTTCTTCGAGCGATTTTGATCGCAGCGCTTCCAATGCTTTTATCGAGTCAGTATCTAAAAAAAATATTGAACTGTCGATATATAAAAGATTATTTATTGATGCTTTCAATTTCGCTAAAGGACTGTTACTACCGATGATCTGGTCTATGAAGAATGTTTTAGCAGCTTTGAAAGCATCAATTATTAATAATTTAGTAGCGTCACACTTTTATGTCTCCTTTGACGAAACTGTTGCCGTTTCTACTCTATTCTCTTTTCGATACCTAAAAAGCCTTGGCAAACGGAGGCCCTCTGCTGACTACAGAGTGGAGGAGAAGTGGAAGTTGTTGCGATTGAGCTGCGCCGTTTGAGATGTTCGGATTTTGAGAAAAAGCCGATGGGAGTCTTTTTCAGAGGTCAATTTGATTTGAGCACTTTATCGTATATTTCTCGCCCATTAGCGTGCGACAAGAATAAATCATCCGTTCTATTCTTAGCAATAACCTTTCATCAGCAAAAGCATTTCGCTTTAACGACGCTCTTTTGTAATCAATAAAAAATAATTATTGCAATTATAAATCTATTCCGAGCTTTACGCAAATTTAACACCATATAAAACGCTTTCTATGTACAAATTGGCAATCTATTTTTGTTCAGCAAAAATGTAGTGCGTAATGATGATAATGAACCTACTTCGGTTTCTGTGAACAGAAATGACAAGGTCAAACCCATTTTCTGAGACAAGCGAGTCTTAGTTTCGGTCCCCAGGGGTAATATTCAGAGGATAAAATGAGGATAATCTAGGCGAATTGAGATCAAAATTTGTCTGGGCTGGGTTCCTCGGGATAACAAGGTATCCCCCTGTATATTAACTGAATATACAGTAGTCTTTCTTATAACGAAAAAAGAGACCCAAGAAAATAATGAAAGCTGATTGTTATAAAAAGGAAATGAATTGAGAATGGACCGGAAATAACTATTCAAAATTTGCTCAAAAATTAGCAACCTCTTGCCCAAATCAAGTCGTCGTCGATATCTGTGCTCTCCTTGCTAAGCTCTCTTTTCGGCTGTGGTCTTATCTTCTGCGCGTTCGGTCCTGTTACTGACGAGGCGGTGCTACTCATCTCTTCTTGCGCTGTTCTCTTGTTGTTGGTACTGTCCAAAACTGAAAAAATTTTTTTTCGTTTTTATTTTTTTTCCGCTGCGTGTAAGGGATATTCTGTGTGCGGCAAAAGTGGGACTGTGTTGGTTGTTCGCGCTGACAGTCGCTGTCCCGCGCTGTCTTGCGCCGTCCTCAGGCCAAAAAAATAAAATAAAAAAGACTTGCAAAAGACGGGTGAAAACAGATCTATACTAGCGAACCTCGCTCAAAGGGCAGTGCCATACTTTAGTCATCACTGACCTCTAGCAGGGTAAACAGATGGACTCCCTTTGTCTTCGGGGATGGGAGATTTCGCGGGACCTTTCTAATGAGTCAAATGAGTTTGAAAAAATTATTGTCACACAGACGATGCGGCGTAGTTCCTTGAAATACCGGTGACTTGCGGCAAGAAAAAATGAAACTTATAAAATTCAAAAATCAAGACTCCCGTCGGAAAATCAATGATAAAAATTTGTCTGATACCAGGAGGGGGGAGTTCGCTACGAATGTGGAGAAACCTTAGTCCCAAGAAATAAGAATTTTCAAATTTAACTCAAATCTACAAAGATTCAAGTTTACCCTGAAATTGGTCAAAAGAAAGGCTAAAAAATCTAAGAAATGAACAATTTTAAATGGTCTAGTTTCTCCAAGGGGAGACTGATTGAAATGACCTTTTTGAAAGATGACAGGTTTACATTCAGAGAAAAGAAGGCCTTATTTAGACAAGGAAAATCGAAGAAAAGGATTCGCAAAAAGGAACATCTTCAAAATGATTGATTAGCGCAGATGAGCATGTTCATATCTGACGGGATCCATTATCCAAGAACCACAGAGTGAGGCACACTAATTAATGGAACCGGAGAGTGATGGGACTGCGCTTGGCTTTACGAAACAGTAAGATGATGGCCATTTCAACCAAAAAGATTATTTGGAAAGGCCCCTGGATGATCCTGAGCCAGACGGGCGAGTTATCGGCGTCACGAAACTACAGTAGTGTTGGCACATCTGTGCTAACCCTTGGGCTCAGTGGAAAATCAATCGCGGAAAACTTAATACTCCCGCGTCTGATGTCAAGGCTCTTTACTAATTCAAAATGACTTGTGTCCAAAAATAAATTGTCATTTCCATAAAGCCGCATTTCCAAAACTAGAAATCCTCTTTTACAGTGAAAAACTTACTGTGATAACGATGTTCTCTTCAAATTTCAAAAATAGATTCTCTCGATCTTTTCGAGAAAAGAAACCACCTGAGTAGTTTAAACCCGATCAAATGCAAATATCAACCGCGGATGCATTTACGAGCGCCTCTTAAAATGATTCAATCAAAGTTTTTCGAATATAAAATATCCGCTAGTCTCTGAGAAGAGAGTCATCGCTGATTTCAAAAAAAGTTTTAGCTTTATTTGCACTTTTGTGTGAATTTTTTATTTGAAGCGGGGAAGAGTTTTTATTGGGGGTAAGAATCATCTGGAGAATTTACTCATTTTTTTTTATTAAAAAAACATTTACCTTCACAAATAAGTATCATCTTTTTTTTTCAGGTGAAAAATGAACTGATTCTCTTTTTTGATTTTTCTCAATAAATAATTTCAACCACTCTTATTATTTTCAATTTATGGAAAGAAATGGCGGCGCTAAAATCCCACCGTCGCGATAAAAATGCATAAATTATGTGACATCAATCAATACGGTAATTTTTACCTGGTAGTTTTTGCGAACTGGTGCTACGGTGACTTTTGCTGCTCTCTTTGCGTTTCCATACTCTGCGAAGGATACTTTTGAAGGCAAGAAAGAACTAAAAAGAGATGACTATCAATTATTCGGGGAGGTTCTCAAACAGCACCTTATTTATAGAAGCTGGAGATTAAAGTTCAAGGTCCGAGACTTAAAATCTGAGCCAGTACTGTAGTGAACGCTAAAATATTCAAGCTCACAGACTGTGAGTCACAGTAGTTAATATCTGAGAATCTAGTCTATCTCTATCTGGCGGAAAGCAAACTTTATCAACAATTCATTTGCGGCTAAAAACTGATGGAAATTCCGCCGGGGTCTTGTCTATCCTCGATTCTCTTTTTTAAAGTCTACTGTGCAGATTCTCACTCTTCATTATTATTAGTTTTCTTTTCTAATAAAGATGTCATGAGGGCCTTTTTTGGCAAAACGATATTGCCAATAGCATATTGAGACTGCTCAATTTTCATTTGCAATTCAAAATTCAAAGCTGTGGCCTTGAATCAGCGCCAGTTTCAGATGATTGTTTTGGCCATCAGAATAAATTAAGCCTCAGTAAGGCATCGCATGAACGTCAAAATACCCCTATTCCGTATTTATGCGAAAGATTGCCGAAAATAGAAATGACGAGCCGACAGATTTCAGCGTTTTCAGACAGAACGACGTTTCAAAATGACTAATTCAAATAATTATGACGATCCGAGTAACCGGAAATGATGGAGGATCGAAAAAAAAGCTTGAATAAATCAACGATTCTTACCTTCATGATGAGAAAATTACCCTATTCGGGACGGGTACTGCACAAAGTTCATTTAGCAATATTCTTATCTACAATATTTTTAATCCAAAAATAATATTAGTTTTTAAATTTTGAACTCTGATCCTATCTCTTAGAGTTTGGAAAATGCCCGCTCTGGCCTCTGAGTTTTATTTTATTGGCACCCATTTGAGTCGTCTATGATTTCAAAATTTTGAAAAACAACTTTTCCCGTCGAGTTTTCTCCCTCGGCGAAATTCCGCAAACGCTTTGCAAAACGGCAGCTGCTTCGCTTTCAATTTCTGTTTTGCAAAAAGCGTTCTACGAAATTCCCCCAGTGGTCAGCCGTTTAGGTCATTTATGAGGATGGGAATAATGAAGAGCGGGAGTAAAATTCGCTGGGTATTTATGCTGGTGAAATCGCTTCCAGGATAAGTTTCAGAAAATTAAAAATAGACGCCGGGCGCGTTGCGCTGCGATCAAAAAAAGATGAGAGGCCTGAAATAGACGCCAGAAAAGATCTGTATCTGAGAAGGCATTTCGAATTGGGCAGTGGTAATAGAATTAGTAATTCTGAATTACCCATCTAAAAGCTTTTCTTTCTCGGACACTGTTGATGTCTTCCAGTAGATCATCGATGGAGAGCCTGAAATCCACATTCAGATAGATATTAAAAGCCAACCAGCTCAATTTCGAGCCCAACAAAAGTGACATCTTTTGTCTACCAGACGATCCCCTTCTCAAAAGCCACCAACTCGGTCTCAAAATAAAGTCTTCTCTACGCATGCCCGTCATTAACCAGAAGCTTTTTCCTGGAGAAAAAGTCCAACGAAAAGGATATTCCGATGGCATATGATAGCCGCACTGTGCCCGGAAGGCTGATTCAGATTCTGGAAGATCTTCGATGGAAAGCCGCGTAGCGGCTTTTTCAATAACGGAGCCGGGGTTTATTACATGGTACAGATCCTTACATGGTACAAATCCTTACATGGTACATTTCCTTACACGGTACAAAAATAAAATTGTACCATGTAAGGATTTTGTACTATGTAAGGATCTTTGTACCATGTAAGGAAATTCGAAATAAATGTTTTCGAAAACAAAAATTGACACATTTACTCAAAACATTATTCTACTCGACCCCCTATCGAGCAAAAATTTTTATTTCAAAAATTTTATTTTCATTATATTTTCGTATTTGATACGAAAAGTTAATTTTCGTAGTTAAATTTACTCAGAATTGAACTCTCCGACACTCGTTTTAGTCGGTTGGTCGATAGTAAGTCGATGTTTTAATGTGTAGCACTAACTCAAATTGGCAAAATCCGCGGTCGGTTGGGTCGGTCGGGTCCGATTATCGGTCGGTTTTTCATTGCGCACAAATTCTGAAAATTTTACAATCAAAATAGTGACTTCGCGGATGTGCGTTAGAACGATAAATTTGCACCCCACTTCTTGATTAATAAATTATATATCGAAAAACTTCGAAAAAATTGTTTCTAAATCGACATGTCCATTTTCAGTCGTTACTCTAAAAATTTCTTCATAACGACGGGGTCTTGTTACGATCTGACCATGATTGCAGGGAGTTACAGGCGTCGGAAGGTGCTTCATGTTCAAAATGGATATTTTGGCCGATGGGGGTTAAAATCATCCATACCTAAAAAAAAAAGGGAATTTTATAAAGCCTAAGCAGAGTTTGAAATTTTCGTGACTCGCGAGCGGCTCACTTGAGAGCGAGCGAGCACGAGCATGATGCTCTTTGCGCTCCCGAGCATATTGATTTCTGCGCTCGCGCTCTTTGCGCTCGCGAGCGCATTTCATTTTGCGCTCTCGCTCTCTTGGCTCCCGAGCACTGGTCGAATTGTGCTCTCGCTCGATCGGCTCTCGAGCTAAAAAAATTGACTCGCGAGCAGCCTTCCAGAGCCTAAAATGATTCGAAGGCCCCGTGACTAATTCCAAATGAGTCCCTCTCCCAGGAGTTAGCACCTCGCGGTGGGCATGTTTTATCTGTTTAATCTCGGCTTTACGCGTTCTACTGCCGAGATAACGTACCTAATGAAGCTTTCACAAAACGGAAAACACGAGAAATTGACCCAAGAAGAAATATATTTATGAAAGTGAATAATTATGCGAAAAATTTTTCTTTTAATTTTGCTCGCGAGCCGCTCGTGAGTCAATTTCATGGCGAGCACGAGAGCAGCCGCTCCCGCTCGTCTAGCTCCCGAGCATTGCCAACATATGCGCTCGTGCTCTCTGCGCTCGCGAGCGGTTTCAAGTCTGGGCTCGCGCTCTTTTGGCTCTCGAGCCAACTTCATTTCATGCTCCCGCTCCCCTGCTCTGAGAGCAACGATAAATTTTCGCTCTCGCTCTTTTCGCTCGCGAGCATTTGCGAGCATTTCAAACTCTGAGCCTAAGTTTCAAATCCAAAAGGCCGACCCGTCCCGACCGAACCCGACCATGATTCTGGCCATTTTAAAATAACTCGACCCGACCCGACTTTGAAAAAGGGTAATCGGCACCGACACTGGACCCGACAACTTATAAGTGTGTCTAAAAATTGAGAACAAATATGAAAATATAATAAAATTATTTTTTTTGAAGTAAAAAATATGCTCAACAGGGGTGTAAAGTAGAATTATGTTTTGGCTGAATGTGTCGATTTTTGTTTTTAAAAATTTTTTATTTTGAATTTCCTTACATGGTACAAAAATCCTTACCTGGTACATTTCCTTACCTGGTACAATTCCTTACATGGTACAATTTGATTTTTGTACCATGTAAGGATTTTGTACCATGTAAGGAAATGTACCATGTAAGGATTTGTACCATGTAAGGAAACCCCAACGGAGCCGCGAGGCGGCTTCGCCAATATTTGAAAATATCTTGTTAGATTAAGTTAATTTGGCGAAGCCGCTTCGTTCTTTCCTGTCTTCCGGCGACTATCTGTATGTCTTGCTTTAGACGTAAACCTAGTCTACAGTCCTGCAAAAGAAAGAAGAGAGAAAAACCACGAAAAATGAAGCTGTCAATAATTGATTTGTTTCGTTGATCAGTTTCTTTTGATTCGATTAGAGATGATATATATTTTTATTTATATATTCCAGGGATGGTGTTCGTTGGCTAAAATTCGAAATCTCGATGATACATGAGCGTTACAGGAAGTCGGATAGGGAGGCATTGTGGTACAAATTGGTGACACTGTTTGTACGCGACCAATGCTTATCCAGACTTGAAAAGCAAGATGGCGACCTAAACGGGAGAATTGTTAGAGCTTGAACGGATTAAAGGAGTGGTTACCTGGCCAAGGTAGAAGTAAATAAAGTGCTTCGTCTCGTGGGTGACGTAGGAGCCGAAGTTTCGGCCGACGATGCAGTGCCAGGTGGGGCTGAAGAAGAAAGTGTTAATTCAAAGAGGGTCAATTGGGAGATTAATTTACTGTATGTAAGGAAATTATATGAGCGGAAATGCATCCTAATTATCAGTCTATTTTCCAGTGTATTTTCAACGCCAAAAACCTAAATCAATTCATCTCCAAGACTCTTGGACCAAGAGAAATGATCTCAATCGATTTTTTTAAAAAGTGTCTTTGGATTCTAGAACGCGAATTTATAAAATTGTTTGTTCCTTATCTGGAGGGTTTGAAAAGAAGGCTTACCCATATTTCTTGTCGAATTCTTTTTTGATGAAAGCAGCAATGTCCTTTTCGATATTGTACTTTTCGAGGGCCTGGGTGGCGCATTCGACGGCGTCGGTCTGCATGTCTTCCGACATATCGGCATTCTTGATCACGGCCTTTCGCTCAGTCATCTTGCTTTGTTCTGAAAAATACAAACTGTTATCTTCGTAAATACTTTCTTTTAAACTAAAAATGACGAATAAGAATGAGAATTGTGCGTTTGTGTTTGAATTAGACAAGAAAATCGATAAATTTTGAGTCAAAAAAGAAGCGTTACTGTAAATTTCTCTGTATAAGTTACTGTATTTTGTCTCTGGGTGCGAGAGCTCCGCTGTTGGCTATTTTGCAATTTTCAGCGAAAAAATGCGAAAATCGTTGCTTACCTGATGAGTGATTCTTGGTGAATGGAACTGCAAGGGGCGCGCTGGTCGAGTTATATAGTGAGTGGCTAGATCTGAGCGCGCGCGCTGATTGGCCGAGCCCAACTGGCTAGATCTGAGATCCCATGTTGCCATGGCAACCTCGCGACGACGTCGAGCTAGGGAGTCCGCGAAAGCACGAAATTCGTTTCTAGATTGCCTTTTTCGCGAAAAAGTTGTTCATTTGCAAAAATCGCGAATTTTTTTCAAAAAAATCGGATTTTCATCAAAATCCGCGGATTTAGCCATGAAATCATTCTTTTTGTGAATTTTAACACTTCTCCATGAAAATTCTAGCACTTAGATTTCTTATACTGCGAAAATGGCGGTAAAAATCGCAATTTCGTCGAGTAAAATCGGTAAAATGTCATTATATTACTTATTATTTCAATAGAATTTTTTCTAGCGAAAGAAGGACACTGTCGATGGCCAGAAAATTACTGGCAGTGAATTTTTACCTCGAAAAGCGTCTGAATTACCTCAGTAAAACTTGATTTTCACCAAAAAAGCATTGAAATCAAACCTATCCCGGTCGCAAAAACGGACACCCTAGCAACCGAAAATTGTCCTTGAACTTGGAGCACTGCTCATTTCGGCGATTACTGACTCTATTTTCGTAGAATAGATAATAAGCAATCAACTACCAGCAACTTCCATTTCCAATCACGTACACTTCAAACTTTGAACTTACAGATTCCAGTCAGTTTCAGGAGAAATGTTCAAAGAAGCTTGTAAATTATTCAAGCACTTTTCTTTCAAGAGCTTGGGAAAAAAAGACCTTGGCGATTGCGTTCTAGCCCAACTGGAGAAGCTCCTGAGCTTGTCGAAAGAGCAAATTTGCGCTAACAATCTCCGCGCTGACATTTGTTGAATACGTCGACTAGTGACGAGTACTGTGCATTTCAATGTGGGCTAGAGGCAAACAAAGAACGTCTCGCGAAATTCCAGCGATAATTACATCGCAGAGTCGAAATTTTCAGACAATGAACGCATCAAATATTTGTCCAGTTTCCGGTGTCCAGTGTCCAGTTTGACTTCAAGTCTTGTCTTCATAAATTTAGAATCGTCTTCGTCGACCGAAATTCTATTGTTTCGAGTGATCCAAAATCCAATGTCCATGACGAGATTCTTTTCAGACTTGAATATTTTCAATTATTAAGACCATAATTATTAATTAATTTACTGACCATCCACGACTGATTCTTCTTCGCTATCCTAAAGCTTTTATTTTCCATCATAAGTGGATAAAGGCTTTATGATTGAGCTCTAAAATCCAAAGAAAAGAAGAAAGATTATCCTTTCACAAGCAATTTTCTTGGCAGTCGCAGGTATCACGCCTGAATCTTTGTCTGCTCACTTTCACCAGCAGTCAAGCGCTACCTGTTCTGCGATAATCACTGAAGATTGCTGAAGAAAAATAGACGTGGTCGTCAGAGTTCATTTCAGTTTGCAAAAATAGCCGAACCGATTGTCAAATCGGTGAAAAATCTTGGCGCTAAAGGACATTTACATCTGCCTCAAAATCTGATAAAATGAACGAGTTGGTGAAACTTGTCCGCATTTGCAGTTATAACGAGAGATGGTGCTTGACGGTGAGTTTTTGTTTTATTTGATCGTAAAATTTACTGAGCAAGATTTTTGAAAACATGCGTTTTTAATAAACACTAATATACAATCAGTGATATTTGATGAATTAGAATCAAATCATAAGTAAATTTAACATCTCTTAATAAAAATTATAATTTCCAATTATTTACTGGTCCTTCTCGGAAGCTGATAGAAATTCATTATCAATAAATCCGGCTAATGATTTCACATATTTGCTTTTGTGTGACACGCTCAATCCGTAAAATCACCCGCTTGAGCGCAATGTGTGGAGTTCACGGGCGCGGCGGGAATTCAAATCGCGCGGGAAGCCGTTGCGCGCCACTGATTGGAGGACACGATTGTGCGCGTCCACAAAACGCAAAGTGAGCTGAGCTCGCGGCAAATTCAAAAAATAGATTTTTTATTAAAGAGATCTAAAAGAAAACCTGTAATTGAAGAAAGAATTAAGAAAGTAGAAGAATGCGACCAAAGCGGGTGAAGACTCCATCTTCATCAGATGTGGAGATGGAACCAGTAGAAGTCTTTGCGAGGATAAAGACGGTTTCTCCAACTGAGGTAAATTTTCTTTATTTTCTTCAAATATTTGTCTTTACCAATTATTCGCTCAAGTAAATTTTGACCTAAGCAAACTTAATCAAAGACATTCTAGCACAGTGAATTCTGGCCCAAATATACAGTAGTTACTGTTTCTAAAACGGATATTTGATTCATAACATTTAACGATTCTAGTTGTAATAATACACTTCCTCAACAACTTTATGACATCGTTTTCAATGGCTGACTTGTTTCGTTCTGAGAGCAGCCCGCTCTTTTGGATATTGTTTTCCCAACAAAATGATAAACAAAAGGCCTCTTATACCAATATCATTCTGAGTGTTCTATTTAGGACACATGCGTCGATTTCGTGGACGAGCGAACGGTCGATTGCAAGCCACCGCCAGATGTGGTTAGCGACAAGGGCTCGCGAGCTACTTTCACGAAGGTGTTCAACCAAGGCGCTGCCCAGAGCGCGGTCTACGATGAGATCTGTAGGCCGATGGTCAAACGGCTCTTGAAGGGCAAATCGGGACTGCTGTTCAACTATGGTGTGACTTCCTCTGGCAAGACTTACACCATGACTGGTAGTCCCAATCAGCCCGGCTTCCTCCCCCGCGCCATGGAGATGATCTTCTCGTCGATTGATGGTCACCAGACGAAAGAGTTCCGCGTGACATCAGACGATCGCAACGGCTTCAAGCTTCTGAGTGAGACTGACATGATGACCCACAGACTGGAGAAGCGAAACGAACTGGTCCACAGTCGAATTGCGTCGAGAGGCTCAACCAACACCGTGCCAAACTACAACATTGATGAGCACTACATGGAGAGCCTTTCTGAGGGCTTTCAATATGCGGTTTTCATGACATACTGCGATATCTACAACGAGTCGCTGTATGATTTACTGGCACCACAGAGCAAGACCAGGAAACAAGAGAAATTGAGAATCAGGGACGAGTCACTAATTTCTATGATAAAATTCTAGTTTCTAAATCGAAACAAATTTGAACTCGAAAAAGGGATGACCCTGAGCGCGGAGTATACGGGCACAATATAACTGTCAAAGAAGTTCGCTCGCTAGAAGATGCGCTGCGAGAATACGAGCGCGGCCTGAAGCAGCGAAGAATGGCAGAAACTTCTCTGAACAGAACCTCCTCACGCTCGCACGCGATCATGAGCTTGCACGTCGTGAGGATACCGTACGACAGGAACACTGGCGACGTTTTTGAAGACCAGGTCGAAGATGTCACCAGTTTTGCGTCGAGTCTGCATTTGGTTGATTTGGCAGGCTCGGAAAGGCAGTCGAGGACGAATGCGGCTGGCGATCGACTCAGAGAAGCGGGAAATATCAATAACTCGCTGATGACGCTCAGAAGATGCATTGATATTCTCCGACAAAATCAGGTAAAACAAAATTCTTTCAAGAACGATCCTTAAGCTTGTTTCTAGCGCACTGGAGCAAGAGGAAACGTCCCCTATCGCTCGTCAAAGATCACCCACATGTTCCGAAACTTTTTCGAAATTCTCGGCGGCGTGAAACTCGTCATTTGCCTGAACCCGGCGGCCTCGGAATTCAATGAAAACCTCGACGTTCTCAATTTCGCCGAAGCGGCGCAAGCGATCGTCTGCAAGCGTGAAATCAAGGAAGACATCGAGGAAGACTTCACAGCTCGGGAGGAACAGGCCGCGATGGCCAGAGCGAAGAAGAATAAGAGGAGGACGATCTTTCAGCCTTGGATGGTCAATGAAGAGGTAAATCATAGAAGAAATTATAGTGTTTTAAATTTGCAAGAAATTTTAATCGATATTCCTAAGAATTTTTTTCATAATTATTGAAATATTAAAATTTTTTTTAATCCCTTTTTTTATTTATAAATAAGTTATCTTTATTCTGAACAAAAATTTCTATCGGCATCATTTTCTGCCATTTCTTGTGAAATCCGCCCTTGCGCTCTTCTAGACACTGTTTTCGAGCCAAACCGGTTGCCCTGCTCTCGCTCTTTTTTCACTTTTTCTTCATTTTTGCGAAAGAGAAAATAAGAGAAGCACGAAATCTTGGAAATGGAAAAGCCGGAAAGTCTGTTTTCTTGGGTGAATACGGCCAAAAGGGGAGGGAACAAGAAAGAGAAAGGAAATGGGATGAGTGGGGAAAGAAAGGAGGCCGATAGAAATAGGCTCAAAGAAGCGGCCACGGTAATTTTGAATGATTTTTATGAAAATAAGGTCTTTAATTTTTAGGGATGAAAGTTAAAAGATTAGGTAGAACAGTTATTCCCTTATTCACTTATAAGAATTCCAAATTTTCCTTTAGATTAAGTTAATCTTTTAAAATTGATTCAGGCTCTCGCTCACGGACCACCTCTGCCATGCGTTGAACTCTTCAGTTGTGACGACGCCGAGATGATACCTCAGCTGATCGACATCATCCGGCAGCGAGTAGAGCGTCGCGAAATCATCGGGGAAGAGACCGATCGGCTGACGACAACTTTCCGCAAGAAACTCAACCACTTTGAGAGGGAGAATGTCGATGCTCTTGGCAAACTGCGCATTCTCGAGCCTCAGGTTGAGAAAATCGAGGGCGAGAATGATCGGCTCTTGAAGGACAACAGACGATTGGAGAAAAAGAACAGAGCGCTTATGGAAGCCCAACGGGTTTACGAGCTCGATAAGAAGGAAGCTGAAGCAGAGCTACAGGTAAAAATCGAATATGCTAGACTTAGAAGCTTATTTATTCTTTTAGGCGATGAACAACAAGCTCGAGAATGAGAGCAAATCGAAGCGGCAGATCGAAGCCGCTGCAAAGCGAAAGATGGAGGATGAGCGACGAAAGTTGAACATGGAGACCTCTAGAAAGCTTCGTGAAGCTGAAGAGAACTCCAAGAACAGGCTCAACCTGAACGAAGCCAAGATGGATCAGCTTAGAGTAAGAAAAGCGATCGAAATCAATTCTAACTTCTTCTTTTAGAATATCCTCTCGAAGAACTCTCCCCGAACGCCCGTCTCCCGTGTCAACCGCGAAGTTGAGCGCGTTGAGCGAACTCCTGTATCTTCTGCACGCACTGTAAGTATTCATTGTATTGGAGAATTTCCATCATTTCAAGGATTTCAAGAAACCAGCGATCGCGCCTAAGCCCAAATTTGACCCACAGGTTGAGCTTTTTTGCGACTAAATTCACGCAAAGCTTACTAAACACGCAAACGATCAAAAACTAACTCACTAAATACCCCGTCAAAAGTCCATAGACATTTACTAATCATTTCTTTCAGCGTAACCTTCGCAAACGATCTGTCTCCGAGACTAGAATGAAGGAAGAAGCAGGCATAACACCTGGTATGTCTGTGAAGACTCCTTCTGCTTCGAACATCAAGGAAAATCGACCCCCACGCCCTGGACGATCTCAAGAACGCGGTCGTGGACCGGTAAGTGTACTAATTTCGTCATCTTTAATTAACTCCTACTTTCAGACAACCGATCATCTCGCGCACAAGAGACGATCCAAGTCGGCCGACAAATGGCTTGCTCACACGCCCAAGGAAACTATTGACCCTGGCACTGTTCTTCAGGTAGAATCAGGTTGTTAGCCCAAATTTCTAATTCCAATGTTTAGCCAAAAGTCATCGCGAAGAAAAATGTTCACATTCCTTCCGTGGGTGACCTAAAGACCGTCGACCAGTATCTCCTGACGCATCAGGAGCTCGGTACCGGCAATCAAGTCAAAACGACGCTTGTGAAAGGCGAAGTCTACGGCACCCGCACCGGCGGAACTCAAGTCAGATTCACTGGCAAAGAAAAGCTGACATCTGGCACATCCAGCGAGTAAGTTAAAACGGTGTGAATTGATCGGTAATTGTTGGTGTTTAGCAAGCGAGGAGTAAAGAGGCGATCGAATGAGGAGCCCGAATCTCTAGAATCGGCATCATCCGCCTTTACGGATATCGCAGCGCGTTGCGATCTCGCAGTCGTTCACGAGAAAGGCGCCTCATCTGCCCATATTACTAACTCCAATAATAAGTGAGTCCTTCATCAATTATTGATCGAAATTGAATGAAAAGAAAAGCCAAGATAATTAACGAATAACTTCAGGTTCCGTCGCAAGTAAAGAAAAACCGCTTCACAAAAAGACACACTTCACCCGTTCCAAATAAACTGTACTATAATCTCCCATTTTTTGACATTTTTTATCTGTATTGACCTGTCTCACCTCTGCATTTTCACTCCCACTTCAACTGTTCAGAAATAAACCTCCTACTGGAAGTTGAATGCTCTTTTTTCTTTTAATTATTAATTTTGATCTTCAGAGATCGAAAATAAATGCCCGAAGCGAACTCGGACTTTTCGGACATTTCTCTTTCCGGAAGTGAAGCAAGCACCGATCTTTCTGAAATCAAGGAGGACAAAGTTTTCTTGACATCTTCGGACTCCTCCCGTGATTCTTCGGAGGGCGAGTCGACTGAAAATGTCCGAAAACGCAACCATTGTGACATAGCAGGACTCAAGAAAATCATTCTGAATCATTTGCGCCCAACAGATCGCAATATAGTCAGCAAAAAGAAAGAGTCAAGCAATTCAGTCGAAGAGGCCAAGATTGTGCCGGAAGTAAGCAAGCAGGACTCGCTGGAAGATGCTTCAGATGCGAAGAGAATGTGCTACAGACACTCGGAGTCAACCGACTCCATGATCAGCTCGCCTGATTCCGAGTACGAGCTCGATCCATTGATCATCGATGCATCGAATTATTTGGATGAAATGTTGACCGAAGAGGAATTTAACAAGGTCAGCTTTTGAGCATTTCCTGATCCCTAAAATCTCCGTTTTAGGCTTTTACGAGAACAAATCGCCGGGTCGCTCTTAGAGGATTTCCAGAAAAGACTAATCGGGATGATATTATGTGCTTGTTGGCAAAAAACGACTTGGAATTCGATACTGTTCATATGGATAAAAATGGCGCCTCGTGTAAGGTAAAGACTCTTTACTAAAGAGACGGACTAATTAACCCATTTTAACTAGGTCTTATTCAAAAACGAGGAAGAGGCAAGAAAATGCAAGCTTTTAGCAAGTGAGCTTGGAAAAGATTGGAATTGGGATCTTGTTTGGAGGAATACTGAGTCTAATTTTATGATTTGGTTGGTTATCTTGAATTATTATTTTGTAACGTAGAATAAGTGTGTCCCATTTACCCCTTCACTGGACGGAAGAGGAGCTGAACAAACTTGTTTATCCATTTGGTGGAACAGAAAAGTGTTTCATGGTCAAGTCTAAATATCTTGATGGTCAGTCAATGGGTTACGCCTTTCTTGAATTCACTTGCAAATCATCTGCGATTCGGGTATACAAACAAACTGTGAAGTAAATAGTGTAATACTCTTTTATAGATAAGAAACGAGCTTCATAACTCTCCGGTTGAAGGAGCGATCCATAGGATACAAGTGCACTGGGTCGATCGTGTTCATGATGTGTTCAAGAGTTATGAAAACGTCTATAGTAAAGTTTTGTTTATTTCACTGCCGACTGTTGATAACTTCAAGTTATGGGTAAGCCTTAAAAAAATTTTGATGGCTTGAAAATTGTTTTAGGATCTCATAGGAACAATAAGGAATCATGAAAGACCAATCTACATTGCCAGAGTTAACATTGAAGATCCAAAGAACAAGTATTTGATTACCGAATACAGTAAGCGCTACTGATCAATCACAGTTCTCATTTTCTCGTAGATACGCCCGAGAAAGCTGCCCGTGCCCATCGTTTTATTCAAGAATCTGATGATTTTAACCAAGTCTCCTTTTGTGTTCCTCACTATTCCGCTATTGTTATTCAGAAGTCATTTGAAACTGTCTACGATAAAGTAAGTTAGACCAGACTTCATTCCCCACTTGTTTTTTGTGGAATCCGAGATAGATATCTCCATGTTTTTAATATTCAAAATTGTTTTTATGATACAATCTTAACGGTAGTCGAGCAGTATTGAGAGACCGCCAAATAACCTCTTCTATCAGTTCAACGATTTTACCAAAAATGATGCCTCCTTCAGTCTTTTAAAGACTCCGCCCAGAAGAAGCCTACCTAGAGAAATCTTAGCTCCCAGAAGTGAAAAAACAACGATGGCATCAGCTCCAATTAGCTGTAGCACTCCAGTAGTCATCCAAAATGGCTTTTATCATGCAAATATAACCAACTCTAATAGCCGATTTTCGTCTCAAAAAGATGGTTTTTCGAGGTACGAGTTCTCTCTTATTTTTCATCATACCACCCTTTTTCTTAGTCGAACTCAAACATACTATGCCTACCAAACTGTCTGTCCAAATCCAAATATGATTACACCTGCAATGAACACTCAAAGCTGCCAGCCTACATTTTCAGCCGAACACCGATCAAACTACCAAACCGCCCAATTTCAAGCCGTCAATGCCCACTTCATTCATGCTGCTGGAGGTACCACTGCTTCTGCCCCACAATTCAAGCCCGCGCATAACTATTCACGAAATTCTGCCGTGCAGAACATGCCCATTTCTTATCACAATGCCGTTTCATACGCTCGACAATCCCAATATCCAGTAAAAGACAGAAGCCTTTGTCAGGATCTCTTCAACGTTGGCACCACTGATCCTGTCACTAATCATGTAAGTAAAACTCAACTCAATCTCTCTGACCAACATTTAGCGACTGGCTCAAGAAAGAAGCCGTAAAATGGAGGAAGAGAAGGCGATAAGAATGAGAGAGCGTTGCAGAATGCAGCAAGCATTCCGCCGCGCCGAACAACAAATTTACGCCAAGAAGGCATCGATGCAACTCAATCGCCCCTATTCCAATCTTTTTCAAAGCAACTCGGCTCCCTCTTATTACGATTTTCATCAAGTTGAAACTGCCTCGTGTGTGTCATTCGCAACCGAATCAGTACAGGTAACTTCATAAGGCCCAACACAATAGAATATAATTTTGTAATAAAGGATTCGCCAAAGTCGAGCAACTATCTTGGCGACAAACTCATGAAAAGCTTGGATCTCGTCAGCCCAGAAAAGAACCCTCTTTCGGTATATTTTCTAGTAATTCAAAATTTATTCACGCATTCATAGTTTCAACCAAATTCTACTGCATCTATCAAGTATGACCACGCATTCAACTCCGGGTAATATTTCTTTTAAAACATGCCTCGAATAACCACTCGTTCAGATCACCAGCCCTTCACACTGGTTTTTCCGGCTAACAAGTTCTCTGAAACGCCCGTCCTCCGTCCTATTAAATTCTCCACATCTTCAGCTTACCGTAAGCTACTTTTAGGCAATTCAACTTTTATGTTCAAAATTTCTTTATTTCAAACGGTTCTTACGTTCAATTTGTCCTTTTTCGTTTCAATTGATTTTGATAATTGTTCTTTCTTCCTCTGACAGATTCACAAGTAGATTTTTTCTTCGTCTGCTGTACTGTCAGTCCTGTGCTGTCCTATGCAACCTATTCAAAATCTTTCAAGTTTCAATATTTCTCTAAAAATCATCTCATCAGTGTTTCAATAAGCCGCGCCACTGATTTCTTCGTGTTTCTTTTCTCATTTATCACTGCCCTTAATTTATCTTTACTACTTTTTCTTCGTATATCATATGCGAAACATATATTCTCTCTCTATTTATTTATCAACTACTTCATGTTCTGCTGTTCAATACAGTCTATTCTCTACCCAAAACGCTCAAGCTTTTCAATCCTTGTTGATTGCTTGAGAGGAAAGTTCTTCGTTTACTTTTTTCACAAATGCAATTTCAGGAAGTAGAGTATTTTTATGATCAAATGAGAGAAGAAAACATGCCTTGATAGCTCAGTTGGGAGAGCGTCAGACTGAAGATCTGAAGGTCCTGTGTTCGATCCACAGTCAAGGCAAATTTTGGGGTGAACAATTGAAGAATCACAAAGATAAACATGAAAACAAATCATTTTGGAGCTTCAAAAATTGCAACTTGAAAGAGTTTGTTTGATTGGATGCCCTTATGTTATTTTCACGCCCTTTTCCTTCTTAATACGACCTGCAAGAACTTAAAAAACTCTAAGGTTTTATACAGAGGTTGTCTGATCCAGATTAGAAACTTTGGCAACACCCAATTACATGAGCTAAAAAAGCCGTAGAGAAAAGTTCCCATCTTAGAAAAAGCTTTCTTTTGAAGATAACTTATTGTTCATATTTTCGAATAAAAAGGTTTTATTTTTTAACCAGTTGCAAAGATGAACACAAGGACGGCCAAATATCGGCATACAAAATAAATAACTGTATGAAGAGATTGAACTAGCCGAATAAAACTCAAAACAAAGTTGTGAGGGGCTAATCTGGGCTTGCCAATCTGTGTGGAAAACCCGAGTCAGGGTCAGAAAGATCCCACATAAAAAGCCACGTATGTGCCTTTTCAAAAACGTAGCCTTTTTGCCCTGACTCAGGTGTATACACAGGTTGCCGACCCCAGGAGCAAATTGAGGCCGAAATTATAAAATAATATGAACTTGTTTCTATGATGAAAAATCATAGTTTCACACTCTCGAAGAATGGTGGTTAAAAGCGGAGAAATGCGAAAAAAAGGAAAGACGCAATAACGGAGAAAATAAGATAAAAAGACGGGAGCAGAGTAACGCTCCAGCTTGAGGAAAACGTTAGAATGGATTGAGGAATAGGTCAACGATAAGAAATGTGATCGGCGACGGGGTATCGCCGAGTCTCGTAAATCAGGCTTTGTTCAAAAATTGGAAGATTTATATGCTTGATGCAAGACAGTCTGCCAGTTTCATTAGTCGAAGAAAACTGTCATGAAAATGATCACTCGCGCAAAAAAATCTCGTCAAAGTTTGAACCAGCCGAAAGAATCAAGGTTTGTGTCGTTTTTCCCGTCGCTCCCTCATTGCGAATGGGCCTTTCCACGTTGAATCTGTGGCCCGCTGGTGATTTAAAAATATGAAAAGAAAAAAATCGCAGCGGCGCGGAAAGGGAGGGAGTCGCCGCGGGAAAATGACGGAAGAGAGGCGAGAGCTGAACTTGGCATCGAAAGGAGGGCAAAAACAAATGAATGGAACTGAAAAAGAATGCTTATTTTGAAAAGTAGACGCCGCTACTGCGGCTGGGGTCGCACTTCATTGTATTCGTGGCTCAAGCCCTTCTTCATTTTCAACGCACTGAGTCGCCAAGTCGGCTCTTCCGTCCAGCACTCGGCGATCACTTTGCAAAGCCGCTCCCACGATTTCAGTCCCGGAGAAGCAGCAATCTCTGAAGCGAAGATTTAGCAATCAAGAATAAAGTTGTAATGCGGTACCATCGGTAGAGGGGAAGGCAGGTCTCATCTTTTGCTGGCAGACGATGAGCTCCATAGCTTGCAGCGTGGGTTCGGCTGAAACGTCGTCTTCGTAAGGCAGCTTGTAAGCAGCCGGGATGTGCCCCTCGTAGAGCTGCGTGCGCGAGGCGATCTCCCAAAGCACGAGCGAAAGCGAATATATATCGGCGCGGCGGAAACTCATGAAGTCCTCGTCCCGGAAATTGTTAGAGAGCAACTCTGGCGGCATGTAGCGCTTTGTGCCCACCAGGAACTTCTCTGATGTGCCCTCTAAAATATTATTATGAGGATGGGGGAGGGCTGGTGTAGTGGCTGGGCTCGGCACCCTGAGTAGAAAACCTGAGTCAGGATCTGAGAGGAGTTTTATTAAATTAGTTTATTTTTTCAAGGAAGCCGTATAGATTGAAATGGTATTTTGCGAAGCCGATACCTATGGTCGGAGTCCATTCCTTTTTTAACCCTCTTAGTCCTTAAACTTTCCTAAACTTTTTAATTCTTGAGACAGGTTGCCGAGCCCCGTTCAGAGAAAAGGACCAGGGAAGAGTCAATTTGACGGCAATTAAGGCCACTTACTCGGGAGATCGATGAGTTGCTTCTGCGAGTCGAAGACGACGGCGAGGCCAAAATCAGCGACGGCGCATTCCCCGTCGCTCTTGACCAGGATGTTTTTGGATTTGATGTCGCGGTGCGCGATCTGGGGCTTTCCCTGCGTACCGTTGATTTCCTTGTGAAGGTGCTCGATTCCGGCGCAGGCGGTGTGTGCAAGCAGCAAAGCGTCAGCGATGGAAACGGTATTTCCCTAGAATTCAACGTTGCGGCTTGATTCTAGCGCTAAAGCAATTCTACCTTTAAATAGTCGAAAAGGGAGCCGCGCTCGTGATAGTCCGTGATTAACCAGAGTTCGAGCGCGATTCCAGCGTCCTTGTTGTCCTGAGCAATGTAGTGCAGGATGTTAGCATGATTGATAAGCGTCGTTGAATAAATCTCCGTCTCGCGCTTCCAACTCTCCGCATCGCGCGAGTCGAAGATCTTCGCAGCAACATCTTTTCCAGACCAAGTTCCTTTGTACACGATCCCGTACCGACCTACAAATTTATTTCGGAGCATTTTCCTTTCAAAGTATTCAGGAAACTTGACAAATTCTACAAAAGGGGGCCAAAAGGACTTCGCTTTTCGAAGCAATTGATCAGTTTTCCTTTTAAATTTTCTCGCTCTTACCTTTTCCTACGAGAGAGCCAAGACGAATTTCGCGGGAGATGGTTGACACGACGAGTTCTGCTTCACCTTGACCAGAACTCGACCCGTCAGGATTTGGGTTGACCATAGTAGACTCGGTGTTGCCACCTTGTAGAATGAGATTGCCAGTTTCGGCTAGCTCCATTTCATCATTATCGGGCCCATCGGACCTGAAAATCAAAAGTAGCTTCTTTTGAAATTTTCCATTAATAATTACCTTTTGAAACATAATTTTTTCTTTTTATAAGAACATACACTAGCTAAGAGAGCTAACACCAAGCAAATAATTGAGATTTTGAGAAAGGAGATCGTTGAGGATCTGTCAGCAGAATTGGGCAATGCGATCGTAGTGTTGAAGCCTCCAGCGGGGCAAATTGAACAAGCAAATTCTGAGTTTTCGGGACAGAAGGAGCAGCAGCACGATTGCTCCTCGATCATATGTTCCTCGCTGCCTTTTTTGTCTTGGCAGAGACTGACGGAACCCAACATCGAATTGATGCTCTTGTACGGAAGGCATTGAAGAAGAACTCTGAATTGATTCCAAATATAAGAAACGTTTATTTATAATAGTAAACTTAGTTACTAGGGGCCCATTTTTCGTCCAAGACTTTCTGCGATGGCCATTTTTTCATCTTAGTGCAACGTGCCGAGCTTGGCAATCTATTCAGAAAATCTGAGTCAGGTTTTCAAATTAGATTTGAAAGGTTATTTAGCTGCTTCGTACGCAACAGCTTTCATTTCAGTTTTTTTCAGATCCTAACTCCGGTTTTCTACACAGACAGCCAAGCCAATCACGTGGCCTTAGAATGAAGAAGGTGACCATTGCAGAAAGTCAAAGAGAAACAGCGACCCTTTTTATATAAATTACTCGAATCCATCTTCCAAGTGTTTGACTTTCTTCTGGCAGCAAGTTGGTTGTTCGCCAGAGCGGACCTCGGTCGAGTTCACCTGGCAAGTGTAATCGTTTCTGACGATGTCATCGTTGTTTGTGTTGACGATACAAGTGTGCGTGTCTGCGTGATCCTCAAGAAGATCACCTTTGATATCGTAGCGCGCTTTTTGACAGTTGCAGGTACTATTCGACGCGTTCTTGGAAATCGTCTTATCCAACAGGAGAAGAAGCAAAAATCTTATCAATCGAGGTCAACAGCTGATTCAAGACTCGATCTGTCCCATTTTAAAGCGCTAGAAAAGTGGCGCTAGAATGGGATAAGAAGGGGAAACCGCGTGGTTGGTCAGAAGGCGTTACGTAAAATCACTGAAGCGTAAAAAGAACCGGTAGTGACCCCTTTTTATCAGCGCTGGAAGGAAAAATTCGAGCTTTTTCCCAAGAAAATTTAGAAAAAGAGACAGATGGAGAAGAGTCACAAGTATGTTTGATTTTGAGGGCGTTTTTTCCGAAGGGACTTACAGTAACTCTGAATTCAGCAGTTGTGAAGAAAACTTGAGTCAGGTTCTGAAAGATTTCTAATGTATAGCCGCGTAGTGGCTTATTTAAATGAAGCTGTAATTCGCATAACTTTCTTTCCGATGAATTTTATTGGAAATCTTTCGGATCCTGACTCAGGTTTTCCACACAGGTTGCCGAGCCCACACTTTGTTAATTTGACTGACGTAGATTAGGACTCCGACTAAAAAGAAGGTGATAACAGTTAAGTCTGTGCGGGACTATTGCTTCTCGAAGAAACTGAACTGTGTAAGCACTGGGGAGAGTCTGGGAGTAACAGCCAACCTGACCCAGTACCTGTTCGCACTAGGTAAGGGCACTTATACAGTTACAATTCTATAAATAGTAACTTCTCTTCTAGGATCTCCCCCGCCGCCGAAAAACTCAAGGGCGTGCTCTCCAGTTGAAAATCTTCTCGAAAGAACGAGTAGCGAAGAATCTTCCTCTTCCGGAAGATCTCTCTTTTCCACTTCATGTTCTGATGACTACGCTGAGCTCAATGCTAGAAGACTCTTCTAGTGTATTTTTCCTGAACTTTTCGAGTGGAAATATATTTTTAACACGAAACCAACATACAATAATTCACAGCATATTATTTTTTCATATTCCAGTGTCAGGTATTTTTCATCAAATTAAAATATCCCATTCCATAAAATGCACTGAAAAAGATAATTTTAGAAGAAAAAACTGAATAAATACAGCTCTGAATGAGTAACCTAAGTTAAAAGGATAATTAGCGGACGCGCGATTCCCATATTCCATATTCAAATGACTTTCATAAAATATTTTTACGATTCTAGAATTGCAGAAGTGCTCTTGACCCGTTTCCTGCATGAAACCATTTACATATTCTTTCTTTGGAAAAGAGGTGACGTGATCTAGAAAAATACAATTCTCTCCGGCGGCGACTATTTAGATAGCTTCCCGTGGCGTGGCGAATCAGCGGTTGTGCTGAGCGCACGGCTAATCAGCGCGCGTCCTGAGTAGAAAGAGAAAATGCGTAGGCGGCGCGTTTTACTACGGCACTCGCTCGCAAGACGTGAAAACTTGGACTGGACGTGTTTTTCTTGTGCTGAGCCGGATTTTAAAGCGAATTCATCAAATTGATGACAATATGTCTACCAAACTGTCCCCAAAGGAATCATAGTATGATAGTTTTACTAGTTACCATCGAAGAATCACAAAGATTAACATGAAAACAAATCATTTTGGAGCTTCAAAACTTGCAACTTGCAAGAGCTTGTTTGACTGGATGCCCTTATGTTATTTTCATGCCCTTTTCCTTCCAAATACGACCTGCAAGAACTTGAAAACTCTAAGACTAGGATTGCTTGATTTTATTCATCACACGTCTCCATAAGTCCGAAAGATAACAAAAAAAAAAGAAAGGTACAAATTAGATGTTACTTTATGTGCAATCAGTCAAAGGCATTTATTTTTACCGACGGGGGCGATTTTAGTACAAATCCGACTTTAGTACAAATCCGACAATAGTACAAGTCCGACTTTAGTACAAATATTTTTTTTGTACTATTGTCGGATTTGTACTAAAGTCGGATTTGTACTATTGTCGGCCTTTTTTTTGCGAAACAGTCTCTAGAATGTTTATTGATCAGCGGGACTTGTACTAAATTCGTCACTTTTTTAAAATTTGTACTAAATGCGACGTTTTTCAAAAATTTGTACTAAAGTCGTCACTTTTTGTCAAAAGATTTATAAAAAATGGAAACACATTTTGCATGAAGACTTTGCTCGACCCCCCTCCCAGATGGTCATTCAAAAAAAAAAGATGACTTATATGAAACGTTCTAGCCAAGCACATACGGTATGTGACATACCGCTTTTCTTTCTCTCCGCCAATCAAGGGCAAAGTTTAGTCCGTTTCGGGAATTTTCGCGGTAAAAAAACAAGTAATATGGCAAATATCCCAACGATATGAATGGTCTCCATTTGCCCAAGATTTTCTTATGCCCAACTTGGGTTACCGGCGATGTGAATTAACATAAATTGATGGATCCAATGACAAGTAAAATGGCAAGTTTGGCAATGCAAGTACTTGCCTTGCCTTGTTTTGCCAAAGGAATTGTTCAGGCAAGTTGATGGCAAGTTAATCGCCGGTAACCCAAGTTGGGCATAAGAAAATCTTGGGCAAATGGAGACTATTCATATCGTTGGGATATTTGCCATATTTCTTGGTTTTTACCGCGAAAATTCCCGAAACGGACTAAACTTTGCCCTTGATTGACGGAGAGAAAGAAAAGCGGTATCCGTTTGGCTAGAACTTTCCTTTTAGTCATCTTTTTTGAATTATCATCTGGGAGGGGGTCGAGCAAAGTCTTCATGCAAAATGTGTTTCCATTTTATAAAAATCTTTTGACAAAAAGTGACGACTTTAGTACAAATTTTTGAAAACGTTGCATTTAGTACAAATTTTAAAAAGTGACGAATTTAGCACAAGTCCCGGTGATAAATAAACATTCTAGAGACTGTTTCGCAAAAGCCGACAATAGTACAAATCCGACTTTAGTACAAATCCGACAATAGTACAAAAAATATTTGTACTAAAGTCGGACTTGTACTATTGTCGGATTTGTACTAAAGTCGGATTTGTACTAGAATCATCGCCGTCATTTTTACCAAAGGCGCCTGAAAAACAAACACGAAGGAGGATAAACTTGAGGTAGTACCTTTGGCACAAGTCAGAAAAAGGGGATAACCTAATTTTATCTTCTAAAAGACAGTCTTTTTGAAGAAGAGCACAAACAGGAGTCCTACGAAACGATCTGTCACTTTTTAATGAACAGTAATTGATGAAATTGAGATTTTCATCTGAAGATGGAATGGTGACTTCGATTGTACTGGGTGGAGTGGCTTGATCAGAAGTGGTAGCTCATTTTCTACGAGCGCGGAAATACGGTGAAAAATGTTTTGGGGGAACACTGTATTTCAACGATAAAAATGGCGTAAATCCTAACAGTTAATTTGGTTCTCAATTTTGAGAATAAAAATATTTCTTTATGAACAGATGTTAAGAAACGCTGATTCCAAAGCCGAATGTAAATTTGATCGGATTCCAATAGAATTCTCTCCATCCCTTTTTTGAGTTCAAAACTTGTCCAGACAAGAAAAAACGATTGGTTTTTTTGCTTGAATTTTGAACTGTTCCTGTTTCGTTCTTTCAATATCACTTTCGGGAACACCAGATTGCTCGAGCGTCATTTTAGCACCTTTATCAGTTTGCTCGAACACCATCGAGGCAGTTGAGAAGTGCGCGGCGGGCCAGTGTCGGAGTCTCCACTTCATCACGATTTTCTTGTCCTGCTCGAGCTCGACGAAAGTTCCAGTGACGATGCCGCCGAAGAGAACGAACTCGCCATTTTTATCCGGCTGAACGGCGGTTATTGCAAGCTTTCTTGACAGAAACTTACATTATACGACTGCATAGCACCACGGGTCCAAGCACTGACTCTTTGTTTATCGATGAAGACCTGAAATCATCCTTTATTGGATACAAAACATGAAAAAGATACTTACATTATAAACTTCAGGGACCGCGCACATAAACGTCTCCTTCAGTACAAGCTTCTTTGTTTTTATTTGTGAGCCAGACGTTGTTGTCGTCGTTGTCTTCTTCGCTTCGACAGGCTTGTTGATCTCGACCTTTTTCATATTCGTAGTGATTTGCTGAGCGTTAGCTTTCTTTTCCGGGCCGTTGTTGGATGCGACTTGGCAGACGCTCTTAGCAAAGTCGTCCCGAAGAAGTTTTCCGTATATCTGAAAGGATGCTTATTTTTGCTTCATAACAGGTAAATCATCACCTCCAATTTGTCTCTTATTAACGAGTGTCCCTTTGCCTTGATAAACTTCAACCCTTCCGCATCGTAGTGCTCATCTTTGTCATACTTGGTAGAGGAGAGATCCCACTCGTCCGGGTCGTTTTCTTGGCTAAAGTTAGGACATTTTATCGTCCCCTTTGCTAAATAACGTATTCAGAGATACGCGTCACAAAAATTGAAATCACTTACATTCGACTTCGTTGCCTTTGTGTTTCAGCTTGAATTTTATCTCCAAAGTGTAGTCCCAGTATGCGATGAGCTTGTTCTTGCGATTGCTGGCCATGGATTCGCCGTTGACTTTGAGATCTTTTTGAATTTCAAACTTTTTCCTGGATCATCCAAAATATTCTCCTCCCCATTTTGATGGGATTTTAGTTGAACCAGTTCCTGGTAGGGTCCGTCTTCAACAACCATGCCTTCAAGCAGCTCCTTGATTTTCTTCTCGGACCACTTGTTCGCATCTAGACCAGATTTTAACTCGTGAGAAACATCAAGAAAAAACGTACCGACTTCTTTCCAATGCCAGTTGTTGACATTGTGTGAATCAGCTCGCTCCTCGACGATCCATCTGGGATCTCCTTCGCCCCACTTTGCCATGCTGAAACTATTGGAAATTTTATAATTTTGAAGGATTTTCTCGATAATTGTGGAACTTGTAAAAACCAAGTTATAAGTTGACAACGACTGGAATATCCGTAAAGAATAGACTGGAACAAGAGTTGAAATGATCTTGGTCACGAAGCTGACCGATAGTTTTAAGTATGAAGAAAATATAAAGGAAGTGAAAAGAAAGAAAAGGGCTCAGCCGAACATTTTTCTCTTCTGCTTGATCGTGAACGCTTTTTTAACCGTGTTGCGCTTGACAACTTTGCTCCCGCCGAAGTTCAGCCCGATTTTGACCTGTTCACGCTGCTCAGGTTCTTTTAGTCCGCCGGGAATAAACTGGTGCCTCATTGACGTCAGCTTTTGCGTGTCCTCTGAAAATCAAAGTCATGAAAACGACCGCTCTTAATGATCATTTTACCCATATCAACACCGTCGACATCTTCATCGTCGGATTCGGGCTCTTTTTGATCTTCGGCTTGACATCTTCAGAATCGTCAGTTGGAGCGGTTGAAGCAGCTGCTGAGTCATCTGCGGGTTCAGTTTTGACCTCGCTGTTTGGATCAAGTACTCCCAGAGCGATTAATCTATCTCGCTCGGCTGCAAAATGTATTTATAACTCGAAGGAAACTGTGAAATTCACAGTGTGGATCATTACCTTTCTTTTCTTCTTTTTTAATTTTTTTTTGCTCCATTTCTTTCTTCTTTTCTTCGTTTCGGGCTTTTTCTTTCGCCAATTGCTTTTGAATCTTTTTCATATTCTTCTCAAGTTTCTTTTCTATGGAAAATGTGAAGAACAGGTAAAAAAGGATGATCGGCTTACCGAGAAGTCGCTTTCTTTCTTTCTCGTCGAGAAGATTGAAGAATTCGTGCTCTTGGACTTCTTCTGGTCGTTCATCGATTTGGTGTTTGGCGAGAGGGATTTTGAAGTCCCAGGGCTTCTTTTGCTCTTCTTCTTCTTCGTCGTCCGATGATTCACCGTCGTAGTTCCGAACCGCTCGTTCCGGAAGAGCTCTTCATCAAAAAATAGTTGAAGAAATAAAGGAGGTAGGAGAAACATACCTGCCCATGTAGTTTTCGTTTGATTTCTCTAGGTCGTCCCTATCGAATTCGCGTTGTTCGACCATCGGGTTTTCCCAGCACTCGTACCAGAGAATCCCCATCGCCGCAGCTTTTCTCTCCGCCTTGTATTTCAATTCTTTGAGTTCCTCTTCTTTCTGCGCCCGAGAAAGAGCATCACGCATCTTTTTGTTTTCATCCATTTCAGATTTGTCGAGAATTTCATCTTCTTCTTCGATCTCTTTTTTCGCCTCTTCGCCAAAGTCTTCTTCTTCCTCTTCCCAACCCGGGTATCGGAGTCCGTGGAAGCCAGGCATTTTCATGTCGCCTCTCGAGCCGCGTGACTTGGACATCATCATATTAAACTTTTTCGTTTCAGAAGCATCTGGCAGCATCAATCTATCCGAACCGGCCATGGAGCCGCCACCATAGATCATATTCGGATCCGTCTTTGCGAATTTTCCAAGTCCAACTCTGGCGAATTCTTCTGGCGCAAGTCGGTTGATGTCCGTGTCGCCCGCGCGGAAGAGCATTTCATTCTTGATCGCTTTTCCTTCAGAATCCGCCATTCTTGATCCCAGTCGCGGCGCAAGCTCGACACGAGATCGTCCACACTCGTGACAGGCATTTCTCTTCGCCCAGTTGATATTTCCACAGCGGCAGATCCAATCGTCCGCTGAAAACAACCCGCCTGACTTGGTCGAGGCTTCTTCGCCGATTTCGCCGCCGGTATCGCTGGGACGGACGAATCGACCTTTGATATTGAAGAAATTCGACTTGGGCCGCGGCTCCGAGCACAAGTTGCATTCGTCTCTGTAGCCAAAGTTGATGTTTCCACACTCATGCCGAGGACAAATCCAATCACCACGGCCTTTTTGTCGGGGCTTCCAGTCACCGCGGACGGTTCTTTCTGCTTTTTCGAAGGCGTTCTTTCCTTGCTTCTTTTGCTTCTCGTAATTTTGCAAGGCCTTGAATTCGTCTAGGCTTTGCAGCCAGGCATCTGAGTCTTTTGGCATCGCCGAATGAGTTGATATTTTCTACACTAGAATTAATGTTAACTGTAATGAAATCGATCTCCCTGAAGGAGAACTCACGCACGGATGACGTAATCAATATTGGTTCTCTCTTACCTATTCTAGAAGTTTTCTTCTCTTATACGACTTTATGAATTTCTTGTAAAATGTAATCTGTCCGCGAGAGAGGGGCGAAAAATCGAAAATTTCAGAGGAAAAATGAAAGCCAAGGGATAAAAGCGCGTTGATTGGCCGAGGCCAATTTCTCCTCCCGCGAAAGTGCCAGAAGAATCGAGAAAAAATAACTAAAAAAAGATATTTTTTCAAAAGAATAAGAGATAAAAAATAGAAAGACAGAATGGAGATAAGGGTGGAGAACTGCGACAGAAAGCACTTTTTGGAAACGACGACTAGAAATAGAGGTATTTTTTTTCGAAGGGAAATCATTGATCAAATTCGTAGTGAGCAAAATGGCTGGCTTATTTGGCTCTCAAAATATCGTTTTATCTGGAAAAGTGTTCGTTGGGCCAACTTGTGTTATTCGTGGAGATTTGGCGCATGTTCGTGTTGGAAAATATTCAATGGCAAGCTGAAAACATCACTTTTCCTCTTTCAACCTTTTAGTAGATCCGCGACGGAACGATCTTACGACCGAGTTTGAAGCATTTCAACAAGGGAGTCGCTTTTGTGCCGCTAACGATTGGAGAACACTGCTTGATCGAAGAAAATGTGGTTGTTTCTGCGGCGCAAATCGGCAGTTTCGGTACTAAAAGCGTTGTTTCTTGGATAAACAGTCCTCTTAGTGAATATTGGCAAAAACGCAGTGATCGGAAAACGAGCAGTCATCAAAGAATGCGCAGTGATTCTCCCCGACGCGGTCCTGGCCCCTGACACTGTTGTCCCCCCTTTTGCTATTTTCGGTGGTGCCCCTGCCAGACCAGTTGGAAAAGTTCCTGACAATCATCAAGAAGCAATCACCGAACTGACAACGACGTTCTATCAGAATACGAAAGTCGAAGATTTTGGCAAAGGAAAATGAAATACAAAACTGCCGAAATTTCAAAAAGAAAACACGTCACAAGCTCTTCATCTTGTCTGTAAAATAACATTAACAGTAACTCTCTACTCTTCACAAGTAAAATTGACACTCCTTTCGTTCAAGATCAAGATTGACGTTTCTCATCAAGATTTTCTCTTCAGAACAAAATGTTGAGAACCGCATCAAAGTCAGCTCGAGCCGTCACTGCTGCTCGCGCTTACCACGCTAAAGTAAGAGTTTTTCATGAAACGTTGCTGGAATGAGATTTTTTAGGTTCACGATCATTTCAACAATCCTCGAAACATCGGCTCGCTCGACAAGAACAAGGTTAACGTCGGAACTGGCATGGTTGGAGCTCCAGCTTGCGGTGATGTCATGAAACTCATGATCGAGGTAAAGGAATCAACAAAGCATTCTCTATCATGGTTTTAGGTCGATGATGACGGAAAGATCATCGACGCGAAGTTCAAGACCTTTGGCTGCGGATCTGCCATCGCTTCTTCTTCACTCGCTACTGAGATGATGATCGGCAAGCATACTACTGAAGCTCAGAAGATTAAGAACACAGATATTGCCACCGTAAGAGATCCCCCTATCTTCCATTTCTGATCAAGAATTCAGGAGCTTTCTCTTCCTCCAGTCAAGCTCCACTGCTCAGTTTTGGCCGAGGATGCTATTAAAGCCGCTGTCCGCGATATCGCAAACAAGAAGAAAGCCGCTGCAGAAGCATCAGCCTAAATCTTCGAAAAAAGAACAATTAATTATTCTAACCTTCAACAAAAAAATGACTGAAAAATGTAACTATCTCAAAAAATCTGACTTTGTTCTGTTCGGCAAAGAAAGAAGGCCTCTTTCGCTAGGAAGAATTAGCAATCGGCCTTCTTTCCGATCCTTTTCCTTGTTCCTGAGACCAAACTTCTGGTGACCTAAAAATACAGATGTCCTTAAAATAAAATTTTTAGAGTGCGATGAAAAATAAAAAACTGGAAAAATCCAGATCAGAGGATATAATAGAAGACGAGCACACATTCAAGATCCTTATTGCGACAGATACTCACTTGGGTTACAAGCATACGTGCAAAGATCAGCACGATGATTCCTTCAATACGATGGAAGAAATATTTCAAATTTACGGGAATTCTCAGCCGGATTTTCTCCTTATGGGAGGCGATATTTTCGAAAAGAACAACCCTTCGTTAGTTCGTGTAAAGCGGATCATTATTAAGACTGATTCTAGGGCCTCTGTCTTGGAGAGAGCGATACAATTATTTATGAAGTACGTTCCTGGAGAGGTTGATCATAAATTCAGACTTCTCTCTGATCCAGTAAAGAACTTTTGTGTCGAAGGCGAAGAAGTTCCAGATACGCTGCCTCGATGGGAAAACGGGTATTTCCCAGTTGCTAAGCCGATCATGACGATCCATGGCAATCATGATAATCCGACAGGAGAGTTAGATAGCACCGTGCTCGAGTATTTTGCCGAGCTTGGTCTTTTGAGGTAAAAATTTGAGAAAGTAATTGAATTAAAACAAAGGATTGTAGTCAATTCGGACGGAGAACGAAGCTTTCCGATGGAATACTGAGAATTTATCCAGTTCTACTCCAGAAAGGACAGACTAAGATTGCAATTTATGGTTGGGGCTGGATCACAGATATGCGCTTCAGGTCAATCGTCGATCTTGGGAACGTGGTTTTTGAGGTTCCTGAAGATCACGAAGATTATTTCAATATTCTCGTTGTTCATCAAAATCGTGTGCCGAGGTTCCAAATGATTAAGTCGCTCAGAAACTAATGCGTTACTTCAGATCTTCGAAGACAGACTATTACCAAGATGATGAGATTCCCGACTTCATCGACTACGTTCTCTGGGGCCACGAACACGATCAAAAGTACGACTGGCGAGCAGACAAGCGAACACTCATTGACCAGCCAGGAGCAACGGTTGTCACTTCGCTCACTAACGGTGAACTCGAGCAAAGGCGTATTGGAATGTTGACGATTCGACGAAAAAAGAACGAGCTCTTTTGGCGACATGATAAAATCCCGCTGGACACGTCAAGAATCTTCATTTTCCGCGACTTTGTCCTCGTAAAAAATTCATTTCTCTTTCCAAATGGATAAAATTTTTAGTCCGACTATGTCGATTTCGAAGTAGAAGATGTGAAGCAGCTAAAGCAGCAAATCGCGAGCATTATCCTCGCTCAAGTGAAAGACATGAAGCAAGAGTGCGATTTAAAACGACAAAAGTCACGCAAATTAGCTCCAGAGATGCCTCTACTGCGATTGAGAGTGCTCCAAGAAGCGGGGATACCAAAAATGAAGCTTCGCGAATTCTTAACCGCGAAAGACGCGAAAGAATATGCGATCAATACCGACATTGTCAAGTATAAAAATCCAATCATGAAGAAAGAAAGGTCGAGCAAATTTTTTGGCTTCGATGAAATGGACGCGGCGATCTTTGCGGAAGAACGGCAGGCGATGCTGCCGATTATTGAGAAGAATTTGGCAGAAAATGAACCGTTAGAATTCCTTCATGAGATTGCGATGACGAATATTATTCAAGGAAGAGATATTCGAATGAAATTATCAGAAAAGATATTTAATTTATCGAGAAAACTCGTTTATGTATCTCCCTGAAGGAAAAATAGATGAATTGGAAGGAGAAACAACACTCAAAGGACTCAATGAATTACCGGATCGTATCAAGGCGTTCAAAGACTTCCTTTATGACCGAGGTTTAATCATTAGCAAAAACTTTTGGAGTACATAAATTTGTCTTCAGCTGCCGCAAACTTCATGAAAGCATATGAAAACAAACAGATCATGACCGAATCGTCAACCGATCCAGTCGAATGTGCAAGAGACATTCAGCGCTTTCTTCAAAAACTCCGTCTGGAAGATCTGAAAGAATACAAACCAGACGAGATGGTCGCGCAAGCGCGAGAAAGAGCGAGGACTTCTCAAAATAAATCAGCGACTCAGAAGCTCAATTTGACGCCGCTCTCGAAGAGCCCAACGAAAAAGCGAAAATACACAAGGAAGAAGGCGAATTGAGAACTTTCGAAATTTATAAATCCACTGCCCTCACTTCATTGTCATTTAACACACACATTCCTCCACTTACTTTAATAAAGGAATATTTAATTTAGAAATGTCGGAAAATGAGCCAGAACTGGACGAGAATGATGTCGCCGAGATATTTGAAAAAAGTGAAAATAAAAAAGAACTGCATCTCTTTGACAAATTTGACCCAAGGTACAAATGATTGTTTGGCAGTCATTGTAAAAAAATATTTCAGTCTAAAACACGTTCTGGTCTTTACCAAAGCCGGCAAACCAGTTTGGGCACGACATGGCGACGAGGAAGTGACCTCGGCGTTGATGGGAATTCTTTACACGCTCTTCTCGATTGTCGAAGAAAATGACGATGAACTTCACGAGATCGAACTCGGAGGGGGTCGAAAGATGGTCTACTATCATGTCGAGCCACTTATTTTAGGTATCCTTTTGTACTTTGAACCATTTTAAGCATTTTAGTGGCAATCGGATTTGGAACGGGGAAACAGATGAACTTTGAGCTGCAAATTGTTAGGGATCAAATTTTGAGCTTGATATCCGGCGGTGAAATAAAAAGACGATACGAAATGAACTCGACCTTCGATCTTCGTCGATATATTTCCGGGTCAGAGAGATTTCTTCACTCAATTTGCGACTCAATAGAAACGTAAGTCCAGGGCACAATCATTAGAAGCGAAATTTGTTTTCAGCGATCCAGCGTTTTTCTTACAGTCAATTCAACTCATTCCTCTTCAAGCATCAAAACGCGATCAAATCGGTTCCATTTTATCGTCTTGCCGCGACCCTGGCGACGAACCTGGCCTTGTTTTCAGCCTTCTCTGCCTGGACTCGCGTGTTTTATGCATGTGCCAGGTAGGAGAAAGGATTGACGAAGAAACGATTCAATTTTTTAGGACAAAAACATTCCGAAATTTCATCCTATCGACATTCTTCTTTTGCTAAATCTTCTCAAAAACCAGCAGAGTCTGAAAGATTCTGAAGTTTGGCTTCCAATTTGTCTTCCAAGACTTGAAGAATCTTATTCTCTCCAAGCTCATATTTCTTACATACCCGAGTGAGTACTTTTTGACATGTATTCCGACTAACTCGATGTCAGATCAGACGATCGAATGTGCCTTGTCCTGATCTCAAACAACCGCTCTCCTGATACTTTTCACGAGCTTCGGAAAGTCAAAGACAACATCGCGAAAAAACTTGCTTCGAAGAAACTAATACATTGTGTGCTAGAATCAGCTGAAAACTACGTTACTACCGATGCAGGCATTCCACAGATCAAACACTTTATGTACTGCAGTAACTCAAATAATCAAGGTTTGTACTTTTCAGTCGTTCTTTTCTTGATTTAAATTTTAGTAACTGTACCAGCTGGTTTCGATGGCGACACTTTAGCAAGATATCGAGCTTTATTTTCGATGATTACTTCTGGCGAAGTGAAGCTACTGTATCGCTCGAATATTCAAAGCGTCAATGTTGTTTGGAAGACAAAAACTTTATCCTCTTTGCTGCTTTCGGTCCCCTTGTCAGAAGAAAAGTCGTCATTCAAAGTATTACAAAGTTGCTTTCCTGGCTTAGGAACCGGTTTTTGTTTTCTGGATAAAAAGGATAGATCGACAAATTGAAAACCCGGAATAAGAAAGAAGGAACCAGACCTATTCGCTACAAAAGACTATTTCTATTGAAACAATCCGCTTCTACCTCCGAAATTTTTCATCCATGATTTTCTTCAGCTCCGAGATGAGCGCCCATTCGAAAGTTTATTTAATAAACTTGTCAATAAAGTTCTAAGACTTCGAAAAAGGAGCAGAATTTCCCTAGAAACCGCGCAATCGCAACTGAAATCAAGGATGACGTCACAAGATTTTCGACGGCATCTTGTGGTCGCCCTGGCGCGCCATTGGCCCACCGGTGCCATATTCTCTAGATTTCGCAGAAACGCTCAGTTGTGATTCGTCACGGTCAAAAGCAGAGTTTCAGAAACACGAGAGACATCAATTTTATTTTTTAAAGAGAGTTGCCCCTATTGAGTTTGAAAAAGTACTTTCTTATTCAAACTTCTTCTGAATCTTCTCTAGAATACTCATCAGCGTTTCAAATTTTTAATCTGACATTATCTTCTATTAATTTTAATTAATTACTCCTGATTTAGATAACTGAAATCGGGATGGCGAAACAAAAGAAAAAGACGCGTCGAACAGTCCAGCAAGTCCGAATTGACCGCCTCAACCGCCGTGGTCCTGGTGGACTTTTTGACCGTAAGTACAAGCCTTGTAATGCCGTTAATGATCTCATTTTTCTTCAGAACATGACCAGAACGAGGCGTCGACGATGGATCAAACTGGAGACAGTCGTTGGAGCGACCTGACGACCAGCACCATCGCGTCAACGGCGCCAGCTCCGCAGCCGATCCAGGAAAGAGATAGCAACTGAATTTTAATACTTTCGCGGGTGATTTTTATCATTTTGAAAAGTTGTTATCTCTAAATAGCAAATCGTCGACAACGTTGCGCTCAAGCGGAAGTCGAATTCGATGGCGACTGGAAACTCGAACTGGGAGTTGACAGACGACCAGTCGACTCTTCGTAACAACGAGGAAACCAAAAGTCCTCCAGCGAAGAGACGATCTGCTGAGAAACCGCTCACTCCAGTTCAACGGAATGGTCAAACGCCGGATAGAACTGAAGAAGCGAAGAAAATTCAATCGGCAAAGAATGGGGCGGAACTCGCTCAGATAGAAGCGCTCGCTGAAAAGTACAAAAAGAATATGGAGGAGCAGAAGGAAAACCAGCGCAAAATTTCTGAGCTGCTCGCTGCCAAAGAAGAACGTAAAAAAGAGCGAGAAGCGCGAAAAGAAGCCAAACGACAGCGAAAAGCGGAGGATCGCGCTCGACGAGAAGCGGAGGCGAAGGAAGCTTTTCGAAAGCTCCAGAGAGAGCGAGCTGCAGCAGCTGAAGATGAAGTATCTGAGTCAGAGGAAGAGGTGGCCGAATCCGAGGGAGAAGCGACTCCAGAAATTTCGACAGCGGCAAAGAAACATGCTGATGGGGAAACATCCACTCGTACGATCACCGATGTCGTAGCCCAGGAGGAAGCAGCTGCCGAAGCTCCGACGGGAAGTGTTAGAGGCTCAACAACATTCGTTGTGGACCAGCAAGCTCCCTCTTCGGTGACGGAGCCCTCCAATCGAACATTCACTATTCCTAAAATTCCCGAGGGCGAAATTACCGACGAAGGAACCTCTGCTGCTGCTTCTGCGACTATCAACTTCTCCGACATCAGTGCATTCGATCCGACCCATCAATCAACTCCCGTTCAACAGCGAGGGCCGCCCGCTCGAATTGCAAAGCCGAAGTCTAAAGATCTGCCTGATGCTGTGAATGAAACTGTCACGATTGAAAGTGGCAGTAAGAAGGCTGAGAAATCCGTGCAGCTCGAGGATATGATTGAAGATGCTAATGAGACAGTCACAATCGGACAGAAGAAGAAAAGAGGCCGTCCACGAAAACACGAGACTGAAAAGAGAAAGGATGCGCCGGAAGCCGAAACCGAGAAAATAGAGAGCGAGGCTGTGGAGAGTAAATCAGAAAAGAAAAAGCGAGGTCGACCGAAGAAAGTCGTCGAGCCAGAGAGCGAGGCTGTCGTGAGTAAATCAGAAAAGAAGAAGCGAGGTCGACCGAAGAAAGTTGCCAAAGAGACGGAGGTTGATTCCGTCCACTTAGCCGAGAACGAAGAAGAGGACACGTCTGCGTTAGAATCTCGCCGGAAGAAAAAAGCTGCTTCAACGAAAACGGCCGGCGAACCTTCATCGAATGAGAGACAAAAATCTCCTGTCATAGAGGCTTCAGAGCAGAACGAGAACACAGCGGTCGCTACTCCTGAACGACCTAATTTCTCGCACTCTGAACTCGATCCAGGCATTTTGGAAGCTTCTGTTGGCGACGATGAAGTTCCTGTTTTCGATCCACCTCCTGTTGAGAACAACGAGAGTATAGATGAGGAAGTAAAAGATGACGACCAGCCGCCTCCTGTCGAGAAGACCAAGCAAGGTCGACGGAAGTCTGCGCGCTTCTCTATTGCTCCCGACGAGGTCAGAACATTCGAGCCAGACCCGAACGAGCACGTAGGACGAGAAAAAGGAAGCAAGAAAAAGTCCAAAAAGGAGAAGCGAAAGAGTGTCATCGCACGAGACGAGATTCGAGCGCAACGAAGTGACTCGCCAGTGGGCGAAATTCTCCTCGATTACGTGATACCGATCAGAACTCCGCCACCTAATGCTATCCGACGGTCAAAACGCATTCGTTTCGAGCGTGGCGCGGTGAAAAAGACCAACGACTTGACGGATATCCGGCCGATGCTTACCGAAGAACAAATCAATCGAGGCGAGTTCGGATTCATCTCCGAGGCCGAGCTGCACAAGAAAATGCCAAAGACTCAGAAGGACAAGAAATGCCCATCGACGATGACTAGATTCGAGCGACTCAAGAGGTTTGGCAAAGCTCCCATCAGCGAGCCTATCGATGATATCTACGCGGAAGAAAAACTTGGCTGGACGATCGGAACAATCACCGACCCGACTGCAACCATTGAAGGCAGTGATGGCGAAATTGAAGATGTCTCTACCTTTGTATCTTCTGAGGTGAGAGCCAAATGGCGAGTTGGATGCGAACCTGGTGAATCCTCTCCACTTGCTTTCACTAACCTCGGACCTTTGGTTGGTCACTTCTACTCGAAGACAACCTTCAAAAGCCGACACTATTCTACTGGAACTCTATTCTTTTCGACCTCCAGCTTCCGTAAGTTAACAGTCACATCAAGTACTTATTTTTATTTTTATTAACCTCAATTTAATTATTAATAATGTATCTTTTAGTGAGCGGCTCTACCTCCGAGATCGAAAACGTCGTCTACAAGGTTGTCTTTGGAGACATCATTGTCACGATAAAAGATGAGGAGAAAGTCTCCTCAGCAGGAAGCCGCTTCATCATTCCTCCGAAAACAAAGGAATACACTATGAAGGTACTATTTTATATATTTTTCGCTTTTGCTGACTTCTTATTTTAGAATAGCTCCAGAAAGCCAGTGGAAGTGGCATGGGAAAGAGCGCTCTTTGATACTTCTGGTCGCGACTCTACTCTCAACAGCACCAAGGCTAGCCTTGGTAAAAGATAAATATCTAGCCAAATGCTCAAACCATATTTAAGGCAACCGCTCTAGAACGAAGTCCTGAGAAGGCAATAAACTGGCAGTGTTTTTTAAATTTCACGAACAATTTACAATTGTCCACCTGTTTAAACTTTCACATTCCTAAGTTCCTACTGTACTGCCTCACTTATCACGAATACACTCCATCGTATCACAAAACATATTCTTTAATGCAGTTCAAACGAAGCAGTTAGCAGGCAAAGAAATCTATTCAGTGATATCAAGATAACCCGGAACCCACCAGCAATCCTTCCAATTCCGGCTTCCAAGTGGGGAGCATTTAGGAGCACCTTCTGGAACCGGCTTCGGTGCAAGATCCCTCATCGTTGATTTATGAGCTTGAATCTTTTTCCTCAGTTGATGGAAAACTGCGTAGTCTTCGTAGCATGAAGATTTACATGTTCGCAAGAGGTTTTTGCGTTCATTTGGGTCGTTTTCCAAGTTGAAGAGCCACCACTGAAATCAACAATGAAAATGAGTGTTGTGTTCGTTACTTGTTGATTTTCGTTCCAAGGATCGGCTGACTTCCAGTCATTATTTGAACCAAGCTCAATCTGGTCTTGTAGAATTGACTTCTCTGGAAAAGAATACCACATAAATGGCTGCTCGTTATCCATTTGTTTCCCTTTCGATAACTCCATCTTCGGCATGCCACCAATTATCTTGAAGTTTTTCCAGCGCATCGCGAAGAGCGGACCCACTTGTGTTCGGTTTTTCAGTTTTCGTTTGTCTGCATAAATGATTAACCTAACGGATCCGTGTACTAACCTGTTCGGGAGTAGAATAAATGTGCTTCCTGCCTTGGCCCAGGCTGTTCAAGAGAAGTGATTGCTTCAAATTGATTGACTCCATCAAGTGCTGAGTTCGTGACATTTTATTCTTTTCGTTTTGTTAATATCTTACCCTCAAGCGGAAGTTTGTACTGATCAGTAGCCGCTAAAAGAGTCGGGAGCCAATCTGTACTTTGGAAAATGCCTTTATACGTTGCACCCGGGTTAATTCCAGGTCCAGATATTAGGGCAAATGTCCTGACACCACCTTCAAAGGCGCCTCCTTTATATCCCCGCAGATCACCAGAGCTCTGAAAATTCTCTACTGCTGCTCCATTATCACCAGCGTAGATAACGATCGTATTGTCGAGTTTTCCTGCATTTTCAAGAGCTTCGAATATTTCACCGATCGCAATGTCGAGAGCTTTAACATTTGAGAAATACATTGCTCGAGCGACACGGAGTACATAATCTCGCTCTTCTGCATCGTCAACGTTGAATTTGAAATTTCCGTAATTTCGTAGAGAATCGCCGAGAATATGTTCTCTCGTAGACACAAACGGTCCTAGATGCGCAACACTATCTAGCTTCACAATTATTGAATCCCTAAATTTGTCTTTAGATGTCGTCCGAATTTCGGAGCATAAACAGACCTGGTTTCTCCTCGGTTTGTCAACGATCTAGGTATAGCAGACTCAGGAGCAAGATCATCAAGGAACTGAACTCGAAGTTCTTTCGGAGCGTGGAGAGGAAAATGAGGAGCATGGAACGCATTGTAAAGGAGAAAAGGTTCATCTTAAAATCAAATGTTATATTGCTTTGTTCTGACTTCTTACTTGAATTCAAGATGATATCCTTTGCAACGTCTGTCATATGATAAGTCAAGTACTCGTCAGTGTTCTTAACGTCGGCTCGATTATAAACATGACTTCGACCATCAGCAGTGGTCGCGTTGTACATGTCGTAACCAGCAAACAAGCCCTGTGCATTTTTGCAATTAGGTGGCGAGGTAGACTGAAAATTCCAATAGTCTGCATAGCCTCCAAGAGTATGGTAAGAAGTGTCGAAGCCTTTGGCAGTTGGAGTCTGCGTCCAATGTCCAAAGCCGAGATGCCATTTGCCGACATGATGAGTCTTATACCCGATCTGCTTGAAATACTCAGACATGAAGGGCATATTTGGCGGAAGAAACTTATCCAAACAGTGTTCGGCGATATAATTGAATCCTGTCTTCTCGTGGTTCCTTCCTGTCATTATTTGACCTCGTGACGGGGAGCATTTAGCAGCAGTGTAATGATTTTCTACAAGTGTACTTCTCCGTCGCATTTTCATCAGATTGGGAAGTTTATCACTCAAGTAGTCATTTGTCCATGGCAAATCACCTTGACCATGGTCGTCGCCGAGCATAAATACAATATTTGGTGGTCTCTTGCGCTTTCTATAGAAAACGAAAGAATAAACTGAAAATCGTACTCTCTACCTTTCAGAATCCAATTTTTGTTTTTGCAAATCATTTTCAACTTTTCCGTCAGAGAAAAGTCCACTTGAAGCATTAAGATTCGCAACAGATCTGTCGCCATTCTGCAGATTTATTGATGATGCGAATGAGTCCGATATCTCTTTGATACCTGCATTTACTTGCGTTGAAAAAAATAATAAAAATTTTCCCTTCATTAGCGATCGCTCTTTGCGTTTCCGCTTTATGGACTTTTCCAAAGTATCATAGTTGTTTATTCATTATCAAAGTAAGAACTCTAGCAGCTAATAAGGCGACGAAGTCGTGGTAAGTAACAATTCCATCACGATTGGAGTCTATTTGACTGAACAGAAGAATGAAAATAATTAAGCTCATTTGATCTTACCTAAGCATTCTTCGTGCTTGATCCTCAGTGATCATTTTACCGTGGTTTTGAAGCCAATACAGCAGTTCTTAATCGATCAAATAAAAGAGATCAAGGTAATAAGAATTACCTGAATTCTCAATCGTTTCATTTGAGTTTTTATCGTAGTCAATAAATAGCTCTCGAATGGGATTTATCGCCACTCCATCCCAATCATCAAATCTTCTCTGGCAAAGAAGAATTAGAAAGTCGGGAAAGGTCATGTTGTTCATGGATATTTCCACTTTTGCTACAAGAAAATAAGCTCTCAATTAATGAGTTCAATATTACCGAGCATCGCTAAGACAAGATTTTCTAGCTCTTCGGAGAATCCATCGAGATTTGTGGCTACTTCGTAAGCTTCGATGATACCATTTTTGTTCATATCGATTCCTTCGAGCAGTTTTTTCAGTTCCACTGACGGCTTTGTGTGATCAATAATCATTCGAAAGGCATCATAAGCTCCAAGATGAACTAAAAATATGAATACATTGTATTTTGACCCAGAATTTTGGGAATTATTTCAGTGCTTTCAATTTGAAAGTTTCAGATACCTATCGATGTGACTGGAAGAGGATTTTTTCGTATAAAATTGAAAATAAGATTACGTCCGTTGGACATTTTCTCTGGGAAAATCTCTCTTGACTCGCAGTAAAATCGAAAAAAGGTTAGCCGGAAAGTTATATTGGGGTTGGCTCGATACCCTTGAGCGGTCAATTCAGCCAGAAACTCTGAATCAAACTTATCTTTTTTGGTAACCTATTTATGTGTTTGCCCCGAAAACTTTTCTGGCATAAATCCTCCAAAAGTAGACTCGGCCTTGGCAACTAGGTTAAAATTGGCCCACGACCAGCTCATTAAAATCTTCATTGCGGAGAAAAAATATCCTACCATTTCTCTTTTGAATCGATCGTCCAAAAACTTTACGGAGAAACATTTTGTGAGAATTAACAATTATCAATTGAGAATTTTGTGAGTTTCAAGTCCCAATTTTGAAACGTGTTAATATTTCACACATCCAGTTTCTACACCTTTGACCAAGGGTTTCAAGCTGCAATCAACAACGAAACACATTTTTTTGTAAAAATATACTTTATTTATAAAAATGAGCTTATTTACAGTACGTAATGCTCAGTTGGTCTCATATCTTGCTTCAGAGTTTCGAGCGAGTTCTGATGGCGTGGATTCAACGAAAATATGTCGACCTTGGAATGTGGTTGTCGTCAAATCGAGGTTCAACTTATGGTGAGTAGCGTCAGAGTCCTAGAAGAAGAATGAAACAATGAAATACTGCCAAAAGCACCTGTCGAGTTCTCGACTGTTCAATCTGGTTGACCATGTTGTGCTTGGCTGCCTGAAGCGTCGCATACTTGGAAGTTCTGTCCACATAATCCTCCCATTTCTCGACCATCTTTCCGTTTTGTCGATACTTTTCGCGAATCTTGTTGAACAACTGTCGCTCCTCGTGATTCTCGTGCTGCGTCTTCGCGACCCTGGAGAAAAAGAATGAATATTCAGTATGAAAATGGATGAATTACTTCAGGTCCTCCTGGAGATTGATAATAACTTTCGCGCGTTCGCGTTTTGATGTTTTGATCGTCTCTGCTGCTTCAGCATCAGCCTCGATTAATTTGGTCTGAAAAATATATGAATATATGTAAAGAGTCATCCGAAACTGTGAGGCTGAAATCAATGAATGCCTAAATAGTAACTTGCTACGTAGGAACTTACATTTTCATTTTCCAATTCATTGAAGACTTCATCCCAGACTTCTCCGATTTTCAAATTAAAATACTTTTCGATGACAGCCAAGGTGACAAAGTCGCCAGATTGAGCTTGAACACCAGGAAGATCGCCGAAACCGATGCGACTCAAAAGACAGTAAATTCTCGTCCTCGTGTTTTCGGACATCTCTCCAAGGGCAGCGCTCTCGAGACCGGGAATGATTTCTGTCTGGTTGATGATCGCATTTCTTTGGCTTTCTCCAGCCTTCAATTGATTTTAAAATTCATCAGAATCAACTATCACTTACGAGAGGGAATTCTTTATCCACAAGCTCGCCAAGAGGGCCTCTTAGAACTCCGATTCGTTTTTCTTCGTCTCGCCAAAGTTGGATAAGAAGCTGTGGCAAACTAAATCAAGCTTAATAAAACCAATGAGAGTCTTGTTCTACCTGATGAATTGATTAGCATTATTAGGGTCAGTTCCTCTCCAAGTCAGCAAGTGCCTGATAGACTTTGGATTCTCAGTCAGCTCGACAAGACTGCTCAAAACGATTGGATGCATTTCAGAGGGCGTTTTCTGCAACAGATCGGCGAGTAAGAAAGCGCCTTCAAGTGCTAAGAATTTATCTTCTGCACCTTCGTTTCCGAGAATGCTGTTGAAAAGACAGTCCAAAACTCCAAGAAGCAGCTGATCGCATCGGAGTCCAGAAACGACTTTACCAGGTAAATCTCTGAGGTAATGAATAATGATCTGCACGAGTTTTGTTTCCACGCAGGCTTCTTTGTGAGCTGGATCAGATTCGCAAATCAATGAGATAATGACGAGCATGTCTTCTTGCATTTCCAGATCAATTTGATCATCTAAAACTGAATATAAAATCAAAGTTTCTCCTCATTCCATACCTTCTATGTAAACAAAATCATTGACTTTGTTTTCAGTGATATTGTTGACATTCGCAAGAGTCAATAATAGAAGCTCCATTACGCCTTCCTGCAAGAAACTCGTGATCAAATGATCTTTGATTCCATCGAGACCGTCTGTTTCAGAGCAAAGTGCTCGAATGACTCTTAGAGCAAGTCGACATTGAGCACGAGCCGATCCACGACCTCCAGTAGCGAGAATTCCATTTCCGTGTCCACTGAAGTCAGTCTGGAAGGACCAAAAGAGGAAGGACATCAGAAGATGGGGTCCAGTTAGATCATAAAATTTCTTTGCTAGTTTTGGCGCTATCGTTGCCAACAATGATAATGATAGTAGCTGGAGCTCTTCTTTCTGAGCGATAGACCATTGATAAACTGTTCTTGTTGGATACTGAATAATAATTTAGCTAATGATTAAGGAGGGCTGACTTACTGTTTCATCAAGTTTTTGAACGGGTAGTAGCAGAAATTCCATAAAATTTGTCTCGCTAATTGCTCTCAACGAGCCCGAGTCCTCTGTTAATATTGTAACGCATGTCAGAAGCATTTGTATAAATTCGAAATCGGCTGATGCATTCGTCAAGTGTCTTGAGCTTTGGGAGCAGCCAAATTTGATCAGGTCAGCGAGAAACTTGGTTTCGATGAAGGCTGCAGCGGGGCATTCCCGCGCAAGTTGCATGAAAATTGTCAAAAGATCGTTGCGCATTTGCTTGTCAGATTCGGAAAGGGGCGATCGTAAAAGCTTCCGGAACGCGGCGGACATTGATGTTAACGATGTCATTCCTGCAAAATAATAAAAACGTGTGAAAACATCGGACCTACCTTTGAGCTGAAGAACAACTTGATCTTTAGGACCGTTTTCAAGCGAGTTCCAGATAAGATCGATCAGCATGTGAAGCAGTTGCTTGTTAGCATCAGCCATCAACAGTACCACATACTCTGGGCCCTTTGCTTTGACGAATTTCTCACAATTCAGTGAACTAGTCATCGTCAATTTTTCCAATACAGTAAGAGTAAAGAGCCGGAGTTTGTGATCGCTACTGTATAGAGCCATGGCCTTAAACATCGCTATTGAATGGATGAGACCTGTCTTTTTACCTGGATAATAGTTACAATAATATTTGATCTTTCGACAATCGACTGTTGATAATCTTTGGTGCAAGGTCTGATCTCGTGAATATTGTCCTTCAGATGTCCGCTTCGAACTTTTCTTACATCGCTATCGACTTGTTCTGCTGACCAGAATGCTTCAATCATTCTTATGATTCCATGCCGAAGCTCAAAATCGCCGATTCTCAAAAGCATGACGACCTTAACAATTGATAAATATTTATAAAAAACTGTTTTCTTACCTTTTCTAATAATTGAACAGTGTCATTTGCAAAATTTGTTTCATCAGAAGTTCTCTGCTTGAGCAGGGCGCCTGTGATTACGGAGATTAACTGTTTGATTGCGACTTTGTAGTCTGGTACTTCTGATAATTTGTCTTCTAACACTGTGAGTAATTTCGTGAACGAGGAAATTTCAGAAAGGAGGACTCCCCCACATGTGCGGGTTCGAGAGGCGAGGCGATCTAGATAGGAGAGCTGACGGCCGTACATTTGGCAGGTTTGTGGAGCCGTCAGCAATTTTAGCGCCGTTTCGATGCTTGGCTAGATAAAATTCTAAGCAGAAAAGTTAACAAACGTTCTTTACCTTTGCATCGAAAGTCAAGTTCTGGGAGTCCTGGGCGATACTGTGCGCATCTTTGATTACCCTCTGCGAGAATCGCGCTGCTGTGAGTGTGGTTGCGCTCATATTCCGCGAGGGATTCGACGACTGCCCATTTTCTTCGTTCATTTCATACTCTAACTGATCATTTCCACGTTTAACTCTTTCATCAACAAAATGAGCACGTTCTAGAGACTTTCTTTATTGAAATAGTTTTTCACTCAATTTGGAGATTGGTGCGTTCCATCACCGTTCCCATGGCAATGAGCTCACAACTGAGCAGATTTTCATAAACTTGACTTTTAAAATCAGTAAATGTTTGTTTTCAAGGGATGAAGGCAATAAAATTCTTGAGCGCCTGGGAAGCAGTTTCCATTTTAGACTTCCTTCTGACGGGCGGCACTTTTAACAACACCTTTTGCAGGCCATAAATGCTGCTTCTATCAAACAATTAGTAGACAGCGCCCTTCCTCCTCGAGTTTATTATCTGTGACATCGTTACTCTTTCTCCTGCATAAAAGGAAGTGTTTTTCATTTCCCTTCTCATATTCGAATATGAAACTCCTTCCAATTTTTCTCGGCGCCGGTGTGAGTGGGTTACAGTGCCATACTTGTACGCTTCTCGGAGGAGAAGAGACGACGCATGAGAACTGCCCACTTGTAGAGTGCCCCGACAACGGTCAAGAATACAGTTGCCAGAACGAAGCTAGAAATCACCACGGCGTCTACTGGGTGAAGAAAGGATGCAAACAGCGACAAGCATGCGAGAACAACGAGAAGAACAACTGGATGAAGTCTGGCCCACGAACTCAATGCGACCCCAGCTCTACAACGAATTCCGTTTGCCGATGTTGCTGTGAAGAAGACAACTGTAACACCGAAGATATTTTCTGCGCGAAAGATTTGCAGAGCAGTTGCGGCGTTCCTAATCTTCCTGAAGGTCTCCAAACAGTCTGCGATAATTTTGACTACAACGGCAGCACATGCAGATTCACTTGCGCGGACGAAAATCGACTTCTTCGTGGGGCCGCTGAGATGAAATGTGACGGTGAAAATTGGGTCTCGGATACAAACGAAGAACCGTTTTGTGAAGCGACTTGTCCACTGCCAAATATTAAAGATGGAGCACTGTCGGGATCCTGCTCTGATCCTGCATCAGGAAGCGTTGTCTGCGACTTTGACTGTCCTCCACTTGGATATCGAATGGAAGGTCAATCGAGGGTCCAGTGCTTGCGTGATGTCAAAGCAAACGTCGCTTTCTGGGAATCTGAAATTCCGAAGTGTATTCGAGTTACCTGCCCTGCATTGGTCAAACTTGAAAACGGAACAGCGACTTGCACTGGCAACAAATTCGAGGATACCTGTCAGTTCGAGTGCAATGATGGATACTTTTTAGAAGGCTTCAGCTCCCTCCAGTGCCTTGGTAGTCAGAGATGGTCTGGTCAATACCCGAAATGTATTGAAAAAGTAGAAGCTGTCAGTGAAGAGTCTCCTGAGGAGATCACGAGTGCTACCCCGAATAGATTAGTTATTATGCCAATTACGACGACTAAGACTCCAGAGCGAAGAATTATTACATCACCAACGAGAATTCAAGAAGCCACGCCAGCTAAAATCATAACAACAACGAAAAAAGTTACCACGACGAGAAAGACAACAACAACGATAAAAACGACAACAACAACGCGACGACCAACAACCACAACAAGGCGAACAACAACGCAGTTCCAGAGAAGAGCGCCATCACCTACAAGAAGAATCGTTATCTTTCCGGAGCAAACAGCGAAACCAACCTTGATTCCTACAACAAGACGCATAAAATCACCAAGGTAAAGAGAAACAAAATTACAACCGTTCCATGGGAATTTGTAGACCGATGCCTGAATGTCCGGATTTGGTTCATGCTGCCACGAAAAAAGTCTGCACGAGGTAAGATCGAATCTATCTTCAATAATTTTGCTCAATTAATTATATTCAGCGGTTTATTTGTTGGATCGACATGTGAGTTTTCATGTCCCGAAGGATACAAAATCGACGGTCCAACTTCCGCAACATGCCTTGCCGATCTTCAGTGGTCAAACAAAATGCCCGACTGCACTTTCAAGGTTCGGTGCGAGTTTGAGTCCGATGAGGATATCATTTCAACTCTCGAAAGGGATAAATTTAACTTCGCACCCTGTTCAAAGGTAATGGTAGAGCGGTGGATCGTCGATGAGGCGATGAAATTGGACTCTAACTGGAGCAAGTATTTCCACTACAATCCAGCCGATTGGGCGGTTAGTGGCAGAACCAACGAACTCATCGAAGAATGGATAGAAGTTGACATCACTGCCGGCTGCCCGACAGAAGAGATGATGGGCGAGCTGGAAGAAATGCTTTATGAAAAAGGAACTGAAGCGGACTGGAGATCGGTAAACAACTTCTGATTAAAAAAGATCTAAAGAAGATAATTAAGGTGGACGCGGCTCTCCTGGCGAATAATTGCAGACCAATCAACCCTCAATAAAACCGCAGAAGAATTCCATTTAGAAGAAACACTGTCAAATATAACTTTTTCGAAAGAATAAACACTCATCAAAAAATGTCGGGCAGACACTACGGTAGACTAAATAGTCGTTGAAATTATTGTATCTGGTCTCTCTAATGAATCCAATTATCTAAACCTTCTGACGTCGATTAAAAGATCATGAGATCTTCCCGCTGATTTTCCACAAAACTAAATATAGTCGGAGAAAAGTTTCCAATTTAATACTCTTGAAAAGAAAACCACCGTGGTCATGTGGAACTCTTTAAATGGTTATTCGATACAGTCTTGATCGACGCGGCTAAATAATTGTTTTGAGTAAATCTATTTATCTTCGAGTCACTTTTAGACTCACGCTTCTATGGTGGAAGTTTCAAAAAGAGCCAAAAATGACCTCAACAATAATTGATACAAAATCATTCGGGAATAAGAGTACTTGAACACTTTCTAGTGCAAAAATCGACAATCTATATTCAACAATACATCCTCGTCTTTGATGGCTACCGAGAACTCAAAGTATGAAACCTTTGTGTTACTTGCTGTTTGCCTAGAAGACATCATTCTTTGCAAAAAGAATACCCTTGACGAGCATCAAAGAAATACTTCATTCTACAACACCGCTAGCATGTAGAAACATGATTATATATTCATGTAACATTTTTGAAAATTGATGTTCCATCAAGTAATTAAATATTTATAATCAACTGATATTGTGACATATAATATATAGACATATTGAAACGTCACGTAAGTACAAAATAATGAATGCGGAGCTCTCCTTGTGACGGGAGTAGATGTCGCCCATCGCTTCCAGAGGCGCTCGAGCCACCCTTCCGATGATATAAAGGTTTATATCGTCCTTGCTCGATCGTAAACACAACAAACATACTCTTGCAAGCATCAATAAACAGGAAATGAACTTCAAAATCATTCTTTTCCTCACTACCGTCTTCACTGCTGCTCAACCTCCTCGATGGCTTGTACACCGTAAAGACGATAAATTCCACCGTCCAGCTCGATTCTTAAGACATCAAAAACTGCGACAGAAACGAGATCGCAGGAGCATACCTTCTGTTCCCAAGACTGGGCTAAGTGGTCGAGATCTCATGAACTTACTTAGACAGCGCCAATAATTCGATAAAACTGTTCCTTTATGTTTTCAATGCTTCTATGGTGCCTAGGATTTTGCTTTTCTGTGCACAACTATATTTTCTGCTTTCTTTTTTCCCGCCTTCTTGAGTCCTAAATCAATGTGTCAAGCTACTGTGTCTTTGCAATGTTATTTCGAAAAATTCAATAAAATTTTCAACTCAATTCTTCCAATTTCTACTTTATTACATAACATAATTATGAAATCAATCGTTTCTCTTTTCTAGAACAGCTGATATTTACAGTATCAATTAAAGCTTTTATCAGTAGTTAAAAAAACCGAAAATCCATTTATCACCTCATTTAGGAAGAAAGCCATTTATTCTCATCCAATCAGAAGGTGAGTGAGAATCTACTCCGCTCCGAGTCTGACAAGTTTTTATTGACTTTTTTGATAAGAGGATCATGATCTAACTCTTTTACACTAATTTCGAAGGAAACAGCCATCACTTATGAAAATTTCTAAAGAAATTATTTATTGTAAAATTTACAGAAGTATGGCGTTTAGTTCTATTTTGAATTTTTCGCAGATTTCGAACTTCTTTCTTTAGAAAAACTGTTGGATTGTCGAAATTGTTGTCAATTCTGAATTGACAAGCAAAGTCGATGCGTTTTAACAGGCGTCGAAGTCGAAGATCAAAGAACACCAATGAAGATTCGCAAGAAGCATCAGGGACGGCGGAAGCTGCTCCTACTCAGTCCCAAAGCAATACGGCTACACAAGAAGGTGCGCAATTAAAATAATTGAATTGTAAATACAGTTTTCGAGGCTGCTAAATTTGCTAATTTATGCGCTACCGGCCTGTGGAAATCCTAACATGGAAATCATCAAGATTGCGTTTTTTAGGAGGAGACGATTTAGGCCAGCCCATTTCGAGCGCCGAGCTGTTAGAAGAAACTCAAAATCCAAATCGTCTCGTATCGGACTGGCTTGAACGATCTGTCCAAGAAAATCCCGAAAACTTGCAATCACGATATGGCCAAAGGAAAAGGTTGTCAACGAATAGGCCTCGCACAAGACATTCTTCTAATTATCTTTCTCATTCGATCAAATTCATAAAATTCAGAAGCCCTGGAATACTTCGGCTTTAATCCCTAAATAAGCTCAATTTGTTCGGTATAATCTCCTATTTTAAGAAATTTAAGGACCCTAATTTCACCATTAAATAAATTTATAACTGTAATTAAATCTTATCCATCGACAATCTCGATCAAGTGTACAAGAAATGAGCACCCACTTTGCCCACAAAGCGATTCGCAATCAGGAAGAAGACGATAATCGTCGCAAAAGTTGTCCCAACGAAGACCGAAATAATATGCGAAAGGCGTCGAAGGTCATTTCCCTCATTCTTGGCGAAGGTCCGTCTACTTCCACGCTTCCAAAAAGAGAGTCAGAAGTCTCAGCTCCAGAACAGGAACGAGAGGCAGTCAACCAAATAAAGGAGCAGGTTGATCTGTCCAAAGTCTCTAAAGAGGAGTTGAGGAAATTGGCGGAAAGCGTTGAACACTTGGGCGAAACTTCAAAAGCATCTGCGCCGGGTTTAAATGAGGATAAAATTATCCAGAACAACTTGACTGAAGAAGCAACAATCGAACGGGAAATCCAACAGACTGGAACAACATCAATCCAGACCAGAACTTCGGTTCAAGAAGCAACAAAAGAATCTAATAAGGAAATGGGTCTTTTTATTACTAGTTTTTAAAGCTAAAAGAATTTAAATTGTGTGAAACTGCCTGTTTTTTTCCAAATTTAACAATCACATCTGTGCTAATAAAATAATTAAATTTTAAATTCGACTTCTCCAATAAAGCACAATAAAGACTCTTTACAGTCAGAGAATATTTCAAAAGCAAGCTTGGAGGAAGATTCTTCAGGCGATCAAATGATCGTAAAAACAGTTTTCTCCTCTAAAGAAATGACTGAAGCAACTGAAAGCGAGCAACAAGAACGTCACTTACAGATAACTGGTGAAAAGCGCTCTGTGCCCTCGCTGAAGAAATTCGATTCCAGATCGAGCGCAGTTTCGTCGATGCCTGCACCAGGAAGATTTGATGAGCCAGCAAAGAAGAATTCTTCAACAGGCGAAAAGGACTTTTACGGTAATTCAAGTAACGACGAAGAAATTGAAGCGACTGACTCGCCGCCTGTCAACGCTAGCAATAATGAAGCATCCGGGTCCTCGTCTCCTATTCCAGACGTCACTAGATCACTGGTAAACATGGAGCCGTTAACATCGAGACCGGAATCACTGAAGAACTCGTCAATAGAAAAAGCAGCTTCGTCAAAGCTCAGTTTCCAGGAGATAATCGCAAAGACATCCACAGAAGAGCTTCGTCGGGTGTTGAGTCAAGCAAGCAAGAAGACATCAAGATCTGATATTATCCAGCAATTGGCTTCCTCGACGAATTTCTCATCACGCGACGCGATTGACGAAGAAACTTCAAATCATTCCAAAGATGATCAGATCTCAGTAAGATCTTTGAGTAAGAAATCAAGCAGCATTCCACCTCACGACAAGACTTTCCTCGAAGACAAAAGCGTCTCCTCTCACAGCTCTAAAATCGTTCAAGAAGACGACCAGAAATCAACATCCTCAAGACGCCTGTCGAAAGCCGAATCCATTGCTTCTATCACTCACTCGTCAAAAGCATCAAGAAGAAAATCGATCAATTCGAAAGTTTCCAATTCGCTTGAAAATTCCTCAACTCAAAATCAAATAGAAGCGACATCAATCGTAGCGTCTCAGACATATCTCGAAGAAAAGGCATCCTCTAGGACTCAATCCGTGGCGGAAAATAAGAGCCCCGCAGATACTCCTCCCGATAACGCTTCTACAAGATCCTCTCGACAAAGTCAGCTTCGTGAAGAAAATCAGACCTCTTCTGAAGAAGAAAGTGTTCCAAAGAAGCTTGTAAGCCAGCTCTTGGACGAAATTCAGAGTGGCGACGAAGCAAACGATATTTCTTTTTCGGAAACTGAAGAGGCAAAAGAACGCGAAGATCTAAAAGAAACACCGAGCAGCAAAAGAAGAATAACTAGAGGCAAACTGCAGTCATTCATTTCGCAACAAGAAATGTCAGTCAAAGGCGAAAGTGTCAAAAGTCAAACCAGTTCTACGCAACGATCTTCCGCAGAACAACTAACCGAGCTTCTCTCAAAAGCTAGTGAAGTTGAGACTACTGATAATCAGCCCAGAAGTTCTAACTCGATTGTTAATTCCGTAATTCGTGACCTGCTGAAATTATCAAAAGAAAAGCTCTCTGAAGTTGCAGTCTCGGAAAAATTATCTAAAGAAGAGATACTAGATCAAAAAACGGAGTCATCGCCGTTGCTTCAAACTGGTGGTTCTTCTTCAAAGGCCTCTGGGATGGAAGCATCATCAAGAGAGGAGGATTTCAAGGTTCCACCAACGCCTAAGCCTTCCAGATCGAGTATGAATCCGGACTCAGGACGAGATACAAATTAATATCTATATTATACATATCTACAAAAGCGTTCTCTTAGATCAATGAAAATAGTCTATCAAAAATACTTTCCAGTATATGTAGATTTCGTTTTCAAATTATATCATAAAGTTATAAATATTTTTAAATGATTGTCTATTTATCAGACCATGATTAGGGGCCCATAAGAATCTTCATACCAAATTCTTAATATCAATAAAACTTATTCAAGCATATGCAGCATATCACTTGGTAGGAGGATAATGTCTCAACTGAAGCATGCAAGACGAAAGAAAATTAGATACTCCAACTAACTAGCGCTTTCGCAATTTATAATCTTAGGAGAAACTTTATTATCTCAAACGCAGTAACTCGCTTTGATGCGCCTCGAAAGTCGGTGCCAGAATCTGCTATTGATGTTCTCAGGCTAATTCAAAAGCCCGAAGATCTCCCCTCTGCCCCTGTCAACTCAAAATCAAGCATGAATTCCGAAAGAAGCTCTCAAGGAGGCGAATCTCAGATGTCCGTCATCGATCCTGAAGCATTGCGAACAAGGAGAAAGACAGTCCCTGAGTCTGCAATCGAAGTTTTGAAGCTAATTCAACAGCAGAAGGATTTGCCTTCAACTCCGGCCAACTCGTTGAATTCACAAAATTCGCTTCTAAAAAGTCAAGATTCAAGAATCTCCCAGACTTTCCGTCAGGATTCTACTCAAGTGGAAAGACGAAAAACTATCCCGGAATCAGCTATCGATGTCTTGCTCGAGCTCCAGCAGCCGAATTCTTCCAAATCTAGCATGAAATCGGACCAAGCTAGCGATCCTGACCTTCACAAGTCCAATGAAAATGAGAGGAAATCTACACCGGCGTCTGCGAGCAATAGCGTTCAGGAAGTCCAAGATAATCGGATTCCGTCGAGCGCAAAATCTGAGGAACATCTCATGACAGACACTGATGGGGAAGCTTTTTCTGACAGCGAAGAAGGAAAACTAATTCAGAAAACATCATCGACAGGGCAGCGACGCATTACTCGAGGAAAGCTTCACTCTTTCATTAAATCAAAAGAGCTTCTGGCTACTGCCTCTAATGTCAGCGCTGCTTCTAACGGAAACAATTCAAAAAAACCTTCTCGTCTTTCGAATGCGCAAAGTAATGTTTCCGTCCCGACGTCTAGGAAGAGCGAACATCAATCCGACAAAGCTTTACTTGACGAGTCAGCGGAAAATGAGCAAATCGATGATTCTACCGAAGATATGATCATGGAGGTAGATACAGCAAATTCTTCTGACATTCAAACAGCACCGACCGCTCTGGAAACTGTTAGACCTTCTCCGTCTCATAGCAAAGCCTCCACGAATCTTCTGGAAGAACAATCTGAAATCAAGAATATGAACTCTTCACATATTCAGAGCAAAATTTCCCTTGGAAGCCGCCCTACTAAATCTGAGGAGCGATTGTCTTCGCAGCATAAAGCGAGCACGACGTCAATTGTCTCGGAAAGTGCGATTATTAATAATGATGATGATTCTTCATCATTAAAATTCATCGAAAATGACATGAAAGAATCGGACAACCCACATTCTACTCCCAGCAAAATCTCACAAACCAGTGAAATTTCGATCAAAGATCCATTGGCGACATCCAGTAGAATCTCTCATAAAAGCAAAGTATCAGAAATGTCTCATAACTCGGTCAAATCTCAAGGCTCTACGACGAAGTCCATATCAGAAGATATTTATGACGCTTTTATGAAAAAAATTATGAGAGAATTGATGGAAGATGCTCATGAAGAAGAAACCGGTATTCCAAAAGAAGAACATTCAGACATCTCAAGCGCTGAGTCGTCAACTTCCGTCAAGAAATCATCATCAACAGTCAGTAGAATTTCTACACGAAGACGAAGCTCGAAAGTATCGAAAGAATCGATCAAGTCTCGTCGCTCATCAACTCGGTCCCAAAGATCTAGCGAAGAAAATCCTCAAGCTAGAACTACCAGCTCCATCGCTAATTCTTTTGTCCGTCATGTTCTCGACGATGCGAAACAAAATTTGCGAGAGGGAAATGATGTGAACATTGAACAAGGTCCCTGCAACGATAATGGCCCACATTCTGAGCTCAATAGGACCCCAAGCAGAGTGTCAACCAGAAGTCGATCTACCAAAGCTTCAAATGCGTCTTCAAATCAGCATGAATCTTCGTTACGTGAAGAATCCGTCGTAAAATCTTCTCATTCTTTGAGACAAGAGAATTTTGAGATCAATGTAAGAAACGACAATTTGAGCAAAGTCTCGACGAGAAGTAGGTCCTCTAAAACCTCCCATCAATCTCGTTCCTCCGGAGAAGAATCTGCCGCGAAATCTTCTCATTCTCTGCAAGAGCAGCGTTCTGAGATCAAGGAAATAAATGGCAATTCAAGCTCAGCTGCATCAATAAATGATGCCTTAGATACAGGAATTGAGCCCAATAAGATACAAGAAACTACGAGTAGAATTTCAACCAGAAGCTCATCAAAATCCGACAAAACTACTAATTCTATGTGTCGATTGACGAATAAGACCAGCGAGATTTCGACGATCTCAGAAAACGTATCGTTACGGGAAGATGTTTCGAAAGAATCTGCTATTGATTTGAATAAACTAGAAGGAAGTTTGAGCAGAATTTCAACGCGGTGTTCGATGGTGCCTGAAAAGTCATCTAATGAAGTCGGAAAAAGCAGAATTTCAGCAAGAAGTCGATCGTCATCGAAAAGCGCTTTATCACAAAAGTCATCTGTACGAGAAGAAAAGTCTTCTACGCATCAATTCGATGATAAAAACTCATCAACTTCAAAGAATGAGCGACCAAGGAAAGTTTTTAAAACGTTAACAAATGTCTTATTTTCATATATTTTCTTATCGAACTTGTCGAAAACTTATTAAAAGAACAAGATCATCATCGCGCTCTTCAAAAGCATCATCGGCGGCTTCAAAGGCTGCTTCGATCCAATCGAAAATTTCCACTCGCTCGTCAAGCCGATTAAAAGGAAATCCAGCTAACTCAAGAGCGTCGTCACTTTCCCTTTCTGACAGTAAAAACTCACAATTGCAAACAAGTTTCTCCAAGATTTCTAAAATGTCCAACGGTGAATCATCTTCTGTACCGCATAAAACTACCTCCAAATCCACTTTTTCTTCAAAGAGCCCAACAACTTCTCAAGTTCAACTAAACGCCCAAGACGATTCCAAATCTGTTCAAGAGAGTGCAATTTCCTCAAGACATTCCAAGCTTCCTCAAACTGAACTGGCAGTGAACTCTAAGTCCACAATTTCAGATTGTAACAAGTCGGAAGGGCAGGTGGCTTTCTCAGGAGCGGGTAACATCTTGTTTTTTTTTTGTTTTCAAACCTCAGTTTCTATCAAGTTCAATTTTTGAACTCCAAAACACAAATAACCTTCTTCAACCCGCAAAAAGACTCTCCTGCACGCATTACCTCAAACACAACTACCTCTATTCCACCAGATGCCGTTTCTACCTCACATGACCACGAGCTGATAGCGACAGAGCCCATACCAAGTCGTTCAGACAGCCCTACTTCTAGCTTACTCAGCGAAATTGATAAGCTAACTTCCGTCTCGCAGCGTAATTTAACTGCAGAAAAACGGCAATTCTCCTCCGGCAACAACGGCTCCAGCTCCTCCTCTGATTCAGATCAAGGAGATTCCATACCAGAGCAAAAACGTTCCAAGGAAGGGTCAGATAAACTTCTTTTTCTTTTAAAGCCTATAATTTATAGGCTATAAATTATTGATGAATGCGGAATTATAGTAAAGAGACTCAGTAAACAAAGCATAACCTTAGCTACCGTTACCTATTTTCCCTATCCCTTTCGTTTTAGATAAAAATCTTTTAGTTTCAGTTGTACCGTTGAAAATATTTTTGGTCACAAGTCCATTTTCCGACCGTTATAAAAGCTCGACTTGCCAAAAAGCGATTACAGCAGTGACGAAATGAAACTAACCGGAGATATTGCAGAGAGTAATGAAGGGATCCTAGCTTCTGCTGAATCTCCCACTTCTAGCGTAGTTTGCCTGCTCTCTATATCTGGACGAGTGAAGAAAACGAGTAAAGTATCTTTGACGTCTGTATTTCGAGCTGGAGTAAAATAGAGGTTAATTCACGAACTGCGTGAATTACCGAATGAAGAGAAATACACGGCGGCGACCGAGCAAAGCTCGATCTAGATAAGCAAGTGACCTTAGGGGACGAGGGAGTCTAACGAATCTAAGATCCCAATACCCCCCATGAGACTGAAACGTCCTCTAAGGCCAAAGTGTGTGATTTTTGCAGGAGTATAAGCGTAAGATGAGTAACATGGCAGGTTCGAAACGTCGAGGCAGTCTGATTCGCGTTAAAAAACCCTTTTTTGGGAAAAAGCTTGAATCAGATGCGAAGTTTTCGTGATGTCCGAGCGGTGATGACATGAAGGAGTAGCTGCACATGTAGAAGAACTCAAAATACGTCGGCGACGGTAAACTGTGATAATTTCCGTACCTTTTCAGGCCCCGGTCGATGAATAGGGGACCTGAGTGGGGCAGTACTTGCGCTTAGTCGTATGACTGACCCGAGTTTGTGCCGATGTTTAGAGGTTCGACGGGCCTCGTTTCACGGTGTGCTCGTTTTGTATGTTTCGGGAGATGAGCTGCTCCAACTTCGGTTAAAGTCGCATTCGGATCGGCGCCGGCTGAGTATTGACGATCTGGTGAAGACTTTGGACGGGTTCTTTTCTTGCTGTTTTCAGTTGCTGAGCCCTCAACTACTGTTGAATTATGTTTATCGACTGACATATGGCTATTGTCGGGCGCAGCAACCTCCGAAATCACTGTAGCATCAGCTGACATGTCCTCGGCAGTTTCATAAAGAGTACCACCAGAGTACCAGCGATCTGACGGCTCGGCTGGAGCTACCGACGAGTCCAAAATAGATGTAGCGGTTGTATCTCCCAGATTTTCCATGTCCAATCGGCGTCTACTTTCCAAAATAGGTGATAGAGATGATCTTGGCGGTTTTTCCATAGCAACCATCGGAGTCGACGCGACCTGAGAAGATTTCCTCCCCCCATGCGACTTCGACCCGGACTTTTCCATCGGTTTGGAAGTAGGAACAGGCGATTTTTGTGGGACTTTCGACTTAACGATTTCGGTTAAATGTGGGAATACGTACTCGGCCTCGTAGTAATCAATCCAGCGTAAGTCGTGATTTCGTTCTGCGGCGTGAACCACGTGTTCTCGATGGATGAAATCACGTTGTCCTTTTTTATCTTCGACCATGACGACCCAGTCGTTGCTCGAAACGGCTTTCAGGGGACCTACCCAGCGTTCCTTCTTGCTTTTAGCGTCGGTCAGGTTTTCTCGCTTAATGTACACGACAGCGCCAGCGGGGATTGGTCTCGGCTTAGGCTCGTTTTTCAGCCTGTGCTCCATGGCTCGGTCAGCAGCTTCCATCGCAGTTTTCACAATGGCTTCCGCCGATTTCGCTAAAGCTCCCACATTGAGACCAAACACCTGAGGTGTTTCCGCTGTCATTTCTGCGCCAGTAGAGTGGGTGAAAGTACTTTTTCGGCCAAACCAAACTTCTCGCGGTGAAATTTTCGTGCTTTTGTTTTTCACACTATTGAGCGCGCGCATCACGTGGGGAACGCAGTCGGCCCAAGTTTTTCGACCGGAAGATGAGTTGACCATGCAGAATAGACTGTTTTTGATAGTCCGATTCGCTCTTTCTGCGAAAGCGTTTGATTGAGGGTGAAATGCGGTACTTATTGTATGTTTTATCTGGTTAAGCTTACACATTTCGTCAATCACGCTTGCGCAGAAGTGGGTACCTCTGTCACTGTGTAGATGTTTCGGCAAGAAATCCATGGGAAGGAAGACCTTGTAGATGAGCGCTTTTGCAGCGCAGATAGCAGTGTCGGACCGCGTCGGAATGCACCAAGTGTAGCGAGAGAAAGTGTCCGCCACCACCAAATAATACTTGAATCCGCCAGCGGGAGGCATACAAGCGAAATCGATCTGAATCGATTCGCCAGCTGTTTTTCCACGACGAAGGGTTCCAAGTGGCGGTTTGGTACGAGTTCCAGCAGATCCTTTTCTGCGTAGGCAAGGGACGCAGCTGTGGACGTAGTTAGAAACATCGTCTTGAAATGAAGGCCACCAAACGTCCTCTAATCGCTCTAAAGTCCGCGGCTCGCCCAGATGACCGGACAAGTCGTGAGCTAGAAAGAGAAAGTGACTTTTTACCGCTTCCGGTACCACCGCCCGCGCGCCAGATTTGAATTGACACATCAAGCACCCGGTAGTGTTATCCAGGAACAGAGCTTTTTCCATCTTGAGTAGAGACGATTGTCGGTGGTCGGAGTCCTTCACCAGCGATTTTATGTCCAGTGGCTCCTAACCAGATTCCAGAAAAGTGATGATTGCACTCAGAGCAGAGTCCTCCCTTTGATAGTCCAGAATGTTATTATAATTCGCTGACACCAACGGAATCTCCATTGGCGCCGCGATAGCCTTGACGTTTACCTTATGTATCTTCACCTCTGATAAAGTGATTTTCTCCGGAAACTGATTTTCGTTCCAGAAAGGGACGAAGACACGTACTGGTGAATTCTTGTCGATTTCGTACTCGCGACCAACGGGAAACTCAGAGTCGTATCCAAGTGATTTGTCGTCCTCGCCAGGTCTGCGGCTCATAAAGTCGGCGAATTGATTTTCTGATCCCTTGATGTAGACAATGTGAAAATCGAATTCTTCCAATCGGCTTTGCCATCGGCTTATTTTAGAATTCTTGAACTTCTTTTTGTGTAGGAAGATCAAAGATCGGTGGTCTGTGTGAATCTGAAAGAATCTACCTTTCAGGAGCTTTTCCAGTCGCTCGCAGCACCAGACAATGCTAAACATTTCCTTTTCTGAAGTGTTCCATTTTCTTTCAGCTTTGTTGAAGGTGTGGGAAATCGCGCTTACTAGGTGCACTCTCCCGCCATACTCTTGTAGCAGGACGCCACCCGCTGCGTACAGGCTCGCGTCTGTGTAGAGATGAAAAGACTCGTCAAAGTTAGGAAAACTTATGACTGGAGTCTCGGAGAGTCGTCGTTGAATTTCCTTGAGCGCCAAATCCGCTTCTTTGGTCCACTTGAAACAATTTGTTTCGTTCGCCGAATTTCGAACATCGTTTATGGGCTTCATTCTGCTCGAGAAGCAACCGGATGAAATAGCTTCGCCCATTTTCGTTTCTAGAAAACCTCGGATCCAATTCAATGACCCGATTAATGAAGCTAACTCCTTTTGGGAGCGTGGGGGTTTCATCTGACGAAGAGCGGAGACTTGCGCAGGGTCCGGTTTGATTCCATCTTCGTTGATGATTCGGCCCAAAAAGTGAGCTTCGGATTGTAGGAAAGAGCACTTTTCGCCCTTGAGTTTAGCGTTAAACTTGCGGAGCGCGATGAATAGGTTTCGGAGAGTGTTGTAATAGCAGCTGAAAGTCTTCCCAAAACACACTATGTCATCGATATAAGAAAGCATCTTTTTCCTGGTGGGGCTTGAGTCGAGAATTGTGTTTACGACGCGCGAGAATATATTCCCCGAGCATCGATAACCGAATGGTAGTCTGCAGAAGGCGTAAGATTTCCCACCCCACTGGAAGGAAGTCTTGTACCTGTCGCTTTTCTTTACAGGGCACTGCCAATATCCACTTCGTAGATCAACTGTGGCGAAAAACTTATTGCCCGGTCCAATGTTCGCAATCGTATCCTCCATGCTTGGGAGATGGTAAGGGTCGGATTTGTCGGAGAGGCATTTGTTCAGGCTGTTTTTGTAGTTGATGCAGAAGCGCATTTCCCCAGATTTCTTAGGAATAGGCAATACCGGGCTGTTAAACCCTTTCTGGTCTTTGATCTCTTCTATTATTTTCGTTTCGAGCAGTTCGGAGATGTGATCGCTGACCTGACCATGAAAAGCTTGCGGAATCGGGTGTTGACTGATGTTTCGACTCGTACCATCAGTCGGGATTTCGATCTCGAACGGGAATTCACCCATTTTTTGACCGTCGCAGCCGAATCTGTCGTCGAATTCCAAACACAGCTCGGCGACCACCTTCTTTTGCCCCGGGTCGGCGTTTGCTGGTAGGGTAATTCCGAGTTTTTGCTTCGCTAGCTGAATGGGGCACCTGGCTGCGTTCTTGTTAGGTGCGTCCAGCTTTGGGACTTTTGGTGGCGGTTGAGTGCGGGATCGATCGCTATCCTTGACCGCTGATCTAGTAGTCAAGTATTTCTTGATTTTGGTCCGCTTCACTCCGTCCAGCTTCACCACTTGAGTCTCAGTTTGTGTGAAGGCTTCGTTGTAGCAAAATGAGAGAGTACGATTCTTATTGTCGACTGTGAAGCTGTCCGTCATCGCATTCTCTAGTATATCGCGGCCCAGTAGACTTGGGTATTTACTGCCTGGCATAATGGTGAGATTCAGGGAGAATGCAGGGCCACCATTGAATGATAAGCGGCAGGGAAGGATACCCATCGGCTGCTCGGCGGGAATATTTGGGCTGAAACCGGTGACCTTGAAGGGACAGGGCTTCAGCATCTGGAGAAATTCGTCGGGAACGTAAGCAGCGGACAGACAGGAGGACTCGGCTCCGCTGTCGACTTCCATCGATACGTCAAAACTTTTAGAGCCCGTAATGATGGTAGCCGAAGCGAAATAAGCCTTTCCTGGTCGCTTCTTCTTCACTGTGTAAAAGTGAACGTCGAATGGTTGGAAATCTTCAACGTTCTTAGTCGTATTTATCTTCTTGGATTCTGGTTGTTTATCGTCTTTCCCATCCTTAGAATCGTTGCTGGCGCGCTTAGCATTCTTCTTCTTTTTGTTCTTATTTCTGTTGAAGTGCTGGGAGACGGTCGCGCTGTCAACTCGATTCTGTCTTGTGGATTGGGCGAGACGGCAGAGTTCGTTGATATCGTAAACTTTTGATAGGCTTGGAAGGATTGCGTTGAAAACGTCTGGTTCTTCTTTCCTAAGATTCAAGTACAGCATCATCGTCGAGAATATGTCAAATATTTCATCGACCCCGGCGTCGGCTGACTTCTCTTGTCGGTAAGAGTTCAAAGTCGCTTGCTTCGCCTCGTTCATCTTTTGCAAGACGTTGGCGGTGTAGTGTGCAAACGGCTTCGAATGGTCGTATTCGACGTCGAAAACTTCGCTTAGCTTCAGTAAGTAGTGACTCTTCGCGGCGAATGATTTCTCTAGCAGCGCCTTGGCCGATTTCCAGTCTTGACAATTCAGAAATTCGGTTCCAAGTGAGCGTTCGATGTTCAAGTCGAAGTGGCTGTACACTGCTGCGATGAAAGGCTGTTCACGTGAAGGTCTGTCGCGGACGTAGGCGCGGTGATAAATGTCGGCTCTGCCCAAGAAGGTGTTGAAAGATGTGTTGCATGCGGCGTCCAGCTTCGGCAAGTCTTGGACGTGACGAGACCAGGTAGTGGCCACCCATGCTTCTTCTCTCATTGTCGCATTCGTAGAGTCTTTTCCTTGATCGAGCTCGCAGGTAAGAAGCGTTGTACTGAGCTGTTCTAATTTTACTCTGCTTTCTGTGATCAAGGGCTCTAGGCTTGGCTTTAGTGATTCGTCATTTCGCACTTGTTCTTCGAGGTAGTTTACTCGATCGTTTATGCTTCTTATTTCGGTGACGGTTTCTAGCAGTGATTTGTTCGCCGCCATAGCTCGAAATATATCGGCAGTAAGGGTTTATGGGCCTTGGATTACCTTTCAGGCCCTCAGAAAATACTGCGACTAAAAGTCGCAATATGATGAGCTGAGGTGCCTTTTTGCGCAAACGCCCGACGATTTCTCTGTCCAGCGATTGTCGAAATTTCAAGGTCTGGTCCAAGGGTCGATTCTTCGTAAACTTCTCTCGATTTTTGGTGAAAAGTGGCGAAAGAATTATGTTTTTCTCAGTATTTTAGGTTTTCCCCGGCGTGCGTGCGTGGTTGCGTGGGCGCGACTTTCGGCGCGTGGGTCGTGGTGGCGCTCGTGTGGTGGCGCTCGCTCGGGGTGGTGTTGGTGTGGTGCGGCGCGGAAAATTCTCTGAGTGGAGTTTCTCCGGCGGCGCGGTGGCGGTTGGTGATTCGGTTCCCCTCGACTCCGCTGACGGCCAATCAGCGTCCAAGTTGCGAAACTTCGGTTGTCGATGGCGGAAAAATTTATCTTTTCTCCAACGGGACTACTCTGATACCACTGAAGGGATCCTAGCTTCTGCTGAATCTCCCACTTCTAGCGTAGTTTGCCTGCTCTCTATATCTGGACGAGTGAAGAAAACGAGTAAAGTATCTTTGACGTCTGTATTTCGAGCTGGAGTAAAATAGAGGTTAATTCACGAACTGCGTGAATTACCGAATGAAGAGAAATACACGGCGGCGACCGAGCAAAGCTCGATCTAGATAAGCAAGTGACCTTAGGGGACGAGGGAGTCTAACGAATCTAAGATCCCAATAGTAAGAGATACAAGCAAGATGTAGCTCCCCTTGATCTCAATCATAATGACGATTGTACATCATGGCTGAATAAACTCGATACAACCTCGTTGCGTGATAAAACTAAAGAGCTGCTAAAAAGTAACAGTAAGTATCAGTTAATTATCAATTTTCTTTATCATTTCATAACAGAAGCATCATATCAAGTACCCATTTTAATCTCATTATGATGTGTATTCATTTAAGTGTTATTTAGATTACACGCGCGAAGAAGTTATCCGAGAACTCGATGATCCGAAGTCTCCTTTCGGTAAACATCTCCAAATTGGCGAGAAAGCTATTCTCCGAAATCAACTGAACGTCTCCCTGTCACAAAAATCCACAACCATCAAGGATTCCGTTCACGGAACAATCGAGCTTCATCCCTTGGCCGACGCTCTTCGCAAGACCCCAGAATTCGCGAGAATGAAGTACATTAGTCAACTCGGCACGGTAGATTATGTCTACCCCTGTGCAACTGGCAATAGATACATCCACTCCCTTGGAACTTATCATCTAACGCGCAAGATGCTAGAGAAAATTGTAGCAAATAACCCCGATGCGATCAAGGACGCTAACATTGATCGAGAAAAAGATCTTTTAATCGTTCAGGAACGAGATTTCGAAAGCTCAAAGATTGACGCACACAGTTACCAAAAAAAGACAATGCGCATAGCTTCTCATATGCGAGTTAATTATAGTCAATAATCTTATGAGAACATTATTAATCTCAATAAGCTCGCTGCATTGCTGCATGATATCGGTCACGGTCCATGGAGCCATTTTTGGGATGGGGAGATGATCCCGAAGAACATGCGCGATATCGAAAGAGTCAATCCACAAACTGGAAAAGTCGAAAAAGTCCACGGTCTTCAACACCCTTACGACCCTTCCTCTATCATAACCAGTTGGTCACACGAAGATGCTTCCAAGGAAACGGTCATTTTTAACTAACTTCTGAAGATAATTCGTTATGCATGGATACCCAAAATAAAAAGGTGCTCAAATTGACCGAAATTAAAGGCAATTGTGAAACACATCTTTGAAACGAACGAAGATGTGAAAGCTAAATGGGCAGAGTATGGAATGCAACCCATCGATCTGGAGTTCTTGATCGAGTTAATTGATCCGACGCCTTTGAAGGGACTGAAGGATAACGCACCCTGGCCGATGAAAGGACGTCCTGAATCGCATGCTTTCTTGTACGAGATAGTTTCAAACAAAAAGGGGGGCATTGATACGGATCGCATGGACTATCTGAAGCGGGATACTCTTATCTGCAAAGGAAACGACTTCGACGTTGAGTACGAGCGTATCTTCGCCAACATTAGAATCAACCACTGCAAGACTAATCTCGGCCGAACTCTCCTTTGTTACCACAAGAAAATCGCCGACGATTGCTGGAACATTCTCCTCCAACGGGACAAAAATCATCGAGAAATCTATCAGCATAAGAAAGCCCTTGCCGCAGAACAGCAACTCGCCCTTGCCTTGGACTTGGTCAAAGACACTCTTCGCCAGAAAGGATCTGATAAGCGCTGGTACACAATGTGCGAATCGATCTTTGATATGACTGCCTACTGTAAATTTACGGAGCTTTACGTAAGATCGGCTATATCGAGTCCTGACGAGAGAATCGAGGCAATGTAAGTATTGTGTAAAAAGAGTATTACACAATTTGACGTCAATTCGCAATTTTTGAATGTATTTGAGTTGAATGATTTGCCCGATAAAATGACAAACTTTATAAGCGCACCTTCGTCTTCGCAAGATTACTTAGATATCTTTATTAAAATCTTCACAATATCGTAAAAAGCTCTTTACTAATATTGACCTCTAGCCAAAGTTCTCATCCTAAAACAGGCGAGCTCCAGGAGAGAAATAATGTGATTCGCAAACTTGGGCGCGCCAAGGAGATCATGGAAGATCTCGACGAGCAGCGAATTTGGCAATGCGTCGGAAGAGCAAAGTTTGAGACGAAAGACAAGGCAACAAACTTCTTCTTCGAGCGTGAATCGTTGGTTAACAAAATGTGCAAGGAGATCCAGAACCTTGAAGCAATCAAAGAGCATCCCGAAGTGCAAGTTCAGCCTGGCCACTTCCATGTTAGCCGAGGGTAAGTTTTGCTTGAAAAATAATTGTTCACTCAAACTTCAGTCCGACCTTTAACATGGGAATGAAAGACAAGGATCCCCTTGAGTACTTGCCTATTTACGAGGACGGCATCAGCGACTATAGCGAGGGAAAGGGTCAAAGCTTTTTCCGAACGATGAACATTTCGTCAGAGTACTGCATCAGGTGAAACAATTGGATCCGATCTTTTTCTAACCCCTCTTCAGCTTTTTTGTTGAAACTGAGACGTATCTGAACGAAGCGAAGATGATCTTCACTCGTCTAATGAAAGAAGAGAAAATCAAGCAAGATCACATCAGTGAAGGTAAGTCATGATGTCGTCTAGTTCTCGTTTGGTACCGATGCATCAAATAGTCATGAAGATTTAGTTGAATGGTCAGTGAAATATTTTTGGCAGACATGGGATTATATATATTGACCGAAATTTATTACTATTGACTAAACGATAGCTCCCTGTATGAATAGATCGGAAGCTCGCATGTGTCAGCTTGAAACCGAAAGAAACAGCTTTGACTGGAAAAGATAGCACGAGAAATGGTTTCATATGCGCGCATATTTTAATGTGTAGAATCTTACTTCCGGTTATTATTCAAGTTCAACAGGGTTCATATACTCGAAGATAATTCTCGATATATTTGTAAATTTAACGTAACAATTTTAGACTTCACGATGACCCCAGACGCTCGACGAAACAAGCGACCATGCTCTCCAAGCAATTTCAACGATTCCGGCGCTCCATCTACTTCTCGCCGCAAAATAGACTTTTAAAAATATAGTTTTCTTCTCTTCCGTTGAGTCTACTCAACAATTAACTACCGTCTTATCCTGTTAACCACTTTCAGATTGATCTCAGGCTTTTTCTAATGCTTATTTATTTCGACAACCAGTCTTTCTTCTGTTGCTATTATTTATCTAGATACCGTTTGCTTCAAAATCTATTTCATTAAAAAAAATAACTTATTTCAAAATCAGTTGTTGTCTCTTTCTTTTCATAATTGAGGGACTACTATATGACGTTATTTGCTTATTTTAATAAGTTGTATAATTGGTTCTCTTCCTTGATTTCAAAAAATATGTTTCCAAGACGGAAAATATCAAGTGTGAAAGAATAAGCTAAGAAACCATAAGGATAAGTTTGGTGACGGTGGCCGTTTTGACGTCACCGCGCTTGGACAACAAATGATCGCTCGAAGCCAGTTTGGGCTGCGCAAACGCGCCCAATCGGCGCACACTGCCGCGCAATGACACCAAGATTTCGTAGTTCTAACACCGACTCTAACCGAACGATGCCGGGGTCATCTCCGACTTCGACCAGTTGGATACCATCATCGTCGTTGAATTTTTGACCTTACATTTGAACTTTTGAGAGAGTTGAGTTCGGCCTGGCGAAATGACTCGGAAACGGAGGGGTGACCAGACTTCACAGCAGGTAATCCATCAAATAACATCGGCTAAAATTCCCTAAGAAATCATAAAATCCAACCATTAAATTAGGTGTCCGGAAAAGCCCGGAAAATCGCTAGAAAAGAAGAAAGAAAATCCAAAAAACAACGAAGAGCGAATTTCCAAAAGAACAAAAACTCTAAAATACTTGAAGATGAAGCTCAAAAACAAAAGAAACAAATTCCCCAAAAGATTATTCCCTCTGAGCCAGAAGAAATAGAAATGCCGAAGAGAGAATTAACGACGATAGAAAAAGAAATGAAGATTGTGAAAAGAGAGAAAAAGAAACATCGAAAGAAAATGGTCAAAAGTCGAGAAATGACGATTGAGGACTTACAAGCCGGCATTGACGAGGACGATGCTATCATTAGAAATATGGAGAGAAAGCTCGGAATCAAAAAGGTACTTTCGCGAGTAGCTGCGATTTTCAAATTTTACCCAAAATTTAGAAAAAGAAGAAGGAGCTGACTACGTCGGATGAAATAAGGGACTCGTTGAAGATCTTTGGCGATGAAGTCGTCGAAGATGATCTCGAATCGGCAAAGAAAGCTGAAGAGGAATCAGCAGGAGCAAATACAAATTTAGACGAAAGTTTTGAGGAAGAGGATTTTTCAGGGGATGAATCATTTGATGAGTTCGACGATGATGCTTTCGAGGTAAGAACTAATGAAATAACTTGACCACTGAGTTTCTCATAGGAAAACTCTGACGAAGAAGAAGTTGAAGAAGATTTAGATAGCGGGACCGCTAAGGAAAGTCAGCTTATGGAGGGCGATTCGGAACCCGAAAGTGACGAAGACGATGGAGAAGATGAACTGGAGGGCTTCGGCGATGAACCAAGCGATTCTGATGGAGAAACCGATGAAGAGAATACTGAAATATTCCAAGCAATTTACGGCGAGGAATCTGATTCTGAAGACATGCCTCCTTCGAAAAAAGATGAGAAAGAAACCTCTAAAGAAGTCACTCCAGAACAAGCGTCGAAGCCAGAAGTGAAAAAGTACATTCCTCCAGCTCTTCGGGCTCAGAATAATGCTCTAGAAAGGCTTGTTCGAGGGCATTTGAATAAACTCTCGTCCTCGAATCTCTATGCGATTGTACAAGAGTTCCAGTCGATCTTCAGAAACAATCCAAGAAAAGAAGTTTCTTCAATAATCACATCCACAATTTTCAATCAAGTCATTCAATCAAGCCAAACTCCCCACTTACTGGTCGAAGACTACTCCTCATTTTTGATGTCAATTCACTACCTTGTTTCTGAAGAAATAACCGGATTTTTCGTTGAAGACTTGATCAACAAATTCTTTGAGCTAAACGAAGAAAACTCGATTGACATGTTTAAGATGAAGAATTTACTGGCTCTGACTTGTACTTTGACGAGATTGAAGTTGTTCAATGTGAAGTTGGTTCTTGAGATTTTCAAACAATTTACGAAGCGATTTTCGCCAGACGACATCGAGTTCATTCAACTGATTCTGTTGCAGTGCGCGTTTACTATTCGAAAAGAAGCTCCAGCGGAGCTGAAGTCTATCATCATCGATGTGCATTCAAAAGTGAACGAGAAATCGGACGAAATCGAATCTGTTGGAGGATCTAGGGCAAAATTTATGTTGGAAATGCTCCTCAACGTCAAGAACAACAATTTGAATGCGATGAAAGCTCACCCTGGTTTTATTGAAAGCGAGCGTGATCAGAATTGCAAGAAAAGGATAAGAGCAGTTGTCGGTCAGGTCCAGATCGAGCCATTTTCCGCTGTTGGATTGTCAGATATTATTGATATTCCAAAGAGAGGAAGATGGTGGCGAGTCGGTGCCTCAGTAACGGTTATACGGTAAGTCAATAATGGGAGCATAAAATGATTCTATGTCTGTGATCAGAACTTTATTCTAAATTGAAATGTCTTCCAAAAGTAATTGTTTTATTTTAGAGACAATTCAACAAAGAAAGAAGTAAAGAAGGTAGTTGAAGTAAGCGAGAAGCTCAAAGCAGCGGCGCGTAAATTACGATTGAATACCGACAATAAACGCAGCGTTTTCTATCTTCTCAATACTTGTATGGATTTTATGGACGCAGCTTCGAAAATTGTGGAAATGCGATTAAAGGGTTCTCAAAGACAAGACGTCCTTTTTGTCATTTTGGAAATTGTCATGAGACTCAAAAAGTGGAACACTTTTTACGTCCTTACTTTAGGTATGAATACGGCCAAATCTCAGTAAAACTTTATTGAAAGAAATCATCAATTATTAATTTTTCTTGCGTAACGACATAATCTGTCTAGATGCTAATTATTATTCTGATGTATCTAAATTGAAGCCATCTTATTTATTCTTTTCAGAAAAGCTTCTTCAGCTTGATCGCTCATTTCTTATGCCGACTCAATGCGCATATTGGGATAAATTCAGTGTACTGGAAACGCTGACGGAACGACAAAGCTCAAACCTTGGTAAATTTCTGGCGCATGCTTTCCATATGAGATGTATCCCAATTACGATGTTAAAGAAGTTTGACTTTACCCAACTTGGCGAAGAAGCACCTGGGGCGTTTTTTAAATCGGTGATGAAAGAGATGTCGACCATTTGTTCGGCCCAAGGTAATGTAGGTTTTTGAAAAGATTTTAAATTTATAAAATAGATGTCTTGGAAATATGTGGGAAGTTGCAGCTATCTTCTGACCTGAAAGAGTTCCGAAACGCATTCTACGTGTTTGTACAACACCACTGTGTGAAAAATGGAGAATTTATGAAGGCGCTCAGTACCGAGCAAGCGAAAATTTTAAGTTATATTTCGAGGAATATCAAGGAAAAGGATGAGGCTTTCTCGCTCTAATCGTCATGACTTCTGTATCTTTGAAATAATAGCTTAATCTTTTTGATGTTTCTTAAGGCTTTCTTAATTAAGAATGGCATCTGCGGACAGCGTTTGCTACACGCTAATAAACCCAAGTAGCGAAGCAGAGCTTGCCACAGAATCCCAGCTCAAGGTACTTTTTATTTTTTCCTTTGATAATCGCTATTAACTTAAAAATCTTCAAGGCTGAGATCGAAGATGTGAAGGGAAACGACAAAACTAAAGCTGCGGCGCTGAAAAAGCTAATTATCCAAACCCTCAATGGCGATAAATTCTCCCCGACGATGGCGATCCATGTTATCAAATATCTCCTCCCCTCGCAAGACCATCATATAAAGAAACTGTTACTGATTTACTGGGAAATCGCGCCCAAGGTCGACGAAGAGGGCAAACTGAGGCATGAAATGATTCTCGTATGCGATGCGTACAGACGAGATCTTCAACACCCGAACGAATTCATCAGAGGTTCAACCCTCCGATTCCTTTGCAAGTTAAAGCAGCCAGAGCTTCTTGAGCCACTCATGGAGCCGATTAGAAGCTGTTTAGAGCACAGGTAAGAGTCAGGGAAAGCTTTTCCGAGAACGAATTATTTAATTAATTGTAAAACTATTCTTTTAGACACTCGTATGTTCGCCGAAACGCCGTCTTAGCAATTAAGACCATTTATGACAACTTCCCTCATTTGATTTCTGACGCGCCGGAGCTGATCTCTGAGTATTTGGCCCAAGAAAAAGACGCCTCTTGTAAGCGAAATGCCTTCATGATGTTGATACAGTGCGATCGAAACCGGGCCCTTGCTTACCTAGAAACATGCATCGACCAAGTCCACTCCTTCAACGATATTCTACAGTTAGTCATCGTCGAGCTCGTTTATAAAGTTTGCCGCTCGGAAGCGTCGCAGCGAGGCCGCTTCATTAGATGTGTCTACAATTTGCTCCAGTCTTCATCAAACGCTGTCAGATACGAAGCCGCCTGGACACTGACGACTATGTCCTCCGCCCCGACAGCGATCAAGGCAGCTGCCGCGTGCTACGTCGAGCTCATTATCAAAGAGTCCGATAACAACGTCAAAATCATCGTCTTAGACAGACTGACAGAGCTCAAGGTCAGCCTAAGAAACCATTTTCAGTGTTGCTAAAAAATCAATTTCAGGAACAGCACGAACGAGTCCTTCAAGATATGGTGATGGATATCCTCCGTGCATTGAGCTCTCCTGATCTTGATGTCCGAGAAAAGACACTCAATCTCACGCTCGACCTTGTCTCATCCCGAAACGTCGTCGATTTAGTAAAATTTTTGGAAAAGGAAGTTCAAAAGAGCGCGTCGGCACAAGGAACCGACGATAATGACAAATACAGACAATTGCTGGTACAAACGCTTCACAACATCTCCGTTCGATTCCCCGACATCGCTTCACAAGTCATCCCCGTTCTCATGGACTTCTTGTCAGATTCAAACGAGCTCGCCGCGGGTGACGTCACAAATTTTGTCCGAGAGGCTATTCAAAGATACAGTACGCTCAAGCCACTCATCATTCAGAAGCTTTTGGAAGTGTTCCCTAGCATCAGAAACTTGAAGATAATCCGATCGATTTTGTGGATCCTTGGTGAATACTGTGACGAGGTAAGTCAGGGCTCCGATTTCTCTGGGATGGTTTCTTTTCTTGTTATGATTTGGCGCATAGACGCTTAAGATGTAACTATTCTGTCTTACAGCTTTGCCAGGCTTAAATGAATCACTTTTCAGCACGACTCTATCCTCGACTTCATGATCGAGCTCCGGAAATCTATCGGTGACGTGCCCATCGTCGCCGCCGAGATCAAGAAGGCAGCTGGCGAGGAAGAAGAGCAGGCCGAGGGCGAACAGACTGCTGATCCAGCACCTAAGAAGAGCTCCGGCCCACGAGTCACCGCTGACGGCACTTACATCACTCAATCAGCCTTGGTTTCTGACAAGAACAAGGAAGAATCAACCGCTCCACCACTTAGAAATTTCCTTTTGGAAGGAGAGTTCGCTACTGGATCTGTGTTGGCTACCACTCTTACTAAACTCGGCCTTCGATTCACTCAGGTACCTTCCAGCCTCCTGATCACATTTTGATTCTTCTCTAGCTCACGGATAACGACCGAAAGCGAAATGCGTTCCTCGCCGAGTGTATGCTCATCATGACATCTGTTCTCCATCTTGGACGAAGCGGCTACGCAAAGAAACCTATCCCAGAAGATGATGCTGGCAGAATCGTTGCATGCATCAAGGTACTTCTTCAACAAATCTAAGAACAAGAACTTATCATACGACTTTTAGGTCTTATCAAATCCAACTCCACAAACAACTCAAATTTTCGCATTCGAGTCTCGAAACGCTCTTTCATCACTTCTCGCCTCCAAAGAGCAGTACAAAAAGCACAGTAACAAGAAAGAGAAGAAAATTACAAAGATCAATCAGCCAGATGAGCCTATCAGTTTTGCCCAGCTCATGGTTCGAGATGGATCCGATCAGCTAGAAGACGAGCTTCAAAGCTCGCTGATGGCTGCTGTCTCTGGCGGACCAAGCAATCAGGAGAAGCAGAATCCACTCTCGTCTAAACTCAACAAGGTTCGAAAATCGATGATGAAATTTTTAGTCAATCTTCCAGACTAGGCTTATGAACTAATTCTGTAAGATCGTTACGGTACATTGGGCCCATAAAATGATTGGAACAAAGATTAACAAGATTAATTCACAACAATTGAGTAAAAATATTTCATCATATCCTTTTAGGTGTTACAGCTCACTGGTTTCTCTGATCCCGTTTATGCCGAGGCATATGTCCATGTTAATCAATACGATATCGTTCTTGATGTTCTCGTTGTGAATCAGACCCCAGATACATTACAGGTTCGCTACAGGTTGTTTTATCGTTGCGTAACTGTTCTATTAGTCCGTCACATTGGAATTGGCTACTCTTGGTGATCTCAAACTCGTTGAAAAGCCCACGCCACTTACGCTCGCACCACATGACTTTGCTAACATCAAGGCCTCGGTCAAGGTAACTCAATCGGTCGATTCCCGCAATAGCGACTTTTCAGGTTACATCGACTGAGAACGCGATCATCTTCGGTAACATTGTGTACGATATCACAGGCTCTCAGTCAGATAGAAACTGCGTTGTCCTTAATGACATCAAGATCGACATCATGGATTACATTCAGCCCGCACAGTGCACCGACCAGGTTTGAGAACCGATCGAAAAACATTTTTGTTAACTTATTTCAGGAATTCCGCGAAATGTGGTCCGCTTTCGAATGGGAAAACAAAGTCACTGTCCATACAAACATCGCCGATCTCCGAGAATATCTTCTTCACCTCGTCGGGGTAAATCCGATTTCATTCAAGCATGGAAGCTCATTCTCTCTTTTTAGGCTACTAATATGAAGTGCCTGACTCCGGAGCAAACGATGAGCGGCAATTGTGAATTCTTAGCTGCGAATCTTTACGCGAAATCGATGTTCGGAGAGTCGGCGCTCGCAAACTTGTCGATTGAGATTGGCAAAAATGGATTTGTCTTAGGTATGCATTCCTTTTTCTGCGCTTTTTACAATTTGAATTTCAGGTCACATACGTATTCGAGCAAAATCTCAGGGAATGGCAATTTCGCTGGGCGACAAGATCAACGACAGTCAAAAGAAAACGTGATGAACCCGCTTCCAGACTATTTCCAACCTAGCCCTTCATCTTTTCTGTTCTACAATTGACTCCAACTCCGTTTTACTTCGGACCGTCAACTCTTTCTTCACGATTTTCTATCGGATCTACGAAAAAACAACCATCTTAGTTCAACTTATATTTTCGAATTCAATTTTAGTAAATAATACTTCCGATACTTTATCAATGAGAAAGGCTATATTTAAATATTCATATTCAACTTGGACGGTAGTAGAAAAAATGGCCCAAAACTGCCTCTTACGGAGTGTTTTTTAAGTTATTAAAAAGTAATATTCTCTAATATTAAAAAAAAATGTGCAATATCTCACGCAAACAACACGTATTCCACATCTATCTGTTCATAAATACATTCTTACTGAATCAAACCTTCGTTTCCATTTTATATAAATATTAATCCAACGGGTGAAATCTACCAATTATCAACCAACAGTACCAGAATTAGACGAGGACGAAATTACATGTCGCAGTAACAGTTTTTATTATTACCTAGTGCCTGATTTCATTCTTCTTGGCCGTGTGTGGAATATTAGAATAATAAGATTTCAAGAAATAAAATTCAATTTCTAAAGCAATCAATCAGCAACTCTAACGCAGGAATCAGAGTTCAGAGGAAAAATGGCGCCAGGGCTTGTGGTGCTGAAAGATGGAAATGTTGTGGTTTGGTCGGGCTCAAAGGTGGTCAAAATTGATGTTCAACAGTAAGTGTACAGACATCCTCAAAGGGCTTTTATCAAAAGCAGACTTCTTACATAAAATATTTTCCGTATCAATGATACAGTATCATAAAAGTTGCATAAAGACACTCTTCCAAAGAGCATCATTTTTAGAAAAGCAATAACGATCTCGAAGGACTTTGAAGGTCTCGTCAATGATGTCATCGAAGATAAAGAAACCTTCCTCGTCTCGCATGACAAAACCGTGTCGATTGTTGATCCTCTGAAAATGGAACTTATTCAGCGTTTCGATGTTCCAAGGCGACCTTCGAAATTATGCGTTGTCGATCAGAAATGGTAGAATCAAGCTATTTTAGCGATGTAAATTAATGATAATTAGCTACATTGCGGATAAATCGGGAGATGTATATTTGGTAGACATGAGCGATGAAGAAATTAAAGAAAGAACGGATGTGAAGACGATGAAACCTATTTTGGGACACATCTCGCTGATCATGGACACATTTGTGAGCGACAAATTTATTTATACAGCTGAACAAGGTAATCGACAATTCAAATATAGAATAAAGATTTAAAATTGTTATTTTTATAAGACGAGAAGATCAAAGTCTCCAGTAGAAAACACCCCTTCATAATCGACCACTATCTTCTCGGCCACACTGAGTACGTTTCCAAAATCCAAGTCGACGAAGAAAGCAATGCTCTATTTTCTGCAGGCGGGGACGGAACTATTCGCAGTTGGAAAAACGGGAAAGCCGACAATGTCAAAGAACATGAGGAAGAAACAGTTTGTCATTCGTTAGTAGCTTCGCAGGATCATCTTCAATACGCAACTGTCAGTTTTGAAGACAACAAGGACTCGTGTATCAGAACGGTAGGTGTTGATTTATGACTTCTTGCCTTATTTAAAATCCAAGGTCGCCAAAAGGGACTTAGCAGAGTACCATACGTGGAAGCTCGAAGGTGGCTCGGTCCCAATCTCGTCAGCTGCCAACTCTACTGGGTCAGTCTACTCTTTCAACCCTTTTTAAGCGGATCTATTTTTGTAGACTCGGCGCCTATTGGCTTATTGAAAAAGAAAAGTCTTTGCAACTTTACTTCGCGAAAGATAAAGAGCTAGAGCTTGTTTTACAAGATGTCGTCGAAAGCTCGTGGAAAGAAGATCACTGGAAGGTGCTCAAGAAACAGTTGGAAAAGTCAGATAGTAAGTCGCCCTTTTGTTTGAGGAGCAATAAACGGGTGTGCTTAGATTATGAAAAATATCTTCAAATGAGAGAGGAAGGCTTCAAAAAAGCTCGTGGCGGGCGCAAGAAACAGAAGAGAAAGATCATGGAGCCGAATTCCGACTCCAATGATGCGAAAAAAGTCAATGTCGAAACAGTTACTGCCACTTGAGCTTTGAAAAAAAACTCGAATGTAATTATTCAGCTAGTAAGATTTTCAATTATAGAATGTTGCGGCAGGTGCTTGCCTGTCCGAGGCACGCCATGCGCAGAGCTCTAGTTACAGATTCTGCCGGCGCCTATCTCGAAATCCCTCACGTGACGAAATGGGCTGTTCCTAAATTCGCTGCAGTTTTCATTTGTGGTATTTCAACTGGAGCCTTCATTAGGTAATACTGATTGTTTTTCTACTTGTATCAAGCCTTTGATTCTAGCGCTCGCGGTGCGAAATTCCTTGAAGAATACGAGCTCTTCGTGCCCGACGATGATGACGATGACGACGATGATTAAATGCGCGATGCCTTCACTGGGCTTGCAAAAGCAGCCTTTGAGTTCTTACATTTTCAAAATATACTCCCTCTCTATCTTATTTCTCTTATCTTCCCTTCAGGGCTACCTCTACTACTGCATCTTCTTGTGTGTATAATTCGAAGCATTCTAAATTTTCAAGTACTCTTTTTCTCCAATCTTCAAGCTATACAAAAAAAATTCAAATAAATTTTCTTTTTATAAAAAGCATTTTTTAAATAATTTACGGTGATCAGCAATGTTGTCTCGTAAATGGAAGCCCTTGAGAAATTATGTGCGTCGAGTAGCTGAAAAAGCTGGAGCTAAGGAAAAAAGTGGCTGGAAGGAAAAACATGAGGACTTTGAGAAATTCGGTTGGAAACCAGAGCCTCTTCTTTGCGAGACGAGTAGATATGACGATAGATCGCCAAGATATAAGCTTGTTGATATGCCTGAGAATTGGTCGCCTTATAAATGGTCTGGCATCAACAGACCTGCGAATAAAAATGACTACATAGCCCTCCCTCTTAAAGTTGACGCGATGATGAATGATCTTGTCGGTTTCCAATTTATGAACAAAATGCAGAAAGAAAATTTCCGCTCCGCAGCTAGAAAGTTTGAGCAATACTGGAAACATAGGCGTATTGCTAGAGCACCGCTGAACGAGGATCAAGCGGAGAAAAAATATAATGAGGCTTTCCTTGCGACTCAAATTGGACCAAAGGTCTGCTCGAATACAATGAAGATAGACAGCTAATTATTTTTTAATAGAGGAGGAAAAATATTGATAGTATTCTTCAAGACTCATCGTTAAAAGCGGTTGTTGGCCCAGCAGAGCAACTAGAAGAAATATCAGAATCAAGTAAAGTAAATGCTCTTGCCGAGCATAGTAAAAGGTCTTCAACGAAATGCGAGAGCTAGAGGAAACTCACAAAGCAATTATATACGACATTGTTATTTCAAAAGTCTGGGCGAAGACTGGCATGATGAAGTCGTACGCAGCCACGTATAAGATCTTGAATGAATTGAAGAATTGCGGGATGGTACCTAGGACTATGCTTGATTTCGGTTGTGGCGCAGGCCCGTCTCTTTGGGCAGCAAATGAGCTCTTCAAAGACTCGCTGGAGGAATATACGGGCGTAGATAAATCACTTGATCAATTACGAATGGCTAGATATGTGGTCACAGGAGGCCATCCGGATCGGGATACGCCCGGAATTCGCTTCAAAAAGAGCCTTCCAGATGGAATTGCTGGCTCAAAAGAACAGTACAATATAGGTACGTCACTCTTTCATGACATGGCGTTCTTATCATTTTATCAGTCATGTGTGCACAAACGCTTGGGGACCTTCCTGATAGAAAATCAAGAGTGTCTGCTATCGATAAGATGTGGAATAAGGTGCATTACGAAGGCGGAGTGCTGGTAATTATCGAATCTGGGAGTATCGCTGGACACGAAATTGTTCAAGAAGCGCGATCGCATTTGATCGACAACATGAAAAACTCCTTTGTCGTTGCACCATGTGGTCATAATGCTCCCTGTGGGTTGTTCCGAAAAGCAGAAGGTCCGATGGCAAACTCTAGGCGGCTTGAAAAGCCAGAATTAGATTTCTTCCCCCGTTGCTCATTCCCAGTGAGATATGAAAGGCCTCACTGGGCATTTACAAAGGGACAGGACGATGGGAATCAAAGGACGATGGTAGTGGAGTCTTTCAATTACATCGTCATAGCGAAAAATGTTAACCAGCTTCCTCCAGCACTTCAGGCTCCGAGAATAATCGGTATGTGAAGAATTCTTTACGTAAGAGTCAATAACGCCCTTTACATAAGAAATTCCAGCTTTCACTTGTGGAAAGTCGTCATCATAGATATGAAACTTCTTCACTTTTGTGCTTTCAGGCAAAGTTGGAGTATCCGGGAAGGCACTGGAGACGACGAGTGTGGTCCTCTGTGTGAATGGAAAGCCAGTTCCACTCGGCTTAAGCAAAGCTCGAGACGGCGATGAAATTGTCCTTCAAGCCCAACGATCGCATGTGGGCGAAACTTTTCCAGTCAAGGAAATTGAGTCCTGGCAACCCACAAAGACGCGGTTTCGTTCATTTTTACCTTCGTTTTACGTCGTTTTTATATTCAGTCTTATCATCCTATAGTATAAAAGAAAAAAAAAACCTGCCCAAAGATCGACTATGAATTGCGAAAGAAAATGCTTGCGGAACGAGCAGCCAAGAAGACGAAAAAGTCGGATCCTGACCCGTTCGCGTTCGAGCATTTGGATTCTGACTTTGAAATCACTGGTATCGAGAAACTGTTCAAACATAGTATTCATGACTCGGGCCTGTTTACCGGAAAAGATTAAGTGCAGCGTGGTTTTAATGCAAATTTGTTTAGAAAAGTTTTGAGAGTGATGCTCGCGAACTTGGCCAGATCAACGAGGAGATACAGGCCCAATCTTTACTACAAAAATGATGAGAGCAAAATGAGTAATACTGTGAGAATCGAGGATCATCCGTAAGTCACAGTTAATTTTGATTGATCTAGCATTGAATAGAAAATGGGGCTGGAAAAGACAACGTACGAATAAAGCACATGCAGAATATCAGTTGAGAAAGACGCTGCTTGAAAAGGATGAGCTGAAGAGATGGGAGTACAACGACTGGGACCTTGAGCAAGAGATTACTGCATTTTGCCATCGAATTCAATGTGAAATGGACCAGTACGAATTCAGCCAGCTTGTGAATGCTGATTTTAATCAGGAATATATAATTGCCGTGCTTAAAAAGATAGTCGATCAGGTTTGTATTTTACAAAATTGCTTCAATTATCCACTTTGACGTTTAAGAAGGTCTGCATAAACGATGCATCAGCGAAGATATGCCAGGGCTTGGCGAGCTTGGAAGCTTTAGATAATGCGGCTAGATCTGTTGGCTTTCATAATCTTGTTCCTAATTATGAGCCAGAGTATTTCGGAAGGGGTTTACATAAGTATTATTAATTATTCTCTGATTTCTGATGATAAAACACATGTTTTGATAATTAAAATTGTTTGATTCTTGAGATAATAATGGAAACGCTCGGTCAAATCTCATTGCGTTAATTTATCGAACCCGCATCAAGGCTCATTCCTATCGAACCTCAAGAACGAATCCGTCATCGAAAATCTCCTTCTCCCGCCATATTTAACGAGCCACAACTTAGTAACTCTTATTCCCGAAGCATGGGAACCACCAGAAACTTATTATGAAAAACATATCGGTAATGTTTGCGAAAATTTTGCAGAGAATAAGTTGAGTTGTAGGATTTATTGAGCCTCGACTGGTGAAAGTAATTGGCGAGAACTCCGCTCTTCCTACTTACGTCGTGGCCGTTTTCGATGATGAGAAGAAATTTCTGGCGTATTCTGTTGGAGAATCGCCACAACTCGCGGCAAAAGATGCCACTAGAGTTGCGCTACAAAAATGTCTTCAAAAATGAATCTAGCTTATTTCCACAACTGACGACTTCTGAATCACTAGAATGTTGAAATCGGGCCTTAGCTGTCGAATTTGGCGCTGCCTAAGCCACACTAATCACTTGAGCGGTCAAAGAAGAAGAAGAAGCCCACATCTAACTGTGTCTAAGCCGAAATGGAAGGAACAAAAGGAGAGCGAAAAGCTTCTGGAATCTGACATCTACGACGAGAATATTGAAATATTGGGAAGGCGTCGTTCCATGTCATTTGTTGATCGCGTGCCTCTTATCTTCCAGGCTGGACATGGCGGGCGAGGAGCTGTGGGTGGCAAAGGTGATGATTCAACAAGTCGGATTTTCAAGTCAAAATAAATGTCTATTTGAAATGACGAGAATTTTAGTTTGAAACTTCGCGAAACTTAATAAATTGTTGTTTTAGGTGGTGTTGGAGGCCTCGGGGGCGATATAATTATTCAGCCTTACAAAGAGATGACTATGAAAATGTTCAACGATCTGATCAAAAATCAAAGAAGTCTTGAGCGAACTACAGACGACGCTTTCGTCGAGCTGTCGGAATCGGAATACAGAGTAGACGAGCTTGAGGTGACTCCAGAAGTGCCAATCGTCAGAGCAGCGAATGGATCCGCTTGTCCAGGAAACATTCGCTTTGGAAAACATGCGCAGAACTTGACGATTACTGTTCCAATCGACACAGAGATCAGGTGCTCATTTTAATCCCTTCGCGTGATCCATTTAATCTTCTGAGCCAATTAATCGATTAGCGAAATAAGAGAACGTTTTCAGAAATGTGGATACTGGTGAAGTGATTTCTCTATGACAAGGTTCTAGCATTTTATATTGTTTGATTGAATTGGGGACATAAATGAGAACCTTTTTCTGGTGATGAAAATCCAGTTATTATCGCAAAAGGAGGGGTTGGTGGAAAAGGCCTAACTGGAAAGCGCTGGCAAGATAGAAAATGGAATTCCGAAGCTGAAAAAGAGAGGGCAAAGTCGTGGATTACTGGACAGCGAGGCGAGTGTTTCAAAGCTTTTATCGAGCTGAAGCGAATCGCAGACGTCGGCTTCATCGGCTTTCCCAACGCGGGCAAAAGCACGCTTCTAAAAGCGCTTTCGAAAGCGAATCCGCAGATTTCAGCAGCGCCCTTTACTACAATTAGGCCTAATATAGGCGTTATAAAGGTAATTTTTCAGATTTCAAATTATCAGGTTGAATTATCTTTCCTTTTTTCAAGTTTGAGGATGGGAGACGGATCGAACTTGCTGATTTGCCCGGACTAATCGATGGAGCTCATATCGGCCGCGGCTATGGTCATCAGTTTTTGCATATGATCGAGAGAAATGCCTGTCACTTGATGGTGGTTGATATCAACGGCTTCCAATTGGATTCGGGAGGGCCTTTTCGAAGCGCGTTTGAAACGATTGTGCAGCTCATTTCCGAACTTGAGCTTTACAACGAGGTAGCGACGAGGCCTGTGCAACGACTGTACAAATATTGATGAATTCATTTAGCACATACCATCAAAACCGTTCAACCTGGTCCTGACAAAAGCCGATATTCCGGATTCAAACAGAAAATATGAAATTTTAATGGACCAACTCGACAACTGGGACACAATGATGAAGAAGCTCGAGCCCGAATTGGGACAAGTGCCCTCATCAAAGCCACGATTCGAATCTGTACACTTTATTAGCCCGCGATTAGAGCTGAGAAATAGGAAAAGGGATGTTGTTACGTTTTATTAGCTCCAAAACAAAAATAATGCTCGTAAAGTGATTTCGTTCGAACGAGACGATTCGCCGACGCGATCAATAAAATTCATCAATCAGAGCAAGAATAGGCCTTAAAAATACATCCCCTTTAGAGAAAAACGAGAAACTGACAGTGAAGAGCTGGTCAATCTCAAGAAGTCGATAAGAAAATTGATAAACAAGTCAAAACTTTACGAAGCCGCGAAAATATCAGTGAAAAAAGAAGACTCTGAATTTGAGGAAAAAAGGAAGAACCCAACCTCGAAAGAGTATCAAAAAGAAAGGAATGAGTTTTAAAAAGGGAAAAATCTATTCAATGACAAAGTATATTATGTGATAGAAGCTTATCGAGGTGCTAAAGCCATATTGTGGTTTGTTTTGGAGCCCAAAATAGCACGTGGAATTAGCCCATTTTTTCAAAGCTCATCCAAGACAAAACAGGATAAAGACGCTACAGCAGAGCACACGTCCGATAGATCCAGACTTACTGCCTCCCGAGAAAACGAAGGATTTCGATTTTTGAACGTTCATTTGACTAAAACCGCCTTCGGCCCTAGAATGATACGGCAACGGCTGTCCTGCTCGATTCCGATTAGATTTGCCAGCCAGAGGTCTATTTTCAGAAGATCCAAGCATGATACAATCGAAATAAAACAGGTACTTTTTATCTTTAAATTCATGAATTAGTGAATGATATTTTTCAGAATTACACAGATGAAGACTTGAAGCTTATCGTTGGCGCGCTGCCCTTGGAACAACGCCAAAAAATGGAAAAATTACTACGTGACAAGAGGCGTAACAGCGAGTTTAAAATTCTGCTTGAGCCTCAAAATCGTAAAGAGGTCCCACCATGGGTGAGTTACAAAAACATATAAACAAGACAGACATTTTTTACGCAGAGAAAAATGAGAAAAAGGTTAACGAAGAAAATTTCAGAAAGGATGTCGCATTGTCTTCTTCCACAATCTCGTTCCATTCATCGGCTTTGGATTCTTCGATAATTTATTGATGATCCTGGCTGGTGACTTGATTGAAACGCAAATTGGAGCTACGATGCATCTGTCAGTGATGGCCTGCGCCGCCCTTGGAAACACAATTTCCGACGTCTGCGGAATCGGTCTCGCCGGCTATGTGGAAGTTCTAGCGTTGCGAATGGGCCTTCCTGTTCCGGACCTTTCCCAAGCTCAACTGAACCACACTAGAGTACGTAACAGAGAAAGCAATCAAACTGGAGTCGAATGAATAATTTTAGGCGCGCCTTTCAAAAGCGACCGGTCAAGCAATGGGGATCATCATCGGCTGTCTAATTGGCATGTTCCCCTTACTTTTTATCAACAACTAGTTCCACTACTATCCAATATCTATGTACCTCGATTTTAGACTATGTTTATGCTTATGTTTCTTGATTTCAAATGTAATTACTGACTCACTTCTGTTCAAAGTTTAAGGTCTAGCAATAGCGCCTGTAAAATTTGCCGAGTCTGTTATATCTATTTCTTGCGCTTATGTTTCTTTCATTTTTGTTTACTACTGTTACACCACTGTTGATGTAGCTCATGCTGTTTTTATTTATTTATATTAACAATGCCAAGCTTCTTCCCAAAACTAATTTTGTTTATAAAACTGATGATATCGTTCTTTTAAGTTTCAATGACAAATAAAATCCCTCGAGCTCGCTTCCCCAGCTCCCGAAATGACTGATATTATTCCGCTTTTTGATTCTTTATCGATAACAATCCCTCAATATATAGCTTTTTTAAATAAGTGCGAAACAAACAAATCTCATTCTGTTTAAACCAAAATACCTTTGATAATAATTATATTTAAAATTTAAAGAAATTGAATATTTTTTAACGATTTTGTTTAGAAAAACAATGAGAAATGGCAAATACAGCAATGATATCGATATTACTTCTTTTGTCGTTAGCAAACGGCCACAATATAGGCAAATAGGCTATATGTAAATATATAAATACAATTTATATAATAATCAGAAAAGAAACATTCAAACAGATTCTTTAGGACAAAACTACGATGAAGTACAAGTTCACTACTCCAAGTTTCCCCTCACCCCCAACACTCCCCCTCCAGAGCAGCGTTACGTTGCTTTTGACAACCCCCCACACGAACAACGAATCATCTCCCCCAACATTGGCCATTATGTGTCGAATAATCAGTTTATGGAGCAAGGAGCCATTCCTATTCCTAAAAATATGCCCTACATCAAACAAAGCGAGAAAGTTCCTTACAAAGGTAGGTAGATTTTGCGACCAGAAAATATTGGGATAATAGGGATGTGGGTTCGCTTTGATCCACCCTTCCTGGACTTTGGAAACACTCACTTGGGCTTGGAAGTCAAAAAAGAAGTCCGCATCATCAACATGCACGACGACGAAGTTGTGGACATCAGCTCGATAGACTCACCCAACAAATACTTTTCAATAGTTCCCCCTAAGCAGCGAAAACTTCAACCCCATGAAGCAGTGACTTTTGAGGTCATTTTCCTCCCGAGAAAGATCGGAAACGTCGAGCAAACACTTTTTATCAACACTGGAACTTCAAAATTAACCCTACCCTACCCTGTAAGTCTATCTCGCTTCTCTCATATCTTACCTATTTTTTTAGCTTTTTGGCGTAGCAACTTCAAATCCGTACCGTTTGCCAACTTTTTTGAACACGAAAATTCCCCTTGGAGAGCGACAAAGCTATAAACTCTCGCTCTACAACCCAGAAGAATGTCCCCTTCAAGTCACGGAGCTTTATTCGAGCTCACCACGAGTACAAATTCTTCTCAACAAGTCCGGTGCTAGGGTCAAGAAAAAAGAACTGACGGTCTTCCCCAATGAAGAAAAGCACATTGCGACGGCAGTATTTATTGAAAAAAATTATACCGGGCTACAGTCAGCTTTCGTCCGTTTTACAGTAAGAAATAGGACTCTCAGCCGGGGTCTTTATAAATGATTCAGGTAAATCGGACGATGCCTTGTGAAAAGAAGCCGCCGTTAAAACTGATTTTTCCGTTCGATGTAGAAGTTTCAAATGTTCCAGCGGTTTATCCGAAAGAATGGATGCTGGACTTTGGGATTGTTCATGAATCGATGAAATCCGTTAAGAAACCGATTATTATTCGGAACGTAGGCATCAACGATTCCGTTACTTTTGACTGGATTCGACAACTTCCTGTAGTTCGTAAGTCATCAATTCTTTGATGATCTGCCTGATTTTTTTTTCAGAAAAATCTATAAAGCTCAATATGAAAAACTCGATGAAAATCCCCGACGCTGGCCAAGAAGCTCTCTTGGGCAACGCTACGTTTTTGTACGACGAGGCCTTTGCTACAGGAAAATCGTTTTTCAGTGGCCTTCTCAGGCTTCACTGGCGCCCGAATATGATTTATAGGGACTTAGAAATGTAAGACAAGCAATAATTATCTGTTGATGACACTTTTTAGTCCTTGGCAAGCTCGGATCTTACGAGGCGAGCTGGAACTTGAGCAAAGTCAGTTGAAATTCCTGCTTTCTGAAATTCGCGAGACGCAAGAAAAAGTTCGCAAGATTACCATCAAAAACACAATGGATGAGCCCATCTTCATCAGCAAAATCGATGTCGACTACGACAGGGACGATCCCGATCGCGAGAATGCCTTCAAGATCCGGTATTTACAGGACTCGCGGATTCTCAAGTCTGGTGAAGAAAGTGAGTTCTTTGAGATTGAGCTCGCTCACTGTAAATGGAATGAAACGATCAAACAAATTGATTGTCCAGAGGATAGAACGATCGAGACCCAAATAAATATTCACACCAATGCCAGGTTCGTTTGAACTTGATCTTCGATTTAAAAGTATTGCTTTAGTGTATTTAATTACGATCTATTATTTTACTACGGTCTGGTGAACTATCAAGTCTCGATTCCCGATCCTTCCATCAACAGCAACTCTTCAAAGATCGAGTTTGGCTTGACCGCAACTGGAGACCAAAAGTGCCAGGTCATAATGCTTTCAAACAAGAATCCGATTGATATCGCACTCGAACGCTATCAAATTGAAAACTTGCCAAACTACGGCATCACGCATAACATGTGGCCGATGACGAGTCTCGAATTCGGCAGACGCGATGTCTCTCATCGGAAAATGCCGTCCGAGTTTCCCCTCACTTTGAAAAAGAAGTCGACTTCTATTTTCGAGTTCTGTTTAGGAGTTGCTGAGCAGCGGCGTATAGAAGGAACGCTGGCAATTGTGTCGCATTTCCAAGTGATCAGAATACCTTTTGAGGGAAAGTGGTACGATGGAAGCATGAAAATCATGGACAGTCCAGTCAAACTTCCACAGAGTTTTCCCGGGAAGAAAGTTTCGGCAGAAATTTCCATGTTTTCTACTTTCCAGCGAGATCTTCATCCCAGTAGCGTGATTCCCAATGAAATCGGCATCGTTCGTTTTATTCCAAATAACAAAGTTGTCCATGCAATGACAAAGACCACCGTCGGCAAATTAGAGTTCGACGGCCGACAGTACTGCAAAGGAGAATACTTCGCAAAGTGCGAGTGTATGGGTAGTCTGCGGCCAGATAATAAATGCGGCAAAGCGTGGCTTTCTTCTTTGGATAGACCCCATCAATCGGCAAAGAACGATGCAGAGCTCTATGATCGCTTCAGAGCCCACTTCAAAAAACAAGAATCAGAAACGAGAACATCTCTGACTATAATGACTCAAGAAAATGTGCTTTACGACTTTGACTTCAAACCAGATTTCACCTGGCCTCGATTAGCGCAAGTAGTAACGAAGGAGACATTCCTACAGCATCCGATAGTTTTTGCTCAAACTGCAGTAACGATTCCACACAGATTACAAGCTCAACGCGTCATCAAAATAAAAAATCCATCCGATGATTACATAATGTTCCAACCAGTGCTCCTCGGTGACATTCAGCAAAATTACCGTATTGAGAAAGCTCTCAAAGATGATTATCCTTACCTCCATCCAAAGAATGATTTCAACTATTCACCTGATTTTGCAATAGTTAGGAAGAATGTTTCGACCAAAAATGGCGAGTATCAGCTCCCTCGTCCAGTCATTCCTCCGCAGTCGGAAGAGACGATTGTGCTGACTTTTATTCCCAATAGAGTTGGAATGCACGAAGCAGTCTTACTGCTGCGTAATAATCTGACTGTACTCGAACCTATTCGACTGATGGGAAAGGGAGTCAAAGAGGAGATAAAGCTAAAAGATGGAAATAGCTACTTCACGATGCTCTTCAGAGACGATGATCTAAAGGACTGCTACTTTACAAAGCCGGGCGAGTTACCGTTTAAAAAGGGCTCAAAGACGACATTGATCTTGGAAAATTTTTCCGTTATCCCTTCGAATATCGTTCAAGTTCGCATTAATGGTGAATACTGCGCGTCAGATGGTTGGGAAGTTCAGGATTGCTCGAAAGTGACGGGAAAACTTTCTGATGGACACATGCCCGTCGGAGATAAAGAGCCTGCGTATAAGGAAATAAAGCTAAAATACCGACCTGATTTCTCGATGCTAGAAACGCAAGCGATAATGGACATAACGACGGAGTTTGGCGGCAAGTTTGTGTTTATGCTTCAGTCCAGAGTGCCAAAAGATCACATTCAAGCCTGTCGTGCCAGCATTCCCCGCCCACCTTGGGAAGCTAGTTGTCGAAAAATCATCGTCGCTATGATGTGGCTTCTCTTGTTTGGAATCATTATCATGGGATACATCGAAGCTAACTGTGTGACACACGACTACTTCGAAAAGTTCGGAAAAGTGGCCACTATTCCAGCAAGTGTGATTGACCCCCTTATGCGCAAAATGTATAGTCACCTCAAACGCAAGCGACCTGAGGCAAAGGTGGCACCTATCCAAAATCACAACTATCCCTCTATCAATAAATTGCTCGATACAAGCCAATTCAAACCTGTATCGAACGATGAAATCCAGAGGATGTTAAAAGAAGGTGAAGCGCTTGCTGCGAAAGAAGCAAAGAGGGAGGAAGAACTACTCGAGAAGAAAAAACCGAAAAAGGAAAATGATCCGCCATCATCAAGGCCTGCTCGTTATTCCAGCGTCGAAGAAATCCCCGCCGAAACTCATGAAGAAGAGGAGCCAGAAGAAAGCCTTCCGGAGTGGGCCGACGAGAGCACGACAATTTCAGATCAATCCAAATACGAGTCCGACTTCAAAGACCTGTCGAAGAGAGCCCAACAGTTGGAGAAGGAAATGGCGCCGAAAACGCCGAAAAAGACTCAAGTGCGCAAACGTGTTAAGACCCCGCGGGACAAGCGTAAAAAGACGAGCCGATCCAGCTCCCTGTCTTCGTCTGCATCGAGTGTCCAGCCGACCCCAAGGGCAAAGGCCAAACCAACAAAAGCTGCGCCTGTTGAGGACATCCCCATATCTGATTCGACTGATTCTTCTTCTGGCCACGAAGGAGCGCTTCTTCCACCGACGAAAGCTTTTCTCACTCGAGATCACATCCGCAGCGTCAAACTCGAGAGTACAGTATCCTTACCGCAGCTCAAGCGCAGTGAAACACCACCAAAACCTGACAGGTATTGTTTTGCAAACACGTTTCTAGAATATAAACATGTTTTTAGCGATGATGAAAAAGAATCATTTGATCCCTTTGGTTTGAATACGATTGGACAAAATGTTGAGCGGGAAATTCAACGTCAAGAAAACATCAGCGCAACTCGTCCAAGAGTCTTCGATCCAGCGCCCGGACGAAATCCACGACCTGGTACATCATTTTACCAGCAGCCCTTCAATTCCTACGATCCTTATCAACCGAGATATGGAGAACTTCGATATCGCCCGGAAAACTACCGACCAGACGATTACCATGAACGACCATGGCCAACGGAAAACAGAGCTCCGTTCCGAACAGACATCTTTGGACAGAGCCAGAGCTTCAGAGAATCTCAACCAGCTCAAAATACTGGCTTCCTTCAGTCAAACAGTCCACCCGTTTCTGCTTTTGAAAGTCTAACGAACCGATCTTCTACGCTTCCGCCTCCTGGATTCGGCAGCAAAACAACTTCTAGTCCTGCCGACATCCGATCTGTTTTTGGAAACGAGCAGTCGTCTCTTTTTACAGGAGAAATGACTTCTGAGGAACGAAAGAAGCAGGACGAACGCATCCGAGAAGCCGTAAGTAATTCGATTATCGGATAAGTAGCCGTTCATGTCGAGACGCATTACTAATCTTGAAATTGGCGCTTTCTTATAAGAAGGAATTAATTAGACTACGACTTTAATTGAGAACTGCGTTATGTAACTCATTATCTTAGTTTTCTGAATGAGTCACTTTGCCTCTGCGGCGTAAAGCTTGCCCTCTTTTCTCTGGGCAAATCAACAAGAGAGATTCTAATTCAACGAAATTCAGGGCGAACGCTACTCTACCAAGATCCGCGGAATCTGGGACAACTAGCATCCAAGAAGAATCACTTAAAATCATTTACGAAATTATTTCATCCCTCCATTGACCTAGTTCCATCATCCCCTTTATTTTTCTAGATCCCATTGACCTTTTCAAACCATAATGCTTTCTATTAGATCAGAAATCAAATTTCTTCAGTTAAGACTTACTTCTATTTATAACAACTCCTCATCGCTGAATCTTGCTTTTATCTGATGTTATCTTCGTAGCTCCCTTATTTCCCAGACTGTTTAGCCGGAAGCATTTATTTTCGAGTTGCTAAAAAATCCGTTGCGAACCCCCGTAATCGCAGTGCTAGTTATCATTTCATCGTTTTTTCCCTCGTTTCTCATTTCAACGAGAATCAGAGAAAAGCATGTTGCAGAAGAATTGATAATTAAACATCAATTATAAGTAGCTCTGACAGTCAGAGTCTGACTGTTATTTATTGACAACGGCACAATATGACAATAAAAGGGTTTAGAAACGGAATGTTGAGGGCCCGCTTGGCTGCAAAGAAATGCAGCAAGGCTGCTTCGAGCGTGCCAATGTCACGATTCGACGATGCCCCAGTCAACTACGAGGGTCTCGCCAAGAATATCGATATTGTCAAGGGCCGACTTAACCGACCTCTTACTCTTTCCGAGAAGGTAAGCTATTCAATCATGAGCGTTGCCCTAATTTATTTCAGGTCGTCTACGGTCACTTGGACAACGCCGCCGAGGCCGACATCCGACGAGGTGAATCTTACCTGAACCTCCGACCCGACCGAGTTGCCATGCAGGACGCCACCGCCCAGATGGCCATGCTCCAGTTCATCTCCTCCGGCATGCCCCGAGTCGCCGTTCCCTCTACCATCCATGCCGATCACTTGATCGCCGCCGAGAACGGTTCCGTTGCCGATCTTAAGGTTGCCAACACCCTTAACCGAGAAGTCTACGATTTCCTCGGCTCTGCTGGTAAAAAGTACGGTGTCGGCTTCTGGGAAGCTGGCTCTGGTATCATTCACCAGATCGTCCTCGAAAACTACGCCTTCCCCGGTGTCATGCTTATCGGTACTGACTCTCACACTCCCAACGGTGGTGGTCTCGGTGGCTGCTGTGTCGGCGTTGGTGGCGCTGATGCCGTCGATGTCATGGCTGGTATCCCATGGGAACTCAAGTGCCCCAAGGTCATCGGTGTTGAATTGACTGGCAAGCTTTCCGGCTGGACCTCTCCCAAGGACGTCATCCTCAAGGTCGCTGACATCCTCACCGTCAAGGGTGGTACTGGTGCCATCGTCGAATACTTCGGCCCCGGTGTCGAGTCTATGTCTTGGTAACCTCTGAAAATCTAAACCACATTATTATCACTGTTTCTAGCACTGGTATGGCTACTATCTGCAACATGGGTGCTGAAATCGGTGCCACTACTTCCATGTTCCCATACAACCACCGAATGCGAAAGTACCTCGACTCCACCGGCCGATCCGCCATTGGTGACCTCGCTGATGCCAACCAGGGTCTCCTCTCTGCTGATGCCGGCGCTGAATACGACCAGCACATCCACATCAACCTCGATGAGCTCCGACCCGGTATCAACGGTCCATTCACCCCTGATCTTTACCATCTCGCTTCCGAGGTCGGTAATACCGCCCGAAAGAACGACTGGCCCGTTGAGGTCAAGTACGGTTTGATTGGTTCTTGCACCAACTCCTCCTACGAAGATATGGGCCGAGCCGCTTCCCTCGCTAAGCAGATTGCTGACCGAGGCATGACTTGCAAGGCTGGCTTCTCCATCTCTCCCGGTTCCGAACAGGTGAATATCGAATTCTAAGCACGCCTCAAGCCTCAATTTTAGGTCCGAGCTACCATTGAACGGGATGGCTACACTGAAATCTTCGAGAAGGTCGGTGGTGTCGTTATGTCCAACTCTTGCGGTCCATGCATTGGTCAGTGGAACCGAAAGGACACTGAGAAGGGCGAGAAGAACTCCATCGTCACCTCCTTCAACCGAAACTTCACTGGACGAAACGACTCCAACCCAATGACCCACGGTTTCGTTGCCTCTCCTGAACTCGCTACTGTTTACGCTATCACCGGAACCCTCGACTTCGACCCCGAAGTCGATGAGCTCACTGCTCCCGATGGATCCAAGTTCAAGGTTTGCAATCATATTACTTCGATTATTCTTACTTTTTGTCTAGCTTGAGACCCCATACGGTGACGAACTCCCCGGCAAAGGATGGGAAGCTGGCAAGAACTACTACACTCATCCACCAGCAGAAGGTGCCGGTGAAGTCATCGTCGATGAGAATTCCCAGCGACTCCAGCTCCTCGCCCCCTTCAACGCTTGGGACGGAAAGAACCTCGAGAACGCTCAGGTCCTCATCAAGGTCAAGGGCAAGTGCACCACTGACCACATCTCCGCTGCCGGTCCATGGCTCAAGTTCCGAGGTCACCTCGACAACATCTCCAACAACTTCCTCATCACTGGTCTCAACTCTGAGAACGAAGAGATGAACAACGTCTGCAACTGGACTACTGGCGAACGAGGTGGTGTCCCAGACATTGCCCGACAGTACAAAGCCGCTGGCGTCCCATGGGTTGTCGTCGGTGACGATAACTATGGTGAAGGCTCTTCCCGAGAACACGCCGCTCTTGAGCCCCGGTAATAAAAATTGCATTTTATTTGATTTGAAATTATGAATTTTATAGACATCTTGGTGGCCGAGCTATCATCGTCAAATCCTTCGCTCGAATCCACGAGACTAACCTCAAGAAGCAGGGTATGCTCCCACTTACCTTCGCTGATCCCGCTGATTACGACAAGATCCGACCCGATGACAAGATCACCCTCACCGGCATCACCGAGCTCGCTCCTTTTAGCCAGGTTCATCTTGCATCTTTATGCTCAAACTAAACATCATCATAGGTCACTTGCACCGCCACCCACGCCGACGGCAGCTCTGACTCTTTCCCATTGAACCACACTTTCAACGACCTCCAGATCAACTGGTTCAAGAACGGTTCCGCCCTTAACTACATGAAGAGCAAGATGTAAAAATCAAAAGTCCCGAACCATCTACTTTCCGTTTCTGTGATAATTCCTTATTTATAAGCTGTTTCAAGGAGCAGCTACTCATGTACTAGCCCCTCTCCTAAGTTCAACAAACCCTTATTTATGGCATTCGGAAAAGGAATGCAAAGACACCAAATATAGCTCATTCTTCATATAGTCTGACTTTACTACAGTCTCTAAATTTGAGAGTTGCATTTCTAGGAATAAATTATTGTTGAGAGAGCGTTCATAGTGCGGGATGCGAATAGAGTGTGACTTTATTCGAATCACGTTTCGTTAATTTTGCAGCTCATAAGCATACGCAGGGGAGAAGATTAATGTAAAAATGTATTTATTTGGACAGAATTAGACAAGGAATTCAGGACATTGCTCGCCGTAATTATTTCTCATCATGAAAACAACTGGGTTATCGAGACCACGTCTTGTTTGTTTTGATTCTTCTTCGATGAAGTTTGGTCTGAGATACTGGCCATTGGCTCCCAATTTTTCTCCAACGTTTATCCATTGTTCAAAGGGAAGACTTAAATATATAAGCAAAGGTTAGTAGTCTGCAGACATACTTAGAATTTGGTTCATTGTGATATTCTCGACCTCCAACGATCAAGAGATGGCGTTCGTCCTGCCAGATAGTTGTATGATACACTCTTGGTGTTCTCAAAAGACCTTCAACCTCCCAGGCGTAGTTTTGTCCCTCGAGGCCTTCCTAGAATAATCTAGGTAAAAATCAATTTTTCCTGATTCCTTACCTCGAATCTCATAACAGCTCGATCGCTGATAGTTTCACCGCCAATAATTTCCCGTAATCCTCCAAAGACCCAGATCCATCTATCGTAAGCGACTGCTGAGTGGTGTATAACTCGGAAGGGAAGATCGGGAAGATGCTCCCATCTATCCTCCTGACTGAGATCTGGAACAAAGAATTCAGATTCGGCATTCGGGGATGTATCTTGGTTCTTCATCTGCTGACCACCAATAAGAACCGCCCTGTTTCTCCACGTAACGATAGCACCATCTGCGTGTCCTTCAGTTGAATATTCGTCAAGACGTTCCCATCTGATGAAAGCCTCTGTGGCGGGGTCCCAGTTTCCACTTAATTTTAACATGATTTTGAGTTTGAGTTACTTGATACCTACATATAGCACATATTTCCTTGTTCTCTTGGCGAGCATAAAACGAGAACATCAGTTCCAATGTCGAAGTTGACTCCAGTACAGCTATGTCCTCGCCAGATTTGCTTATTTTCGGGTTTATCGACTCCATCTTCTCCTTTGATACGAGGAAGTTCTTGTCCAGTTCTTACGCGAAGACCACAGTCTCCAATAGTGTAAACTTCGTTCTAAAGGGAAATATTTTTTTAAGGTACTTTCATGCTCTTACATTTTCGCCCCCAAAAACGAATTGCTGGCCTTTGTAGACAGCAAAGCACTCCGAGTGGAACTCCTCGGTAGGATAAGTGGCGAAATCAGAAAATTCTGAGACAATTGGTTCAGTATGAAGCCAATTATCATCATCGATTTGCTCGACGCCGATCCATTTGAGCAAGAAAGGATCTGACTCAAGCTCCCCGTTGTAACTTTTGTGTGTGAAGATCAATGCAGTCTGGTTGGTAGCTTCATTGCAAAAGTTCGGACAGGGACATCCCCATGGACAGAGAGCGCCACAGGGACAGCTTTGATGACATCTTACAAGCGCTGTTTTTGGGTTATTATTTTGTCAAACGAATAATGAAGTAAAAAAATAACAAATTAACCCGATCCTAATCCACATTTTTCGGAGCAAGGATAGTCGAAGATTGGGCAGTCGTTAAAACATTCGCAAGCTTTTTCATTGCACAATTTTGTACACTGAAATAAGTTTTTTTTTTGGTCGATTAAAAATTTCATTACCAAAACTGCTTCATCGTGGTATAGATCAGTGCATGTATTTTCACACTCCCAATTTCCACCATTCGCATAGCAGGGACAACCCCAAGGACAAACGGCGTGACAAGGGCAGCTTTGAAAGCAATTTTCGTGTATACGCAGGCATTCATGAATTTTGTCGTAATTACCGCCCGCTCCGGCAATACAAATGTTTAGATCGGTGTTACACCCATCTTCACACACTTCCGCCAAGTGAAGAGCGTTGCAACTTTCATTAAAATAGGCCTGTGCTCCGGCAACGAGCAGCAAAAGATGCCACATTTTCTCTCGAAATTAGCCTTAGCTAATCGAAAAACGAAACTGATGTCCAGTTTTGAACATGTGTTAAGTTCTCAAGATTTTTGGATTCTTCTTCTTGAATAGAAATTGAAGTTTACCGGCCAACTGATAGCAGGTGTCTTTAATCACTCGACGGAAATTTTTTTTCTCATAAATTTATTGCACAGAAATTGAAGAAGCATTGCAGATTATTTTTCAATAAGATTTCAATAAGCTAGTTTTGGCAGCCTTCGTAGTATTTCGATAAATAACTTTTTCGCATTGGAAAAAGATTTGCACGTGACTGATCTCTTTGTGCTACAGAAGCTGCTTTTAGATCCGATCTTGTCGCATCGATGAAACTAAAAAAATTTAAATCTGTTGTTCACAACGCTTATTTACCCAAGAACTTCGTCAGGAGAGTATCCAAAGAGCACAAAATCCGCATAGTAATGCTGATAAATCTTCTCAGCAGTAAGCCGAGGCACAGAACTCCATTTCATCTCCTCTCGACCAGCCGGAGACCATGAATATTTTCCAGGGACATGCGTTTGCTCGTTAACGCCAAGTCGTTTTAGTAAGTATGGAGTTTCGTAAAGACTTTCCTCTATAAAATTATAGTGCAAAAACTTGGGTCAAAAGGTTACCTAGATGGATGATATACTCGTATTCAACGGCACAAGGAGCACATTGGCCGTAAAGAGTTCTCCAGTGGTGGTTCATTTTTGAATTACCAGGGTTAGCGACGATGTATTCGGCGAATGCTTGAGTTTGGTTTATTTCGATATTCTGAGGCTGTTAAATCTTTTGCCTCTTTTATTGATACTTGATTTCTTAAAAAACCGTTCCTTCGAATGAAGAATTTCTACCAGCTGGAGGCCGCGAAGTTTGAAAAGGCTTGATTCCGGCCCAATATGGCGCATGGAAGTGGTTCGTCTTGTCAGCAATAATTCCTCGCATGCGCTTCTTTGCTTCTGATATGTTTCCTTCTTCTACAAGTTGAAGAATTCTTGATCCCGAAAAGCTAAAGAGAGGAGGTTTAAAATGTCGGAATATTTGTAGATCGTACTCATCAAAACTTATTTCTCCGTGCTCATCAAGATGATTTCTGCTTTTGTCATTCCACGCGGAAAATAATCTAGCAAAGGGATTTCTGGTGTTCGCAACTTTTCTTTCCCATCTCAACGGCTTGGTCTTATTGCTATCGATTTGCTTGGTGGTTAGAACTGGAAGAAGACTGTATAATTTTGGCGGGTAGAACGTCTCGGGCTCTCGTTTTTTCCCGTCAATAATGGAGTTCAGGGTATTCATTCCTCGCTGCCAATTAGTTGTACCGCATTTTGGTGGTAAACAGATCAAGATATTGAATGGATCTTCTACCAATCTGAAAATACCCGTACTCAAAATTTCTCCTTGCATTTTATAGTTACCTGACAGCAGGGGTCTAAATTCGCAGTGCGAATTCGCTTTATTGCGAAGCGATGCGAAGCGAAGCGAATTCGCTTTCGCTTCGCTTCGCACTTGAGAGCAGAATTCGCTTCGCTTTCGCTTCGCAAAAATTCCCAAATTTTCGCAAAAATTTTCGCACTGCAAGCGACTTTTCTATTCGGAAGAGTCTTAATCAAAGAGTTGGAGAGGGGCATTATTGATGCCGTTATAAATTCAAGTTTTCTCAGTCTTGTCAAGACGAGTCTAATGGTGGGTCTAACTCTCAATAAATCCAACGGTTGACTGGTTATAGAGCTGGTCCTGGCCATCATGGCAAGAAATCGTCGATTGGCCATCCGAATGCCCGGCCGAAATCAAGGGCCAAGAGTCGCGCCGTCCGAATGCCCGGTCGAGCTGGTGATGGGATATTCAATATATAAGGGCTAGAAAAATATGTTTCGAGACTCTCGAATCGAGAGGCTTTTGATTCAGTTAGAGATTTGAGCATGAGAGCATAAATAGTTGTAAAGAATGCGAAATTTAAGAATTTTCCTCGGCGCGGGCTTGACCAACTGCCCAAAAGCGCTGAATTCCCCGAAAGTGCCGAGCTTGCCCAAATGCACGAAATGCCCGCTTTTGCCCGGCCAAATTTAAGTAGCTAAGCCGTCCGAATGCCCGGCCGAACAAATTTTGTCCGAAAATTGTCCGTTTTCCCCGACTTCCCGATGCGGCATCGGCGATACCCGAATAGTCACCCCTGATATCGAGTTTATTACTAATTTTGAATAATCAACAGTTAGACCCACCATTCGGCTTATATTGACGAGCTGGAAAAAGGTACAGTAACAGATTTTTTTGTAATTTTCTGCCCCAAAAATAGGTTTTTGAAATCATCTTCGCTTTTGAGTGTCTGATTGCTAAAGATTCTTGCCAGAAAATGCGTTTCAATTCAAGCGAAAAAATTTTCGCTTTTTTTCGCAATTTTCAATGATATTTCGCTTCGCTTTCGCTTCGCACATGGGCGAAAAATTCGCTTCGCTTTCGCTTCGCAAAAAGTTTGAAAAAATGGTTCGCTTTCGCTTCGCTTTCGCACTAGGATTTCGGCTGATATTTAGACCCCTGCTGACAGCAGATTGCGGTACATTATCAGGTCTGCATTTTCCTGGCGACTTCCACGCGGGCGGTATGGGTTTGGAAACATCATAAATGATTTTATGAAGCTCTAAGAGATTTTCAAATGTGCCAGTCATCATAAGCTGCTGAATCTTTTTGATGACCGAACATCCTCTACGCATCACTTGCTTCCGGTGCTCGAAGGTTGCTTTGAGCTCCTCGTCTATTAATGGAAGATAATTTATAAAAAAATATATTCAATGATTACCTGTAGGTTTCTTTGCACTTTCTTCGTTTCCGGATTCCCTACTTTCGCCGTTTTCATAAATGTTCGACAAATTTTCTTCTTCATATTCATCTTCAATTTCAATCTCTGAGTCGTAGTAAGACTCAAAATTCTTGATGACATCTTCTCTAAAGGTCGACACTGGCTTTGATTCTATTTTGTTCACCATCGCCGAGCGTAAAATTAAGAAAACTCCGAAAAGAAAAAGTACAAAAATAACATCTTTTATCATTTTCAATCGCCATGGCGGTGTCAAGCTCATTGAACGCTCTCTGTTTCTGACGCTCTTTTTTCTTTTTAACTTGAAACTTTCGAGCTGAAAGTCTTAAAAGTAAATCCTTTTACGGTAGGTCTACTCTTGGCTATTTTGAAAAACTGGCCGATAATAAAAATTTCTTTTGTTGCGATCCAACAATAGCGTAAAGTCATTGGAGCGGTTTGAGACTCGCGGCAGCGTTGGGTTACGATAAAGGAGGAAAATAAATAAGCGTTGACATTTGCGCCTATTTTGATAAGCGGTTTCCGATATATCATAATATATTATCGCGAATCCCAGTTATTTATATTCCATATTAATAATTGGAATCCAATTATTGGATATTATCCATGTCAAGATTGTCGATTTAGCATCCTTATTTTCAAATAATAATTTTAAGGTAATTAAAATTATTCTTATTGAAAAAAATTGGCATATAAAATTGTCTAAATTTCCATGAGACTCCAGCAGATGATCACCGAAAGACCATTTGACGCTGTTGACGAAGAGAATTGTTTTCTCTTGCCTAGAAGATATGCACTGGGAAAATACCAGCTGGCACTTTTTGCTTCCAATCACAAAAATTGCGTGCGTTGGATTTCGTGAAAATGATCAAGTTTTTGCTCCTTTTCGGGACGTCGTGGGCCTTCTACAATGAGTCCTGCAATGCCCTTGATTTGTCAAAAGTTTGCGAGGATGAGTGCAATACAGGTACACCAAGTTTTATAAGGACTTATTCTATGCCAATCTATAATAGAGATGAACATTTGCATCTCACTGTCAAATGGTGACTACGACAAGATCCACAAATGCCTGAGAGACCACGAGACTTGCTTCGAAAACTGCCCATGCCATTTGAACTGCATGTGGGGTTGCCCTTGCGGGGACAAATGGAAGTGTCCTCAAAACTGTGAAGATATCTACGAGGAAGAAGCTGGCCGGGTAATTTTCAATTATCGCTTTTCTTTTTACAATTTTATTAGTGCAAACAAATCTGCGATACTCAAGTGTGCAGCTGTGTCAAACAATGCGATACTTACGACAATGAATGTGTCCAAGACTGCATTGATAAACATAAGCAATGTCTCCAGCGGTGTCCTTGCGGCCCTTACTGCCCTGATGGTTGCCCATGCGATGGTTTCTGTGATGAACAAGCTAACCACACAGCTCTCATCATCTCTGAGTGGGGAGGCAGAGACAGCGGTGAGAAGAGGCAAGTGCCATATGTTTTCAAGTGGGTCGTTGATGAATACCATCTTCCGCTACCGAATTACTCTACCTTTGAACATCATGTTGGCCATGGAAGCTGTCATGTCCAATTTCGGGTAAGCCAAAACTAAAAATGCTTAACTTATTCAAAGGGTGAATTCTACATCCTCGGAGGTAGCGGCGGTAAATACGCCAACAACGATTACAGTGACGATAGAGTGTCTCGAGTCGGCCCATGCGGACTAGAATACATCCAACAAGCATCCCTCCCAACCCTCACGGATGGCGTCACTGAATACGGCTGGTCTGGGCATAGTTGCGCAACTGTCAATTATGACCAAGGAGACGACCGAGTGATGGTTTGTTCTCCTCACTGGCCCGCCAACTCACGTGATCGCTGTTGGTAGTAAGTAGACGCTCTAAGCAATTTTAAAGCCATCTTCGAAAAATAATAAAATCATATCAGCATCAAGGATGTCAAAGAAAACTGGGAAGAGCTTCCTCCTGAAGACATCCTAGATTATGGTCACGGAAATGGTGCCATGGTTTACGTTCGAAACCGAGCTTATATGATTGGTGGTGTTGACGTAAATCCGGACACCCAAAACCCAGATTATGGCGAAGAATCTGGCACTCATAAAGTTGAGTTTTATCTCCCAAGAATCGGAAACGGCGAGGGATGGGCTGAAATCGCAGATTTTCCCCGAGCAATCAAAGATCATGCAGCCTTGGCTTACGATCGATGGATTTATGTATTTGGTACAGTAAGTTTTTATTCGCATCAATAATCTTCTGTTAAGGTGGTGTGATTCATGACAATACTGAGCATATTGCTTCCGATCATGTTTACTCATTCGAAGTTGATGGTAACGACGAAAATGATGGCTGGCATCGACATCGAGATATGGCTAAGCCTCGATTTGGCTTCTCTGCAGTTGTTGCCACTCCTCGACAAATTCTGCTTGTCGGTGGACACGATAAACTCGCAGATGTTGAAGGTTTTCCCGAAGATTTACCTATCGACTCAAGCCCGTAAGTCAATTTTTTTTTAATCTCTTTGACTGTTCTTTTAGAATGAGCGTTGAAAAATGGACAAACGAACGGCCAGCACCCCTTCTTGATGAAAACGGTGTTTTCAAAGAGCCTATCTGGACTGATGAGCAAGAATCTGAGTTTACTCTCGATCGCTATATGTACCCAGCAGTATTTATGGTCAACAACCGGTGGATCGAATGGGAGTTCAACTTTGATTGCGATGTTATTCCTGTTCAACCAATTGTCTAAAATTTTGCTTTGAATAAATATCTTTTTACAGTAACAAGTTTCTACTTAGAGCAGCTTTTACCAATATACACCGCGCGCAGCATATTATGCAAATGACAGTTTTTTGTAATGAATTCGAATTTTTCTGTGTAGTCAGTGATGAGCTACTATGATAGTTTTACTTCCCTTTTTACTATTTTCGTGCAATGCAAGAATTTTAACCGTCTTCTGCTCAAACTACAGTGATTGGAGTTGTGAAAACATAGAAACAATATTACGAGGATTTCCTAAATACGAGCTAATTCAAGGTAACCACACAAAATCGTAAACTAACAACCAACAAAAAACATTCATAAAGAACGAAAACACTGCGACAATGTTGAAATCTTATCAACAGGAATACGAAGATTCAATAAAATTCTCCCACCTCGTACTGTTATCGATACAACTTATCCATACAATGAAGACATGAACTTTGCTATTGGCTTTTCTTGTCCCAAAGGATACGACACACTTCTCAGCCAAAGCGCTCACTGGAGCTTTGATCATCGAAATAGGCCGATCACTGTTCCTGATGATAGAACCGGACTACCAGTGGTCACGGTTGGGCACAGATTGGATAATAATTATCGAAATGTTATATCGCTTGGTCCAAGTTATAAATATATCGCCAAGTCGATGTGGAGCATGAAGACCTATTTCAACTGGAAGCGGATAATTATGATCATTCTACCGCTCAAACGTAAAAAACCTCTTTTTAATTCAGTTCGATTGCTATGATTTTAGCTGATAATAGCCCTCCATATTCATCGACAGATTCTTATGACACTGGAAGAAGAATGTTATACATAGAAAAATACTTCAATGAACAATCAGAAGGAACAGCAAAACATATCGTTTCTGCTCTAATAAAAGGACAGCGTAAATTTCTCCCGGGCTCATATTCCTCAAACGAAGACTGGAGCGTTCCTCAGAGCTTGGAAGACATTATTGACTCTTTCGACGTCATTTTTGCTCCGCCAAATGTTTTCAAGGATATTCTTAATAAAAAACATCAGCAGCGCGACGACTCGACAATCAACTGGTTCATCAAGGAGCTCTTGAAAAAAACCTGGGTTCTACTCAATGAATACAATCTGGAAGGCGATCTGGCACCAAGCGGCTTTTTGTCGTATTTGGATGTTTATCAGGAAAGGCTTAACTTGTCTTTTTCGCTTTGTAATAGTGCAAGTTGTATCCAAAGAAAAGATACAAGAACAAATCAATTTTCGACCAACAATTGATAATCATCTCAGAATTCAAATGCCAACAAGTCCGATTCTTCGTGGCTACACAGCAGCTATTGACTTCTATCGTATCTGCCTCGATTTCTACGACATGCAAATCCCCCCAAACGGATCTCAAGTCGTTCAGGAAGTAACTGAATACATCGAAGATCCACGCACTGGAAGACCAACATTCGTTACAAGATACGCCGAACAGATTGAGCTCGACGAGGACAACTTTCAAATCGGTCATTTTTCTCTCAGGACTTGCTTGAAATTAGTTGGAAATAACAAGAGAGCTATATTTCACTCAAAGGAAAGTTACTTTGATCGAAACCTGAAAAACTGGAAACAGCTCATCCGAGTTGACCATGGAGAGGAAATCTATCGCGTCTGCAATACTGATGTTTGCTACATTGTTCTTCAGCGTCTCAACCATACAGGTGACCTTTTTTATTCTGTTTTGTTTGATCAACGCATCATCTAGAACCGACAGAAGATGAAGAGTATGAAGAAGAGTTCTTCACAACTGAGCAAATCATTCTCTTCGTTCTTGGTGGCACTGTTGGTCTGGTCGGCGTCATTTTCGTACTACTAAAGGGATCCGGCTTGTTCATGGACTTTTTGTACGAGCGTCAGCTTATCAAGCTCGAATGGGAAATCCCCGCGTCAAGGATTTTTATGATCCGAGATGCAAACGAAATGGCATCTGGTAACTCTTTCAGACGATCAACATCGAGATCAACAACGCGAAGAGGGAGCAGATTTAATTTGATAGAAGGCGTGAAGATTCCGTCGAGGCGCTTCTGTGAACTTGGAGTTTACAATTTGAAGATTGAGAAATCAGGGCAGCGGAAACGAATTCTAGTTGGTTTACTTCCACTGGAAACTAAACTGCAGCCAAATCGAGATAGCCTCCAATCGATCAGAAGAGTGATCAGAATTGAAGGGCCCAACATCGCAAAATTTGAAGGCATTTTCAACTCTCGGACAAAAAGCTACAGGGTGATTCACTATTGCAACCGCGGTAGCTTGCACCACTTTCTGTCCTCAAATTATTATGCAAATCTTGAACTGACTCTTGAAGTCAAGCTTGTTCTCGCAATCGATATTCTGTGCGGACTCGTTTATTTGGAAAATGAACTTGGCTTTCATGGAGCCTTCTCATCCAAGAGTTGTTTACTTGACGCCTGTTTCAGAGTAAAGATATCAAATTTCGACCCTTGTCGGCCAGCTAAATCTCAACCTGATATTTACAAAGCTCCAGAAACTCTTCGATTTTACGTTTCTCAAAAAGATCCGCCCAATATTCTCAGACGATGCGATGTCTACTCCTTTGCAATCGTCTTCCAAGAAATTCTTTACCGAAGAGGGCCATTTTACATCGGCGACGAGACTTTCACTGAGGAACAGAAAATTGAACAAGTTCGCGCTGTTCAGTCGGAGATATTCAGACCAACTCTTGAAAAACCGACTTCTTCAAATGAGCATTGGCTGACACCTGAAGAAGTTGCTTTGTTAGAAGCTTGCTGGAGTGAAGACGCTTATAAAAGACCCGCGTGGTTCAGAGATATTTTGCCACACTTTCAGTATTCACACTCTTCAAGATTTGGAGAAAAGAGCAAGTCAATCATTGATTCCTTCGTTGGTCTTCTTGAAACTTACGCGGAAAATACAGAGCGTCTTGTGAAAGAAAAGACAAAAATTTTGGAATGGTTTGAATAATTTTCATTTAATTTATTCTCTTAATAATCTGAAAACCAATAGCAGCTTGACGAAAGAGACCGGGTCGATGCGATATCTTCAATGTTTCTTCCACGAAAAGAAGTTGCTCAAATCAGAAATGGTACGATACCGGAGCCAGAGTATTTTCCAAAGGCATCAATTCTCAACTTCGACATTGTTGGTTATACAAAAATATCAAAGCGATCTACACCAAAAGAGATTTTCCTGATGCTGGAGACATTATTTACCCTGTTTGATGATACACTTCACAACTTTCCGAATCTTTTCAAAGTTGAAACTCTCGGAGACTCGTATATGATTTCTGCAGGATGCCCCGTCAAATATGAAAATCATGAGGTCGATCTTGCTCGTTTCGCTCTTCAGGTATCATGGGAAGGTGTAAAAGTCTTGAGTCAAGAACATAGATACGGTGCAAAATACACTTGAACTTTCGGATCCAACACTTGAATATGGAACGGCTTCGGATGCGAATAGGTATTGCTACTGGCGGGGTAACTTCATGCATTCCGAATCTCAATATGCCTAAATTTACTGTCATCGGCGAAGCAGTACAACGAGCGCTAACACTAGAATCCGAATGCCAAATTAACCGAATTCATTGTGATGATGCTACCCACAGTGCACTCGACCAGACTGATCTATTTCAATTTGAAGAATCAAGCTCTGTTTCTGGCCCTGCCTTTTACTCATGGCTTCAACATCAGACTTTTTATCAATATTTTTGATGTAATGAAGCCATAATAAAGATTTTGACAGAATTCAAGAGTCCAAACTACATCACCCAGGGAAGACTCCGACCCAAATCCCGTCAGACGGTCATCTATCGGTAAAGCGGGAAAACTAAAGCTGCTTTTCTGATAAATTTTATAGGAACACAAAGCTCGTTCGAGACGCAAGAAGATCCTTGTCATCTGACAGAATCATGAGACAGGCTTCAGAAGAAGATGATACGCTTGAACCCCTCACTCCTAGATTTGTGTCTATCAATGAGAACTTTTACGATGGGCGGATTTTGAAGAAGGAATTGTCTAACATGCAATCAGAAAGCTCAACGAATCTGCGTCTAAGTACCGCTTTAAAACATTATTCTAGTGTGAATGATCATTTTAGGAAATACCGATCTCAATCTTGATGATCGCGTTTCTTCTGGAACTCGACGACGCCCTCGACTACTGTCACAATAAAATTTCCAATAAATGTTTTTTAAGAAATCTTTATTTAGAAAATTTGAGAAATAGTAATCAGGTTAGCACAAGTTACTCAGAAACAATTTTGAGAAGGGCATCGCAGCAGTCGCCTCGGAAATCTCCGTCAAGAGCATCTTCAAGAGATTTACCCTGGGATATGTTAAATTGATAAAGCATTATTCGAATTTACCTGATCGGCTTCGTATTCTTCCTTGATGTTTCCAAGAATAGTCTCAGAAGTGGAAATGATGTATCTAAAACACATTGAAACACAGAACACAAACAAACTTCAACCTGAAAATATCTTCTTCTTCTGTTCCAAGACCTTTCATAGCCTTGTACAGCTGTCGAGCGTAGAAATAGGCGGGGTTCTTTGCGAGTCGTACGATTGCCTTGTATCCCTTTCGCAAGTCTCCTCTGCACTCTGATTCGATTGCTTCTTCGAGGGTGTTTCCAGCAATGTCTTCATACTTGTTCATGATGACGCGTAGCTGGAGCCAGCTCTTGTGCGAGAGAATCTGTGTGAAAACACTCTCGTCTGTTCCCCATCTATCCTCTCCAGCATCATAGAGAGCCTGGGCATCAGCCTCAGCTTCGTCCTCGTCAATTTCATCGACGCCTTCTTCTCGAGAGCACTGCAGAACAGCGACCAAGAGATGCTGAAAGGAAACCATAAATTAAACTTGCCGGGAGATGACATTTACCTTGAAGTCACCGCGAGTCTCTCTGCATACATCATCTTCGAGGTCTCGATCAAAGACTTCAGCGTACGTTTCTTTGATTTCTTCAAGTTGTCCGTTTGTCTTTGTGCAGATGATTTCGATAAGAGTGCTCTCGTCAGTGCCGGGTCCTTTCATAGCCTTTCTCAACTGACGAGCAGCATATTCAGAGGGGCTTCTTGCGAGACCTTTGAGAAGTCGTCGAAGGTCCTTTCGGCGGATCTTGTCGAGTCGATCATACATGTCCTCGCCATAGAGTCCCTTGTAGTTTTCAGCGATCTCGAGTCGCTGAGCGTTCGATCTATTGCAGAGGATCTCGATGATATCATCTTCGTGGACTCCAATCCGCTCTTAAATAATTTAAACCGCTATCTTTCGAGTCAAGTTTACTATGGAACGCTTCGTGAAGTACTTCGCAATCAGCGTCGCAGTCGAAGTCCTCAAAGTCAACAACGGTTCCTCGAATCTCAAATCCACAGATGTTACCCATTTTCTTCTCTTAGTCGTATTTAATAAGACTCGGAAATAAGAGTATTCTTCACGTCGACGTATTAATAATCAACCAATGATTCAGCAGATTCTATTTGCATTGCAATATTTCTGCAAATCTATCATATTTACGACTGCATATTCGCGGAAAGTCGAATTTAATGCTCATCGTTGCTGATTCCGTGCTTCGGAAATCAACAACGAAAGGTACTTTTTGATTTTTTATTTTAAATTTAAAATCTTATATAATCTCTAGAAGGAAAATCTATTTATGCGACAAGCAATTAATAAATGATAGTTATCAGGATGAGCTCGTAGGGCTTTATTTAATGAAATTCTTCTCCATACGAAGAATTCTCTATCGCAAGCTCACCCTGAAAGAGGTTATCATCTCACGAATAAAATTCTTTTGTCAAAAATTTTAGGCAGAAAATCTTCTAGGCGTGAGCAAAAGCAGCTCTCCGAAAGAGATCAAGAAGGCTTACCTCGAAAAAGCGAAGAAGTATCATCCAGATAATCAAGATTCGGGCGACGCGAAGAAGTTCAGAGACTTGAAAGAAGCTGCTGAGATCTTAGAAAACCCGGCGAAGGCAGAAATTGAAAGGACAGAGTCGAGCTGGGACATAAGAAACGCAAGGCAGCCAAATCCGAATTCGAAATATGAACGGAGGTATCAACGGGATCGTAAAGATGCAGCCGGGCCTCAAATGGAATATCGTCGACCTCCAGAAGCTACGTACTGGGTCTTTGCTCCTTTAATTGGTACATTCTGCGTCTTCAAACTCTACCAGTACTTTAGGTAAGTTTTTCTTTTCAAGGACTTTGAAAATTTATTTCAAACAAAAGAGACGCCGCAGAAGAAGTGCGCCTCGAACCGTACGAAATAACTCCCGAGCAACCATTTGACGAGCAACTTGTGATTTTGCTGGTGCGGATAAAGGTTTGGACGGCATGTGATAAATGTAAATAATTTAATGCATTTGCTTCAGAAACGACGGCGGTATAGATTTTCCATCAAACAGCTCATTCTGGAATACAATAACCACATACAACGCGGTCTTCGCGAGCGGGTTCAAATAATACAACAATTTTTAATAATAAATACAGCAATTGCCAATTCTTGATTGCTGAACCCTTTTAAAGACCCGCAATGCTGTCAAACGCTGAAGTCTATAAAATATCTGTTCTCTGCCGACGATTTGAAGAGCGAGCCATCGAAGTGCTTGATAATCCTGATCTTCTTGACTTTTATATTCAACGTCACGACGTATTATATCTTCCAGAATTATATTCATCCATTTAGATTGCTCGTGCGCGAATAACTTGATCGAAATCCATCTTGACTTGCAGGAGATAATCCAATTCTCATTGTTGTGTTTTCAAAAATTGGGTTGTGCTTATCCATTTATTTGCAATAAAAATAAAATAAATCTGAAGGCTCGTTCCTTTGCAAGAAAGATAATAATGCAAGATCATGCAAAAAGTCTTGAACTCTCACTTGAAGAATCAGGTGTCTTGGATTTCCGCGGCTTCTTCCGCTACAGGTTCCTAAGTGTAAAGTCTAATCTTGTTGCTAAAACGAATTTACCTTTTTAGCCGCTTCAGCTTTCGCCTTACTCTTTCTAGCACCGAATACAGTTCGATAGCTGAGTAGAGCTTTGTGACCTCGAGATAAGTCCCCAGAGGATGTTTTTCTTAAAATAAAATGACCCTGATCAATTTCCTAAAAAATACCTGCAAAGCGTGTAAATAGCAAGAGTTGCCAAAAGCGCAAAGACGCCTGGCAGGCCTAATGACAACGCACAAAAAAGATCTTCTCCATCACATTCCTCCCGGGACTCTTGTAGATCCGGCACTTTGTCTGTCAACTCCTGTGTTTCGTTATTGAACCATAATCGGTTTCTCATCCCCTTGCTGCACCAACTGTTGCAACGAGACCATTCAGCCCACTCTAAAGGAGGGTTACCCTTTCTCAAAGACAAAACTGAATTATTCAAGACCAAAATCAATCTAATCAAAAGTCGACAATCAGAGCTTGGCGAAAGCAGAAATTGAGTTACTGAGCCCACAAATGTGGTTTTAATAAGTCGAATTCTATAGATGCTTGCCACGAAATTCTACGCTCTTTGAACCTAAAGCAAGAAAAAAATTATTTAATGATTCTATTGTTTGAAATTTCTACGAAACATGAAAAAACTATTCATCTTAGCTATCCGCTGTAAAGGTACCTACCTGCAGATATGAACGGAAGGATTGCTGCAATTCGGAAAATTTCATTCATCTGATATTTTCTTTGGGGTCTCTCGAATAATCTTCAAACTCTTAAGACTGGATGCTCCAATAAACCAAGTGATTTCAGCCAAGCGAGGATTCCTAATTGGATTTTAATTTGGTCTTTATATTTCGATCTGGAGATTTGATTAAACTCCGCTAACGGCTAATTTAAGAGAGTTCAACTTATGAGATTTAAACTGCCCAAAAAGGTTCTGGTGTTGTTTTATCATTCATCGAAGAATTATCTGACTTACCTCTTTTCGTTACTATTCAATAATCTTCGTAAAATTGATCCTCTTAATTCTATGCTTGAAATTCAATGAAAAATGCCTTGAAGAGTGCGTAGGACTTGTGACTCTCAGCACTGACGCCTGCTCAAATATAAATGAGCGCTTCTCAATTTTTAATACCCTTCGTAGCCTCAAATACCTCCGCAATAATAAAACCTTAACCTAACTTAACTTTCAGACACTCACTAATGTCATTACTAATGGCCCATTAGCCCTTACTGCTTATAAATATAAATTCAATTGCCTGCCATGAAAATAAGAAAAAAATGAATCCGGCGCTATGCAGACGGATACATCATGAGATGTTGATGTTTTTGGAATGTATTATAAGCGGAAAGGTAGAGAGAAAGAGTAGGAATGTCTTAAGATCAGTGATATGGTACAAAAGTTGGAACGTAAAGAAGTTAAAGTAGAAGTGGGGATCTATATCTTCGACAATCAAAGCGGGTCGGCACCTTCGTTAGCGACAATATTGTTTTCAGGTACGTCCATCAAGCTCCAATAGAAGTCCCTTGGAATGCGAAGCAGATTTTCAGCAACGATCTCCTGAAATGATTTATTAATCGATGAGAATACTTAATCAAAAGAAAACGCACCTGATATTCAGCGGCATCTTTTATTTCTTGAGCCGAAGGTTTATCTTTCGTGAAGCCGACCAAGGAGGGTCCGATTGCGATTGCTAGACGGGATTTTATTAGTTTCAAAATAAAAAATGCATTTCTTACCGAGAGCGTTTTCGGACATTTGGTTTTTCTTCGAATTCGTGATGACATTTTGCAAGTGGACGATGATGAATGCGATGGTGTCTCGATTAGCATCAGGAAGCTTTTTGATGAGCTTCTTCAGCACTTCAGAGTAGCCATGCTTTGCGGCTTCGATAATTTGTGGAAGGAGCTTGAATGTGAGAATTGGTTCGGAGATTTGACATCTAAGGAAGTCCTAAATAATTCTTTTTGCGAGCCGGTTGGATGATTTTAATTTACCTTGACAAACGATGCAAGTGTGTGCACGTCGATATCCGCCCAGACGACAGAGTTAACGTCACCAAATATAACCTTGCGTTTAATTTCCTGGAGAGTTTTAGTTGACCCGGGAATTCGATAAATACCCTCTTCAGTCAATTGCTGATCGACGCCGTGAATAGCGTAATAAATCGCCCCAGGAATACGCGGCTTTTGGGATTTGTCGACAAAGGCTTCAAGTGGCTTTGGACCGACGGTAACTTTCTCGATCGGAACGCTCGTATCTTTGCAGGTGATGTCAAGCTTGGAGACGCAATCAGGGTGGCAGATGACCTTACACTCATCGCACTTGCTCGCTTTCGAATAAAACTTGATGCCTTTGAAGCAAACTCGGCAGGTTTCAAAAGTCAAGACTCGGCTTGTGGTGAATTTGTGCTCAACAAGGTCTGATCTGTTCGATTTGTCAGAGCAAACGCTGCTAGTTCTATCAAGCTTCAATTTTCTCGGCTTTGCAGTGTTGGCGACGATTTGAGGCGTCTGGAAGAAAGAGTCTGCGTTCGAAATTGTATCAGGAGTCGTATCAGGTGTCTTTTCTTCTTGAATCACTTCAAATGAGTCCTCCATGATTGCAGATTGCCTGAAGTGACGACTTTGCCGCCGTCGTGCGGTAGCGCCTGTTGGTTTTGTGAAACCTTGACTGCGGCGTTTCACCGCAGAAACTGTACCCTTGAAGGCGGGTTCAGACTCTTCCATCACCTTTAATATTCATTGAGTAATTAATATTCTAGATTAATTTACCTTTGACTTTTTGGCCATGGAGTCGTTTTCACTGGAGCAAATCGTGCTGGATGCTTCTGGTAAGTTTGTTTCGTCCATTTTCAGCGTATCAACAGACCGTTTTCCACGTCTTAAAATTGTTTATGAAATCACAGTTGATGAAAAGGGGTACCTTGGAGTTTTGAAAACAGGAGTCATCGGCTGAATTTCTTCTTCATCAAGTGTTTCGTCGAAAGAAACATCATCCTGGCTCATGCAAGTCTCATCAAAAAATGTTTCTTCTGCAACCGGTCTTCTTGGGATGAGCTTTTTCATTGGAGTCGCTCGAATCGAATCTGTTCTCTTGACGGAGCACGCCCGGACCAGCCGGTTCCGTTGACTTTCATCGAGCTTGATGTTCTGGTTGTTTTCGAAGATGATATCTTTTACGAGGGCCACAGTGCCCTCCATATCTTTGATTTCCTTCTGCAACATTTCCTTTGCCTTTGTCTCTTCATACAAGGAGTCCCGAGCGAGCCTGTATTTGGTGGAGATAGTTTTAAGTTCGTTTTGGAGAACGTTGTTATTATGGCGCAAATCGATGACTTCGGAGTTCAGGTCGATGTACTTTTGTCTCGTCTTTTCCATTACCATCGCGAGGCTCAGAAGCGAGTCCTCAGCCTCGTACTTTTCTTTTCGTTGAAGTTCGAATGCTTTGATGATATCGTCGTACATCGCGCAAAATGAATCCATTTCTTCCGCTGTCATCGCCCTTTTCTGACGTAATCGCGCTCGAGCGTCAAGCGCTTTCTCCATTTTTAAGATTTTTCTCTGAAAATAGAGGGATGAATGGAGATATTTCGATGACATGTGGCAGTACGATATTGCAAGAAATATTTAGTTAGAGTCAGAGTATTTTCGACGACGGCTTTCGGGTGTCTTAGATCGCTTTCGACGTCGGTCTCGATCGCGATCTCGGGATCTATCTCGAGAACGAGAGCTGGAAAAAGAGATTTTTATTAAGACTATTGGGATATTCGGCCATACCGGCGTCTTGAAGACTCCTCAGGAGCATCGAGATCTTTATATTTCTTGTGTTTCTTTTCCTTTTTAGACTTTTTCTCTTTCTTCTCTTTCTTTTCTTTTCTCGGTGGGGATGGAACTGGTGATTCATAGCCTTCCTCTTCCTTTGCGAGTTCTGCAGCCTAAAAAAGCATTCCTTCAATTATTCACGGTCAAAGTTAACCATTCGTTGAGCCTCTTCTTCTTTATCCATTTCTTCAAGATCTTGTTCTAACGCGCTCCACCGGGGCTTCAAAAGTCCTTGTTCTTCTAAAACAGCTCGTTTTTGCAAACGCGGGAGGATTACTTCGCAAACTCGATCCTAAACTCTCAAGCTATCATCAGTAAATGCCAAATAACTCACCTCGATTAAAAGAGAGTCAATGAATTCGTCAATATGACTGACTTGGAATGCGCCCATTTTATTCATCGTTTTAATTCTTCTAAAATCCGCGAGAAGCTCTTCCAAGTATTTATAGCCTGAGAACATAATTATTGGGAGAAAATATTTATTTGGCTCACATTCAACCGAGTTGCCGGTAAGTCGGAGACAGGGCTCGAAAAAATAAGACTCGGAGTTGACACTTTTACGCTGATTCATTCTTTTTGAGTCGCGCGCCTTGCCAACTCATCGCGACGGTGTCATCCGAGGCGACACCAGCTCGGTGTCAGCCCCTGACACAGTGTGACACTGAAAATTTTTCGATCATAAAAGTGATAATGAACAAGGGAGAGCGACGCGAGCCGGGCTGGGTCGGCGAGGATCAAAATCAAACTAAGAAAGCTTGTGAATCAGAAAAATGGTGTCAGGGGCCCGACTCGGTCGAAGAGCGGTGTCGCCTCAGCCGACACCGCGAGGATGAATCACCGCGAAAAGTGTCAGCGCTGAGTCTTATTTATTCGAGCCCTGGTCGGAGATACATAGCGCCCAAGCAACGCACATATTTGAACTCATCTTGTTTTATGAACTCAATGACGATGTCTTTTTCTGGCTGAATCTGGAGCATTTTACAAAGGAGGCACAGGAACGGAGTAGGCTTCACATGCGCAGCTGTTGTTCCACCAACATACTAAACACCTTGGTCAATAAAATAAAAGAGGGGCAACTACCTTTAATTCAAGCGCTTTGTCAACAAGAAGCTCTGCAGTAAGAGCGAAGCATTCCTCTTTCCAGTATCGAGATTCATAAATTCTGGATCTGATGATCTTTTCGATCAGGAACTGAGGGTTCGTTCCCTTAATCGTATTCGCCCCTTTTACCGTTCTATTCGCCATTCTTCCTGTCTATAACAAGTAAATAAAAGTTCTTCGTTAGATAAATAATTAATAAATGAAAGTTTACAGAAATGATACAAGTTGCGCGGAGACGAATGTTTGACAGACTGGGACAAATGGAGCGAAAAATAGGTTTACTTTGATAATGTTAATTTGTGGAGGTTTCACAGATGAGTTGATCGTCGAGACTCGCGACTTCCACTCGGACTGTGTGTTTCATCGAGAATCTTGTTCTGAATTAGTTCTTCGTAGTGGTGCGAATGTTTTAGAAACGAGTTCGCTTGAATCTTTGTCGGCATCACTTCCACTCGTTTTACGGGCTAGAAAATCGTTAAATTCATAAAACATTAAGAAAAGCTTTCAATGAATAAGTCTATGCTAATTCATCTGTTAAAAATTCACAGAACACTACACTATTATTAAGCTCTTCTACTTCACAAACACAGCTACATCAAGCTACAAGCAGACTTTCTTTCTAACCTCTATCAAAATACCTTACTTTTAAGATTTCATCCAATCAACTTGAAACAAATTGACTTCTACACATTTTTGGCTCTCTTGTCTGTTTTTCAAAGATGTATTTCCCATTTTACCTTCGATGAATCAAAGTGGTAGCCGTTCGATGAAGATACAGTGGTCGTAGATGTCTTTGACGGTGATTTGGGACTTTGAATGGTCGTTTTAGAATCGTTTTTAGGTCTCTTTTGGCGGACTTTTGGCACAGGAGTTTCGATGGGATCTATCGGTTGCTTTGGCATGGAGGTAATAGTGGGAGAGACTTTTATGTCCACTAGGAATACTTTGAAGACAGAAATTTAGTTGAAAAACTTACGGGTTTTTATTTTACTTCGATTGCTCGGCTGCGGTTCAGGCCTCGACCGAGTGGGGAGTGATTTTGTTCGATCGAAAGGAGGAAGTTCTGACCGTTGCTGGTTGGTCATCATTGCGCGAATTAGGGAATGGCTTATTTACTTGATTAGCTCGAAAGATTTTGGAAAACGTACCTTTTTTAATTTGTTGAAAAAACGTGTCATCAGGAATGGTCAAATTGCAGATATCATTTTGCAGGAAGGGCGTCAGATCTTCAAAGCTCATTCGCAAGATTTTCTTCTGGTTGAGTTTGAAGAGAACAAAAGTCGCTGCTAAAACGACGACGTCTCCTTTGAGCATAAAGCAATCCCACAATCGGATTGCAAGACGAAAGGGAAGCCGATCAAGAAAGTTTTGTAGGAGCCACTTTGTCAGGTAAATTTGGGATATCAGCGTTTCAGCTTCGAGATGATTGTAGACCTTTGAAAGGTGCTTTTGAAGGGTGTTATCCCAGTAGGCGCAGAAAAGGTTGAGCTTGGGAAATCCAGGTTTGAACATGCCCCTTTGACTCCATGGGTCTTGGTTCATAATCGCTACAAGCGACCAGAATGCATATTCTTCGTCCTGGAGGACGATCATAAATAAAGCTGCAATTTGACTCATTCCCTGGCAATAAGCGACTTGTTGGTCTAGCGCAGCATAAGCAAGCAGTATCCTAAAGCAGGAGCGTTGATCCTGGCTATATGGTTTGAAGAATTTCTGGTGAAGACGCCAAGTACGCTTGATGTCCAGGTCGATTTGGCGGACGACTTCGACATCGTCCTTTTTACTTTTATACAGGTGCTTGAATTGAGCTCCCTTTTGGTTGTAATCTTGCTTCAACGAAATTGGATCAAGAGCTGCCATCCAATACTCACGCCGAACACTGTTGGGAACACCTTTGAACACTCTATCGGGAAGTTTCTTGGTCAAACTCCGATCGTATTTTCTGAGCATCTTTTGCCATTTCTTCTCTCTTCTGCTCGTAGTCCGCTTGTTCGAGTTAAGTATCTTGGCCTCATTTTGTTTGTATCGTTGAGATTGAAAGAATCCGAATTGATCTGGAACTTTACCCTCAGTGGATATCACTGAAAAAAAAAATTCTTACCAATAGCGGGATGTTTTTACTTACATTCATCTTCGTCATCCGAACCGGGAATTCCAGTCTCATACTTTTTATAAGTTTTTGCTGTCTGTTTTCGTTCCCATTCGGGTCCTTGTCTATTCATTGCATTCTAAATTCAATAATTTTATGAGGCTGCTGAAATGAAGAGTGCTCTGCATAGGATATTCGCAATTAAAGTTGGATAGAACAATTTCTGGGAAAAAAATAAGTTTGCTGTGGAATGTGAAGGGTGTAAGGCAGTTCCTAGAAGCAGGAAAGGGAAGGTGAAGTGAGGTCAATAAAAATAAGGAAAATAAATTGAGTAAAGTAGGTATGTTCCCTTTTATCGGTAGACAGAGTATTCCATCATGCCCGAGGAAGTGGTTTCATTTTGGAGCTCGAACCGAGGCTCGATCCTTGGAGCGGTTTGTCGGTATGCTCTGAATATATTTGAATGGCTGATGCTTATTTTTGACAATACCTAGATGGTCTGTAAGCTAGGCCGATGTGGGAGTTTAGCGAACTTGGGCCACTGATGGCTTCGTCATATTCGATCTCTTCAGTGCCGGATAAAATTTTCACCGTCGCCGAGGCGGACCGCTTCTCTCCATACGGACGCGAGAGCAATATGAGCTGAATAAATAATGATTATTAGTTGCCGAGGAATCATCATGTTACCTGTCCTTCGCCTGCCACGCCCAAAAGTCTCGGCCGGAAGGAAGATAGAATGATCGGCTGGGAAACTTGTGCAATGCCGATCTTCACGAGTTCGATGCCGAACATGTGGGATACGAAGAGGTAGGGTTCGGAGTACTTGAAGTCGAGTGGAAGGGATGACCAGTTGATTCGCTGGACGATTCGGCCGCAGTTGTCTACTAAGTATCCTCCATGTTGCCCACAGATTAGATGCCGCTCCTTGAATACGATAAGTTTTCTATTAAAATCGTTATTTTCTACCTTTCCTCCATCATAAAGCGCAAACATATCAATAGGCTTCTCTTGGTGGGTTTTGCGAAGCTCGGACTCGGCAAGATACGGTTCAGCTGTTTGTTTATGGAAGTCGACTTCGATGATTCTGTCGGTTCCGCAGATCAATGAGCTTGAGGAAAAGGCAAGTGATGATGGAGCACTGTCAAGTTTGACGCGGAGAACTTCGAGGACTTCGTACTCTTTATCAAGCGCGTGCTGTTTAGAGAACTGGAAGAGCTTGATTGTCCTAAAAACAAATTGAGCTTGATGAGTTTTTCCAGATTATTTACGTGTTGAATGCGGCAGCAAGAGCATATTTTCCTTGATATCGTCCTGCCTTGATAACGTGAACTCTTTCTTTTGTTATTCTGTTGAATGTGATTTGAACTTTGCTTCGAATAAGACTTCGGACTCCGTCGGCGTAGAAAAAGACTGGATATCGCTCTCTGTAACCTATTCCAAATACGAGATCTTCGAAGGACTCCAACTCAACTATCGGCGCTTTGGATGCGACGACAATGGTTTTGCCGTCTGTCGCCAGAAGGTTGTCTGTTGAGCCAATGAGGGTATATCCATCGATCTTATGCAAAGTTAGTTTTTATCGAATAAATAAGGGTTACCTGAGTACTGCAACAAATATCAGGAATTTTATCTTGGAACGAATGAACTTTTTGAACGTCGAACTTGTTATGATCGTTTGCAGGTAAACTCGGCGGAGAATTGACGATATCTTTCAATGTCTCGAACCAGTTCTGTTTATCGGAAAGGTTCAGAGCGCAGAAGTACTCCATTTCAGGGCGGTACTTGGAACCGAACGAAGCTGGAATGTGCTCGATTCCGAAGCAGAATTCGTGATCAACTTCTGCCATGAATTTCACGTGATCGAAGCAGACTGCGCCGTGAAGAGCAATGTTGGATTTTAGATCAATTGCTTCTTCAAACGAGTCACCTGCGAGAACAAGCGAGGTGCCTTCTACTCGACCAGTGACTCTAGCCCATTCGCCCCTGTACAGGTAAAGGAGGTTTCCATTGAAGTTCCGGTCCTTCTTTCCTTTTTTGGAATTGCTTAGTAGGAACGTGAACTCATTTGAAAAGCGCTCGTGCGCGATTAGACCAGCTTTTTTTTGACAATCATGTCTCCGATGTAAACAGGCAGGCTGGACACAGCACATAAGCCGACATATGAAGCTGGGAAAGGATCCATTGGTGAGATAGATTTGCGAATGTTGAGTTTTTCTGCAAATGATCGAGGAGGTTTACTTGGAGATGCTTCTCGTGATTTACTTGAAAGCTTCGCTTTTGTAGGAATCTTGTCAAGATCTGTATTGGAACCATAGAGCTTAGATTTGAGCTTGGAATTCTCAACTCGCAATTGATCAATTTGCTTCTCGAGGTCTTTGTAGAGTGGAGGCGGGGCATAATTAGGAGTCATTCCTTTATTCTTCTTTTTTAGCTTCTTCGGGGTGAGTTCTTCATTCTGCCTTTGGAGCATTTCAATAAGCTTCGCTTGCTGATGATTGATCTGTCGGTTGCGCTCTTGGTCTATCTTCAAGTCGCTGTTCTCGTGCTTGAATTGGTTGTTTTTCTCGCGCTCAGCGAGAACTTGTCCGGTTAGCTGATCGATCTCTTTCTGAAGCTTTTTGGTTTCTTTAAAATGCTCCATCGCAGTTGCTTGATCAAGTTTCATAGCTCGCACGGATTCAAGATGATCACGCTCGTACTTTTGAAACTCCTGCTCCATCAGATCTCGCTTTGCACGCTCGCTTTTTAACTTTTTCATGAGTTCAACCACTTGTTGATCTGACTCCTCAATCTGACCGAGTCTCTCATCCTCTGCTTCAATTATTTCGCGGTCTTTTCGCTGAAGTTTTTTCTGCAAATCCCTGTTCTGCGCTGAAAGGAGTTCGTTTTCTTGAGTGAGTTTTTCGCGTTCACGGCCGAATCGTCTTTCTAGCTGTTCGATTTCTTCCTCAAGCGTTTCTATCTTTAGGTCATCATCGTTTGTTCGACGATTTCGCACATTGAATTCAGCTTCGACCGCCTCTGCTCTTGCCCTTTCTTCAATCACGATTTTTTCGAAGTTCTTTCGTTCTTTCTCGCCAAGACGAATCTCGTGCTGAAGTTTTTGAATCTCAGACTCTTTTCCATTAACCTCATCTTCCATTCCATCTACAGCTTCCATCAGAGTCGCCTTTTCTTGCTCAAGAACGCGCATTTTTATCTTCAACGCGCTGATCTGATCGGCTTTGGCTTGCACATCGCCTGAGTTGTCATTTGCGCGAAGTAGTTCTTGTCGAAGTCGTTGGGACTCATCTCTTTCTTCCGCATGCTCTGTCTCTAGTTTTCTGTAGTTTTCTTTGAGCGTAACAACTTGTCGATCTAGCTGGACGATTTCTCTTCGCAGCAAGTCCTTTTCATTTTTGAATTCTCGTCTGGCGCTTTCTAGCTCTCTTCTAGCCTCTTTCTTAGTTTCTGCATCGTCACTCTTTTTCGACGCATCTTGCTGGGAGACGGTTAGAAGAAGATCGTCTCGCTCAGCTTCTAACGAGACCATCTGTGATCTTATATTTTCCAGTTCTGTGTCCCTGTCTTCGACTTGGCTGAGAAGCAACTCGTAATCAGATTGAAGAGTGTCTAATTTAGTTTGCAGACGAGACTCTTGCTCGATTGCCCGGCGTAAATCGGCGTTTTTTAGATCAAGCTGGCTCTGGAGCCGATCTGCTTCTCGGTTTTGTTCGATTCTTGACACTTCTAGAGCTCGTTGACGCTGGTTATCTTCTGCGTTTCGCAGGCGATCTTGAAGGTCTTCAACTTGGGATTGTTTTTCCTCGCAGCTGATTCTCAAGTCCGCGACATCGTGTTCTTTGTCGTCAAGTTGCTGGGACAAGGACTCGATATCCCTGTTCAGTCTCTGATTCTCAATTTTAAGCTCGTCCAAGCGTAGTTTCTGGCTAGCTTCAGATTCGACATCTTTCTTTTGTCTTGAGTCGTGCTCTCTTCTCAGCTGCGCGTGTTCTTCCCTCGCCGCGCTCAACTGGCGAACCAGATCGTTTCGGTCATCCTCGGTGTTCGTCAAGATGGTCTTGAGTTGCGCCATTTCGCTGTTTTTCGCGTTCAGATTCGCCATGAGAACATCTCGCTCGTCTTCAATTTCGCTGATTTTGTGCTCCAAATTCTGCGCCTGGCTCGACTCCTTGCGCTTCATCGATTCTAGCTCCTTTTTTGATTGTTTATAATCCCACTCGAGCGATTGAATCTTCTCGTTCGCCATCGCCAGTTGAGATTGATATTCGTCGGACTCTTGCGATATTTGCCGCACTTGAGCTTGGAGCTGCTTCAGATCGCGATTTTGCTCGTCGATTGTATTTTCCAACTCGTTGATTTGCTGCTCGAATTCTCGGATGATCGCTTCATTTCTGTTCTCGACGTTGGCGCGTTCTTTTTTGATGACGGAATCGTATTCTGACTTGATTTTCACACACTTTGCTTTGGCTACGTCAAGTTCGTTGCGCAACTTTTCGAGTTGTTCGCGTTTTGAACGGGCTTCGGCTTCGGAGACGAGCAGATTTTGGGAGAGTTCATCTCTTTCGCGTTTTATGGCGTTGATCTCGTCGAGCTTTGACTGCAGACGGATGTTTCTATTTTCTAGCGATTTGTAGTCTTTCTGAAGCGTTTGGAAATCGCGCAAGTCTTGCTCGTGCTGATCGATTTCATCTTGAAGCTGGGAAATCTGCCTGTTGAGCTGATTCTTGTCGTTGCTAAAAATGGTCAAGGGACTTAAAAATGAGTTGCATTTACTTTGTTTTCTCCAGTTCAAGACTTTGCTCTCTCAATTTTCTTTGATAGTTTGAGAATTCAGCTTGCTTTCCCGAGAAATTTTCTTTCTCAGCTTCAATGGTTTCTAGCAGTTGACTGATTCTCGCCTCATACTTTCGTTTTGTCTCTGCTCTTTTCGCCATTTCTTTGTCGACCATCTCTCTCATTCCCTAGTTTACTGTTATTTGAGGAATTTTCTATCATTCTTACCTTTTTTACTCTGTCTCGTTCTTGAGTCCATTTTTCTTCTTTCTTTCTGAGTTGATCTCTTTCCGCTTTTAATCTGCAGATTGATTCAATAAGTTTATCCCTCTCTGAGTCCGACATTCTGAATTTCAGAATTCCGGTGATTCAAAAATTAGACGAAAATTGCGAGTAATAATTGTCGGCCAAATACAGCGCCTGCAGCCTCGTCACGGTTGTATTGGCTGATTTCGTTCAAATCCGCCAATGGGAGCGGCGCGCGCTATTCAAACGCTGCGTTTGGCGCGCGGGATCAATCGATTAGATTTTATGCTGATTACGCACCTGATTTACGCTTCGCGGGAGTTTCGGAAATCTCATGCAGAGAGTTTTTATATTTTATTGCTCTATTTTCGCACATTTTCCTGCTTTATTGAACTACCACCGCGCCAATCCACCAGCGCGATTTCTCTGTTTGAGCCAATGAAACGACGCAAAAGGATCAATTATCTTGGAGATGATCTTATTTTTACAAGGAAAAAGTACGAGAAAATGACCTTTTGAAGGATTAAGAATATGAGAATGGCAAAGAATGGATCGATGCGCTACGAATAGTTAAATTCTTCAGCTGTCAGGCCGTTATTTGATGAAATTCTTCCGGCGGGGATTAGCCGGAAACCAGTTTTTCACACAAAATCCCTTTCAAAGGTTTTTCTCGAAGAAAGTTTTCGATTGATGGGTATTTTTAACATTATTTATTGAATAAGTAACGGTTTGTGTCTTTGTGAACTGTTTCAGTTTCGTGCTTGTTTCATTTTTCTATCGGTGGGAAAGGTGGTCTGTTGAAGAATGACAGTGTCAATGTTTCTAGGAGTATTGGTATCGGAAGTACATGTATCCAGCGGAGACGATGGCACCGAGGATTCCAAAAATGAGGACGCCGTTTTGCGATAAAAGCAATTCCGTCATCGATGGTGATTTTCTGATGGGAGCTTCTTCTCGCTCAGTAGCCAAGATGCCTAAAAATAATGCCTTAGTTTGGAACGACTTTTGAAAGATCCTTACTTCTATCGTCGACAATCGCGTAGGATCTGGCTCTTTCCCGACTTTCTTCGTTTTCGAAATCTTCGCTTTCGACCTCGCCCTTTTCGCCGGAAAACCGCTCCGAGATATTGTTGAAAACTCCGGCGCAGATTCGTTTTGCTTCTTCGATATAATCCGACGTGTTTGGGTGGGTAGAAGAAGATTCATCAGTCGAGAAGCTGCTTTCTACGAGCTCCGGTTGCTCTGGAACCAACTTTTGTTGGGTCAAAACGACGGTTTCCGTGATTTCTTCCTCTTGAATTTTGTTCTCGTTCTTCAAGATTTGAGAAGTTTTGAGGGGAACTTGTGGCTGAAATGCTGTCTGTTTTGGCTCTGATTTGAACATCGGAGGACTCGATTTCAGCTGCAGTTTAGGGCTTGCTTGTTTGAGAATCAACTTCGGCTTTGCTTTCAACTTTGGAGTAGTTTTGTTGCTCTCTTCTGCTTCTGATCCGTGTCCCGAATCTGGCTCTGATGATTTGCGACTCTGCTCTCGGAATAAAACCGGCCGTGCAAGCTGAAAACATTCGTTAACTTTTACAACACCACAAAAGGGAGATTCAAAGCATGCTCTTTTCAATCGCTCAATTCAAGTGGAAAATGCTTTTGCGACAAAATCAAATGAATCGTCTTTTCACATTATTTTATATTCGGATTTGATCATACAATTGGGCATATAATATGCCGCATATTATTAAAGTTAAGACAAGTTAAAATTGCACATGTTTCGCTTCTTAGAACATTACTTTTGATGGCTTGATGTCGAACTTTGGAGCGGGTTCTGAAGCTTCGGAGGAGAGCTGAGCGTTCAAATGGTCCTAGAAATCGACAGTTAGCGGCAAAAATAAATAATAAAGGTACCTGGATAATGTCGAATCCAGCTTTGGCAGGGCTAGTTGGTGTGAATCCTGGTTGACTCTGGCCGACAGCAGCGAAGCCTGAAGGCGTCATGACAGGCGTTTCGACGGAGTTATTGTTTGAAGTGTTCTGGGAGACGTTTTCGGAGCTTTTTGCCTGGTTATTGGACTCGTAGAGAGACCACCAGAGCTGCCAGAATTGGGAGAATTCGCCCTGTGGTGGATTCTTGGATGTCCAGGGCTTGGTGCTACCGAGAAAGTGGACGACCTTGACCTGATCTTTGAATCGACGGAAAGCAGGGACATAAGCGTAGGTAGCGGCGGCGTGGACGTTGTATCCGAAGGGGAGAATTCTATCGATGGATTTTGTGGACCAATCGGAAAAGAAGTCGTTCAAGAGGCCTTGATCGCCACCGTCAAAGCTTCCCTCGTTCTTTGCGAATTCGATCAGCTCGTTGAATGTGTCCACGGATGGCTTGAAGACAAAAACGCCGGAGTTGAAGCAACTTGGCCAGCCACAATCGGCAACAGCGGAGATTTCCTCCCGTTGGAAGAGATCGTCAATGTTCTTGACGACCAGGGCGTCAGCGTCGAGGAATACCATTTTATTATACTGGGTCAGTTTCCAGCAATGAAGCTTAAAAAGATAAATTCAACAGGGAGAGAGGAGGGTTTTCGTACCTTTGTCAGTGTGACACCAAGCTCTGGTCGCTTCAAAAGCGTGAGCATAGCATCGTCGTTGGAGTTGAGAACGTCAACAACGATAACATCATCGAATTCGGACGCGAGTCGGGTTCGAGTTCCTTCACTGATAGAATTGCTGACCTAGGAGGGAGATTTATAAAAAAATTAAAATAATAGAGAGGTTTTACCAAGCAGACGAGTTCGGCAACAGTATTGACTTGTCTAAGTGATCGCGCTAGGACGAGAGCTCCAGCAGCGTAGCTGTCAGTCGTGGCCAAGGTGACGAATCCGATGCGCTCGCCGATTGTCATCGCACCTTCTTGAAAATAAAGCAATCAGTAGAATAAATAAATATAAAGAAAGGGAGTCTCTGAGGAAATTTTCGTCTTTTTTTTCAATCTCTGAACTTTGAACGGAAGAAGAGGGAATAAACGGAAAAAGTTCAAAATCTGATTTATTTTTCGAAGTGGCAATAAAAAGAGTAACGATTTTCGAGCCAGATCCTGAAAAAATAGGCAATTCTGTTGTCGATGAGGAACCGGAGGGCACGTTACGTAACCGAATCAGCACTCAATTGCATGGAAAAGGTGTTATGTAATGACCCAGTTCTGGTGGGAAGACGAAAGTTAACTGGTGGTGGCGTAAGCATCATGTTTTTAATGTTTACTTTATTTTAATTTTTTGAAACAATTGATTTTGGGTATCAGATGATTTACGTAACCCCGTCTAGAAATTTATAAGAATAAAGTTTGAGACAAAAGGATAAATTTGTATGTTTTAGGAAAAAAATAACCAGCTGATAAAAAGAAATTTATCATTTTAACGCATTGAGTCAATATTCAGAGTTTTTTTCTCAGAGGTTAGACTTGATGTCGGCAGGGGGCAATCAACGAAGACAACTCGATTAATGATCTCTCCTTGGATCAGCGAAGTTAGCTCCATCTGTTATCTACATAGCCAGTGTCTTCTGGAGCGTTGATGCTAACTCATCAAAGAGACTGAAGTTGACTGTCCAGAATGTCAGCATAGAAAAAAGGAAAATACTGTAACACGGCATTCAAATGGCGGTAAATCAGTTACGGTATGCACTTTCTAGCGTCGAAAAAGCTGATGAGAAGGATAAGCTTGCGGGTGATCTGGATCAAAGTTTAAGCAGGTCCGCAAATACAATTTTGTCAGGCTCAAGAGGTTGCCCGAAGAGGCCTGTCAACCATCGCAAACAGGCAACATCGACTTCAATGGACTCAACTTGACGCGGCGCAAACAGCAATACTAGCGCTCGTGAAGCAAGAACTGTAACCGAATGGCCCGACAGTCGACAAACATGAGTTCTTCTCTGTTTAATACAGTTGCTACTCGATCGACTCTATCTTTGCATTACTATGTCAAGTCAGAATCGAGCTGTCCATCATTCGAAGATTCGGGCTACTGAATACGCTCGAACTTCTCAAAGAAGAGACCATTCTTGAGTAACCGCAAGAACGGCTAATCAACTGTCTAATTAACTGATCATAAAAATATCCGTCGCGTGCGCCTTCCCGAATCCTCGGAAATTCCACACGATTAGTACTGCTCCCATAAACGACACTTTAGGGGTCCCTTTCCGGCTGTCATTCTGTCAAACTCCAATTTTATAGCCTCCGAAGGGCACGTGACCCTTCGGGAAAAAATGAAACTTCGAATGTCGACATAAATCACGATTCGAGGGTATGATCAATTTGTGGTGTCAATATGGGATCGTATGTATTGCAGAGACAGCAATTGATGCCTCAGCTGTCGATTATGAAGCATTAAAGACAACAGTGAATTAGTCAACAGTTAATGCCTTTGCTTCTATCTTCTCGGTACAGATACCAATGATGTATTTTCCCAGGCCATATGGAAAAAACCTACGGTAGCAAATGGGCCAAATATTTGCGTCATTATCAAATGTTGGGTAGCCGCCCTTAGCGTGCGAATATCTCGAGTGCATCGGCGCCCATATTTTGACAGATTCAAATATTTGCAGCGCTTTTTTACTTTCTTATTTTATTCTTTCAATTTCTGTGGCCAAATTCAAGTCATGTTTCATTGCGCGGCCAACTTCTATTCCTATCAAACCTGTCAATTGAGTCAATTAACTTTTAGATGCATGTTTGGCAAGGTCACTGAATGGGATTTTCGACTGCTGTAAGTTTTGTTAAAAACAAATAATTTAGTAAATTTTACCTCAAAAAAGATGGTAAGAAAACTCTGAAGTGATTTAGCTTGGAAAGTATTCATTGAAAAGTATAATTTTATTAACAAATGTGATTTTTGTTTAGTCATTCAGTGAGGTTAGATGAGAGCGGCTGAAACAAGCCTTGACGTACGAGCACTTCCGGCACTCTCTAACAAGTCTCCGTTGATTTACTCATCGGGGCCGAGATCAGCCGATAAATAACGACTTGAGTTTTACGAGAGAACGATAAGATATGACAATAAGTTGAAGCTATATAGAAGTCAACGAGGATTTCCGGGTTATGTTTTGATGATGCTTTTTTGATTTACGCTGTCATTTTACGCCAATTTTAGCGGGTCACTTCATTAATTGACCAACAGATATAAATTCTCAGGGCAAGATCGCTCATTGCTCAATTGAGTTCAATATTTTTTTTTGCAAATCTCTGAATTCCCAGGTTAATATTGATTTGTGACTTTGACTTGTCGAAATAAGTTGTGCTTGTCTGGGCGAATTGAGCGGCTTCGACAGGGCTGTCACTTCAAATCGAAATCTCCGACGGAGCACAACTACTGCTGCTCCCTCGGGAATCGGTCCAAAAATTCAAAATCATTTCGTACAGCTTTGAAGCTTCAATATTCGACCTTGAAGGTGACTCTTCAAAAAGACTTCAGTGCAATTGGCGGTTTCAGCTTTCCTCCATCTCATATTATTTTTCCTGATGCGCGCGACTTCCCTTGTAAAAGTTGATGGATCGAGTGCCGCATCCGGCAGATTCCCTTCAATTACAACTTTATGAATTTGATCAGAATTGTAATGAGGCGAATTTCGACTAATTGATGGTTTCGAAGAAAACCGGCTCAGTTTTCTCGTTCAAAATAAAGCGATTCTGATCTATTTAATTCTTGCGAGTTTCTGCATCTGGCAAAAGAGAATGTCGCAAGTTGAGTTCGAAATATTGAAGAGTCTTGAACTTCGGAAAACTGGAAAGTATGAAAATTAGTGGTCGTAAACCGACCATCCACTTCCGTGTTTCACGAGCCATAAATCTAGCGCGATGTATCCCGGTGTGATATTTCCGCCAATGTCGTCTCAAAATGTCTGGAAAATCAATATACGCCAGCTTTGAAAATGTGTCATTACCGTAAGCCAAATGACATTTCCGAAGCAACTCACTGTTTCCACTTTATCTCGCGTATTCTGGAGAGCTGGATTTTCAACATAATTTGTTGCATCGATTAATTCATTCTCAAGAATAAAGGAGTCATTATTGTCATTCTGTCGGTGTGTCTTGGTCTTGCCAATTCTTTTGAATATAATTTGGGTTTTCGCGTGCTGTCATTTATGTCTTCAATTGTCAGGGATTTGTACAGATTGATACATACAGCCATCATCGAAATCTCCTTCGGTCATTGCTTTATTTATACAGTATTTCATCGGTTTTAGAACTTGAGGTCGAGAAAAAATTGGAATTTTTTCGAAATTTTGATTGATAAGTGACAAAAATTTCCTCCCTCGAGTGGACATTTAGGGCCGCATTTGAGGAAGAAGCTGATAAAGGCTGTAAAATGATTTCGCCTCTCAAGCTGTCTGTGGTGAAGTGTTCCTCACTCCTCGAAGAAATCACGGCTGATGATGATTTAGGGGCAGAAATTGTTGATGATCGTCGAAAAGTAGCGCGTACGAGTAGCGATGCTCGACAGCGCCGCCTGGACGATTTTCTCCTTCTGTCAAGCGCTGTCAAAGAACCAATTGCGTTCTCTGCTCAGAGATCAAGACCGACGTTCTCTTCCGAACCAGCTGGCAAGTCTACAAGCCAGGAGCGATTTCAAGAGAGAAAGCGAGAAAGTCCGACCAAGAGAAACGGCGCAGCGCTAGAAGTCCGAGACACTGCCTCAAGGTAAGCGACCTTCCTGTCACTGATAAGGTTTGGGGCTCTCCCGCCGAGCTGTCAACGCAGCTGTCAGAAGTTGACAGCTTCATGTAATAACGAAATTTAGCCCCGCTGAATTTGAAAAAAAGTCTTGCTTCGAGATTCTAGAGCTACCCCGCCTTCTACTCAATACCGTTGTCACTATCGAAAGCCCTTTATTTTATGTTCGATAGTTGAGAAGCCCTTGTTAGCAAGTTTTTATAGATAAAACAAGAAAAGACGAAGGTAGAAAGAAGATTAATCTGTCCCTGTCTGGGCCAATTAAGAAGACACTGATTAAAGTTTATTTATCCAATAATTAGAACCTCTACCAGTACAATGATCCTTTCCTGGTTCTTTGTAAAAAATGATGAGCGCGAAATTTTCTCGACAGGCGACAAGATTAGCCCAGCAGGAGCTCGCCAACTTCAATAGTCCCTAATAATTTTTACTTCCGATTCTGTAAGAATACGCGGCATTTTACGCAAATATCTATGATCGAAATTATCTTATTTTCCCAAAAGAATATCTCTTCGAAAAATTAAGGGGATCAGCGTCGAGCTAGGACGATTTCGTTTCATCCCTGCCGCGGGACGAAATCGAATCGAACATATCTCTGTGCCCAAAGCCGGATCCGCGTCACATTAAATGCGCGAATTCGAAAAGATCAGCTGTTTTCGACGAGCAGTTGTTTTCTCATGCATTCATTCATTTGCATGCCAAAATCATTGAAATTGAATCGCGGTTTCCTTTGATGAATTTCAATTTCAAAAAATATTCGTGTCAAACGGTCAATAACGATCACAGAAGTTGATTCGATAAGGATGTTGCATTCTATCAGCGCAAGTTTGATGGGTTGTCTCTCAATGACGTCGAGGTGCCATCGGCGACAAGCTTCACGTCAGTGGGCGAGTTCCATCAGTCCTGATCCAGAATAAATCTCCTTCCTCAAGTGTCGCCCCTATTTTTTACGAATTCAGAAAGATCGTTTCCCTTTTTTTATTGCTCTGTATTTATACTCAACTTGGCGCCTAGACTCATTTTCAAATTTCGCGGAAGCGCACAATTACGGCTAAATTTTGGAATTAAATAATAAGAATCGAACTCGGAAATGGCGAAATTGAGTAATTTCAGCGAGTGCGAGGGGCGATTCTTTCTTTCAGGAAATTGCTTAATAAACTCATCCCGTTTCGGTATTCTTGACCCTAAACGGTTGTTGGCAAGAGCCGCTCCGCGAAAATATGGTGCGGAGGGGAGAGAGTGACAGAAGGTAAACAATTTTGTAACGATTTATGAGTGTTTTCCGAAATATCCCTGGAAGCGCAAATTTATTCGATGATCGACGGAAGGGATCCCGGAGATGGCTACGCTTCCGTCGGGCGTAAACAACGAAGAAAGGGCTTCTTCAAATTAGAATGCTCTCATTTTTTCCTCTTCCCATCGTAGTACCTCCTCCATCAAAGATTTTCAACCAGTACATTGACAATGGCCTTCCAAGATGATCTAAGTTAGAACTCTGGTCATGAAAGCTTTGATTGGTAAAGTAAGCTTGGCTACTTTGAGTGAAAGTCAGAAAAGATCATCCCGTCGCGTCGAACATGATGCGCGTCGTCTTTTGATCAGCCCGAAAGTCGCAAGCTTTGTCTTTAATAAGAGTTGAAGAGTTAATTGAGACGACATCAATCAGCGGTGGTGGTTTCACGCTGTCAGATGCTGTCAGCCTTCGCGTTTGTCACTCTCCTCGGGCCACTTCTGTGCTTCTTTCGCACAAGGTGTAACTTTACTCGCGCGGTCTTCCTGGCTCGCTTTTATCCCCTCAAGGCGGGTGTTTTTAAAAGGTTTATTCATCTGTTTAGGACGAGCATAGAAGATATCCATGATCAAAGAAGATTCCTGTCAACTACTTAACCGACTTCACTGAAGATTCTTTCAACAGAAAAGCCATCACGATGTCAGAACAGGTAAATTTTATAATAACAGAACCAATATCAACAATCATTGACTCGATATATTACGACACTGTCTTATACTGACTGGCTGAACCCTAATAATCACTGTTTCTGTCGATTGATGCAGTAATGTGTCAGCCTCACTTAGGCAGATTCGCTGACCTTGATATATTTCGAGTTTGAGCTGATGGTAGTAGTTGAGGCGAAATCGGATTGCGCTCTCGTATGGACAGGGCTTGACGCGAATGGATTTGCTGTCAATCGGAGGCACAGCAGTGCACTGACGGCTTTATTATAAAACTAATAAGTCAATTTTTGAATTAAAAATTAAGCTGACTTGCGTCGGCTAACTCTTTGATTTACATTTTTGTAAATTTGGATAGACTTACTGTAAGTCCCTTTGAGCCCTTTCACGAGCATTACCAGTAGTTCTTCTTTGAGCAGTGAAAAATTCCGTTTTATGTTTACCAGTCGGAAGGGGTCTTTCTTCTGTCGTATCGCCAGACGATAGTGTACCGATGCAAACAGATACCCAACTCAGCATAAATAATTAAAAGTAATTGTCCCGCTTCAGCATATCGTTGTGATGCAGAGACCTGTCAAGGTCACAAACAGAAACTTAGTTTGAGGCCCTTTGAAGCCACCGTTCCGATAGCGTGATGCAAACATGCATTGGGCACACAGAACGTGAGCATTCGAACCGGGGAACAAGAAGCTATGACTTGACAGGGAGAATGGAATTCCTTGATTGACATGCTTACTGATTGCAGTTGAGTTCTAGTATAGGATTTTTTAATACCAGAGACTTTTGATAAGACTGTCTGCCTGACATTGTCGAAAGCAATTCTAGAGCTAGGAAAAAGCTTTGCTGAGCATAAAATTTATACAGTAATCGCTTACATAGCAATGATATGTTCCCGAAATCCTTTTCAAAATCTTCTCAGAATCTTCATACAATGAGAACTCGCACTAGTCTTAGCATTACAAATAGATTGCGCCCTATATTTACGAACATGCACATCGAGATTTGTTGTTTCGCGATGGCCTGAGAGCGCTTGGTCGGATCAAAGCGACAAATCCACCTCCAAACACAGCGGTTTGGGCACGCATCGCACAGATCAGTCCAAACGTCTCCATATTATTCGATAAGGCCGTGCGCGCATAAAATCTCGAGTACCCTACCCAAATCATCGTCAGACATCACGGAAGATGAGGCCGCTTTCATCTGACAGTACTGTCCTTCTCATGAAGATATTTTTTGCTACCACCTTCAATTTTCAGTTTTCGCACCAGATGCCTTCCCCAAGATTGTCAACTAGAATTCTAGTTGTGATTCATGATTAGCGTTTTGTTTTTTTCGGAGCAGAAAAATAGATGAAATAATTTTTAAATTGTCACCTTGTCAATTAAATTTTGGAAATCTTGACACTGTAAATATAGCTTTCAAGCACCAAGCGTGGAATTGAAAGCTTTGTCATGCGAAACTTCTGAATAAGACAAGGGTACTCTCAAAAATCCCGCTGCGGGTAGTTATCTGGCGACATAAAAAGCACCTGTCAGGGAACTATCAGAAAGATACCCCTGTTACTACCAGAAAGTAAACTATCCGTTTTTCCCAGGATAATTTATTTCGCTTAGTAAATACATTTCAATTTACGTCGAGAAATGCTCCACACCTGTTTCTCTATTTGCATTTATCGTAAACTCGTAAATCACGATTGAACGAATAAATGTCTAATTTGAAGCCAAGGCGCTTTCTGACTTTGAGCTTCTTCCAGGTTGAATTCAGCAGATTCTGCATTGCAAAATATAAAGGCAGGTGGTACAACATTAGTCTTAACAGTATAATTCGCTCAAACTTTGGCTTGTAACTAATGGTAATAAAATCAGTTCCCAGGGACTGACTCCGCCTCTCTAAATTTCACGCACCCGTAGGCCTCGTTAACTTTGTCAATCTAGTAGTTAAATGTGTGGCCATTCATCGATTACTGAAATCACTTCGTTCCCAGGCACCTCTGCACAATTTTCGGTGCTGCTGATTTACGATCCTGCATCATCATAATTTTTCAGACGATTTTTGACTTACTCGGAAATCTCAAATATCTACTGTTGAAGGCTCCGAAAACTTTTCGTACGAATTTGGAGAGAACAACATAAATCTGTTATTATTGAAGAATTTATAGTTCTGTTCAGTTTTCTTCAACATAAATTATTTCTAGTTATCCACAAATCGACATGATTTGACAAGTCTTTTACTAAATAGCGCCGGTCTAAACTCGACGAACTCAAACTTGATCGGACCAAGTTTTTTTCGCGATATCTGTAGCAACCTTCAGTAGAGCTTAAGGGTAATGGTATACATCGGCGATGTATACCATGATTTGAGCATGCGACTATTATATTCATAAAGATTGATGACGTTTTTGTAAACGAGGCATTAATTTGCACATATTGGGTGGCGCAATTTTCGATTCCAGTGTTTGCACGCCGGAAAGCTCTTTGGATCTCTGTGACATATCAGTGGATGCATTTTGATACTCTGAATTGCGCCAAGAAACCCACAAGACAACTCCTTTTTTTCTTCCACAGAGAGAGAACTCGACACTGATTCATGGTAAATAGCAGTTGCAAATAGTTGCAGAAGCAACTATCCAGAAGCGGCGATTTTTTAGTTTAGAGAAAAATACATGAAGGAGTGGTTGATCTGGTTCCGTGATGAACCCGAGAAATGACATAGAGAATCCTAATCCTGTTTCAGTATGGAGATGGCTCGATGATGCCAGCCTTTGGACAAGATTTCGGTCCACAAGGAGTTCACTTCGAAGATCCGCAATTGCAGCAAGACAAAGATGTTATTTCAAGGTAATCTTTTTGAATAGATTCGATTTTATAGAATAAGTTTTTGAATTAAAAATTGCCACTCATTTTCACACTTTGATGAGAATTTATTTATAAAATAAAAATAAGCCCTAAGCATAACAAAATGTTTACGCTTTTTTGAATTCGATTATTCTGCTGGTTATGTTTAGAATTATAAATTCGAGTTTATCCCCGTTAATGAAGGCCTCGAATGCAAATGCAGCCGAATCCTTTCCTGCGTCTTTTTTCAAACAAGCGGATTACATGCGCATAAGAACAACATTTGGCGCCAAAGGTGAAATGTTTACACCAGATTCAGCTGGCGACACCAGCATTCACCTCCGGTTGTGAAAGTAAAACGAAAAAGAATCCAGCGCTTCATTTTTTACAAAAATTGAATTTTCTCAAACACGAGAAAAAAAGGCCCAGATGAGAATTTTTTGGGAGTTAAAATTATCATAATCCAAATGGGATAGTTTCATTGTTTATTTCCCACTAAAACCTATTTCTAGCCACCCGTTATTTCCCTTGCTACGATTAATCTTCCAAAAATGCGAGCTCGCCACAGCCAACCCACGTGACTCGTCTGCAGGACCAGCTGATGTCTGTTCTGCTGAGAGCTTTTCTGAGGACATCTCCCGTTTTGCATCTGAAGTAAGTTTTGGAGAAAATGCAATAAAATGTCAGAAACGAACTTTTTCCAATTTTAACATACTTACCCTAATGGTAGTTTTGGCTAAAAATAACATCAAAGAGCACAAGACTCAAAAAGCAGCTCTAAATTGCACTTGGCGTAAAAGTAGTAGCGGTAAAAGTTTGCCATATGATTTGGGTGCCCGTAAAACATCCACTTCCGGGGTGCTGTCAGCCAGCGGATTAAAATATAAAATGATTTACGTTCGCTTTGTCGCGCAACATTTTTACGAGACTTCTTTGAGCAGCGATGAGCTTTGACACTCGCGCCGTTATTACTAGAAAGCCGAAAATTGCATCGATGTTCACATCACGAAATCGAATCCTCCAACTTCCAAAATTGCCTAAAATTGACAGCTGCATTCACATACTTTTTTCTCGCTCGTGTGAAGCATCTTCTACTCCGGAAGTGTTTCTTATCACTTGCGCTCACCGCGAATGGCGATAAGGGCGACTTCGATTTCGGCCCTTGATTGATCGACTTTTAAAAACTACCAAATGCTTTTTTTCTTATCTATAATTTTTTGTAACGAAGGTCTGTGCGCTAGAAAAGAGCCGCTAAATAACCGTGAGAGGTTGTTTATTGTCCGCGCGCTTTTGTGTGCCGAAGCTTACAAGTATACAAGTGTGTAACGACACATGCAAATGGAGATAATGCGGCTGATCAAGCATTTCCTTTACGCCTAAAAAGTACAGTAGCTGACGCATGTCTATTTCAGTTCAAGAACGACCCGTCAAGACAATGGTGCTACGACCCGAACTCCGAGAGCGACCAGCTGGTAAGTGGCAGTGGCCAGTTTCGCGCGCACTGTTTTGACAAGTAAAAGGACGGATTAGGAATTGCCCCGGCTGAATAGCTGTACTGCCGATATCTTTCAAGGACGAGGGCCCGGGAGCCGCTAGAGTCCCTGTCCGAATTGACAAGGTCCACTTTGCCTGTCGCACTGCAGCGAATTACAACAGCTCGGCCGATTAGCGTACCTTGTCGGCCAGAAATTCGAGATACAAGCAATTCCCTCCGCTTTGATTCGCCTTCCCTAATAGTAACCTTTCTCTTTTTAGATGGTGATGGCCATCGGCGTCCTCCGCCTCCACCTGCTCGAGCTCGAAAAGGTTTCCATATTCAAAAAGTTTGAAAAAGCGAAACCCTCTTTTCAGGTGCATGAACTATGTAGAAGCTTCACAGATCGGTACATACAGTGCTTGAAGACGAAAATGCCGGTGGAAATTGTTATCGACGATCGTGACTCGCCACCTTTGTCGAGTAACTTTGACGAGTTCTCAGTAAGTTTTGCCGTAAGTAAGCTCATTTCATCGCTATGAGATTTATTTTCCGCAGAGAGTTCTCGTTGTCATTGGCAAAAATCGACTCGAAAGCGATCTGCAGAAATAAATCTTCGCTAACGATTATTTCGATTCATCATTAAAACGCCATCTTTTTGCTTTCGACAAATTTAAAATTAAAAATTTTCTACGGGCAATTTTTTCTCTTTAAAAATGTTTGGAACTGGAAAGACAGGGGAAGAATGGTTCTTCTTAGAAAGAAGCTAAATCACTTATCAAAAATGACTGTGGTTGGTCAGAACGTTCAAAGTGTGACGTGTTGCCATCAACGCTGCATCACTTGATGTCAGCTGTTGTCTTAGAATGTCATCCAATGTCAGTAGGTGACATTTTGCGCATCCGACGGGGGCGCTGAGATTAGCTCACGTTCGACGACGCTTTTGAACGTTTCTGGCAGCTAATTGACTCAACGAGAAACGGCCCATGTCACCACAAAGCACTCAGACATTGTCACATGTCACACACATGGCAAGAATGACGGCGAAAAGACGTTCCAGAGGATATTTCTAATAAATCTCTCGACAGATTCTGTCACCGTGGAACAAAGTCTGACGTAACTCCATTTTGATTGATCCTAGTTACATATAGACATCAGAAATGCTTAATTTGCCGTCGAAAAAGATCGATTCGCGCAAAAGTGCTTCTGTAAGTAGTTTTGGCAGAAGACGAAAATTGAATTTGATTTTCTCGATTGCCGGAAGCAGACGCTTGGCCTGGCCTATCTCCTGAATATTTTTGGAGCTGGCCGAGACCGGAAATTAGCGTAAAACGGGATGAGCTGCAGCTCTGTTTGGAAAAGAATATCCGGGTGATATGTTAATCGGCGAACATTTCCATCTCGTGGAAAAACAAAGCAAATGCGCGGGTCACTAATTAGCACAGAATCTGTATCCACGAGTTAGAATAATAAGAATAAAACGAGAGAGAGAGAGAGAGAAACATATGGGTGGTGGGAAAATGGTAATGTGTGCGTACACATGAGATTTTTTTCGTACAAAATTTGAACAAATAAACCCATATTTCGAGCTGAATAATCAGTAATATTCATGGCTCGATTCGGAACTAGAACTAAGGCAAGGCATTTCTTATTCCTGAGTGGTAGAATCGCTTTTGAAAACAAGTCAAATTAGACGCATTTCGTAAAAATGCAAAATCGCCAAAATTTACGGTGGCGCTCGAGGTCAACTTTGGCGCGGCGCCGTCCGTCAAACTGGCGAGCCAATCAGCTGCCGGCGTTTGACAGCTCTTCACGGTCAATGCCAGCCTTGTCAGAAAATGCGCCGCGTCGTGACAGCTGCACTGAAAATTTCTAATGCTTTCTATTATTCAGAGCACTGGTAAACTCCCGTTTTTTTTCTTTGGCGAAATGGAAGCCATATCAATTTTTAATAATAGAATTGGCTTGATTGAAGGGCAAAAGATTTTAAATCCGCCAAGTACCTCCGCCCTTATTCTCCTTCTTCAAAGAAGGGGACTTGATGACTTTTCGCGCTAAGGGAAAGGGAGAAGATTTGACGTTTTTAGGCGCAAATAATTTGCCTTCGCCAGGTTGCCATTGCCGGATAATCCCAGCGGTGAGGCCCTTTGTTCCTCCTCTTATCCGATTGCTTCGAGCTGAGACGACTGTACCTTTCTGATTAATTTTTCGAATCAAATGTTGAAAATCGAATACGGTATACGGTGTTTTTGAAGATACAGTTATTTTGCCTATCCATTTTTCCCAGAAGCCAGAATTTCCCAGAATCCCCTTTTCCTTAAATTGGAAAATCGTTGATTTTGTGAAATCGAGGATTCTTGGAAAAACGGTTTCAATTATTTATGTCTCTTAAATCAAATAAGAACAATGAAACGTAACTCATTCCCAGGGGTAAATAATTAATTGCGATTCTTTCGAGATGCATTTGACGAGTTCCAGTGATCCGCGGCGGGTCGATGGGCGACTGTCAACTTGAAGCGGCTCATTAAGAAGAGCCCCCGCTTCCCTTAGTTTGAAAGAATAATGCCCGAATACTAAATAAAAAGGATTAAAACAGATAATCAATTCGATCGAGTGCTCATCCAAAATACAATTTCACGCGCTTCAACAGCTTGGGAAATATAACGCCGCGGGAATGATCACACCTCATTACAGTTTTGAGTACTTGAATATGGAGTCTTTGATCATTACATGCCTTTTCCCGTCAATTTTATTGGCGATTTTTTAGCATCTCTGAGTCCGAGAAAATTGACAATCTTGCGCCATCCCTACGAGGTTTTGTTGATAATCTTGGATCAAGAATGATAGAAATACTCTTCGATAATGAATCATAACCGGGTTAGCAATAAAGATTAACTTTCCAATTGGCAACTTATGCTCTGGAAGATGAGCCGTTGAAATTGGCCGATTTCAGGGCTCAATTTCCGCCGCAGATCTGACAGGCAATATTCAAAAGTGGATACCTTCGCTGCGCGGCTTATCCCGCCCATGAAATTTTCATTTTTGATACCTTACTCCTTCCAGAAACAAATGAGCCAGCTAACAGTCGGTTTTCTTCGTTCATTCGAGAAAAAAAAGAGGGAATCAGATTTGTAAATATTTGCGGATTAGTGGCGCTTGAAAAATGAGTTCATCTCAAGAGCTAGAAATTTGTAGGAAATCATCAGTGCAGCTAATCCGGGAAAGTACAATCTACTAAAAGCACAAGTAGACTCATTTACGCTGCGTTTTCATCATTGACGTTAGCTGGGCAATTTCAGGCCTGTCAAGCCATTGATCCCTAATTTCCATTCTAATGAGCTCCTTTTTATTATTGCTGAAAGAGTTCACGCTCATAAATGAGAAGAAAAAGAAGCTTCTCAGATCTGATAAAGACGTATAAATTGTTTATTCATCTTGGCGCAGTTGTTCCTCGTTAGGTAGCTAATCGAGAAGGTGAATGGAACTTGCTGGTGTATTGATAGGTGCACATTTGTTTAGTTCCCACCACGAGCAAGGAGATCAAGCAGGATCCGGGAAGCAGCGCCCGGAGGAAATTAGCACGTGATAATAAATTCGAGCAACTTTTTTTCGCGAAGCGAGTCACGAATGCATTTGAAAAATAATTTTAAAAATACGCGCGTTTCTCGCTCTTTCTTTCTCACGCCAAAAATGCTATTCCGGATTAGCCCAAATATTACTCAGAAAGCTTCCACCGTTGAATATTATTCTTCAAGGAGGAGATTGAAATGTAAATTGTTGAAAGCTGATTGAAGAACTGACTCAGTACCTGCTGTTGTTGATGGGCGGCTAATTAGTGCTTAATGATTTCGGTGCCAAATCGACACAAGCGTATAATGAGCCGGCCCCCTGTAGCGAGATGCTCGGAAGCTGGCCTGTACTCGCCACTGCCTATAATTGGATTATTCTCTACCCCGACAGGTGTCCCATTAGCAGAATAAATATTCAGCAATATTGTGCATATTTCTTCGCCACAGAAAGTCGACCCCTGATCTGACAACAAAGATATTGAACTGGCCATATGCGCCAAGAAAGAAGCGAATTAAAATATTCAAATCTTATCTGGTCTTGTTTTTGTTCAGATAGAAATGATCTAATCTCGCTTAAATCTACTTCCGATGGGTGCCGAGTGGTGCAAAAATAATCCTCCGCCAAGTCCTTCATAAATAGCACTAATGCGCTTGAAGTGTACTTGGGCACTATCTATTCCTGGAGCAAATGAGCTTGACTAAAATTCAAACTACCGATAAAGGCTCTTTTGCTAATTTCAACCACTTGATCCAAGCAAATGCGGATTGATACTAAAGCAATTTTTTTTCGTCAAAATTAAAATTTTGTTTATCGAGAAAAATGCGCCCTGCTGTGTTAAACGATTCTACTGAAAATTTGTCGAAAACGGAAAGTATGGATTTTCACCGTTTTCGTCGCTTCCTGCTTATCCTGCATCCTAACGATTTGTTTTATAGGGATTGGGCTTCAGCCCCGCAGCGTCGGATAAGCAAATGTCCGAAGGTGAGCCCGGAAGTCCGAGGGCGAACAACTCCAGCAGCGCGATGTCTCAAGACGGTTTTCCGAAAGGTAAAAGTTTAATTTATTACTACAGCATATGCTCGTATGCTACGAATATTGAAGTTATTGTCAATAAAGGAAGTAAGTTATTTTTTCCAAATCGGTGATTCTGGTTTGAAATCCTGACCGACGTGAAAGTTGAAAGAGAACATTAATGAAACCAAAACGTGTAAATACTGGCAACATAAAAGCCCAAAAGACGATTTTGCCTTGACAAGTTAGACAAGCAATCGTAAAAACCGGAAATCCGCTGGGCTGTGATCACGTGATCATCGCTCGTCCGGTTCAACGAACTCCTGAAGCGCGAAAACACACCTTTGGCTCAGTCCCCCGATTGTAAACTTTTGACAATTTGATTACAATTCCTACGACACCCCGAAAACGATAATTGCTTGGAATTTTCTACCTGGCCAACATCCCCGTTAATTTATCACCCGTGTTAGAAGTCGGGAATCAACAGGAATTTTTGTCAATGGATCTGTGTTTCCGGACGAAAATACTTATCGAGCATTGATGATTCCGATTTTTGAACACAAATTCGAGGAGAAAAAATAATTGAAAGTCATTTGCACAAAAAATGACCGCCTGGGAAAGGCGAGGCCGTCAGCGCTAGCGCTGATAAGCGCACTAGATTCTGTCATGTTTTGGCGACGGGCTGCCTTATCTTTAAATTTTAAATAATTTTGCGCTTCCGAGTTTCTTCTTCGTTTCCTTCCCTGTTGTTCCTTCGATAAAAACGGTTTAAATATTTATTCGTTTCTATTTCATCTTCTATCGCTGGCTTCTATCGCTTTCACTTTGAAAATTCTGCATAGAAAATCGCGAAATAGAGGATGATCAAGTTCGAGCTGTCTTCGCGTCTTCGGACTATCCGCTTATAAAGTTCATGTCTAGAGAAGAATACCTTGCTTGTCAAGAACTGAAGCAAGCTGACAGCTGATTTGACCAAGCCCTTGCTTCGTTGGTTGGTCTTTGAGGGCGCTCCAGTGCACTCACTCCTCGACATTGTACCCAGCGCTTGACTTCGGTCCCTGGCAAGATGCAGGAGTGGGGAGCCCGTTCTGCTGGGCGGCGCTGTCGAGCGGCCAGCGTAGCGCTCGTTGAGGATGAGCCGGTTGACTTCTAGAGGCCGCTCGAATGCGAAGAGCTGCCAGTTTTTGACAGACGGTAGCAGCGCCCGAGCAGATTATTTGTACACTTTTCCTTCGGCACAACTATCAACGCGCACACACACCCGTAGCGTGCCCAAACCAGCAGCCCGAGCAGCCAAAGCGAGCTCAGCCTAGCTGTTGACGTGCCCGTGACAGGCAGCCTGACAACTTGTGCCCAGTCAGTGACAGCTACAGTCAGGCATCAGCTTAGAGATTGAAGAAGTCGGTGGTGCTCCCGCCGACATTGTCCACACCGAGATCATTTCCTACGAGAGAGCAGAGCTACCCAGGGAGTGCCAGCCGCGCGCTCCGCTGGGTAGTACGGCCCACAAACCCAGCCCAGAGATGCTCCAGCCCTCCGAACACGCATCCCCAGTACAGACTTTAAAGATGGAACCGATCCACCAGGTTCCATCGTCGCTCCCTTCCACTCCAATTTCAGTCTCACAGGCGGTCTCCACCTCAGCGGGGCCGTCTCCATCAGTGAGTTCCTCGATCTCTGGTCTCAGTGCTTCCTCTGGACTTAGTCCATGGACTCACCACCCAGTTATGATCGAGGGAGTGGTCGGATCCATGAGCCATCATGACCAAATTGACTTAAATTTACACAGTCTTACTCCCCGTAAGTTTTTATTTTATTTTCAAAAACAGCGAACGAATTTTGCTATTCAGAAGCTCCTTCGTTGAGTGAGCTCGAGTCAAGCGGTTCCTCTTCTTCAAAGTACATTCCTTTGCAGTCTCCATCAGTAAAACGTAAATACGGTGATTATAAACTTGGCAAAGCGCTGATAATTCGGGTGGGAAATCATGAAGGTCAAACGGATAATTCAGCACTGAACAGAATCCCTTTTGGTATTTTACCACATTGGCACTTCCTCAATGGATATGCCAAGAGCGCGCCAGGGACTTACAGACTTATCCCTACTTCCTCTTTTTCAACGTCGTTTGATCCTAATCCGTAACATTTTTCTTCAGTGGAGCACATTGAGCACACTAAGCTCGAACCTGTGTCGGAGAACAACCGACTTGGCGTCTTCACTTCCGATCCAAGCGAGTATCCCTCAACTGTCGGCGACATCGATGGAATTTCTACGCTGCACGCGACGTCACCTTCTCTTCTGACTACACCATCTTTGGTCCAGTCTATGTCCGGCCACCCGCCCATCTCCTCATCTACCTTGTCAACATTGGAACCCTCTCCATCAGCCTCATCCCTGGCCACAAAAACACCACCACCAACCTCGAGCTCCGGCTCAGTAACGCACAGTTCATCCAATTCACGAAAAAGAGACTCTACCTCTGATTCACATGACACGCCATCCAGCTCGTCAAAACGCGTCAAAAAAGAAGACAAAGATGACAAAAAACCTCAACCTAAGAAACGAGGCATCTTCCCCAAACAAGCAACTAACATACTTCGAGCCTGGCTTTTCCAGAACCTGACTGTAAGTAGGAAAGACTTCTGCCTTTAGTTATTTTTAATTTATCATTTGTCGAATGTTTTCGAGTAACGCAAAAGCCGACGTTGATCACAGATTCCATAAAATCCGGCTTTTAGGATCGATTTAACCAAGAGTCAATAGACCTGAAGATCGGTTTTGAAATAGCTATTTCTTAGTAAATAAGACAGCAATGGTTGTGTTCACAAGAATAACAGCTAGTAGGTTATCGATTTTTGCACTGAAGCGTTTTGTTGTATTGGATTAATATATTTTTAATACCTCTCTTACTTACGGATATGGATACAAAGTCTTTTCAAATTTGCGCACTGTTCACCGACTAATTCATATTTCAGCATCCATACCCATCTGAAGAACAGAAAAAGAACCTGAGCCAACAAACTGGACTCACGATTCTCCAGGTTAACAATTGGTAAGTGAAACCAAAGTTGAAGTTGACCATTTGCTTCACGGACAGCCCTCATGTTGACACAAGGCGACATTTGTTACGCCACAATAGTCATTAGAAGACATGGAGCTGTCCAACAAGCACAAAATATTAAGACAGGACAAATGTCATTTATCATTTTAGGTTTATCAACGCACGTCGTCGGATTGTTCAACCCATGATCGATTCCTCCAATAGAGCAAGTAAGTGTCAAAACTTGGAATTTCACTCGATTCCTAAAAACATTCGAAGATGTGAAAACTCATGTTTTTCTAGTGGCGCCTTACACCACTGGTTCTTATCCATCTCCAGATCCTTATGGCCCAGGAATGGGAGTATTCCCTCATCCGATGCATCCTGGACTTCAAGGTAGGACTCTTAATTTTTGATTCAAAAGGGTAAAACAATACTTTAGGATTCGGAGGAGGAATGGGCTCAGGCATGGGTCTCCCACCACACTCACTTCCCGCAATGCCTCCACCGCCGATGCCTCCAATTTCTCGCGATGGTGGCATGACGAACATGTTCTCGGCCTTCGGCTCCGGCCAGCTCCCGAATCATCACTCGATGCTTGGCGGCGGTGGCGGCCTGCACGGCATCGGCAACCCCCATGGCTACCCGTCGATTCCAACACTGCCCCCAGATCTCACCTCCCTCTCGAACAGCTGTTGACTGCCAACTCCGCCCGATGACCCCGGCCACTGAGTCCGACCCTTTCCTCGGTCTCAGATGCACCGTGGATGAGTCATCGCGCGGTGCTTCAAAGTGACGGTTCAAAATAACTTTACTTATATTACTATTTTAACTTCCTTCGGGTCGATTTGTAGATAGAAGCACACGGTTCAAAATTATTTTATTGTACATTTTGTTTCTTAAAAACTCACATTCAACTTCCATAATTTATATGCGCTGCCGCGGTTTTTCGTCAACCCATGGCATCAAGTACAAAAAAGAGCTGATTCCGTTTCTAAAAAATAAGTGTTTTGCGCGCCCTAGAATTCGAATACGTACGTTCGCGTAACACGCTTATTGCTAAGGTGGCGGGGAAAATTGCTTCAGTTTAAGAGATAATCCCGGTGTAGGTTAGACAGATCTGACAGTGGTACTTGCCAACCGGGCGCACCCTCGCTAACCGAAGTTGAAAACCGCCGACCTGGCCCGTGTTAGCCCTTAGTTTATTCAATATTCTTATACATACAAGTTACTATGCCACACATACAAACAAATCACGTGATTCATTCTATTCAATGTTCCTTCCTGTACTTTGCAAGTTTAAACACTTCACAATTAACAAATTTTGTCATTTGAAAATATCAAAAGAAAAAATACAAAAAATGAAAAATCACATCTAGTTTTCTTTGTTCGGAATTTCACGCAGCCGGGTAGTAGATCTCCCTTAGCATACCAAAACTGTCAAGCTACAGCAGCGCTAGAACTTCTCGATCCATCATAAAGAAATAATGCAAATTAAGCGAGTATCAGATAAAAAAAAAGAACCGAAACTGAAGAACGCCGAAATAGATAGCCCTCGTGCCTAATTTATCGCTCAGCATCTCAAACGCTCGTATAAACATTCCAGCTCCGCTATAACAAAGAATTTCTCAGATAGAAGGAGTAAAATTAGGAAAAATAATTTCCTCTCCCGGCGCGATAACGATTATATTTGACCGGGAGATTTCAAAGTGTGTTTATTGTCGTAGCTGGCTAGGGAAAAGAGACTGGCATAAAATAGACGGCCTTTAAGATATTCCCAAGAGTTATTTTAATGAATCAGTCGAATTTTATTTCTCGGATTTGCGGCAAAGATTGACGGTAAAACTTCAGTAGTTGGGCCAAAGAATGTAAATTTTGAAACAAGACAGATTGCGGTGAGCACTTGAAATTGTCCAAATAGTCAAGTTTACAAGGAGACTTTTGTAATAGTCACAGCTTAGGAAGTATTCTGTCGCAAATGGTAACTAATCCCTTTTACCATTTCCGAAAGTTCCCAAGGCTTCCTCTCGCCTCCACGATGTCGCCCATGTCGGAACCTCACTGAAGGGTTGGCATTTCATTATGATCATAAAATTTCAGCATCGAGTCGAAAATGCTGTTCGAAGAGGAGCACGAACGTTATGTTGGCATTTGTTAGAAAGAGCAGCTGTCCGTCGATTCTGCTTGAGATGTTGATTTTCTTGACAAAGAGTTGGAAAGAGCACTCACATTCGGTGCTGACGAGGACAGCTTTGAAGGTGGCGATCAGCCAGCGGAATATACGGAAATATTTAGTGAAGATCTGAGCTGGCCAGACGGGCATTTTGATGAGTGGATGCTCTTTCAAATTCGGATCCTGTCACGCCAGTGTCACCTGTTGACGCTAAGAAAGTGCCTTTGCAGCCCTGAGAGGGGAATTAATGTATTTTGCCATTATGTCCAGCCGAATACATGTAGATTACAATCAATAGTGTATTAAAGGGTTATGCAGCATAACTTATGCTTACGTGTGTTCATGTCAATAAAGGAGGCCAGGAAATATACCATTTTCCAAACGCAAATGACCATGCAGGGGGGGGGGAATTATATTTTTCCATTTTCAGTGCATTCATTTTACTCGATGGAAATTTGTTGTTTGGCATGAAGCGTGGACTTATGCGCCGGCCGTCACCTAAGACGAAACTTTGCTCGGCGAAAATTCACTTCGGAAGGGACCCGATTTCAATTTTTCTTTCAATGCTTTTCGCGCTATTTCGGCTCCTTTTTTGCTTCACTTCAGAAATCCAGGCGAAGAATGGAAGTCAATCACTTTTTACTTTCCCTGCTGTCACCGAGATATGCAGCCGCCGTTTGAGCGGAGCCGTGTAATGAGGACCTGTCATCCGATTGTGTCCACCGAGCCTCGGACAAAAGGGACCTCCGCGCAAAAGCAAACTTTCATTCCTAGAATTCTTGCATGCCACGTGATTAGATTTGACCTAGTGGAAGGATTTTTAAAAGTTGTTCGTTCACCAAAAATGTTGCTGCCTGCTTAAAAATCATGCAGATAAACTCCCGTATTCAGCAATATAGTCCAAAAAATGAGTCTTTTCTTTCTCCAAGTAATTTGTGCAAATTGCGTTTCACGGTGTTAGCCCTGAGAACTAAGTTCCGCGCCCGCTTCTTCGCCATATTGTAGCTCCTGTCAAAAAGCGACAGGTCAAGAACTTCATTATGTTAATGAGGCAAAATCAAAACTTGCCACTTGCCGCTTTTTATCAAAAGGAAACCCCGTCTGTTTTCCGAGCTTTATTTTCATATCTAAAAACAGAGATTCGCTCCGTTATTATTCCATGTCTTCTGGAGCTTTTGGTTCAGATTTTACGCCAAGAGCTTCTCGCACAATTGAGTCAGAAATCTTAAAAAAGAGATGAATTTTCTTCTCAAGAATTTAAAAAATAATGATTAACTCGGCAATTTCATATTGGTGATATGAACTTACATGCTTTGTAAACTCATCATAAGTGATATTCCCATCGCCATCAATATCCAAATCTTGGATGAAATTAGCAGCTTCGTCAGGATCAACTTCAGTAAACTCGAGCGCTTTGGCTAAATCGCTCGCTTTGATGGATCCTTTTGCGTAGACGTCAAAGGCTCGAAACGCACTCTGACGAAATTTCAATTACGGATTTCTAGGATTCAGGAAATTAATAATTTTATTTTGAAACTGTTCCTGAAGCGAGAACTCCAAGTCGTAGTAATTGATCGTGTCACCCATCATTTCACAGAACTCAGGAAAACTAAGCTTGGAAGCATTTGGATTCACAATTGCTTGAGAAGGTTTTCACTTACATCTATCTCTTTGTAAAAATTTCAATAAAAAGCGAAAACCCTAACCATGCGTTTGGTCACTTCCTCCTCCGTCGGATTTTGTCCAAATCGTCGGTAGCACGTGATTATTTCTTTCAGTGAAAGTCGTCCATCATGATTCACATCAAATTGGTCGAAAATCGCCTTTAGCGCCTCAACATCTAAACTCGCTTTAACAAAAATTCTCTTCCTTGATTTCAGTACCCTTTCTTGCTTGCTCCGTCACGTCCATTTTGCTCTCTTGTTCTCAAAATTCTGATAGAAGCAAGCTTTGTATAATGGCCGATGTTTTCGAGGAGATAATAACGTTAAATAGAGCTAATGAGCTCCTCTGCTAAACCATTTATCTATTTGTGGTCACTTCGATGCCAACGGGAAGGATAGTTTCGACATTTATCCGAGCTTCATTCCGTTCAAATCAAATTAAAGATGCTCTTTTTACAGTAATAATTATGATAATTTTTGATCATTTATCTTCTTTATTAGGTCCATTTTCGTTAAATTAAAATGTTAACTTTATCCTGAAAACGCTAAATCAGCGTGTTATTGTATTAAATTGTCTGAGAAAACTCTGAAATTATCGAAGAGTGATTTTGATTCTGTGAATCGGAAGACGTCATCGTGGCGTCTTGTAACGAGCACAATCAGCAGCTCACCCTTGCGCGCTTCAGCTCAAGTTTTGGGTAAAGTCAGAGCTCTTTTATTGACGATTGAGGGCCAGGCTTCCTCAAAATAACCCGTGAGACGTAACAAAGACAACATGAGCGAGAAAGAAAGAGAAGAGCTGAAAAAATACCAAGACTTGGTTCAGAAGATTGGCATCCAGGAACAGCTCAAAACTGTGGAACTGACAGGGAAAAATTCTAGTAGAAAGAGTCGAGAAACGCCATTTACTAGGAAAAGGTCTCATTTTAATGATAAATTATGAATAACTTCGTTAATCAATATAATGAATTTCAACATCAAAATGTAAAATAAATTTGAATTCATTAAATATGATCTATAGACTATAGACTATAGTATAGATTCTATACCTATTTTTACCGTTATAATCTATTCATGAACACGACGACAAAAAATGAGGACCTTTGAAAAAGAGCCCTGTCTCGCGAGAATCAATTGAACAAGACTGCAGACTCACTGGTAAACTACTACCCAAAGAATCAGAAAGTAAAAGAATCCGGCGATTTGTGAAGCTACTGTACTTGTGAAAAATAAACGAGAAATGAGTTTACAAACCGGTGAATTTATTAACAATAATGGCTTGGAAACAGTTTGATCGTGAGAGTTGCAATCAAGCAAAAACCTCGTTTGGATTTTCCGAGTCTGTTGGAGTCTTTCGGTAGATTGAAGAAAAATTTGCCATGTGTTTGCGCAGACCTTCTGCTCTGTCTAGCCTCGCTGATTTGCAGCAAACCCACAAACTAAAAAAATATAGGAAAGAAATAAGATCATTTTAACCTGTAGAAAATTAACAAAAGAGGAAGAAAACAAAGCCAAGCAGGACTGAGTTCCGTTCCATGGTGTATAAGTCTTTCCGGCAGTGTTGCAGCTTCTCTCAGCATTGATGATTTTCTCTCTGTTTCAAGAAAAACCTTTTCAGAAACAATTTAAGATAAGAAAAGTATGTTTGATACTCCGACAGTAAGCAAACTTACTAAACTGAGTCGCGGTTTAGACGGATATGATCGATTAGTAAGCAAACGAGTGTATGGTAATCCTTTCTTGGCAACAGAAGCCTTGTGGAAGGGATCAAACTACCAATGAAGGTTAATTATCTATTTGCTTCGTACTCGTACGTATTCGTCTACGGGCGAACTTTTCTTCGTGCGATACAGTTCATTAACTGCCATATCGTGCCAAATGGTCTTCGACCGTCGGAATCAGAACAAATTGTGCTGACTAGTAGGAACGCGCTGGTGAATTAATTAAAACCATCCTCCTTCCCGTTTTCCCGATTGAAACCCTAATTATGTTTTTTCATGATCAATTGAGTACTTTATTATTCATACTCTTTGTGAATCAAGACTCCATGATCAATTCGGAATTCGCTGATTTTGCAAAAAGCCAATTTGTCTGTCGTGAATCACGATATTTGTAGTGCAAGGTCCATCGGTAGCAAATAAAAAATTACTGCACTGGAATCGACATAAAACCAGCATTTTGAGTGGTAACGATTCATTAAAAAAATATGACGGAAGAGAGTTCATTTATTGCGGGAGATATTCAAGTGAAAGAAAATAATGAAAAATCAGAAAGAAATTCTTCGAAATGGAAAGATGCGTTTATTATAGGAAAGGTTTTTAAATAATTATTAAAATAATATATTTAATTTGTTCAGATAGCAAACCTTCAAAGTTCTTGCATTAGCATGTGTTGGTCTTGCACTTGCATTTCCCTTTTCAAGAAAATTTGGTAAAAGAACTTCAAACAACCAAGCTTCCGAAACAATCCCTATGAATGGCATAACCGAAGATGGCCTGACCTCCTATTTGGGAATTCCATACGCATTGCCGCCAACTGGCGATAGGAGACTTCGGCCTCCGGTTCCCCATCCTATGTGGAGTGAAAACGCAAACAGGACAGTTTGAGTTTTTTCAGGATTCAAAAATTACAAATAAAAACTCAAACTGAGTGATGATTTCTCCGCAACGGAATCGAAACCCGGCTGCCTATCTGGAGTTGAGCAGCTAATGCAGGAAAACTTTGGCGTTGATTTTTCCGATGAAAAACGATCTGAAGACTGCTTGTACATGAACATTTGGGCTCCAGATAAAAAAGAAAAAACTGAGAAACTGCCAGTTCTAGTCTTTATTCACGGCGGAAGCTTCCTTAGTGGAAATGCATCGAGGTATGAGACAGTTGGTGACGATGTCGCGAGAAAAGAAAACATCATCGTCGTTTCAATTCAATATCGTCTCGGGATCTACGGCTTTGGGTATCTTGGGCGAGATCGAAGTGAAAACATTGGGCATTTTGAGCAGGGAAATTTCGCCTTGCAAGATGTAAGATTGGCACTGAAGACAATCTACGCGAATATTCACCGTTTCGGCGGAGATAAAGAACAAATAACTGTAATGGGAAATTCTGCTGGAGGACTAACAGTTGCTACACTTCTTTCTGATGAAGCACCGGTTTATATGAGAGCATCTGGCTGGCCATTCTACCAAAAAGCAGTGATTCAATGTCCGCCAATGAATTTGTACATGCGAACGGTTGAAGACATCGTCGCTTTCAATTCCAAAATTATCAACGCCAGTGGCTGCTCCAAGCTTTCATGTTTCCAAAAACTGACGACAGATGAAGTCGCTCAGGCTGTATCATCCTCGACGAATCCTTATTTGATGGATTTGACTGTCAATGCTCTCTTTGGTACGCCATTTGCCCCAATTGCCGACAATATAACCGCTTTTAACCCGTTCCGAAACAGATTCCAACAAGACATCCCAACGATGATCGGTATAAACGCGGATGAACCGGTAACTTTTTTGAACATGATCTTCGAAAGTCGCCCAATTCCGGATGAATATTACATGACTGCTGCAAGACTTTTATTTGGCAAAAATTTAGCTCCGGAACTATTGCTAAGGGTTATAAAGGGTTACTCATTTTATCGTGAAAATATTTGAGGTTAACCCACAAAAAGACTCTTTACCCACCGATTGGAGACAACAGAGATCAGCTACTGAAGATTGAGCAAGACGCGATTTTCGATTGTGGATCCAGACGATTACTTGAGGATCAAGCGGAATCATTTATGTACATCTTTGACGCAGTATCTCCAAAAGCTTATAAACATTGGTCAAGAGATTATCAATGGGTAAAGACAAAAATATCCATATAAACTAATACTAAATATCTAAGGGTAACTGCGAAGAAAAGGCTTGCCATTGCACTGACACTGGATATTTCTTCGGAAAGATTCCCCTTGACACGGAGAATCAGAAGCAAGCGGCGAAGAGAATAAGAAGCACAATAACCAATTTTATCAAGTCCGAAGACACCGGATTAAAAAATTCTAACGGAGGATCCTTTCAAAATCTGATTTTGACAGAGCCAGACAGGTAATTTATTAAAAGAGCGAAATTATCTATTTTTATTTCAGCTCTGTTGAACCAGCAAAGAAAAATATTTGCGAGTTCTGGGATAAAGTCTTTCTACTCTCTGAAAACTGCGCTAAAGGAGACAAAAATAGCTGCTTTGCGAACTGGAGCAAGATTATTGAAGCTGTGCAATATTTACGCTCTCAAAAAGAACAATAAAAAAGGACAAAACTATAAGCTTAAAATTAATATTTATTTGAATATCTATCTGGCAGGTTCTAGTAAATTGAAGGGCAGTTAATTTTGGGAAATATCGAGCATTGGTGGCAATAAAAAAATTTTCAATAATTCAAAATGAGCAGCATCGTGACAACTCGATGGATTACAGATGGCAGAAGATTTTTTGATGGAGCGGTAGTATTTCAGGTAGAATTCTCGACAGCAGGAGCAAAGATTGGCTTCAGGGAGAGAAAGTCATTGGTGAAGTGCTTGTCAATGATTCCGTTCAGGATCTTCTTGAATTTTCGATCGGCCTTGTGGGTCGTGCGGCGCTGGAATTGGTATTTCAGGTGTGCGTACGAGTCGTCTATTTCGCAAAGAGGATCAAAGAGCTTCCATGCCTTGAAAAGATCTTCGAAGAAATTCAGTTAATTTTATTTGCAACCTTTCGTCGAGTGGAGACAGTATGTACCAGTTCCTTGAAGAACGAAAATTCTTGTCGAAGCATCTCTTTTACTGGCCCGTCCTCGATGATCTCTTGAAATGTTGAATGATCCTCTTTGATAAAAAAATGGTCGTATTACCTCCGAAATGTTCCTCAAATCCGATGATCTGATGAAGAGGATAACCTGCGGCCAAAAGATTCTGGTACTGATCTTCGTGAAAACAGAAGATAACTCTTTTCTCGACCTTGAGCAATGATATAATTTTGATAACATGAAAATTTACCTCGTTGATTTCCGGCTCATTTGTTGAACACCAAATATCGCGAAGAAGAAAGTGCTCTCGAGGATCGAAGGCAACGAAGTCAGTGGCATCAACGCTTTTAAATCGGTCGATTTTCGAAGATTTTGCATTTATTTTCAACCGCAGATGGACCTTTTCCTGTAGGGATCAGCAACAGAAGACTGAAGAATGAACCTCACTTTAACCAGTCGATCTGTTTGGTTTCCATTCTCGTCGTGGAGGTAGAGGAAAATCTCGAAGAAAGGATTCCAGTAGAGTTGACCTTGATGTTCTCGCGCATACTGGCCTGTTTATTGCATACCTTTATTGTTCATATAATAGTTACCAGTTACATACTATGTATTTATTTTCAAGAATAAATTATATTGTAAGCATTTCCTTTGTTGACTGGCCCAAAGAAGAATGTATGCCCGCTCGGGGATACATACGACGGTAAACTCAAGTCATTGGCCTCCTTATCCATTTTTCTTATTTTCTTCTGTCTTCCCTAAAGAACAAAAATAGCGCACTGTCAGTGACTCAGAGTCTCTCTGCGGATTTTTTCTCTATTTGAAATGAAGCGTATTTCGTCCCCACAGCGCCACTTACGCAATCAATCTTGCTGACTCTCCTCAACCAACCGATAGTGGCGACTCTCTACCTCAGCTTTCAAAACAGGGGTGGATATTTTGATATCAAATCATTATTTCAAAACTGTCGAATCATTTATTTCATCGTTTCAAAAATTGAAATTTCAATTGAAATTGCAGGAAAAAGCCGATGCAATGGATGAAACCTATTGAAAATGAAAAAAAAGCGTTTTCAAAAGATAAAGATTCGTGCGGAGTTTTGAAATGAATTTGAAACTGCAATAATTGACATTTCAATGAGTTTTTCTTATTTGGCGACTTGAAAGGAATTTGAAAAATGAAATTGAAAAAATGAATCGTTGCAAATTTGAAGAAGGCGCAAAAGGAAAAACTCAGCGCGCCTGCCATCCCTTTTTGACTCCCGCATTTGAAATGGGAAATTCCCAAAATCCCGTATTTTTAAAGTCCTAAATTTCTGAAAATCCCGTATTTCTGAAATCGCAAATTTTGAATTCTGCCGAATCGAGTGTTTGAAAAATGGCCAAAACTTTCGTGAGTGAGTGAGCGCGAGCAGAGGCCCCCAGATTTTTAACATGAGTGAGCGAGCGCGAGTAGACCCTTTTGATTTTTCGTGAGCGAGCGAGCGCGAGCGCAGATACCGGAATTTTTCTGTGAGTGAGCGAGCATGAGCGCTCGCTCGCTCGCTTGCGCTCACTCGCAGCTTTTCAACAACGTTTTGATTTAGTTCTTTGAATGACTTCTAAATATAATAAATAAATATTGAGTACTCTAACGGGAGTAAAAGATAAAATCCAGATAAATTTCATGATTATTTAATGACTCTGTCTTGGGGGTGGATTAACTGTGAGCAAGCGCGAGTGAGCGCAAGCAGGGAACTTTGAATTTTATGGTGAGTGAGCGAGCGCGAGCATAGGCTTCTCGAAATCACATGAGTGAGTGAGAAGGAGCGCTCGCTCACTCGCTCGCGCTCGCTCGTGGCTCGCGCTCACCATTTTTCAGACACTGCTGCAGATTCAGGAATACGGGAAATGCGGGATTTTTTCTTTTGAGTTAGTTGAGCTCAGCTCAATGATTTGAACACAATTTTAGTTCTTAAAACACAGTAAAAACAGCTCTGCTCAGCTCTAATTAGGGTCCTCTCAGTTCAGGTCAGCTAAACTACCTTAAAAAGTCTGCTGAGCTGAGCTCAGCTCAGTCACCTCCGAAATAGGTCAGCTCAGCTTAGAGAAATTTTTACTCAGGTCAGCTTAGCTCAGCTCAGTAATAATAAAGCAAACTCTGGAGATAAGGGCCTTATCCTTTTAAATAGCAGTTGCTGAGCTTAGATAGCGGAATTGAGAGGAAAGTTTAGCTAAGCGTAGTAGAGCTGGCGAAAATTTCGGCTTGAAGTCAACATCTTTGCCAAAATGGCCTATATAAAGGCTTGAATAACTCAAAATTTTTTTAGAATTGTGTATCAAAAATCTTTGGGGACATGAAAATTTCAGTGTTAAATCATCACGAGTGAGCGCTCGTGCTCGCTCACTCATGAAAAAATTTTGGAGCTTCTGCTCGCTCACTCACGTTAAAATCGGTGAACCTTCGCTCGCGCTGGCTCACTGACAAAATAATTTCAGGGGGGCTCTGCTCGCGCTCACTCGCTCATCTTAGTTTCGACCATTTTTCAAACACTGAGCGGGCACTGGGCAAAATGACGGAAGAAACTTACCCGAGGGGGACAGGCTAGGGTTATTTAGGGTTACTGTAGGTACAGACTTGCAAATTTAATTAAGCGTAGCTAAGCTGAAATAGCTGAAAAGGCCAGGGACGTGATTTACGCCAGAGTTGCAAATTTGGCTTTATTTTCGTTGAGCTGAGCTGAGCTGCCCTGTGTGAGAAATTCTCTGAGCTGAGCTGACCTATTTCGGAGCTGACTGAGCTGACCTGACCTGAGCTAGCCATTTTCAGAGGTCATTGAGCTGAGCTGAGCTGAGCAGACCTTTTTTTAAGGCAGTTGAGCTGAGCTGAACTGAGCAGACCCTAATTTGAGCTGAGCTAAGTGAGCTGGGTTAAGCTGTTTAATTACTGTTTTTAGTAGTAAAATTGTGTAAAAATCATTGAGCTGAGCTGAGCTGAGCTGAATAATACCGCGATTATCATTCCTGAATGACGGATGAGAGTCGTTTGGACATTTTACAATGCAAAATTTGTCCGAACGAGCGGTACTTGTCTGAGCTGAGCGGAGTTGAGCAGAACAGATAAATTCATTTTCCAAAATCAGTGAGCTGAGCGACTACTCAGCTCACTCAGCTCACCAAATTTGGAACTCTGATTTACACTGACTAAGGATTTATTTTACACAGATAAGGGCCTTTTTTCACACAGAAAAGGGCCTTAATTTTAATATCAGTAGCTGAGCTTAGATAGCGGAGCTGGTCAGAATTTTCTTCACTGTAGCTGAGCCAAAAGTATTTTTCCCGTAGCTATCTCCGCTACGCAAATTTGCAACTCTGGTGCCACCACATGTCCAAGTGTGTAGCCCAGGCTATGACGGTAATTTTGAGCGCAAGAATTCCTTGTCCCTGGGGGTCTAGGAGGTGGTACAAAGTTCGGGAAGCCGACCAAAAATTGGTACCTTTGAAGAAAATTTTCCTTTTTTCTATAATTTATGAGTCCAACTTCACTTTTTATACCTCTTCAACGCATTGTGTCCTCCAGTGTCCTCCAAGGCTCAGAAATTTGAAATTGATTTGAAAAATGAAAAAAGATTGAAAAAATCTGTCCAGATTTGAAACCCTTTCGCAAAATGCAAAATGAAACAGTTGAAAATTTCAAAAAAGGCTCCGCGCCATTATCATTTGAAATGAATTTGCAATTGCGAAAATGAATTGAAAAAAGGCTTATCTTTTGAAATTTCAAATCAAAAACGGTTGAAATAATGATTTGATATCAAAATATCCACCCCTGTTTCAAAATCAGCAATCATCGAAATGAGTTTTGTCCAGCAAAAGCCACTCATTTTATATCCACGATGATTTTTCGAGATTCACCATCGACGATGGTCCATCGTGGATCATCGTGAAAGTAATTGATCATTGACTGAAATTTCATCGCTCTCTTTATGAAAAAATTGAAACAAAATCTTTGAAGGGAAAGGTTTTCGTTTATTTATAATAATTCATACATAATTTTTAACTAATAAATAATCTGATTGGTACCGCATCTGGAAAAAGAAGCTCAGTAGTATTTATAATTTTGTACAGTGAACAGAGTAGCCTAACAGAACATTATTTATGGACAAAGTTCTGTTGGTGCACTAGTATTTTTTTGGGTTTGGTTTTCAAGATTGGGGTTCAGTTAGGATTCGGCTCAAGCGAGAATAAGCAGAGGTACAAACTGTAAAAGGCTCGAGTACAGTAATTTTAGAGTAGTCGTTATTTTTAGGCGATATTGATAAATATATTTAAATCACGCGGAGGTGAATGTTCTGGCGTTTGAACAGAAGACAAAGAGGAATACGCCATGCTTCCCATTTCTGATTTTGAAGGTTTGGCGTTTAGATATAGCAGTAGGCCTTGGCAATGGAAGCTCCGAGATAGAAGAACCACAGGAAGACAAAGAATGCGGAGGATGCGATCTTGAGGCCGCGGGGACCACCCAATTCACCACCTGAAAACAGTTTTAGAAAGATGGTATTGAGGATTATCTCGTACCGTATCGTCGTCTGAAGAGAAGGAGGGCAATTGCAAGAAGAGCCTCAACGCAGAAGATGACGACGGAGAAGGAAAGAGTACCGGGGGTGACTTCAAGACCGATCTTGCCGTCTCGGCCGGACCAGTAGAAGGCAGCCATGGTCCATGCGATACCGATACCGAGGAAAACGTTGACAGCGTTGGAGCCAGTGACGTTTCCAACAGAGGCATCAGCAGTATCGTCACCGATGGCTGCGGTTTTAGAGGCAAAAGTATCTTAAACGCCGTTACTCCTCTGTTATGAAAAATAAGCTTTTACCAGGGACAGAAGTTCCAAGAGCGACGAATGAAATGGCAGTAACAGCATCAGTGACACCAACAGTGCAACCAAAGTGAGAAGCGAAGTCACCGATGAACTAAATATAAAAATAACGTTCGTGAAAATAAGTTCAGTTTCTTACGGCAGTCATAACACCAATTCCAATGATCGAAACGACGAAACAAGCCCATCCACCAAAGTAATCAGTTGGGGGAACAAATGCGAAGATAAGCTTAAAAAGAGTGAATCATGTTAAAAAAGGGATCAAAAATACCTTCCATGGAAGAGTAAGGTAGTGCATGATGTAGTCGCTAAGGCCTGGCTCAGCATCGGAGTCCTCATCATCATCATCACCTGTAAAAAATTTAAAAGACTTCAAAAAGCGCCAAATTACCGGCAGAAACGGTCAACGCTTCAGTGAACTGTTCAGCCCAGGATCCAGTGGAAACAAGAACAGTAAGATCCTGCTTCTGCATCATCTTGTCAACAGCGTTCTAAAATAATCATCAAGATTCTGATTTAATTGTTAATAAAATACCTTGAAAGCGGGAGAAGCAACAATGCCAACTTCGATTCGCATGGCGTCCTCATCAACTCGAGGTCGACCCTGCATGGCGACCTTAATTTGTTCTTCGGTAAGGGATCCAGATCGGTTCTCGAGCTAAAGGTTCTTCTCAAAAAGCGATATTCTGATAATTGTCTTACAATAGCGTAGAATTCTTTCTCAGCGGGGGCAACTCGGGGTTCACCAAGCTCGACGTAGAATTTGTTGTCCTTTTCGTACTCTTCGCAATCGATAATGTTGATAGTGATGGTTTTCCTAAAATAAAAATAATTTCAAGAATCAAAAATATAACATACTCAGTGACTTCGTCTTCGAAGAGAAGCTCGCCTTCGAGAGATTCGAAATCTCGGCCAGCTTCAGCAGTGTCGGGAACAGTTCGGAATGGAACGTAGACTTCACCTCGAGCACCAGATTTTCGGACAACCTAGATTACTTTTTCAGGACTCAGAAGCACATGACGGAGACTCACAGAGATGCTGACACAGCCGATACCCTCGTCGATGGACATAGTGGTTTCTTCGAAGGAGAAGTTACCCCGGTGATCGTCATCAAGAATAGTGACAGTAGCAGTTCGGTTCTTGCCAATTTCGAATTTAGTAGCAACACCTCCTCGAGTCTGGAGAGCACCAGCTCCATCGACAACTCTATCAATTCAAGTTATTCATGGTCGAGAGGGAACTCTTCAATAATAAAGTGAAAATTGATTTACCTGAGGTTAGAAAGCATCATGAGGAAATGTTCATCTTCTTCGAAAACTTCATCGTCGATAATTGGAACAGTAACAGTGTGGCTGGTCTCTCCGGGCTAATAATATTAATTAGTTTATTAATATGAAAGATCTCGGCCGGTTCAATGAGAAACAACTTTGAAAAAGAGTTACTACTGTTTTCTTTGCTTGATGCAAACGAAAGTTAATTACCTTGAAGCAAAGAGTGCCTTCAGTGTATTCGAAATCAGCACCGGCAGATGCGGAACCATCAAGAGTCTTGTAGTCGACAAAGACGGTCTTGTCCATATCGGGACCATCGCGGCAGATGGTGAGGACGGCACCACCGCAACCTTCCATGACCTGAAAGAGTCATCAGAAATTAATTAAACAGTGACCACTAGCTGGGTGCTAATTTCGTTCATTTGTGTATTTCATCAAAAGTATTGCCACCCGAGCGAGCTGTTTGATAGAGATAAGCTGCTCTGGCGTCATGATGAAAGTCTCGAGCTGTAAATCTACTGCCAAGGGAGTTTTTGTCGAAGAATGAGTAATTTACTTACTCGGTAGTCCTTGGGCTTGAACTGGACTCGGTTCATTGTTGGGTCGGAATCTCCGTCGCCAACAACAGCAGAAATGGTGTCACCAGCCATAGATTTGGCGTCGTTGACCTTGTCCATACCCTTCTTGATGATGTCTCCACCTCCAGTCATGTTTCGAGTAGCCTGGATTCGGTAGAAAGCTCGGGACTTATGCTCACTGAAATTGAAATAAGTACAAATACCAGAGTTTGAAATGCTCGCAAATGCTCGCGAGCGAAAAGAGCGAGAGCAAAAATTTATCATTGCTCTGAGAGCAGGGGAGCGGGAGCATGAAAATGAGTTAGCTCGAGAGCCGAAAGAGCACGAGCCCAAATTTAAACCCGCTCGCGAGCGCAGAGAGCACGAGCGCAAATGTCAGAAATGCTCGGGAGCTAGACGAGCGGGAGCGGCTGCTCTCGTGCTCGCCATGGAATTGACTCACGAGCGGCTCGCGAGCAAAATTAAAAGAACAATTTTTTCGCATAATTATTCACTTTCATCAATAAATTTCTTTGAGGATCTATTTTTGTTGTTGCGGTTTTATGTAAGCTTCATTAGGTCCGTAATATCGGCAGCAGAATGCGAAAAGCCGAGAGTAAACAGATAAAACATGCCCACCGCGAGGTGCTAACTCCTGTGACAGGGACTCATATGGAATTAGTCACGGGGCCGCCGAATCATTTAAGGCCCTTGAAAGCTGCTCGCGAGTCAGTTTTTTCAGCTCGAGAGCCGATCGAGCGAGAGCACAATTCGACCAGTGCTCGAGAGCCAAGAGAGCGAGAGCGCGAAATGAAATGCGCTCGCGAGCGCAAAGAGCGCGAGCTCTGAAATAAATGTGCTCGGGAGCACGAAGAGCATCATGCTCGTGCTCGCTCGCTCTCAAGTGAGCCGCTCGCGAGTCACGAAAATTTCAAACTCTGACAAATACGAGGATATGAATATGTTAGCCGTTATATGTGTATGATATAAGCGCCTGATTTCTGCATATAAGCTAGCTAAAAATTAGCGTGTGAGTGAAAATATATTTTTGCGCGAGCATTTTTATGTTTCTTCTGTTAAAAAATCTACTTGACGTGTAATAAATACCATATTGTCCTTTTGTGATTTTACATACTATTTTCCTCTGAATATTGATCATTTGAAGTGCGAACGAAATTTTTATCAAATTTCATTTTGGCTGTTAGAACCATGTGGATGTGAATGTGGAATACGTTTGACAAAAGTGAAACTTACGCTCGGACGAGTCTGTCGTTGGCAAGCTTTTCAAGTTCTTCGGGGAAGCGTCAGGGTTGTCACGTCGGATCTCTCGGAGAATCTGGAGAAGCTTCTCTTTGTCAACGCCACCTTCACCCATGAGTTCCATCTCATCCTAGGGTTAGGGTTAGGGTTAAGAGAATAAAAAGAATAGACTTACGTTTCCTTCGTATTCCTTGATGACCTTGCCCTTGAGCTGGTAGTTCTTGTGGACATAATCGTAGACCAAAAGTCGTTTGTCAGCAACCCAAGCCCAGACGGTCAAGAGTGGGAAGAACAGGAAGGTCAAAGTAGCTTCCCATGGTTCGACAATACCCTCAGAGTTAGCAACAACAATGTAGTAAAGCCAGACGTAAGCAAGAACAGACCAGGCAGCAGTAACGAAGAAGACTCGCAAGTGTTTGATCTTTCGGGCTTCATCATCGGGAATAACGTACATGCAAATAGCAATAATCATGAAAAGGTTGAAAGCAGCAGAGCCAACAATGGTGGAAGGTCCAAGATCTCCGGCAACGAAACCAGCACCCACAGTCTCGACGACGGAGAGCAAGATTTCGGGAGCAGATGAACCAAGAGCCATAAGGGTAAGGTTGGAGACGGTTTCGTTCCAGATTTTGACCTCGATGGTTCGCTCTTCGCCGTTCTTGACGACCTTGACTTCTTTGGACTGGGAGGTGATGACTTCGATGGCAGCCATGAACTTATCAGCGACGATGGCGACACCAATGAAGAAATAGATAAGAATGAGGAAGTAGACGATACCACGGGCAAAGACTTCAGACTTGTCGAGCTTGTCAGAGTACTGAATACCTTCAGCCTTGACAGCCTCAATCTTCATCTCAGCAATCTGTTCAGCATCACAATCTCTCAATTGGTTTCCGCACTCTTCAGAGAAAAGATCCTCGGGCTGGCCAAGGTAGTAGAAACCTTCGGGGTTTGGATTGTCCTTGGTATACTGGGCGTCGTTTGCATCAAAAGCAACGGTGCTGACCCATCGAGAAACGTAACTATCGACGTTGTCGTTGGTCCAAATTGGGATGAAAAGACCGGTCTTGCATTTGCCAGGTTTGAACTTTCCACATGGACAGTTGACGTCATCAAAAGCAAAAGCGAGGTCGTAGCTGTCAGTGCCGAGTTTCTCCATGCACTTGGCAGCGTTTTCAGCAGGAGTCAATTCGGAGTCTAATAAACACCATTTTTTAAATTTTCCAATGAAAGTTACCTTGGATTTCGTCAGAATCAGGGATTCCATCTCCGTCATCATCGTTGTCCTGGGAGTTGGGGATTCCGTCTCCGTCATCGTCCTCCTGAGAGTCGGGAATTCCGTCGCCGTCATCGTCGTTGTCCTTGGAGTTGGGGATTCCGTCACCATCATCGTCCTCCTGAGAGTCGGGAATTCCATCACCGTCATCGTCGTTGTCTTGGCTGTTAGGGATTCCGTCACCGTCATCATCTTCTTCCAAATCTGGGATTCCGTCGCCATCGTCGTCGTTATCCTGGGAGTTTGGGATTCCATCTCCATCGTCGTCTTCTTCAGAGTCGGGAATACCGTCGTTGTCGTCATCATTGTCAAGAGCATCTGAGATACCGTCGCCATCCGAGTCAATTTGCCGTCGCACTAAGAAGATGTTACCTACCCACAGTAATATCACTTTAGGTCGTGCAAATGAATTAGCACTCGACGCTTTATAATGCTGTGAAATGCCTTTATTGGCATTTAAAGTTTCGCCCAACGACTATTAAGCTCTGTGGGGTCTGCTTATGAAAATTGAACTCAAGTTTAATCGATTTAACTTAGAGACACTATTAGTAGGGAACTTGATTTTTCATAAAGTGACAGACAGCTGCATCCTATTATCTTAATGTGACCGTGAATGACAACGACTGTCAAATGCTATTAAACAATATGCTCTGGTTTAAACTCACCTAATCTGTGCTCGGGAACATCGCTGCGGAGAGCTGTAACTGCAGCTAGCAGCGCAGCTAGAATGCTCAGCCACTTCATTTCCGGCTGCCGGGATCTTAACTATCAGTTAATTCTCCTCTTTGGTAGTCGGCAATCTCTGTTTCGGCGATTCTTTCGAGTGCCGGAAATTGTAAAAACTGAGCACTACTAAAACGTACCGCTAGCCCAGGAGGACAGTTAAAAAACGATTATCAGTTGACTGCTGGGGGGTTCACCACCTCAGTCAGCTGTAAATGAAGAAGGGTCGGGCCCGGCCCAGCGGGCTTAGCGCCTGTGGCTGTCGAAGCGCGTAAATGTAGCTCATTGTGGCTATCAACGATGCTACTTTAGCACAGAAGCGTGTTTTTAAACTTTATTCTTTATATGGTTTTGGTTTCATTCTGATATCTTTTCGATTACATCAAAATTTGACAGTTTTATGTCGTCTTTCTTTGCATTTTTTATGTTTCCGCTCATAAATCATGGTCAAGTTCTGGGTCGAGTGTTGTGATTGAACCTAAGGTGTTAATGAATGTTGTAAATTTCCCCTTGCGAGAAACGTTCCGCAAAAACCAATCGTATGCATTATAGTAAATAATAAATCTACATAGCCCCAAGTGTCGACGTACAAAATTAATTATGCTCATAATTCTGGCTGTTATATTTGACAATTTGCGGATAAGTCGCCTTTTGTTTTTTTTTCACGATTCAGGATTATGCTTCCCAGATTTTTATCATTCATCAAAAGAACAACTTCTAGCCACGAACGAACAGGGTTCTATGCAATTGTTGATGCAAGTACATTTCCTGAAACGAAACGAGCTAAACATGTGTTTAGCGAGATTGCATAGATCAGGATGAAAAGCTTTCAGCAGCTCAATATGGTGCCAAACCTATTATTCAGGCTAGTTTTTCTTTCATATGCTTTTTTTTCAATAAATTCAGGCTAATTTTACCAAAGAAAATCATTTTGATGTCGCACTCAATCCTGGAATTTATTATTAATCTTAAGCTTTTTAAGACAAATTTAGGGCGGAAGCAATTGTTACCACCTTGTTGGTGACAATAAAAAAATAAGAGTTTCCAAGGGCACGCACATTTCATCCCTCTCGCGATATATTCGAAGGAATTTTCAAATTTATAGCGCTAAGTATAGTGTTTAAATAATACTGTAGTGAAAATCAACCACAGGTGGGCTTTACAAAAGGGGTTAGCTTTGTTCAATTTTAGCCAAAAATACGAAGACGCGAATCGAAACTTTTATAAAATTTATAAAAAAAACTCACCTTTAGATTAGATGCATCCGGCGTGTTTTCATTCTTCTCGCTTTTGATTTGCCAATTTCAGTCTAAAAGGGAACTAGTTATTAGTTTTGAGCTTGTTTTACGATTGTGCCATTTTCCACAGATTCAGAACTTTGGCAGGTTGTGAATCATGCGATTTATCAAAAGGCGCTACTCTTTTCCCATCATCAATTATTTTATCCAAAGTAGTTTTTGACCTGGGCCAATCAATTTTATTAACATCCTGGGTTGTTGGTATTAATCTGAATTTAAAATTCAGAATTTTATAAGCGACGTCATTAAATTTGAGTGTTATTCTCAGAACGATGCGGATGATGATGCTAAAATCCTTCCTTACTGAATAATAGAAATGACAGATCTTTGAGCTCCAGTAAGATCTTATAGTATCACGGCTTCAAATTCGGTATCAACTGCCTTTTAATGGCGATTTTTACAATTTTTGCCGTCTCTTTTTCGTCAATCGCCCCCTTTTTGTATTTAACAATAAACCGAAATGATTGTATTTCCTCTGATGAATTATAAAATAAGTCCTTCTCTTGTTTATAAATACAGCGTGCTCGTTAAGGCGTGAGTTTTACTGTAATCAATACTTGTCGCAGCTTTGTGCGATGCGCTCCGTTCCAAAGAGAAGGCCCGTTGTAATCATTTTTAGGACGAGAGTCTAATTCGGGCTTTGCGCGTAAATGCAATCGTTGGATAATTCTACGTCTAGTCTAAATTGCTCGACTAAGGGGGCAATAAGCGGGCAAAATAGCAAGTGTCATTGCTAATGTTCAAAAAGCCGAAAGGTCAAAAAGGTCACTGTCCGGTCTGATGAATCGATAGGACCATGATAGTAGTTCAGTCAAAGGTGGAAAGCGACTTTAGGACTATTTGAGGGTATTGTAAACGGATTTGGCAGGAGATTAAACTGACGTAAGCGACTAGCCGCAAATTACATATTTAGGAAGATAACTCCATATGGAACTCCATGAAAAGAATATCTGATAACTTTGACTCTAAATTTTTGGCAAATAATTGATTGCTATTAATAATTAAGAATCGAGAATTTTTCTTTTGAGAAATTTAAAATAAAATAATTTCAAAAAAAAAGAGACGAAATTTTTGGTTTTTCAAAGGCCAAATTCACAAGCAAAAAAGAAGCGTAAGAATAAAAGATTAACGTGGATACTTCTTTCTCTCTTTTAAAACGTGTGGGAAAGTGTCTCTAAATGTGGAAAGTCTGAGTATAACTAGCTCGTTGAGCTCCGTCTGTGCGTAAAATAAAGCGCTTCGACGTAAACGACGTTGCGCTGGTCACAATTGCCACTAAAAGCGGCTAATTCCACAGCATTCACAGCCACTTTAAATGCCGTGGGACCTCGCCTTGAACTACAAAAAAAAATAATGATGATTATAGTGGATCGGTTAATCTATCGCTATTAAACTGTTCAAATTAATTTTAAATGAAGTTCTTCCGAATTAATTTTTGATTTCGCCACTGAAGTGACGATGTTAATTGATTTCTTCCGAAAAACTTTTTTGGTCTTAAATTTAGATTGAAAGTTTCGTCAATGAAATAAAATATTTACAAGGCCACAGTTGTCGAATAAATAAATCTTTTCATGTTTTCTCTTCTATTTATTCGGGTCATAAAATAACAAATCCGAAAAAGTGTATAATTTTATTCCTCTGACACGACCCTGATTGATCTCTAAAATTGCGATTCTTTTCCCAACTTTAGAATAAAGACAAAGGTGATTTAAAAATTAATTAACGCGGAAAAACAGTGGAATAAGTGATTCCTTCAAAGTTCATCCTGACCCAGTTCAATCAAAGATAAATGCAATATATTCAATCCAGGAGAATAGAAAGCTGTGTTGTCTGAGATAACTTATTTGCGGAGCCACCTTTACTTGGGTGAAACTCAGACTGCTGTTCAAAAGCAAAACCGAACAATCAATAGTGTCAAGTTAAGAAAGCCTTTGTGCGGATTTATGCATACAAACGCGCAAAGAAAGCTCATTAAAAAGCGAAACCCGCATTTTAATGAAAAGTTAATTGTCTATTAAAATATTTTAATAGATTATATTATTTTAATAGATATATTTATAAGCCACGCTCGAAAGTGATGACCGCTGCTTTCATTCTATTCTTATTTTTCTATCTAAAACCGCCGCGGGTTTAAAAATATATTCTGAGGGGATTGAAAATACTAATCTCCTCGCAAAATAAATATGAATGTTTAAAACGTCTTTTGGGAAAGTGAATTATCAGAAATTGGAAAATCCAAATCTGATTTTTTTTTCTTTTCTGAAGATATTTTCTTGAAAGTTCTTCTTTTCTGTATTTTCGGTATCTGTGTCTCTGATAATTTTTTGCGTGATTCATCCAAGAAAGGGTCTTTGAGCACACGTGGTCGGACATGTTCTCGGAGATTTGTTCCAGATCGTGGCGCCCTCACGCCCTCAATAATTAATAAAGAAATATCTGAACTGGCAATCCTAGCCACACACAACAGACACAACAGGAAAATAAATTTTATCGTATAAAAACATAGACTTTTATGAAGAAAAAATCAATGTCGGCTCCATACTATATATACGCACTGTAATAATGGAGTTATTGGCCTCCTAACGGGAGCAATATTGAACAAATCTTCATATAATCAAGTTTTAAAAAGGAAACATAATTTTCAAACAATGATAATTATTAACCCTGCCCCGCCAAATGCACCTCAGGAGGTGCATTTTTCGATTTTTCGAATTTTCAATCATTCATTATATCTTCTACACGATATTATTTTCTTCAAATGACCCCTTATTCAAAAGAACTCATCGGTATCCATAACATACTCTGAGAGTTAAAGTTCAACCTTAGTTGAAGACCACGAAAAACGGTTCCAAAAATTGCATTTGGCGGGGCAGGGTTAACTGATAAATGAAGATTCTTCCAATATTGCCCCCGATGGGTAGACAATAATGGCATTATTACAGTGCGTATAACAATCTTAGTCATTTTCAAAACATATTCTCTATTTAAAAAAAAAGTTGACAAACATGAATAACGAGCAGGAAATGCGTAGCCAGGCGATTTCGTCGAGGGGGAAATTCAACACTGGCGTTTTCATAAAAAGCTTCTGTCCAAAAAAGCAAAATCTGCATTATCTCTGGGCGGAAGACATCGACGAGCTAATCTGACTCTCCCTCGCCATAATTAAAAAAAAACCTGATTATGTCTCATCAACTGGTCTGGAGTTGTTTATAAGTCTCTTTGAAACTGATTCTTTTTCTGAACTTGCAAAGCTTTTTTTGATTTGTACCTGACCTAGATATTAATGAAATTGATCGTTTTAACACCCCTGCAGCATCTGTTATATAATAAGCACTTTGCTTGTAAATCGCAGGATACATCAATTTTTATAACACTGGGCCAATTAATAAGGAATTCGATCACCATATGGTGCCCCGCCGCAATGTCTGTAATTAATTTCGCTTGTAAGTAATTCAATAAACTTTATTGCGGATTGCCCTTGCAGAGAGGCAGTGCAATGTACAGTCTGATAATTCTGCAACGCCTGTATTTGATCGATGCCCGGCGGCTTTTTGTGGCTAAGCTCAGCACCGAAGCCAGATCAAACCTTCTGCGCCCAACTACATCGCCACCTGCAGTTAGCAAAGACCAGAAAATCTCAAAGCAGGATGCAATATATGCACAGAGCACGGATCGAAAGTCTGCTAAGGAGATCAGGAAGAGCTGCTCCTCGTTGATTTCAAATCTACTCTGCCCGTTTGGACGTTAGTGAACTTTATTTTAAACTTTCTTTAATTAATAAATACTACAGCTTGAAACATAAAGAGGTGGCAGCATAAATTAGAAATCAGCGGTTTCGTTGTCGTCCTCGAACGCTTCTTTTTCTTTTTCAAGCTTGACATCGTCCATTTCTACGGCTTCGTCTTTGTCGAAGGCTTCGTTGTTCTTTCCATCTTGCTCATTCTCATCCTCGTCGAAAGTTCCCTCGGGCACGTATTCGTAGTAAAAGACCGACAATCCGACGAAGACAAGCGCGGCGCCTACCATAATCGCCGCCAGAATAAAATATTCTCCAGACTTAAAATATTAATAAATAATGAACTCACTTATAGTGGCAGAATAAGCCCAGTAATGCTGTACCTGAGTTGGGTGCATAGAAATTTCGACAAAGAATACATCGAGAATATTTCCAAAGCAAGTTGTAAGCAACCAAAATGATTGAAGGACTGATTTCATTGACTTGGGCGACTGGGTGTAAGCGAACTCGAGACCGGTCACAGAGTTCATGACCTTGAAATTGTCGTCAACAGATGAATAAGATTATTCGAACGAACCTCGGCGACAGTGATGACGATGTATTGAGGGATGAGCCAGAAGATGTTCATGGTGTTTTGCTTGGAATCGCGACTGATTCTGATTTGGCAACCATTCTTATCGTTTTTGTCCGTGACGACAGAAAATGTCCAGATACTTCCAGGTCCAAATAGGAAGTCATCCTTATTATACTGATCTTCACCGTTGGGATTGGCTGAAAATATAGTTTGAGAAACGGAAAGATAAGATTGACTTACAAGATGTGATCCATTTTGTTTCACATTCTCTGGTCGCGTCAGGAAGGATCCAGTTGCCGTCTGCATCTTTCTCTGGTTCTTTGTCCCACATGCTGGCTTTAATTTTCACAACGCCTAGAATTAAATTTGTTATTGTACCTTATTATAAGCTTATAAATGACCTCGTTCAAATTCGGTGCTGTCTGAAGTGGATGCTTTTCGTGGAGAAATGACAACTGTCTTGTTGGTAAGAATCGACTCATTGTCTCCATTGAATACTTCGAAAAGAGTATAGAACTCGGTTGGGTTGACAAGCGCTGTTCTAACTCGGTTTGATCCAGATTTTTCCACTGGTGAATCGTACTAAACATTGATATGACTTTTTTGATTCGTATAACAATTTGTTATTACCTGTTCGCATTCGAGATTTCCTTTCTCTTCGTAGCAGAAGACACCCTTCGTGCCGTGTTCATGAATATCAATTGGAACCGTGGTACCTTGAAGGCCTGGAGAGCTTATTTTTAACTCTCGCTCTTGATCATTCTCAGGATAATCTGGCTGAATCCAATCATTGCTTGGTGTTCGGAAGTAAGTATTGCTGGCGTTGTAGTCCTGTTGATCGGTGATTTGGGTAAAGACTTTTTGATTGATGGATTTCAGATTCATTTTTTTAACTTGTGTTTGTGCACTTTCGTCATCAACTTTGATCTTGAAAAAGCGTCAATTTAGAAATAAATTGATTCTTGTCTTACATTAGCTCCGACCCAGTAATTCGACTCGACGGTGAGTTCCTTGTCTGGCAGTCCGTTGATCACAAACATCGCGGTTTGATCACCGTATGATGGAATGGGAGTTAGTTCGGAGTCAATCTATCATTTTTTACAACTCTTGCTGAATAAGCTGGAACTTACGCTGAGTTGAACGAAGCCAGCCACAACAAATGCAAGAGCAGTAATGAGCTGACCGCCAGACATTTTTCTGAGGGCAGTCATTTTGAATCCAATTTTGTCGAAGCATGGGTAGATCAGGCTCTAAAATAAAGCATTGCGTAAAGTTAAATAAAGCTACTAATTATCAAACTCTTGGACTCTGGCACTCAAGTCATGTTTGCTAACGTTAAGATTTGTTTAAATATTTGTTGGCAATCGGACTTTCTGGGCCATAAAAATCTTGTCTCGAAGCCACTGTTGTTGACATACCTGGAAGAGTGGAAGGAACAGGAGAATGAGAACTGGATTCATGATCTGCATTTGATCGGGTTTGATCGTAACTCCGCCGAAAACACCATTCATTTGGGTCGCAGTCAAGACGAATCGGGAGCCTTGCATGTCAAACAGAGCCCAGAAGAATGGCATTGGAAGGTACATCACAATGATTGGGTAGACATATTTGAACTCTGTCAATCGCTTCAGCGAGAATTTTTCTGTATCAGCGTAGTCCAAGAAATGTTCTTTGTCCTTAGTATCTGCTTTGCATCGGCCTCGGAGACCGGACCAGGTGGCACCGCAAAACTCAGTGAAGATGTTTCCAGAGACTGGCTTTTCCTTGTACTTTGACTTTCCAAAGAGGAAGGCTCCGATGGCGACCAACATCAAGATGGCGGGAATGAGGAAAGCAATAGCATAGCAATCGGGTCGTCCTAGACACTCAACTTCTCGGAGAATTGGAGAGATAAAAGTTGAAAGGAGGGAACCAGCATTGATGGAGCCGTAGAAAAGCGCGAAGAAATTTGAAAGTTGCTTTTTGCCGGTTTCGTTTTCAGCGAACTGATCACCTCCAAGAGCACTGACGCAGGGTTTGATACCACCAGTTCCAACAGCAATGACGAAAAGAGCAATAAGAGCCAAGACAGAATTGATTGTTCCAGGAACATCTTGGCCGCCGTTGATTTGAGGAACAGCGGAAACTGTCATAAGCACCATACCGAGGAAATAAACAAAAGAGATGTATACGATCGTGTTGACTTTTCCCCAGTAGGAATCGGCAATAATACCACCGATAAGAGGGAAGAAGTAGCATAGAGCGGCGAAAACGTGGTAGATGACTGTAGCGGTGTCCTTGTCGAAACCGAGGAAATATGTCTAAAGGACAGTAAATATGCGTTGGTTGCAGGCTAAGCAGGAGAATTTCTCAGTTGGCGAATGCTTATCAAAGAACATTACGTGAATGCAGCCGTGGGAGAGGCCGCCCACAGTTCAATAACCCGATAGAGGATTTATAAGCAAGTCACTTTTCCCTTCCACACTAAGAGTCTTCCATATAAACAAATTTCACGGAGAAAAATTAACAAAATCAAAGCCTTAGAGATGCTGCTCAAAACTTTTCTCCTTTTCGCCGCTTTTCAACCCGCCCGGGGTTGTTTGAATCCCTGTATCAATGCGGACGAAATGCATGATTTCTTTGAAAGAGATCGTCAATCTCTCAAAGAGATAAATAAGATGCTCGAAGAAGGTAAAAATATATAATGGGATTGTTTTTTTCTAAGAGTAAAATTCAGAAATCGAGGACAAGGACATTTTGATCAAAACGATGAAAGCCGAAAAAGATGCGGTGCTCAACGAGGTCAAAAAGTTAGCAAACACGCCAAACAAGTTGACGGAATTGAGAGCTCTTGTGGAAAAAAGCTTAGGCAGGGGTTTGAAATCAGTAGTCTATTTCGAAAAGGACTCATCGCAGTAGAGCCTCTGTCATGTAAAAAAGTATCATATATTTAAAATTTATCATTCCCCAAATAGAAGAAAAGGACGCGACTAACAAAGAAAATCCGTTCACCCTCCAGGACGTGAAAAAACTCCTTAGCGTGTGGAAATCTCACAACACGACCGTCATGGTTCAAGAGTGCATTGATCTTGCCGACAAACTTCAAGATCCTGTGAAGCCTCAAGCTTAAATTGGAGTTCACATATCTGTTCAAATAAATTTTTATAAAAAACTGAACATCAAGGTCGTGTTCAAAATCAATTAAAGTCAAATGAGGCAGTTCGGATGGGTGAAGCAAATAAATCTTTCAAAAAATTGCAACTCACAAAATGCACGACAATGTGTGCTTCTCAATATTTAACTCTGCGGTAGAAGTATTGCTCAGAATTCTCACCGACAGCGGTTTTTAAAATGTATCATCTAAGGTGCCACGCATGACCGGGCTTGGCTCGTGTCTACGTTGGCTCTATAAAATATTTGCAACACGCAAGGTCATTTAGTAGCCTGTCTTATCATGGTGTAAACTTTTTTGTGGTTCGTCTTAAAAATTAAAAAAGGGGCGTTGTAAATTCACTCTTGTTCTCTTCCTTGCTATCAAAACTTACCAAAAAGATGACGAGAATTGAACGCATTCCATAGTAGGCATATCTCTCGCAAAACTCATTTCCGAGGATGAAGAAAACATAGTAGGGATATGGAGTCTTCTCCTCGACGGCCTCTTCATTTCCGTTAGCGGTGACTTCTGCCACCTCTTCATCTTTTTTGCTTCCCATTTTTTGGGACGAGTTCCTACTGCGAGTGCGTCAGTACGAGACTGCCAAGCAGAGGAAGGAATCAAGAGTGGAATGCTCAGTGTTTACAAGTACTCGTTATTTGGCAAATCCAAATAACTGCACCACGCCAATACCAATCTGTTTCAATTGACCTTGGATTAAGAATTGGTCAACTTTGCTGGATTCTTATGCTTTTTAATTCTTATCTTTATTTGAAACTAGAGTTCATCAGTTTCTATCCGACAAATAACAGATCCATTCTCCAAGACTTTTGACGATTTGGACTCCTCACCTTCCAGAACCCAGAAGATTAGGAGACTTGAAATTTATGCAGCGTTTTGTAGATGATAGCTTATCAGTAATTAATAGGGAGCATCGATGATATCATCCTTATGTGACATAAGTTATGTCGACGAAAATGAGTGTTATTTCGGGAGATCTATCGACAAAAACGCCTATATTGATCATGATCTTGCTGCATAATCTATGCAGTAATCTTCGAGTATGCAAATACAGGCTGCAGTGGACAGTAAATTGTTGAAGTCTTTTATTATTTTTGTGCTAGAAATAGCACTCGATTTCAAAAAATCATAAGCACCAGTGGAAAAGGCCTGTCAGTCACTGTGCCACTTCTGTTTGATTACTGCTTACTTCAGCAAGCAAAGCGGATTCCAAAAATTTCATATTTTGGCAGAAGATAAAGGATTTTACGACAGTGGGCAAATGACCACGTTCCATAAACTTTTGCGCGGTGCCACTACTAGTCACTGATTTTGGGTAAAGAAGACAATTTCGAGCAAACTTTCAAATTACTTTGACGTCAAGGCAAAGAATGCGCTTGACTATTTCACAAAGCGCCATCTTGTGAATGCCATCCGGAAAAGAAGGCCTTTTCGAAGAGTGCGCAGCGACAAAACGACGTCGAGCGCGTCAACTCTTTCCGCGCACTCATCCCAATTTGAGTCCGATTTCGATTGTCTAACAGGTAATTTTTCCCTCGAAGCCATTCTTCTCCTCTCCCTCCGCCTCTAACAAATAGAAAACCTCTACTGAACTTCAGAATCTGAAGTGAGAGAATGATCACTGACTTCAATAAGTAACGTCTGACTACATCAACAAATCCTACCGTCTCGGAGAAAATCTCAGTCATAAAAATGATTCTTTACAAAACTCTTCATCTGTGAAAAAGACTCTGAAAATAAAAAGTGCATTGTTATTCCTAGAAATGCCGTCATTTTTCTATTCTGAGTTGAGTGTTTGCCTCTGATTAGAGCACCAGCTGAATGCGATTGTTTCTTGCGCCTGACTGTCAGTTAGAATGAACTATTGGGTCAATATATTTAGAGTTTGTCATAGGAGAGCATGAAAAAAAAATAGTATTCTATTTATCTTTTATCAGCCTTATGGTTTTCAGATTTCGTCGCTCTGAGCTGACAGTTATCATCCCGTTTATCTAATTTGCATCCACACTTGTTCGGAGAGAATCAATATTTTGGTAAGAAGAAAAGGAAGAAAACGCTGCAAAACTGGTGTCGACCTTGTTAGCCAGCTCAATCAAAAAACTAACGAAGTAATGTCCCCATCGATTTTAGTTGTATTCCTAGGAGAAATAATCTTTCAAAAATAAAACGCAAGAGATTAGCGTCGCTTTCCTACCGAGCAGAGGGATCCCTATTCAGAGGGGATTCAATGTCAACCCAATTCAAAAACAGCTCTTTGTGAAAACAGCGTTAAAACTGCAATAAGAACGAATATTATCAGCAGAAAAAGAAAGAGGAACTTGATTTTAGAGATTGAATAACGAAGAAGCTTTATTTTGTAAGTTTTTTTTTGACATAAATAACAAAATAGAGAGAAATCTCGTCAGTAACTGTCGACATTGAAAAGTCGCCCATGAAAGTGAAATTGGGCAAATTGGACACTGGTGCATTATCACCTAACAGTAGCCGAGTGAAATTTTAATTTTTTTTGTGAAGTCGGCGCCCTAACAAGGTGCGCCCTTTATAGTAGCTAAGCCACGAAATTGTCGCTGCGTCCAATGGACCAAAATAGTCAGATGTAAAGAAAGATTGGCGAGTTAATTAAATTTTCAGCTTTTTTAATTGATCCTCGATCAATCGTAAATATACATAGAGACTTATCTCGCGAGAAAAAATCAATATCGTCGAGAACTCAGGTTCAGAAAAATTCGAAAACCCGTTATTGAATCTTTGATCCAAAAAGAGATAATCCACCAGAACTTCTACAGTAATAGCGCCAGACTTTTTGATAAGCAAAAATGAGCCCTTTGGGATATGCCGATATTGGCCTTGGAGATACTTTGAGGAAATCGATGCAGGCTGCCACACAAAGAGCGCTATATTAGATAAATAATTCAAATCCAGATTATACGTGTCTGCAGACCTATACAAGCCTCTGCAGAAAAAAAAATAAAGAAAAAAATAAGTTTTCATTTCAGAAAAGAAAAACAGAGAATATGGCTCCAGACGGAAATAGAAGAGCGAGACATTTTATGATCCAGCGAGCGAGTAGCGATGAGAAAGTCATCCCTTCTGCTCCTTTCATTCCACCGCCTTACACGGATCACCTGAGGTTTTCAGAGAAAAATATTCACCCAAGAAGGGATTTATATCAATCAAATATAAAATAATGATCAAAGCCGTTTTCTTTTTCCACTGTTTTGTCAAAAAAAAGGGGCCGGAAGAGTGTTTCAGAAATATAACAACCCATCCTTTTTGGCTTATTTTGCGACGCAGGAAATGGAGAAACGATTTGTTTCGAAACTATCTTCGATCTATTAGGACTAAATCTAATAAGTGTATTCTATTTTAGAGCAAACTACGAGCGTCGATCTTCAATCGTCAATCAAGAAATTATCTCCGACGGCACTGTTCCTCCTGCATATCGACCTCGAGAGCGTCCCAGTGGACGGTAAGTCAATCAAATACATACACAGTATCCTGGCGATAAGATGAGATAAGCCCACTTTAGCCGTCGGAGTTTGTCAGCCGAGGATCCCGCTAGCTTTTGGCAGCGAGTGTACAAGACTGAATCCATTGACTCTGAAGAAGCGAAGAAGCTCTTTGTCAAGTTTGCGAAGAAAAAGCTATTCTACGGAACAAAGCCGGCTAAGACGGGAATAACGGACCAAATTCAGCCTTCTGTGGCGCTCACTGTTGAGCTGTTTACTCTCGTAGAACGGTAAGCAAGTGAACTTGGTGAAAAATTTTACCGAGAAAAAGTTTAATTTTGATCCGTTTTCAAAACATTCATTAGTCGCCAAAAACGAGTCGTCCATGAAGCCATCGAATCCGATCTCGAAGCCAAGCAAATTGAAGACAACGACGAATTACCCCCAGCTTCCATGTGGGATGTCCATGTTGATGTTCCGAAATTCTACCCGGACTTTGAAATAACGCGACGGATTGTGAACCCTGGCACTGAGAAAATAGTTGGATGTGATGAATGCGAGGTTTTTAGGTTTTAGAAACTTTCGATTTTTTAATCTTGAAGGGTATTACGAGACTACAGTGTATTCATTGCTCCGGAGCTGGCCACAAGGAGTGTTTTGAAAACTTCGAGAAATTTCGATAGATAGTCAATTTGATTAACAATAAAAGGACTGCTGGAATTGCAACGCCGAGGGAATCGTCTCCGGAACTCGCCAAGAAGCTCGACACATAATGGGCAACAATGGAATGGGAAGCATTCAAGTCCAAGCGAATATTTGCTGCATGATCTGCGGCGGCCGCGGCACCGAAACGTTTGAAGCAATTAACACGACTGTAATTAACGTTATTTCTTTTCATTAAAGATGCACAATGTGCGGCGGCGACGGTCATGTGCGCTGCGACAAGTGTGATCAACGAGGCAAAGTCAAGCAATTTGAAGAAATTGTTATCGATTGGTAAAACTCAGTTTTGGCTTATTGAACTTGCATAATTGTTGAAAAAAGGTTGACGATAAAGGACTACGAAATGATAGGAGACGCGCCCGTTCCCGTAAAGTGGGTTTATTCCCGAAAAAGTAAAAAGGTTCTTGATCTTGATTTCAACTCTTCGAATGAGCTTTGCAACCCGAGCAACTTTCCCGACGATGTTAATTTCGTGATGAAGGGTTTATCGAAGAAAATTAAGAGTAAAGCGAAAGCAGATAAGCTCAAAATACATCGCCAGGTAGAATTTTCTTTGTCTGCTTTTTCTCATCTATTTTTTAGAAATTCGAAGTGCGGAAGACCCCTCTTCATACAGTACATTACATGTACAAGAAGAAGCCGAATAGCTACGTCATATCCGGGTATGACAAGAAAGTCTTTACATCGTACTATCCAGGCGACCGGCTCAAATGCTCAATAATGTAGCATGTCTATCAATCACTGTCCCATTAATTATTATTATTTTACCTCAATATAGCAAGAATTTCTTGCTTCAATCCAAGACAATTTGCTTCAATAAATTATACACAGATACTCAAAAACCAGCTTCTTACAGCTTATTTTTTCGAGCTAAAAGAATGAAGTCAACAGGTTGGTTCGTATTTAAAAATGGAACAGAAGATGCATACGAAACAAAAATATTGATATTGCACAAATTGAAATTTTAAATAAAAGAGGTTCATAATAAAAGTATGAATGCCTAAAAATGAGATCACACGCTTTTGGTGGTTGCTCGTAAATTCTAATGATAATGTCACTGATAGCAGGTCTTCGAAATGGAAGATTCGGTTGAGTTTTAGTCTGACTTCTGGACAGCTTTAGGCACAGCCCAAACAGCTGGGTCGAGACTCTCGAGCTTCTCCAGCTTTGGTTTTGCTATGCTGAACCAGAAGACGCCGAAAATCGCCAATAAGGAGCTTTCGATGTAGTAGCCATCGCCAAGACCGATGGAGGAAAGTGGTTCAACTAGAAAATGCGTTAATTAAAATTATTCATTACCAAAAAATAAAACATACCTGCTCGAAGAGCAAAGTAAACGGGCCAGTTTCCGCCCATATTTGAAACAGTATTCAACAGAGTCATGTAAGTACCGCCAATAGAAGGGTCCGAAACTCGAGCGTGAAAAGACATGATCGAAACGAACATACAGTGCATCGTGAGCTGATGAAGAATAGAAATTCCCATTAGCGCGGCTAGGTAGCCAAGGCCGGGCTCTTGTCCCTGAAAGATTAATTAAATAAAAATTATTTGAATCGAGAACATCATGAAATCCGTACCTTGAGAATGGCAGGTGTGTAGAAAACAAACGCAGTCATTCCAAGTCCGATCAGAACTCGCGGCAAATACGAATTGATCCACAATTTGAGAGGCTTGGATCCATTCGTCAGTGGAGTCAAAAAGATCGGTAAAATGATCTGCACTGGCGTCATTGGGACCGCCAACATTGCCAGCTTTTCTTTCGGAACGCCTGCATCGAGAATTTTCAACGTTGTTACACCATCAACAGCCGCGAAGGCGATTTTACAAGTGAGGATGATCATCACCCATTGTTTGACGATGTCCAACTTGAGCACAGTTTTCAAAAGCTGAATAAAGTTAAATTTCGCCAGAGAAAAGGTTTACCAACCTTGTAAGTTTCCATGACACCGTCAATTTTCTCGTCTTCTGGCTTTTCTTCTTTGAAGATCAAGAAAGTTGTAGTGATCACAAAAACGATCGCCTAAATAATTTAAATGATAAGGCAGTTCCTGTAACAACTTGGACTGTACCCAGAAATACAGATATTGCGGGAGAGTGCACAGTCCAGTATCAAGCGGTTCGCTTCGGAAATAAGCATTCGCAAAGTCAGGAGATTCCAGCGCTAGAAAGTAATTTTAACCCACTTTTTTAAAACGAAAATTTACCGAGAAAGATGACGTATCCAGCAAAATACCCAGCGGTTTGACCGACGCTATTGCAAGTCGAAGCCAAATTTCTGTTTTCTTTCGAGAGCATCGTTAGGGCCCAGCCATCGACGGCGATGTCTTGCGTCGCGGCGAAGAAATTGAGGAAAAAGAAAGCGGCAGTGAGGTTGAAAACGTTTCCGTTTTCCAGGAGATCATCGACGCTAAAAACGCATATTTCGAAAGAAAGACTTGAGATAAGGACTTACACGAAAGAGAGCCAGTACATAATGATCGCTAAAGAAAACTGAACCGGAATTAACCAAGATTTTCTTCGCCCAAACGAAGCAAAAAACGCTCCATCGACCAGTGGTGCCCAGATTAGCTTCAACGAAAATGGCCAGAAAACGAAACTGAAGAAGAATTGTTCGAGGAGCTTTTTCCTTGAAAGAAATTCACCTAAAGAGGGCCTGATCGTTGTACGAAACGCCTCGAGCTTGCAAAAGCATGGGAATACTGCCAGCAAGTCCAAGTGGAACACCTTGAAGAACGTAAAGAAGAAGAAGGAGCAAAATTGAGCCTCCATCTTGACGGAAGATTTCGCCGTAGCTGAAGGATTTCTTCTTCTCGTTTTGTTCCGTTTCGAGATCCATTCTCATAGTCTTTTATAAAGTGAAAAAGAAGATGATAGAATATATAAAAATAAAGCAATTCTAACTTTCTAATAGTTCAGAAGCTTATTTCACTGTTCCTGTCTAGCCTTGACAATAGGCGATCCCGTCTTCCCATTGCTCATCTAGTCGAAATCTTCTTTTCACTCTTTCTTCCTTCTTCAACCCTTTATTTTCTCTAAAATTCTCCAAAAAGAAATAAAGATTATCCGCTGCGCGCCAATGGCGAATTTGGATTTCCAACGAGCGACCAATCAGCGCCAGACAGCAGAAAGTACAGTTTTTTGACGTAGCCAGAGAACGGGAAAAGAACAATGAATAGAGTAAATTTGGCGAGTAGAAGAATTATCAGATGGAGCTCAATGAGCTCCGTCAATCAGTTCGTAAGGTGATCATCCGTAAAGAATAATCATAATCAGTAAAGCTTCTAGTTGAGTTCATTTCGTCGGGATAGTCGTTTGGTCGTATAGAAAAAATGATTTTTGAAACCTACAGCTACTCCCGACAATGATATCGAAACAGTAAGAGTTCTCCTTCAATCGTCCCTTACCATTTCATTATTTTGGAAACCATCGAAGAAATGTTTCATTTTATGATTTGCTCTTTCCAGAAACCGAACGGCGAATCCATCAACAATCGAATCTTTGACCTACCAAAACATGACTCCTCTGTCCGTCTCTTCCGATGAAATCACGCTTGAATATAAACTCAACAAAGACCTGGATCTGAATCCAATGGGAAACGTTCACGGCGGTAGAATGAGCTACATTCTCGACTCCGTCATGACCGCCCTCGCCTCCGATTTCGATAAAGAAGATGTCAACTCGTTAAACTTTTCCGTGTCCTATCTGAATGGAATTTCTTCCGATACAGATAGTTTTTTGGTTCATGCGAAGGTCGTCAAGGGCGGCCGAGCGATGGCGTTTATGTCGGCGGAACTGAGGTGATTGCCACTTTATTTTATTTTAAAATAAATTACATAACTCGTTTTTAGATCTGAAGATGGTAAAATCTACACGCAATCTGAGGAGAGTTTTGCAAAGAGCTCCTAATCCTTCTGTACTTACTGTATTTATTCACTTTTGTATCAATAGATTTGCCAAGTTTTGCCTGAAGCTAAAACTTCCTAGAAATTTTAAGCAGGAACTAACCGGTTCTTTCCAGTTTTTCAGAAGAAACCTTTGATCTCGATCGACAATTGGCTACAATCTGTGTGGTGTTTTTCGTCTTGTCTTCCTCGAAAAGATGCTCTTAGAATCGATATTATAAAAAACGGCTTTTTGAAATTCAAAATTTTAATCATGGCCTCAAATTTGAGAGTTTTCGCCAGAAGACTGGGCAGCGGAACGGTGGTATAGTATTCGGGTGTTTTGGGTGGCTAATTTAACCGTTCAGAATAAACCTATTTATTTGCAGGAAAAGTACAGCAACTTCGTTCCGAGACCTCTTTCCGCTGATGACCTCCTTCTTTTTGGTAAGCAGAACGAAACTTCAAAAGCTCAAGCCATTTTAGCCGACAAAAATAGCGTCGAGAAATCGTTTGAATTCTTGAAGCAAGAATTGCCGACGCGATGGATGCAAACATTCGCAGAAATAAACGCTCTTCCTATTGAAAAACCGTCTCCATTGATGCTCGAAGTAAAGAACATGATTCAAGAAACGCTGGAGAATCTTCTCCCATTCGCAGATCAACCAGCAACCGAAAACGTCATTTCCAAGGTATAAAAAATCCTCGTTCTTTTCCCAGCTTTTCTTTCAGTTCAACAGTAAACTAGAAGATTACATCCATCGACACAGAACTGCAGTAGACGAAGTTGCGTTGGCCATTCTTGAGTTTAAAGACGAACAACTAGAAATGGCCGAGAAAGGGTTGACGACTTTTGACCTCGACGATGCCGAGGAAAAAGTGAGAAATAAATCGAGTCTTATCCGTAGTTACTCATTTTGTTTAGGTGCATTACTTTTTAGACCGTTATTTTACAACGCTTGTTTCTACTAATTTAATCATTCACCAGCATCGTAAGTCGTTTTGCAACAATTTGCTAATAAGAGTTGGAATGAACCAGTCTTATTTGCGAAAAACTCAGTTAAATCGCTTACTGCATGCTTCCAGTTACAGTTATCTAACCATTTACGCGTGTAGTCGTCGTGTGCTTTCACCGAAATCCAGGTCGAATGATTTTACTTTGGGCTAGATGAGTAACTGTCATTTTCAGTTCTTATCCTTGGCATGAATAGTGATCGACAGAAACGGGAGACAGTTCAGCGTACCAATGTTACAAAAGAAATTCGAAAAATCGGTAAAAATACGCTAAAGATTTGTTAAAAAAGAGTTCAGCTTTGAAAATTGAAACAGAATGCAAAAAGTACTACGGGAAGAGCCCATCAGTAAAAATAACCGAATTCGACATGGGAAAAGCGACCAACGACTCTCAAATCAACACAATCTTCATCCCCTCTCATCTCGAGCAAATCTGCGCCGAATTGATACGAAACGCAGTGAGAGCAACAGTCGAAAACAACCCCGATCTTCCGCCAGTGGAAATAATCATTTCTAGGGCGAACGATAATGTGACCATCAAAATCTCTGGTATGATACCAACCCTCATTAGAATCAATAATTCAAATGAAATTTTAGACAAAGGAAAAGGTGCGTCACTCCGGGAGCAAGCAAAATGGGGAGCATATCTTTATACCAAGCCGCCTGAACAGTCCACTTCTAAAATGCCCCTCGTAGAGCCCCTCGCTGGCTATGGCTACGGAATTCCTCTCGCTGCAGTTTACGCTAGGTAAAGTTACTTCTAGTCCTTCGATTACTGACCCGTTTGATAGATATCTCGGCGGAGACGTAGTGATTCAAAGCCTTCAAAACTACGGCACCGACGTCGTTATTTACCTCCCATCCAATGCCAAAGACCTGATAGAAGTCCTCCCAGTGTTCACAGCTAAAACCAAAGAGTACTACAATTCCCAGAGCCGAAAAAAGACCTGGATCACTGGAAAGTCGAGCGAAAAAGGCGATATCGTCTTTGACAGTTAATTCTATCACTAAGTACGTGTCCTTGTATTCCTATTTATTCCTGTTTGCCCGTGTTTGATTTGGTATTCTCACAGTTCATAAAAATTAATGAAATTATGATTTCGAATTATCGAGTGAGTTTTTATTCGAGGTAAAGAGTGTGCAGAACAGTGACGATGGTAAATCCGCTACATTTGACAGAAATGCTCCCGAAATCGTCGAGAGCGTCATTCCAGAGCCATCTGAAATGTTAAAAGCAAATAAATAATGATTATTGAGTGCCTTGATTGGATATTCGTGCTTTGATCATCGCTTTCAATAATAAAGTTTTGAAGGACAAATCGGTAACGAGCAGGCATTGTTTTTCGAACGAGTGCGTGGCAGTTGTTTGAAAGCTCTTCGAGAAATGATTTTGGATCGTTTGGAAGCCCTGGGAGAATGTTTTCTTCGGGTTTAGGCTAGTAAGTCGTACCTTTTATATTCTTCTCAGTGATCGTTTTTGATATCAGAAGCTTGACGAGTTTGAGAGTCTCTGTTAGATTTGGCTTCTCGAGAGGTTCCATTCTGTAGCTGTTTTCAATCTTCTGTCGAGCCTAGGGCCGATTATAAGAGTTTCAAAAAGGAAATTCTTACCATTCTAAAGCTGCTTTTGGAGTGAAAACTCCTGCCCGACGGATCAATCATCTCTGGATATTATTTTGAAAGTGAAATTTTGGCGTCTTTTTTGGAGTGACTGGAGACTCCAGTCGGCGGGTAACTATGGGAAACGTCGGATCAAGGGCCTCTTCTGACAATAGATGTCTAGAACAAACACTCATTTCTGCTGACTGTATAAAAGCACAATAGATTCTGCTGGCAACTGCTAAGTCAAAAGAAAATATTGACGATAAAGTCCATCACTTTATTATTTCATGATGAAACTCTCACACAGGAAAATTTTAGGGGCCCCTAATAGCCTATTAGTAAAAGGGGGTCTCATGAAGTAAAAGTTAGATCCAGAATATGGAGTTGGCTTATCTTACGCTGCATAATGTTGCTTATGAATATGCACGGTATATGCATAGAGAGTTTTCGTCAATCTGTTCCAAGCGAATTCTATCTCTATATAAGCAGACTCAAAACGACATTTAAGTTCATTTCATTTCTTCAAACATGAAAGCTTTTCCTATTTTCTTCCTTTTCTTCGCCGTTGGGTCGTCTCTCGATCTTACTGCAGAACGCAATAAGTGCGTTATTGGTAAGAATATGGAAAAAAATGCGGAACGACGATTTTAGGTCTGCTTACTGGTGAAGGCCTCGAAAGAATCTATCAGCCCGGAGATTTAATTAAGGCTCTCCAAAGAAACTCGAATGTGCATTTTTTTCTTTGAAAGCCTAAAAAAGAATATTGTGACCGGTACATTGAATCGAAGATGAAGGCTGTTTTCTTTAGAGACACAGATCTTTGGAAGTTCTAAATAAACCGACTCCTTGACCGACTCTTTATTCAAGAGGTTCTTTTAGAAAACTGTATTTTAAAAAGAACCATGTTCTCCAAATAAGATGTTACTTATGTATATGCACAGCATATGCATAGAGAACTTTGTTAATACAGATAAGTTCTAAGCGAGAAGGTTCTGTTTATAAGCAGGTTCGAAATAGCTTTTCTGTTCATAAACCAATCATGAAAAGTTTCAATATTTTCTTCCCATTTTTCGCTCTTGGGAAATCTTTAGATCTTCTTGAAGAACGATTCAAGTGCATTAGTGGTAAGTTTATTTTCAAAAGCTTGATAATACAAGAGAACTTAGGTCTGCTTTCTCGTCTTCAGGGGATGTATTATAGTCAAGATTTAATTCAGGCTTTCAAAGGAAACTCAACAAAGATTTTAGAACATGTTTTTGAAAGCCGAATAAGATTCGTACTGCGACCGATATATTGAATCAAAGATGATTGCAGTTTTTTACAAAGACACAGACCTTTGGAAATTCAAATAAATGCGGCTATTTTAAATTGTATTTTTATTAAAAAAAGTTTTGAGGAGAATATAATTCTAGACAGAAAGACACAAGTGTGATAGGGATTGAAAAGCTGTCAGCAAGTGAATCCCAATCATTTTCAGGATCCTTACCAGAAACAGCAGGAACAACGCAGGAGGTCAATTTAAGAACAGCTGGGGATTACGGTAATAACCACAATCCGTCGCCAATTACGATTGTTAATAGCTTGTCATCACTGTTCCAAGTGTCTTCGGATTAGCCTCATTTTTTACTGTTTGCAAAGCCGCTAAAGTTGGTGAGTGGGAAATTTTTGCGGATATTGAAATCGGCGACTTTTGTCAAACAAAAGCAGCAGGAAATTTATTGATCGAAAATCTTAGCATTAGATTATTTTTAAAAACTCAAATAAGGCGTCTTGAAAATCTGACTTATTTATTGAGGTCAAAAAATGAACCTGACTTTGCGCTCAATGAGTCGTCATCTACGTATAAAGAACGGGTGCTGAGACGTGGTACTATAATATTGAAGCTTTACTGCAGCTTATCAATCGTTATCAGGGAAAGGATCCATCACTCAGAGGACAGCCTTCACAGTTCACCACAGTCTTCACACCTCAGTAGAGTTAGATGCAATTACCATAAATATCCTCATTAGCTATTTTTACCTCATAAATTCAGCCCTGTTAAAATGTCGAATTAGAATCTGATCGGGATCTTTTTCAGTGCATTTTCCGTTCCATTTCTAATAGACGCTGATCAAAAAAAGCACCGCGCCAGAATTTTAAAATGGAAAATCGACGATTCCTTATCCATCAAGACTGTCAAAGGTCGGTCAATTATTGACCTTTACCCAATCTATCCATTAATAATATTTGTTGTCCCGGAGAGAGAGAGAGAGAGAGGAAGAGAGTCTCAGTCTAAGTAGTGGGCATTTTTACGCTCATGAGAAGCTAGAAACTGGCCTGCAGCGTGCTGAATCGACACTATTCTGATATTTGCTGTCAGGTGACTCACAACGGCTAAATGCAATTATCGATATTAGAGAAATTGGCTCATTACTTACCCGCCTTTTAACTTGACACTGTTTTTGAAGGCGTTTTTCAGACAGAGAAAAAGTTGACCAAAAGGTAAATTAAATTTCTTCGATAAATAAAATGCAAAGACGCAAAATTAGCGATTCGAGATAGAAAAAAAAACTTTCTCACAGCTCGTTTCATTGACGTGTATCTTTCATTTCGTTTCTTTCTTTTCTTTGATCTCTTTGATAATCCCAAGCACTCTTGTCTTGACCTTGAATTACCTAACAGTTGTTTTTCGACTCCTTTATTAGAATCTACTCATGCCAAGCCAAACAAATTATCGTTATTGATTTCCCATTATTTCCTCTTCTTCCTCTGAGTTATTCTGAAAAATAACAGAGAGAGGAGTTCGAATTCTTGGCGTTAATAAAGATATCACGGTAGCTCGTAAACTTACACCCGGTAATTAACCGTTACGCATATGCACATGTCATTAGTAAATTACCCGATTGTTGACGCGATAAGGCAATCAATCGGCCAGCAGGCGCCATTTTCCATTAACTTCTTCATTTCAGTATCGAAATCAAAATCACAGCTGGTGGGGCTCCTGGCGCCACAGCGCGGATGCGAATAAGATAAAAACGCGAAAATTTCTCCTCGAAGCAGATCACTCGCTCAAATCAACAAATAACAAAGAAAAATTTCTTTTACGACAAAAAAATAACGAAAGAGAACATGCCTTCCATCGCCATCACCACCGAAGTCCTCCAGCTCAAACTCGCCCTCGCCAAAGAACAAGAGAAATCAAAGAACTTGGCCCAAGAACTCAACGATGTAAAGAAAGATCTATCAAACGAAATCTTCCTTCTTCAAGAAACCATCGAAATGCAACGCTCCGTCATTTCTGAATTAGAAAAACGATCGTCTCTCAATTCTAGTGCTTCGGAAATCATCATGGAAACGTCTCAGGTGGAAAGTCATTTTGAAGAGAGCCTCAGTGAAGATATTTGGGAATTCTGCGAGAGCACTAGAGTCGAAGGAGTTGAAAATGAAGGATTCAAGATGGTCTTCGCGCTAAGCCAGGAAGTCGACGAGCTGAAGGATGAGTTAGTGGTCAATGAAGAAAAACTCAACGACTTCCGAGCCGAAATTGCGACCCTTACTGAAAATCTCCGATCTGAGAAGTCACAAAAGATCGCACTCGACAGAAACAACATTCGACTCATCTCCGACAACGAGGAAATCAAGGAAGAGAACCGCCAGCTGCGCCAGACAAAATCCACTTTGGAAAGCAAACTCCAGCGGATCAACATTGAACTGGCTTCTCAAAAGATCAAGAACGAAACCCTCGCTGCCAAATTGGAAGAGTGCACCAACTCGCTCAAAGAAACGAAGGATCACTTCAAGTGGTTGAAGATTCTCTCTCAGTATGTTGTTATTTGCTGATTCTAAAACACCTCTAGTTGATATCTACTGTTTTGTATATTTATATTCTTTGCCAGTTCACTTGCTTTCTTTCACAGAATAAAATTATGATAAGAAACCTTCACTTTATGGTCTCAATTATTTTGATAAATTTGGCAGGTTAACCTGAGCTTAATTTGCAGGTCAATAAAAATGATAAAGCTTTGAATTTGAACTTGAAAAAAGGAGGAGTCACTGGAGTTGATTCATTGTTTTAATATCATGTTCGGCGTTTACGCATTTTCCCTTCTTCTGGTATGAACTGAATCAAATATTTGCCCGTCTTACTCAGCACTTTCCATCTGCGAAAAATAATTTGCCTTTCCTACTGCGGGCGAAATGCGCTTCGACGAGAGAGAATGTACTGGGTTCCGGGTTGAAACTTGAGCGTTCGTTGGTTTCTTGAGAAAGTCTAACCCAGGTAAAGATGGCTTGATTGCGAGCATAGATGCCCAAGATATCACCGACCTGGAGAGCGACATGAACCTCTTTTTTGCAGTCAACCTTGTGACAAGTGTTGTCCTGAATGTGGGCAGCAATTAAATTGCCATCGAGCTTGTGGCGATTGTGATGGCTGTGGCCCGTGTCAAGCTTTTGTAGAGAAAGAATATGATTGTGGACATTCGGCTCATTTTCCATGCAACTTTCAAATCAATCTGAAGGAGTGCGAGGCTTGTGAGGATGAACGGATACAAAACTCAAATAATACGGTTGACAAAGGGGCTCCTGGATTTATTCAGAAGAACTACAGGGTCTTTATAGGGAAAGAGGGGCGTAGAGGCCACATTGCCTATGATTTGACACTAGTCAAAAATGACATCAAGTGAGAAAATAATTATAAATATAAACTTAATTTGTTTTTAGTACAGCCGCGAATATTTGCACCTTCATGCAACTCTTGAAGCACAAAGATCATGAAAAATACATGGTTTGGGAGCGAACTTCCTCGATTGACAATATGCAGGATTCAATGGAGCCAGGGAAAGAATTTGACTCCATAGGCCAGGCAAAGTACTACTGGGGGCGGAGATTCAAGAGTAAAACTGGAAATATTTGGGCAAATTACCCAAAGTAAGTCCAAGAGGAAAATCGTGTTTCAGAGCAAGTTAAGATTCGACTTCATGGATGGAAAGTTCACAGTCATCACCAGAAACCACGAAATTGAAGACAAAGTTGATGACAACTTGAGAGAAGAGCTTGAACCGAAAGTAAATGATTTGATGAAAATGATTTGCGATCAGAATATGCTACAGCAGGCTGCAAATGACATAGCATTGGACACCCAAAAGGTTGCCCTTGGATATCTAAGCGAAGATCAGGAAAGGCTTGAAAATTAGTAGTTCTGAACCTAATTAATAGAAAGGACTCCATTTTGTGAGCTTTCATGAGATAAAAAATGGCGAACGGGACTTGAAACAGATAGAAAATCTTCTTCAATCTAGGAATAGACGCACCGAAGGCGACCTCCAACGAATAAGCAGCAGGTACTACAGCCAGATCCCGCATATGTTTGGAAAAGGAAACTTCGCTCCAATTATTGATAATCAAGGACATGCTCAAAATTATTTAATTGGTTGCTTTCAATCAAAATCGTTCGTTTATTGAGCTCGTAAAAGCAAAATTACAGAAAGAATATGAGTTCATAGAGGCTCTAAGACAGATAAATATTGCTGCAACGCTGACAAATAAAGGGCCCTCGAATGTTACACCGTAAGCTTACTTTGAAATAATTTTCTTGTGAATTCTTCTAATTAAGAGAAGCTCGCGCGTATATGAATCTCAATGCAAAGCTTGAAAATGTCCCGAACAACCATGCTGATTTTCAATTCGTCCAACAACTGGTGACAGACACGCACGGGAGAGTGAAAAAATATCAATTGAATGTCATTTTTGTTATGAGATTTTTCACCTAATGAAAGATCTACTCATAATTCTTACACATTAGAGCTCCTCGATCTCTACAGAGTAGCACGAAAGGGCGAGCGGGAAAAGTATGCTAAAAGCATTGGAAATGATATTCTTGGTTGGCACGGATGCCCAGGTGCTGCTGTCGCAAGTATCTTGAAGACAGGCCTTAGAATCGCACCAAACGGCGTTGCAAATGGAAAGGCATATGGCCAGGGTCTTTATTTTGCCGACTGTTCTTCCAAATCAGCGAATTATACAAAAGCATCAAACAGGGACAACATCAAAGTCCTGTTTCTGTGCAAAGTCGCTCTCGGCAACGAGAAAGTTTTGTACAGAAACGATGAGCAACTACCTGCTACTCTGGGAAATCATAATTCAGTGAAGGCCCTTGGAAAACTTATCCCTTCAACAACTAAGAGTCATTTTGGTTGCACCGTTCCATGTGGCAATTTAGTCAATAATCCTGATCAAAAAGTAAAAGCAATATATAGTTGTTGTTTTTAATAATGATTTAGCTTTACCAAGGTGGTGGGTTTATTCTTCAATACAACGAATACATCGTTTACGAAACCTCTCAAGTAGAGATCATTTATGCAGCAAAGCTCAAATTTAATTTTAACTGACATAAAATAAATTTTTTCACTCTCATGAAAGGAATCGCAATGTTCAGAGTCTTTATCGAGTTGAAAGAAAGGGTGAGAGGGCCAGCTTCAATAACGCACTTGGAAACAACACACTTCTTGTTCATGGATCAAGAATTTGCAACATCGCTGGAATTTTGAAAAATGGTCTTCTCATCTCCAAAGCTAACTGTGGATTGTTTGGGCGTGGAATTTACTTTGCGGATTGCATAGGAAAATCAGCTGGATACACTGATAAGACATTTTTCTTGTGTAAAGTCGCTCTTGGTAACCAGATGCAAGTCCGGAATAGTGATAAAACACTACATGATAAAATTGGTAATCGTTTGCCATTCATCTTTTTCTATAAATAATTCAAGGGAATTATGGCTCAGTAAAAGCAATCGGTCAGACTTATCCAAGCAGAACCGAAACTCGGCATAACTGTACTGTGTACACAGGACCCACGACTCGAAACGGCAATGCTCAAATGGGATACAACGAGTATATTGTCTACAAGCAGCATCAAGTAGAACTCGTTTACCTTTTCGTGCTCTCATGAAATGTGTGATTACATTAACAATAAACTGAATTATTTATCATGTTACATTTATGATCTGGTCAGAATATAATTTCATGGTAATTTCCAGGATCGATCCATAAAATAGAGGACTTAGCCTTTTACTACCTCCGCGATGAGGAATACCGATAAAAATAACGACATCTGCTCCGACCTTTAATACGAGACAAAGGAGCGCATTACCAAAATCACTCTGCTAGAACGAGGTTGAACCCTGCGGCTTTTCACCCCTTTTTGTCAATTTTGCGAGGAAACTTATGCCAGAAGAAATATCAATATCTTAAAATGAGCAAAATTGAGGCATCAACTTGAAAGAAAAATACTAAAGAGAAAATAAAAATGAAAGTCGGCTCAGTTAATGACCAGTTAGGGCAACCTGTCGCATGCGTAGTCGTAGAAAATGACGAAGAAATTGATGGAGAATTCTTTCGACTCTTGGATCATTGGGGACAATCATGGACAGAGGGTGTTGTATCAATCCTTGGTCCTTCTTCTTCTCAATTTACGGAAGAAATCTCAACGGACTTTTCTTGCCATCTTCAAAATTACGCGACAAAAGAGAATAAATGGATAACATCCTCCGTTCCAATTAAGAAACAACTAGCTTCGGAAGCATTTTGCTTACAAATAATAAGTAAAAGTCATTGCTCTCGAGATATTCGAAACCAAATTGATTCGTTGGTTGAATTCGAAGGAAACGCTACTGGAAGAATCTTCAAGAAGCACAGCAACGCGCTCGTTATTCTTGAAAGAGGTATGAAAGAATTATGAACGGGAGAAAACAGCTGTTTATAGAGTTCCCAAGATCTCGCCAAGATGATGCTCAATTTTTTCTCCTTGAAATTCTCCGAGAGCGAATATCTGTAGAATACGCAATCTACAATGGAAGCATCGAAACGCTCTCTTTCATCCACGAAATCGTCATGAACGCTTATGGGAAAATCGCCCTCGTTGAAGATTCTGGCGGCATCGTCACTTATTTAGAACGTTTCCTTTTCAATCGAGAACGAAGAGTGAATATGGAAGAGCGCTTTTCTTATAGAACGAGACTTCGAAACGAATCGGGTGACTTTCCAAAGATGATAATGGACCTCAAAGCTCATCAAAGCACGAATCAAAGCATCAAAATCTACCAAGACATCTCTCAATTCTTCTCCCAGCCACTCGAAAATGTCTATGACATCAGCGACCTCTGCAAACAGTTATTCTCGTCGCCATTCTTTTACGTTTCAAAGAATCAAATTTTCAACATCTTAGAAGTTGCAATGTCGAGAAACGAAGCTGATCTTGTCGAAGAAATCTATTCGAAGTTTTCGTTCGACGATCTCGATCAGAGAGAATTCGCCTCTCCTCTGCGACTAGAAAATTTATATCTTTCACAGATGGATTCGATAAAAGAAGAATCTCTTGCTGACAAAGCAGGGCTTGATGACTACTGGGATCCAGAAAATTTCAACGAATATCTTTCCGCTCGTTTATCCCGGCTGATCGAGGACTTTGAGTCTTCCTTGATTTCAACGAATTGGAATCCTTTTGCGAATCGATATCGAAACAGAACTGGTGGCAAATACAAATCTGCATCAAAAGGGCTGAAAGAGAGCTTTGAATTTCATGATCCAGAAGAACGACTTTTCTGTTGGGCGTTGCTCTTTGAGTATTGGGACTTGGCGAATGTTATTTGGCTCAGGAGTAAATATGGTATCGGAATGGCGCTTCTTGGGGCGAATTTTCTAAGAGGAGCTGCTGCTCTGAAAAGACGAGACATAAATGCTTCTGAAAGACTCGAAGAATTCGCCAAGTACTACGAAGACATCGCCATTGAAGCATATCGAGAGATTCCAAAAGGCCCGAATATCGGAGAACAAGACCTCTCTCCTCAGCTCATGCTCGTTACAGCAAATGATCGAACCGGAAACATGACAATGCTCAAACTGGCTTATGCCGGAAAATGCGTCAATTTCATTGCTCAAGTGGGTGTTCAGGAGTTTTTGTCGAACATATGGCGAGGAAAATTTGCTCTGAAACAGAAGCTGCGAAGTATCGCGCTTTGCATATTTTTCTTCTGGTTGCCTTTTCTTCCTTCCCTTTTACTGAAATTCGAGGGGAAAAAGAAGAATTGCCACTGGTTCAAAAAATGGATCCACACGATGAGAGCACCATTCACAGTTTTCTGGGTGAGTTTATTTTATTACTAGTTTTTGTTAATTTCGTTTTAGATGAACATTGTTACATATTTCGCCTATATTATCCTCTTCGCTACATTTCTTCTCCGTTCATTCTGCATAATTCCCACTTGGCTCGACTGGCTGCTCATTGCTTGGACAGTCACACTTTTTGTAGAAGAGATCCGTCAAATGGTCGTCGCAAATGACAGTCTTCAAAGAGGAAGATTTCAAAAATGGTGGGATGATTTGTACAATAAATTTGATGCTGCATCGGAGTTGACTTTCATTGCTGGGACGGTTTTAAAACTTACTGCGCCGGAGACAAAGGAATGGGGCTTTTTCATTTATTGATATCAAGGAAGAGTATTATTATAAAGCCTCCATCAAGTTCTCTGGTGAGCAACTTTGCCCGACAGAAATCACTGGACAGCTTTATGTATCGCAAGTTTGCTTTGCTTTATCATTTATGTTCATGGCGTATCGTTCTCTGATTATGTTCGATGTTTCGCGAGATCTTGGACCGAAAGTAATTATGATCTGGAAGATGTTCTTTCAAATGTTTCAATTTCTCCTCATCATGGGAATCTTTGTTCTGACTTACGGAATTGTTCAGCAGTCACTACAATATCCAAACGAGCATCGTCTTAATTTCACCGTTCGGGTGAGTATTAACAATTTGATTTCCCTTTGAAATTTTTTATAGAATATTCTCTTTGGGCCTTACTATGGGATCTACGGCGAACTGTTTCTTGGAGAACGAACAACATACGAGTTTGAAGATCAGCCTGAAGACTGCATTCCTCCAGGATTTGACGTTGGAAATTCGACTATGCCTCGATGTCCTTCAAAAGCGGTCGTTTCGGATATCTTCCATGGCAGCTACATGGTCATTGCTAATATTTTACTTTTGAACTTACTGATTGCCTTGTTCTCATCGACTTATGCAGCTATTGATGAAAATTCTATTCGAATCTGGAAGTACTCGAGATATCAGACGGTCAAGAACAACTATTTTCGACCGATTTTCCCACCACCCTTTATTTTCTTCAGGAATGGATCAGAAAACTCTTTATCGTGAAGCAACTGACGTTTTCAAATAAGAATTTTTTTATCCTCGATAAAGCCACGTTCACAATATCTTCAACTACTGCAAAAGCGGCTTTCAAGTCAGCAACGATAACTCGAAATTTCGGTACCACGACTGGAGCAACATTGATCCTAAAATGCCTGCGATCCTTGACGATATAGAAGCACAGCAGACCAAAGCGCACATCCATGGGCTAAAGAGTTTCAAGCGCCAAGAAATCGATGGTCCTCTGACGAAGACCTTTTTTGAGAAAGAAATTCGCAATCGACTGGATACGATGGAAGTTGTGCTAAAGAAAACTATTCGAAATATGTCTTCATCAAACGAATGAGTATTTTGTAAATAAAACAGTTGTAAATAGAGAATTAATCGTTTATCACCAAAAATCGAAAGCTCATAAACAAGTCAATCAATGACAGAATTTGAAGCATAAAAGCAGAGAGAATATTTCTAAAATCAGGCATTCGATGACTACTCGGAACTGTCAGCACAAGTCCTGCCATTGTAGTGTACAGCTTCAGGATGCTCCAGAACAACGAGTTTGACCTAAGAAAATTTTTCCTGTCTCTTTTACACTTTTACCTTTTATAAAGAGCAATCGTCATGAAACAAGACAGAGTAAAGAACATTGCTGGCAAGAAATTCCTTGTTCTAACCGCGCTGTTGCTATTGAAATTTTTGATGAAGTTTTCTGTCCAGAAGATGGCGGGAATAAGTTCAGCGCCGGAAAATATCAATCGCAGTACCCAACAAGCCGTTTTCATGACATAACAAGCCTCAGATAGAATCGACACATTTCCATACGAGTGCCAAAGTTTCTTTGTTTTGAGAACATCGTAGAGCAAATATGAAATGAGGATCGTTCCAGCAGGCAAGGCAATGATGATGATTCGTTTAATGTCGGCGAGGAGGAAGATCAAGTTGACGGAGAATGTCACATGATTGCGCAAAAGGAACATTTGGGCATATTCATACTTGAATAAAATCACCATATCGAGAAAAATATTTGTAAGTGACAGGCCCATTATTGCAGAGAGTAGACTCTTCGGTAAAAATGATGATATTCCAGCGGTCAAGGAAGCCAGCCCGAGCAGAAGAGTCGATAGAACGGAAAAAGAAAATAACGCCAGCTCAAATTCGTTGTCTCCATGTTTTAGTGATAAGTTTCTCTCGCGAAGAAGCTGAATATCTCCAGACTAGAAAAATCAATAAACTCAAATAAAGAGAAAATATTTAACCTGAACTGGAATAGAAATTGTTCCAATAGCTAAATGAGCGGTGCCAAAGAAGCATAAAATTTCTCTCAATCTATTTTTCGAAAATTCGAAAATCATGTCAACTTTGTTTTATTACAAATTTTTCGAAAAAGGAAAGACATTGCGCGTGGAGTTCGCACCTGTGGCTGCGAATCAAGTTCATTTGTGCCAAAGTTGAAATTAACGAAGAGAATCTTGAATCACACGAGAAGTTAGTTCAGTTTTTGGAGATAATTCAATAGCTGCGGTGGCTAAATTCAAACTGCGATAAGAAGCGAAGACTGAAATTAATCGCTCTTACGCGTGCAGATAGTCACACAAGAGCCGCGTTATTTTGTCAACATCGGGTCCAAAAGAGCTTCCCGCTTCTGTTCCACTGGTTTCAATAAAGGCAACTCAAGATGCAGCTTCTTTGCGTACTTTCTCACACACTTTTTGAAACAATCAATTTTTTTTTTGTTCAATTACAAGAATAATTTTAACCGGAAGTTTTTAAACTGACTGATAAGGAAGAATCTTGTCAACACTTCAACTGTTGCATGAATTCTTATTTTCGCCAAAATATAGAGCCAGATAAATCTGCGCGAAATTCATCCTCTTGAAAAATTATTGCTCGCGATGAGCAGCGGTTAATTGTTTGGTTTGACTGAGGAAGATACTGATCTGCGTTGAGCAGGCTCGGTCGTCCGGCGGAACGCTGCGCACACGCGCGGGTCGAGGCAGGGTTCCGCGACTTGCTCATCTAACTGATACCGGTGGCCAGTTGATAAGCTTGGTTCGGTTCTATTGGTTTTAAAGCGTAAGTGAACCAAAGTCGAAAGCAAAAACGCGTGACCCCAATTTAAAGAAGCAATGTTCTGAGCTTGTTGATCAAAGAGAGCCCGCATCAACTGAAAAATCGAATTGATATGATCATGTTGTCGAACAAGAATGTAATTTTCGGAATCAGGGAGTGGCACGAGCAGGAGCGGAGCTACCGGCCCGCGTGCGCGTATGTTTTGGATTTAATTAATTATGGTCTCAGAGCAGTGCCCAGATAGGCACTTGGTGGTCGCCGAGTGTGCAGCTTTTGGAGAATCGAACTCGGGCACCATAATCGCCATTTGCGGCCAAATAATTTCAAATTTGGTGAAAAGGATGTCGACCAGGCGCGACCATCTACTTTGCGGTTTCCTGTCTCGATCTCGCAAATACCACCCAACACCTTCGAAAATTTTCATTGCGAGATGCAGTTTTACATTAATTCCGGAATAGTGACCCAGTTACGTCTAGCTAATTGATTGCTCGTTAGCTTGGGAACATGAAAATCTACGTAGTCTCGGATGGGTGCGATTCTAGTGCTGTTCGCGGAGATGATACCGCCCCGTGCCGTCTTTGGTCAAGGATCCTACGCTCTAATCCCTATTTTTGTCAAAATAATCCATCACAGCGGCGCATGCAGCACGCTGCCGGAGCACGATAAGACGCGAATCACAAAAGAAAGGCGAAAAAGTGAAAAAGTAGAAAGTCGCGAAAGCGGTGGCGGATTGCGCGCGGCTCCCTGTAAAGCAGTTCCGGATTTTACATTTTGGAGATTCAGCGAACTTTCGCCCTTTTGCATTTTAGAAGTACGGGCGGAGAAATGAAAGGGGAGAAGTGTGGATTTCCATATTCTCATTCGTGCAAGCCGTTTACGAAAAGAGCAAATTAGTGCGCTAGAAATTCGCGTAATGTCTGATTTCGTCAAAAAATGATAGTGGAGGGCGAGGGTGCGAGCGAACAAAACCGCGAAATCGAGGCCAGGTGCGCGATTCTGATGCTCTCGCCAAATCGCCCAAGAAAACTAAAAATTAACCAACACTGGTCATTATCGCAAAATAACATCCCAATGGCAGATGGGCATGAACAACTTTATATAACCAGCAGAGACAAAATACTTGACTAATCTGCGCTAGAATGGAACTGTTTGTGGTCATCAGATTTCCAAAACTGCTCAGTATAAGATTTAAAAGGGGTTAGGAAACAGCTAGAATTCCTGAGAAGACAGTATTGGTAGCTTCTTCGTCGACAATGACTAGCGAAAAACACTTTGCCAAAATTGGTTTTACGAAGTCTACCCCCTAAATCAATTCTGAAAGAGAGCATGCCAGAAAGTAAAGCACGCAGAAGTTGGTTAACCCAAAACCATAAAAACAAAAGATCATCTCGCCCGGTTGACACTCACGAGGAGGCTACTCGTATTAGGGTTATTCTGGTCGCAAGTAATATTTTGCCCCTGACGCCAAATCGAGAATCTGACTTTTCTTCCCAAAAACAATTTCTTCCGAGAAGCGAGCAAATTCAATCGAAGCATAAACTTTTTACGCCATAGAACATTTCTTCCCTGTGCAAGTTTGCGTGTGTATTTTGGGTTGTCGAGTCTGCTTCAGCAGTGAGTCGCAGCTTCGTACCTCGTACATTGCGGAAAATAACTTTTTCCGGGCTGGGGGTTTGGCCAGGTGTGCGGCCTGGCGCAGCAGAAAAGTGACGCGCACTCATTTCATCAAGGTCGACACTTTGGTCTTAATAAACTAGGTTACACTTTTACAGTAGCAATTTACATCTGACAGTGGGACTCCGACCCTGCTGCAACATGCTGATTGTTTACGTGATGGCCTTGACCGTTTTCTTTTGATTTCATTCTGAGCAAGCAAAGACACTCATCCAAAGCAAATTATTTGATGAATTCTTGCCGTGTTAGTGCAACAAGTCAATATTACATTACTTTGAAATTGCATTTGCAATAGTGGACTTACTTCTTTTTCAATGAGCCGGAATGGTGATGTTTATAAAATGAATCGAGAATATGAGTGGAATTTCCTTCAGCAACGAAAATAAGAAGATTAAAATGAATGCAATATAAGCTCTATATGCTAGCCTGAACGTACGCGACTCACTTCTACTAATAAACACATAATTGACTGAAAACTTTTGTAATATAATTTTTTTCAACTGCGACGTCGATGTAAAATGCTGCAATACTGATTGTTGAAATAATGGCTTTTTAGATAAAAGTTATTTAGCGCGATTGAAACTTTCCAACTTTTAAATAGTTTGAGATGAGGGTGAAGAGTCAATATTAGACGATGTGTCATGTGATCGAGTTTTTGACGATTTTTCGGGTGCGGAGAGCGAATAAAATTAGGTGACCTAGGTGAGAATATTATTATGAAGATGAAGCAGAACTATTGCACAAATAAGACAGGAGAAGTCCGAGTAAATTATTGAAAAAATGAAGACGTAAAGTTCTCTCTGTTTGTGTTTTTATTGAATAAAATTCTTACTTCAATAAAAAATAAATTCCAACGAGAAAGTCGCCTTTGATGGGTAAGTAAATATATGGGCGCATATGTTTGAGAGCTACTTGACGAAAGTAAACTTGCAGAAAAGAGAAATTTATTATGCAATTTTGAAAACTTTTATAAAATAAAACTAAAAAATCAGCGAAGCATGTTGAATGGCAAATGGAGATTGTAAAGACTCAAATGTCAATAAAATTGCAACCCGCAAATTTTGCTGTTATTAATAATTACTACTTTAATTGAATAAAAACTTGTAGAATAAAAAATGTCTTGAAATGTTGTGTCAATAGAAGAGTAGAGCGAAAATTCGCCTTGAAACGCAAAGATTTGCATCGCCAGCAACTGCAGGTCAACCTTAGGTCAGCGGTGGCCCTGAGTCTGGAGAAATTCCGCCTTGGCGTAGATTTTTCTCGCTGTTGTTGAAACAGAACAGTGGATGAGCTCGCACGTGCTCCGGGTTTTGGGTTCGAGCAGTTGATGACCCTGCTCGAGTCGTCAGTTCTGATGGCGAATCGGCAGTTGAAGAATCGGCATTCCTCGAAAAGTTGATTTTATTATCGTAATTATGAGTGAACGGCTGAGAGCAACGCTTGGAGATGTTTACACCAAACTGAAACAATTGTTACGATACAAACATAACTCGCCTATACCACCACGTTCATCGCACTTAAAATTTATTAACACGAGTAATACGAGTAATAAGTGAAAATGTTCAATACGCAAGATCAAACAGTATACCACTGCAACTGCAGGAGAGAATATGAGTGTCACTAAATAAACGGGAAAATCTCCTACTAAACGACTTTAACCAATAACGCTGCCAACGAATTTCCTTATGAAAGATTCAAGCGTTATTTTTCGCATGTTCGAAAAAATGTAGGAAGCTGAAGATGAAGGCGATGATCCGATACAAATGGCCGTTTCAAGGGCGATATGCTAATCGAATCGGCCGATAACATATGTCAATATATTTAGCCCTAAACCCACACAACCTCTTTGAAAATCAAGAAGCATTTGTTCATAAAACGCCTTGATGATGTTCCTTAGAAAGTCTTCTGAAATTTACACTGGTGTCTATTAGGTTTGTTGGTACTATTTTTAGTATTATCTATCGGCTGCTGTGTATACAAAGTTGTGTCAGTTTTGTTTTGTATCAACCCGTTCGGCGCAAATTCTGAAAATATCAACCTCTCTGATTCGGAAAGGCCCAGGAATTGGCCAAAATGTCACCATACGCACCAAGTTCACGCCAATTTAGACAACCGCCTGGTTTTAATTTTCAACCGCGGTCATTACTTTCATCTTTTAAAGGCGTACAATCAATTCTAGTATTTTGGAATGTCAATAAAAATAGAGAAAATCCGTTATTCTTCAAAAAACTTCCCTTATTTTCGTTTTCATTTTGTATGAATTGCATTTGATGAAGTCAGAAAGTGCATTTTCGTGAAACAACGCCAAAGTATTGGTGCATAATCTGGGCTGTCTGAATTAACACGTTGCGGGTATTTACTGCTATCAGGGGCGGCCTGCTGCATTGTTAACATATAAACATTATGAACAGGTAATTCCCACCCTTGAATTTATATAACGTTATGAAAACAAATAGGCGCAAGTGTGTCAAAAATGTTATGAATATAGCGCTAAGCTGTTTAAGCATCAACGAATTGAATGAGATAGACTCTGACGTCCAGTTGAACAACACTCAGCCCAAAACAAAAATCTCCTCGTTTAATAATCATTATCCGAGCCCACTTGTTCAATTTATGATTGACACTTCTATGGTCATACGAGCCACGCAACAGCACAATGAGGCTATTTTTTCCTTCCAAAAGCGCGTGTCTCTGCAAAACCATTATGAGATGCCTGGAGAATACTTTCCTTATTTCAAAGTAAAACCTTACGAGTAGACAAAATGTTATTATCAAGAACTCAAATTTATTTCAGAGATCATAAGTGTATGTTTTGCTAAAAATTTTTACAATTTCTACTATTGATCTCAGCGATACATAAACATTATCAATCGCCTGATTATCATTGATTCCCTCTATTAACCAACAACGACTCTATTGGCTAAATGTTTTACGCATTCACATTTATGAACGCTCGATAAACGATAATATAAAGCTATATGACAGTTGTCATCACATGCAGCAGCTTATTCGAGTGATTCGTGGTTTGGATTTGTTGACAAATTGTCAGTTCCTATTTCCCATTCGACTTCCCTTCTGCTATCTTCACACTTGCCTGACCCCTTCCCCAGGTGCCTCCAAACAACCAGAGCCCAGACCCAGAAAGGCCGCGCGCACTAGTCGTGAAAAAAACGAAGCGCAGCGCCACTCGGCGGCGCTCCCCTGCGTCACGCAGCAGCGCCAGAGCTGGACTCTTAGCCTCTCCCCGTCTCTCGAAGCCATAACAAGTTCTCTCTCTCCTCCACCAGAATATCCTTCTAGTTGAGTTTACGACAAAACAAAAACGACGTCGAGCTCCTCCAAAATATAAATATAGACAGTTACGGCCAAGCCAAAACAGAGACTTTGAGGAATATAAACAACTCCAAAAAACAGATAAATACCACACATTACATTATGGGTAAGCAACTCGCCCCTCCAGAGATCATCAGAGATTCATAAAAACCCTTTCAGACGCGCAAGCACAAGACCTCGCCCCAGTCAACCTTTCCAACCCTAGCGAGCTCGGCTACCAACCGGCGCACTCGAGAGGCTACCAGGTAATTGAGAGATTCGCTGTGAAAAGAGATTGACATTTTCACCCAAGGACACGTACAATTACCAGCTATGGCCTTCCATGGCCGGCGCCAGTGCTGCTGGTCACTCTGCCTACCAAAGCCCTTATGGTCAGAGTCCTTATGGACAAGCGGCCCAGGGACAGGCGCAACTTGCTGCGCAACGTGGGATACTTGGTGCTCCTCCGCCATCTTTCGGACCCTCGAGGTACAGTTGTCTCATCACCTGTCAATATCTAAAAATAGTTCTAGTGATCTCTCCTGGCTTTCTCTCCAAAATCAGGCTGAGCTGTTCAAACTCGTCCGACCACCATATTCCTACTCTGCCTTGATCGCAATGAGCATCCAGAACTCCCCGGAAAAGCGACTGACTCTTGCACAGATTTACCAATACGTCGCTGACAACTTTCCATTCTACAAGCGCTCGAAAGCTGGCTGGCAAAACTCAATCCGCCACAACTTGAGCTTGAACGACTGCTTCAGAAAAGTGCCCAGAGACGAGAATGATCCAGGAAAAGGAAACTACTGGCAACTCGATCAAAACTGCGAAAAGATGTTTGACAACGGCAACTTTCGGTAAGTCGAGTAAAATTGTTATTTTATGAAAAATAAGAGTTTTTTTCTCAAACTCGAATATTTTATAAATATGTGCGTCGCCCAAGAAAGCTCAGCATTATTTTGTCATCTTGTCGAACAAAGCCCATATAGATATATTTTTGGCATTTCTTTCCGATTTTGCTCGTCTGTTTTCAGTAAACTCCCGGGCTAACTTTTCTTAATTTGGCCAAAATTGAATATATTATTCAATTTTGCAAAACTTGCATGTGCCAAAACAACTTCGAATTTCATTATTTCAAACGAGCTTATCAAATAAACCTCATTTTATTTCTCGATTTTTTGAATGCAAAGTCCGAAAATTTTTCTCGGAACAAGCGGCGCGTGCCGATATCAAATCTACGAGCTGATAAAACTGCCGGATAATCGTCCATCAATTCGGGGCTTTGTTTGGCAGAAATCCCGGGTCGGGGGATTTTCATCTCGCGTTAGAATTCCCAGTCAGGCTTGAGCCGCCTTCGTTCCATTCTCCCAGTATGTTTATGGTAACGCAAGGCTGCCATTTTGCCCAATTGTGAATTTCGAATGTACCATTTAGATCAATCAAAAGGGCCGGGCGCGCGCAAGCCCAAAACAGTCACGTGTTTGAGCGACCGACCGATTCCTAATGCTCACTGCATATCACCTATTTTCCAGCCTATATATCTAACCGATTTGGTATGCTCTTTGTCCTTTTCTTCCGAGGCTTTGAAGACTCCCAAATTTTGAAATTTCGTGGGCCACTTTGCTCATGAGAAAATAAAACGATAGGTGGGAGTAGCGGTAAATTTATCACTGAGAGGATGTTTAGTGTGTGATATGATTTTCGATAAGCTGGGCGAGGATGAGTTCCAATTGTGACGGGCACCTACAGCGCTGCCCATCGAGCCCTCTCCTCTTATCCGTCCAATTTTTTATTTTGGAAATAACACCGCCGGAGTGTCTTTCCTGCAGAGGGCATGCACTAGAACCGCGCTTAATTTCTACTCACCTCAGCAAAGGGCACTTCTCATTACCAATCATCAACAGATGTGATCGACTTCCATTAACAAATTGATTTTAGACGACGCAGAAAGCGGCGAGACGCTGATAAGAATGCTGACCGACCTGCCGATTTCAACTTGCCTTCGATTCCTCACCAAACGCCAGTGAACAATGATGACCTTCCTCCAACAACGACTTCGTCAGCTTTGTCATCGAGATCGGTAAGCAATCTTTTTTACTCGAAAAAGGGTGCGGGAAGGATTCCAAAAGGTACGAAAGTACTTGTAATGTACTGCCGAAGGGAGCAAAATTGGCTTCATTCGGATAATCTTCAAACGCTCAGGGCGGCGCTCGGGTCTGCCTAAGAGATGTTTGGGCAACAGAGGAGGGATGGTGATGCAATCACCAGGCCAGTGCAGCTGAGCCGAATAAACCAAAAGGCGCCGCCGATTCATGGCTTAAAAACACCTATCCGAAGGATTAGCCGCCTAGAGCAACATCTAAAAGATAGGAAAAGGATTCTAGCGACTTAGAAATGGTTTACTTGGGTTGAAGATTCCCTGAATTTAAAACATAAAAAATTAAGATGTTCGCCCTTTTTTCTTGTTCGTGTTTGACGATCTAAAAGTACCAGGGCCTCTCTTGTCGAACAATAGTAATGTTTTCAATGTTTCCACTACTTGTTTCACGATCTCGAAACACTAGTATGTCATCTCGATAAGGCAGGTTATGATTTTTTGGGAGAAGATTCCCCAAACTTCCGCCCGGCATGTGGAGGTCACCGAAGCGCTCATCCTCTTCGCTTTTTTCAATCTTGGGCATTCCAATCTTTTTTCGGATGTTTTGAGATCATCGACAAACATGGCAGTAAATTTCTACCTTATCAAAGTTTCACTCGAATTATTTCCTAACAATCTCCTTTAGAATTTGGACAGTTCGATTTCTCCTCAACCAACTGGGCTACCAACCGAATCAAGTTCGCCTGAACTAGCGTTGAAATCGCTTCCCGCCGATTCTCCACCTCCCGTTCATTCGACAAGCTTGGATCAGCTCCCTGGTGGAAGCTCTGCTGAACCTGTGAACAAAGTTTCATTGAACCTGTCCCCGATTGGCGCTTCCTCCGGAGCCTCGTCCGACTCAGCTCCGTCAGTTTTGTCAATCCCCGCGGCGCCCACTGGTCCCGTCACCGCCGCCGTCGCCGCCTCGCTGACCTCGCAGGCCTCGCCCCAAGTGCAGGACTACAGCCAGTACTACAGCGCGTTCTACAGCCACGATCCGAACAACTACCACTTCGCGAATCCGCACTTCTCCGTCTCGAGCCTCATCCAAAAGCCGGCACAGATCGCTGGCTACCCAAAATAAAGGAGGCGCCAGCGCATTTTATTCACGCTTATGCGTCTTGCACTCTATCTCAAACCAGCTCTTATTCCTTCATGGTGCCTAATCGAGAAACCTAAAACTGCGTTATTCTTTCTCCGTGCCTTACCCTTTTCATCCCGCGTCCTCTTTTTGTACAGAATTTGCTATTCTCACGAAAGTTAACCTCAAGAACAAACTTTTTCGCCAAAACAAACATTTTGCCCAAAAATTATATTTTTAGCTATTTTGAAATCAAAAATTATACTGTTTGAAAAAGACAATACTCAAGCATGTTGTGAATAAATAATACTATTTAAAATAACTCAGAGTGCTTTTTTGGGTGTAAGACAAACCGCAACCTTTCACGATAGAGCCACAGGATTGGGAGAGGGACTCCTCGAGTTATCGGACAATAAAATCAGCTTGGAGAAAATATCATGGTCGAGGGAGCGGTGGAGTCTGTGGTCGATGCGTTAGAGTTGCTCCAGAATGTTAGTGCTCGCTCAGAAGGATACTGTATCCTGGATACAGTTTTTTAGAACAGGATTCGAAGATCAGAGCAAGATGTACTCACATTATACAAATTTTGCGTTAATTTCGAAGCCAACTCTGAAAGGGCAAGAGGCGAGCGCGTCAATCCGATAAGGGGGACCTTTCAAGCTCGGCAGGAAATCAAATTATCACTGAAACAACCAAATCAACGTTACTGCTCAGGAACGATCATCCACTCGCACTTCAACATTCTCAGGATAAAGAAATTATGAGAACGAAACTTCACTAATTTTATTAGATCACAAAAAGAGTAGAAAGAGGTAGTTGCTTTTTTTGGCAAAAATCTTATTGGAAAGGAGCAGTGGCTAATGGTGGATCTTCTGGTCGATTGTATTTGCCCGTATCTTGAAAGTTTCAGCATTTTTTCTTCATAAAAAATATTCAAGAAATAAATTTACGATTTTGAAACTTTCCTAAGAACAAAAGCGGGCACATTCCAATGATACAGCCGACAATGATGCTAGTAAATGATATTTTTATTGCAATTCTTTCCGACTCTGAAATTCAGAGAAATACATACCCGACCATCTGACCACCGGTTTTGGCGTATCTTGCTTCATGAGAATCTTCTTCTTGCGCCGTAAACACTGGCTTTGGCAAGCCCATTCTATCAGCCAGAAGTTCAATGTAACCACCTGAATGAAACTATCACCCTGAAAAGTTAATTTTCGAGATCACCGGTAACGATGCCAATAGTGTCAGAAAGTGTGTTTCCTAATCCAGCAGCGGCCAGAACAGAAATGTGAAAGTACGTCCTCAAGAATTCATGATGAAAACTGACAACAACGAAGAAACCATACCCGAAGTAACTCTCGATCGCGTCGCCAGCAATCAACATGATGAAATTATCCAAAAATCCAAATCCCACGAAAGGCACGGCGTTGTGAATAAAGCACTTGCGGAGTTCAGCTCTTGGTGGCTTAAAAGAATACAACTAACTCAAGAAAAAGTCGTACTTTGACGTTGAAATGGATGTTGTTTCGCGCGAGTTCTTCCTCGTGTTCGCGGCGCAATCTTCGCAGCTCGTGTTCAACTGCTGATCGGGTGTCTGCGTCCATTCCAAGACAATGTTCTGAAGCAAGAATTTTACTGAGACATTCTAGTTCCGCCTCCCATAATATCTTTTCTAGACATTTTATCTGTGAATATTCTCGTTCAGACAAAGAGATCCGCTGTCTAAAGGTCCTCAACTGCTCAAAAACTGCAATTTTTCTTCATAAAAACATCAAAATAGAGAGTAAATCTAACGATCAACGAACTGAGCCAAACTCAGCGACGACCAACACCACCTGCAAGTCTAATTTTCCCCAAAAAACCGTCAAACAGACGCAAATCGAAGTAGAGAATGCCAAAAATTAAGAATTTTCGCCAAAAGAACTTTGCCAGAATCCAAGGGGTGGCGCATTTGAACCCAATGGATTTGATCGATTCTAGCAGTCCTGAAGATGACACGACCTTCCACGCGAAAATCAAGGGAAAGTACAACATTCAAAAAGTACCAGGAGCTCATGTCCCCATCCCTGCTTCTTCTGTGAAGAAAGATGCAAACTCTAATCCCACAAAGAGAAACTCATCTTTCCAAGCTGGCTACGAGACGAGTTTTCAAGGAAAAAGAGAGCCAGAATCACTAGAATCAGACGACTGGGGTGTTCTAGAAACGCCCGCCGGTCTAGAAACGCCCGGATTGCTCAAAAGCGCCGATTCCGACTCGAGCCAAGAATCATTCGCAGAGAAAAAGATGAGACCGATTTCCTCAACTCCCATTCCTCCTGATGACAGGGCCAGTTCCTCAAATTTTTTAGCTTCGGTAGGTTGAGTCACTTTTTCCTCGGCCAATCGCGGTGCCTCGAAAATCACGGACAGTCGCTGTCCTTCGCAGAAGTCTACTTTATTATAAAAATTGATAAGTAGAGATGAGAGACTTTGACGGAGACTTTGGCCGAAAGAAAGCTCAAGAACTTAAAATTACAATTTTCCCATCATGCGAGGAACTTGGATCAAGAGTTGTTTCGAAAGAGTCGCCAAAGCCGAAAGAGCCCGTGTCCGAAGCATCTCAATATTCGGACGATGACGACTGGCAATTCAAGCCAAAAGAGTCTCAGAACTCAACCAAGAGTTCAGAGAAAATCTCGCTCATTGATGCCATTTCCGCGCTGGAAAAAAGGTTCGACACAATTTGTGTTACCGAGAAGCCAAAGTTACAGTCAGAAGAATCCGAAGAGCCCGAATCTGAAGAATCGAAAGAGTCTTCAGAAGAGCTTCCCAATTCAGAATCTGAAAAATCAGCTAAAGAGATAAGTTCCGAGACATCTGAGGAAGTTTGGATCGAGAAGCCGTCCGAGTCATCGTCGTACGATGTCGTTGTCAGGGATATCCAGGATATCTTGAACCTCAAGAACTTAGAAATCAGGTAAACTTATGAAAATCAATGATGGACTAAAGTTCTTTTAATAGACCAGAAGCCACACCTGCAGAATCAGATGCGTCCTTCGGCCCCCAACTCCCCCCAAACTTCGACCCTCCAACCAGCCCGTTGAGCATTGAGGAAGGAGTCGAGATTCATTTTCCTGTTCCCGTTGGCCGTCAAAAAAGCTCATCGGAAGAGACTTCGGAGAGCTCGAAAGATTTATCCAAGAATCAAGAATCGCCGCACGACCTGTTGGACCAGAGCAGCGGAAACATTTCGAAAGAAAGTTTTTCTTTTGTGGACGAAACACGTGACAAGGAGCTTGACTTGGGCATTGATGCAAGGATGGAAAACGCTTCGTACTGGAGTGAACCTAGGAGTGAAAAGGAGCAAGTAAAGGTTCGAACTGACGAGGAGAATTCCGACGTTGAAATCAACGGCGATGGGGTCGATTGCGAGTGGACCGATTATGAAGATGAAATTTGCAAAAAGGATGAGCTTGGCAGTGAATCGTCTGAATTATCTGAGCCAGAATCAATCGAGAAGATTTACGGTGAGGAAATAGAACCTGACTGGAAGAGAGATCTTCAAAAAAGGGTGGAAGAATCAAGAAGAAATGACATGGAACGGAAAAATGAAAAGAAGGCACAATCTCCTGCTGAAACTAAAACAACGAAGAAAGTTGAAGAAATCAAGAAGGTAGTTGTGGAAGAAGACGAGGATATTTTCCCTTCGCGAACAAAAATGATGATCCGAGCGCACTTGATCTCTACTAAAGGAGCCACTGCCTGGCAACTTCGGGGCTTTCTTGAGAGTAACATGGGAATGGTAAGATTTTATCTATTTCTAATGCTGATTGAATTCTTTAGCGATGCGGAACTGTTGAAAAATTCGAGAGAGACCTTATGCTCTGCCCAGATCTCGTCAGTGTAAAGGTTAAACCCAACCCATAAATCTTCCCATAAACAGCTTCTTTTTAGGGGCTGAATCCGAAAGGGGATAAAGTCTGGGTAGCCCAAGCTTCGGAAAGTACGTCGCACATAGCTCAACTAGTTGGAAAGTCAAAAGCCGAAAAAAGCACGAAGAAGAAGATGCTTTCAAAAGTCGTCAAGCCTCCGCCGAAATTCTCCCCTGTAATAAGCAAGCCTGTCCCGAAATCTGCTGATACTAAGTTTTCATTCAAGGTTAGTACTTTCTCCTGCCGCTTCTTTTAAAGCTTTTTTCATTTAGAAAAATAAAGCCAAATACTCGAACTACAAGAGTTTCAAGCCACAAAACGGTCAGAAGCAAAAGCTGGAGAAATTTGACGTTGACGATGAAATCGACGACGACAAGAGGAAAGTCACCTTGACTTCAAAATCAAGGAAGAAGGAAACTCGACCCAAGACTTTCTATTCCGAGGACAGTGACGATTCCTGGGATGGAAACAATAATGAACAAAACTTGAAATGGCCCAGTCAGGTAAGAAGCATCCTCCTCTCACGATTTTAATTTTTTTGCAGGAGAAGAAACCCGAGTTTCAGGGCGGTCATTCCAATCAGGAGAAATATGATCGCGCACGAACTGCTTTTGGCAATTCAAGCAACAACTGGCCCGCGAAGAAAAACTGGAAAGATGCTCCAACTTCGAAGCCGAAGTATCCTGAAAATGAGGATAAAAATTCGGTGAAGTCGAAAAAACCGGAAGCGTCTGCTGCAGCCGAAAGTAAGAACTACGAGAAAAAAGTAAAAGAGAACCTATCTCAATGAATTAAGATGATGATTCTCTTGTTGAAACGGCGCGAAATGTCACCAGCGCTGTAACAGACCACCTCAAGTAAGTCCCTTTCTGTCGCCTTTACCAACGACTTTCCAGGGAGCATCTTTTCGAAGAGTGTTTTTTCAACGGAGGGACGATCCATTACGAGGAGCTACGCCAAAGCGTCAACGAAAAATTCTGCAGGCCGCCCTTTTGTTTTGAAAAAGCGACGAGCTACAAGTTCTTCCAGATCCTTGGCTTATATTCCAAAGACTTTCTTGTCGACGGAAATTATGTCGTTTTGCTCAACCCAGATGGAACACGAATGGTAAGTTATTTTTATGTCAACTCAAGTTCTTATTGTTTAGAAAAACACCCTTGATGATGGCTGTGGACGATGCTCAGATACGCTCGATTCTTTCCGAGAAGACATGGAAGAAATGAGAAAATCGGTAGGACCAATAACTTCAATAAATATGACCACCTGTTTTAGATCAAAAACTTCTCGTCTGACATCTTCATGAGACTCAGTCAACAACATTATCATATGGCAACCGCCGGAGGAGGAATCCCGCCAGGAATGGTCGCCGTCTCGACTCCTGGAAGCCCGTCAACATTCGCCCGAGGCGGCTACGTTTTTCATCCCGTACCGTAACTGCTTATTCAAAGTTAACTTTGCACTGCCTTCTCTTTAGCCCGATTTTAGGCTAATCCATTTTATTTAAAATTTATTAAATATTTATCTCTTACCTTCAACATTGTCAATCTTGACTGGTTTCAGCTGACTCAGGGTCGTTACCAAGCATCTCTCTCTCGTCAGGTTCCGCAAAACGAGCGTTGTTCTCATCTTGGCTTTCTTATAGAAAAAGAAGCAGAAAAAAAGGTTTTATTACAATTGGTTTTTGGGGCCTTTGGCCTCTTTTGCTCGTAAACGAATCGATCAGTCTCTAGGGGCGAGTTTTAAAAGTTATCGAAATCAAATTGACGCCCTTGAAAAGCTTAAAAAGGCTTTGCCACTACCAATGTCACTAACTCTTCCAAGGAAGCTTTAAGTATTTGCGATAGAGTGCGAATTATATATAAGTAGACGGAGATAAGCTCTGCCCTAGAATAAAACAAACCTGGGACGCAGTTAGAAATTGTTGCTGTCGAAGCCATACATGAAGCAACCGTCGGGTCTTCCACCAATTCAGTTGCAAAAACACCGATGTCTTGGCCAAGAAGGGCATCATTGAATTCAGTACAGCCAGGATTGACTCCTGCATCCCAAACTTTGCCAACAATAGCCCAGTAATAACTCGGCGTAGCACTGCCGCAGTTATGGTTTCCACCGACGTAGCCACCGTAAAGTAGGGTTTTTGAACCGTCAGTATAGTACGGCCGATTATTTTCCTTTTCAACGCCAACGAGAGTCCATCCAGGACTCGAAAAGACCTGCCCAAAGCCATCAAGACTGAAAATTTCAATTTTAAACTGCCCCAAAAGAGTTTTCTCACTCAAATGATTCGCAACAGCCCCACTCTACTAAGCATTCGTCTCCCTCATCGGAGCCATCAGCGCAGTCTGAGTTTCCATCACAGAGTCTGTAAGAGGTTAAAACATCTCAAATCATCGAGTTCTTAGTTTTTAGACCTCTGACCTTGCAGGTAACAGTGGATCACCATTATCACACGTCTCAAACTCAACTTGGCCAGCACAGAAACCGTCGTACGCGTATGTAAGCTGGTGAATATCAATGCTTGTAGCTCCGTTTCGCTGTGGCCAGATTGGTTCACCATTCAAATATGTCATGGTGTAATTGCCAGCAGCCCATGCTTCATCTGTAATGAAGAAATCAGAGCCGTAGTGCATTACCGAGGTAAAATCGTAAGGAGAACTGACATCTTCCCATTCTTCTGTCGGGATTTTCGCGTAGTTATTCGCAAAATCAGGTTTGATATTGTCAAAATAGACCTTGATGTGATCATCTCGGTCGGCACGCGTCTGCTCGTGGGAAAAACCAAGGGCGTGAAGAAACTCGTGCTGGATAGTACCGACGCTCATGCAATTCGGGCCCAGATTCAAATTTTGCCCGTTCCAAAAGACGTGGCCAATGTATGACCAACAGCCTTGGTCGACGATGAAATTCTCATCGAACCTCTTCACGTTTATATAATGCGGATAAAGAGCCGTATCTGTATCGTCGTATAGAGTGATGCATCCGTTTATTTGAGAGGTTAGAGCATCCAGCGCGGATTTGATGAAATTTATGTCGTCGGAGGGAAAGTTGTCAGCGGCAAAACGATATGGAACCAAAAGCTCTGACCCAGTTGGAGTGTATTCGTTTGGATTCTCCCATCTAGGAACAATATCCGAATAAGAAAGGTCCCGCTGATCGGCGTATCTCTTGTAGTCAACTGCAGCAGACGAAAAATTGATCTAGCAGCGTTCAATCCGAGACGCTTGTAAATTTCAGTTGCTTGTCTCATTGTATAAAGAGGGCATCGAAAATCGCCCTTTTCGAATGCCTGTCGATTTTCGAAGTTTTCGTTTAGCGTAGAGAGAAGTAGTCTCTTATCAAGCCTCATTTTCTCTGATATTTGCTTGCTGATCTCTGAAATTTGAAATATGCTGAAGAATTATCAAGAGTTGATTACAATCTCCGTCGGACTCTATTCGAAATGATCATTATTTGTTTATTTTTCAAAACTTGTTAAAATCGCTCTAAATGGAACAAATGCTAAGAATGAATTACTCACTTGTAATTCGTATTTGGTTGTTCTCATTTTATATTTGAAGTTTATTTAATATATTTTTACAAAAGAATAGGATAGAAATGAGGTTTTTAGTGGCGAACTCGCTGAATTGATCCTCTATTGATGACAATCTTGACGATGTCATCGGTTGTTCTGTCATCTCTGTTGGAAGATTGGACGATTGTCTAAATACAATTAGGATAAATCTTCATCGAAAAACAAACCTGAATTGGATCCTCTCCATCTTTGAATCGTCCACCTCTCATCATATTTGACTGGAAGCAATGGTGCCGTTTCTGCCGGTTGTTCCAGAAGAGAATCGAGGCTAAAAACTCAAAATCTCCAAATTTTGAATGATCTTACGGAATTCAGGACTTGACAATCGCTCAGCAACAATGAGGAATGAGTGGGGATCGGTTCTGTCATTTTTGTTATTCCACCATTTTGAGTGGAGCAACACGTCAAATTCCCCGTTGGGGCCCTCGTAGAAATTCCAGAAATTCATGTTCCACACTTGAAAGCTTCCTCGCTCCATATCTTTCGGTAAACGAAGAAGAATCGAAAATCCATCGCCGTCGTAGTGCTATTAAATGATGAGTAGAAATCTGAAATTGCAAAGAAAATCTTACATGAGGAGGGACTTTGATGATTGCGGCAAATCCGTGATGCAGGCCACCTCTTCGATTCGCTCTCTTTCTTGACCAGGAATCTACAATCGTAATTGTGGCGTCGCAAGTAGGGTACTGACATCCTGATCGACGAGGCCAAGGCATTAGCCAGTCAGGCTTTTCCTTCTCATCCTCTCTTGAGCAGTAGGAGTTTAGCTCCGCTGCCTTTTTCGTCGTAGTGGTCGTCGTCGTGGTCGTGGTCGTGGTCGTCGTCGTTGTTGTTGTTGTAGACGTTGTCGTAGTTGTCGTTGTAGTTGTCGTAGTTGTTGTCGTCGTCGTCGTCGTCGTCGTCGTTGTTGATGTTTCAGTAGCTGCTCGTCCATCAGGCACGCAACCTCGAGGAACAGTTCTCGCGAAAGCAGCAATAGGTTTGAGCCCGTTTCCGATGAATCCTTGTGGGCAAACACATTCGTATGAAAATTGAGTATCAACACATTGCGCGATTGGATCACATCCATGCGTGCCATCAGCGCACTCGTTTTTCGCAACGATGTCAAAAGTCACCGAGTCGTGGCAACTTTGGGCGAAGGGTGCAGTTTTGGTGAGAAATCGACTGTCCGGCATGCAGTCATCTGCCCAGTATGAAATCTTTTTGCCTTAGATCGGTGTCACATTTAAGTTGTTTTCGCGACTTTTACCTGTAAGAGATGTCCAAGACTGATCGCCAGATGTTGGGTCCCAAGCGTAGGGATCGTAGTCTTGAATGATGTTGAATTGAGCGCCGGATTTTAATGATCTCAGCTCTAGTTTCTCGATGCACAAGATGTCTTTCTTTGTATACAGGAAGGAAACCTACATATTCAAATTTTCACATGTCAATTAAAAGAATATCTTACCGTCGAAGCACTGTCAATGTCTCCTTCGTATTCTTCGGTCATATCTTCTTCGTGTTTCTTCTGATTGTAGGGCAAATTGAGCGGAAAGGAGGGGTTGGATCCGATTTGCATTGTCAAACTTCCGGAAGGAGCCCAAGCCTGATTCACGATTTTGGGCGAGCGATCTCTGTCTGTACATAATTTGATTGTAACCGTAAACTGCGATTTTACGGCAGCGATAAGCAGTGGCAACTGTATCCCTAGCTTCATCTCTAGGTTACGTTTTTTCCGTGTTGCAGGATTGAATGATAAGAAAGAATTCGCGTTACGTTTTTATTAGTTCTATTAGCAGTGCGAACGGCAGATGGCGCTGCTTGGAATTCGGGAAGACTCGTGGAAGACTCGGGCGGCGCGGCGTGTTCAAGGAGAGCTCTTCTTCAGGCACGATGAGAAGTACTCGCCGTAAAAATCTAAACACTTGCAAATGACGAGCATACAAATCGGTCTTACCCCAGTATTTTGAAGATAAAAGCGATTCACTCGTTCCTTTTAGAAATTTCAGCGAAATATCTTTCTGTATACCAAATTTTTGATCCAGTGAGATTGCATCGATTGGTGATATAAAATCTTGAATTTTATTATAATAAATTGGTTCAGCATTCTTACCGTCATCAAGAGGACTTATCAGTTTGAGTTTTCTGATGTTATTCGTGTCAATATCGTTAGTGAGATTTGATGATGATTTTATATTTGACGAAATCGGAGATGCTAAAAGACAATTAGAGCCGAGTTTACTCAGACTTTGATTACCTAAATCGCTAGAATCAGCGAGCAATGAAATCGCCAATGTACAATTCAACGTCTTCAATTTCGAAGCTGTCGAGAGCGCCAAATTCGCACCATTTTCAAATCCAAAAAGCGCAATCTTCTTTGTGTCCAAGCCAAATATCATTTGGCTTTTCTTGAACCCACCATCCTTCAAAATGAACTTAGCGGTATTAAAAATGTACTCTTTTAAAATGAAACATTGTTTTTTGAAGATTGAACGTGTCGTTTAAAATTAAACCAGAACGTGTTTCAATTATAAAATTTAAGTGAAGTGCAAGTGTAAAATTTGCATTCGTAAATTTTTACCGTCAACTTAGAGAGAAAGTCGACCACTTGGTTGCTTCTGGACTCCATAGAATCACCAGAGCAATAATCATCGGCTTTTCTGGTTCATTTTTGTTCCGTTTTGGAAAATCAAATTTATCCGAACCATTCCTGACCCCAGCTCCGATCCAAGACCATCAAATTCGAGCACATTGAGCTGATAAGCTGATGCAAAGTATTCCTTCAGTCCAAAATCAAATCTCTTCTCGCTCTGGACGCTTCGATCTGAGGGCATAAAAACGACGATTGGGAAGCGCTCAGAACGCTGCGTTTTAGGTCTCGTCAATTTGAAGGAAACCATTTTTCCCCCTATTCGTTCAGACCCGAAAAAGGTCACAAAAGTCTTTCGCGTTTTCAAAGCTGTTTGATTATTGAATTTTTCGTTGTCTTCAAGCATTTCGAAGGTCTGGTTGTTTGACGAGAACTTCCAATCAGTGATATCTGTCGGGTTGTTGATCAGATATGAGAAGGGGACCATTGTTTCATTGGAGTACAAGCACTAAAAATACTATCAACGTACAGCCTTAGCTATTAGGTCAAGGAAAATTCAATGATTAGTAAGCTTGCGTCACATTGCTGAATAAAAAAACTACCTTGACTAGGCAAAGTGTCATGTCCGCGCGGCAGTTGACTTCAGAGTTGTCGCAAGGCCTCTGGCTTGCGCTTGTCTCGCTCGGACAGGTCAAACACTGCGCCTTGATTAGAAGATGCCTAAGTGACGCAATCGATGGATACAAAGTACCTCCGTGGTTTGTGATTGTTTGAACAGATGTACGCTCTGTCCCAGCCGCCGTCGGAAGTACACGGCGCTAGATGAATCAGCGCCTATCATGTCCACGTATCCTTCCGTGTACTCTGAAGTTTACACAAAGTTATTCTGTAAAATCTCGTTTCAAAGCCCACTCCTTGCAAAATACCTGAGAAGGAATTGAAAGAGGAATGGACAAAAGCGCTGATTGCTGCTGAAGCAGGTTTTGCATCAACATCGATTGAGTACGGAAGCAGAATTTTAACTGAGCCGCCATTTTTGGCAATTTTTCCTCGTTTGAGAGTCGCAATTTTCGTATTAGAAATTTTCACCAAATTGGTCAATGCCTTTAAAATGTTATTCTTCGACTGTTTTTATTTTTTACCGCGGCGGGAAGAGCACAAGAAGCTTCTTCAGACTTGTATACTTGCTCACAACTGCCCTGTTTGACGAAGCATCGCTCGTAAATGTTCAGCTCACGGTCGGGATCGCTCCAAAGCGCGATGAACTCCTCATCAGAGAGCCAGAGTAAACTCATCAAATATGTAACAGAGGTCGTCGTCGGTTCTTTGTCAGAGTTGTTTTTATATTTTAAATCGTTTATAACGAATTATTGACCCTTTCCTAAAATTATTGCATCTTCAGAATTCCGGAATGACCTCAAATCAATCACTTTCAATATCGTCTTCGGAAGTTTTTCTGTTGATTTCGGGTAAAATAAATTTTTGGTATTTCGCTCATCAGAATCTCGCTTCCCATTTGGCCGAAGAAAACGTGATACAGTTCTAGTGGGCACTTCTGACATATCAAATTCAGCAAAGGCGAGTGTATTTTCATTTGGACTCCACCATAAAGAGGCTGTCACGTGATTTTTAAACATTTAATAAGAAACTTGATTCTTTCATTCTGATTTTTAAAAACACGTTCCTTTATCTTTGAAAACTTCTTTTAGGAATAAAGCTGGGGGAATTGCTGCATATTGACTTGTCGAAAGAGTAACTTCTTCTCCAAACATCGATTCTTTATAAACAAGTCCTCCTTTGGCACGCTTGAAGACGATTTTCGATCCAGAGGAGCTTCCGAACTCCGCCCAGGAAATTGGAGATTTATCGCTCGCGATCGCACTTTTCAGCTGACTGCTACTCGTTGACAGGTCTTATTGTAGGTTTTTATAAGAAATAGAGCACGGAAAAAGCATAATTCAAAACCGTATTGTCAAATGCATCATAATCATTTGCTTTTTTCAGAATAGCGAAATTGGCGTCCCCAGAGACATCCCAGTCTTTCACATTTTCTCTAAATTAAGATTAAGATAAACAATTCAGACTGCACTTACGTTGAAAACTCTGAGTTAAAAGCAGCAAGGACAATAGTCTTTGGTTGTTGGAAGTCCTTTCTGATGATGTTCCCATCGCTGTCGAGGAAAAAGAGGCTGTTCTTTCTCCAAATAGATTTTGAAAAGACTGAATTTCGTTTGAAATAACTTGAGAAAGCGATAATTTCTTTGAGCGTTAGTGCCGGTCCAAGGGGAGTTTCATCTGGCCTAGCAGCAATTTAATATGTTTCTAGTTAGTTATTGTTCTTACTCTAGTATCAGGACAGACAGAGCCACAAGACAGCCGATAAGAATGATGCATAAGATGGCAAGTGTAATCCCTTTCCAGTCCTTCTTCTCGTCCGCTCCAGACACGAGCTCCTAAAACAAATGCCTCATCTAATTAAAAACGGTAGAAATCATCTGATCTTTTAAAACCTTCCAGAAATTCCCCTGTGTTCCCCTTGATTGAATATTGGCCCCGTGATACATTTTTGATGCTCTGTTAAAAAGTGTTTCGGAAACAATTTACAATTGTCAATAACGAGCAAGAGCCTGCATTTTTACTCGGAGTGGTTGTTATTGACAGATTTTGATAATCGGCTGATCCGCGTCCGTGGTGTTTAATCTTACTGTAGCAGCTTTTGTCGTACAAAAGTGTATTTCCTCTGAGTCTATTTTTTCCAAAAACATTTTTGAGGCCCCACATAAAAATTTAATAAAGGCTTTATACTCTTATACCCTTCAAAACGTCAAAGTATCATTAATTGCTCATGAAGACCTATAGAAAAGAGCAGATCGTGAAAAACAGTAAAATACCTCTCCGAAATCGCACTCCTCGTCGAAGGAGCCCGACTCATCCCCCTTTTCGTTCTTTCGCTTTTTGACATTTTCGAACTCTGGAATGTGCTCATTCGATTCCTCGCTGATGCGCAGCGCTTTCCGGTTTACTTGTAAAATATCTAGCCGGAATTCGACAAAAAGGGCCACGTCTACTTTCTTATAACAAAATTTTACATAAGGAAAATTTCAGCTATTGCACTTTTGAACGTTTTTTTTCGAGGATTCTTGTTCCGGTTCCTTTGAAAAAATTACTCAAAATAAATTCGGCAACGAAGAATTTTTCTCTACAAAATCCTACAACCATCTGCTTTTGTCAAAACTAAATGAGAGATCGGGTTCTATTCAAAAGTGGACATTGCCCAGAATCCAAATGCTTTGGGAATATTTTCATTCGGAATAAAAACAATGCAATTAGAGCCATTGGAAACTTGGAGTTGGGGTTGAGAAGGGGGAAATATTGCTGTGAATAAGAGAGCACATTTTTCTTTCGAATCGCTTCAGCTTGGGTACAGATTTATCATTATTTAATTTTTCCTTCCTTTTGACCTAAAATAAATTGACCCGTCTCTGGAAGCGATATTCGCATTCGCGTTGCATGCAAACATTTTTTCGCAGAACCCCTCAGGTAGCCCTTTTTCTCGAAGTCATCATTCTCTTAGATGTGAATCTCTGTACACGTGAGGTGGCCAAATCGGGCGATTGCCCTTTTGGATTATTCAGGAATTCATGGTAATCGTGCCCGAGAGGCAATATTTGACTGGCAGTAGTAGTGGCACTGCTAAATTATTATTTTCTTTTTAATTAATGCACCTTTCAATCGCTTCGACCTTCTTTGGGCTGATTGCCTCGCCTCATTTTCAATAAGCTCTAGTGGACAGTTTCTGTTATACTGACCCGTCAAGTTCAGAGCGGTTCAATTTTTGGTCTAATCCGTCTGCTGAAATTGATTTACAGGTACTTACAGGGGCAGAAAGATCATCCGCAGAAGAAGAAGGCAAAATCGCGTGGCTAACGACTAATCATGCGATTAATAATTTCCCCTTTTCTCTTAGTCAAGAATATCGAGTATTATTAACCCATCTCTGTCATAAAAAAATTGAAATAAAAGACCGAGAGTTGGATAACACGCAAACTGTAGAAGTCATTTACGACGTCAATCACCCGTAATGGAACCACTCATCAGTTTTTCAACAAAAGTCTGTCGTTCTCTCTCTCTCGAGGGAACACATGCCAGCAGGCCATTTTCTACTCTGATTTGAAAATTAGGAAGTCCTTCATTAGCCCTACGAATTTATGGATGAGCTTTCTTTATCATAATTTAGGATAATGATCCTTCTGACTTCAGCAATCGAAACCAATCTATTGAAAAATAGGAAAAAAAACCCTCTATTCCTTCATTTATTATACCTGATCGTTCTCATCGCAAACTCTAGTCGCAAAACTTTGACCACTTTTTAGCGAGCTCAAATAATTTCCCATAATACTTCCTAACCACATTCCCGTCCCGTATTATATTCAACCGACGAAACATGCTATTGCACCGATTCAATTATCAGAATGAAAAATTTACAACAAACCTCGTAATTGGATGAGTCTTGCGAGCCAAATTCATCAATCGAGCCTTCTTTTTGCTGTGTGTTCTATGTTTATGGTTGAAATAATGATAGTTGCGAATATCGTCAAATTTACTTTTACTCGCTTTGTTGAAGCTCTTCGCTGAGCTTTTACTGTATTTCCGCCGCCTGTAAACGAGTCGCAGCCTGCATGTCACTAATTCCTGTATGTCAGGGCAGTCTTGAAAATTCACGACTCTTTTCCTACTCTTACTGATCCCGCGGCGAACATGCACCTGACCTCGGCGATTTAAAAATATTATCACTCAGTGTTCACTTCATTTGAAAATTGTCTCTAAACAGCTAATCTCTCCCTTCTGAAAAAGGATGCAAAAGATCGTCCGCTGAGGCTTTACAAGGCGCATAAAGGACCATAAAATAAATTAACCGTCTTCTATAAATCAAGCCTAAATAGCCAAGCCGCAACCAATTCCTGTTCTTTTTTCCAGACGTAAGGGCCGATAAGTTTAAGTGTTTGGCGCCGCAGATGAACTATTCATGGCTTCTTTTCATGATAAAAACGGTGTCAATATGTAAAAAGGGGCAACAATATTGGTAAGTTAGGGTTAGGGTTAGGGTTAGGGTTGTTGTTAGAGTAATTTTAATATCGAGTCGGTAATAATTAGTATTCAAAAGAATTGAGCCCTCGCAACTGTATTTCTTTTGAGTGCTTTTTGTGGCTTTTTGAATTTTCTTTGAAATCAACAAGGAGTATACTAATTCAAAATCGAATTCAAAAATTCCCTGCCTTTTGTATTTCTTATGACGACCATGGTCAGCCCGGCAGTCCCCGCCGCTGAGGTCGTCGCCATTTTTTTATTTTTCTAGGAGTGTTTTTTCTCTGTGAACGGCCAAAAATGGGAGTGATCAAAAATGGAAATCTGTCTTTGCAAACGTCCACCGCGGTCAGTGAACACTTCGAATAACTGACACAATGAAGTTTCCTTAATAATGCAGCAATTACAGCAGCTCTGTAGTCAATCTGACTGTAATAAACTGCGGCAAAAACACGTGTGCCGGGCACTGTGGCTCATCGATTCAAATTTCAATTGAATCAGACAAATTAACATTCAATTTGCAACTGCCAACGGGATGTTTCGAGGCTTAGTCGCGTTTTTAATGAGATCGGAGTTGAAAAACCTTCGAACTATTTTGAACATGACTTTTCACTAGACAGAATTTCTTGCGCAGAAAAAAAATTTATCAAGCGGCCAACATAGGGTTCCGTCAAAAATTTTCATCACCCGAATTCCAAAGCTTATAGATTCCCCCTAGAAAAATATATGATTTTAGACTTACGCTTACTATGGAATACGAAGAACTTGCAGTAGACATTTTACATTTCTTCTTTGTCTACTCGAGATTCTCTGTATCCATTTTTCGATTCGGAGAAAAAAAACTGTAACTGCGTTTTTTTTGTTAAATCATTAAACGCTGCTCGACAGTTCTACTTATATATAAATGTGTTAGATTCAACAGATTTTGCTCAATGAATTCAGACGATGACCGGGAAAGGATCGATTTGCGGAGCAAAGCCGATAACGCGACTATTATTAGTTTAATTTTTATTTGATTAAAAAACCTCTGCTAAACATCGCTCACGCGGAACGCAAACAAGATGATGAAACGGTATAGAATCGAGGTTTCAAAAAGATAATATGTACTTGACCATTCTTCTAGTCAACATGGTAAAACCATCGTTCTCATGTACCATCGGGTGTAAATCTCGGGAAATAAGGTTAATTATCTTCTGAAAGAGCGTAATTACGCGTCTTTTTCGGCTCATATGAACCATGAAATGATGCTGCTGATGATATCCGAGTTTGATGCCATGACTTCTGATAGATCTTGAGAGAAATGAGCGAACTATCAGGTTATTTTTAACACAAAAATTCAAAGAAAGCTAACTTTCTTTAGTAATTTTTCAGCCGACAAGATCAACTCTGGAGCTCAATTTGCAGGCTCAATTTCGTATTGGCACCCTTTTATCTCTTGAAGAGGAAAGTTTTATCTAATAAATTTTTAATAAGAAAAACAGCATAAAAACTTTTGAAGCTGACAATTCAAGACCGCATTGTCACGAGCGTTGACGATGAAATCTTGACGGAAATAACAACGGCCCGTCATATTTTGAGCTCTCCGCTTGAAGAGCAAAATACAATACGGCAGTCTGAAAGCCCCTCAGTTATGAGTTTTTATTCTATAAAAAGTACTTATGCACGAAAGAGATGAAATGAACTCAGCAGAAGATCCCGATCTGTCTTCTTTCTATGAATCCGCGATCGATGACGACGATCATGCAATAATTGAAGAAAGTGTGGATTTGACGCTTGATGCCTCGCATATGCGAACAGACGATCTTTCTGAAAGCGGCTTTAACACCGAGTCTTCACAAGTCATCAGAACACTGAGAGATGATCCTTCCGAATCCTCGCAGTCCGATTCTGAGTCCGCAGATTTGTTTGAGAATGTAACAAACGATACTCCTAACGAAGAAGAATTGAAATCAAAAAGAGATAGTGAGCAAAAAGTAAGAGAGCCTCTTTATAATAATTTTATCATTAATAAAACTTTTCCGAATAGATAACTCTTCAACCACCCGTACGAATCGCGAATCCAGATAGTTTTGAAAAGCAAGACTCGACAGAGTCAGAATCTGATGATTCTTTCACATCGTCCTCGGAAAACGAAGATGATGTTAATCTTCAAGAAAAAGAAGACGATTTGAAGGAAGCACAAAACGAAACAAGCGAAGAAGAAATCAAGGAAAAAAATGACAACATAGAAAAGAAAGATGGGCAGGAGCAGCTGAACAATGTGAAAGAAAGTAAAAATGATGAAAACGAATCTGAAGAGAAAGACAAGATGGCCGGGGAGCCGGAAGAAACCACAAAAGATAATAAGTCGAACTCAGAAAAGGATCCATCTGAAACCAGCTCCATTGCCTCGACCACCACTGAAGAGAGCATCCCGGAGTCAAATACCCAGACCGATGAAAACCAGCCATTCGTCCGTCCGACTTCAACTTCAAACCCAAAAGGCGGCATCAAAAAATTTCTTCGACGCAGTCTTCCAAAGAAACTGCTGAGAACGAAAACGCTTCAAAGTCGTACGGACTCAGAATCGTCTCTGAATAATTTGGATGTCGAATTGCCGAGTCCTAAATCGTCGCAACTCGACAGTGGAAATGATTTACCTCATCTAATGACCCCAGTAAAGCAATTTCTGCGCAAACCTGGGATTGGACAGATTAATTTCACCAGTGTTGACATTCCCGTGGAGAATCAACTGACTGAAGTATCAAGGTAAATTACGAATTCCAAAGAACACGCTCTGGAATTTTTAGAAAATCGTCACTGGTCTCGCTCGATCAGCTTTATCTCGGCGATGGGAAAGGGGAATCTGCTCCAATTCAGGGAATAACAAGATATGTTGGAAGCATTTACACAGGTTGAAACTCAAGTTTTATCGAATTTAATGTCGGTTTAGGCGACAAGGCCTTTGCTGGAACAGATGCCGCGGTTTTCCTTTGGCTGACGGACGAGAACGGCAAGACCATGGGTGGCAAAAACGGTAAAATTGACTGCTGAGCTGTTTCATTTCAAGCTAATATTCAAGGTTACAAAATTCGAGAACAAGGTGGCGACGCGTTCGAAAGAAACACCAAAAATCGGCTCAGGATCAACATCAAAGTAAGTATCTAATTCAGCGTTCCTAGAGCCACCGGATATGGCCATCTTCTGTCTGTCATTTCGAGCATCTTACACAAGTGCTTCGCTGAATTAAATTTAACGACACTTGATTCCAGGAAAAGCTAGCCGCGTTGCACAAGTTGACTGTCCGACATAACGGCAGTGGACTTTCGCCTGATTGGCTGCTCTCTAGAATCGAACTGACGGAAGTAGATGAGCAGGATCGCCCAGTGCGACCACTTCAAGGACTTGTTTTCCCTTTTGCATGTTGATTCAAGTTCGGAAGTAGATTATTTGCGAATCGTATCGGTAAAACAGATCAAGTTTTCGGGTGCGATGAGTGGCTCAAACCAAAGCGTGTTTACGAACTTGGCCCTGATGGAAGTTCCTCAAAATATTTGGTGAAAATCTTATCCGAGAAGAAATTGACAGATGAAAACGGACATTTTGTCGAGCTCTATGGAACAAAAGGTTAGCTGAATGAGAATTATGATGTTGGTTAAATTTTATGTTCAGGGCGGACACAAAAACGAGTTTTGAAGAAGCCAGAGCTCGATACAACTTGGCAAATTTTTTCGATTCCAGGTAATTTTTACTCGAGAAATAATAACTCAAAGTATGAAGCCTATGATCTCGGAGAAATAGAAGCAGCTGCACTTTTCAACGAAAGTGGAAATGATTGGATAGTACAGGTTAGTTAATTTTTTCTTATTCGGAAATAAAGATGATTTTTAGCGAGTCGTTGTTGTTTCACCCAACGGAGAAAAACTCGTCCTTGATTTTCAGAACTCCTTCATAAATCCGTCCGGCTTGAAAGCATTCCTGTAGTGAAAATAAAAGTCTACTTTTGAATGCATGTGATGTTAGAACACTCGCTATCTGAGCTGTTTCCGATCAAAAAAGACAGTGCGACTAGAACAGATTTGCGAACGATGACATATTTAATTATTGATCGCTTTTACGTCTGCAGTTTATTTTGAACCAACGATAGTGGCAGTTTGATGACGGAATATCTGTTTGATGACTTTCCTGTCTGACAAGTGGGATTATTGAAGTCAAACAAAATTCCCAAACGTGTTCATCATTAGTATCTTTCCGGGCACGCTGCTCGAGGCAACTGTATAAAAGTTGTCACATGTGTTACGTCAAAAATGTTTCTCGAAAATTGTCAAGTTGGGGAAACTCTGAAGGACTTGTTCTTGCAAGAAAGGGAATCGGAAGGTTGTTGAATGTTGTTGGTGCACCTGCGGTTATAATAAAACGAACACTTTTGACATCAGTATGTCGAGCTTGTTTCACAGGCGGAATAAGAGGAAAATTATGATGGCTTTGCATTTTTCAGGAAATTCTCAGAGTTATAAACACCAAGATCAATAACAATTCGCGAAACTGCTCTTAGTTTTTTTCCCAAAAGAATAACATCCTTTGCTCTTCTCAAAGCATCATTCAAGAAAGAATAAAAACAAACTTTCGCGTCATTTGTTTCTAGCTTGACCTCATGCTTTATCGTCAGCTCTCTTAATCCTCATCAAATGAAGAAATCGATCAACCAAGGTGCCGATAGTAACAGCCATTACTATTTAAAATTCCTCATAAAAGACAGGCCCTGACTAGCTTTTCAATCGTGAAGTGCAGGTGAATCTCTCAACAGTTGTCCAAACACATAACTCAGCAGCTAATGATAATTTGACAGTATCACTTGAGTTCAATGAAGGGTCCATATTCCAAAATTCCTCTGACGAGTTTGAAGACTTGACAGCCCCTATTCGATAGCTAATGGTGGCGCAAGCAAAAAAGTAAACAGCACGCAACTTGGTCAATAAGATCAAATGCACAAGTGGTTTTCTTAACGACTTTTACTACACGCTCCGGAAAGGATTAATATCGTTTTATTTTTCTCAGCAGAGATAAGGAAATTATGGTTCTTTGTGCAAAATGCTTGGTTAATTTCGTCTATTTCAAAGGGAGCACTCAGTGCAGTGTTGATGGAGATTTGGATTGTCTTTTATTAGGAAAGATTTCAGATTTATATTTTTGTCCACAAAAGTGCCCAAAAGGCAATGTTCTTATTAAAAAACATGATTGTTAAAATGATTTCATGCTGATGATAATCGTTCGTTTTACATAACCTTGGAAGTTATGTGAAAAAACATGCTCAAATGATGTTGAAAAGTTTACATAAGCTTGTTTCACATGTTCAGGATGCCGTAATGTCGCTCTGATCAGAAGCCGAGGCCGCTTGTTGCAAATATCTTCACTAAACAAACTTGCGGAAAAACGTAATTTCTATTAACACAAATTCGAAGAGAATGTATCAATGAGTCTCGAAATTGGACTCAGCTCTATTCTGAAAGTGCATTTATCAGCTTTACTTTCGGAATTCGGAGGAAAAGAAAGCGATATAAGAACAATCTGTGCAAACTCTTCATCTGTTTACTCTGGGACGCTGAGTTCGCAATTTTATTTATGGGACAGTTTTACGAGCGGGAAATTTCATCCTAAGAAAATAGAAAAAATCTGAAATCAACAAAGACTCATCGAGTTTCGAAACTGAAACCTGTCAACCGGATCAAGTGTGCGAATCAAAATGGACATCAGTTGAGCAGAATGACAGGATTGTCACGCATACTTTGTCACGTGGATGTGGTAGGAAGATTGAAGATGCTGATCTTGAGGATGATGAGAGAATCGTTGAGGAATCCAGTGCTTCTAGGAATGGTTTCGTAGTTGAGTTACTCAACTTGAGTAACTAGTGTGTAATAACAAGTAGTCAATGATCGACTGTTGATCTCTAGGAAGGCAAACATTCGTCAGCCTTCAAGTTCAACTCTCATTCCTATGCGACACTAATTTCGAAAAACTAAGACTGGGAATGAAACCATAAACAGAAGTACATGCAACTACGTAAGTTCCGAGTCCTCATTTGCTCCCGGAACTAGTTGTTTGGACTCTGGCTTGGCTGCACTAACTGCCCTAAAATGCTATGAAAAGCCAACAAAGCAATTCAGAGGCGTTTGTGAGCCAAATGTTATACAAGTCAATCCACTAAAGGTGAGAAGTTTGAACTTTTTCGATTCACATCAAAATCCAGGAAACAAGCTGTTTCGCCTGCGATGAAATTTGCTCAGACGGAAATTGCCGAGACTACGATACGTGTCTAAATGAGCCAGCATCAGGGGCAGATTCGAAAATTTGCTCATCGGATGGTTGCTCCTTATTGCTACGCCAGAGCACCAAGAACATTCTCACGCCAGATGGAGCCTTGAAGACGCCACTTTCAACAACCAAAGTCATCAACCGCAGCTGTTTCCAGAGTGGCGTCGATGTGAGTAAGTTCAACTCGAAGACCGAAACCGCGCAATGCAAACAGCAAGATCTATGCAATAGATCGCACTTATTCAACTTGACCGACGTGGAAATGTGTTTACCACCGCCGCTCACGACCCAGCCGATACTGCCAACAACTACTTCCGCTGCACCTGAACTTCCGACAACAGGAAATTGTTCATACTCGATTTCAACGAAATTATCATAATGATAATAATGATAATTTATTATAAAGTTCAAACAATGAACATGCTCAAGAACCAATTTTTACAACGACGGTAACGCTACCAAGTGGACCGCAATTCTCGACAGTAGGAATTGTTGGTATAACAATGGCCGTTTGCTTTGGTTTTGTGTTGGTTCTCATCGTTGCTATCGCTTTTGTCAGGTACGAAATATGCACCAAATACAGCTTCAACAATCTTATTCAAGTGATGATGGTTTCTTATGGATTTGTGCCGCCTGCAAGACAAGTGATCCGGATTTGCCTGTAAAAAGCGAACCAGTAAAGCAAGAACCAAAGAAAGAAAAAATCATTTACAACAGAAACCCTAAGTTGCCTCCTCGAGGAACACGGCCGACCGTCGAAATGTCAAGTCGAATGTCCACTCGGCGGGATACCATTTCGGTTCCGCCGGGACGTCGGCAGAGCTATGTCGTCAAAGATATTGGCGGTCGACCAACTCTTGTATTTGAAGACATGGACGATGATTACTCCGAAACTACTGCAGCTGAACTAACAAACAACACAACTCGGTAAGGATCACAGAAACTATCTCCGAAATATGTAGTTTGACCAAAGCAAATAAAAAGCGTTCTCAGCATTTTTTGTTTTCTTTTAGGAGCACAAAAAGCAATGTTGGCTTTATATCCGAGGAATTCGTTGATGAAGAAGAGGAAGAAAGTGTTGACCAAGTATCGGAACTGCCGACATCAATGTTTGCCAATCAGAATAGAAGAAAAAGCTCGCACTACTACTCATCTGCCATTTGACTGTATTTTAATATTTTCCGTTAAAACATCATTCATTAAATATCAAATGCTCATGATAATGAGTCTTTCAAACATTTTCCTGTAAAGAAGTCTGTCCGTACGGAGGAGTTTGTTTGAGCAGGGGTTAGTGTAACTCCGCGCCAAGCGCGTATTGCACATTGAGATCCACTTTAGAGTACCATATCTCCTGCATTTCAAATTCAACCGCAGATGAAATCATTTTGAGAATGGATGTGTTCGAGGAAATTTATGACAAGAGACGGGAGAAATTTATTTCTGGTCTTTTAGGTAGGGTTGCGTTTTTAATTGGAAAGAATTTTTTGTTTAAAGATCATCCGGACGGTCACGTGATTGCACAATGCATCTTCAGCAGAATGGATCGAGAAACATTTCTGTCCCTTAAAAGTCATCTGACGAAGCCGGAGTCTCATATTGCTAATTATGTTAGAAGGGAACCCGGTGTTCCTATCGAATACAATATGCAACCAAACGATTCTCTTCTGGATGAAAGCTCTTGCATTCGCATATTCAGAAGATTTGTCAAGGACGATTATATCTACCAGCTCGTTCAGAATGAATTAAACGTATTGCCGCATTCTCTCTCCGGCGTCACCAGTTTAGGAATTCAATTTAAGTCACTTACTTATTCTTAAAAAAAAATAATCGACTGATTATACCTTGTTATTGAATCTGTTCGCAGTATTATTCAAAAAAGAGAAGAAATCAGGGATAAAAAATATGTCTCAAAAGGGAGTACTACATTTTCTCTTCCTCACTATGAATTTATGTTTCGAATCTTTGAAGTTGGAACAGATTGGGTAAGCTTCATATCTGATTAGTCTCTTAATTGTCAAATTTAGATATTGTCTCAGGTCAACCTCACAAACCCCTCCGAAGAAGTTACTTATGAGAAAATATACGTTTATAAAATTGTCAGAAAAAGGTAGGGTAACACTTATTTCAAAGAATTTTCCCCCAAGCTAAATCCAGCGATCTAGTCGAGTGAGTTTTGTTATAGTGAGAAGAACAACAAGTTTGAAAAGAATGGAGCCCTTCCAATTAGAAATGCAGAGTCTCCGTCTCTGTCGGGTCATAGACGTACATCGTTTCTTAATCGTAATAGAAATAATCGTGGAATTGCTCGGCTGACACGCGGAAATAGATATTTGACCATTCTTGACCCGCTTCTACTCTACACATCGAAAGATTGTTGTTTGATCTACAATTTGAAAAATCCCTCCAGACAACCCATGAAGTTAGAAAGATCTGGACTTGCTCCCGTCAAAATTATTGGAAAACAAGATGTCCGAGGGCGATGGGAAATCGACAAGTTTCATCTTTTTCCAATTATCTACCGGAAGGATTTTACTATCATCGTCGAAGTGGTCAAGATTCAAGAAAAAACTATCGAAGTCATAAGTTCGGAAACGATCGAATTGAATAATTTGTTTGATTTTGAAATGGTGTTGTACTGGATAGATCAGAAAAATTTTATGTTGAGCTTCAAATATTGTATTCTCAGCTGACATATAATATATATGATGTAAGTTATATCAATGATATAATATCATATAACCATCAAAATATGCATATGAACAGAACAGAATTCATACCTAGAAGGTATACCTAGAACTTTGAAGCCCTTCAAAGATTAGTTCCTGCTCTTATTGAAGGAAACATGCACCTGGCAAAAGATGTCTACCATATCAATACATCAAGTCAGATGATTGAAAAGTACCAGCTTCCGGATCCCGAAGAACCGAAAAATTTCCAGTTTGATTTTCTATACTTCGCTTTTCATAACGGACGAATAATATTCTTGATGCCCACTCCTGCGCAGCGGCCTCCTACGGAACAAAGACTGCGTAGTTCATACATGTACCTTGGGTACTTGTCTAAGCATGGAGCGAACGATGAGTTCTTCGATAATGCAATTTCTCAGATTGAATACCATCTCTGCGGGGGATGGGGACGTCCAGCATCGTGTTGGCTCGATCCGAACTTTCAGCTCGAAAAGGGCGAATTTTTTGATTACCGGGCAGTCCGGACTTCATCAAATACGCGATGCCTTGGAACACCAAAGAAAGACAAATTGTACAAAACGAAAATCAAGGACTTCATTTCCGCTACTCACGTCTGTTCCTGTCAAGGAAAATGCAAAGACACAGGATTAGAATTCACTCATCATGGCGTGACGAAAAAGATGAAAGTTTTTTCCATGAGTAAGGTTTACTCTAAAATATCGTTGATGAATAAAATTAAGCCAAAATGCGAAAATTTCACGAGAAACGCGTTAGCGATTCTGATGCGGAAAGAAACGCGGAACTCTGGTCATCGTCCTCTCAAATTGCACAAATCGCCAAAGAAAGGATCGACGCAGATAATGAGAGAGTCACAATCAATTTCTTTATCTGAATTCAATCAACTCTATTCTTATGATTTTATGATCAAATTCAATAAATTATGAATTTGACATTTTACGATAAAAGTTATTTACCCAATGGCCCATGAATCGTGTAAAATTACAATTTTACTTAGAAAATGAGCATTTCAGCATTAACTGCGGTTGATTGAACAGCATATTTACAAGTGGGTGTATTTATTCTTCCATTTCTTCTTGAGCAGCGGCCTTTTGATGGCACGGTCACGCGCCAAATATTCGCGATCTTTGTCTGTCAGAAAGAACGATTCCCTCAGTGGCTTGTGTCCAATAGCGCGGCTTGTGAGACCTGCCGCGTCTCGCCCACGCGCTACTTTTCCTTTTCCTTTGCTCAGTCGCCATCTTTTCCTTTTCTCGAATTTCCGATTTTTCCTTTTTTTCATTCGATGACGGCCGGCGTCGCCAAAGAGCTTCAAGAGTCAGAGTCGAAGGAAGTGAGAAGTGACGATCCGGATGATTTTATTGAAGAAATCGACTCGCCGGATGATGTTCAAGATCAAGTCGTTAACAGGAAACCGGGCTTAGACCTTCTTAACTGTTTGAACCACCAGAGGGTTGTTTACTACCATCCAAAAGTCTAAAAGCCAACTTCTAATGCCCAACCACCAACTGAAATCAAGGAAGAGAACCAACGTTGCCTTCTTATTTCAATCCTTTTTCCTACAGTTTCGATCTACATTTATTGCCCCTACTATTAGTCAGAATCTACTTCAATAATCTGAAGTTATTTATCAACGATAACTCGTTCATAAAATGCATTTTCCGGCTTTTGGAAATCAAGATTTGCAAGCAGTAAAAGCTCAAGTCGTAAAAAATGTCAACATTCCTCGTTTCCTTTTGGGAAAGTAACCATAGCGATAACTTGTCTGTCAGATTATCCTCTAGCTACTCACGCGCCAATTACGCAATGGCGAGAGCATTCGACAATTATTAGATTACTCCTAGTTCAGCAAAAAAAAAAAGCGATTTCATACTGGTAAGCCTGTTAAAAGGGAAGATTCGTCGACCAATTTGAAGCTGACGCCGAAGAATCCTCAACCGCAGAAAATCTGCACTTCGAAGATCTTCGAGCCCGAGACGGTCAAGAAAAGACAAGTCTTCCTCCCAAAAGGGACTCCAAAGCCAGTCGCTCCGATTCTTCCAAACACTTCCGTCACCCAGAAGCTTCCTCTGAACAGACAGCAAATGTTTCATAATGTCTCGCCGCCGGCAAAAGAGCGCAAAAAGACCCCACCAGAGCAACATCCTCCAGCCCAGCTTTCAGAAGGAGTCTCAATTGTCCAAAACGGGGTCAATATGATTCCTGTTCAAATTCCCAGTGTTCAGAAACAGTGCATTTGCACTTGTACTTGTGGTGCTCGTCCGGGGGCTCAGCTGAATAACCCGCAGAATTTCAAAGTGTTTACAATGGATCAACTAGCTGCCTTTCAAAGTGGCCAGCCGCATGGAAAAGTTATTAGTATTCCAGAACAACCTCAGCTTCCGATCTCCTCGCAGTTCCAGAAACCAGTCCCTCAACTAAGGAACTTGTCCAAAATTTAGTAGTTTTATCTTTTTCATATTTATTTTGACCATTGTTGAAGTGAATTACAAAAGCGTAAGTACCCTTACGTCTACACCGCCGAAGAGTTTCCAAAGAAGACAAAAAGCTTCAATCCGCCCCACGTGTCCATAATCCCACAAAATCATCTTCAATCCAAGTACTCCCTTTCTCTCCTCCCAGGTCTTCCAACAAGCAACCAGACTCAGCCCATAATATCGCCAAATCGCATGATGCCACCTCAACCACTCACCATGCAAAAGCAGCAAATTGTCTACCGACCCCAAAAAGCAGCAGCACCCATTTCCTCCTGTTCAATTTCAATTGCTCAACAAGTCCCGATACCTTCAATGCCTTTAACTTCAATGCCAACTGTCAGTATTCCCCAGCAGTCTTCTACCACTCCAGTGAGGACCAAAGAGTCTTCGCCGGAAGATGAAGAAATAAATGTCACTGAGGTTGAAGAAAAAATCGATATAAAAGAGGAACAAAAAGATGAAGAGGAAATCGAGGAGATTTCAAATCCTAGAACAACGCATGCTCCGCAAACTGACATTTTATTCAAGGTGCGTTTTTGGACATAAATTTTGTAAAATATATTTTTGGTTCTTATTGTATTATTTAATTTAATTTAAAATTCAGGCGATTGAAGCCATGCAAAAGAAAGAAAAAGCGCAAAAAGAAGAGAATGAATCAAAAGAAGAAAGTAGCAACAATCTGAGCGACGAAGAAAGGCCAATTTCCCCTCGGCATCTTCAACAATCGCAGCCCTCAGAAATATCGATAAAAATAGAAAGCCAGAATGATGATAGCAACACAAACGACGCGATGGAAAGTATAAACAGCATAATTGAACCTCGAGACAGCGTGAACTCGATGGTTGTTCGCAGCTCGGATGGAAAGAAACAGACAGTGATACATGATCCGACGACGATTGAATACATTCGCTCCTTTTGCTTCAAAGATATTTTCAACAAAATGACAGAGGAGCAAAAGGAAATGCGAGCGCGTCATTTGATAATGAAAAAGGCTGTAGGTCAGGGGTCAAACACAAGCGAGGATAATTGTAAGGTAGACAGTAGCGACCTGTTGCGTTTTAAAATGTGATTTCAGAGTCAAATGAGTCGAAAAGAGTGATCGAAAGAGCATTTATTTATTTCCTCTGAAAAATGTTCAAATTAGCGGATGCTCTTCTCAGGAAAGTCTGATAGACATCAAGATTCCCGGATTATTTGTCCTAATCAAAATACTTGGGAGAGCATCCAGTATCTAGTTTTATAATATTTTCATCGAGGCAGAACCTTGGTTGGTTAATATGTTTCAGAAAAGCTTATGATTGTGATTGACCTCGTTAAAAGTGTTTATCGATGTCAGATCGAACATGCGTGGAACTGAGTTCGACGAAAGTCGTCGATTTCACTGCACATTTTGTCCATTGACGATACAAACGCAACGCAAGTTCCGCAACGCTGAAGATCTCTACCGGCATCACTGCCAACATCTTCGCTACCGACCTTTCAAGTGCCCCGTGGAAGAGTAAGTACAGTCGTGTGAATACTCGCCGAACCTACTAGTAGTTCGTGTCCGTTCGTCTAATCGAAAAGCTGTCACGAGGCTGACGCTTCTGACAACACTTCGAAATTTATTCTGAACTTAGTAAAGGGGACACGCCAGATAAATTAATCATTGAGTAACAGTACTCCATGAAACTTTCGTAAATTATTCATCCCTCGGGAAGGTTCGTTATGAAATCTTGTGGAAAAATTTTATTTACATGTATAGTGACTGATTGGGAAGGTAGCTGTATTTTGTTAGTGTTCTCAATTCTAGCCTCTCAAAAAATTCCAAAACTAAAATTAAATAATCGGCTTTATGGTTTTTCAGTTCTCCTAATTATAATTTATAAATTTTCTAGTTGTCAGGCGACGTATTACCGCCGAGACCATCTCCACACTCACGTCCTGCGGCACCACCCCTGGAAATCCTTCTCGCCCGAGCGCCTGACCGGCTTCAAAAAGCAACAGGAGTTCGTCGGTGCTACATCGAACTTCGTGGTCCCGATTGATCAGCGGACCTCGGCCTACCACCACTTTCGCCTCAACTCGATGCCAACCTTACTCGACTCAGTCCAAAAGAAAGAACAATCGCTTAAAAATGATATTAACACCGTCAGCTGATAATAAAATGATTAATTAAACAACTAACAAAGCAAGTTTTTTTTCTCCGCAGGACGAGTGAATAATTGAGCGCGAGGCGTGATTTTATTACCGTCTCCAAAGTCGACCGCAGACTGAAAATAAAACCGAAGCTCTTTATTAGCTTCTTTATTAGCTTACTCGTAGATTGGAATAAGCTTTCATAAAAACTAAATTGCAGGAGAGCAGTAAACTGGGCCAAAATGACGCACGGATGGTCCGACTCTTCATTCCATCTTAATTTTTCAGCCGGGAGCAATATTACTCCTCTCAACTAGCGCGAGAATAATGCAAGTGAATAAAAGAAGAGCAGGTGATATATCAGCAGCAGTGCGCTAGGAGGCCAGGAGCAAGCACAGAGCAGATGAATTATTCATGCGAATTGTTTCGCGCCTTCCTAGGTACCTCCACTCATCCAAAACCAGTTTCGTCTTCACCGACAAATAGTCTCATGTAGAACAGGTTTGTCCAGAGATTCTTCTTTGTAAAAGCGCTAGATAATGTCAAACCCGATTATCAGGCAGACTTTTCCCCCAGATGCAACAGAGTGGTACGCTTATTTCTATCTTCGTCTTTAATAATCCTGAATATTAATCAAATCTAACTAAAATTTATTCTCTATCAAAGATGCAGTCTGGCTGTATCAACCACTAGGTTGTAGTTACAGAAGGCATTAAAAAAAAACAACTACGAAATAAGGGAGTCAGTGACTCCGAGTCACTCTGTTAACCTAAGGGGAATAGTCTGTTTGAAAACTGGGTTTTAGACAGTGAAACCCTTAAAGATCATGTTTTTTTCGATAAATCACTATTTTGGGTCGCATTGATTGACCAATTCTCCGGCTAAAAGGCGTGACATCCTGAATGCATGTTAATTAGAGAATAAATAGTTTAGTCGGCTGTTTGATACGTCAGAAGAAGATTAAGGCACTAACTCCTCTACTACGTACGTCTTCGCGTGGTAGTGGTTCGTTTGCTACCAACACTCGTCCGCGTCTCCTTATCACTTGGGAGAGAGAAAACAACACTAACAGAGAGCAGCTAGCGAATATAAGCTGGCGCTTTTGAAGAAACTCACCTCGAGCATCACTTCCGGCAATTCTAGCAGTCGTCGTGGTAAGTCAAAGAAAGATCTGACTCAAAAAATACAGTATAACATGAATAAGCCTCCGTCCGCGTAAACAAGCTTTAATTTGGACAGGTTCATGGGCAAGGCGGCTCATCCCCCGGGTGGGATAATTCCACTTCAGGATAGGGTAGATCCTCCCCTGCGAAATCCATTGCACAAGCAATATATTTCCCTTGTTATAACACCTTTTTTGAAGAGAAAGATAAAAGAGAGAAAAATGACGACTGTCGACAGAATTTAATTAATTTCTCAGCAGAAATAATATCTAAGGTATGCGGAAATTGAAGAAATCAATTAAATTTGATATACGTTTATGTTGAATAATATAAAAGATTGGCTGCCAGTCACTGGCATTAAGAATTTTATCGTGAGATATAAAATCAAGTGATTTACAATCTTCTGGGGGGATAAACTTAGCCTGAAAGCATAAAACTTCAAGTCTCGAAACTTATAGAGGTCAGTTCATTCAGGGGATATTGAAGATAATATGCGGCCTTAGAAATAATTGACTCAGATGAAAAAACTTATAATTGACGGCAAAAAGTGATCTTAGATTTTGTGAAAATTTGTATTTTTTAAATTATGAAGAGGAAGTTCGACCAGCTGTCTTCGGCAAGCTTACGTAGGTTTTTGGGTCACAGAAAACTAAAAGTTTGAAGTCGGTATTTTCGACCCAGGATAGACGGTTCTATCATTTGTAGCCCCTTATGGATTTTCTGTAATCTGAAGAAGCTAGTGGACCAAGGTTAGCTTTGAATACGGCTTTTGCAGACGGAAACTGACAAGGTCATACGCATCTCAATTTTATAGCATCATTTTTGTGACTTTTTCTTCAGAAAGGCTGAACACCACTCGAAAAAGTTTTTTAAAATTTGGTGTTACAGTTTTTATGGAATTTTTTGACATCAAATTTTTGGATAAAATAACGTACCCCCCCCCTAGCTCGCTCACATTTTGTGAGCATTTTTCCCTTGCTCGCTTAGTTAAATTTTATCAAAGTCCCCTTGCTCGCTCTCATTCTTGTTTCAGCGCGCTCCATTAGTCGCTATCCTTCTTTTTACCTCGCGCGCCCTTGTTCGCTCCTCCTCACCCATTTATCCCTTGTTCGCCGCGAGACCGCCAAAGCCTAGCTCGGCTTGGGTCGCTCTTACAGCTCTTACTGTACTTTCGACTCAAGCTTTTCATAGGGAACTATATTTTCATTTTCATGAATATTTTAACAGTAACTAAACTTCATTTCCTCTTTTTAAAGCGTCCAGTTAAATTTTTATATCTTGTAGCAACGCTGTATTATGCCGTAAACTTGATAGTTTGACTTTATATGTACATTTATACTCAAAATAGTCGAATCTTCATGTTGACACTGGTTCCAGAGTTGCAAATTTGCTGAGCTGAGTGAGCTGAGCAGTCGCTCAGCTCAGTGATTTTGGAAAATGATCTGATCTGCTCAGCTCAGCTCAGACAATTTTCACTCAGCTCAGCTCAGCTCAGCTCCATTATTTTCGAACATGATCTGTTCTGCTCTGCTCAGCTCAGCTCAGACGATTATCACTTAGCTAAGCTCAGCTCAGCTCAATGATTTGAATACAATTTTACTACCAAAAACAGTAAAAAACAGCTCAGCTCAGCTCTAATTAGGGTCCGCTCAGCTCAGCTCCATTATTTTCGAACATGATCTGTTCTGCTCTGCTCAGCTCAGCTCAGACGATTATCACTTAGCTAAGCTCAGCTCAGCTCAATGATTTGAATACAATTTTACTACCAAAAACAGTAAAAACAGCTCAGCTCAGCTCTAATTAGGGTCCGCTCAGCTCAGCTCAACTCTCTTAAACAAAAGGTCTGCTCAGCTCAGCTCAATGACCTCTCAAAAAGGCCAGCTCAGCTCAGCTCAGCTCAGAAACCTCCGAAGTAGGCCAGCTCAGCTCAGCTCAGCTCAGAGAAATTTTTTCGCAGGTCAGCTCAGCTCAGCTCAGCTCGGAAAAATTAATCAAAATTTGCAACTCTCGAGGAAAATGACATTAGATTTTTTTATAAAAACAGTCTCAAAGTTTCAATCCATGTATTTCGAGTACTTATGTTTACTTAAAATGGAGTGTCCAAATTTCTTCTTATTAAGAAGATATGAAAATTTGACAAAATGGACGTGAAATAGCATAAAAAAATTGTTTGCTTGGAAAAAATCATGAAAATCGAATTTTGAGACCATTCTACGAGTTAAAAAGCCTTTTAAAAGTGAAAAAGAAAATGAGCTACGCCTTATA